TCTTGATCCTTCATTTGTGTGGTCACTCTGGAATCGTGACTCCAATTCAAGCTTCGTTTCATACCTCAATCTGTTCAATACCATTTGGTTGATCTAAGCTTACTTGAGCAAGTAACTGTTGGCTGCCCAACACTCCTAGTCCACTGCTAGTCTAGATCTGAACTGGGGCTATAGGCCTTCAGGAATTTCTCTTCAAAATGAGTATCCCAGAGGTCTTGACGCCTTGCTGCGAGTATGGGAAAGGGCAAGAGACTGTCGAACACCTATTAATGTGGTATTTGGCGCCACTATTAGCTCGAGGATGGAAGAGAGCCAAGGTTTGAACGCGAGTTACCCTTTCTTGGGTGACTGCTACTTCAATATAATAGTCGGTTAGTTATTGTTTAACTGTGTAGCTAAGTGACGAATACGACCGGATGGCCGCCTCCAGCTTCATCATCACTAAGCCGGGAAGGTGAGTTCCGGACTGCTAGATGGGAAGGGACTGCTGGGAACGCCCAAGAGCGGATGCCTTGCATGTAAAATAGCGCGGAGGGACCGCTGGCTAAGACCAATAACGTTATATACGGAGTATAGTTAACTATTACTTTTCTCACTTTGCCTTCTTGTGTCTGTAGGAAGCCTTTTGGCTATCTAAAGGCATCCTTTGATGTCACTGACAATGCAATTCAAACTTTGATTGGGCATCTATATGCATCTTTGCCAATTCCATGGCCGGGAGTGATCCTAGGAGTGGTATGCCTGCAGTAAGGCTTTCTTGAGGGTTGACAAGAAACTTCGTCCTCAAAGTATATCCGGCGTTGAATCGAATATATCAATCTAGCCGCCCGGCACTTTTATTTCTGGAGTTGGACGAAGGAGATATGCGGTGCCGAACCGCGCGTCTCCTGCATTCTGATGCAGTGGGCTCAAATAGCAGGGCTTTCTCCAGCCACTCTGAAATGCATCCCCTTCCATATCATCCAGACCCCTGCGATGGCGCAGTCGACTCGCACTCCCGCTGGCTTCATCCTCAGCTCTTCCCCGCATATTCCGTACATTTTGTGAAAACCAGCCTCAACTCCGTCCTGAATTTACCTGGCAATTCACATACCTACGCCAACGCTCAATCACCATCTATGATATGCTTTCGAAATTGACATCAACCGGCTTGGTTTGTACTGACCCCTGGATTGGCGTGAACAAAGTATCCATATCCCCTTTGAAGCGGTTGGACTTCGATGTCGGTAGCAACGGTTACTCCAACGCAAACCCAACGTCACGTACTAGGGAGGTTCGAAGACGACAAATGGCATTGTGAGTTGATCATCCTGTTGTATTACCGGTGTTTTTCTAACAATCTGTTCGACAGGTGCCTGTGACCCTCCTGAGCAAGCGGCCTTTTTCCAGGTATCCAAGGAAACCCCAAACAAGGGGCGTTGGTTCTACACGTGCCATAAGCCACGAGGACAGCAGTGCGGCTTCTTCCTGTGGGAGGACAAGGCGCAAGCTCAGGAGACGCTTGAGCAGAGGTCGGCTCTCAGCAACTTGGGGAGCAGCAGCCATAGCCTTGGAACCGCCAACGTGCCGGTTACAATGAGTGCATGGAGTAAAGTCCAGCCTGGATCTAGGGCCCGCCCCGGCAAGGAAGGGAGCAGTCGCGCCGAGACCCCTCAGTCCGAGGTTGCGTCAACAGTCATCAGCGGGCCACTCCATTCGCCCAGTAGCAGCGTGTTCCCAACACCACGACCGAGGCAGGGGGTCTTTCGTGGTAACCCCCGTATAGTGGACCATTCGTCGAGCTCAGATGACGACAGCGATGCGACGGCGGGCGCGGGTCGCCCATCTAGTCGCATCCAGCACCCGGCTCCGACAACTCACACCTCCAAGAGAAAGCGGCCCGCAATCGAGGGTGTAGGCAGAGGCGGCACTGCGGATCTGTCTGATATCGATCCGGATGACGCCCGGGAACTCGTCGAGCTGGCGGATTGGGGCGAACGACTTCACCAAGCCCAGCAGTCGCAGCGGTCCCAATTCAGCGACAGCCCTATCACCCCAAGCCGGCACGCCACACGCACAGGCCACGGCGGTCTGCTAACTCCTGGGACAGGAAACAGCTTTGTCGCTCCATCGGAGCCAGGAGGCAAACGTTTAAAGAATGCTCAAGGTCTCGCGGCACCTTTCGCCCCGACCCCAACCCGGACTCAGAACTTTATCTTCGCGGATGCAGAAGCTGCCGCGGCGGCGGCGGGAGGAGGACAAGGCGGCTCGTCTTCGCAAGGGCGGCAGCAGCGCCCGCCCGGGGATGACGACGCGGACATTACCAAGGCGGTGTTGGACCTGCTCAAGGCGCAGCCCGTGTCGGCGGCGGCGCGGCAGGCGGTGCGGGAGAGGCTGAACCGGCACGCCCTCATCGTGAGTGGCCTGGAAAGAGGCCGGAACGACGTGCGGGATAAGCTGAAGTCGAGCAAACTCAAGATTGCCGAGCTGCAGGTACAGTAATTTTCGTTGTTTGTGTGCTGTTTGTAACCCATTATGGCTGTCCCTGGAGTGGGGCGGCTTCCGACACTTGAAACCATCTTAATGCTTCCCTGAATAGGAATTCATACCTGACATTGTTGGTTTAGGCGCGTGTGGTCGAGCTCGAGCGCGAGAGGCAAATGAGAAGGGCGGTGCTGAGGAACGATTTGGAGGCGTTGTCCGAGGAGGTGGAAGACTAAGCTGCGGAATTCATCGAGCTGTTGTCTGGTGTCTTTCGTGCGTCAGCGATTCACAGGGGAGGGAGTACGACCTTGGTATACCTTTGGATTGTGAGCATATCCTTTTGTCAATTTCTTCGCAGGAACGGTGTCCTGTGTCATGATGATATTCATCTCTTTTTTTCTTTCCCTTGTTATGTAGCGTTCCAAGGTGCAATGGGAAGAGCCTTGTCCAAGATGAGCGGCCTTGGCACGCTCTTCTGCAGTTGTTCCCCCGCCGCTCTGTTGACTTCTCTCCTAAATAGGAAAGCGCTTGGGCTTGTGATTGGCCGAAGCTTGACGCGGACAGGCGCGAAAGCTGGCACACGACGTGGGTCTTTTTTAGATACAGTGGAGGCGCCTTATATATGGATATCCCCTCGACTCCCAAACCCGACTCCGCGAGACGTCCTGTCCTTGTTCCGACCCGGCCGTTTTCCTCTATCCATGACAGTTGTGCGTATGGCATGATAGCTGACAGGCTCACCCTTTACTTTTACTTTCGTCTCTTCTCTCCCCTCTGTGTTTCATTGGCACCCGTCATGCAATTGACGCGGCGACGCGTATAATTGTCCAGGTGTCCCGCCTTTGCAACTTGTCTTGCTCTGTCCTCGACCAAGTGCGTCAGACATACCTTGATGAATCCGCCGCCGTCCACCATGGACTCCAATGCCGTGCCTTCCTCGTCATCGTCCTCATCCTCTCCGCCCTGTCCTCCAACGACATCCTCCAGCGTCTCGGCCACTGTTCCGCCACCTGCAGGTCCTGCGCAACTTCCACGAGCCAGCCTGGAGTCGGCGTCACCATCTGTCGGCAGGGAACGCCACCCCAAGGGCAAGAGGAATCGGACCAAGTACGTTTCTTGACCACGAATTCTTCCTACCAATGCCTCCTCTAGTGTTGACACGATTCTCCAGGCTAGAAGACAAGGAGATCCTCGAGAGGGCCTACAATGAGAACCCGAAGCCCGACAAGGAAGCGCGCCTTGAGATCGTAAAGCGCGTCTCTCTGAGTGAGAAGGCGGTTCAGGTAAGTACCACCGTCTGCCCAGGTGAACCCGCGGCTAATGGCCTGCCCAGATATGGTTCCAGAACCGCCGCCAGAACGACCGCCGGAGATCACGTCTATTGTCGCCCCAGGTTATCGAATCCGTCACGCAGGGCCGCGTCAGGATCTTGTCAACCGACTACAACGCACAGTTCGAATTGGAACCCACTTTCACGCCCAGCCAGACCTTGTCCCAGCCTGAGCAAAGCACGGATTCCTCTGTCCATTCTGACCCTGCCAGCGCACACTCAGATGCGGAGCCGGGGGCCTCGCAAGACGTACCAGTGGCTAAGGCCCCGATAATCTTGGAGGGAAGAGGAATGCCTCCCCTGGAGAAGATCTCGGGGCCTACACAACTCGAACGTCCCAGCGAGCCAAGGCCGATCCTGTCTCGGTCCTTTTCAGGTCCAACTGGCTACCTGGCCAACCGACGGAATGCCGCCGGTTTTTCGACCTCGTTTCCTAATCCTTGCTCCGGTGATTCTTCCAGGTCCGTTCGTCTGGCCCTTTACGCAAGCTGGCACTTACCATGTGTATGTAGATTCGAGCCGTTCCCATCCACCTGCCCGCCCGACATGCATTTTGGCGCAGGTTCTGCCGGCCCCATTCAACCCCCGAGCTCCCAGCCGTCCCACTACCGTCTGGCGTTGTCTCTGGATGGCAAGGCTGAGCTTATCGACCCAATGATCTCACCACAACGCCCAAGAAACCCCCCTGCATCGGTGGATCCTTTCTTAAGGCCAGACTCCCGCAGACAGACCGAGTCCTCCCGCTCATCCCTCTCCGAGTTTACTCGCACTTTGTCTGCAGCTAGGATCGGCCTGCCGCCTCGTTTGACTCGCGGCCGGTCACTCGACGTCCAAGCCTGGGAAGACTGCTGCGATCCGGGCAACCGGGAGGACGCGTTGATTATGCAAGCCAAGCATGAGAGCAGCGGCTCGGCCATCGCAGCTATTCACCTCGCCAGATCAACAAGCTCGATCAGCAGCGGCAGCCCTCTCGACCAGAGCAGCAGCGGCGGGAAGCGCGGTGCTCCCATGGGCAGGGCGGCCACCCGTCCGGGTATGACCAAGCGGGCGAAGTTAGCAAGGTCGTCGAGCAGCTGGGGACGAATCGAGACGGTCTTCACACCCACCCAGAAGCATAACATGCAGCGCATGGCTCCCAATCTGCACCTCGACAAGCACAAGCCCAACAACGCCACGCTGGCCGGCCTGTCTGGCAACGACTCAGACAAGGAGAACTGGAGCCCGGACGAGAACGGCAACCCCCGCCGCCCATTCTCCAGCACTTTCACATCATCAGGCCGGCGCCTGCTGCCCTCCGGGGCGCCGTCATCTAAGTACGACCGCCGAAACCCGCGCCGTACGCTCCCGCAGGAACCGCGCGGCAGCTTGTTCTCTCTTAACCGCGCCGCCACCAGCCCGGCATTTTCTCGCGCCCGGTACCACTACCAACGGGACAAAGCACGTGCCGAATCTCCGCTGGAGATCTATGAAGATGCCGGCGACGACGGGGACGGCACCGTTGCACCGGACCCGGACAATCCTGTAGCGGAGGCAGATGACGACGAGATCCAGCGCTTCATGCGCGGCGGCCAAGTCAGCCCCAGCAAGAAGAACGATGTCGACGCTGCGACGGGCTTGCTTGCGCTCAAACGGTCCAGCTGGGTGCGGTGATTTGTGGATCATGGCATTGCGGCTATCTGTCTTTTGATATATGAAGGGTTTTGTAGGGTGAGCATATATATGCGCGAAGGACTATCTAATGATGCAAGGAGTGTATGGGCTGTTAGTCTGAAAACGTATATAAGGGGGATCTTGGGCTCAGGGGGAACAGCTGTCGCGAGCATATGAGATGGGCAAAGTTGGCCCAGTTAGCTCTCGGGTAAGAAGGAAGTGCAGGAAAAGCCGGACGGTAGAATATAATGGAGCTGGGGTAGGGCCTCCCTGCGCAATGTTGGGACTGTGGTCGTTGATGGCCTTTGTCGGATAAGCTGTTTAGGGTAGGAGCATCTTCGTTGTGGCGGGTGTGGCTGTCGTTTCGCTATTTCCCATCCAACAAGCGAAGGAATGGATGGATGGTGTCCATACAACTGTCTGACTGGTTTCACTGTAAGGGGCTCTGAAGATGTGTTGGTTAGCTGGGTGGTCGCCGTGAGACATGGGTTCAGTAAGGTAGTTGGCATGCGGCACCTCCATTGAGCAAATGTTTGGCGTGGCGCCAGCTAGAGCACCTTGCGCGACGCTCTGGTCCGAGACCCGGCCATAGAACACACATGGGTACGGTGGCCAGCCAACTTCCTACTATACAGCATGTGATGTGGTTCGATCCGGTCTGATCTCATTCGATCTGCGGGCGGGGCAGCCGAAGGGCGCTTAGCTGTATTGAACCCCAACTCGTCCATGACATCAAAGCAATCTACTTGTCCAGGACGTCAACAGCTCACGCCATCGATCGAATGTCAGGCAGATAATATATAGGATCACGAGTATGTAGATTACGCACCTCCAATACCCATCATCCCAATCGTTCGAGCAACCCAAACTCTTAGAACGCCGCCAACAAAAAAACGATGAAAGGCCGAGCATTTCCGGCCGGCACCCGCCGTGCCATGGCCAGGGCTCCGAGGCCGCTTTGCACACTCCATGTTCCACGCTCGCTTTCTAACAGCAGTGCTTCGCAACCAAGCTCAACGATTTACCAAACAAGCCAACAGCTTACTCTGATCCAAGGCCCCCACATGACAGATTAAAGAAGAGACTCAAAGCCCTAACATGCTCATCTGCCTCCTAAGCGGACTCGCAGCGGTGCTGCTCTCTTCGCTGGCATAGCACGCCGAGTCGGTATCGATATCCCACCCGTCATCGTCCTCGCTGCCCTCCGACGACGCCGCCTCGCCATTATTAATGTTCCCGCCGGCCTTGAACGCTTTTTGGGTCGCGGCGCGCACGTTCCACCTCAGCGTCCTCGACACGCTGTCGAACCACTCCGTGTCGGTCCGCACGACGGTGGGGAACGGGTACTGCGAGGCCGTGATGGTGACGTGGTCGCCTTGCTTGAGCTCGATGCGGCCCTTGCCGTCAAAGGCGCAGTAGGCGGTCGCGCGGCTGTTGCGAGGGACCGAGACGCGCAGAAGCATCGTGTCGGAGAGGACCATGGGGCGGAAGGACAGGGTGTGCGGGCAGATTGGCGTGAGGAGGATGGCGGGGATGTCGGGGTGGACGAGCGAGCCGCCCGCGGAGAGGGAGTAGGCTGTTGATCCTGCGGCCGTCGGAGTCAATACGCGAAAAGAATATGGGGAGGAGAAAGGCATGAGGAGTGAGAGCTTACCAGTCGGGGTCGAAAAAATGCAGCCGTCCGCCTGAACCACAGTCAACAGCTCGTTGTCGCCGTACAGCTCGAGATTGGAGACGTAGGGCGACGGCCCGCGGTCGATGACGAGCTCGTTCAGCACCTCGAATTGCTCGCCCTCCTCCATCTCGTGGCCCATGGGCCCGTCGCGGTATACCGTGCAAGTGAAGCGCATCCGGAGGTTAACACGCATCCCGTCCTCGCCCATGACGCGGTTGAGGTGATCCTTGTACCGCTCAAACTCGAAGCTGGTCAGGAACCCGAGACTGCCCAGGCTGAATGAGAGCACGGGCGGCACAATGCGCTGGAAGAGCCACGACGTGAAGAGCACGGTGCCGTCGCCGCCGAGAGTAAGAACCAGGTCAAATTTCTCGGGCTGACTCCAGCACAGGTCCGGTGTCCAATACTTGAGCATCTCGTGAAATCGCGGGTCTTGGTCGGTTATCCCCCGAGCATTGAAACGCTTCGAATGCCTCAGCTTTGCGTCGACGTACACGTTGACGCCAATGTCGGACCCATAGCGCGGGGTCTGGAGGAGAAACAGGGCCAGCTCGCGAGTGAGCAGAACTAGTTGGTTGTCGCGTGCCTTGGTCACGATCATGACGTTCTTGACGGCGCGCTTGATGGGCCGGCGCTGGAGCTGCTTCGATACTTCGCGCACGCCGGTGGCTGTTTGCACCAAGCGCGAATGCGACATCCATTCGTCGTTCTTGATCTCCTCAAGCACCTTGTCGATGTCGACGGCGTCATCGAAGCGGTTGTGGTAAAAGCAAGGCGACTGCAGCGAGGGGAAAGCAGCGGTCGGGGTGGCGGTGACGTTGGAACGGGAATTCTGTGCCTGGGCGAGGCCATTGAGGGCGTCACAGAGCTGTTGCGAAGAAGAGGACGCGGGCCGCGTGTCGGCGCCCATCTGGGCGCTGTGTGCGGAGAGCATGCTGCTTAGCGAGAGGGCCTGCGGTTTGTTGTTGCGTGCTACCGAGGCCAGTGCCTTCATAATCGTCTGTCGCGGGACAGACTCGACCGAGAGCGCGCTCCTGCGGTGGCCGCGGGCGGGAGCAGGACAGGTTGGAAGGGAGTGGTTGAGGTGATGCGACAAGTCGTGGCCTGGCGAAGCAGAGGAGCCTATTGCAGGCAGAGTGGATTGCGGCTCGGCGACAAGGTCATGATTCCGGGTTTTTGTTGTTGAGGACGCGGGTGTCGCGGTGGGCGTTGTCGCAGTCGAGTGGTCGTCCCCGTTGTCCGGAGGCGACAGGGTCAAGGCGAGGGCGGCATTGGGAGCCGGAGTTTGCGAGGAGTCGGAGTTGACGGATGATGAGGGCTTATTAACTCCCTCTGGCTCGTGGCCCTCCTGCCGCAGTGGAAGCGGGAGCTCGGCGGGGAGACCAAGGACTGGGTGAATTGAACCAGGCATGGTCAGATGGGGTGTGGGGTGCTATTCTCGGCTCCGCTCTCAGGTAATCCGCAATCTAGCAGTCGAGCGCAGCAGGGCTTGGTTAGAGCCCCTGTAGTTGGAAAGTAGGGGACCAGGGTTAGCGTCCCGCGGAGTAATCACCCGTACGGATGTTCGTGTGTCTCCGATGCGCTTTGTGCGTTTGCCGTCCGTTGGATGCCAGGGAAAGTTCTGGTAGGTAGGCAGGGCAACCTGCAGAGTCGGATCTCACGGAAAATCGTACTGTAGGTGCGGAAGACAGTGGGGGAGTGCAGCCTGTGTAACCCTCAAAAGCCTTGCAAAGAAACGGAGATAATGCACGAGGCGACCCGATGCGCTGTTTCGTCGACGTCAGTGTATGCCAGTGAAAGTTGAGGCTGGGTCCCTGATCTGTTGACTGCCCTGACTTGGGCCGAGCTTACACAGGCCGAGGGAACACCACTGGGCGTTTTCCTACTGTGGTACGGACATGCTCTGTGCAATGCATGGGAGGCCGAGAGTGTCAGAGGCCTTGGCCTCTTAGGAATGGCCGGTCTGGAACATTTGACAAAGGGAACATTGGAAAACGGGGCCACTGGGCCGTTCCATGGCTCGGCCAGCCCTTTTAGGGGTCTTTTAGGTCTAATGTAACTTGGTCTCCAAGGGACAGCGAGAGAAAAGAACGTCGAGAAAGCGCTCACCTCGGTGTGGCCAACAAAAATCGAGGCTCGACCGACAAACTGCTTGTCATGCGCGGTGTAATGCTCCCCAATACCCCGTACAGTGACCGGAACTGATGCGCAGTTTTGGGGACTCGATGCCAAAACGGGAGCGGAAATATTGGATGTTATGGCTCTTGTGGGTGGCGGGGTAGTGGGGCCAAACTGGAACAAGTGCCCGCTGATGGCGGGGCAGTCTCCGGCCGGCTACGCAATGGGTTCTTTGTGGCGTTTGGCCGTGTAAGTCCCCCGATTGGCGGTGTGGGGATGCAGGATTGTGATTCAAGATGCAGCTCGACCTTCACGTGGATGCACCACTCTGGTCTGTGATGGCAAGTTCTCGAATAGCACAAGGTATGCCGGATCTAGAATGCCGAGGTAAGGTGTGAGGGTTCGCAACGCACAGCGATGCGGAGGCGGTCCAATACTGCTCGAAGCGATGTTGATAGGGATTGGCCACAAGTGAGTGGGTGGGAAGATGCAAGATGACCCTGTCGAGACGGAGTGCAGGCTGAATTACCGGATTAAAAAGGAATATACTGAAGAGTTGACAAACAATGATCGAAGGCAACGAGGGTGAACTGCCAGAGCTCGGCTTCCAGACGTGCTCCCGGAGCTGAAGAAGGAAAACGTGAACAGCAAAGGAATGGTAGGCTGGGTCATCAAGACGAGGCCAAAGACCAGCCAGAATCATGGAACGCATTCTGGCGGTTTAATACCCATCTCATGTGCAGCAACGATGCAGCCCGGGTCATGACAGGGGATGAGGAGCTCGGGGAAGGTAACAGCGTACGGAGTACTGGGTAGTCAGAGCTTGCCGCAAGGGTGCTGTCCAGGATATCTAAGCCTGTACATGTATGTACTGTACATCGCCCGAGGTACCTTAGTGACATGGGGCCCGTCTCTCTCCGTATCCCCGTTCCAGTCTCTTGGTCTAGCGTACTGGCTCATGCATGCAGTGTATGCAGCGAGGCATCTGCAGCGTGGCTCGACAGACGGTAGAAAACAAGTACGGAGGTACTCAACGTCCTGTGCTCTTGTCGTCGTCGCAATTCTCTTCACCTCCCCAGTCTGCCTTATACTCCACGTAGTAAGGGGCCAGGTAGCATTTACGACCTCTCGCTGGAGCGGATGTGGCAGGCTCGCCAGTCTCACCTTGTCTCCTCGAGGCTGGGGTCTGGAGGCGAGCTGCCGGGGCTAGCAGCCAACGGTAAGCAACCCCTGGAAGCAAGCCGGGAAGCTCCGCGAATCTGCCGCTCAGGGCAGCCGCTGGGGATCGATCTGCAACGTCGCATTGGGCCGCGAAAGCAGCCGCATAAACGCCCGGTCTGTTCACCGTGATTTAGCGATGCTGAAGACGTTTGTAAGCTCCGAGACGTGGGATTATTTGCAGCTTCCTCGCCCCTAGACACGATGCACTTGGTGTAGGGTACCACCGTAGGCCCCGGCGCAGGTCAACCCGGGACCGAAGCTCTGGGGCCCTCGAACGTCGAGGAACTCGAAACCTTACTCGTGAAACGGAAAGCGGTTTTTTTTTCAGTATTTGTCTCTGCAAGGCTGCGCAGCTACCGCATTGGCAGCCCCAACAAGCGCCCCCAAACTTGTGGTGGGGGGGGGGGGGGGGCGCGGGATTTCGCGGTCAAAGACATGCGAAGTTTGGACTCCAACCTGTGAGAAGTGAGCGTCCGCCAGGCTGTCGTGAGAAGAGTGTCACAGACACTGTAACGTTATGTGGTTTTATTAGGATCCGAGTTGAGATGAAACAAGGCCTCGGCGCGCTGATGGGGCAATCCCAAACACAGCCAAGCAGGCGGCCCACTAGTGTCTGAGGAGGCGACAATCTGCTTCCATCACCGCACCAAAGTCCCACAGGCAAAAAATGCAAAGTCGCCAAAGCGCCAGTAAGAGGCATTGATTGTTTTGTTCCTTTGGTGCATCTTCGAACTCCCTGGTTACCGTGGCTGACTGCCGAAATTCACTTCGCAGTTGCGGCGCCGCGAGTAGCATGGCGGTCTGCTGGCCTGGAGCGACATACCCATGCTTGCTCCAACGTGGGCAGTCGCCGTGGTTGTTTCGACGACTCCGCAGTCGTGATGCGGGCGGTCCTTCGAACGCCCTCTGCTTCGGAGTGGCGCCACCCAGCTTTCTGTGACGCACCGATCTCGAGCCGAAGCTCAACTGGGGGTTCTAATTCTTGGAATCAAGGTGGATCGGCTCATCGCGCTTGGTGCTTCACTTCCAGTGGAGGTCGGCAGCCACTTTGAACCCCATTGTTGACCGAAGGAACTGCCGCATATCTGGGCCACCGGTACTTTCGTCGTCAAGCAGCATCGCCATTCCTTCTTTTGCCTGTGGTGGAGAGCGGCAGCAAATTCCCCTGGCGGTCTCATACACATTGTCCCACTCCTTGACCGTAAAGTCGCCCTCGCTCTCTGCCAAGAGTAACTCGTCATGCGACGTGAAGGCCAGCACATGGACTGACTGGGCCTTTTCGATGTCTCTCGGGTGTGGATCTACCACGGTCTGCTTGGCACCATCTTGATGCATGATCGCTACAGCAGTGGCTGTTGCGGTTGCCCTCATCGGCACAGCCGCAGAGAGAAGCGCGAGGACGGCAGTCTGCATCAGCGCCGGCATAATGGCAAAGTTCTATACGAGGAATCAGCCGACTAAGTCTTGTTCGGTCAACAGGTCTCTCCCACTCACCAGGCTCGCCTGAACGAGCTTGGTATTCACATAGTCGTTCTCTGGCGAATCCTCAACCTGGAGGACAATCTGGATGAGAGAGCGGGGAAAGTTTTTGACAAGGATGATCTGAGCGAGCGAGGACTGCAGAATCGACTCGAGGTGCCGTTCCCGGGTCCCTAAATAACCGAATCACAAGTGAGAACCCCGTCTTATGCTGAGGAGTCGCGGGACCTCCCACCTCCAACCCCTGCTGCTGGTCGTACGATGACATCGATGTGTGCCTCATACGCATGCTCATCCCTCCGTTGGGCTTCGATTGGACCGTTGACTGAGGCCGTCACTGTGTATCCAGCGTGAGAATATCTTGCAGATCCGTCCGCGCGTGGAAGAACGCCGAGAGCGGCCTCCGGTAATGTTGTTGCTGTCATGTTGAGATGTTGTTTCGGAGACTCATGTGTTCGCAAAATGGCTTGATGAAGTTGTCTGAGAGTTTGAGAAGCGCACCTCAGCCGTTGGATCGAATTTGCAGCGATTTTCCGGGCTGATCTGCAGGCGGCTAGCCCCGCATTTTAGCGGCTCCAGACAAACGAGCAGCCCCGGTACTTGCAAGGATCCTGCGTCAGCCAAGAACCTTCAGGCATCGATCAACTTCACTTTCCTATTTGAACTCGGTAACCTGCAATGCCAACTGGAGAACTCCCTCGTGCTCAGTATCGCACCCGACTAGAAGAAACACATAAAGCTATGACCGCGACATCAAACACAGTTCCTAACGAGGCGACCAAGGCCGCTGGCCCAGCCCAAGCCTCGCCTGAGCAAGACCGTGGGGTACCCAACCTCAAGGACCGCATCCCGAAACTGGAGCCACGGCGGAGAAAGGCCGAGCCTGCGAATCCGATGCCCGTCCCGGAGACACCGGCAGCACCGCCGCGCCCAGATCCAGCAACTGTCACCTTCACCACGCCGACCAGGAGGATACTCTCACCCAAGGACCACCAACTGTTCCTCGCTTCCCCAACCTACACCCTCATTCTCTCCTTCATCTTCGGCCTTTCGGAATCCGTCGTCGACAAGCCCATCTCCGCCGTTAAAGATTCCGATCTGTCCCCAACCGTCATATCCATTCTCTCCATCCTGGACGAAGCCGAGTCACTCTGCCGAGACTCCCCTCCAGACGACCAAGGCGGTTCCCGCTTCGGCAACAAAGCCTTCCGCGTCTTTCTCGACAAGGTCAAGCACCGGTCCCCTTCATGGCACGCCACCCTGCTCAATATCTCCAACGCGGCCGCGGCAGCCGAGTTCTCCACCTACCTCCACCAATCCTTCGGCAACCGCACCCGCATCGACTACGGCTCGGGCCACGAGCTCAACTTCTTCATGTGGCTGCTCTGCCTATACCAGCTCTCCCTCCTGCAACGGTCCGACTTCCCCGCCCTGGCCCTGCGCGTCTTTGCTCGCTACCTGGACCTCATGCGCCGGGTGCAAAGCACGTACTATCTCGAGCCGGCGGGCTCGCACGGCGTGTGGGGGCTAGACGACTACCAGTTCCTGCCGTTCCTCTTCGGCGCCAGCCAGCTGGTGCACCACCCCTTCATCACGCCGCGCGCCGTGCACCAGGAGCTGACGCTCGAGGAGTTTGGCGGCGAGTTCCTGTACCTAGGCCAGGTGGCTTTCGTCAACAGCACCAAGACGGTCAAGGGCCTGAGGTGGCACAGCCCCATGCTGGACGACATCAGCAGCGCCAAGAACTGGGCCAAAATCGAGGGCGGCATGAGGCGCATGTTCGTGAGCGAGGTGCTGGGCAAGCTGCCCGTGATGCAGCATTTCTTGTTTGGCGCGCTGATTCCCGCCGCGGAGGGGATGAGCGAGCCAGCGGAGAGGGGTGTGAAAGATGAGGAGGAGGAGGAAGAGGGCGGGGAGGTGGAGGTGTATGATGACAAGGACGGGGTGAGGCACATACATCAGCAGGTCGGATGGGGAGATTGTTGTGGGATCAAGGTGCCGAGCAGTATTGCTGCGGCCGAGGAAATGAAGAAGAGGGGGGCTGTGGAGCAGTTGAGGAGGATACCGTTTGACTGAGGGAAGAATTATAGATTGGAGAGCAACATATATCAGCTTAATGAAAGAAGCTCAATCAATGCACTGGATGGCACCATAAACGCTGTGTGAATACTCGCTTGACTCGAAGCCCTCGCTACACTTCACATGGACTGTCTGGGCTTGAAGAACCATCAAAGCCAACGGAAGCACGCGGAACCCTAAGGCAGAAGCAATATATGCACATAGGCTCTCCGCATCCAGTCCGAACTAATGCAGTACACCGTCCTATTGCCGCTTAACGAAGGAGTCAAGAACAGCCATCAAAACTCACATTGACCCCTCACACCCAGGCTCCCAGATAAAGATACAATGTGTGGCCAGTCCGCCACAGCTTCCTCAAAGAATACCGATGGAGAAGGGTATCAGAACGACAGATTCTCCACTGAACGCCTGCCAATGATGACGACCATGCCACAAAATGCCGGATGAACAAACAGGAACAGAAAAACTGAAAGACAAAACCCAAACGCCAATATGTGAAGCCATGATGACGACCGGCACGCGAGTAGTATAGTGCCATGCTCTTCGTGCCGAGACTGGCTCATGGCATAGACAATACGCCGCCTTCGCCGTGCTCGTCGTGTACCTCGCGTCCCCCGCTCATGCCGCAACGGAAACCATGGGCATATTCTAATCCTCCCAAATCGTCTCCAAGTCCAGATCCTGCCGCCTCTCGGCACCACACACGCTCCACCGCTTCCTTTTGTCGCGCGAGCCGAAACCGCTCAGAGTCCGGCCACGAGCGGGCACATCCACGCTGCTCCTACCCTTGGCGTCTCCGCCCTCGGCAGCGTCCGCGGCCGCCTTCAGTTGTGCAATCCGCTCGGCCTCCAGGGCGGCCTCTTCGGCGTCGGGCGAGTCGGGAATGGTCTCGAGGCTGGAGATGCTGGGGCTCCTGGATCGGGCAGAGGTCGGGGTCGAGGGCACCGAGGAGGAGGACAGGTATGCGGCCGGGTGGCCATAGGCGCCGGACGAGAAAGAATCGTAAGGTCGGTATGACGGCGAGGTAGCAGCAGTCGAAGAGGGCGTGGTCGGAGGGGCTGCTCCGGAGCTCGTACTACTGGCGTGTGCAATCTGGTAGAGCGGGGAAGACGGCCGTCGCAATTTCGGCATCGTCGTGCTGGTTTGCGCAGGGACCATAGCTCGGTTAGGCGAGGTGTTCCTCTCTGGCAACTTTCGCTCGTGGTCGAGGACGGAAACTCGGGTTGGCGAGGAAGGGAAGGCTTCGTCGACGGGCTTGCGCGGCAGACGGATCCGGCCGGGAGACCCAGAGGGGCTTTGGGGTCGAATGTGGGGAGAGTATAGAAGATGGCCGGTAGTACTCGTGCCCGGCATAGACTGGGTGCGCGTCATTGGCGGCGCCAAGCTTGCTGCTGACCGCGATCTGGCGTGGTTGCTAGACAACGGCGAAGATGCGCGGGGCCGGTAGGGGAGCGTAAGCGGCATCCAAGACGGCGAGATGGGAGACGACGGGGATGGATCAGTAGATCGACGGATGGTAGGTGGTTTCCTTAGGAAGTCCGACTCAGAAGAACCGAGCGTCGCTGTCGCCGAGAGTCTCAGGCTCGGGAGGGGTGAAGGCCGGAACTCCTCCATTCTCTCCGTTTCGGGAACCGGCTCCATGGCGGCCGAGATATGAGATGTGCTCGGGAAGCCGGGTCTGGGACGGTGAAAAAGGGTGCATATGGGCTCGACGGCGGTTCGGTTTGAGATGACGAGAGAGAAACAGCAGTCGGGAACTTGGGAGCAGAGCTGGGTATAGGTGGGCAACTGCCGCAAGAATAAATTCCCGTTCGCAGCTCGGGCCAACGTCGTCTCTCCGGAGTGGGCGGCTTCGCGGAACCGGGTTCGGCTTGGTTCCAAAGCCCACGTGGTGGAATCGCAATACGCCAACCGGCCGCTTAGGTTGGCGCCGAGCTCATGACCGACGGGAAAAGCTAGAGAAAACTTCTCTGCGGGCAGTGGCTGGATTGAACAGGAATACGGATATGGTGAGTCGAGGCCTGGCAGCAGCAGGCAGGCAGCGATCCTGCCATATGACCAGATGATGGATCCTGCCAGTGGAAGAGAGCCGAAGTTTGGCTGGCTGTCAAGGGCGCAAGGCGCGGTCCCGGAATGCAGACAGGGATCGAGGCGGGGTCTTTACCCGGGAAAAGGGCGCCAATCGCAAGCGGTTGACAGTGATGAAGCCCGCAGAGACGGGGCTCGTTTCTGGGCCTGGGGGTCAAGCGCGCTGGTTGACGACGCTAATCACGCGCCTTTGCGTTTTGCGTTTTGCATGCGAATCCGGCAATGACGGGAAACACCCACTGAACCACCAGACCACCAACGATGGCCTGGGTTGGAGGTATTTACCCTCTAAGTATTCCAAGCACATTGGAACGGCACACTTTGTGCGTGCGAGCAAATTTGCCAGCAATTACTGTACCTATGGATTGACAAGGCCTCGACCGAGCCCAGGGGCAACTGGGACCGGGGAGTCACCCGAAACGCCATGCTGTGGAACAAAGTTCAACAAACGCCCCTTTATAAAGACTTAACTAAATGCCTCTCTTCGGGCAGTCCGATCCTCGGGTCACGATCGTCCGTCTCCCCAGAATTGAGGAGTCCCTTCGCCATTGGGCCGTCAAATCACACTTTCAAATGGCTTGTTCAAGCCACGCGGAAAAGGCGCAAGGGATCCCGCAAGATACTAACTACTTGGCAGCAAGACTGCTTCATCTGATCGTTTGCGACTCAGCTCAACGACTCAGTTTGCCCTGTGGTTTCACTGCAAGTTCTGTTTGCATACAGCCACCAAGGTCTCGACTTACACAGGACAGCAGCTCCAACCTTGGCGGGTAGTCGGACCAGCGATTTCGAAGCCCCAACGAGTACGTGATGTATGGAGTACCTCATTGTAGTTTAACACTGAAGCTGAAGGGGTTCCACCGAGATTCACGGTTACAAACGGGTTCGTCCTGCTGGCAATATCTGTGGGACGAGTGTCCTGTTGTCCCCAGATGGGCAACCATCGAGAGAGACGGTCCTCACCGCTTCGGCTGGTCTGCAAGCTTCCCCGCCGGGTAGATGGTTCTAGAGACTTCCTCCTCATTGACTGCAAGTTGGGGGTCGGCAGGATGGTCTTGACTTACCTGTACATTGAACCAATTGCGCTGAATCCATCGTGCACCTATTGATGCGGTACGCTGTTTGTGTTACCTGCTAATATAGCGTACATCATCCAGGAATGAAATTGGCAGCTTTACGGATTACTATTGCTGAAATGCGTCCGAAATTGAATCTCCGGCAATGGTTCAAGGGGCCCGGTGATAGCGGCGCGGGTCCACCTTCCCCGATGCCCGGTTTGCCTCCGGCAGCTTCGGGCCCACACATCCGCGTGGCGTATCCAGCGCCCACGGCGAGGAATGAGGCTCCTTGAGCGGACGCGGCTGTGCCCACCGCAGAGTTCGCTGCCCTGTAGGATCATGTTCTTGAGGGTAATGAAGCAGATTCTCCTCTCATCAATTTCATCACGCCCTCCCGAGATGTCGTTGGAATTGGCAACGGCGTGTCGAGTACAGGGTGCTGCCATTACCTTGCGGCCAACATATAATGTAGATAGGTACCAAGGCGGTGTGGATGGTTGCGTTTTTAAACCGCGAAGTAGCGGCTGTTGGTCGGGTGTGTCTTTCTCACTGTCTCCTACAACATTTTCGAAGTACAAGCAGTAGCAAAGATCCCAGTCGAGCCAGCCAGCCTGTCTGAGCCGGTCGAGCCGATCGAAGACATCGTTGAGATTGAAGACCCAGGGCAAATGACCGTTTGCACAGTGCAGCCAACCATGACAGCCCTGGAAGGCGCTGAGCATAACAGTGTGAAGAATCAATAACACAGTATTACTCATACGGCAAGCTCGCGTGGTTTCTGAAGCTGTGTGTTTGCCATCAACCTCGAAACTTTTAAGTTTGTCAGCCTTTTGCCGCCTTCAGCACTTCTTCTGCCTCTCACTGTTGGAAGTTGGCGGCCTTGTCTTTTCCTTTTTCCTTTTCCTCACCATATTCGAAGTCGCTGTATTTCAAAAAGCGCATCACAAAACAATCGCCACTCTAGAGTTTCTTTGGTTCTCAACAGGGTTTGGTACAAGGAAACTTGGCATCAATCTTTACCATGGCCGAGACACCGGCAGCAGCTCCATCACAAGGAGGCTCTCACCAAGGAAGAGGGGGCCGCCGAGGCCATTTCAGAGGAGGCCGTTTCAGAGCTGGTCGTCGACATGGCCCACAGCGATCGGAGACTCCGGGCGAGGGGAGCGCAACAGCACACACAGAGCCCGCCACAAACGCTTCCGAGCCAGTGGCTACCAACCGCGATGAGGCTGCGGACGTGACATCCCAACGCAGTAACCATTCCGGGAGGGGCCGAGGTGGGAGGGGGAGGGAGGGCGGTGTGAGACGTAGTAGAGGTACCACCGCCGGTCAACGCTCCATCGTGGTATCGCATCGGGGTGGACGAGGACCTCCTCCGGTTCCGGGGGCAGGAGCCGGCGGCGGGTCTACTCCCGGGCTCAATGTTACCGCCGCCGAGTTCGTCCCGGGTCAACCCGTACCGTCTTTGATTCCTCAGCCAAAACCCCAGCTTTCTTCAACTATCATGGCGAAATCCACTGCTGCGGACCTGCCCACTCGTATCCATGAGGATATCGACCGTCGCCAGTACGAATGCGTCATCTGCACAAACGATGTGCTGCGGAACTCCAAGGTGTGGTCCTGCTCCATTTGCTGGACCGTAACCCATCTTCACTGTGTGAAGAAGTGGTACACCAACCAGATGAAGGAGCGGGAGGAGCATCAGGGCCCGGACCGGCCTGAGGGTTGGCGGTGTCCCGGTTGCAACTCTACCTTGATCGAACAGCCAGGGCCCTATCGCTGTTGGTGTGGCAAAGACGTCGATCCCAAGCCCATTGCCGGGCTTCCTCCCCATACCTGCGGACAAACTTGCTCGAAACCAAGGCCAACTTGTCCGCATCAATGCCCGTTGATGTGCCACGCGGGGCCTTGCCCGCCGTGCACGCTGATGGGCCCGACACAGTCTTGCTTCTGCGGAAAGCATACCTCGACCAAACGATGCAGCGAGACCGACTATGGAAAGGGCTGGAGCTGCCAGGAGCCTTGCGGCGACCTTCTTCCCTGCGGAGAGCACCACTGCACCCAAACCTGCCATTCCGGGTTATGCGGCTCCTGCGAGGTGTTGATGCCGTCGACCTGTTATTGCGGAAAGGAGCGGCGAGAAATCCCTTGCAGCCAACGTGACGGCGTCATGGAGTCCTTTAACCATGGGCAACTGAAACCAGCATCTGATAGCGCAGAACCCGGGTCAAGTCAGTGGTTCGACGGTTCCTTCCGCTGCAGCAATATCTGTGGCCGGGCATTTGACTGCGGACACCATATCTGCCAGAAACCATGCCACCCCCAAGATGAACCGGCCGCCCACTGTCCCCTGTCGCCGGACGTTGTCACTCACTGCCCATGCGGCAAAACTCGGCTCGATTCCATGCCGGTAGAACCAAGACGGGCTTGTCAGGATCCCGTCCCGCACTGCGACAAAGCATGCAATAAGATGCTGGCTTGTGGGCATCTGTGCCCGGATAAGTGTCATACCGGCTCCTGCGCGCCTTGCACCCAGTACGCCGACATCACGTGTCGGTGCGGGAGGACAACGGCCAAGTCTGTATGTCACCAGGGCAACGTTGAGCACCCGCACTGTTTCCGCGTCTGCCGAGCTCAGCTCAACTGCGGACGACACGAGTGCGGAGACCGCTGCTGCAGTGGCGAGAAGAAGGCGGCCGAGCGGAGAAAGCAGAAGCGGAGCGCCAACGACAACATCGAACCAGAGCATATCTGCTTGCAAGTTTGCGGCCGTCAGCTCAAGTGCGGCAAGCATACTTGCCAACAACTATGCCACAAAGGGCCCTGTATGTCGTGTCCAGAAGCCATCTTCGACGAGATTAGTTGCGCTTGTGGACGAACCGTCCTACAGCCCCCGCAACCGTGCGGGACGCGGCAGCCGGAGTGCCGGTTGCGATGCACGAGAGCTCGTCCATGTGGCCATCCGTCTGTCGAGCACCAATGCCACCCCAACGAGACGCCCTGTCCAAAGTGCCCCTTCCTAGTGGAAAAGCCTTGCGTCTGTGGGAAGAAATCGCTGAAAAACCAGCCCTGCTGGTTCGAGGAGGGCAGGTGTGGTCTGCCGTGCGGGAAAAAGCTCAAGTGCGGGGCGCACGAGTGCAGGAAGACATGCCACAAGGATGGGGAGTGCGAAGATGTCGACATCTCCGGTTCGCATTGCTCTCAGCCCTGTGGCAAAGTTCGGAAATCGTGCGAGCATACGTGTGCCGACCAGTGCCACGCGCCGTATGCCTGCAAGGAGGACAAACCATGTCAGTCCAAGACATTCATTACTTGCCCCTGCCAGCACCGGAAACAAGAAGTCCGATGCCAGGCGACGAAGCTCAACCCGTCACCTAACGCAGAGTCATTTCTCAAATGCGACGATGAATGTCTCCGTCTCCAGCGGAACCAAAAGCTCGCCGAGGCACTCAACATTGACCCCAACACGCACGCCGACGATCATGTCCCGTATTCCGACCTCACCCTCAAGCGGTTTCGGGAGAATATCAAATGGGCTCAAGAACAGGAGCGCGAGTTCCGCGTCTTCGCCTCGGCACCGGAGAAGCGCCTCCGTTTCAAGCCCATGCAAGCCCATCAGCGCGCTTTTCTCCACGCCCTGGCCGAGGACTTCGGTCTTGACTCGGAAAGCCAGGACCCGGAGCCGCACCGCCACGTGTGTGTCTTCAAGACGCCGCGATTCGTCTCAGCGCCGCAAAAGACGCTGGCACAATGCCTCCGCATCGCCCAGGCGGCTGCCAGCCTGGGTACCGGCACCTCGTCGATCAAACCGAGAGCGGCCGCCCCCACTCAGCAATTACAGCAGCAGCCCTTCAACGCGCTCCTCCTCAAGGACCCGCGGTTCGGCCTGACAATCGACGAACTGGACGCCGCGCTGGCGCCAGACCTCGCCACGGTCTCCCGCTCCAGTCCCGCGCTGACCTTCGCCACCAGCTTCTTCCCTTCTTCGGACGAGGTTCTGATCAAGGCCACGCTGAGCCTCACGGCCGCCGCCATCGCCACCTCGCTCGCGCCGACCCCGCAGGCGGTCGAGTCGGCTCTATTGAGCCTCAAGGCTACCGTCGCGAGGACAGTGTCCCGGCTGGGCCTCGCCGGCGCCGTGTCGCTCTGTCATGTCGATGCGTCCTCGCAGGCCATTACCCGTCGAGAGGGTGACGCGACCGCTGGCAGCAACGGGGGTTGGAGCGCGGTTGCGAGCCGGGGGCCGTGGCGGAGGACGGTGAATAATAAGGCGCCGGTGGCTGCTGCTGCGAGCGAGCAGCGGGTTCCGAGCGCGTTTGTGGCGCTGAGGCGGTTGGAGGCGAAGAAGAAGAGGGCTGCGGAGGAGGAGGAGCAGGTGGAGGAGGACTGGCTGGCTGCTGTTGAGAAGGAAGAGCGGGAGCGGAGTGGGAGTGAGGAGGGGGAAGGTGGGAGTCGGAGTGGGAGCGAAGAAGGGGTGGCTCAGGGTGTTGAGGGAATTGTGCGTGAGAAACGAGACGGGAGTCCTGAGGTCAAGCAGGAGGATATGCAGGTTGACACTGTGTCCGTTGCGCCTGAGGTTGCGGTGGATGTTTAGTCTCGTACGTCAAGAAGACTTGTTGAAACTCGATCTCTAGGCTATGCCCATCGTCCTTGAGAACCAAGCAGAACTAGTCCATGATCATAAAGTCATATGGCAGATTCCCGCTCTTAGCCTTGCCGTGGAAGAACGAGCGTCAGTCCTCCACAGGCCTCCCTGATGCTTTATAAATGGTTGGGGATAGTACGGGTGACATTGTGACATTCACTGCTTTTCAGGCATTGACAGGTGCCTCGTCTGGCCATCGAAGGACTTGAGCGTCATGAAACCAACCCCAACCCCCTCCCCCGCCCGGCGTTTACCATCATGATCGACTAAGACAATGAGCAGGATCCTGCCGGCTCCTGTTATTGTCCTTGTATTTTTGTGAATGTGACATGGAGGAATCTCGGCCTGGAATGCCCAGGTCCAGTACCTCCGCTGCACTCCACTGCCTTGGCCGGTTTCCTCGAATCGGCTTACGTGAGTCAATGCATAGGGACGATGCCATTTCATGGTCCGAGCCCTCTCGCGACGTAGCCAATTCCAAAGCACAGATATACCAAGAAGCACGACTCGATCGTGTTGCAGTGGATGCTGTCGAACTCTTCTTTCACGAAACTGCTACCTACGGCTCAAGTGGGCAATCCTAGTCGGCATGCACATACACACCTTGGAATAACCGGTATAAACACCAAGTTCAAACACATCATGTCTGGGCCATGAACGCGTCCAGCACGTATCAGGTCCTGGTGCACAAGATCTGCCATATAATCGGTTGAGTCTAGGATAGAGACCTGCTGATATTTCTTGACGCAGGTCGGGGTATCAAGTGTGCAGATAAAAAACGAGCAATATTCTTTTAAACTGCGTAGGTGCTCCGTCTCCGTCAACCCTGTTCGAATTCCAAAAGTACCACGCAGCTGGCCAAGCCCCGTAATGGTCCCGGAAACGGTGTCTCAGCTGCTGTGCTGGAGTTGTACAACAACACATGGTAGGCTGGATGGTCACTGCTTCTTGTCCGCCACAATCCGGTTCATGAAATCGGCAATGGCCTCAAAGTAGCCCTCCTCAATCACACTCGAGTTGTGGTCGCCGCCGGGGAGTGGCTTCCAAATTTTGATGGGGGCTTTGGACAGGTCGTGCAGCCGCTTCATGTGAATCGGTCTAGCCACGTTGGTAAGCATGAAGACCAACCGAGCAAAAGGCGGCACATGCACTTACGGGATAATTTCGTCCTGAAGCCCGCTCAGGAACAGCGTCGGTACTTTGATGCTCGGGATCAGGGTGTCGCTCGGCCAGACCTGGTGGCACAGATAGGCAAGGTACTTTGCCGGCGGCATGATGCTCGGGATGAGCTTGCGCATGCTGAGGAAGGTATTCTCGAGGATCAGGCCGGCGATGTCTCCGGCCGCCTGGTTCTTGGCGACCAGACGGATGCCGACGGCGCCGCCCAAGCTCTGTCCGTACACGACAATCTTGTGGTCCCGCGTCTCGGCGCGGTCACGGAGGTAGTCGAGGGCGGTTTGCGCGTCGATATTCAGGCCGGACTCGTCGGGCTGGCCGGTCGATATGCCGTATCCTCGATATTCCAGCATGAAGACGTTGCATCCAGCAGCGGCGATCAGCATGCGTGCAATTGGCAGGCGGTGGCCAATGTTGCCGGCATTGCCATGGAACATCAGGACGGTCAACGTGGAGTTCGGGCCGCCGCGAGGGCCGCGGATGTAAAAGGCCGACAGCTTCTCGCCATCTGGAGTTGGTATGATGAGTTCCTCGTAGTCTCTGAAGCTGAACTGGCTCGGACGGGGCACGTCGGTTCGGGCGTTGGCCGGGACGTGAGATGGATAAATCAATGCCCTTTGCCACGTGGCGTCAGTACGGGTTGACATCCAAAAGGGGGCCGTAAACAGAGGAGGAGGTTACTTTTGCTTGAAGTAGAGAAGGGCAGTCAAAACCGCCGCGACCCCCTAAGGCAGACGAGACAGGCGGTCAGTTCGGATCAATTGCACTACGACACGAGGGCGACGAAGGAAGGCTTCGAACTTGCCCCCTGGACCAGTCGGCGCGGGTGACGGCGCAGCCATTCAGGCACTGGGCGGGATGCGCAGAGGTGTCGGGGCATACAGTAGAAGCTATCGCAGGCAAGCGCATGTAGCCTGCCGCACTGCTCATCAGCGAGACAGTCTGCTCCAAGAAAGAGTTGCTGGCCGACGAGTCGGACATGGCGATGGGGAAGAAAAGGGCGGTATCCGGAATATAGCGACCGGGGAGTGGAGGATGTTCAGGGATATGAGGAGAAACGAGAAGGAACCAGGCCCAATGCGTCGGACAGGAACGAGCAAGGGGGAATGTGCTGCAGTGGCCCTTTTTGGCGGTCTCACTCTCTTGCGAAAGCGGAGCCTGCGCCAACCAACGCCTAATGATTGATTTCAGAAATGTTCGGGACAAAGCGCTGCACCAAATATCGAAGAAGCGGCCAGCTGGTTCGCGCAAGCTCCAGGGTGGGTTTGGGGAAGTGCGGAGGTGGAAATTTGGTGCGCCGGTCAGAATGTCCACAGTTGCAGAGCAGCAGCATGATGTAATGTAAATCGGCCCAAGCCCAGCCGATCACTGGGGTCCATTGTCGTCTTCTGATCTGGCGGGGATCACGGGCCCGATCGAAGGGCCCGCCTCCGGCGGCCACCATCCCGTTATGCCAGGCCGATTGAGCGGGCCTTACCACAGTAGACGGAGTGAGTGCGACCGTCGAGATGGGCGAGTCAGCTGGGCTGGCTCGAAATTGGGGCTTTGCCAGGGAGAGGTTGACGTTGATGATCAGATGCTACGTTATCGAGGTGTCGACCTTGACCCGACACTCGTCGATGCTCATCGACGATCGGAGTGATCTGACCAGCTCAGACCCTGTGGCTTGCATCTCTTCCGTCAGTCTGTTCCAGTTGGCATGCAAGCCGTTGTGCCGCGTCCATGCACGCTGTCGTCGGTCTACAGGTCCTCAAGCAAGGCCATCCGTTTGAAAACCTGGCTCCTAGGCTCCCAGTTCCAGCCCTCGAAGCGCTAGTCAGGCCCAGCAGGTTCACGGACCAGCCTGCTGGAAACAGGTTGCAGGTTCTGAAACAGGAGCGGATCGGAGGTGTTGCAACACTCGTCGACTGCGCCTAAAGAGAGCCCCGTGAACCAGCGAATCGCGTTGCGACAAACCTGTTGCAGACATCACATAGAGAGCAGCCGCTGCTGAAACGCTCGGGAAGCTTGCGGGGAAAGTGATTCGTCATGCGCTTGCACGATATGATGTCTGTTCTCTGGTTCCTGGTCTGGAGTAGGCCCGACAATCCTCTACGGCGACTCTTGTCACTTGCACGAGACATCGAGCCGTAACGGGGATAATGTGCCAGAGAATAAGGGAAAGAAAGTAGAGCCGAAACAAGTGATTCATTGTTTATACGGCGTACGGGTAGGACAGTGTTGATCCATCCGGTCTGACGAGCTCGATGCGACCATGGCAGACGTTGATGCAGGATGTCGGCATTGGCTTCTTTTTTTAAAGTTGAATGGGAACGCGCGCTCGCTTGTTTCCTGACCAACCAAGCTCATGCTTCAGCCGGGTTTCGTGTCAGGATCGCGAGCCATGTTTGTGCCACACCTCCCCACTTTTTCATTGATCTTCCAACTATCACTGGCTCTCCGTCAGCCTTGTCTGGGCCAAACCGGCTGTCTGATGCACAAATCGGGGTGACGGGTTGCTCCGCCTGTCATCCCGTCCTGGCGGGATGGGACCAGGGCGAGCAGGGCCATGGAGGGGCTGTGGCTCCTGGACGCGAGCCCGGCAACTGGTGGAGCAGTGGAGCTCGCATGCATCGGCGCCCAAAATCTCCAACCAGAAAAAAAACACACCTCGAGCTTCACCAACTCTTGAGGTTTTTGCCAGGGCACCTCAGAAACGTTGCCAATTACCAATCCATCATTTACCAGGAAGCCGCCGAGATCAGGTTCGGACTCACAAAGCAAGCCGATCTATTACGCGCCGTTAGCTTCCCCGCGGCTCCTGGCGCGCCGTCTGCTCGTCTTCTTCGATCCTCATTCGTGCCCAAAGGCGCAGCAACCCACTTCCCACCTTCTCCAACATCGGCTTAGCCGCCCACCTTGCGGGCAAGATATACACAGGCCCTAATACGGTATTCTGGGTCCGGCTCGAGCTCTGTGCCGCCCAAACCAACCGCACCTGGCAGAGATTTCGAGCTCTACCACTGAGTCTTGCCCCATCGGAATATCACGCCGTCTCTTGAGACCCGAGCAAGCCATCATCTCTCCAGCTTTGAGGACTATTGGTCACTTGGTATCCGATCTCTGGTTTTCGGTCGGAAAGCTGGACAGCGTGGTGTGGCTAGCTCTTGGCAGCCATTGTTGACAGCCCGCTCTCCTCGCGGCATCCTGCGCCAATTGGGCCTAACCGGTAGTCTGGACAACCTGTCCTACCGTCACCATGGTTTCCTTCTCATGCGAGGTGGGTGTTGTCCTTTATTTTCTCATGCCTCCCTCAGGGAGATATGGCGCTCTCTGGCATGGCCTGGCCCCTGGGCATTTTATCAGAGACAGCCGCATTCTTGGGACGCCCGCGACTCAATTCCAACGCATCAGCCGGCTCTGTGGCTGGGCTGGCTCGCGGCGACCCCCCGTGACCATCTCGGGAGGGCAATCTTAACTGACATCACACAACACACCCGCCCACCCGCCACTGCATGGGTCACGGCCAACAGGCCACACCCCCAGCACATCACCCCTCCTTCCCGCACGCCTCACCCCCTCCTGATCAAGCAGATCCTCCCTTCTTTCACTGACTCGCGCTCCTGCCACTATTCCTGATCCCTCTCCATTGCCACATGGAGAACACCATCGTCTCTTACGCAGCCATCCGTACCTCAAAGACGATTATCTTGTTGTGTTCGCCCGCATCTGACGAGTGTTTCTGCATCCTCTGTAGGCGTGCGGCGACGTCTTGACCAAGAAGAAGCTCGACCCGCATAGAAACCGCTGTCGCGGTGCCACCTTTACCTGCATCGACTGCATGGTGTACTTTCCCGGTACTGAGTACCGTGCCCATACGGTAGGACAGATCTGTTAGCAATGCTCGAGGCATTGGCCCCGCTGACTGGCATACAGAGCTGCATGACCGAAGCGCAGAAATACCAGGGAGCCCTTTACCGCGAAAAGAAAGGCAAAGCCCAGTCTGCGCAGGCACCCGCACCCGCAGACAGCGCGAACAACGCGGCCTCAAACACCATGGCCCATGCAGCATATGTTGAAGACGTCGCAGACGACTACGATTCCTGGCGCGATTACGAACAGCGCAGCGACGATGACGACCAATCCGTTAACGATCCGCTCCCGGAGGCGCCAACCCCACCCTCGGCCGTTGAGGCAGATGCTCAAGTCAATGTCTTTGACTTCCTGGTCGCCAACCCGACGCCAACTGCTTCCCATGTTTCCCTGCCCGCCACGGCGCCCATCCAGCTGTGCGAGGACACGCAGCTCGTCCGCTTCGATCCAGAGGCCAACGGCATGGCCGAGACTTTTGAAGAACAGGCGGCGATGGTACAGTATGGCACTGGTCCCGTACCCACGCACTTTGAGACGCCCGCACCCAAGGCACCGCGGAGGAAGGTGAAGGACAGCGACAAGGAAACCAAGAAGGACAAGAAGCGGAAGAGGTTACACATCGAGACGGACCACATCATGACGGACGCCCCGCCAGTGCTGCATTCCGGGCTGACAGGTGGGATAAACCGGCTCATGTCCCGACCTTCCGTCTTCCCGCCTTCGCCGGATTACTCTGGCGGTGATGCCGCCGAGACCCCGGCCAGCCCTCTCAAGAAGACCAAGTCGAAGCACCACAAGTCCAATCGAGCAACCGAGATACTAGGCAACAGTCTAATGGCTATGATCGCCGCCGGCTCCAAACCGAAGTCCACCAAGCGCACCAAAACCAAGTCCAGCTCCACCCCCTCTAAACCAAAGAAGAAGCGAACAACCGCCAAGAGCCTCGAGGCCCCGAAAGAGCAGAAACTTCTCGAGTTCAGGCCGGGGTCCAACGACGGCAAGGAGGAGAATGGCGCGTTGGTGGTGTACAAGCCGCCGGCTCAGCAATTCCTCAGTTTCGTGACCAAAGGGCCGGAAAGCGAGCGCGGCTGTAGCGTCAACAAGGCCCTGAAGAGGTATCACCGCGAGAGGAGTGCGGCGGGGTCGGGGTCGAGCCGGTTGATGGACGAAAAAGAGCTTTGGAGGTCGTTGCGGATGAAAAAGAATGATAGGGGTGAGATTGTGCTGTTTTGTATTGATGAGTGATTTCAATCGAGGAAGAAGGAGTGACATGTTGTATCGACCAAAAAGCATTCATTGAGAGGTTAGGGGTGAAGTGGAAGAGGGGATTACATTGGCGGGAGTTAATGATGGCATGAGGCATGTCTTTCTTTCTTGGTTTCCTCTTTTCCTTTTCATGATACCTTTTTTCGTGTGAGAATATTTGGCGATATGTGGGCACGAAGCGTTATTTACGTTCTGTCTTACATCTTCTCTCTCGCAAGGTCCAAAGTCGCAGACTCAACCGGGCGATGTTCTCTGGCTCTGTTTGTCGGCTATAGTCGTCCTATCTGACCACGGACGTTCTCGCCTTTCCTTTTTTATTCCTATGCTCTTTCCTCGACGTTGACCGGAAATGCGAAGGGACACTAGTTTTGCTAGGCGTCTTCTCTGATGGAAAGCCATAGTAGTGCGGAGGGAAGGTAATGTTCGAGGGTCAGTTCCCTCAAATTGGCGGGCAGGTTAGCTCCTGGCTCTCCTGTTTGCTATACTGTACACTACAAGCTGCCTAACCCGGTACGCAGTGCAACTGTTTTTCTCCTCAATATACCCGGTCGCTTTGCTCGTTCTTCTGGGTCGGATGTACTCGAGGAGTACCCTTGAGAGCCCCATCTTCAAGTTGGTTTCGTAATAGGGTTCAATCAAGGATAAAGCAGAAAGAGCGGGGGGCAAACGCTCACCGGTTAGCCCTCTCCGCCGATCGGAGAGAGTTACCCGGTTACGGAACCGGCGGGAGGGTTCGCTTCGCGGAGGCCGGGGGCCCGGGAGTGGCGCTCAATTTGTACACCGGGGCAACTAGGATTCGAACTGGTAACCTCGTGATGCTGAGCATAGGAACCTTACCAGGAGCTCCTGCCCGGGGTGACCGCCTCTAAAGACTATTGAGCCATTGAAGCGGTCAGTGATATCGAGGAAACTCGAACCTCTCTAACAAATATGGTCCGACGCACCGTAACCTTTTCCGAAGCATCTCAACTCGAGACATACCAACAACGTCAAGTTTTCGAACCCCGTCATCGTACAAGTACTCGACAACGGCCAGTACATAATCGGGCTCACTCATACGTGGCCGTCATCCACAGCTTGATGTACATTCGTGATGTAGTCAGGTACAGTAGTCCACACAACTTTACCCTATGCAGCTCGCAGGGGTAAAACATGCTGCAGCATCGCCTCCCTTCTACACAGCGGACACTCAGGCTTCTCCCGTACCCAGTCTCCTATACACGCCCAACAGAAGACGTGACCGCACTGCGTCGCAGCTGGGTCTTTTAATTCCTCCAGACACAGCGTGCACTTCCTCTGCTGAGCCCCCTTGATCCATCCCATCACCTTGTCCCCCCTCCCCAGATCGTACCGCGCCCTGCCTGCCTTCGGAACAGGCGTGTGCGCCATCGCCCCAATCTCGCCCAAGCTCCTCTGCGGCGACCCAGCCCCGCCACTGCCGCCGAGCAACTCATTATTGCTCGTATAGGCTTGCTCATTCAAGCTCACATCCACATCAGCCCCAGGCCCAAACATCTGAACAATCCCTTCGTCCCCTACCTCCGACACCACCCCCGCCGAAGCCCTCATCTGCTGCCTCACGTGCAGAAACCCCTTCACCAGCATCTGCGCCACCAGCAACACGCCCAGCACCTCATACCCCGCCCTTCCCCCCGCCCCAGCAGCCCCCGCCCCTTGCGCATTCTCGTCCACCCGCCGCGTAAAAACATACCGCAACCCCCAAACCCTCTTCGAAAGCTGGTAGTACGCCCCCGTAAAGTAAAACAGCGCGAGTGTCAAGGCCCGGAAATGCGTGCCGCTGGTCAAGGGCGTGAGGTGCGCCAGCAGGTACCGCAGCACGCGGTACTCGATGCTCGGCGACCCGGACTTGTCGCCCTTCTCGTCTCGCCCCTGTGCGGTGAGCGCCGTCAGCCGGGCTTGGAAGCTCTTGCGCAGGGCCGAGCGGAGCGGGGGCAGGGTCCGCGAGGCGAGGTAGGGGAGGAGGATGGAGGTGACGATGTAGCCTGCTCGTCGGTATAAAGAGGGTAGGATTGGGCCTGCGCTTGGGCCGGGTTCGGCTTCGATTGTTGTTGTTGTGGAGGAGGTGGTGGTCTGTTGTTGTTGTTGGGGAGGGGCTTCGACTTGGACGAGGTCGCAGTACTCTTCGCCCAGGGTGCGGTTGCCGAGGAGTGTGGTGAGGCAGTGGTAGAGGACGTCGGCAAAGGTGCGGGTTTCGGCGGCCCAGGCGTGGGCGGAGCGGGCACCGCGTAGGCGACGGTGCAGGTCGCTGAGTTGATTGTTGAGGATGCCTTGGAAGTAGGCGTCTTTTTGGTGAGCGCGGATGATGTCGGGGGCGGCGGCGAACGGGTAGGGGGAGGAGGTGTGGGGAGGAGGTCGAGGCGAGGACGGTGGTTGGGAGGCCATGTCGGCATATCAAAGAGCGAGAGACAATTGTGTATTGCCTCTTGAGTCGTCGGCGTTGTCGATTTTTAACGCGAGCTGCGCATCGAAGTTGAATGAGGTTCGGCCCGTGAGGATGGCTCGGCAAGCAGCTGCAGATGCAAGCGCTGGACCTCGGGATCTTGAACTGCAGGGTGAGGACGGCTAGCGGCGGCAGGGGTAACGGTTTGGGTCAGATCCGACGGACCCAGGGCGTGAGAGTGGGGCAACTTCTCCAGCTTCTAATTTGACATTGACGGGATCGAGACCTGATTCGACAGGAAACACCGTGACATTGAAATGCCAATTCTCTGCCCCTACTCCGTACTGGCTTTCAACATCGCATCGTTTCCTCCCACGGTCCTCACGCGCATTGCGGCCGTAGTCTTCGATGAAACCAACGGCGCCACCACACTGGCACAATGGACGGAGATCCTGCCGTCGAGCACCAGCTCGACTCGTTTAGCCTAACGTTTCCCCTCCCCTACCGAGTTGCCTTCATCGTCATCCTAGGTGCGTGCTTAGCCTGGTGTAACACAACCCAACGAGGTAGGCGTTTATTCTAACAACTGCAGCCGTATGGGGATGGGGGCTCAATCTGCACTTCCTGCACCTCCGCCACATCGATGTGCCCGCCTTAATCCGCTACCCGGGTCGCTCCAACGGTTCCCAGCTATCCCACCATCACTCGACCTACCGCCTCGCCTCCTTCCTCTCGCTCACCTCGGCCGCTTCCATCGTCATCTTCTGGCTCTGCACCCGCCGCGACCCACAGCGCGTCATCGACTATGACTGGCTGCCCATGACCAACCTGCTCGCGCTCGCCGCCCTGTTCGCAATCCCGCTCCGCCGCCTCTCGCTCTCCCACACCGGCCGCAGCCGCCTCCTGTGGACCCTCCGCCGCGTTAGCGTCGGCGGCCTGGCAGAGGCCAAAGACGGCAAATTTGGCGACATCCTACTCGCCGACGTGTTGACAAGCTACGCCAAGATCCTCGCCGACCTCTTCGTCTGCCTCTGCATGTTCTTGTTCGACGGCCGCGAGGGGTCCGCTACTGCCAGGCCCGACCGAGCATGCGGCGGCGCCGTGCTCGTGCCGTTCATCATGGCCCTGCCGAGCGCCATCCGCCTGCGCCAGTGTCTGATCGAGTTCCTGCGCGTGCGCCGTGCGCCGTACATGGAGGCCACCGGCTGGGGCGGGCAGCATCTGGCCAACGCGGCCAAGTACTCGACCGCTTTCCCGGTGCTCGTGCTCGGAGCAATGCTGAGGAGCCGGAAGGAGGGTTCGCCCGGCTTGTACAGGGCGTGGGTCGCCGCGTGTTTGATCAATTCGCTCTACAGCTTCTACTGGGACGTGACCAAGGATTGGGACTTGACTCTCTTTTCGGTGGACAGGGACTCGCCCGATCATCCGTTTGGGCTGAGGAGGACGCTGCTGGTGCACAAGCCGGGTGTGTACTATGTCGTCATTGTGCTTGATCTGGTGCTGAGGTGTACGTGGATGATCAAGCTGAGCCCGCAGATGGACCGCATCAGCGATTTTGAGAGCTCCATCTTCTTGATTCAGTTCTTGGAGGTGTTCAGGCGCTGGGTGTGGATCTTCTTCCGGGTCGAAACCGAATGGATCCGCAACGCCTCGACCGGGCTGGGATTGGACAACATGGTTCTTTTGGGTGACTTTCAAGGGAATAAGTATGAGGATGAGGATTGAGCGGTCATTCTCAGGCGTTAAGGTGGGCCGTATGTTGTGTCGGACTCTGGCAAATGCATTAGAAAGGCGTTGGACAATGTGGCATTACCTTAGGTGTGGAAACAGACTCCTTGAAACCCTTGAGCCGTAGACTGATATCACGTCGAAGTATAGACATCTGCGTCCTTTCAGCGCATCGTTCAACATGATGGCTACCCGATCTTGACTTGTAGGCAGGCAAGCAGCTTGAAGGGCTTGCTATACCGAAAACAAACTATACTACGTGTATCTGCTCGCCAGGAACCCACATGAACCAGTTGCCGCAGTCGTCATGTTTCAAGACTTCGTTTTGTCTGCAGATATGAACTGGACAAAGGAGAACGTTGTCTCGTGACGGGAGGTGATGGCGACAGAGGTCAACAAAGCGAGGAATCGGCCCGGAGTGTAGTATCTGTATCAGATTCTATCACGAGCATGAAACACCCACCGGCCCCATCCAGGACAGAATGGGGCGCAAGGTCGACACTGCCGACATGCCAAAGGGCCAGTCTGAAACGCCCATATCTCCACAAAGAGAGTGCTCAGTAGCAGAACTAGCCACCATAAGGGGGCGTGCCAGACACCCCGACCTTCAAACGACGACCCCGACGGGCACAACCCCGAAACGAAGATCCAAAAGCTCACCGGCCTTGGAGATCGTCCCGAGGCGAAGAAGCAACAGATGCGAATTTTGAAGGAGCAACAGAAACATCTCAACGGCGAAGAGGTTTCTCCTGTGAGCATCAGCAGCAGCGATCGCGGTTTTGAGGGTCCCAGAACAGCCGTGTCCGACTTGGATGGCGACACGGAGGCGGACGGGCAGGGAGTGCTCGTCTGAGCCTAGCCCGGGCTACTTCGGCTTCAGCCAACCACTTCGACACAGTACGGGCTCATCCGCGGTATCCAGCCCTCTGCGTGTCCTCAAGCCCGCAAGGCCCAGTCGCAATCCGATGCGGCAACAGTCGGTGTCATCCAGGCGCAGCGGTAGTTCTCCGCGACGCAGGCTTACACCCGGGGTCGAGGGCGACCGCGCAAGCCCCAAGCCAGGTCGAGATATACCCACCAAGTTCACGTTGGACCCGTACCACGAGACGGCGAGCCAGCTGGCAGACGACGCACAGCTTTGGAGGGCTGGGGCAGCGCATCCACTCGAGCATGAGCGGCGAGAAGCGGCGAGGAGCGGCGGCGGCAGCGGCTCAAGAGCAGTATCCGGGTGCCGGGGGACGGCGGGCAGGTGCTTGCGCCTGCGTCTACGTCTGCGTCGGTGGGTGCAGGTGTTTCTGGGCCTGGGTTTCCGCCTCCGTGGGGTCCTTTGGGGCGGTTGCAGGTGGTTGGGGGGGTTTTGGTGCCATCCAGGGAAGCCGCCTGCATGGGGTGGTGGATATGAGGTGTGGTGGTGGTGGTGGTGGTGGTATGGGTAGCTTCAGAGGCAGATTGGGCTCGGCACCTGCTGCTGCGCTTGGGTGCTCCTCATTACCTTCGGGGATGATGCGGGAGGGGTCGGCGACGGGAACAGGGTCTACGGAGATGCCTGAGATTGTTGGGAGGGGAAGTCTCAGGTTGAGACACGGGCAAGGGGTGAGTTCGAGCATGAGCATGGGCCGAGACAGCTTCAGAACGACAAGCGAGAACGGGGGCGGTCGTCGTGGCTCACGTCTTAGGCAAGGAGTCAGTCCGCGGGGCAGCCCTGAGCCCCGAGCGGCCCAAGGTGGTAAGAGTGATAGATCGAGGGAGAAATATCGGTCAGGAAGGAATCACAGCGGGCCGTCGCCGAGACAGTCAGCGGAAAGAGGTCGTAATTATCGGGTGGGGAATTAATGACTGGGATCTGAGTTAAGTGTGGTATATGGACCTTTTTGTGAGACATGCTGTGAAGTTGGGACTGGGTCGACAATTGATATGTGGAGGAAGTGATATCAGAGTTCGTGGATTTTGTACATTCTAATCGTTCCATGTCACACTTATCAACTTGCAAATGTTGTTGAGGAGAGATCTTGAATGTAGTAGCGGTGTGAGATTAGTCTCAGAGGAGACAAAAGAGGCGTGGATGATACCCAGGTTGGGAGTTTGAAAGCTGGAAAAGTAGTGGAAGACGGGAATAGAGGGAAGAAAACACCCTTAACACTGCGGCGTCGGTTCTCACATTCCACTGATGCCTGCTGATGTATTGTAAGTCATCAGGCCATGTACGATATCGGTTGGGTTAGAAAGGTGCCGGATTACTTCAAGCCCCTGACGTCACTGGCGCTTCCCCCACAATCACGGCACCTGAGTTACCCCACATGACCGGCCGGGACCGAGGTCCCGACGACGCCCAGGGCAGCTCCTGGCGACATGCCAAATCAAGAGGTAAGGCGCGGCCACCCCTACCAAGTCACCTCAGCTGCCGTATCGCACCTGCTCGAAAAAATGAGCGGCTGTGGTGCGACTGCTAGTGGCGAGCAAGCACCCGTTCAACTCGACGCCGGCTCCCGAGAAGGCCGGGAAGCAGCCCAAATTGCAATCCAGGGCGTTCAAGGGCTTTTAGCGTCCGTCACCGCCACTGTGCCGCCCGTTGAATCGGACGAGGACGCCGGGCAGTTTAACGAGGCATCTAACTACTGGGATGCATCGACCATGGCACCGCTGAATGCAGCCTCGGCGGTCAGTCCTGCAGCTTTTATACCTCTGCTCCTGCAATCTGTGTTAAGAGGCCCTAGCTCATACGCAGCAAGGCCGCCATCGCCCGGCTGAGGGCTTACAAGCCGCCGCCGTTTTCTCTCTGGGACCGCCTCCCACTAAGCCGGCGTGCTGCCGTGCTCTTACTGCTGTATGCCGACCGCCGGGGCGATCTGCGCGTCGTCATCACCATGCGCGCTGCCAGTTTGCGGAGTTTCTCTGGTTCGCATTGTGTACACTCCCCACACAACACCAACCCCTCACTGACGACCCCGCCAGGCCACGCTGCCCTCCCGGGAGGTAAAGCCGACAGCCTAGACGAGACACCCTGTACTGCCCCCTTCCCACCTTTCCCCTAAACCCCCGTTCAACCCCTGACAAGCCTCAGATCAAATCGCCCGCCGCGAAGCCTGGGAAGAAATCGGTCTGCCCCTCGACGACAGCAAACTCCCGGCCCCCTTCCGCATCGAACACCTCTGCTACCTGCCCATGAGCCTTGCCCGAACCGAGCTCGTCGTCCGCCCCTGCGTCGCACTCCTCCACACAGGCGACACCACCACCACCCTCACTTCCCCCTCCTGTTCCTCCGCGCCAACAGTAGAGAATTCCCTCATCCCGCGCCTCGACGCCAAGGAGGTAGCAGCCGTCTTCTCGGCGCCCTTCCACAACTTCCTCAGGGCCACCGACGAGCAGCCGGGGCCTCACCTGCCGCCGGGGATATGGTACGAGGGCAGTTGGACGACGTGGCACGACTCACAGTGGCGCATGCACTTCTTTTACGTGCCTGTGTCGGGCCAGAAAGTGGTCAAGCCCAGGGTCAGGGAGGGGGGGTTGGCTGCGCTGTCGGAGCATGATGGGGAGGGAGGAGTAGAGGACGGGGAGCCGGGGAGATATAAGGTCTGGGGTATGACGGCTAGGATACTGGTCGATGCTGCCACTATTGCGTACGGGGAGGAGCCCGAGTTCGAGCACAACCGGCATTTTGGGGACGAGAAGATGATTGAGATGCTGGCTGAGCAGGGGAGGTTGGGGGACAAAAAGAAGCAGGGCAGTGTCTTGTCGGACGAGGAGTCAAGGAAGGTCAAGGAGGCGGTCCAGGAGGGTGAGAGGGAGAAGGGCGAGCCAAGTAAGATGTAGATACCGTGTATGACGGTTTCGGCTTTCCGGTTGGGTATATATGGGTTGTGTATACTGCAGGGTGGAGATAGGGCATATATCGTAAGAATCTATGAACAGCCTCCTCGGACCGCGACTCGGTATTTGCTTGACCCTGCTCAGTGGCAGGCAGTCTCCTTGGTGACGGGCGTGCTCTCGCCGAAGATGAGGTATCCCAAACCAGCGCCGACTGACACCGCGATCATGACCCAGCCATTGTAGGTCATGAAGATGAGCCTGTCCGGTCAGCGCACGTATTTGCTTTCGTTTTCGGGCCAGATAGGGCAGACTTACATGATCATAAAGGCGTAAAAGTTCTGCATGGCGTACAGCGCAGCCTTGGTGACATGAGCCCGCCGCGTAACCTGCTCCCGGTTCTGGCCTGTGGCCGGCGCAAGCAAAGGCGCTGTTTCAGTAGCTGATTCTTCAGAGTGGCGCGGTGAGCGCAACGGGGACCCCGAAACTCCAGTTCGTTACACACTTCTTAGCGACCAAGTTTCGCCATGCATGTACAACAGATTCCATTTCCAGGGAGTGTAACGGGGCAGGAAGATGCGGAAAGCGAACACTTACGCGGCGCTGTGTCTAGCCTCTTGAACACCATGGCCTCGTACCGCCGGATGCCCTCGCGCAGCGCCTCGTACCCGGCACAAATGAGCACGATAGCGACCAGCGACACTATGAGGCTCAAGCTGGTTGTGATGTGCCACTGGCGAAACACGATGCACAGGTTGGTCGTGTCCCAGGTGAAGAGCATCTGAGTGGGTGAAGTGAGCGGCTTGCTAAGGAGGCAGTACTGCATTGTTTGATTTGGATCGTTGCTCACATTCATATTGCACATTGAGCCGCTCCCGTGGTCCATGCCGCCATGAGACGAGGGGTCCATCATGTGGTGATGGTCGTGCGACGAGTGGTCCATGTCTGTCTCGTTCGATCCGTCGGCGACTGTTTTGGGCAAGAATGGAAAGGAGAGGGCGGGAACTGGTATCCCAGCAAGATATTTGAGTTTCCCAACTCTGAAACCTGTGAGCTAGACCAGTACCAAAGTTGCACAACTTGAGTTGCGCAATGGCTGAATTGACAATATGTTTCTCTCTTCTTGGTGAAATACAGGAATATTGAATGTCTGTCGGGCGAGCCAGTGAGGTGTCCTCAAACGCTACTTGGACGCACGGACCGCAGAGCAAATCTGGGGAACCGTCCAGCATTTTGCCGGACCAACTGTCCTCGAGGGCGAATCTTACTCTCCAGACCACCTCAGAGTCCGAGAAGAATGATGGCCTCGATGCTGAAAGCTTTTGTCACCCTCGATAACTGAAGTAAAGTGAACTCATGTAAGTCCAGGCGTGCGGTTGCAAGATTCTATTTTTCTTGTATCATTCCAAGCCTAATGTGTGACCTTTCACCTTGGGTAGACTACCTGTATGCTTGCCCATCTCATCATGAGTTGTGGAAACATTGGAAAGAGATGACAGTCTCGGGCAGTGCAGCCATTTCCCAAGCCAAAACGCCGCCGGCACCCTACCATCACCTCAAGCGGGACGGAGGTAGCTCCGAGTCTCCTGCACCTGGTGCTCCCTCTACTACCTTGGGTTCCATTAGGATCGTGGAGATGTCACCTGCCAGCTGATAAATCACCACCTCAGCGCGCCAGTTGTATTTTTTATGATCCTGCCAACATGACCCCTCATTCCTTCCCACGACTGCAGACCGAGGAACTTTCGACTGTTTCGAACTCGGCACCGACTCAATGTCAACAGGCAGAGCAAACCTGTGTGGGACCTTAGGTACTCCTCGTTCTGGCGCACCGAGCATGGGCTAAACGTGTCGAGAAGGGAGCATTCGGGAGCGAAGCAATGGATAGTCCCGGATCCTCACGCCATTTGAGACTTTGGTGTGACGTATACATATAGGGAATGGTTCTGCTTTTGTTCGAACCATCCGACGTCCTCGGTGCCGCTCTCTCAAAACCGTCTTTGAACTCTGCCTAGCCCTCACTCAGTTAGCCATCTAGACAATCCAAGATGGTTTCTACACTCCCCTTCCTCCTCGCCCTCCCGTCCCTGCTGGTATCAACGGCTCTGGCCGCTCCTTTAGAAGCGCATGCCATCCTTGCCCCACGCCAGATTGTGTGCCCGACTGTCTCGCGCTGGCGAGGCTATGACTACTCGACGGTGTGGCTGTCGACGACCACCGTGACAAATGGCTGGTCCTCGCTGGGCTCCGTCACTTCCACCAAGACTGAGTCCGAGACTCGCACCATAGTCACCGCCTCCACCGTCATCTCGCCATCCGTAACTACACTTCCAGGTGAGCGGCCCAACTTTCGCTCCTTTGGTCCAGTCGGCTAATGCGAGCAATCCTTCTGTTCCTATACACAGCAACCACGACCACAACTAATGTGGCCACCGACACCACGACGATTACTTGGCAAACCTATACATCAACCGTCACATCCCCGGGCTTTGCACCGTCCTCAGTCTGCCAAGTGACAACCGTCACATACACTATTCCGAGCACGACTAGTATCACTTATACTCGGGATGTCTCGTACGTCTAAAGCCTTCCAGTCACGTTTCGAAGCATTCTCATTAACCGACGCTCACAGCTATGACACGACGTGGGAGAGCACCGTCGGCCATGTGTCCACGACAACGAAGGTTTTCTACACCACCAGCACGCGCACCACGACGAGGCCGGGGGCCACGACCTATGCGACGACCGTGACCCAGTCGGCGACGTACACGAGTGTGGCAGTCGTGTTTGCGACAGTCACCTCGACCGTCTGGGACAAAGGATGCCAGTCCTGGGCTTGTCAAATGTGAGATGGCTAAGTGGTTGAATCGCTTCAGTATCGACTGCGGCCTTATCTTTAGGTTCTAAGTTGGTTTGAGTGCCGTCCATGTGGACGTGCTGCAATTTTTACATAGGAGCAGCAATACCGTCCCTTACTTGCTACGGTGGTTCAACTTGGGGCGTAGGAAGAGTCAGAAACGTTGCACCATGTGTATGCATGTAATGTATATACACGGTCTAGATTACCACATATTGAAATTTTACTGACACAAAGCTGTGCAAGCCGAGCAGTAAAGTGACGGCTGAATTCGGCATGTTGAATGTCGGGATCTTAAGTTGTCAGCTTATGAATGAACCTCCCTACCGGCCTCGGACCTCCCGGCGTTATCCGAGCTGGATTGCGGGGAGGACGGGAGTGAGCTCACCTCGCACATCACCCATTCAGACTGGAGACACCGGCGGGAATAAGTTACAGTACCGATTCGTTCATACGACCCACAAGGACAACGGTCAACGCCTACTTGAAACCTCGAATAGGATCTTTCTCGCGACAACAGCTGATTCCGGACAATTTCTGTTCTAACTCATAAGCTTGTTGCCGCATTTGGTCATATCCTCAAGAAGATGCTCGCTCCACCAGTAAACCTGCCCAAATGGTATGTCTAAGACACAATGAACCAACAGCGTTGCCAAAACGGTCTAAGATGAGTCGAGATGGCTAACCACGCAACAGGCTGGAGGAGAACTCTCACCTACTCAAACCACCCATCAACAACTACTGCGTCTATAACGAGGACTTCACCGTCATGGTAAACCCTCCTTGCTTCCTACCACTCTACCAACCGCCCGATCCCCCACATCAACCTAACACATCGTCACCGTCACACAGATAGTCGGCGGCCCCAACGCCCGCACCGACTACCACATCAATCAGACGCCCGAGTGGTTCTACCAGTACAAAGGCGCCATGTTACTCAAGGTAGTCGACGACGGCGCCTTCCGAGATATTGTCATCCGCGAGGGCGAGATGTTCCTCCTGCCGCCCAACACGCCGCACAACCCGGTCCGCTTCGCCGACACGGTGGGCATCGTGCTCGAGCAGAAGCGGCCCGCCGAGTCCATTGACCGGATGCGGTGGTACTGCCCGCGGGAGGGGTGCGGCGCCGTCGTGCACGAGGCCGCCTTCCACTGCACGGATCTGGGGACGCAGATCAAGGAGGCGGTGGAGAAGTTCAAGGGGAATACCGAGGTGAGGACGTGTAAGAAGTGCGGGGAGATGGCGGATTGGTGTCCCAAGCCCGGATCGATTCGGGATCCCAACCTGGAGTGATTGAGCATTGGATGGCGGCACGAGGATCGGCAGGTTGGGGAGGGTGATTTGGGTGAGCAGTGCATATATTATCAATGGTGCATTCAAGGTTCAGTGCGAAGGGCATCAACTGACGCCAGTTATGGTTCTCTCGTTACTCAGAGTGTTAGGTTCTTGTGGAGGCAATGCCATATCAAGGTGGTGTCTCTGTGGAAGTCGATGGGGGGGAGAAAAAAGAGTCTACAGAGAGGAATACAAAAAGCTCACTAACCAACCCCAGCCCCGCGCCGGTTGAATAGAGGCGGTTGGCCATAAAACACCTAAGCGTTTCTCAGAGGTAGCTGGCTATGAAACCCATAATGGGTTCTGCTTCGCAGCGGAGTCGAATGGAGTGATTGTCGTATAGTCCGTTCGACTTGTCGCGCCAGAGCTCCTCCGAGACTTCGCGCCTAATACGGCTGAGCCAACTCGACGGTTGTTGGCTCTGTTGGGAGGAGGTGGTGCTAGTGTCGATGCGGAAACTGGCTGATAAAGCACTGGTACCTGAGGTAGTGAAGTTGCGGACGGGGAAGTTGGGACGGAAGGGGTGGTACTAGACTGCCACCTGGCCAGCCATCCTGACTTCTACTTGTATTCTCACCACCTAAATCATGTCTCAGCATACTCATACGGGCTGGTCGACTCTTCGACCGCAACCTCCATCTTAGCCTCCTCCAGCTCCCTGCCGTCGATCCGAATGCCCGCGCGCATCACATCGCCTGGTACGACGGGGCCAACACCCTTGGGCGTGCCCGTTAGGACGATGTCGCCCGGCTCGAGCGTCATGACCTTGGAGATGTCCCCCAAAATCCTGGGGATGCGGAACAGCATTAGCTCGGTCGAGTCGCTCTGATGCACCTTGCCGTTGACGGTCAGGTACAGCTCGATGTTGTGCGGGTCCGGGATGGCCGCCTTGCTGATGACGTTGCTCAGGGGCAGGAAGGTGTCGAAGCCCTTGCTGATGTCCCAGGGGAGGCCCTTCTTCTTGGCCTCGTTCTGTATGTTCCGGGCCGTCATGTCGATGCTGAGCGCGTAGCCTAGGTAATGCAGAACTTTTGAGCACTGGGACTCAGGACGCGCGGTCAGGAGGTGGCTACTCACTCTCAATTGCATCCATCGCACCCTGCTCATCTTGCAGATTCAGATCCCGGACCTGCTTGCCCAAAATCAGGGCGAGCTCAACCTCATAGTGCAGGTCGACACCCCGGGGCCGAATGACGGGCCCCTCGCCGGGAAGCAGAATGGACGAGGTCGGCTTTTGGAAAAAGAAGGGCTGCTTCGGCCGGGCGCTGTTGAGCTCCGTGATATGGTCTCTGATGCGAAGTCAGCCAGAATGCTATGCTTCGGCGCAGCTTGGGCGACAGGGAACCGAGACTCGCGAACTCGATTTAAACGAAAGGGGGTTACACACGCATAATTGCGGCCAATGCACACAATCTTTCCGGCTCTCTTGAGCGACGCCATGGTTGCCAATCCTCTCCGTAAGAGCACCATTGTGAATAACTCCCGCCCGTTCGCTGCCGGCGGCTTACTGTGATATATGATCCCAAGTCTTATGATGACAGCACAACCAATCCTGCAGACAGCTGGATACAACTTCGGCAGTAATCGCTCGGCTCGGCGACACTTTCGGATGGCCGCGATCAACCGCCAGGGACGTGGATATAGAAATGCTCTCCGCTAACTGATTATAATCGTTAAACCACGGCTTTGCGGCAATCAAGGATCTAGGAAGTGGAGTTTGCTGTAGCTCTGCTGTCTAATGCCGAGATCTTCTGATCCTCCATGCGAGATGATGGATAAAAACGCTCAATATGTGTACAACATCTTGTTTCCATTAGGCACTATTAGGCAAATTGAAGCGAAGGTTCAATAATGGAGTTTTAACATCGTATTTACGCAGAGAGGAGTGAGGAATGAGCGAGAGCTTCATATTGTAGAGCTTCGACGGTAGAGTTTGAGCAAAGATTGAATGCCACAGCGGATTCCACGTGCTATGGCTTGGCGTAAGCCACATACGAGTGTTCAAAAGCTTCGCATCTCAATCACTGGGGTATGGTAATGGAATTGTCTAATTTTTAATCTTAAGCCCTCCGATTTAAGTTTTTCATTTCCTAAGGGCCCTGAAACTCATATAAAGTAAGTAGCTGAGCTAAGATTCGGTAGTATTGTTAAGCGCTATATACAGTAGCTAAGATATATTATTATTGTTATTCTTATACCGCTATGAGTCATGGCGGGACAGGCGGACAATCCAATAACAACTATATTCGGGCTAAGCTACAGTCTAGGCTCTAAGCTACAGTCTAGGCTCTATTCGGTCAGGTACGGTGATGCAGGAGGCACCAGAGGGATGGCATGGTATGGGTGTAACTGAATTGTTGGAATGAAGAATGAAGATTCCGACAGAGAAGTCGGTGTCGCGCGTCCCACATGCAAGATAAACTGGCATGGAGGTGCTGAGCGCGCACAGACCTTTGCAGCGGGGCTACTCTACATGGTGCCTTCCGGTATCATACGGGCAGGCTTGATTGTCAAGACGTAGCTCAAGGAGCTACGAACAGAACTCGCGGCAGCGAGATATAGGATCTTCAAACCACAGGGGGCCCATGCATGCCACATGCCGGGCTCCACCCGTGGGTCCTGGCAGGCGCGGCGCAGTCGTCGTGACACATGCCCTAGAACTCGCCGGACCCTCTACCACTAATTATAAAGTAAAACTATGCCTGCAAGGCTGGACTCAAAACCTCTGTGTCCGCTATACCAGTTTGAAGTTCTGAATCTGCCCACTTAGCTAAGATATATAGAAATTTACTTAATTAAGGTAGAGTTGATGATACCGGAAGGTATCGCGCAGGGTTAGGGCTAGGTGCTATACCTCACCATTGGTGGGGTGGTTGTTTGTATGTAGATAAGATAAGGCTGCCCCACTCTGGATCGTGGGATATCTCCCACCACTGCAGTTGCTGCTTGCAACTACCAGAGGAGCACAACCTGACTTTTCCCCGAATACATGGCATTTGCCCTCTTTTCCCAGCATACGGCTCTTTTCCGTATCAGTTGATTAAGTATAGCCTAGCATAATAGGCTCTGTGTCACGGGATTCCCCGTTCCTGTTCTCATGGTTATGTTATATGCTTGCGGTCATGCATATGTCATGGGGTCTGATCATACGTCTATAGTCATGCTTATGCATAGGCCTCTGGTCCAGTACTTAAGGTCTGGTTGCACGCCCATTCCTGTCATCTAGCTCTTGCTCTTGTTGTAGCAATATCGATCTTGTATGTGCGAGCTGACCAGACCTTGGGTGGTGCCCGTCACAGCACTCGACGATAGAGTATAACTATGGGATCTATAATAAAGAATTCTCAGGAAGCCTGGAGAGAGAGGGCGGCTGCTTCCCTTCTGCAGTTAGACATTTCAGGGGCCTTCGACACTGTCAACCATACACGGCTACCAGCCACTCTACGGGAGCAGGGCTTCCCACAGTGGGTAGTACAATAGGTGAGGGCCTAGTTGAGCAACTGAGTAGCGATTCTCCACTTCGACGGCTGTAACGGCATACAACGTGCAGCCATACCGTTGCGCCATATTCCTGAAAGGGTACAAATGATTCAATCCGACAGATTGAATCACTGGCTGCACTATGAAGCTGTAACAATTGGCATCTGTCGCCGGGCGTTGCCGACCCGACCAGCCGTGCCGTTACAGCTTAAGCGCTAATAACACGGCTTTAGGGAGCATATATAAATGTATAGTTCTCGATGTCTATAGTTTTGTTCCTCCCCTTATTACTCAACATATATCGAGAATATTCCCTTAGCGATAGAGCTCGGGCGATTATTAGTATCCTTATGTATACGGTCGCTAAAGTTTTTCAAGAGCTTACATAATATAAGCCAATTATTGTTAATAGCTTCCTAGTTCTATTGAGGTTATGTCGCTCAGCTTTGTAAAGTCGCTACGCGAAGTAGTATTCCGAGAGGTCGGTCTAATATATATCGCAACTAAGAGCGGTTATCTCGCTAGTATTTCAAGATAGATTTCGTCTATCAAATCCTTCTACTGGAGGGCCGAGAGTCAGGGCTTATGATTCTTCTATGGTAGTGCTAGAAGTGGCACTTCCTACGCGTACGCTCTGCGCGGGTGGCGCGTCGGTACGATCAAGGCGCTTTGGGTAATACTTAATAGCTGGTTTGATTAGTGCGGTCTTGTTTTCGCTAACCGAAGAGCTCTTAGGGTCAATGACCTCCCAAAGGTCCCTAGTCGCCGCCTTAGATCTAAATCGTTCATTCCAGGCTTTCCTATTGTCAGGGCCAGTAAGTTTAACATCTTCGTTGACAGTGGCTATGGCGATATATGGTCGGTTTAACGTATCTGCCGTAGCTGTTGTTTCGTTCTGCTGCGTGGGAACGGAAGTTGGGAGTTCAGGTTGCCTTCCCGGAGGAGTGTTGGAAAGCCAACAGCCACGAATCTACCGTACCGTAGTGATTGGGCACCAAAGGATGGGTAACCACTCAATTGATGATGATGCCCGGTATTTCTGTACTTCCAAACAGTTGCCCCCTCTTCCTGATCCTGAGAATCCCAGTGCCAAGCCATTTGTCACCTCTGAAATGCCCTCCCTGACCACCTGCCAAATCCAACACGGGCACTGCCGATGGGACGCAATTCTGCAAATCACAAGATGGGGAGAAAAGGAAGAGAAGCTGGAAGAGCACTCGCGATGCAGAGGTCAAATGCTAGAGCAGATGGGGCATGTGCACTCAGAGGCAGGTGCCGCCATATGCACTCCGACGGCAGATGCCCTCACAAACTCACATTTCACGTCTCAAAGTGCACGTGTAGTTCTTGAAATCACTACACCCTACTAGGGTGAGCCACTACAGTCAGGACATTTTATCCGGTAAGCGGCAGCACTCACCCGTAGAAGAATCTGGAAGGTATGGAGGCCATTGATCCAGTTTCCAGATCGCAGCCTTTCAAGTCCAGATTCGGAGTCCAAAAAAACATGAATTGCAAAACAGTGACAGAGTCGCCATAAAAGTAATCCCAGGAACAAGCTATCCACCACGGAAATTGGAAAACTCTCCGGAAACTCCCCATTAAAGATTATGAAGTTTGCCGTCTTTAACTTCGTTCGGGACTGGGGATGAGCGGAAGGGTTGGAGATCCCGCATTGGGGAATAACGCCCAACAGTGTTGAATGGAGGGGCAAGCGGGCCGGGGATCTTCCAGCTTCCCAATGTGGTAAGGGGTCCCACGCGCTCTTGCACATAACCATATTGTGCTCTGACCGTCCCTTGGTGCCGCGCCCCTGCTGGACAATGCCTCCCAGTCTGGACCCCAGCCCTGCCGTTCCCCCATCGCAAGTCGCTGCACACCATCCTGGATGCCACGGGTCATGATTGGTATGCTCCTGCCCTGAATCCATTGCATCTCGCATTGAGCTAGCCGTAGCAATAGCATATATTGCGACTGTTCTTCGCCTCGCCTGAATAATCCTTTCTGTGTCACCCCGCGACGTCCAAGCGGAGTCTGAGTACGGATAAGCCACGGAAATCGATCTCAAACTGCCGTCACCGTGACACCAGCTCATTTCAACACGAGAGGCCACCCTTAAGCCCAAAACGATACCATCACTCTCATCTTTAATGGTCACGAAAACACGAAGCAGCGATAGCCGACTTAGGCGACAACACTCAGAATAAGATGGAAAGCATCCAGCTTGCGCAGATGCTCGCTGACTTGAGCGATCTGCACGCGGCGGTAGGTTGCGAACCTTCTTTTATGTCGTCCTTCTTGTGGCTATCGCCTGTTTAAAAGCCATGGATTGAGCGATTCCTGACGTATATCTTACAGCACGACTCCCAAGCCGCCAGGGCCTTGGTCAACGCGAGCAAATCGCTCCCAACATCATCACAATCAACATCGTCCGCCGAGCCGAGCAAGCCCCCAGAACCGATACCTAGTCGACCGGGCCTGCGAAATCACAAGCGCACCGGCTCAACAGGCTCACAGGCATCGACAGCCTCCTCGTTCATGTCCCGAACGGCCTCGCCTGCCAAGTTCGACAAGTACGGCCGGCGCATTGCCACCCCGCCCAACACGCGCACCAACTCGGCTTATGGCTCCATTCCGGGGACACCGCGGCGAGACTCGGAGGTGAGCCGTCATGTTTACATGCATCTTACTTACCGAATCTCATTTTTACATCCGTACCACAGAAGCAACTGGGAGTCACTGTGCTAAACAATGCCATGGGATAGCAGATGGACGATGACGTCGACCGGGCTAATACCCTGATGGCACTCTACGAGATTCGAGCCAAGCTCAAGGACCAAGACAGCAGCCGGAACCTGAGCAAGCTGAGGGAGAAGGTGGCAGCGTTGCATGCGAAGCAGATGCAGGCCGAGAAGAAGGATGGCGATGACGGGAAGATGAAGTACAGCTACCCGAAGAGCTCTTGAGGTCTCCGGCTCACGACTGGAGCATACGCGCTGTTTATGTTATATCGGACGGGGATTGGGCTTCTAGGACTGGTTGCTTGGATTATGAGTTGGAACGATACTGCTTGTAAGGGGACTGGGGTATTCTGCATCATAAATACGGCGTTTTCGGGATGGCTACGGAGTACATCACTGGTGGGAGTAAGGTTGGGGACATTACCACAGTACGGGCTTCCTTGAAGTAATGGGATGGGGACGAGAGGGGAAAATGTACGAGTACTGAGGGACAATCACGCCCTCTCATTTTATGAGTGTCTACATACCCAGGTATGTTTAAATGCTGTTCCACCCCAGGCCATGTGTTGAGAGTAGAGGTGAGAAAGGTAAGGTACGGAGTAGCCCTGGCTCGATTCGCTCTGCGGGTGATCAGAATAGCTCAACACCTGTTCAGATCTGGGGCAGTCCGAAAATCCCTCAAGTCAGGCTCCTCGGACTCTGTGATCAGAATTTCCCGTGTACACCCTCTCTTCCTTCCCAACCAGCTCCAATTACGGATCGGTTGCAGCACGCGACATCCCGCCATCTCGGCACGCCTGTCCCTCAACCCCACGAACTGCGGAGTATCCGTACACTAGTACCGTCGGCACCCCCCTTGTCGCCTTTCAAGTTGGGGTGCAGATGATCCGCTCGCCAAGCCCAGCTGAATGACCCACTTACAAAGTTGCATGGATCTCGTCCGAATCAGAACGCGTCGACTTCGACAACCTAAGGACTCAATCATCCCGGCCATTGACCGACTTCATTCAAGCCCGGAGTCCTGCTGCGAGGCTGTAGAGCGTTGGCAACAAGCGCTGACTGATAGGTACGACTGGTAATCGTTGGTGCTAGTGCGCGCGCGACGGGAAACGGGCAGCCATGGCGACCGGAGTCGACGCGAAGCTGCTCAAGAGCACAAAGTTTCCGCCCGAGTTCAACCAGAAGGTGGATATGCAAAAGGTCAATGTGCAGGTCATGAAGAAGTAAGGTTCCTTCGCCGCCTGCTCCGGCGAGAGACGCCCTTACTAACAGAACGCTGGACAGATGGATCGCCAACCGAGTCACGGAAATCCTTGGGAGCGAAGACGACGTCGTCATCGAGCTCATCTTTGACCTGGTCGAGGGCAGCCGCCATGTTAGTGCCCTATTATTTTGCCACATTTCCCGGTGCACGTTAGGTTATCTGTTGATTACTGACATTGAATGCAACGCTGCAAGCCCGATATCAAATCCATGCAGATCCAGCTCACCGGCTTCCTCGACAAAGATACACCGACGTTCTGCAAGGAGCTTTGGAAGCTGCTTCTTAGCGCGCAGACTAGCCCCCAAGGCGTTCCTAAGGAGTTGCTCGAGGCCAAGAAGCAGGAGTTGATGCAGGAGAAGGTGGGACACTTGCACCGGAGCGTCATACATATCGTACATATGGACATGGGCTGATACGGTGGCAGATTGAGGCGGAGAAGGCGGCCGAAGAAGCCCGTCAGCGCCGAGAGGAATTTGAGCGGCGTGACCGTGGTAGAGGTGGCCGAGGTGGTGGCGGGCCCGGTCGAGGCGATTCGTGGCGCGGTGGCCGTGACGACAGAGATCGAGGCGGTTTTGGTCGTGGCCGTTCTCGCTCGCCGCCTCGCTACCGGGACCGAGGCGACCGTGGCGGACGTGGCGGCGGATGGAGAGACACATACGTTCCCCGCGGTGGAGGACGGCGCGATGGCGGACGCCGACGGTCTCGATCGAGATCACGGACTCGGTCCGTGTCAGGCCGGTCAACTTCGTCCAGGTCCCTTTCGCGCACCCCTAGCGTTGACAGCAGCAGACGATCCGTCACTCGGTCACCCAGTCCGCCGCGGAGACGACGCGCGATATCCCGCTCCCGCTCCCCGGCACACCGCCGCGAAGCGCCTAAGCGGCGCCGGTCTCCTCGCCGGACCCGCCCAGTTTCATCAGACCGTGGCTCACGCTCCCCCAAACGGCGCCGCTACTCTCCGTCTCGGAGTCGGAGTCGGAGTCGTGGCCGGAGCCCGAGCAGAAGCGAGAGCCGCAGTTTGTCGAGGACGCCAACCCGGCGCTACAGCCGGTCGGTGTCTTCGAGCTTGTCTCGATCGTCACGATTGCGCAGCCGTACTCCAGCGAGACGGTCAAGACGGGAGAGCCGAAGCCGCTCTCGTAGCGCGGGCAGACGCCCGACCAGGGGTAGAAGTCGTAGCAGGAGTCGCAGCACAAGCCCGGCCAGTTCTTATGATAGTCGACGCCGCTCTCCCCGGCGGAGGTCTCGTGAGCGAGGCAACCCCAGACGGCGTGCGAGGAGCAACGACAGACCCAAGGGCGGACACGGGGACCGGAGAGCCTCTTCTGCATCTTCATACTCTTCTAGACGGAACAGATCGGCTGATGGTTCAGGCGCTGAAGACAGACCGCGATCTTTCCGTAATGAGATGCCTTCGACAAGTGCGAAGCAGGTACGTCGCGGGTGTTGAACCCGGTAAAGGTCGTGTCGTGTGGTTAATCGCCTGCCAGGACAACAAAACAGTCAACGAACTGCGCGAGAGGGAGCTCAAGGAGCGAATCAAGAAGATGAGATCCTCGAAGAGCGGAAACGACATGGAGGCTAACGCTGCTTGAAGTTCCGCTCATTCTTGATGGGTCAAGTTACATGCGCTACATGAGGGCTGTTCCCGTTGTTTAGACTCACGCTTGCTTGGTCGACGGGATCTGTGGCATCAGTCCCCAAACCCCTCACACTGCTCGCCGGCTTACACAAGTTGACTAAAGCAGGTAGTTCAGTTTGCAGAGTTGTAAAAAGAGGCAATGCTTAAAATAGTCTTAACGATTTTGCCGTATACTTTGCATTAAAACCTCACCCGTTCACTCCTTCAGCGTAGCTTTTATTTGTTTACCTGTAACATGCGCCTGCATGCCTTACTCGTCATATGTTTGACGAGATTCAGATTGGAGACGGAATTCCCACAGGTGCAGCCTCACAATATAACTCGACACTAAGGCTGCACATATAACTGCCATTTTTATCTCATCTGATATTAATTCCTTACACTTTTCCACGTTGGCCCAGCCGGTCCTCGTCAAAACACACACTGGGGCCATCCGTCAAGACTCCTCATGTTAACCGTACAGTGCGATAGAGGGATTTCTGTGCTCTGAGTGGTGGGCGAGGTTTTGCCAAGACGCTTGGAGACTTGGCCTTGCACGTGCCACGCTCCACCTGCTCTCATCGCCCGCCAGCGACGAGGCAACCCGCTCGACTTCCACGACCTCGACGCGACAAGACGAGCTCCCCGCTTACGACGATAGTGGTGCCATTTCGATCACGAGAATGACTGAGAGTTCAGCTGCTGGCGGCGCTGCCGCCAAGCTTGCAGGTCCTAACGGCACCAGCGACACAGCGGCGTCATCGGCGGCGGGGATCCCCTTCTACGAGAAACAGAGGCAGCATCTTAAGGAGTTGATCGCTCGTCGCAGGGCGATGGAGAAGAAGCTTGTGCGTTTTCTTTCTTTCTTTTTCCACGGCTTCAATGCGCCAAAGAAGACGAGGTCTAACGAATGAATATTGGTTTCCAGGCCGCGGTGGAAGACCTCATCCACACCAAAGAAACAGAGTACCTCGAATCCACGCCCAGCGGAAACATCGTGATTGGCTTCGACAACTACATCAAGGGCGCGAGCAGCGCGGCGGCGCAGAGGCGAAAGACGGGGCCGCCGGACCAGAACCGCGTCTTCTCGCGGAGCTCCGTGTCGTATAACCCCACCGCAGCGGTACGCTATTCTCCTTTCCTTTCTCTTTTTTTCCCTTTCCCCCACGTTCACTGAAAGAAGACGAAAAATGATTAGTGGCTGACATTCTTGGGTTAGGACGTGCAAACACCAGCCTCGACACCGGCCTCGCACGCGCCAACGCCGAGCTCGAGTAGTTTTGGAAACAATAACAGGGACGGACCGTCGGGCGCGCCTACGCCGGCAAGTACGGCTGGCGGAGGAGGGAGGGCTAACGCGTCCAAGAAGAGCAAGAAGAATGCTGCTGCTGCTGCGGCGGCGGATGATAGCGAGACGGATAGTAGAGAGGCAAAGAAAATGAGGACGAGTTTTGGGGCGAGGAAGTGAGGATTACCCGTCGGTCGGTGGTGTGGTATTTTGTCTTTTGGAAGGTCGGCGTTCTGGGATTCTTGGGATGGGTTACAGGAGGTTGGGTGATACTCTGGTGTTTGCGGGAAAATAAGTAGTCGGATACAGTAAGATGGGTAAGGTATACGGATTACACATTGGGCGTTTACTACCTTGTCTATCTAACTGGGACGGCATTAGAGGTGAGAGCATACCAAGGTACAGAGGACATCATACTTATGAGAAAGCTGGTTTTTAGAGGCCTGTGAGAGACGAGTAGCATCGAGGCGAGGCACGTAGGCACTGCAATTGCTGACTCTATTCTGCTAATCGCAAGATGAGGAGAAAAGAAAGAGAAGCTGGAAGAGCTCTCGCGATGCAGGTTAAATGCCGGGGCAGGTGGGGCACGTGCACTCATTGGCAGGTGCACCACCTGCACTCTAACGGCAGGCGCCGTCACAGGCACTAGAAAGACATGAAGGCATTACAAAGGCCGAGAGCTCCCTACTAACCCAGGCTCGAACTGGGGCTATAGGCCTCAAGGACTTCCTCTTCCGGGCTAGGGTCTCTTGAATACCTACCCTCTACTGCGAATGCGGCTGGGGCAGGGAAACATTGGAACACTTAGCTATATGGTGCCGCCAATCCCCAAAGCTAAGGACTTAGCCGGTATCAGAGTCTATGGTAGAAACTCTTTGAGGCTCTGAGAGAGAGAGTACTTAAGCAAGTGGTTGCGTGTCACGGGTAGTGACAGTGTGAGGTTCATATGCGCAACTCCTGGTTCGACTGGACAGTTCGAACCACGGTCCCTCTTTTGAGGGTGTTACTGTAAGGTGACACACACAAGCTCACCAAGGAAGATGCACCGAATCCTCAACAGGCAGCAGGCAAGACGACTGTATTGTGCGTGCGCCACTAACCAACTGACTGATCCTTGAGAGAGGGAAGTTACAAGTTCCAATCTGAGTGCCCTGCTCTCCAGATATCCTCTCTCTGCTGCGAGTCATGTCGCTGCGCCATGAAATCCACAGTGTCTCGCCCGCCAATTGCCCAAGTGTAGGGCTCATGGTGGGGGCCCTGACAGTTACGCAGTGGTCAGTTGCGCCCACCCGTGACATTGCGCAGCAATGCAACGATCATTGCATTAGCGGATCTTTTGGTCTAGTTGGCATAGAGATTTACTGCGCAGCCTCTAACGGCCGGCTATAGAAATATGCTCGTAGAGAGACCTGTATAAAGCTCTCAAGAGGTGGGGTAACAAAGAGAGAAGGCTTGCAAAGAAGGTGACTAGGTGGCTACTATGCTCTAGGAGGCACCTGAAGTATAGGCTAGATGTACGGCTAGAACTAGGCTAGTTCGATGGCTGCTTACATAGCTATTTACGCCTTTCTTTTCGCTATAGCGAGAAGATCTAGGACTTTAGACTAGTGTAGGGAAGATAGGTGCTTTTAGTCCAGCTTTACAGGTATAGTTTCTCTTTATAATTGGTAGTAGAGGGTCTGGCGAGCCCTAGAATATAGCGGTATAGGAATAATAATAATAATAATAATTAAGTAATTAGCTTGATAAGCGATCTAGCTCTTCCTTTTCACTATAATAAGCGAACCTAAAGTAGCAGACTAGTATAAGATAGACAACGATTTTTAGTCTAGTATGTGGACGAGGCAATGAGCACTGCGATTACCGGCTCAATTCTACTAATCGAAAGCTAAAGAAACAAAGAAAAAAAATATATAGTGTAATAGGCTCGGCCCGAGATGGGCCTCGGTGACCTTTGTTGAACTGAGTGGGTTCCTTGGCACCAAGATTCACGGACTGAGCACTGATGTTCAATGCGAGACTCTCAGTCAACACAGATCCATCACAATGACGCAGTTCCTGACATAAACGTCATATCATAGCACACTGTCTCTATATAAGGGGGGTAATTCCCCTGGGAGGATTAGAGAGGACAATTCTGTTCTAACATGAAAGGGACATTCTGAGGCACCCTAACCCACTATCTTGATCCTTCATTTGTGTGGTCACTCTGGAATCGTGACTCCAATTCAAGCTTCGTTTCATACCTCAATCTGTTCAATACCATTTGGTTGATCTAAGCTTACTTGAGCATGTAACTGTTGGCTGCCCAACAACCTTCGGCTAGCTCTCGTACAAGTACGGTCCACTAAACCCCCTGAGTAAAGCTATTCCCACTTGACCCACAGTGTCGAACGTTCTAGCAGCGCACACCTGTAAGGATAAATTGGCTCTCGAGCTACCTGAGTCTCATATCTCTTCTTTCCTTCCCCAAGTTCAGTATACTCATAGAGTCATCATCAGCTAGTTGCAAAATACTACCTGAGGCCATTACATATAGGATGTTCATCTAGATGCGTGAAGGTTAAGTAGGCGCATAGGCCACCCACCAGTGACCCACCGAAGAGAGTATAAGTTCAGAGTGCGCTTTTCGTCATATCTAGCCTTACTGTCACGGAATTCCCCGTTCCTTGTTCTCATGGTTATGTCATATGCTTGCGGTTATGCATACGTCATGGGGTTTGATCATACGTCTATGGTCATGCTTACGCATAGGCCTCTGCTCCAGTACTTAAGGTCTGGTTGCACGCCCATTCCTCTCATCTAGCTCTTGCTCTTGTTGTAACAATATCGATCTTGTATGTGCGAGCTGACCAGACCTTGGGTGGTGCCCGTCACACTTACAGCATAGTTTTTATTTATGATTGATAATAGATAGTCTAATAAGTTTAGATCAAAGCAAAGTAAGAATTATGATATTATTAAGAGTATTACTAATGGCATTGACGGCTCAGGTAATGGGGGTTGTTGCGGCTAGATGCTTATGAAATTGGTAGTGGTGTACGTAAGCTCTCGTAAAAGTGGCGGGGGGGAGGAACTGGGGTCGCACCTCACAGCAGCCCCGACGCAGCGGCTTCCCACAGCTTCGGGACATGTGTGAACTTACAAGTAGGTACTCCTTTGAGTTCTAAACCACGCCAGTCGTCATCCCCAAAACAACTCCCAATTGGTTCAGTCGCCGTCTGAAACAATATGACCCTCACAGCTACCAAATTCACCCCCGAGGTGATGCTCTCGGCCCCCCGGCGATCAGCCGGAATCCCCAATCCCTCGGGAAAGCTGGCTCTGTACACGGTCAGCAGCTGCTTTGTAGCCTTAAGAGGCTTCTTTCTGTTGACTTTAGATACTTGGGCTGATAAAGACAGGTGTCGACATACTCCTTCGGTGACCACAAAAAGACTACCCAAATAAAAATCCTCAACATCGAGTCGGGAGACTCGGTCCTGCTGGTCGACGAGCCGGGCTGGAGTGAGCCTGTCTGGCTCAGCAACGAAGAGGTTCTCTATTTGAAGAGCCGCGACAATGGCTGCACCTCACTGGTCATTCGTCATGTCAACTCCTCCACTGCGGAGTTGTATGTCTAGTGTCTTGTTCTCCTCCGCATTCTGTCCTCGCAAAGACTAAGTAAAATGCAGATCGTATGAAGCTGGCTTTATCAATGCGCCCATTTCCAACGTCAAAGTCAAGAAGCTCTCAGACGGCGGCATCGCCTTTGCTTGCTCAGCCTTGACTACCCCTGGCGGCCAGCTGTTCAACCCTGAGACGGAGAAAAAGCCACACTCTACGGCCAAGGTGTACACCACCCTGTTTGTCCGCCATTGGGACGCCTGGAACTCGGAGAACTGCAGCTCCATTTTTTATGGTGTGTTTGACCACAGCGATGGCAAGTATTCACTCCGCGATAACGCTCTCACCAACGCCCTGGCCGGAACAAAATTGTCCTCGCCCGTCCCTCCCTTTGGAGGCACCGGTGACTTTGATATCAGCGAATCCGGGTTGGTATTCGTGGCTAAGGACCCCGGGCTCGACCCTGCCCTCTACACCAAGACGGATCTCTACTTCATCCCGCTCAAGACCTTCGCCGAATCCAAGCCTCCTTCTCCGCAGATCGTCAAGACAGCTGGTCTGGAGGGCTACTCCAACAGTCCTGTCTTTTCCCACTGCGGCAAGAAGGTAGCCTTCACCCGCATGCGTAGTAAGCAGTACGAATCCGACAAACCACGCCTCATCCTGGCACCGGACATCTACAATCCCGACAAGACCCAAGAGTTCTACGCGACTTCTGACAATGTCGGCGGCTGGGACATTCGCCCAGAGGCCATCCTCTGGAGCCACGACGACACCAAGCTTTACGTCACGGCCGAATCCTACGCTCGCACCCTCATCTTCCAGCTCCCCTCTACTCCCTCCAAAGCCACCTCCCTCCCCACGCCCATCAATACCCCCGACGGCAGCGTCTCCTCTTTCCACCTCTTAGGCTCAGCAGAAAACGACCACCTCTTTGTTACCTCCACCTCCCTCATCGACAACTCGTGCTACTCCATCACCCACCCGCTCTCCAACACGTGCAAAGTCATCTCGTCCGCCTCCAAGCAAGGCAAATCCTTCGGCCTGTCCCGTGCCAGCCTCGACTCCATCACCTTCCGCGGCGCCGGGGGCGATTACGACGTGCACGCCCTCGTCGTCCGCCCTTCCTCCTTCAACAAAGCAGATCCTCGAAAGAAGAAGTACCCGCTCTGCATGCTCATCCACGGCGGGCCGCAGGGCGCCTGGCAGGACAGCTGGTCGACCCGCTGGAACCCGGCCGTCTTCGCCGAGCAGGGATACGTCGTCGTCTGCCCCAACCCGACGGGCAGTACGGGCTATGGCATGGCGCTCGAGGACGGCATCACCGGCGACTGGGGCGGCCGGCCGTATAACGATCTCGTGCGGTGCTATGAGTGGGTGGTGGACAACATGCCTGAGGTGGATGGGGCCAGGGCGGTGGCGTTGGGGGCAAGTTATGGGGGGTATATGATCAGTACGTTTTCTCTCTCTCATTTTCAATCATCATGATCGTTTGGTTCTGGAACCCTCGGGTGTAAGAGGCGAGGGACAAGACAAGCCCGGGTGGATTGCTAATGCTTGACTGGTCTGACTTCTGGGCAGATTGGATTCAAGGCCACCCGCTCGGGCGCAAGTTCAAGGCGCTCGTGTGCCACGATGGCGTCTTCAGCACGCTCAACCAGTGGTGCACCGAGGAGCTGTTCTTCCCGATCCACGACTTTGAGGGGACGCTCTACGACAACAGGGCGGCGTACGAGAAGTGGGATCCCGCGCGGTTCGTGGCCGAGTGGGCCACGCCCCAGCTCATCATCCACAGCGAGCTCGACTACCGCCTCCCCATCACCGAGGGACTGGCGGCGTTCAATGTCCTGCAGGCCAGGAAGGTGCCGAGTAAATTGCTCGTGTTCCCGGACGAAAACCACGTGAGAAACCCACTTCCTCTTCTACCTTCGTCGAGTTGTCAATGAATAACCTGTTCGAGAAAGCTGGTTCACTAACGCATTTGCCAGTGGGTGTTGAAGCCAGAGAACTCCCTGGTCTGGCATCGCGAGGTTCTGGCCTGGATTAACAAATACTCCGGTATCGACGACAAGCAGCGGCTAGCGGAGCGGCTGGCGTGATTTGAGCAGGCTAATTAAAGGTATTATTACGGAAGTATTCAAGGAGACGGGAATGCTGGCTGGGGTGACGAGAAAGGCATTCGAACATTATGTGTCCAGTTGGTTGATAGTGTTCTTAATACTGGCCCATGTCACCTGGAAGCACACGAGTGAGGCATAAGGAGGTGGTGGATTTCGAGAAAATAGAGAGGCTGGCATGCGCACCTGCTTTCGAGACACTCAAATCAAGTGCTCACAGGATGAACTTTGGGGGGGGGCCGGGGATCAATTCACATGAAGCCAACTGTCCGGTACAACAAGCAACAACACAAGCGATGAATCACTAACGATATCTAGTTGGATGCCCGTCTTGATTCAACCGCTATCTGTTTACGACCCTGCAGCTGCATGTATCCTACAGCCGGCAACGCCAAACTTGCCCACCCCAACAAGGCCTGGCCAACATTGCCATCTTCCAAACCAATGCTAGACGCAAAACACTACTACAATAAGCAGCCATCCCCTCGCTCGCCCCGATAAACCACAAAGCAGATTTTACCCCAAACCCAGACTGAGCCCTCCAACAATGGTATCTCCCAGTCTTCCGGACGCCAAACGCCACTCGGTCGTTTCGACGACCAAAATAGGGAAGGAACAAAAAGCACTGTCCATTCCAAACACCAGGCATGCCGTCAACCGGAATTCCATAAGAGATATGCTGTACAACGAAATGAAGCCAATATTATAACGGCATCGCGCCGTTTTCACGCATCCGACACAGACGACTCCTATGCCTCCACAGCGACCGTGGCAGACGACTGAACAGCAGATTCAGGCTTATTGCCTTGTTGCTGCTGCTGCTGCTGCTCGCGCGCGAGTTCACCACCAGCCTCACGCTCGGCCCAGTCACCCCACAGCCCACGCTTGCCGCGGACACGGATAGGGCCGCCGAGCGAACCCTCGGGCTGGTCGACCTTGATGGCATCCTTAGTGGCGAGGACAAGGCACTCGAAGAACATTTTGGTGGCGTCAACTTTGGATGTCTTCTTTTCGGGCAGCAGCTCCTGGAAAACAACGGCCGACTTCTTGCGCTTCTCGGCGTTGGTGGCGGCGTCGGCGCCAAATAGGTCACGGAGGATGTGGACGGCGTGCTTAGTGCCAATGGACACCGGACCGCTGTCGGCGGGATGCACGATGGGCATGGTTGTGTCGTCAAAAGCCGGCATGGGGCTAGAGCGTGCGCCGTCCCTGGAGCCGGGTCGCTCATCCTCGTCTTCGGCGTGGAACACGGCGGTGTCATCGGCTGGAATTTCAAGCACTGTACCGTCCGCGGCAATGCTCTGGTCGCCTGCAATAGTTCCGTCAAGGCCTAGCACCGTCTCGTCCTCGGGGAGCTCCAGGCGAGGCGACTTTGACGCGCCCTGTTCTTCCTCGCTGTCCATGTCGGCAACGCCGCTGTCTCTCTTCCTCTTCAGCTCATTTGGTCGGATGGAACCGAGGGACAAAAGACCCCTCAGCTCGGGAGCCCATCCATCACTGCGGCTCTCAAACAGAATGTTATTGACGAAACCACCGTTCTTGTGCAGGTCCATCAGACCAACGATATACGGATCGTGCGTAAGGAACGACTGAGGCTTGAGAATGTTGTCGCGTTTTGACTGCTGCTCCTTGATCTGGGCGTTGGACAGCATTGTCTGGTCGTCGGGCTGGAGCAGCTTCTTCTTCTTTTGCCGTTGCGGCGCCTGGATGGTCGTCGCGCTCGGGTCATCGCCTGGCTCGTACATGTCGGTGTGCATGTGACGGCTATACTCCATCTCGACTTCCTTGGCAAACTCGTCATCAATGTCGGACAGCGGAGATTCGGAGATGCGGGCACGGCTCATGTCCGGGCGAACGGCTCCGGGCATGGCCGACTCGTCCTCAAGATTGAACTGGAGGCCATCGTCGCCCATTTGATTATCACCCTCCTCGTCCGCAATGTGAACCCTATCGCCAAAGTCGAGATCGAGGCCGAGCGATGGCTCGCGCACCTTACTCGGGCCGCCCATATCCGGCTCACTGAGCATGTCCTCCTCAATTGGCCTGGCAGCAGGCGCATCTCTGCCCATTTCAATGCTCTTGTCCATCAGCTTGGATGGACGGTCGTCAATATCCATACCAAAGTCGAGCTCCAAATCGAGGTCGTCCATGTTTGCGAGGGCAAGCTCGTCGTCATCCCCAGTAGTGTCTTGAAGAAATTGACTGTTATTGAAATCTTCCTGAAGGTTGATGTCACGGTTGCTGGGGCGAACGGCAGCCTTGCGGGCGCTAATCGGTGTCGCAGTCACTTCTTCAAGTTGCGAAGTCAGGAATTCAGCGCTCGGCGGTGGCAGCAAGTCGAGGTTGTCATAGGGCGTAATCGTGTCGGGAAGCATGAGCGACTCTTTTGTCGTCGCATGAAGGTTGGTAGGAATATCATGGTTGCCGGTGGATCGGAAAGCCTGAAGGCGTCAGTGGGCTATCTTCTGGGATTCGGGTATGGGTAAAGCGTACCATCTTGATTTTGATTAGGGCCTCGTTGCAGTCATCGAGGAGATAACGCGCCTTGCGGCTATAGATGCGGACGACGCCGAGCAGCAGCTGGCCGCTTAGCCGGAGAGCCAGGGGAGCGTCATTGGGGGCAATGATGGCGTCCACACTGTCTTGCAGGTTGTGCTGCAGGATCTGGACCTTGGATATCTTGCGCTCTTGGTTGGCAGAGAGCCAGGCCTTGGCCAAGGGGCCGGTGGCACTGAGCAGTGTCCCCGACCAAAACATGGCGACGAGGGTGACAGTAATAGTGACGGCAGTAGGAGTGGTATGTGCCAATCAATGATAAATCGGTGCTAATACAGCAAGTATCGAGAAGCTAAGTCGAGGGAGGGTTCCGCATACGGCAAATCTGGCGACGGGAAAGGCGGGGCTGCAATGGTGGGTAGATGGCGGAGGTAAACAAGAGGAAGCGCGTTGCGTTGTTTGGGCAAAGGCGCGCTCGAGCTCGGCCACGTCGTCGTGTCAAGACACGCGCAATCGAGAAAAACCGTCGATGTGGTCAAGAAAACTCGTTCCAGACAGTGCAATGGGCATCAAGCCAATGCGACAACAAGTAAAAGCGATGGTCTAGATAAAGTAAAATCGCAGGTGAAGGAAGGAGGGGGATGCGGTCGAGTTCGGATGGGCGATCGGTTGCAAGAATGTGCAGCAAGCTTTCAAGAAATTGAGATTCCCTGCGAAATTTGAGAGGCTGGGGGCCGCCCCACCAGCCCCCCGGACCGCGCACATGGGTCGGATGATCACGTGGCTGGTGTCATCCTGATAAGGTAGCGGAGTGGCATAAAAACCAAACTTAACACCGTAACTAGCATCGTGTAATTGCACACTCACTCATCCCAAGTCGTCAACAACAGGACGGAAGCCGTCAAACAAAGGAGTCCTCTCTGTTTCTCCACATCCCAGATGAAGAAATTATTTGCTCCTGTGTTGCCGTATCTGTTAGATGGAACTTGGCCGAGTCGCACAGTTACGCTGCTCCGTTACCCTTTCGCTGTCCGGAGATAGGGACGCGCGATAGGACATGATCATGAGCTATATGTATTGTACTCTCTCAGGCTATACACGATATATTTCTATATCCTCAGGTGCCTGTCAAAAACCCAGTCCTACGTCAGTTCTCTGTTCGCCAACTCCAGTGTCAATGTTGAGGATGTCTGCCGACCCCAAGATGCCAAGCCATCGCAATGGCACAACCCATGTGCCTGGGACAACTTACCTTGGCCAACTGCAGGTACCCTTGTTCGCCTGCACAAAAAGCTCGAGCGTCCAGACAAGGGATTGCCCAGATTTGGAATCAAACACGTTCCACGAACTCTAGTCTCGGCTCGGCCCATTGCCCAGCGCTCCCCCATACAGGACCACATTGAAACGGCAAAGCGTTCTGTTGTCGGCAATGGTGTTGCTTCCACTCTACTGTGTTAATTAGACTCGAATGATCACTTTTCCTTTCCGTCGGTCGCGTCTCTGAACCGCCAATTCCTCCTCGAGGCATTGGTTGATGACGTTCAGTTGGTCCATCGACTCCCTTCGGGGTCCTTTCCGCTCACGTCCCGCGGTTCCTCTTAGCCTCTGGCCAGCGCCAGAATGGATCGGTTCGTGCGAAAAGATGGTGGCGATGAGCTGCCGCTGTACCAGAACGCGCAAGAGCCAGGGTCAGCAGCAGCCGCTGCGAAACTGGAGCGCCCCTGGTCCGCTTCACCAAGACTGAGCCCGAGGACAACATCTGCGCAGTCAAGAGTAGGACCCCTGGAATCTGCCGAGGATTGAGCGCTGAAGCTAATGGGACCTGCTGCAGAGCGTTGCTGATGAATACGCATCGCTCACTCCAGTCGAAGTCGCCGCCCGACTCAAGACATCGCTCACGCACGGCCTCACACCTGCCGAAGCCCTCTCTAGGCTGCGCGTCTACGGGCCGAACGAGATCCCGCATGACGAGCCTGAGCCAATATGGTTGCGTTTCCTCAAGCAATTTCAGGAACCCCTTATACTTTTGCTCCTGGTCTCTGCGGGCGCGTCCATCGTGGTGGGGAACATGGACGACGCCGTCAGCATCACAGTAGCTGTGACCATCGTGGTGAGCGTGGGCTTCGTGCAGGAATACCGCTCCGAGAAGTCGATCGAGGCCCTCAACCACCTGGTACCCAATCACGCGCATCTCGTACGAAAACAGGCTTCCAAGGCCTCGCCAGGCACCCGCTCGCCCAACTGGTCAGGGGTTGGCGACAGGACCCCCGAAGTGCCCGAAAGCTCTGGCTCGATTACTCCTGAAGAAGAGGTGCTGGAGGCAACATCATCTAAGGTTATGGCTGCGCAGCTCGTACCTGGGGACTTGGTCATTTTCACCACCGGCGACCGTATCCCCGCCGATATTCGGGTAACAAAGGCCGCGGACCTGACCATCGATGTGTCGAATCTCACGGGCGAGAACGAACCCGTAAGGGTCACTGCAAATACACGACCTCGACGTGCCTTAGGAGTTCCCAGTTACGGAAACTCCAGCTTGCAATTAACCCAGCCTTCCTTTGGCGGAGCCCCTGATGGGCACTCGATGGGCGCGGCCAAGAGGGACCATGACGGGCCGTACAACATTGCCTACATGGGGACGCTGGTAAAATCAGGGCATGGCCAAGGCATTGTTTTCGCGACGGGCGGAGACACCCACTTCGGTACGATTGCAACCAGTGTCTCGGGAACCGAGAGCCCTCGTTCGCCGCTGCAGATTTCCATGGACGACCTAGGGTCACAGCTGAGCAAGGCATCTTTTGTCATTATCGGCATGATCTCGCTCATCGGGTGGTTGCAAGGGAAGAAGCTGCTCGAAATCTTCACCATATCTATTTCGCTGGCTGTAGCGGCAATCCCCGAAGGCCTGCCCATCATCGTCACCGTCACGCTCGCCCTGGGCGTTCACCGAATGGCTAAGCACAATGCTATCGTCCGGAAAATGCCAAAGGTCGAGACACTGGGGTCCGTCAACGTGGTTTGTACGGACAAGACGGGTAGGTCTGAACGGGGTTGCAGTAGAGCTGAGCTAACATCACCAGGGACGCTGACCATGAACCACATGACAACCGCCAAGATGTGGTTCTTTGGCAACCCTAGCCCATTCGACGTCGAATCAGATGATGAAGCGGCCGAGACCAAGCTTGATCCTGCAGCGCTCAGAATCTTGCGCATCGGTAATATTGCCAACAACGCTCGCCTTGCTCGGAACTACACCGAAAATGGCGCGGCTGCGCGAGCCGTACTCTCCTCGACCCAGGACAGGGGCCACACGGCGACATACACGCGATGGGTGGGACAGCCCACCGACGTGGCGATGCTCGATCTGCTAGACCGATTCAAGGAACATGACGTGCGAGACTCCATCGGGCCTCGAGTGTCTGAGACGCCCTTCAGCTCCGAACGAAAGTGGATGGGTGTCACAATTGGCAGCGAAGGTGGCAGGAACGACAAGGAGTTTGCATACATGAAAGGCGCCATTGACAAGGTGCTTGAAGCTTGTGAGACCTATGTCACAAATGAAGGCAGGGAGATCGTGTTGGACTCAGCGCGGCGCCAGGAGGCTCTAGAAGCAGCCGAACAGATGGCCTCCCAAGGCCTCCGAGTCCTGGCCTTTGCCAGCGGGCCTGTGGCGCGATCCAGGAGCAGCAGGGTAGGTGCCAGGAGTAACACCCCTGGCGCCGATAGATCAGAGAGCCCGGTCCACCATGGTAGTGAGGAACAGTACAAAGGTCTCACCTTTGCAGGCCTCGTCGGCATGAGCGATCCGCCTCGGCCCGGCGTCGGGCGGTCGATTCGAAAGCTGATGCGGGGCCGGGTCAAGGTGATCATGATCACGGGTGACGCCGAGACCACAGCTCTCGCCATTGGCAAGCAGCTGGGGATGGCGATTGCTGCTCCGGCAATTCACACATCAAACCAGATCACCGTCAAGCCGGTCCTGCGAGGTGACGAGCTCGATGCCATGTCCGAAGAGGACCTTGCAAGGGCCATGGATCACACCACCATCTTCGCACGAACAAACCCCGACCACAAACTAAAGATCATCCGAGCCCTCCAATCCCGCGGCGATATTGTCGCCATGACGGGAGACGGAGTCAACGATGCGCCGGCACTCAAAAAGGCCGACATTGGAATCGCCATGGGCATGCACGGCACTGACGTCGCCAAGGAAGCAGCCGACATGATTCTGACAGACGACGACTTCTCGACCATCCTCCACGCCATCGAAGAGGGCAAAGCCATCTTCAACAACATCCAAAATTTCCTCACCTTCCAGCTCTCCACGAGCGCCGCCGGCCTCTCGCTCGTCTTGATCTGCACCGCACTCGGCTTCAAGTCCCCACTCAATGCGATGCAGATTCTCTGGATCAGTAAGCACTTTCTCCCCTCTTTCCATCCTCTCCCCCCTTTCCCACGTTAAAAGCCCTCTAACCGAACCACACAAACAGACATCATCATGGACGGCCCCCCCGCCCAGTCTCTTGGCGTAGAAGCAGTCGACAAAGACGTCATGAACCGACCCCCGCGCCGTCGGGGCGACGCCGTCCTGACACGCCCTTTGCTCATGCGCGTCCTGACGCAGGCCGCCATCATCATGGCGGGGACCATGCTCGTCTACACGCACGAGATGCTCGAGGACGGCCAGGTCACGCGCCGCGACACGACCATGACGTTTACCTGCTTTGTGCTGTTCGACATGTTCAATGCCTTGACCTGCCGGTCCGAGAGCAAGAGCGTGCTGAGAGGCGAGGTGGGGTTGTTCAGCAATGTGCTGTTCAACTGGGCCGTCGCGGGGAGCTTGATGGGGCAGTTGGCTGTCGTGTATTTCCCCTGGCTGCAGGAGGTTTTCCAGACGGAGGCGCTCGGGTTCAGGGATTTGTTGGGCTTGATGGTGATGTGCAGTAGCGTGTTTTGGGCGGATGAGGCGAGGAAGTGGTGGCGGTATGGAAGAGGGAGGAGAGGGCTTGGGGGGTATAGTCAGGCGGTTTGAAGGGATTACACGGGAGTTGTTTATGATGTGGATGAGCCTTGGTCATGCTGTACTTAGTATGGGAATAGATTTGGTTTGAGAACTCGCGTGCGGAACGGGTGTGGAAACAGTCCTGGGTGCTTTCTGTATACTGGAGGGTGGTTGCTGGTGCGCGAGCTGGCGCTTAGAGGTCGACTGTTCGTGTTGTATGTATACAAGCAATACATAGTACACCCTTACGGAGTAAGCGTTGTCTATATACACCGTCTTTCTCCCTTGCTGATTTAATGAATCCAACCTCAGCCAGCCGCCGAATCCCGGATATCGCACCCAGACTCTTGCCCGGTTCGATCGCCCAGGCCCGATCACCCCGGACCCCACCCCATCCGGACATGTTGAGGCCTTCAGAGTAGCCTCTACTTACCAACGGGCTGGATCATTACCCAAGCTCGAGCCAACATAGGCACAGTACAGCAGCTTGCAGGCGTGGCGCGTACATACCCAGTGACAGCGATTTAAGACACCAAATATACCCGATTAAGCACTGGGCGGTTCAGCTAAGGTCGAAGAAAAAGCCCGCCAAGAGCCATGTAACCAACAACACAACCAAGCCACACCCAGCAACATCGTAAAGTAGACTTACAGGCCTTTGACTGCATTGCAGGCAGGCAAAACCCAGGAACCCGCGCCGGGAACGCGCCTCCACACTCCCCCCCTCTCTCGTCCCGTCCCGCCCCCTTGCCTTGCGGTGGCCGAACAAGGCTGGGCTGTGCACTCCCTATCCTGGTAACTCATCACATTATCCCCTTGAGATGAGAGGCCCACGACGTTTGTAGGTGTTGCAGTTTGTGCGCCACGCTGCGAGCGGCCGCGTCTCCAGTCGATAAACACCGCAGGAACGCCTGGCGACCTGGCGAATCAACGTACTGAGGCCTACCGCGAGGACTTGCTTCACCTGAACATCGCGGGTAGGCTCCTTAGCGTTGGGCGCGCGTCATCATGGGTTTCATCTGTCTTGTGGGTGCGCCTACGCGTATGCGCAGCCTTGCGATGGGGGATGGAAGATAGGTCAGTGGAGGCTGGACGAGTATAAGAACGAGGGGAAAGTCAGCCGTTTCCATGGGACAGACTAAGCATCTGTTCCCTGGCAACTTACCTTGCCACACTGACCTCGGCCTACTTCGAGCCCAATACTTTGCATTCGATTGAACCTACTTTTGAGCTTGTTAAATCTGGTTCTCTGCCCCGCGAGCCACCTTGACCATGGTGCAGGACACTAGGACCCCCAAGGAGAACCACCTCGTCAGCGCTTCTTTGCTACGCAAAATCGATAAACTCCGCGAGCGAAACATCAGCAAGCATGTTCCTCTGCCGCAGGTGGGTACTGTCGTTACCGGACCTTGGCTCTTACCGGAAGCTAACCATACAATCAGCTTGTGGTCGTGGGCGACCAGAGTTCGGGCAAGTCGTCCTTACTAGAAAGTCTGACAGGGATCCCGTTCCCTCGCGACGTTGAGCTCTGCACACGCTACGCAACGCAAATCACGCAGCGGCGGGACGACGTCTCCCGCGTCCAGGTCAGCATTACCCCGGGGCCGAATGCCTCCGATCCTCACAAGATGCATGTGAGGGAATACCGCACCGACGCGCTGTCCCTTGAGGAATTTCGGGACAGGTTCCCGAGTATCTTGCGTGAGGTGAGTAGCCTGAAAAGCCCGTGGACGGCGGAGGCTGACAGCCGGAAGGTCAACGCTAGGATGGGCATCCGGATGAACAGTACTCATGACTCCGGCTACACGTCGACCGAGCCCCCTTCTGACGGCGGCTACACTTCGGATGATGACAGAGTTTCAGGAGTATCGCCCCAGAGAGATTCGGCGCCGCAAGGAGATCGGGTGTTCAGCGAGGACGTGCTCAAGATCGAAATCTGCGGCCCATCGGCCGACTACCTGACGGTAATCGACGTTCCGGGCATCTTCCGCACTGCAGAACCGGGGAAGACTACCATGGAAGATGCGGCCCTGGTCGAGAGAATGGTGCGCTGGTACATCCAAGACCCCCGCACCGTGATCCTGGCCGTGCTCCCCAGCAACATTGACATCTCCAACGGAGGAATCCTGACCATGGCGGAGGAGTACGACAGAAACGGGGAGCGCACTCTGGGCATCTTGACGAAGCCCGACCTTGTGTTGGAGCCGAGTGCAAAGGCCTCGGTGTGCAACATTATCCGCGGGAAGAAGAAGCAGCTCACGCTGGGGTACTACCTTGTCAGGAGCCGGGGTGCCGACGACGGCGATGCAGAGTTCGAGCGCAGAGAAGATCTGTTCAAACAGCACCCTTGGAACGAGCTCCCGCCCGAGAGGGTCGGAGTCAGGGCACTGAAGGCACGCCTCGCGGAGCTCCTGGGGCACATCGCTCGCCGAGAGTTCCCGACACTGTCCAAGGACATCGGCAAGATGCTGCAAGCCGCAGAGCGGGAACGAAACTCACTTGGCCCGTCCCGTAAAGATGAGCACGAGCAACGCCGATTCTTAAGCGGCATCGCCGGTCAGTTTCAGGACCGTGTGCGACAGGCGCTGGAGGCGCAGTATGCCGGCGACAGCGCCTTTGAGAGCAAACGGGAGCTCCGTCTTGTGACGCACGTGGTCAATCTCGCCGATACCTTCAGCCAGGCGTTTCAAGACCGAGGGGTTCTGCGCCGGTTCAAGACCGTTGGTGGGAGGGAAGAGGTCGCGAATCGTGCGTCGCTGGACGACACGACTGCGGCAGGTTCGGAGTTTGAGCAAGACGATGATCTAGACGACTTCCCCGAGCTGGAACACATTATCAGCCAGGATTGTGACGTCGACGTGCCCGAAGACGGCATCATGGACTGGATCAGGGAGCTGTATGCGCGGTCTCGTGGAATGGACCTTGGCACTTTCAGCAGTGCCATCTGGGCGAGCGCCTGGAGAGAGCAGTCAACCAAGTGGCCGAGCATGAGCAAAGCCTTCATGAGCAGGGTGGTTGTTGCCATTCACCGCTTCATCACGGCTGCGCTCAAAGACGTCTGTATCGATCCCGGTGTACGCGGCGAGCTGTGGGCGGCCATAGTCGAGGAACTGCTCCGGCGCTACGAGGCTGGCATGGCGGCGGCCGAGTTTCTGTCATCTGCTGAGCGGGATGCCAAGCCCTACACGCTCGACTACGCCTTCAACGAGAACCGACAGCGGTCTCGCGGTGAGCGGATTGCCGAGCGGCTGGAGGGCATCTCATTCGAGGACGAGCACGGCCGAGACCTGGTGACTATCGACCAGGTCCGGAGCATCACGGAGAGGAAGTCGAACATCGAGGACATTGTCGAGAAGCTTCACGATGACCTCAGCGCGTACTATGACATTGCTCGCAAACGGTTCGTCGACAACGTGCTCAACCAGGCGGTCAATTACCGCCTGCTTTTCGGACCGTCCACGCCGCTTGGAGTGTTGAGCCAGGAGTGGGTGATTGGGCTGAGGTCGGACCAGCTCGAGGCCATCGCAGGCGAATCGCCGAGTATCAGGGAGTATCGGGAAGCATTGACCAGGAAGATTGCCGACTTGACAGCGGCGAAGGAGATTTTGCGGCAGTAGGCAGGTTGGGGGAGAGTTCCAGTGTGTTCTTTCAATTGCTTCTTTTGGTTTGATTTGGCATTTGTGTGTTAAGGTAGTTCTTGCCTTGGCTACACCTCTGTGATGAAATGACGACCTTGCGGGCTGGGACCCGGGCCCAATTACACAGTACCTTACAATTCTGGCGCAAACAGAACTGATGATTGGCTGTGCTCTGCATTTTAGTCGCTTCGCCGAAATATTCAGGAACCAGAGTTACCTGTAAAGCCGTGCCTTTGACAACAACACTTCGCCAATCCTCCACCTTCGGCGCACCTAGCAGCAATGCGCCGCTGACGGCAATACCAATGTCAGCCCTTCCCAATGGCGCCGCCCGGACCACAGCAGCCAAGATGCCTGCCGTCAATAGCAGCAACATCCCATCCAATCCGCCCACCATGACCACGACCACTACGAAACAACCACCTTCCTCCAAGAGCCCCTCCGACCCCTCCACGGCTCTCTGCAACGCCACAACCCCCTCCGAGATCCGCACCACCCTCGCATCCCTCCACGCCCGCGAAGCCTCCCTCACAGCCCACCTCACCACCCTCCTCTCGACTCACGCGGACCTGACTCGCTCCCTCTCCCGCCTCGACAACCTGCGCGCGGGGCTCGGCGACCAGGTGATCGCGGCGCGCAGCATATACAACACGATGCTGGCGTCGGCCTCCCACACGGCATCCCGCCTCTCGGGCCGGGTGCGCGCCCTCGACCTCGAGAAGCAGCGCGTCGAGGACACCCTGCGGGTGGTCGAACAGGTCGCCGAGCTCAAGGCCTGCGTGGCGGGCGTCGTGGGGAGCATGGGCGCGCCGCAGGACTGGGAAGCCGCGGCCGGGTACATCAGCCGGGCGGCGAGGGTGCCCGAGGAGATTGTGCGGGGCGGGTTCGCGGCGGCCGTCGTGCCGACGGTTGAGGTGCCGGACCCGCCTTGGGTTACGCTTGAGGAGGCTAGGGAGAGTTTGTGTAGTCTGTTTTTGAGGGAGTTCAAAAAGGCTGCTACGGAGGGGGATGCGGCCAAGGTGACGAGGTTCTTTAAGCTTTTCCCGCTTATTGGGAGGGGCGATGTCGGGTTGGATGTCTATGGGCAGTATGTCTGTCAGGGCGTGGCGGGCGAGGCGAGAGCGTCTTTGAAGGAGGGGGCTGGGCTTGGTGGGCAGGGGAGAAAGGATGGGGTGTTCTTTGCGAACGCCCTCACCAGGTTGTTTGACCATATTGCGCGTATCATTGAGGCGCATGGTGGGCTTGTGGAGAGGCACTATGGAACGGGCAAGATGGTTAAGGTCATTGAGCGGCTGCAGATGGAGGCGGATGTCCAGGGCGGCATCATTCTGGACGCATGGAGCGACGACCGGACTGTGGACCGACGATTGACCGACGTCAAGAGTTACCCCTTTACCTTCTTGGTGCAGAGCTTCTTGCCACGCCAACGAGGCTTCGGAGGGACACCCCGGGTCAACTCACCCGCCGTTGGCGGCGGAACCAATGATCCTCGCAATAGCGAAGATGAAGGTGTCAACATGAGAGAGGTGGATGCACTGCTGGTTGAGAGTGCTGCCATGCTCGAGAAGTGGTCGGTCTACTGTCGCTTCCTCGCTGGAAAGTGCAAGGTAGGATGAACGCTCTCTATCGTATAGCATCCAATGCTGACAATGGCCTAGGACCCCGACACTCCTGATGACACACCGCTCACCATGCCGGACGTCCTCATCAAGTCCAACCTGATTAAGAAAGTGTCAGGAAAGCTTGTGAGCCCGTATAACGCGCTGACCATGTTCTTCTTCCGCCGGTCTGTAGAGAAGGCATTCCAGCTGGACGAGTCACCGACCGGGCTATCATTAAACATGAACAGGTCAATAGATACCAACCCCCCATTCATCATCTCGGCCGTTGACGTGGTCATGTACATCGTCAACACCGTCATCCGAAGATCAATATCTACCTCTCAAAGAGGCGTCATAGACTCCGTCATACCCACCATATCCGGTTTACTCGGCTCCGACTTCGTCGGCATGGTACAGCGCAAGATGCGTGATGAGTCGTACCCCAGCGCTACCGTCCAGGGCAACTTCCCGCCCGAAGACAAGATTATCTCCTTCATCGTCCTGATCAACAGCCTCGACATGGCCAACGAATACCTCGCCCGCATTGTCTCCAACATCCTCAGCCCCCCAGACCAGCAGCACCAATCCAACGGGACATCTCACCCCAAACCCCTCCAAAACGCCTTCCCCTTCCAGAACGACGCCGCCGATGTCGCAGCGCGCCTCAACAACCTCAACGCCTCCTTCTCGGCCAAGACGACCGAGCTGCTCTCCGAAGGCATCAAGGTGCTCTTCAGCCAGGTGGTCAAGGCGCGACTGCGGCCTGTGCTGAGCGACACGTTCCGCGACGCCGACTACGGGCTGACGGAGGACGAGCTGGCCGATCTGGCGGCGGCGAACGGCCAGACCGAAGACGACTTGCTGGATCAGGTGCCGCGCGCCTTCGAGCACGGCTGGGACGCGCTCATGCGGCCCATCGCCCGCCTCATGACCCCGCGCACCTACACCACCCTGCTAGACCTGACGGCCGACTACCTCACGCGCGTGCTCGAGAAGAGGGTGTGGAGCTATGCGGGGGGTAGGGCGAGTCCGTACGGGGCGATACGCATGGAGAGGGATTTTGGAGGCATCATTGGGACGATTAGCAAGGGTAACTATGCTGTCCGCGAGGTGTTTGCGCGGACCGCGCAGGTGCTGATGGTGGCGAATATGGAAGACGAGGAGTGGGAGGAGCTGGCTGGGGATGGACAGGAGGGGGCGATAGAGTGGGTGCTGAGCGAGGACGAGAGGAGGAGGGCGAGGAGTATCGTTAGGAGTTGAGAGGACGGTTAGAGACAGCGAATCGTTAGAAGCCCCTCGACTTGGGCGATCCCTGGAAGCAAATGGGGACATATTGCTTGCCTATCGTAGATCCATCGTTTTGATACAGTTGACTGTCTCCCAGCCTTGATGGCCTGAAGATATGTACGCCGCTGCCCGGGGAGTCTTGCACCGAGAGACAGGAAGAGCTCCAAAGAAGACCTTGGCACCATGAACGGTTCGTACATCCATCACCGGCAGGATTGCTTGGTGATCCCCGCGAGGAAATGGTACCCGTTTTGTAAGTGTCGCCCTTTCCCTCTCTTGATCCCTTTCAATTCTCTATCCATCGCTTTAGAAATGATACCTTGAGTAATCAATTGTGGTCGTGAGATTTTGCACTCATCAGACCCCTTCCTCAACGGCCCAGATTCAAGGAGCTCAGCTACCTTATGCCGTTCCCCGCGCTTGCCCCTCCATTTCATTCACACTGGCCCCCTCCTTCACTGGATTAAAGCTTCCAAATTTCGTCTGGGTCAGTACACCACATTGGCCTTCGGTAGGTCAATTCCTTCGTTCAGACCAAGAACAAGTAAACAACCGCTCAAGAGCTCTTCCATACAACAAACATGACCATGATCCCGCCAGAGACACCAAACGAGCACCTCCACCGCTGCTGGCGCGAGCAATACTGCTCCTCCTGTCTTACCCAACCAAGTTGCTCCTGGTGCCCTTTCGTACGGTCCCCTCCCCCTTCCGCCTTTGTTTTCCCCTACTGCGCTCTACTTTCCCCCCTCGCAGGAGGAGCTTCGAAAAGAAGAACAAGCACCATGATTACTAACACAGCGTGATCCGCAAAAGACCCAAGCCTGCGTCCCCAACGCGCACCCCATCTCGTTACTCGCACCCGCCTACGACCAGCAGATCTGTCCGCATTGGTCTGAGCGATGGGAGATCAGGACACAGCCGTTTGGGTGTCAGGTGTCGAGCATTACGAGCCTGAGTGTGTTGGTGGCGGTAGCGGCGACGTTGGTTGTTGTGGGGTTGGTTTGGACAGTTGCTGTGATCTGGCGGCGAGCAAAGAGTCGATTGTGGGCTGAGAGTTGGACCTCTCGATGGAGGGCTTGGAAGAGCAAGTGGGATGATGGAGTCGGTGTGAAATGGGTGTTGTGGAGGGGTGAGGGCGGGGATGGAGGTGGTGAGAGGGTTGAGAGAGTTGGAGAGGAGGAGCCATTGTTGGGGTCAGTTTCGTAACATTGAATTAGGTACAGTAGTTTAGGTGGTCATCACAGGTACGGGCTAGTAAGGCGTCTGGTCATGTTGTGGTATTGTTATTACATAGTATGGGGCGTGGTGTCACCCGGAGCTGACTGGAGGAATGATGGCAACCTCGTCGCCTTCTTGTATCACAATTTCATCCTTGTCCTCAGGGGCCTTGTCATCTGGCACATCTGCATAGGCCAGATTGATTGTGACCAGGCTGTGGTCCAGCACACTCGCCCGAATGCCCTGATACCGCTCCTCTAGTGTGCTAAAAAGCTTCCTCAGGGGAAGCGGCGCAGGCAGGGCTTCGACATTCTTGGATGTGTACGAGCCGGCGCTGGCAAAGTACAGAATGTTGAAGTGGCCTTTGGGAGGCTTCGGCGTCATTGTCCTAACTCTAGCTCCAACCGTGACTGTTAGCTTCTGACACTGACAGAAACTGCAAAGAGAAGAAGGATTGATGTCGGTTGTCAGAGATCTTGGTGATTTGAGAATACATCAAATTGTTTTCAGGTAATACATGCTATTTAGTGCATCATCCAACCGGGGAAGAGGGAGCATGACAAAGGGCGTTTTCAACTTACAATTTCTGCTGTGGGATGGTTTGGTCGAGAGAAGTCGGCCCCTCCGAAGAAATCCCACGCTTGATAAGCTCTCGCCGGGCGCGCCATCACGTGCATGGCGATACCGCAGCTGCTCAAGACATCTTTCTACCGGCCTCTATAAATGTTGGGCGTCTCTTGTAAGCCAATGGCTATGGCGCGCAAGACCGAAAGCTTGCGTTCCATTGCCTTTGAGCTGTGTTGAAGGAAAAAAAAATCGAAGGAAGGTTCGCTGGAGGTTTCTTGGAAAATTAAACTTGCGGTTGAGGGGGATCTCTGCCGTTTGATTGGTCAATGCCTGACCCACTCCCGCCTTGCAAACATCCAGGGGCCGAAGCTGCGACAGCTGCCAGTTATTATTCCACCCATTCTCCAGAGCCAACACTCAAGCTTCGGCCAGTCCATGTAATAGCATCTCGCATTGGGTATCACTGCGCCTGCCGCTACGACAACTTGGACATCTTCTCCTCAAGATCCTTCACCCACCCAGACATCACATCCACATTCTTGGCCATGGTTGCATCTCCTGCCCTGACGGCAGCCTCGACCTTCTCCAATCCCTCCCGCCACTGCCGGATCTCGCCAGCCATCTCGGCCTGCTTCTTCTCCAGGCGCGCCAAGGTCTCCGCCGCCGTGGCTGCATCCGCATGTATCGTCCGAAGCGAACGGAGCCGGTCTAGCAGAGGCGGCAGAAGAGGTGTCAAGTTTTCGATGGTTGGGAGGGTGCCGTAGAGCGCATTGATCTTGGCTGTTTGCTCCGAGTCTTCGGGAGAAGCTTCGGCCGTTGGCGCAGCTCCCGCCGCAACAAGTGCCTCGTGCGCTGACTTGGCGTTTCGGCGGGCCTTCTCCAGGTTTTCGGCCTCCTGAGTCAGCGCCCGCACCCTCCGACTGATGCTATCCAGAGAGGGGACTGAGGCCTCAGACAAAGTCGAGATCTGCTTGTGAAGGTGTTCAAGGAGAGGGATGATGGCGCGCGGTAGGCCATTCGAGTCAAACTCGGGCATGGCCGCGGAACCAATGGCCAGTGCCTTCTCCAGGACCACCAGACGCCGGTCGAACTCCGCGGCTTTCTCCAGAGCATGTGTCTGTTCATAGCTTGGCGCGTATGTTATCGCGTAGCTGATGCTGTCTTCGGGCTCTCCGGGAGCCTTTCCCCCGAGACCGGCCGGTGGGGATGTAGGGATGAGGCGAGGGGCTAGTGATTGGCCGAGCCCCGAGATCTCATCCAGCATGTTGCTGAGAGACTCGAATTCGCCCTCGGCAACCTCTTCATCCTGGGTTTGGCTCGATGCTGCCTTCTGCTTCCCATATTCTTCCTTGGCCTCTTCAATTTCACGCTTTAACCGCGCAATCTTTCGCGCGAGGTTACCTGCGTCGTCCTCATCGCTCAGGTCGCATATCTCCTCTGTGCCGTCCCTGAGAATCCGGTGCCGTCGCGTTGATGTCTTGTACGACTTCCGTTTACTGACCAGGCGGTCAGAGAAATCCACGTCTGTCGCGTCTACTGCGGCCGGCATAAACTTCGATCTAGCCTGGTTGATCCGGAGACGCGATCGTGATATCCCGGTCGCGTCGCCCTCGTTGTCGTCGTAGTCATCGTCGGAAGGCGACCGCACCGTGGTCGACTGTAAAAAGGATCAGATGTCTGCTGACACGCAGGCGGGGTCACACGAACCGGAACTGTTGACTGGTCGTCAATGAGCTCTGGAGTTTCGTAAATATCTGGTGCTGAATCCTGGCCCAACAGCATTAGCTGACACGACCACTGTTGTTCGTTCCCAGTTCGCATACCAGATCCGGCAATGCAGCGTACTTCCTGTTAGAGGACATCGTGATTCTGTACCGTAACGCCTCCCGAAAAAATTTGTCTGCCGTCGGGGCAACCCAGCCTAATCCTGCGTGATCTGGTTTGTGTTCCGGCCTCCGATATTAAAGGGAGGTTGTTGGTCCCCTGTCCAATTGTCACGCAGCAAGTCCATTTGAGGCTGCAGGGCCTTGGCCAAGCTTGAGTGGAGACTTGGTTGACACTAGCTCCGTACGGATTACACTGTACACATACTTGACATGGTGCCAAATTGCCAATGATGGGATAGCCTGAGGCCCACTACACTTCCAGCGTCGCGTCCAAAACCGACACAATCCGGACGCGACTGCCATCTGAGACGGTTTGTATGCATCTCGAACTTCCAGGTTTGATCTATTGGTCAATGCGCTTCATACGCGCCTCTCAGACCGCATCTTTAACCGAGTTTCTTCCACATGATCAGTCTGCTCGCATCAGGGCTGACGACAACTTGTCACACTTCGCTCAGCATATACTCACAGACATGTGACGCAACCGAAAGACGTTATAAGAGCGGGTTTTGACCGGTTACTGTCACAATTTCCAGTTCCTTCTACTTCTTGTAGAGCGAACTCAGCTTCCCAGGCATTGCATCCTGTCGTTTTGCTGTATTGAAGCAAAAAGTGCGCATTGACAGCGTCTATTTCGCGGCTGCCTGCTGTCGGCACCCGGTCGAACCCTCCCATTCTACGATCTCGAATCTTTTACCAAGCTCTATCTGGGTTGTAACCGGCTTGACCCGATCTCCCAGTTGTCTATATGGTCAGCCAGCGCTTTGTTGGCCTCAGCAAACAGCAGCCCGTTCCTCGGCTCTTGAGTGTCATCGGCAAAGCCCCGGTGACGAACGAGATGAAGGACGTCCCTGTGGATGCGCCCCCATTGAGCAGCTCGAGCGACGACGACGGACTACCCACTAGAGGGGAAATCCGGCCCAGTGTCTTTCGCCAGCGGTTATCACCTGCTCATGATGCCAACAAAGCCAGGACGGACCGGCACTCGACGGCATCCGCAGGGCGCTTCAAGCGGACCAGAGCACCAACACGGCTGCCCGAAAGGAAGCTGCCCGGTTCGAGTCCCAAGGAGCCGACGGATAGACAGCTAGAAGCGATAGAAAGTGACACTGGAATGAGCTCTCCTGCCTCGAAGAAATCTAAGAGGAGTCCACCAGGCAAGGACGAGCAAGACAGCCCCTTTCAACGGAGTATCTTTCTGCACAAGCCCGTCACGCGGCGTTACAGCAGCAAACCAAAGGTGTTCATCAGCAAGCCCAAGCCATCAGCCAAACCCAAACGCCCACCAAAGGAGGTAACATCGGATGAAGATGAGGATGCGCAACGGTACAAGCTCAACATCCCAGACTTACCATCGTCGCCCGGGAAAGGTTCCGCCTCGCCAGCCCGGAGGTTCAAGGCCATGCCCGGTAGTGACTTGGACTCACCAGCAAAACCGTCTCCGACACGAAAGAAGCGGTTGAAGATGCCTTATGACGGCAGCCCGGGTTTTCCAGCAGACCGCGATATTGCAGAGGAATCGCAACGTCCAGTGCTCCGCATACCAGACGAGCTCCCAGCTTCGTTTTTGGCAGGCGATGGCAAGAGAAGGGAATTTGCCTCCTCTCCACTAGCCGATCCGTCCAACTCACCCAATCTACTCCGAGACTCAACCTCCTCCCCCTTGACCGACCTCGACTCTCCCGAGCCGGACAAGGACCCCGTCTGCCCGCTCTGCGGCAAGCAAGTGGAAAAGGCCCACCTCGACGAATACAAGAGGAACAACCCACGCGGCAGGGTCGCCAACATGCGACGCTTCTGTGAAGGGCACAGGAGGCAGTCTGCGCGGGAGACGTGGGTCCAAAGGGGCTACCCGGACATCAACTGGCAGCGGTTCGACGAGCGCATCGCGCAGCACTACCCCTATGTGAGCAAGTTGCTTGAGGAGACTGGAGAGGTGGAGGAGTCGTCGCACTACCGTCGCCTGTTTGGCGAGATGGTCCGCACCGGGCGGAACAAGTCGCTGCTGACCTCGGACGTCAGTCTCACGCCGGGCTACTACGGCTTCCGCGGCTTGCGAGCCATGACGGAGAACCTGGTCACCGAATTCGGGCCGCTGCTGCTGAAGCGGGCGCGCGAGGACAGGCTGGTCTCGGCCCGCGGGGCGACCATGTACCTGCAGATGGTGGTCGTGCCCGAGCTGGCGGTGCGGCTTATTATGGAGGATATGAGCGTCGGGGAGGAAGAGGCGAGGGAGATACTGGCTGGGAGCACCGAGGTTGGGGAGCTGTTGAATGATGAGATTCCTGATGTTGTTGCTTCGTCGTCGGATGACGATGATGAAGAAGATAGGAGTAGGGACTAGGGGGACCATGTGCCTGGGTTGTCTTCGGGTCTTTGATGTGGAAGTTACGACAAGAAGAGGAGCTGTAATGCGGCTGTACTTGGACATGATGTCCCGTCTAGCTCTTCATGGGGTCATGTCCGGAAATCGGTTGTCAAAGGAAACAGATGCACAGATGCCCATGACGGACAAGTGGCGTGCAGGAACATGGCTGTCAGGAGGTTGAAATGTATGGCTCATGCTCTGTAAGAGGATGATACGCGCTTCGTAGGAGCGTGTCCCAAGGTTCGCGAGCACCTCCCAGATATCACCTGTGTTTGGGCCTGCGTAAGGTTACATGGACTTGCACAAAGGATCTCCATGCGCCTCGATGGGTATGGTAGCCGTCGTTGTGTAGAATGTATCGACTAAGTCTGGCGGATTCCCCTTCAGGCTACAAACGGCACACTTTTACGCAAATTCCGGCTTGGGGTCTGTTTGTAGAACGTCTCTCTTTCTACTTATCCTGATCGGGAAATTCTTCGCTTGGTCCACATACATCACTCAGGTATGCTAGCGCCCCGGATATATTTGTGGAAAACCACCCCCGCCGACCGACGACACCCTTCTTTCCATTGCTAAGGTAGCCGGCACAGATGTCGTTGCTGACGGTCAGCTCAACGTCGAAATTTTGATGTTACAGAGTTCGGCTGGGACCATGATATTCATTTTTGACTCGTTACGGACCCGAGCTACAACCAGACTCCGTCAAGGTCTGGACCGGAAAGTGGCATCATTCGTGCTGGATTGGCCTGCTCTTCACAAAGAAAACTCCTCCAATGCTTGTCATAGAGCCTAGAGCCCAAAGTCAGAAGTCTCGACTTGGTTTCTTTATCGGAGTGGGGACAACGCAACCTTCGCCAAGGGCTGCTTGAAACGGTTACCGAATGGAGGTTCCCGGTCAGGATATTACCTCATAGCCAATCTCAATCCTAAGTTGACACACGGGCGTGGGTACGAAAGATGCACGGCAGACAATAATCACATTCGTCTGTGAATTGCTGTATCAATCGCGAACCAACCAGTTTCAGGACCATCCGGTCATTTCTGGAGCATATCGGACACCAGCGTATGCCATTCATTCTATCGAGTTGTTGCCCAAAATTGCGATGACACGGAGAATTATCTTGAACCGCGGGAGGTTGGAGAAAGCTTGGTGTGCAGAAAGCTTAACTTAAGTGGGCTTAGGATCGATACGCGAGCAGATCCAGTCTCCGCCGTCTTCGCACAGACCATCTATGTGTTTCTAACACTGGGCTGAGCCATCGTGTAAGCGTTCATGATGCTTGAGTCGGTGGCGACGGGGTAGTTGACTCCAGCTTAGGCCCTAAATCCTTCCGAGGGCCTTGGAGAATGGTCTGGGGTCGATGCTGGGTTCCCGAAACACCAAGTCCAAACCCTTAATCAACCTTTGGAGTAGTCAGTACAAGGCAAGGTACAGAATACCAGTAAATGTTCCAGGCACAGATTCAAGATACACTCCAGTAATAGACGTACGGCCTAAGTAATATTTTCTGTTTTCAGCCACTCGTGGCAACCATAGGTAGCACTGGAAGTTTGGGGCCCCTAGCTGGGAGATGTCCCGAATACCTTAAGGTACCGTAGTGAAGCTCAAACTGTGGTAGCTTTGGGACTTTGGCGATTCCCTGCTACTTGTAGCTTCGGTACCTTATTTGAAGAACTCGCTCGACAAGAATTGGTTGCTCCGGGTCCAATCGCATCCCAAATGCTGTGAAAAAACCATGTGCTGGCAATAACGGGGAGAGCCGCGCCCACGCTGCCTGGTCCCTTAAGAACCAATCCGTCGAATTCAGGCTTGGGCGCATCAAGCGGAAATGGGTCACACAGCTTGAAGGTTCCCGTGACTGAAAGCATCTGATATTGTAGAGAGCTAGGTACGTACTACTCTTGCCTGAATGTAAGGGCTCATCAAGCAGTGGAAAGAAGTTCTAGCCGGCTCTTGAGGTTTCAAGGTCGGTGTAATAACAAATCCCATGCGACAGCCTCCACTTTCCGAGCCCCATGTCTTCCAGGTTGCAGCCCCACCACCCAGCACGATGGATGAGCACATCCCAATCCACAGACCCACCGAACCACAGGCCCGCAACCCTGCCGCTGTCCTGGGCTGTGTGTGCTTCAGCCGCTGTGTGTTGAGTCTCGCTCCATTTTCCATTGCCTGGCCCCGTCTCCAGCGCCCATCCACCAACCACCATTGTCGCCCGCATTGATACCGACGACCGCCGCAGACAACGAAAAGGACGGCGCCGGAAACTATACCTGAGGCAATGACCTGGAAGACGACGTCGCCCCTGGAGAGCATGCGTGGAATGGAAGTCGCCTATTGAACCGTTCCTTTATCCGCCCGCGGGTTGCCGCTTGCACGCCGTGACAATGCCCCGACTCGACGACCGGGAAAGCTCTCGCTTCAGCTCCATGACGGGCTCCAGCACCGACAGCGGGAGATCTAGCATCACGGTAAAACCGCTGCCTCTAACACCCACGACCCCGTCGCTCCCAAGCTTCGTCAGTGCAGCAAACAATACCGTCAGGGCCGCCCCGCATGGCTCGCGGCGAGCGGCTCCGTCGCGCCTCAAGACGGACGAGAGCGGCAATCTAATACGGTGAGTGGCGAGCTCCACCACTGCGAACGCCCTTGCAAGCTGCCCAGCACTTGGTTCTGATTCCAATGCATTCCTTGATTATCCACTCGTTGAACGTCAACTGATGGGATGCCTCCAACGGCATCGTCGACCCCAGTTCCGTGAAGGATTCCGACGGCCAAGTCTCGCCGACATCCAACGGCGCGCGCCTCGCCCTTTCCCCTTCCTCAATAAATTCCAACACGTCGATCCGTGAACATGCCATGAGCGACCTTTTGGATTATCGTCGCGACCTAGCGATCCTCGACCCCGCCGGCGGTCGGTCGTCGCGCAACCAACAGACGAACCCGTCCACCGGCTTTCTGAGCCATGCCGCGCCCTGGATGGGCAGCAGCAGCGGTATTACCTCAGCGCCGCCCTCTTCCAACACCATGCCCACGACATTCTACAATGACTCAACGGATAACCTATCCCTAAGCTCCCAACTCTCTCCCGGCATGCGGACCTCCACTAGCCGCCCAACTCCCGCCGGCAGCACTGACTCGCCCGACGCTGCTTACTTTACCGACGACAGGCGTCCCTCCATCGCCAGCATCGCTACCACAGCAAGCAGCCAAGGTTCAAGAGCAAGCGGTACGAGAGGGGGAATGCGGAAGCTGCAGGGCTTTTTTGGCGAGGAGTTTCCCGGACGAGACTCGTCCGAGGTCAGCCTCTCCCAACCTAACGCCGGAAAGGAGCACCGCTCGCATTCGTACAGCTACCATCGGCCGCCGCACAGGGACCGCAACTACTCCAACGCTACCGACCATGGCAGGGATGGCTCCCCTTCGTCGCGGCCCCGAACGCCGGTTCCGGCTCCCGAAGTGGTGCCGTTTCTGTACCAAGAAGCCGATGTACGTTGCTTTGACCCCACACCGCTACCTTAGCCTCGAAACGATACCCTCCCCTTTTCCTCTTTGGGCGTTTTGCCCTGCCAATCAACCACAACGCTCCACGTTCTGCAATTCTTTGTGCTGTTCCTTTGACTTTCATGCAAACATCATGGACTTCGCGATTCTGACCGCCATCACATAGGACATTGCGCGATACGGAGAAGCGCCCGTCCGAGACATCCTCAGTGGCCCTGATCGCGACCGCTTTGCCACCGAGGGTACCGCGCAGAATCCGCCGAAAACATCCGGCTCCGGACGGTCCGGTCACTCAATTGTGCACCTGCCCGGGCACCATCACAGACACAACAAGAGCAACGACGACCCCAGGTCGCTACGCCCATCCGTCAGTAGGGAGGATTCCACAGCAGCCACGGTCAAGGAGCGCAGTGGCTCGACCGCCATGTTTGGCCATAGGTCGCGCGCTCAGAGCCCGGCTCCGAGCGCAAGCAGTAGTTACTTCAGTTCCAAACACTCTGGGCCTGATGGACAGACATCACCAGGCCACCACCACAAACGGCGCTTCCTTGGGCGTTTGCGCGGGAGGAAGGAGAAGGACGACGCAGCAGATCTGAGGAAACTCCCTGGGTCTTTCCAATCGTTCCAACATCGGCCAAGCAAGCATGATTTTCCGTTCTCTGGCGAAGGCCAGCCGCCCCAGGGCGCCGAATGGTTAGCCTCGCCCGACGTCCGCGATACATACGGAACGCGCCCCGGGTTTGTGCGCGGCGCTACTTTCAACAACAAGTTCCCTTTCTCGTCCAAGAAGACCCGTACGCTCAGACAGCACGACGATACAGAGGACAATATCGGCCCCACCGACAGGCAAGACTCAGGCGGCACCATGTTCCACCTCGACACAAACCTCAATGATATGGAGGGGATTCTCAGCAGGCCGTTGCCGTTGACGCCAATGGACCCGGGCTTCCTGAACGAAATCGACTTTGACAAGTTGCCGATCAGGTCCACCGACCCAAGCGGTGCATGGAATGCCCCCGACAGCTGGGCGGTCCGCCGTGGGAACGAGGCCTTGACCCAAGCTCCAGAAGCCGACGACATAGGGAGTCCGCCGAGACCCGAAGAGAAGTTGACCAACTACTGCATCCGCGTCTTTAGGGCCGACGGCACCTTCGCGACGCTCCAGCTGGCGCTGGACGCAACCGTCTCGGATCTCATTTCCCAGATCGTCAAGAAGTCTTACGTGATCGACGGCGTCGAGAACTACAACATCGTCCTGAAGAAGCACGACTTGATCCGAGTGCTGACTCCCGTCGAACGTCCGCTCCTGATACAGAAGCGCCTGCTCCAGCAGGTCGGATACGAGGATCGAGACAGGATAGAGGACATTGGGCGCGAGGACAATAGCTATCTCTGTCGCTTCATGTTTCTGTCGTCGCGGGAGAGCGATTTTCACGCCATTGCGCACGATGTGGGATTCGGTCGGATGCAAAAGTACAGCCATGTCGACATGTCTGGCCGCAACTTGAGCGCAATCCCGGTTATTCTCTACTCCAGAGCCGCCGAGATCATTTCTATCAACCTGTCGAGAAACCTTTCTCTCGACGTGCCGCGCGACTTCATACAGTCGTGCACAAGCCTGCGTGACATCAAATACACCAGCAACGAAGCCCGCAAATTGCCAGCGAGTTTCGGATGCGCCAACAAGCTGACGTACTTGGACGTCTCCAATAATCGCCTAGAGCGGCTAGAGCACGCTGACCTCGATAGGCTCACTGGACTACTCAAGCTCAACCTGGCCAACAACCGCCTCAGCCAGCTACCTGCCTACTTTGGCAGCTACACAATGCTGCGCACATTGAATATTTCGTCGAACTTTCTGGAGAAATTCCCTGAATTCCTCTGTAACCTGGAAAGTCTGGTCGACCTGGATCTTAGTTTCAACCTTATTTCCGACCTCCCAGACTCGATCGGGAAGTTAAGGAGCCTTGAGAAGTTTGTCATCACAAACAACCGACTGACTGGAACTCTTCCCGAATCCTTCAAAAACCTGAGCAGCCTCCGTGAGCTTGACATCAAGTACAACACGATTGCCAGCATTGATGTCATTGCTCAACTTCCGAAGCTAGAGATTCTCACTGTCGACCACAACTCCGTCTCCCAATTTGTTGGCACGTTTGACAGGCTCAGAAGTCTCAAGCTGAACTCGAACCCCATCACCAAATTTGAGATCAGGTCGCCCGTCCCGACCCTCAAGCTTCTCAATTTGTCCAACGCCCAACTGGCCAGCATTGACGAATCCTTCAACAACATGCCAAGCCTCGAGCGGCTGGTTCTGGACAGGAACTACTTTGTTTCGCTGCCGAGCCAGATAGGCAACCTCAGGAAGCTCGAGCACTTCAGCATCGCTCACAACTCGGTGCGCCAGCTGCCCCCCGAAATTGGATGCCTCACCGAGCTTCGGGTATTGGACGTCCGCGGAAACAACATCCGCAAGCTTCCCATGGAATTGTGGTGGGCAAACAAGCTCGAAACCCTTAACGCGTCATCCAATATTTTGGACCACTTTCCGAAGCATGCCTCTCGGGCGCCGCAGCCTCCTGAAGACCCGAGTAGCACAAGCACCTCCCTCAGCAGCAAGTTCTCAGGGACGACGCGCGCTCTCTCCCCAATGCCGAGCGTCGAGGAGCTCAACGGCGATGCGTCCAGGCGCCCAAGCCAAGCTTCCAGCACGCTTCTCAGCGTCGGTCCGTCGCCTGTCCCGGGAGGTGGCGATAGAAAGGGCTCCATGGTTTCGCTGTATGGAAAAGGAGGCCGGAAAACGTCTGTGGTGTCGCGGAGCACACAGAGCAGCACCGCGACGACGGGGCCCGGCCTGCGGAAGGATTCTGGCCTCACAGCGATTCTGACCAACACCTTTGCTGGCTCCCTTAGGAATCTGTATCTCGCAGATAACCAGCTGGATGACGACGTGTTTGACCAGATTACCCTTCTCTCTGAGCTTCGCGTTCTAAATATCTCATACAACGAGCTGAGCGACATGCCGCAGCGCTCCATTAAGAACTGGCCGCAGCTGACCGAGTTGTACCTTTCCGGCAATGAACTCACGAGCCTCCCTGCTGATGACTTGGAAGACTACTCGCTTTTGCAAACGCTGCACATCAACAACAACAAGTTTACGAACCTGCCGGCCGATATCTCGCGGGCGAGGAGGCTAGCCGTGCTGGATTGCGGCAGCAACTCGCTCAAATACAACATTGCCAATGTGCCCTACGATTGGAACTGGAATCTCAACCCCAATCTGAGGTATCTCAACCTCTCAGGTAACAGACGCCTCGAGATCAAGCAGAGCTTTCCCGGCGGGGTCGGCCAGAACCGCGAGCAATACACTGATTTTAGTCGCCTTGCCAATCTCCGCGTCCTGGGCCTTATAGATGTGACTCTCACCCAGCCCAGCATTCCCGACCAAAGCGAGGATCGCCGTGTCAGAACCTCCAGCTCGCTAGCGGGATACATGCCTTATGGCATGGCCGACACGCTCGGCAAGAACGAACATCTCTCCACCATCGATCTCGTGGTCCCCCGCTTCAACTCGTCCGATTCGGAGACCCTCCTAGGCTTGTTTGATGGCCACGCATCCAGCAGCGGCGGTTCCAAGATTGCCAAGTACCTCCACGAGAATTTCTGTCATATCTTTGCCCATGAATTGAGGGAGCTGAGAACGAACGTCGGCGAGAATCCGCAGGACGCTTTGAGGCGTGCCTTCTTGGCACTGAACAAAGACCTGGTCACTGCGGCCATCCAACACACCGAAGATAGGTCGCTCATGACGCACCGCGGATCGCAAGCTCCGCTGGTTCTTAGCAAAGAAGACCTCAACTCCGGGAGTGTGGCCACCGTCGTCTACATTGATGAGCAGGAGCTGTACGTTGCCAACGTGGGGGATGTGCAAGCCATGCTCATCCAGACCGACGGCCAATCCAAGATGCTCACCAAGAAGCACGACCCGGCGGACCCTCCTGAGCGCTCCCGCATCCGGGATGCTGGCGGCTATGTGTCACGCCAAGGGCGCCTGAACGAAGCTCTTGCTGTGTCCCGGGCTTTTGGGTACGTGGACTGGATGCCTGCGGTGCAAGCAGCGCCTCACATCAAACACCACACGATTGGAGACCAGGACGAGACGATCCTCATCGCTACCAGAGAGGTGTGGGAGTACTTGACGCCGGAGCTCGTCGTTGATGTTGCCCGCTCCGTGCGGGGCGACTTGATGCGAGCTGCTCAAAAGATTCGCGATCTCGCAATGGCCTACGGCTCCAAGGACAGAATTATGGTCATGATGCTCAGCGTTGCGGACCTCAAGCGACGGCGCGAGCGGTCGCGGATGCATCGGGGCCAGAGCATGTCGTGGTTCAATTTCCCTCAGGACGACACTGGCCTCCCGGTTGCGACACGCCGAGGCAGAAAGGCCAAGGCGGAGGGCCCACTTGATTCGACCCTGCAGCGACTCGAGGCCGAGGTGCCGGCGCCGACAGGCATGATTGCGATCGTCTTCACCGACATCAAGAACTCGACGCAGCTTTGGGAAACCTACCCCGAGGCTATGAGGTCGGCCATCAAGCTGCACAACGAAGTCATGCGTCGACAGCTCAGACGCATCGGCGGGTTCGAAGTCAAGACGGAAGGCGATGCCTTCATGGTGTCGTTCCCCACCGCCACCTCGGCGCTCTTGTGGTGCTTCGCCGTCCAGACACAGCTTTTGACGGTCAACTGGCCCAACGAGATGCTCAACTCGATCAGCTGCCAGCCGATGTTTGACAGGGACAACAAGCTCATCTTCAGGGGCCTGTCGGTGCGGATGGGCATCCACTGGGGCGAGCCGCTCGCCGAGATGGACCCGGTGACGCGTCGCATGGACTACTACGGTCCGATGGTCAACAAGGCCAGCCGGATCTCGGCCTGCGCCGACGGCGGACAGATCACCGTGTCCTCGGACTTCATCATGGAGATCCAGCGCTGCCTGGAGACCTACCAGGAATCGGGGACTCCGGCTGAAGACACATTTGACGATGACAACTTTGCACGCGCCATCCGCAACGAGCTGCGCTCCCTGAGCAGCCAAGGGTTTGAAGTCAAAGACATGGGCGAGAAGAAGCTCAAGGGCCTCGAGAACCCGGAGTACATCTACTCGCTCTATCCGCACGCTCTCGCGGGCCGGATCGACCAGCACAACCTCCACGAGCAGCAACAGTCGAACTCGGCCGACAAGCCCGCTACTCTCAGCCCGGACAGCCAGCTGGCCATCAACCCGGACGATGTGTGGGGCCTGTGGCACGTCGCGCTGCGGCTCGAGATGCTGTGCAGCACGCTCGAAGACGAGGGGAACCGCGGACTGCATCCGCCCGAGACGGAGCTCTTGGAGCGGATGAGGAAGCGCGGCGGGGAGGTGACGGAGCGGTTTTTGATCAACTTTATGGAGCACCAAGTGAGCCGGATCGAGGTATGTTGCCTTCTGCCCCCTTTTTTGACCCGTCAGGATGCAAAGGAGGAGAAATAACTAACCGAGCAAACAAAACAGACGTGCATCTCGACCCTCGCCGTCCGCCATCTCGCCATCACCAACGACCCTGCCAGACAGCTCAGCGGCCTGCGCGCGCCCATGGCCGACGTGCTGGGGACGCTGGCGGAGCGGCTCGCCCTCCTGCAGCGGTACGAGGCCCGCTTTGGACCGCTCGATAGCGATGTCGCCGGCGCTTCGTCGTTGTCGGGCATCACCTCTAGTGTGCCGACGTCTTCGACTACGCAGCAGCTGCTGCCGTATTTCAATGGCGGGCTGCAGGTGACGATACCGCAGGCTGCTGCGTCTTTGGGCTCGGGCCCGGGCTTTGCCTTGGTTGATTCCGGGGTTAATACGCCCGAGTCGTCGCCTTACTAGTGGCTGTAAAGTATACACCCGCAAGCGTGTTTTTGCTTTCGGTTTCATCTTTTAGTGCCCTTCTCTTTTCCTTTCTCCTTATGATGGGATATACTTCTCGTCTCACTTTCCCCCACGCCCAATCCTTGAACGCCTTCCTATATATACTCCTTCGCTCTACTACATTTCTGGTCGAGCGTTGGTGACGTTTGAGCACGGCCTCTTCTCTCTCTTGTTCTCAAGTGTTCGCCAGGAAGTTTGTTGATGTTGCTTGATGAAAGGAAAAGGGTTGTTGTTCGATTGCATTTTCATGTTTCGGGTTGGTCTGGTTCATGACCTTATTCAACAGCATTTGTTTTCCGCCGGGGGTATGGCGTGTTTAAATCGGCGTTGTTCTGTTTCGTTGGCGTCGCGCTTTTTCGGATAGTGATGGGGTTTCGTCTATTTCTTTCGTTAGCATGGGCTGTGACGGGTTGTGATTGTCTTCAGGCGGGGCTGGGCTGGGCTGGGCTGGGCTTGGTGTTTTACCCTGGGGACCATTGAATTGGGTTGGGTTTGGTGATTTCAAGGAATGGTAACTTTGACAGCGCGTCGCTATTTCGTTTTCTGGCGTCGGTACCGGTTGATCTGGCTTAAGGGTAGGGGAGCATCATTGTATAAGGCAATGTTAGTACGGAGCATCGTTATGTTCATTCTTAGTGTCGGGGGTGTGGACTCACCGCGACGAAACTCGGCGGAAAGGTAGAAGGTTACCACCGTGAAGACGAAGAAGTAATTGTTGAGTTCCGTTGACTTCTTTGCTTCGTTGACAGCAGTGTGCTTTTGACATCGGCGAAGGGGTTCGGTATGGCGAGGAAGCCCCTCCGATGGCAGCCGATTGCTGCGAGTGAAGGAGCTGTTGTTGGTATTGCTGCTGCTGATGATGTTCTCTTCCATGTTGAACAAGCGATTGTTGGTTCGTTGTGCTGCAAGGTCGGAAAGAAACGTGGTCGGCCGCGCCGTGGGTTGTTATCGCATCGTGGCTTGGAATGCCAGGGGGCGGTGGATGCTCCGGCCGCGGCCCAGCGAAGGGACAATGTTGTTGCTGCTACTGCTGTGCATCTGGTTTGGACTGCCGGGCGTCGCGGTCCCCAGGACCGCCAGGGGTTGGGCGCCAACCAACCCGCCGCCGTAGCTAGGCTTCGGGGGAAGGGGGCTATGTATCTCTTCCCAGTCAGGAGGGGGAGATTACTTGGATGGGTTGTGGTTTGGGCTGGGTCCGTGAAATAGGGTCTCGCTGGGCCGTCTTGTGAGTGGATGGAGCCCCTTGGGGTGGGCGAAGGCTTGACGGGAAGGAAGAGCATTTGTTGTAAGAGCTCTCCTGGGCCCCCTCCTCTCCGCCACCCCCTCCCCGAGGACTGCAACGTAGTCAACGATGGGGTTATGGAAGAGCGGAGGGAACTACCCAGTAGAGGAACGCGGCTAAGTGAATCCCCCGTGAGCTGTTCATAGTCTAGCCGCAAGCAGGATTGTTCCGATGAGCACGTCGTAGGATTCCTTGTCACGGTCTGTGAGGATCCGCCCTCGTACGGGTGTTCCGGCCCGTTTCTTATAGCTGGCAGACCCGTCGCGAGTGAGGAGGCGCCGTCGAGGCGGTTCTGGTCTCCTCCTGGCGGTCTGTCCAACACTGCCGGGGGGACGGCGCGGACGGCGAGACGGTACATGGTGATCGAGATGCTCGATGGCGTACGGCTCCTCCTGTCTGTGACCGGATGGCTGCTCTGGTTGTGATATTGAGTTGCTCGAGTAGCTCCAGGTCAATGGAGAATGAATGCGGCATTTGGAATTGGTCGTGTAACGTAAAGATCAGGTTGGTGGATGGGAGGAAAGGATATCTCATCGCGTTCCGCTATTATGAACTTTGAGCTATGGGGATAAAGGGATAAAGGCAGATAACTATACTTGCGCTTGTAATGCATTTAATGTTCCTTACTCTTAGTCGGTTATTATAGATATTCAGACGGGGTTAGGTTGCAGTTTAGATGTATTGAAGCTGCTTCTCGTTAAGTATAATGAACTGTCATGTCAGTTGGGCGAAGTCCCCGTCACTGGGGTAATAAGAACAGTTTCCCTTTTACCTTCTTATCTCCTTCCACTGAGGCTAGTACAGCTGAACATATCTGAAACAATTACTGCCCGCTACACAGGCACGGTTTACCAGAGGACTCTCCGTCACGGGTCACGAAGAATTCAGCTCCAACCGTCCGGATGGAGAGTGAAACAATTTACGCTTTACGCCTTTGCTAAATTTCTTGCTGGTTCAGGTGCTTTCCCCTCAATGCTATCTCACTCACTGTTTCCGTCAGTGAAGTAGGAGTGGGTGGTTGAGTCGATGCCCAAGAGCATATGCAACAGCGGACTGGACTTGTATCTACGGAGAATCCTTGTTGCCTTACTGGTTTGCTTGGATTCGAGTCCTGGGCCAACTCCCATCACGGGTATGGGCTGGCTGCTTCCTCCACAAGTTTAACATTCACTACACGTAATCCATGCGCTCGCCGCGCGTCAAAACTGACTCATCTATTCCAACCGCTACCTCGAACCAGGCCGTACATGCCGCCACCACCAGATCCAACAATGCACAACACGCGATATATAATGACACAGCCATCCCTGATCCTCCTTCCAACTCAAGCCATCCACCAAGTTCACACGACAACCCCCGATCCCTCTCCAGCAGCGCTTTTCTCATCCTCATCCACCTCCGCCGTCACCAACGTCCCCCCCTCCGTCTCCGTCTCATCAACCCCCATCTCCTGCGCCTCCTGATAATCCGCCTCATCGTCCGTCCTCTCCACCTCCGTCTCATGCTGCTGCTGCTGCTGCTCCTCCACACCAACCCCCTTCCCCATACTCTCTCCCCGCTCGCCATCATCATCATCATCATCAACAACATACGCCGTCGGAGGCGGCAACGGCTGCCCCTCCTCCTCCCCCGCACCTTCCACCCACACCTTCCCGAGCTCCCTCTCAATTTCTGCGTGCCGCGCCTTCCACGTCTCGACCTGCGCCAGCTTCTCGCGCAGCTCCTCGAGCTCGCGCCGGGCGTGCATCTTCTCCGTCTCGGTGCCGACGCGCTGGAGCTCCCACCGCACGCCACCGCCGCCGCTGCCGCCGTCACTTCCATTAAGTTGCTCGGCCTCGGCCAGGATCAGGTGGTACGTGTGGTACTTCTTAAGGGAGGCGCGCGTCGAAATCGTGATGAGGGCTTATGGGTTAGTTAGCAAAAGTTGGCATCACATCACATCTTGGACGACAAAGTCGAAAACTGTGGGAGTCAGTGAGTAAGTGAGGGTGACTTACTAATGCCCTTTTTCTTGCAGGTATCATACAACAACCCCTCGACGTCGCTCGAGACGGCGCTCGTGCCCTCGTCGATGAACGCGTAGCGGGGCTCGTGGTACAGCAACCTCGCAATCGCCATGCGCTGCTTCTCGCCCCCGCTCAGCACGTCCTTCCACTCCTTCCGCGTGTCCCACCCGCCCTCGCGCTCGGGGAGGTACGCCAGGCGGGCCAAGTCGAGCACGCCCCTCAGATGCGCGTCCGTCTTGCGCTTCTCCCGCATGTCGGCCTCGCCGTCCGGGTAGATGACCTGATCCCGGAGAGTGCCGATGCTGAGGTAGGGCCGCTGCGGGAGGAACATGATGCCGTCCTCGCCGTTGGCTTTCGGGCGGCTCACCAGCCCCCGGTAGACGGGCCAGAGCCCCGCGATGACGCGGGCGATGGCGCTCTTGCCGACGCCGTTGGCGCCCGAGATCAGCAGGTGGTCGCCCTGGCGGACGATCATGGAGAGCGAGTCGATCAGCTCGGTTCCGCCCTGCGGCCACAGCGACGGCGCGACGATGGGTACATGCTCCAGCCGCACGCCGTCAAAACCCAGCTGTGTCGTGCCCTGGACGTCCGACAGAGAGAAGAGCTCATCCTCGCCTACTTTGGGGTGGTAGGCCGCCGCGTGAACCCTGTGCAGCGTCGAAATGAGCGTGTACACCCGACTGGTATACCCGGCGAGCTCTCCAAGATCCTTGATCGAGTACATGACGCGCGAGCCAGCATCGGCGAGGGAAAGCATCAGCCGCTTGTTGGTGATGAAGTCTTTCATGCGCGCCCGTTCACGGCCGCCCTTTACGGCGCGGCCGGCCTGCTCCGACTTGCCGCCCAGACCGCCCCAAGCGGGTAGGAAAATGGGCAGGGACGCCAGGAGGTAGCCCGAGGCGCTCCAGCTATATTTGACAATGAAGTCCTCCAGCATGTTGTACCTGATCCTTGTCCTGTAGACGTGGTCCATCCAGTCCCTGAGCGCCTTGAACTCTCTGTTCAAGAAACTCTTCTCCGTCTCGGCGCCATTGTAGAAGGCGATTTCTTCGGCGTTGGCGATGAGGCGTGCGTGCAGACCGCGGAAGTCACCCTCGATCTTTCCCTCGGCAGCCTTCATCTTGGCAAACGGCGGGCTGAACTTGCCCATGACGGTGCCGCTAAGCCAGTAGCTGCCTACCAGACCAGCAAGGGCCAGTGGGCCGAGCGACCGGTATAGCTGGTAGTTGAAGACGCAGATGTCAACGAACGGTTTCCCCAGCGCCGAGTAAAGGGACGCTGTCGCGTCGCAGAACTGGGACAGATCCTGCGTAATGAACTGGTCCGCAGCCGACCCCAGGCCGCCATCCAGGTTATGAATCTTGTAATAGTTGAGGTTATCGTTCAGATACAAGTCGTGGACATAGCGGGTCAACCGGGTGCGGAAGGCGATGGCCACCTTGCACTCGAGGAACTTAATCATGGCGTTGGTGTACGAGGCGAAGCCGCCAAGGCCCAGCCACTTGACCAGCCCCCACAGGAACATCTTGCCGTTGCCGGCCACGAGATCGCGCACAATCTCGCCGTCGAGGCGGGCAACGACCAACGACATGTAGGTGCGCAGCATCAGGAAGGCGCTGTGGCTTACGAGCAGGACTGCCTCCTTGCTGTTCCAGCGGGGGATCATGATGCTCATGAGACTGAGGATCTGGTGGAGGAAGGCCAGGTTGATGCCGGGCTTGGTCTGGGTGGGAGGGACATGTCCGTCGCCCAGGCCGGACACGCGCGGGGGGTTCAGGAAAAGACGCCGGTGGGCCTGGAAGGTGAGAGGCTTGGTGGTGTGGATGACGACCTTGGCCGGGCGGTCGCGGTTGATGTAGGGCACGTAGATGGTCCGGGAGCCATCCGAGTTATGGAGCCACGAATTCGTGCGTACCAGCTTTTGGCCTTGCTCTCGTTCGGCGCGCTTGCGCTTCCATCGGCGGCGTGCGCACAGACCGGCAAGAATAATGGATGTGGCCAGGGCGAGAGTTGACAGGAGCCGGGCTGTTCTCGAGGTCCTGCGCAGCTTGGTGCGGATGATTTCGGTGTACTTGTCGATAAAGGCGGCGATGGCTTCTTCGGCGGCCGTGTGCCGCAGGGTCGATTGGGCGGCCATTGCCGGCTGCCAGTCGCTGGTTATCGCTCAGGGTTGCTGGAGTATCTTGGAGGGCACCGCTCGAGTCTCGAGATGCGACCTGTCGTGTGCGTCACCCGAGCTTCCGGGATCAAACGCCCTGTTCCATCAGCCCCGGGCAATGCTTGCGACCCCTTCAGTGTCGGCAGCGATCCGTCGGTCAACCTCTAGTGCCCGCGTGGTCGCAGTGTAATCGTGCTGGTAGTGTGCTGCAGTATTTATTGTACTTGTATTGTACAAGCGCTGCTCTGGCGTTGTGGATGCTGAGAGCAGGTCGTCGACCCCGAAAATCAGATGGTTTGGTATCAAACAAGACAGCCGTCTCGTCTGTACCAAGGACAGATTTGTTCTGGGCATTCGTGGTTTCGTCCTTAGGAGGGATATCCAGTGTGGATATCGGCTGCAGTCCGAGCCTCCGAGACTTGAGAATGCCGATGGCATGTGAACGTCCCAGCGGCCAGCCACAGTGGCCTTTCAGTCCCCGAACGTCATCCATGGCAGGCCACAGCCACTTTCCCCAAGGCCGCCACAAGCTTGCCCAATCAACAACTCTTCCCCGCACAACCGGACCCCACCGAGGACCATAGACAATAAGGGCTCCGGACTGGAGATGCAACGGGAACGTGGGGATGGTCGGTGCGCTTCCGGGAATCGTCAACCTACACCAAGGCGTCAAATACTCTGCCAAAGGATCTAAAATCTATTTATGGCATTTGTGCCAGCAAGAACTTTCCCCTGGTGATGCAAGGCTAGCGGGCGGATGCCGGTGCAGGTGCACCGATGCAGCCTTGGACTGCCAGCGTGTGAGCTGTGAAGCAGTCCGGATAGGAGGGTGCGGGGCCGTCCCATCGGGTTGTCGAGGTCTCGACCAGCATCACAACAACTTTTAGTCGAGAAACAGCAAAATTGGAAGCTCTGGACGAAGCACACTGTCCAACACGCATTGCACTCCGTCAAGTACGCATTTCCAGTGACACGACCGTTGCCATGACTGGACGGGCTGAGCGGTCTTGGGGCTGCTTGTCACGTTCCGGGCGCCAACATGGCCAATCACGGGGCTCCGTTGCAGGTGTCTAGCACCCCTTGCCGAGCAGATGCCGTGCTCTGGACTGTGGAATTGCCCATCCACCACAGTCCTCCGCTTTCCCCTGGGAGCCGGTGGAGGTTGTCGAACATGGAGAAATGCAAAGCTTCGTTGATTGATGAGTGTTTGGGGATTAGCTCATCTGCAGCAAGTGCCAATCAGACCCGACATGACCCTACGCCAGGTGGCTGTTTTATTCAATCCCTTCTCGCTGTTCGCAATCCGCTGCATTGGTTGGTAAAATGCCCCAGGTCTCTCGCTGAGAGTCCGATAACGTTTATGCGGCGTCAAACCAGAGCGGCACCACTGCCCGGCGCTGGTGTTGGCTTGGCCGCCAGACCTCCCTCTTCTTCTTACTCATGGATGGGCGGCTCCTATCTGGAAAAGGAATCAACTAGTCGCCAAATGAGAACTCACGAATGGCATTGAGTTTGCTGGTGGTCTTCTGTATACTGTATTATGCCAGCCACCTGAACTAGGTAGGCGGCGTTCCCAATTCATCCATGCGAACCGTGAAACGGTTGTCGGCGGCGAGGTGCTTGCATGGAATATTCGTAGAACGACTTCGCAACAACGTAATCATAAGGTAGTTTACTATGGAAGCTGCTGTCTCGCAGAACGGGGAGCAACCGCGACCCACCATCAGATTGGGAGCTGGGGCACTTCCCATCAATAACGTTTGCTAGCGGATGTTGCAGCTGGTACGAGTCAAATACTCGGTCAATGAAGGGCCGTGATGGAGAATGATAAGGCGAGGGCTGACCGCCGCATGTTTTGGTGCCTGAGATTCCCAAGTGGGCTCTAACAATTATCATCACAACGCTCCGTCCACCTTGTGCCTCCGCCTGGCTAATCTCTGCAGGGCAGTTCGCTATTCCACTCTTGGGCTGCCTGCTCACCCCCAGTCCACTGTCCTTCAGCGATCCCAGTACCTGACCCGACCCCATCACCCTTTCGGTCAATCATCTCGCTTGCGCTCTCTCGACCTCCTCAGCGTCGAGCCGCCCTCTTCTTGCTCTAGTTATCCGCTTGGCCATCGGCTGGTCATCGGCTCGCCATTTTTCAATCGGCCGGCGTCTTCTTTCGACCCGGTTTTCCTGACTGGACGTTACCTATCCTTCTCACGTCTTCCGAGGCAGACACGCACAGCCGTGTGTGCTTGTCCCTTTTCCGATCGGCTTGCGCGCCAAATTGCCGCCCGCCGCTGACCATTTGTCACGGTCTGCCCAACGTTTCTGCGGCAACAGCTTTATTTTCCGCGAGAAACGCGTATTCGAGATCAAAAATACGGCGAACACACCGGCGATCGTAGAAAGGCCGGCCCGGACGAGAGAATCAGCAACTATACGCAGGCTGACAGAGGGCTGGGCTCAGCTGGGAAGCTTCTGGGATATATCGAGGTGGGTTGATTCAGCTCGGATGAAGACGATCGCAACATCTCAGGAGTGCTCGCGTTGGACATCTGCCTCTTTCGCCTTGGCTAGGTGCCGGCGTATTGCGTTCACATCGTGTAATCGCAATGGAGCACTCATATACCCAACGTAGTCGCTCCTGACTACGCGTACCGAAATCGGCCCCCCCTCAGAACACTTGCATCAATGCCTCAAATGCCAGCTGACACGATTTGAAGGACTGGATTCCGTTCGCTAGGGCTATCGAAACTGCCGCCCACTCATTGACATGGCAAGGAGTATTGAAGAGAGGCCGCAAGCGGCTGAGAGCTCGAAAGAGAAGGAGATGCTAGCGCCGGATGACGGTGCCGCTTCTAAAAAGGGACGGGGGCTACTGTCGGTTCCGTCGAGGTCATCCTCGCAAAGAGTACAGCCCTCGCCGACAGCGACGGGATTAAGCGGTGCGACAGCCGGCGATTCGAGAGACAGCATCGGCGGGCGTTCCAAGGAATCAAGAGGCAGTATGTTACCGCCAAACCACGAGGGAAGCGCGTCTAGTAACCGTTTAGGTGCCGGAACAGGACCGACAGCGACACCGGGCCACTCGGAGCCCAACTCGCCAGCGACTGCTTCCCACAAGAAGAAGAAGGGCGGCCTCCTTGCCCTCTTTGGATGCTGCGGCGTGCCGGATAGCGCTAACGGCCTCGACACCGAACCCCCCATTCCGAACCACAAGCTCGAAAAGATACCCGCACGGCCAGCTACCGCTAGCCGCAGGACCGCCACGCCGTCGGAGCAACCCTCGGGCAGCAAAACCCACCTGTCCGAGAAAGAAGCCATCCAGCAGGCTCCTCCCCTATCCCAAGGTTCGGTGCGAAACGGAAAGCGGGTCTCGGGCACCAGCACCCAGGACCAGTCCACCGTTGGAGGCGAGCGGGATAACGAGTCGAAGCAGACAACGCTTGTTGGTCCAGGTTCAAGCAATCCAGTCATCTCAGTGGAACCACCACACGCGGCCAGCGCGGACACGGAGAATGTGGAAGAGGTCTCACCCGAGAAGGATGCCGAGGGCGACGTGCCAATGCCAGATGCCGAGGCCGCGCGGCAGCTGGTCGCCCAAGCGGCCGCAAGCACCGCAGAGGAACCACTCCCAAGGGTCCCTCCCCCACCTCCAGGACCGGTGCCGGCAGTCCCTACTGCACCTCCACACACATTAATCGAAAGTCCACCAGTCTTTGCTCCTGACCAACCTCAAAGATTCCTCCTGCCACCCCAGGCGCCCGAGCATAAAGGCCGGAAATGCCTTGTCCTTGATCTAGACGAAACATTGGTCCACAGCTCTTTCAAGGCAAGCTAACCAAAAGTCCCAACTGGGTGTCTAACACCGTACTGACTACTGTTCCCAGATTCTTCATCAGGCCGACTTCACTATACCGGTGGAAATTGAGGGTAACTACCACAATGTCTACGTCATCAAGCGGCCGGGCGTGGACCAATTTATGAAGAGAGTTGGCGAGCTCTACGAGGTTGTCGTCTTCACTGCATCGGTGTCCAAGGTATGAGGAACTAAGCATGCACCGACAGTTCTACAAGACGCTAATTCTGCCCTCTTAGTATGGCGACCCGCTCCTCGATCAGCTGGACATCCACAAGGTTGTCCATCACCGTCTGTTTCGCGAGAGCTGCTACAACCACCAGGGCAACTACGTGAAGGATTTGTCGCAGGTCGGTCGCGACCTGAAGGATACCATCATCATCGACAACTCGCCGACGTCGTACATTTTCCACCCTCAACACGCGGTTCCCATCAGCAGTTGGTTTTCGGATGCCCACGATAACGAGCTGCTGGACCTCATCCCCGTTCTCGAAGACCTGGCTGGCCCTAACGTGCGGGACGTCAGCCTGGTTCTGGATGTCACTCTTTAACATCCCCTTTTTCCTTTTCGCCGACCCGGCTTCTAATTCCGGATCGAATATCCTGCTGCCCGCCCATGGCTCGGTTCCGAATACCGTGATTATCTAGGCCAATGCTTGCTCGAAGCAAGAGGCTTAGCTGTGCCTACTTCCCATACTCCGAGCAGGCCCGTCGCGAGCGTCACATACCTAACCACACCAAACCCACCAATTCCACCTGTAGAGCGCGCCAGACCCTGAGCGGAGCTTCGTGGAGCGGAGCTTCGTGAAGCGTTGATGGCATCAAGGCTGTTTCGAATTTTGGAACTCTAGAGAGAACAAAACGCGGACAGGGGCGAGAAGCAGGGCTGGGCGCGTTCAAAACAAAAAAAAAATATCCAATGAGAAGCGCTTCTGGGAGTTTGGTATATTGTCGGGGAAACGGTTCTACCCCTTCTCTTCTTTTCTATGTCGTTTCTTCGTCTTTCTCCTCTCACATTAGCGGAGCTCTGAACAGCGGGGCGGGGCATGCGAGCAAGTCAGAGGTGGGCAGACGTCAGCATTGTCAGATATCAACCTTCTTGGTCTTGTTCTTTTCTTCCCTCTTCTTATGTAACAAACTCGGAGAGATCTTATCCATGGCTCAACCGGGTACTTCGCCCCTTCATGATCCTTTTGCAGGTCGAATCTGCTGCAAACCACTAAGTCATACCCCCATTCCCCTCCATTGACGGGTAGCGAACTAAATTTATCCCTTCCCGTTTTCTTATGTTGGCCCATACCCAGATCCCATACCCCATACCCCTTTCTCAACAGTTGTTGTTCTTCCTGGTTTGGCGAGCCTTTGTCACAGTTGCGGGTTTAACATTCACAATGTCTGTTGTTTTTGGTTGGAATTATACCATAACCTCACATCCCCTTGTATATTGAATCCGGCTCTGGTCCATTTGAAAGTTGGCGCGTTTTCAGAAGGCAAAATACGATGGCGGTTCTGCAGTACCTGTTACTTAGTATAGCGCAGTACGTGGCTTTCTTGCAAACCTTGAAACCAGAAGAGCAGAGATGGGATTTGTCATTATAGCGGCTGGACATGAACGATGCTTTGAGGAATCTTGGTTTGAGGCAAAGAGCAGCGATAGTGCCACGGAGGTGCCTTGAGATCTGGTTATATAGAGGCGAGTAGGGTAATTCAGCCGTTAAGGCGGCATAGCCGGTATTGCTTGTGAAGATGGGGGATGGGGTGGAGGTGCTGGGATTTGTCCTGTCGACACTCTAGTGTCGAGGCAAGACAATGGCCACGATTTATGTCCGTCCAACTCATAACCTACACTTTCCAACTTGGAAGATACCCTGCACTCATTTGAGCGGTTAGACAAGTACAGTTACCTTATGGGACATCAACCAGGATCAGCTGCTGCTAGAAGATGGATGTCTTGGCACACGTGCTGCTTAGCTGGGCCCTGACACTGACCCACAGTCCCGGCCGAACAAAATTGCGCTTTTCCAGCTCTCAGCCCATTGAACCCAGATCAGTGACTTCGTGGCCTCAATTGGGAGCACGGATCACCTGCCGATAATTAGGGGCGCGAACGCCTCTGAGCTCGACCATCGCCCAAATCAACCACGCGACCGACGACATTGACATCTCTGGCCACCACCCGTTCGTTCTCTCACTTCGCCGATACCAGGATTCAACCTTTACTTTACTACTTTCTTAATTCAATCAAAATGGTAAGTCCGTTCAATGACCCAATCTAGCACATTCATCAAAGACCCAACCTCGTAGCCCTCATCACCATCAAAATCCCCGTCACCTCCTCCCTCCATAGTCAACAACAACAACAGGGAAAACTAACAGGACCGTTCTTTCACACACAAGTCCTCGCCCCGCGCCGCCTCCCCGCCAACAGCCTCGGGCTCCGCAACAGGCGCTAGCCCCAGCCCGCGGCCCTCGTCGCCCGCGCCGCCAGGCGGCGCGCGCACCGCCATCCGCCGCCGCGCCGCCGCCGACCAGAAGGAGAAGATTGCCAATGCCCGGCCCAACAGCACGCGCGCCGCGGGCGCCGGCGGCTCCAGTAGCACCATGCTCCGGCTGTACACGGACGAGAGCCCCGGGCTCAAGGTCGATCCCGTTGTCGTGCTGGTGCTGAGTCTGGTGTTTATCTTTAGTGTCGTTGCGTTGCATAGTGAGTGGATCTCCATTCGCCTCTGCGTTGCTTGGTGAGGAACAAAAAAGGGTTTGATGATGGGTGCTAACGGTTGTTGGGTTAGTCATTGCCAAGATCACCCGCCGGTTCTCGAGTTAGATGCGGTAACAAGCCAAGGACGGGGAAGAGGGTTGAGAGAAAGACAAAAGAGGGCGTCGAGCGACGAGCAGCATGGCTATGGAGGCAGCCAAGATAGGGATACGGGACAGACGGACCGCTCAGGGGCATCAAGACCAAGGCGACTCACGGGGTTGAGAAGATGTCATATTGGGCTGTTAGGGGTTCAGATACCTTGGGAAAACCAAGCTGAGGATACAACAATGGGCTAAAGAGCACACAAGTAGTCTGGGCTGGCGCTATCCATACCCAATAAGCTCGGTCGTATGTGACTGTGGCGCGGCATAGCCATTTCAATTGTTGTACGATATTACTTAGTCGGGGTAAGCTAGGAATTTGAGGGTTCTTTCTTCGGGCAGACATGACAGTGTTTCGGAATGCTCGCAAATGCGTTTGGAGTCGTAACAAACCTCAATGGATCAGGCTCTCTTCAGCCAAGCTTCTCCAAACCAACAGACCAGGCCATACCAAGTAGTGTGGTAAACAACGTTGAAGAACTCGGCCGAGTAAGTTGCTTCAGCTTCGGTACTCTGAACGGTAACAAATTCGAACGTTGCAGTCTGCCTAGTGATCTGGCAGGGAAGCTTGAGGGTGTAGGGCATTCTTGGTCGCCCACGATACGTTCCTGTCAACTGGAGCCATTGGAGGAGTAAGGCGCATGCTATAAGCTCCATTAATCCAACCCAGCGCTGGATTTACAACGCTCATTATTCATTCCATGTTGGCTTTCATGTCAGTGTCACTGTTTATGTAGTGTAGAGGGCCCAAAGGACTTGGAAGAAGACTGCGAATATAAACGAGCACGTCAGACGGGTCGGCACATGTGTTTCACGGAAGAGTGTCCTCTGCTGGAAAACCTACGCACTCAGGAGAGCATCGCTGGACCAAGGCAGGTTGACGACGCAGGATACATAAGTCTCGCGGCAATGCCTGCTTCGGTAGTTTGTACCGAGACAGTTGCCAGCTTTGTCCGTCATTGCCCTTTTCAGTGAGCGGTCCTCCCGTGCCCGGCAGTACGGTGTCCTATGTCCGTCGTGATGGCTCTCAGTGGTCCAGGAAAAGGAATGCATGTCCGTGCGAAGTGCTCAAGGGGCCAAGCAGAGTAGAGCGCGCATTCAAGAGGCATGGGAGGGAATGGATGGGGCAACCGAAAAAAGGATGAAGTACAAGAAAAACAGAAGAAGTTGAAGAGAGTCGTCAAAGAGATAGTCAGGTACGAGCCGTCGGTCCTCAGCCTGATATCCTAGGCACTATAGGGGGGCCTCGGGTGGGCGACAAAGCTCCTTCTTTTCCTGCTTTCTTCTCCTAGCATGGTAGCACGAGATAAGCCTCACCTCCTGGGTCTTGGTGAGGTACCTCCCAAGCTAAATAACAACAAGCATGGAGACTTTGTGTCACCATACCCTCATGTCTCACATCCCGGCACGGGTTGGGCTGTGATCTGGCTTGTTAAGTGGTCGCATGGATGTGTCCTGAACCAACGACGTCTAAAGTTTCTGGCCTGAGGCTACCTACCTGGTAGGTAATATTGACTGCCTTGCAACGAGTCACTCACCAACAAAAGATCGCGGCGACTTTCTCGGCCCACAACACCATCTTAGACATGCATGTTTGGTAGTGGACGTGCAGCGAGTGGGACTTGACCTCGACTTACCCGGACAATTGACTTGCGTGTCTCCCATGATCTGGATGCTCTAGGTCGCCGTGTCAAGTCCGCTTTGAAATAGTTGAATGAGTGACGCTGCGGCGCCGTGGGCTGTAATTACCGTTGTGCGATAACACCGTGTGTGGATGGAGGTCAGTTAGACATGTAAAAGCAGGCGACCTGGGCGGCGCTGGGGAGGGAGAGAAAAGGAGCTGGATGGCGAACTCGAACTGACAGCCAAGCCCACCAGTCATGGCCAAAGGACGCGCCCAGAGGCGGGCTTCGAACACATAATCAGCTTGAGGGCTGGTCGCATGAAAGGATCGAAGCACATGTACGTAGCGTAGGGTGCCTGTTGCGACTTTCGTCATCAGGCAGTTGGCTGTGAGTATGGAGGGCGTGGTCGTCAATCAAACCGACGCCATTTGTCGGCTCTGATTGCCACTTCCAGTACAAAACCCCGGATTTCAGGTCTGGCAAGTGAGCAGCGTGGCTCGACGTTTCGTGGAGCTCGCGCGCGGGCGAGCAGATGTCAGCATTCCGATACCAAGTATCACTGGCTCACAGGTTCCAGGGTGCCATGCGAGGAGGAGGAGACCATCGCATAGGAGGCAGGCGGCCGATCTCATCGGCGTGGCGTTCCTGGAGCTTCACTCCTTCGGTAACAACGGCCCTGCATCGCGCGCCATTCTCTGTTGGCCGAGACATCCGTAGTTGTGCAGATTACGGATAATTGCTTGCATCTTCCAAGTTCTGCTTGGACAGATTTGCAACAACGAGTCCACCAGTTCAAGCTGGAGAGGGCTTGGTGCTCTTTGAGTGGTGGGATCCATCGGACCAATGCCAAGGCGTCCTAACAACTTCAATCAGCCCGACCCGTCGTGTGGGGAGCACGGATAATCTCAAGCCCCATGCTGAGAAGCGAAGTGTTCAGGTGCTTTTACCCCACACTTCGGGGCTCGTGGGCTCCCTGTTCTTAGATATGTCGCCGACTAACTGCGGGTGAATGGCAAGTCTCACCCGACGTCTGCTGGAATCCGTCCGTCTGGTGCTGGCGCTTCGATGCGAGGAGCCTCCATACTGTAACCTTCCATGGCCGAGCATGTAACCCTGGGCGAGGGTACGGCAAGCCCGAGCTAAGTCGAGCGACAAGCTTCGAGTGACAATGGCGGACCGTCGAGTGTTGCTCAGATGCCCGATGTCCGATCTACTGTGTAGCGCTCGGAGCCGCCACGAAAGCTTAAACCCGCCTCGCAGACTACTCGAGATTCGGACAATGACGGGTTGGATCGGTTGGAAATCCATCCTCGGTGCCCTGTTTCTCTCAGGCCCCTACGTAGCATGGCCGCCGACGTAGTGCTACCTCGTTACCCATGCAGTTGGGCCAGCGACGGCTAGGCATGCAGGTAAATCTCAAATTGGGGATCGAGTTTGGAAGACAGGCGATACTCCAGTCTCCGTACGGCACTTCTATTCTGGCCGAGTCGGAACTTAAAGAGACTGAACGCTCCATTTGTTGGTCAGGAGGGCAACAGTTGCCGACACTTGGGAATCCGTAGGTTGGCTGGATGGTTGGTGGCTTTGCCGAACTCGGCTCGATGCCGCCGGAGTCGAGTCGATGTGCAGTGCGCATACCTAATTGTAGGGCACCCATTGTAATTGTACCTTTTGAAGCCCCGACCGCTGGAAGGAACTTGGAAGGCGTACCTTACGTGTATGTGTGTACTAGAGTGTAAAGAAACGTTGCGCAACAAACCGAGCTCTGACCAGGATCATCGCATTGCCCCACACCCCACCAGAAACTGTTCTGGAAAGGACTCGGAGGTGGTTTGTTTTAGAGGCTTGGCAGTCCTGCCATGTGCGTTAAGTGAACTCGAGCCGAAGATTGGACTTCGAGGACGACCTGCATACCTCCGACGGCGTAGACGCTGCCTCCAACGTGGATTCCTCGCTTGTGTCGCTTGTGCGTCGCCTCCTTGCCGTCCTCTGAACCCGCCGTCAGACCTTGGCCCTGTCCTTTGCTGAGGCCTGTGCAGCTCCTTTCGTTTTGTTTCGACGCATCGATACTGTCTTTGGTTTGTTTCCATCCCAGCGTCGTCCTTTTGACGCTACTGGGACCATTCTCGACTGACACCTGCATGTCTTTGCGAAGCATTGCGCGCCGACACACCTCGACTTTGACTGGGCATAATTGTCCCGCCAACAATTGTGTGCACCAATTTCGCGACTGAGTACGCGTGTGACTTTGTCAGACTCAGCGGGCGTCACATTCCACATTCGGCTTTTCAAATCCAGTCTGCCGGATGAATGCGGCCCCATTGCTCGACCCATTGTCAACCTCCTGACCTTTGCTCGCATTGCACACGCGATCCAACCGACAACGACTACCTACCCCCGCCGCCGAGTGACGGGCCGAGCGCCTGGTCTTCTCGGCGCTCGCCATGGCGGGGTTCTTCCAAAAACTCAAAGGCGCCGGATCTGTGAGTTGAACCAATCCGCCCGGTGTCTCGGGAACACCAGCACACTAGAACACCGCGACACCAGGCCACTTTTCTTGGCCTCTGCGGCCTTGTGCCGCCTGCCCGGGCCCTAGGGAACCCTTTTCTACGTGAAGATGAAAACTGACAAATCGTTTGCAGGGTGCCTCCAAGACTGATACCGCCGTGTCCACCAAGACTAAGAAGGACGAGCCGCAGCCGGACTTGACACCGGTTGAGAAGCTGTTGCACAATGCGGGCCCCATCCGGGAGGACGGCAGCGACAAGTTCTTTGGGTTAGAAAACGTAGGCATTACCAACTCCGTCCCACTGCTACACCCCAGGCTAACCCTTGTTGCCCGCCTTAGTTCGGGAACACATGGTAGGTCTAAAGACAAGCAGAACCGTTTCCTCCCTACATGAGACGGCAGGCTGATTTCGCACGTGCAGTTATTGCAACTCCATTGTCCAGGCACTCTACCATTCAGAACATTTTCGGAACAACGTCGTCAGCTATCCCCCGCCCGGTCCATGGGAGGAGTCCAACGGAACCGAGAGAAAGAAGGTCAAGGCTACAATACGGCCTCCAGTGCAGGCAATCCCAAACGGAAATGCTGCCGGAGCGAGCAAGCCACGACAGTCCTTTGGCGCAGGAGCTCAGCTACCGCCGATAGCACCGTCTATGCGGCCCGAGGACAAGCCGGACTCTCCTGAATACAAAAAGAAGCAGGCCATGATCAGGGGCCCCGTATTAGAGCTAGCGCAGGAGGATTCGGAACCGTATGGCATGGAAGAGTGCACTTTCACGGGCCTCCGCGACATCTTCACGGCTCTCATCGACAGCCAGTCCCGGACGGGCGTCCTTAGTCCCCAGAGGTTTCTCGACATTTTCAAGCGCAACAACGAGATGTTCCGCAACTCGATGCACCAGGATGCTCATGAGTTTTACGGCATAGTGCTCAACGACGTCATCGCAAATGTGGAGGCGCATGGAAAACGGATGCAAGAGTTGGCCGAGAGCAGGAGCAAGGATGGATCGTCCCAGTCGGCAGACACAGCGTTGGCAAAGGCCGATGCCAATCCAGGGACGCGACCGCCAGGGACTGGTTGGGTCCACGACATTTTTGAAGGTGTGCTGACCTCAGAAACCAGGTGCTTAACTTGTGAGACGGCATCCCAACGGGATGAGACTTTTCTGGATTTGTCCATAGATCTGGAGGAACACTCGTCTGTGACGTCGTGCCTGCAAAGTTTCTCGGCCGAGGAGATGCTCTGCGAGAGGAACAAGTTTCACTGCGACCACTGCGGCGGCTTGCAGGAGGCGGAAAAGCGCATGAAGGTCAAGAAACTGCCCAAAGTTCTGGCGTTACATCTGAAGCGTTTCAAGTACACCGAAGATTACAGCCGATTACAGAAGCTCTTCCACCGCGTCGTCTACCCGTACCATCTGCGTTTGTTTAACACCACCGACGATGCCGAGGATCCCGACAGGATGTACGAGCTTTATGCTGTGGTTGTGCACATCGGAGGAAATGCGTACCACGGGCACTACGTCGCGGTCATCAAGACCAAGGACCGTGGGTGGCTGCTCTTTGACGACGAGATGGTGGAACCGGTGGACAAGCACTTCGTCCGAAACTTCTTTGGCGACAAGCCTGGGATGGCTTGTGCATATGTGCTCTTCTACCAGGAGACGACCTTTGAAAAGGTGCGGGAAGAGCTAGACGCGGAGGGTATGGACCAGGTGAAAATGGCCACACAGGCAGCGGACCTGGCAACGACCACCGAGCTGGTCAACGGGTCGAGTCCCGCTCTCCTCTCCAAACTCAACACACAGCCCTTGTCACCAGTGGACGAGAGCGAAACGCTTGTCACGCTCGACCAGATCAAGTCAGCTCCCACTGCAATCGATGTCGCCAGGCCCGTCGACCCGCTGCCACCACCACTTTCTCAATGCGAAGCGCATCCGCTCGTCGCAGCACCACCTCCTGCTCCAGCAGTCTTGACGGAAGCCGACAAAGCCGCTACTGTTCCGCCAAAGACCAAGGCGGAAATTGCGCGGGAAAAGAAAGAGCAGAAAGCCCGGGAAAAGGCTGAAGAAAAGGCCCGGAAAGAAGCCGAGAAAGAGCAGGCACGCATCGCAGCCAAGGAGCGCCAGGAGGCACATCAAAAGATGCGGGAAACGTTACGGCTCGAACGCGAGCAACTGCAAAAGGCTATTCAGGAGAGCAAGCAGATGGCAGCCGAGGACGAGAAGCGGCAGCAGAACAAAGAGTCTGCCGCAACTGACACGGCTACTTCCTCAGATACAGGTGGCAACGATGAGCCTCCCCGCAACGGCTTCCTCAACCGCGCCGGCCGGACGAGCAAGTCGATGACGCGCAAGAGCTTTGCGTTTCTGCACATCGGGCAGCAAAACAACAACAAGGACGAAGGCAAAGGGGGCGACAAGACGGACCGCAGCGACGCAAGCGAGGACAAGGGGGAAAGCAGCGCCGACGGCGGTGGCAAGGCAAAGGAAAACGGCAACCATCCTCCTGTGCCCCCACCACCACCTCCACCACCACAGCAACAACAACCACAAAACGGGAGCGGCACCAGCAGCAGCGGTAAACACGGCCACCTATTGCGGCCGTGGTTGACACCGCGGTCGGACACGGCGCCCGCCGGGGCCGTCGACCAGTTGCGGCACAACAAGGACAACAAGGATAAGCCGCCGCTCAAGGAGCGGTTCAGCTTCGGACTGGGAAGGAAGAAGAGCAGCAGGTTTTTGTCTCCGTCGTAGGATTGCATGAGAGGCCTGCTGCCGTGCTCCGGCGAGTCCAGGGAGTCACTTGATTCCCGCAAGGATAAGGGAGGGAGGGATTCCGTTGTCTAAACATTGGGTCGTGGAGTGGTCGTCTTTTTGTGGTGAGGTGTGGTGGGATGTTTATAAGATATCCATGGGGGTGCCTGGGGTATGCGTGTTCTTGGATACTTTTGTTGGCATACAAGGTGCTCAGCCGCTCTTGATTATATAGAGTCTGCAGTTCCTACGGGGGCTGCATTGGATGCCGTAAAGAGTTGGAACAGAGAGCGGCCTTGCCGACGGGGAAACGAAAGTCTCCCATCTTGAATGGCGGTACTTGTTGGAGAGAGGAGCTGGGGGAGGATGGTTTGTATGGATTTTGGGTTGTACGATCAGGGCTAGGTTGGGAGACGTCTGGCTATATACCTTATTATATCCCGTCCGTCAGCTCATGACGCGCTCCGGGTTTCCGTCTGTCTGTCTCTCAATCGAGCAAACATCGCCGTTTGCGTAATGTGATGTTACGAGCGGAAGCTGGCGGCGCCGAAGGAGGTCACTCTGCGGCCTCCCTTGCCACTCAATGTCCTAAACTCTCCCAGGCAATATTGACTCACCCATTCAAACTCGCACCCGGAGATTAACAATTAAGCCAAAGCCAACCTGAACGGCTACCCCCTCACCCACTGCCCTGCTTTCGAGCTGAGGCGTGCCACGCCGTGAGCTTCCATATCAAATGCCGATCAATCCTGCTTGACCGTCGCCTTGGTCCATGGATGACTTCTTGCCCACCTGAATATGAACCATTGACTCTAGCCAAGTATGAGCTCGTAGATTATAATCAACGTGTTGATTATAATCAGGGGTACTGTTTTGTTTTCGAGCCCACGAATCAGCACCATGTCCCCTACCCTTCTTTGGAGTCCAGATACGACGACGTGGTATCAAACGCAAGAAGATTAAAACACGCACCCCTCATGACCGTCCGTACGCTCGCAATGAGCTGTATGATCTTGTACTTGACGCTGCTGTCGACGTCTTGGCCGAAGCCGCGCTGGTATGTCGCAGGCGCGAGGCCGACTGAATGGATTCCGTGTCAGTTGTTCTGTTTGTTCTGGTTGCTTTTGCTATGTCTTATGTCCATGTTCATTCTCAAGGAAAAATGGCCAAGGGCATATGAAGTTATGGAGTTGACGCGACGGTGGAGGTACCACGGGAGGGGGGGCCGGCGCAGACGTACCGCGGGCGAGGAAGCGGTCTTCGGAGGGGATGCAGATGGCGTTGAGGAGGAGGACGGTAACTAGGTAGAGGGGTGGGTGTTAGTCAGCATGTCTGTGGTGGGTGATGTCAGGAGACATGGCGGAGGAACTGTACTGTATAGCAATTTCCCCAGGATAGACATCTTGACAAGCTGTCCGGCTGGCGGGATGGAGGTTGGGCTGGTGTTACGGCGAGGAGTAGCTCCTGTCCTGAACCTCCTTGTTTCGGCAACAGGCTGATGGTTTCCGGTCTTTTGTTATGCTGAGTTTTCGCCCTGGACTCGGTTGAATCCGGCGGGTCGTCGGAGGTCGTGGGGTTATACCGCCGTCTCCAGATGCATCCTGGTCAGAAACAGACGACGGTGATGTTGAAACCTGGCAGGCAAGGTACGAGGGTACGTAGACAGCCCACTTATCCGCAGGACAGGGTTTCAAAGGCGCATGTGGCTGCTGTGGCTCCTATGTGGCTGGTGGGACTAATGTGTATCTGGGGGTGGGTTTTCCCCAATTCGCCCGTCTTCCCCAAAGCTTGACTTTCTCAGACTTCACAAACTAAACTTTATACTCAGCCAAAAATGTCTAAGCCTACTTCAAACCTTGTGCTCCTGTGTCTCGATGACCTCTCTGAGGCCTTGTCTGTTGGAGCTGTCTAAGAGGAGGTAGGTTGGGGGCAGTTTTGAATTGTCACTCTACTCTCACACATGTCAAGCCTCGACAGACTGATGAATCACGAAAAAGCCACGGCTCGAAGCAGCCTGCCACAACCGCATGAAATCGACATCATTTATAAGAACCCCCCAAAATCACAGTCAAATTCTTGTTGGTTCTCAGGTGTTCGGTCCCGGCTTGTGGTTTCGGGGCGTTGTCAAGTAGGAAAATGTCGTCCGGGAAACATGCAGCCATCAAAGTTCTCATCCAACCAGTCAAATTGAAACTGAAAGGGAAAGGGCGTTTCAACGCGGCTCTGTGGGATGTTATGTGTTTTGACACCTTGAACTCGAACTAAAATTGCAGTTCAACCTGAAAGATCCTTTTTTTGGTCTCCAATACCACGACATCGCCGAAAGAGAACTCAACCGAGACCGCAATCAAGCGCGCAACACTTCTATCCACCGAGAATTGTCAAATGCCACGACACAACAGTCACTCAGTCGGCAAGTGAGAGGCGCCTCCTGAACTCTGAGCTGAAGTTCACTTCCACGTCGAGTCAGGACCAGTTAGCATCACCAGCAGCTCCCCGGCTCTCACCTTGGTGAAGGCCAGGTGAAGGACCAGCAATGGAGATACTCCGGCGAAATGGGAACCCACTGTGGACATCACGCTGTTTTCTCTCGCGGCTCCTAATTAGCCGGCCCCTCTGGTTGGCGCGGGTATTTTCAAAGGCTAAAACGGCGGGCATGGCCGGATACCGGGTCAACTCAATCTCGACGTGTCTTGCGAAGAAACGCATCGTTTTGTCCGGATGCACCTCCGTCCATCCCACCGGCTTCGGCCAGCTGACCATCTGAAATTTGGCGCCCCGTTCTGGCCAACAGTCTGTATCTCGACACTGGCCGCGAAGTTTCGCCCTCGTGAGATCTGCACCGTCGCAGCTGGGGAGTGGGTTACACGACGGCGAGGTATAACCCCAAGATGGCTTTCTGCCGCAATGTGCATGAGGCGAACGGACAGCCGACTCGTGAGGGATGAAGTCCACATCTCCAAAACCGAAGGATAGCCGCTCATTAACCCGCACAAATGGGCGGTCTTCGGACGGGTCCACTCGCTGGCCTTGGCCATGTCTGTGGGATATCGAACTGCTCAAGCATCCATGCCAATCTGTGAGCGAAGTTTGGAGAAGTGACCGCCAAAAGCTCGCAAGTCTCGACGCGGAACCAGTAGAAACAGACGGTCTCATGCAGCAATCGAGTCCGCGAGCGAGGGCTTGCAACTCAGGGTGCCGCTAGCTTGAGAAGGACCCTGGCGTCCAGCCTGGGACTCCTCCGCCTCTATGACGATGGAGCGGGTCGAGATGGGGAGGGAGGGGTGACGGTGCCTGCGTTGCTGGAGATACCGCCGCTGGCGGAACGGATGTCCCTGCTCGGCGGCACATCATCAGATTGATGCGCCCGACTGGGCAGAGCGCGGCATGAGCTCTGCGTGGCCTGGTACCACCCCTCCACTCCGCTCTCGAAAGCTTGTGGAGAGGGGCCGGGTGATATAAGTAGCGGAGTAGCCCCCTCGGTGCTCTCGAAGGCTCCCATTGATTTGATCCCAAACACTCAAACCACTTTACCTTTTTACTCCCTCTCCCTCTCCATCGCGGACCAGGTCCCTCTGTGAGTCTCCTGCCATCACCCCCCACGCTTCTGCCGCTCGCCTGTCTCGAGCCAGCCGATTCCTGACACGAGTTACAGAGTCGCACACCGTTCGTTCGAAACATACATACACAAATCAACACGATGGCTAGCATCAAGCTCAACAGCGGCTATGATATGCCCCAGGTGGGCTTCGGCCTCTGGAAGGTCCCCAACGACGTTTGCGCCGAGGTCGTTTACAATGCCATCAAGACTGGCTACCGCCTGTTCGACGGTGCTTGCGGTGAGTTGTGCTTGTCACTCTTCTCCTTCCCATCGCGCGCCGAGTTCCTCAGTTGAAGGATGCTGTGTGGGCTGTGCGATGACATCGTGGTTCGCGTGCTCGACGTGGGGTAGGGGGAAATTACCCCGCCCCCTCCTCGGTCTTGATCCACCCAACCTGTGCGCGCGGATGGATGGAGGGGTCGAATTCTGCCGGACCACTGTCGGCTGTCGGGGCATCTCAGTGCCGTGACGCACGTGCGGAGAATGACCGGGGACGGGATGTGGACCGTTGTGGAACTGCGCCAAGGACCATGCACAATACAACGGGACACGGGACATGGGACAATGGCTGATGGTTATGAACAGACTACGGCAACGAGGTCGAGTGCGGCCAGGGTGTCGCCCGCGCCATCAAGGAGGGCATCGTGAAGCGCGAGGAGCTCTTCATCGTTTCCAAGCTGTGGAACACCTTCCACGACGGCGACCGCGTCGAGCCCATCGTCAAGAAGCAGCTGGCTGACTGGGGCCTTGACTACTTCGACCTGTACCTCATCCACTTCCCCGTCGCCCTCGAGTATGTCGACCCTTCGGTCCGCTACCCCCCTGGCTGGCACTATGACGGCAAGTCCGAGATCAGGCCCAGCAAGGCCACCATCCAGGAGACCTGGACCGCCATGGAGTCGCTTGTCGAGAAGGGCCTCGCCAAGAGCATCGGTATCTCCAACTTCCAGGCCCAGCTGATCTACGACCTCCTCCGGTACGCCAAGATTCGCCCGGCCACTCTCCAGATCGAGCACCACCCCTACCTCGTCCAGCAGGAGCTGCTCAACCTCGCCAAGCGTGAGGGCATTGCCGTCACCGCCTACAGCTCCTTCGGTCCCGCCAGCTTCGAGGAGTTCAAGATGAAACATGCCGCCAACCTCACCTCTCTCATCGAGGACAAGACCATCAAGGCTATCGCTGCCAAGTACAACAAGACGCCCGGGCAGGTCCTGCTCCGCTGGGCTTCCCAGCGTGGCCTGGCGATCATCCCCAAGAGCAACTCGCCTGCGCGGATGAAGGAAAACTTCGAGAGCAGCAACTTCGACCTCTCCGAGGAGGACATCAATACCATCAGCTCCTTCGACCGCGGCCTCCGCTTCAACCAGCCTTCCAACGTGAGCCGAACCCGCCCGGTACTAACTCGCGTGAACCATATGCTGACTGTCGTGGCTATAGTACTTCCCCACCGAGTTGCTCTGGATCTTTGGCTAAATGCCCGATTGATCAAAGAAATGCCGGGAGTGAGCGCAGTCTCTCGCTGGCCTGATTGGCCATACTCGAGATCGACCAGATTCAGACCCACGACTGGTCTGGTCTGCTCTCTACCCATTGTCCTCTGACTATTGAAACACCGAGGGCGGCCGGCGGGCGGAATGGTTCAACCTTCCTCCTGTCGGTCTTGTCACGAATGAAACGAGAATCATGCTGGCTAAGTCGCTTGGCTGATGGGAAAAGGCATGGGCTGGAGACGTTTGTGTTGTTTTAGATACATCCAACAGATATCTTGTGGGAACAATATACCTCATTAGCGGCGAGGGATCTTATTTGAATGCTGCCCGACTTGCTCGCGTCGTAGAATTTCTGATAGAATGCATCACATCTAAAGAATTTATTCCCATCATCCCAATATTGCCTGTGGTACTGCCTGAGACCCTCACTACCTTCTAGGAGGGCAAGTGTTGTAACGATTGGATGGATGAGAGCGCCTCGGCTACCTGATCTACTTCGTAGGTAAGGGGTTCTCCAAACCAGTGCACACAGCCTTGGCGGCGTAACAGAACATTCAACACCAAGAAGGACGCCTGATGCTGAATCGAGCAAATATGATCCATCGCGACGACACAAACGCCGTCCTAGCATGTCTACCGTCCACCCAAAAACCGAAATAACCCTCTGTGCCGGTCGCTTGTTCCGCCGTTGCCTGCCCACTAGGACCGAAAACGCCGACGAATGCTATTTTACTCTAACAAAGTGATCATGTTTCGGACCGTTGTGAAACTATCGACCCGTCTGCCCTGTGCTTGAACTGGTAGATTCATGGAGCTCGTACAAATGCTAGAAAGCTCAATTAGTACTCTCACTTCATAAAAGGTACATGGGTGAGGGACAAAAGGCAACGAACGACTCACTCGCATCAATCTGCTGCACCTGCGGCAACGCCAACCGGATTTTATTCCTATACAAGGCCGGCCCGCGCAGCTGCAGCGGGTTGCCCTCGAAGTACACCGTCGTCAGCGCGCGCTTGTCGCCCAGCTCGCGCTCCACCTCGGCAAAATCGCCGATCTGGTTGTAGCTCGCCCAGAACTCCTCGAGGTCCGCCAGCGGGCCGAGCCCTTTGAGAGAGGAAATTTGGTTGTTGGAGACCTCCAGGACGCGCAGGCGCGTGTTGTGCTCGAGACCGGAGAGGGATTCCAGCGCGTTGTGCGAGATGTAGAGCTCTTCGAGCTGGGGCACGTCGCGCAGCGGGGAAAGGTCGCGGATGCGGTTGGATTGGATCGATAGGAGGCGCAGGTTCGGGAGGCCGGACAGGCCCGAAAGGGAGGTGATTTTGTTCTTGGCGACCCAGAGCTCCTCGAGCGCGGTGAGAGAGGCGAGATTCTCGAGCTTGCGGATCCGGTTGGAACCGAGCTCCAGGTTGCGCAGCTTGGTCAGCCCGGAGAGGCCCTCGATCTTGGAGATCTTATTAGCGACGAAGTAGAGGTCGGCGAGGTTGGTTAGGTGGGAGATGTGTTTGATGTGCTTGATCTTGTTGAACGAGAGGTCGAGAGAGGTGAGGTTGACGAGATCGTCCAGGCCGCGGACGTGCGAGATGAGGTTGTCGTAGAGGTCGAGATCGCGAAGGGTAGGGGCCAGGCCGGAGAGACCCTCGATGTCTTGGATCAGGTTCTGGCGCAGGCAGATGCGGGCTAACTGTTTGAAGCGCTCTAATCGGAGGCCGGGAATCGACTTGATCCGGGAGTGTGTGCAGATGATCTCGTCTGTGTCTGAGTCTTCACCGTCGAGCAGGTCTATGGGAGAAGTTTAGCTTGTGATTCTTATCCTGTCGTCGGGCACCTCTGGCTGTCCTCACCTTCGTCTGCAGCAACCTCCTCGCCGGGTATGACGTTGTCATCGTCCGAGTACTCCGGATCCGAGAGTGCCTCCGGATTTGCCAGAATGGCGCTCTTGGGCACACGCAACTTCCCATCCCAGCCCTTGCTGTCCCTAAGGCTCGGGCTGGCTTCGCCATCGTGTCGAGGTGACGGATTGTCATCGACCAGCTCAATGTGGTGGCCTGGTGACCGGATTTCTTCATTAGGTGCGGGCATGGCGGGCTGTATGTTGACCGTACTTTTAGTTGGAGGTTGTAAGTGAGTTGGTAGCGAGATGAGTCGAGGGATTCCTGCTTCAAATAGTGTTTCTGTTTTCGAATGCAAGGTCGGCCGTTCGACATGCGAGCGTAGCAGCAAGTGTGGTGTTTATAGACAGGTTCCCGGTTGTCAGGGTTCAAAGCCACAAAGAGGGGCACCCGTTGGCAGGGCCGGGGCCGGGATGCGCTGTAGGGCTGATCCTTCAGAACAATGGAGCATCGATTCCAACCTGGAATTCATGCTCAGTTGTTTGCTAGCACTCAGGTAAACGAGTGCATCGGTAGGAGAAATGGAATGGAGGACGTTGAGAAAGAGATGGTTTTCAGGCTTCTAATCTCTCAATATTTACTTTTTCTTTCTCGATCTTCCCTACTCTTGAGTTTTGAGTTAACAATTTCCCTCTTGAGCTGCCCTGTCATTTGGTTGGATTGTATGTACAGTAATACGTTGCCGACTATCAGTTTCTTGGGCATAGCTCATTGCATCCTCAACTCATTTCGAAGAGGTACTAGAGCTGCACGCCATGTCTCAGAGTCGAACGGCGATTCATTGATTGCTGCTTGGTTAATAGACATCTACTTGCCCCGCATACCTGCCTATGCACGACCCCTCTCGCATGTTCAATTGAGGAACCCCTTCGCTGACCACTGGACGAGCTCTACTCCGTATCACGGTAACAATAACGTGCATGCCTCCGAGCGAATCGTGTCTCGACAACCACCACCCTCGAATCTCCGCCCAACCAGGTCAATCCGGTTGAGTCAATCATAGGGCTCGCTGCAGGACAATTTTAACGACTCTGACGAGTGATAGACGAACACATGATCAGGCAGTGGCATGAGCATAGTGCGAGAATATCTTCCTACCTGCACAGGGCGAGATCTCCGTGTCTCATCAACCCCATCTATCTCGTCCCCGTCCATCCCACCCCACATCTCCCAAGCCAGTGACCGCGACCAATGCTGCGCTTGCATGCCATGATTGCTCCCCATCGATTGCCACGGCTGTCAGTTCAATGGCACCAGGCCCAACTGCGGCGTCTGCTGCACTCGGGACGCGGGAGCACTCGCCTCGCTTCTACGCCCCTTTTAGTGGCTGTCAAGCGTGGGAGCATACTGAAAACCAGTCCGCACGTCTTATTCGCGAGGAGCAACTGTCGCAGCATCCGCATCCCACCAATCCTCTTGCCTCCGGTGGTCTTCGCTGGGCTGCTGGTGGCTCTGTGGATATGGTATGTGTGTGTGGGAAATCTCATACGAACACGGCTTGCTAACGCCGTGGTAGGAAGTGTGTGATGATGGTGGTCTTTCAGAACAAGATCATCTACATGCCGGGGCTACCTCCAACCTCGCGGCGTGAGCGGATCGCGGACTGGGAGGGCCTGTGCGGAGGGATTCGGTGGACTCGGAAGGAAACGGTGGCTGTGGACGGAACAAAGCTTGCCATGGCCGTGACCACCGTCTCATTAACCAAAGGAAACCGTCCGAGGGCTCCAGCACCAGAGAAGCCGGCCGCTGCGCATGTCTATGTCCTCTACTTCCACGGTTGGCCGTTTCGTGAAACTCCCAGATCACCGATCCGGCACTGACACTCCCTTAGGAAACGCATCGTCAATACCACCACGGCTGCCTGGCTTGTCGTGGGTTCTAAGGGCCATCACCGACAGCAAGACAAATGAGCTGCCACCGATGCAGTTGATGTTCGTTTGTTTGAGTTATAGGGGTTACTGGACCTCACGTGGCCGGCCGTCCGAGCCTGGTCTCCGGCTCGATGCCGAGGCCGGCGTGCGGTGGATTGCCGAACGCCATGAGCGCGAGTTCGGCAAGGACGGCAGCACCGCACCCATTCTGCTCGTCTGGGGTCAGAGCATTGGCTCCGGGGTGGCAACGAATCTCGCTGCGACCGGACGGATTCCATCAAGCGTGCCCATCAGAGGGTTGCTTCTCGAAACCCCGTTTGTGTCCATCAAAGCCATGCTAGAGGCACTGTATCCGCAAAAGTGGTTACCATACAAGTACCTCTGGCCGTTTCTCCGGAACCATCTGGACAGTTGGGCGAACTTGGGCCTGATTGCTCAGGCATGCAGGGAGAGGGGGCAGACACCGCCCATGGTCTATATCCTCGAGGCCGAAAGGGACGAGCTTGTGCCAAAGGAACAGAGCGAGCGTCTTTACCAGAGGTGCGTGGACCTCGGCTTGCCCACCGAGAAGGGGGTTGTGCCTGTGGCATACCACCAGCAGGCGATCGCCAGAGGGGACGGCAAAAAGTTAGCTGCCCAAGCCATCACCAAATTGACCCAGAGAGCCCTCGGCGGCGGCGATTGATCCCTTTTCCCGTTGGATTTTCCATCGAATTTCTTTCTGGAAAACTCTGAGTGGCAAGTTCCGACAACATGGTTAGCGGTTTGGCATGGTGTAGCCCCTGTTCACCAACCCGGCAGCGGTCCGATACGTCAAACGTCGGTTCTGGCTCATACGGGGCAGCAAAGGGGCAAAGGGGAGGTTGCCTGAAAAGGAAACGAGCTTGGGGGTCCGGCCAAGAGGCGTGCTTCTTCTGGCTTCTCGGTTCCAGCTGCGTGAATTGGCTTTGTCAATTTCTTTGCTTCGTCAGAGACCAGCACGGCTGACCGGGGGATTGTTCCGTTCTTTTTTCTCCTGCAAGGGTACGTTGGGCGTTTTGCGTGATCGGGTTGTCGAGCGTCCGTCCCTCGAGACTTGAGAGTCGGGCTCCAGTGGGCCTTCGTCTCAAGTGCGGCCGTGTTAATCTTACACGGCGATCCACCTCCTTGCCAAGAAGCGAGTTGCAAAACTCGAACTAATGGCCAATGCTTCTTCTTTCTTTTTGAGGTTTTAAACTTCAATTAATCAAGTCAATTGCTGGGTTTTCCTCGATACAAGTTCAATTGTTTGTTTCAGTGAGTCGGCTGTGTCCAGTGACTTTGATATCTGCCGTCGCATCAGCCTGGTGCTGCCTCACGGGCGTCGGCTAGCAAATATTCACGCGAGTGTGAATCTGCCTCGGTAGCCTTGCAGAGTTGCACTCCAATCTCTTCAGCCTTTCCAGAACCCCGAACACCCCTGCTTCATGCTCCGTCCGGCCTCGCCTACTCCGACCGCAGCGCCAGAAATTCCATAGCATTTGGCACATGGAAAGATGGGAGCGTTGGAAAGCCAGCCAAATGACTCCAAGCACCCCCCGCCATGACAAATGGCTTCTTCCTTTTTTGTCCCCTTTTCTACTTCCGGTTGCTTTCCGCCCCTTGCTGAACCCGGAACGTTTTCTGCAACGGAGAATCCCAGTCGCAACCCGGCAAACATTCGTCGCACTTGGCCTAAAAAGGCAAAGCTGTCAGGTGACAGCGCGTGAATCCACTTCCCCAGACCCACTTGTTCGCGTCGAATCACGCTGGATACTTTTCGCTGCCTTTTTTGCTGCCTCTTCCGGCCGCCGAGACAAGGTGTCCACCCCACGATGCCAGGCACCACTGCAGCCACGGCCTCCCTCCCAACTTTAAATATGACCCGGCCGTCCCTCGCCGGAAATGAGATGGGAAAATTTTTCTGCCATCCTCGTTTGAGCCCACCTTAGCCTCGCTTAAATAGGTAGGTCTTCGCTCATCACGAAGACATCGCACCATCGACATCTGGCCTTTTGGTATCGGTTCTTATCGTCTCTTATTGTCGTTGTCCTGCGTTTTGAATCTCTCCATTTCTGATACCTGTGCGTCATCGTCATCATCGCTTTGGAATCGGGTTACCAAAGCGAATTTCATCACCGACGGCCCCGTAATCCCAAGCCGAGTCGACTGCTCATTCGGACTTTTGAACCGAACCGGTGGAGACAGACAGAGGAGGAAAATCGACATTGGGTCAAGATGTTCTCCCGACGCTTCGAGCCGCCACAGACCAAGAGCCTCTCCAAGTCTGGGAGGCACCGGAGGGCAAGCTCGTCCTTCACCAAGGAAGCCGGCATTTCCAAGAGGTCTCTTGAATCCGGACGTCGCCGTGCTGGCACCGTGTCAAATGCCGGGGCGTCCGAGTCGACGTTGGGGTAAGCTGCCGTCAGCCTATGTTCTTCTCTTGAAGATCCGCCATGTGCTGACATGTCCTCGCTCTAGTGGTCCCATCTCGGCTATCGTTACCCTCGTCGTCGGTCAAGAGCAGAGGATCTTTGCTGCCCATGAGAACATCCTCAGCGCGTCACCCTTCTTCCAGAGCGTCCTGCAGAACCAAATGATGGACTCGCAGACCAAGAAGATTTCGCTCCCGGACGAAGAGCCCGAAGTTTTCTCGTCCATCTTGGAGTATCTCTACAAGGGCGACTACTACCCGCGCCTGGTGCACAACAAGAAGCGCAATGCATGGGAGCTGGAGGAGGCCGGGGAGGATGGCCGTTCCGAAGCCACCATCTATCATCACAGCGTCGAGGGCGAGCTGCTGAAGGACACGGCCATCTACTGTGCTGCCGACAAGTACGGTCTCGAGGACCTGAAGCGCATCTCGCTGCGTAAGCAGGGTCTTCAATCCGGCATCCAAGCCAGCACCATCCTGGCATCTGCGCGCTATGCCTACGCCAACACTCCCGATACGGATTCGAAGCTGCGGGCGCACTATCTGGCTCTCATCATCCGCAGCCGCAGCACCTTCAAACGCAGCGGTACCATGCAACTCGAGATGTTCAACGGCGGCACGCAACTGTTTTTTGACCTGTTTGTCGCATTGTGTAATCATGTCGACGACATCTCCAGCGCTGCGTAAGCATTCTCGTATCCGCCAACTTGATCTGAGCGTGATTCTAACTCAGTCTTTGAGCAGCACCACACCTCGCACTGGTACTCCTCGCAGCGGCCGGCCCTTTTAGACTCTCATCCCCCCAAGTTCGCCCCTTTTCACAAGACGATTGATTGATACCCAACACCCCTCAACACAACACATGATACCTCTCGACTCTGCGATGGATGATGCCTCATACCCCTGCCTTTTTCGATTCTACAAATTTCGCACACGGGTTTTTCGGGTTTAATATGGTCTAATATTCATGGGTTCGGCTCGGGCATAGACATTTCCATCTTCGTTTTCATGGATTCGGTGCAAGGGGCGGGCGTTGGTGGATTCTGATTTCATTTCCATTTTGGTTTATGCATTCGGAGTTGATCTCATTTCTGCTCTGCGTTTTCAAAAACCCTCAAATTTGTACATTAGCATACCCTCATGACACGACCACGTTGGGCGGTGGAGGATCTCTTGCTTTGGCTGTTTCAGTATCATGGGATTTCATTTTGGGCGGCGAGCTGAAGATGCCCCCTGCTTGGGAGATGCCGCTTTTCCAGACGGTGGCTCTCACGGGCATGGGTTAACTTTTCAGGGCGGCGATCTCATTTCATTAACTATGTTTCTTTCGTGGTGGCGACTTTTCTGGGACAACAGGTCTGGAAAGAAGATTGAAGAAAGTGGATAAGAGAAGACTGAGGCAGTGTATTTTCGGTTCTCGCTCTCGTTCATCACTTGTTTCACGCTAGGTGTTTGAGGCATGTCCAAGTTCGAAGACAAGGGAGGACACGGCCGCAGGAGGCTGATCATACAACGCAACAACACTGGTGCTCATTCTCTCGCTGCAATACTACCAAGCAACCAGCAAATTCTTGTCCCTAAACCCGTGATACGGTGAATTCCCAAGTGATGTCCCAAAGGAGAAGGCCTCGAATATTCAGACTTAATGGCTCTCGCGGCTTCTGTTCGACATGGAAGTGAAAGCTAGGCTTTGAAGCTCGACAAGTCCAAGATCCACTGAACCCATCCAGACGGATCCAGTGGATCACCCACGTTTACGCCAACGATGGCATGAACAAGGGTTGAAACAGTCGGAACGGGTCCGGCCGTGAATAGGTCAATTTGCCACCGGCTTGTCCGGTTTTGGAAATGACTTCAGGGTATGTCTTGGCCTTCTTTTTCTGATACGGATTGGGCGACTTTCTGGTTTCCGAAAATTTCTCGTCAATCCGTTGGAGAAATGTCGCACACCGGTAATGGAGAACGGGAAAGAGGGAAGAAGCGTAAAAAGGAGACGAGGCAGAATCTGTGTTGAATCTATGGAAAGAATACCAGTTCGTTCATAAGTAATGTTGGGGAATCAGGTTTGGGCTGAAGCTAACGTGAGTGATTCACACATGTTGACTAGCGTACTATATATACGGTTCCGTAGAAACTCATCCAAATCGACCAACTCCACTCAGGCTCCACCAAATCTGCCCCACGTACTTTGCCGTTGAAAAAAGCCAGGGTAGGGTCTATGTGACCTGCTGACAGAGCAAGGGAAGCCCCGATTGTGGCGTCTTATTGGTGGACGTGGACAAAGTGGAGGTGGTTGAGTTGGGGGAGTTTCTACGGTATCTTGTGCACTTGTTGCTATCAACTGGAAACAAGTGATTTCTGACACAGTGGTGCGCGGGCAGAGCGCGGTCAGAGCACGGACGGTGGAGTATGGAAGTATTGCGCGTGAATATGTGTGAACGCGTGAATCCTTCCTTTGGCCGTGGGACATTCCATCATGGGACGCTGGAATTGGGTAAAAGTGCGGGGAACAAGACGGATTCGACATGGGAACTTTCTTGGTTCACGGTGGTGCAATTGTTGGGCGCAAAAGAAGCCAGGGCCAGAGCGGATTGTGAGGCGAACGAGGGAAGAAAAAGGGGCAGTTGTTTGGATGTCGTTGCCTGATTGGGCGTTTCTGGAGCAACCCTGCCACACTGCGGCCTCACAAGTGATGGTCACAAAGGGGCTGCGTCAGTGCAAACTGTTTGCTCGGAGATTCAAACTTTGGCAATCGAGTCTGGTCCGGGCTCCAAGAATAGATATCAATGAATAGTTATTGGTCATTTGGTCGCTTCTCATCATCCCAGCTGACCTCAGTGATGGTGATTGCCGCACCTTCGACATGTCACGGGCGTCTGCTGATAATCACTAGTACCAGGTATCGATCAGGGAGAGCCGTGATAAAGCCCGCAGGTTGCAGCGGTAGGGATATACACGGCTTGGCTGTTCAGACCCACGGTTGGTCTCCAAACATGCTGATAAGGGCGGCACCACAACCCGTCCATCGAATTCTGATCAATGTCCGGACATTCTCTAGACCGCATCAGATCAGGTCCAGTGCGCCCTTCTTGCAGTCATGTTACTACGGGAGGTCGACCACTCTGTAAATTTACCAAACCCCAAGGATGGTGCACCGTTGGCTTCGGTCAAAGCACGCCAACCCTCACTCATACACCGGTACCAGGAAATGCCCCGCTCTTGCTGAGTACCACCATGCCGTGCTGGCGGGAAATGTATCCCTTCATAAAGCCCTTTGTAGCTCAGGATTAGCCAAATGACTCATTGCTGGGGCGACAAAATACACCAATCAGGATGTTTGCATCTCAGGCAATGCTGCTTTGATACCCCAGGCGGAGAAGGCATGACAAGGCAGCATCAGGCGTCAGGCATCAATGAAATGACATCTTCAACCTGCGATGGGAGAAACCGGCGAAATACGGACCAGGCTTGTAACAGAGGGATATGTGCTGATGAGGCATATTCGGGTTTGACTCACCTTGTAAATCATATTCGCCAACAGGCACTCGACCTCGTCAATGTCGATCTTCTCCTGGCTGCCGAGGCTGATAGCGGCGGCAAACTCAGCGACCGGCACGCGGGTGCGCCGAACGGGCTTCTCCCCCTCCTTAGCCTCCTCGACGCCGCGGGCGGTGAAGACTTTCCGCAGCAGGTTGCGCAGCGCAATGTCACGACCCCGTTCCAGCGTGAGGTATATCCGACGCCTGACAAACTCGTCTTCGCCTTCCTGCAGGGCGAGATCGAACTTGTGAAGCTCGCCCCTCTTGATACACCGGCATAGCGGGAGGAATAGCTTCTGTAGCCTCGGATACTGCTTCATCAACGCCTCGGTCGGGAGAGTGTGACTTGTGATGAGATGACACGGGATGAGGTAGGTAAGAATAAGCCTGCTCTCGGAGTCAGTGCGTGGTGGAGAGGCCCATCATCGCGGTGCACTCACTCCTTATTCTTCGCTGCATCCTTGTGGCAGCCGTTCCATGCATCGGTCAAACAAGCCTCAGCCTGACAGCGGTCAGCATTTGACTTAGAGGTCAATTGATGGTGCCATTACGTGGGCGTAGTTTTCCTCCAAGAACGCAATTACCCCTTCGTGATATTTGAACGTTACTTGCTGGGACTTGGGAAAGGCTGAAAAGTCGGGCATGTCTTTGCCCCCAGCGTGGAGACTCTTGAGAATGTTCTTGGACAACGAGGCCGAGTTCAGCTTGAAGTACGACTTGAGAAGCAAGTTGGCGATGTAGTAGCTTCCCCACTTGCGAGACTCCTCGAGTGCTGCCCTGAAACATTATGAGTCGAGACACTCCGCGGTCGGAAAGGGACGAGCTCACCTATCCTGCTGGCAGACGTTAAAGGCTTTGAAGAGCTGCCTCACGCAGTCCTCCAACTTCTGGCGCTTGTTGGTCTCTGGATCGAAGTCGTCTTGAAAGTTCACTGCTGGGCTGTCATCGACGAAGTTGTTGCTGTTGCGCTCGTCATCTGCCTTCATCGCAAAGATACGCAAGTGCTTGCACACAGTGTACAGGCAGATGATGGTCCAATTCTTGAACTTGGAGTTCTGGTATCCTCGGAGGAGTGCGTTCAACAGCTCAGTCCATGCCTGGTACGCCCTTGTCCACACCAGTTCTGATGACTGTGAGAATGGGAATTAGCAAAGGGACGACTTGTGAGGGGACATAAGAGGCGTCTAAGACGATGCCAATGCGCGCCTGTTGATGAGTCGAACTGTCGCTAACCTTGCTCTTGTCATCGTTGCTCGACACGAGGGCAACTAAGATCTCTCCCACGGCATTCCAGTATACCGCATATACTTCCACCCAGCCCTGTAACTCTTCGTGATCGGCAAATGCAACGTTCCCCTGGAGCCCACGCTTGAGAAAGCTTCTGATGCTGTGAGCATTCTGACTCTTCCAGATCTTCCACAGCTTGTCAGTCGGGAGATCTGGTGTTACAGTCCGCGCAAGCCGGTAGCCATCCCGTTCGGAATAGGCTTCGGAAAACTCCTGAAAGAATGCAGTACTGAAGTCCATAATAGTCGCACAACTCGAGGCTCTGAGTTGATGGATGGTCGATAATGTAGTTGCCAGTCGTAGTATTCTTAGATCTCGGGTCTGATTCAGGTCGCTACAGTCTGCGATACTGGGGGGTTACGTTGTTTGTAGTGTTGCATCTCCTAAATGCACACATACGGAACCGCTAGATCTTGTCCCAAAGAAGCTCTCCTGCGGAAAGTTGAATGATCAAATGTTGTTGTCAGTTGCAGATCCAAAGGCGGCATTAGCTACTGCGGATGTGAGTGAGTGAATCGATTGGCCGGATTGGGTTGAAGCTTATGAGGCTCCCTCTAGCCACAGCCCCGCAACTTGTGGCGCTCTGAGGCTATGCACAGCCACGAATAGAGAGGAGCTAGCTTGGCGACTCTCGGTTGGTCCGAGCGCTCGAGCCCTAAACCAGGCGCACCCAAATATTTCCTGCCTTTCGAGATTGCTAATTTAGGACCCCGACAGCTCACCCAACGACTTCGTGATCGCAGCGGGAATCAATCACAGTAAGTCCCCAAATGCTTATAGATATTATTTATTGGAGGCTTATCTAACATTGGAGCAGATGGGTAAGCAGATCTAATTATCTCGTTCCCTTCTCCAGCGCCGACGACCACGAGAGCTTGCCGATACACGATGGAACTCGACAACATGCTCAAGGCACGCTATTGCCCGACGATGGAGTTATGATTGGAATGAGAGACTCTCAGATCCGGGCATGAGAAGATATACGGACATGGAATCTCGTCAGGGGGATGAGGATTGCTCTGGTATCGAGGCCCGAACACGGCACCAGCGGCGTCCGAGTACCTTGACTTCGCGAGCTTTCGGCAACTTTCTGACCGGCGATGTTGTCTTCGCGATTTCTTCAAATCTGGACTCATGCTTGATCCATTGGAGCACACTCGCTGACAGCATGGCAAGGTCGTCTGCAGGAATACCAGGTGATTGGGCGCCATCTGCCCACGGAGTCCAACCCGACTCCGGCCCTCTACCGCATGCGCATCTTTGCGCCGAACGAGGTCGTTGCCAAGTCCCGTTTCTGGTACTTCCTTCGCGGTCTCCGCAAGGTCAAGAAGGCCACTGGCGAGATCGTCACCGTCAATGTGGTATGTAGCAGTGGAATTGGGTGACGGATGGATGGGGACTCACTCGTTCGGCAGATCTCCGAGAAGCACCCCCTCAAGGTGAAGAACTTCGGCATCTGGATCCGCTACGACTCGCGGTCAGGCACCCACAACATGTACAAGGAGTACCGTGAGACCTCTAGGACTGCTGCCGTTGAGGCTCTCTACGCCGACATGGCCGCCCGCCACCGTGCCCGTTTCAGGTCCATTCACGTACGGCCTCCGAACCTCTCTTATCAAGAATTCAGGAGTATTGACATACCACACAGATCCTCCGCGTTGTTGAGATCGAGAAGACCGAGGACGTCAAGCGCCCGTACATCAAGCAGCTCATCACCAAGAAGCTCTCTTTCCCTCTCCCCCATCGTGTGCCGCGTATCAACACCAAGAAGGTATTCAGCGCGACGCGCCCGTCTACTTTGGCTTGAGGGATTTCATGGTTGCGGTTGGGGTTGGCAGGTTCTTGAGGTGTTCATTAGGAAAATGGGATATCCTGCATTTGCTCCCTAGGACGAGCACGAAGTGAATCAACGGTCAAGCATGGGTTTGCGTTTGTTTGTGAGCAAATCATTGGCCCTTTTCTGGTCCTTGTGGAGTGCCGGGAATCGAGCTTCTGGGTGGCATAGCTTCATCTGCCTTTCTGTTCCTTGACGAGGCCTTGCCTTGCCATTGATGGTCCCAGCGGCTGTGGCCTGGTGGGCCTCTGGGATGACCGGGGCAGGGCGGCGTTGAAGGTAAGAAGAGCGGCGGTTTTGGGCCGACCCGGACGGGTCTTCAGCCGGATCGCCGGCCAGTTCAATCGGGGATAGTTGAGTTGAAGCGGTCAAGTTGGACTCAACCTGCATCCCCTACTCCCAATACGGAAGCTGGATAACAATAACCACAGGGTTTGCTGTTGCAGTATATTCGTAACTGGGGATGAGTCATTAAAGCACCATCAATACGAGGTCGTCGGTGAATGTTGGGGTCTTTTCCAAAACGTTCCTATCCTACTTCGCTCAGGCTGGCGTCAGCTGAAGTTCAAACGATTTTTAAAAATATATTCTCCTGAACTCGTTCTGGCTCTCGCCCACCTTGAATTCTTCTTTACACTTTCGAACTCCTCTTCTCACGTCCTGCTCCTCATCAACTTCTCATTGCCGCAAACCAAAAAAGCCTTCCCACCAGAACAAACCCACCAACTCACCATGTCTACCGCCACTGCTCCCACCATCGCCCAACAACCCCCACCAGTCCCAACCCCGGACCCGAAAACCTTCATCCGCGTCCGCACCACTCTTCCTCACAAGCCGCTGCCCCCAAACTCGGCACGCCAACCGATCCTCACCCCGCGCCTCATCCTCCGCCCGCTGTGCACCAACGACCTCGCCGACCTGCATGAATTGCGCACCCAGCCCGAGGTGATGGTCTGGACGGCGGTGGGCGTGCCGGACAAGGACCTGGACGCGACCCGGGCCTCGCTGGCGCGCAACTTGCCCCCCAATGACGGGGAGTCGTTCAACTATGCGATTTGCGACCGGGAATCCGGGAAACTGATTGGGATTGGGGGATGTCACAGGCTGGAAGGGCATTTTGGGTGGCCTGAGCTGGGGTATATGATCCGAAGGGAGTTCTGGGGCAAGGGGTTGGCGACCGAGTTTTTGGCCGCGTGGTTGCCGGCTTGGGACGGATTGGAGAGGCAGGAGGTTGAGATTGTGGTTGATCCGAGGACTGTGCAGAGGGCGGAGGTGGAATGGGAAGGGGAGGGGGGGGGCAAGAAGGTGAGGGAGCAGTTGCTTGCGTTCACGGCGGTGGAGAATGGGAAGAGCCAGAGGGTGCTGGAGAAGAACGGGTTTAAGTGGTTCGTGGCGTGGGTGGACAGGAACATGGCCGATGCTAGGGCGCCGGGACGACTGGTGGATTTGTCCACATATCGGTACTTTCCGGGGGTAGGGCCGGAATAAGGAGGTCCGGCGCGATCTTGCTTGGGAGTTGAAGACGTGGTTTCCGTCATGGATTTAGATATAGAGATGCATTCAGATGTACTGGGCGTGGGAGAAATAACACGGGAGGGATTGCACGGTTCTCATTCCGTCTTGATCTTGGGTCTTTCGAGCTTTAGCATCATTCTGCGCTGTTTGACCGTTGGCTCTTTCATCCTGACACTGGGCCGGACTTTGGCGCTGAGTGGAGGTTGTCACGCCACAGAGCTGACCGTACGACAATCCGTTCTTTCTTCGTCCTTTCAGACACCAGTCCAAGAGACTGCAGTGTCTTCCCGCCGGCATTACGGGAGGATCCTCTGTACCATCCCGGAGCTGAGGGCTCTCGTCCGGATGATTCGTTAGCCAGACGTCTTGCTTCCTTTGCTGTATTCGTTGGGCCACACGAAACAAGAAGACACAAGACTGGGGCGAGCCAGTTTGGCAGAGCATACGCATTTCAATTGTTTGTTTGTCTCGTGTATCAGTCCTCCTCCCAGAGAACATCCCATGGTATTCCCCCCTTTCCTTTCTGTATCCGGTTGGCAGTAAAATCAAGCGTGTCAACTCCAGCAGCTGTCTGTGAGAAGATAACTCTCATGAGAATAGCCTTGCCACAAATCCCCTTCTCAGGGACCATTGGTGCGCGGCGTTGTGTCAGGGCGAGAGTAGACCCCCACGATAGTCACTTTCCGTGCCTTTCCTCTTTGAATAGCCGAGGGGACGATGAGGGGTTGCTGTAAGCTTGGATCCAGTCCATAATAGAATTAAAATTCAAGGCGTTCTGATATGTTGGGTGTGAATTGTAGGTCGGTGGTGTCTAAGGCAAGGCAAAGAGCCAAGCAGGAGTTGAATCGCACTCGCCAGCTGTCGGGCATCAAGCCCCCGGGTGTGCGGCCCGTTGTGTCGGATTCCCAGACACAGCTCCACGGCGGCCGCCGGATTCTGGCGGACGTACCCCGGCACGGGCGGTCTGCTGATTTTCGTAATAGATGGCCACCCTGTCCGCGGCGTTCATGTCGCCGAGTGTGTTCAACACGTTCGAATAACTGATGGAGGCCCGGGCGCTCGACGGCGCAGCAGAGGATGTCTGAGGTGGTCTCTGCCCGGATTGGAGCGCCTGCCGGATCATGTCGTGCAGAAAATCCGGGATCTCCTCCCAGTGGCCAGCCCTGGCAGCGGCTATCATGCGCGGCGGGAAGATGTCGTCTGCGGTAAGCGTGTTGTGCGGCCCCGGGAATCGGGCAATCTGATCTGCCACGTGAGGCAGCTCGCCCGACTCTATGGCGTGTTTGAGCCAGTTCTCCCACTCCTCGTCGAGCGGCATCGAGTGGTCCCCGGATATCGTCCGCATGGCAACCCGCTGACGGAGGCGCTCGTTGAGTGCCACGCCGACACTCTCCAGCTCCTCGTCGCTCTCCTCGTCCTCCTCGTCGTTCTCTTCCCCGTTTCCTTCCTCTGCCGCTACAGGTTCCTCCGTCTCCTCCGAGTCGGCGCGCAGGGACTGTGCAGAGTAAGGGTCGTCGAGGTCGGCGTAATTTGGGAAGCCGTCGGCCGTGGTATCTCGGATGCGGATGCCCTGGTCCCGCTCGAACCGCTCCTTGGCCCACTTTGTGCCTTCCCACTTTGTGAGACCCGTGATCTCGGCATGGGTTAGCCGCAGACCGTCAAACGCGCGGAAGAGGCGGCGATGCCATGGCCAGCGGCTTAGGCGGATGCGGTGGATCGGGTGGGTATAGTCGAGCCCCGGATACTTGGCTTCGGGTGTGTCTAGGTGGCCGTAAAATGAGTGTGTCTCTTGCCTGACTTCTAGGATCAGGTACCGTTGGAGAAGGGCCTGGAAGTTCTGAGGGTCCGACTGCCGGGGCTTTGGGAACATGTACTCGTAAACGAGTTCTTCGACAGGGCGGCCTTTCATTATGGCGTTGTCGCTTCTCACGGTTGGCTTTTATCGGTTATATGGTGATGCCGAGCGAGTCGGCCTGGTCGGTGCAATGCCGGTGAGGATCACTGTTTGTCTGAGAGGCGGTGTGGGTTTGCAAGGGAACGTTCTCGTCCGCTATTGTCGTAGGGATCGGCGCCGAGCAACAGGCAGGCGGGATGGGAGTTCGAGTTGGGCTCGAGATTACCTGAACGTGTGCGGGGGCGTAGGAACGGGTCGGTGCGGCGGCGGAGGAGAGAATAGAAGAAATTTGGGTCCACGGGCCCGGAGGGTGCCGGGCTCTTATTGTCGGGCAGGAGACCCTTGGGTGGCTCCGGCTGGCGTTGGTCTCTAGGATCGGCTGTCGGGTCGCGGCAGGGGGTCTTGGTCAGGTGGAAGGCGGGCGGTGTTGCGAAGACAGCGATGCTGGGAGTGGCAGGCTCGGCCTGCCTGCGAGCTGTGGGGCTGTGGGACGTGGAACTCTAGATCTTGAGAGTGGGAGGGATGAGAAAAGTGAGAAGCTAAAAAGACCGAGCCCAATTGTTGCACAGAAAAGGGATGGAACGGGCTGAAAACACAACAGCAAACCGCTTCTTATTGTAAGGTAGCGCACTCTAAACGCTCATGAGTGTCCTGGGTGGTACTTCCATATAAATGAAGGGATGGTGCGACCACTTCTCACGGACATGGCTGGAACAGTCGAGAGAGACCTCAACGGAGCTTCACTCATCTGGCCGAATTCGGTCAGTCTTCGCGACCTAATGCAAGTAGCCGGCTGACCTAATCAAGGCCTGTATTCCTCCTACATCGGGGTCTAGGAGTGCATGCCACGACAGCTTGTGGCATCGTTGCCTTTTGACGGTTTTGCATAAAATGACAATGACTCGGACATGCCTGTCCCTGCCCGGCTGGATGCTTTGTTGGACTTGAGCAGTCCGTCTTACTGCCCATGTCGAAAAGGCTGTGGGTCCCGAGGACGAGCTCCCGTGGATCCACCAGGCTGGCCCACCTGACCGGCTCTCCACATCCAGCGGGCTTGCTAGTGCGTTTTCTTAGGATCGATTTCTTCCAGGCAATTTTCAAGACCAGCCGCACTATGCCACGTACACTTTGGTAAGGTACTCACCAATGATGGCTATCACTACCGCGAATAAGTGATTGCTGCGAGCACGGTACGGATATAGCAGACCTGAAATCGACGTGGCTTGGCTGATGCCGTGGGACTCTGTGTCAGTATTTGTGCGGAGTTTTGTATCGTACTGTATTACAGGACGTCCTATGCTAGGTACTATCACATACATAACTCAAAAACCACTTTTTCTCCAATCCATTCATCGCAACACATTAGAGACATCCAAATCCACCCTTTACACAGCACAATGCCACTATTCTTCCATACGCACATTCCCACACTCGTCTCACCACCCTGACCGTTGGCGGCATGTGGCCGCTCTGCAACCCACAGCCTGCAATCCGCGAGATGGCCTCTCCTAACCAGCTGAGCCCCTTCTGGACTCTCCCAACCTTCATTGGAGGTCCAAGAGCAAACTTGCCCCCGGCGATTGACGCGCTTTGAGACGGCCGTTTCGAAACGTGCTCGGTTACTTCTGTCCACCGATCTACAGTACGTGGAACAATACAGTACGGACCTTGCTCGGTTCCGCTTCATGCGCATTGGCGACCCCGACCCGACGTCGGGTGGGCCGCACCTCAGCTGGACCTCCAGCCACTCAACCCGCCTTACGCCCTGCCATCACATCGCCTTGTTTACTCAGCCCTTCAGCCCTGATCCAGAAATTGTAACCGCTGTTGTTAACTTAGCACCAACACGCCAACATGCACAGCTGGACCGATACCTACCCACTGAAGCGCCAGGCAACAAGAAGCCAACAACCCTCCGTGGCCAATTCAGAGTACCGTCAGCATCCTAGGTGTCTCAGTCATCACATGCTCCCTCAGGCGATGGAAACGGGATACCCCTCTCCAGAACCCAGCAGAGTCCATCGGGAGCCGAAAGAGGGGCCCGGCGTCGGGCGCTACCACGCTGTCATACACTACCGTGCAGTATCGCATCCGCTTCCGTTCCCACCAAGGGCCCAGAGGGACAGTCAAGGATAGAAGCATCGGCCAAGTCTGCGGCCAACTCCTCCACGTACCAACCTTCCTCATCGCATATCGCACAATCCCCAGCCTGCAGCCTGACATCTTGGGCGGTCCACTAATATGGCTACACGGGTGGTGTGCATGGGCGCGTACCGGTCCGCCGTCCAATCAGCATGCCACAGCGCCGTTTGGTTCATCCGTCGGCCGTGGCCTCCTTCACGGCGGCCCGCCCTCCATCAACGGTAACCGAGGAGGGTTGTGCTCTTTGCACCGGCGAATATGAGTCCAGGAAACAAACGTGCCTGCGTACCCGCGTCGGGGGCTGCTTTTACCGCCAAACATTCCCCAAGCTCGGTAGAGCTGTGCCAGAGAAACGCATCCCCTACAAACCCGTTTTTGTTTCCATGTTTGCTTTCCCTGCCTGTTGGGACGCTGGCGGAATGCATGTGCCACCGCCGCAGCGATTGCTAACTGAGCTGCCAGGCTTATTAACCGGACCGGCCGTGCGAAAACTCGGGTCAAGGCACGTTTTGATTCCGAGTCCCGGCCCTCGCTGCAACGCGGCGCCACTCCGGCCGCCGGAAACTATCTCCACTTCGACTGCCCCCGAAAATGGGCTACCTGTCACCCTGCAATTTAACTCCAGGCCGCGGAGGACATCAGTACATCGATTGGAAATCCACGACTTTCTGCTCTCCGCGCTTACCTCCGGATAGCCGAGTCCGTCGAACGAAGGGGATTTCCCCGGCCGCCCAACAGGACCACCCCCACCTTTGCCAGACATGCCTAACAACGGGTCTGTGAAGGAACGGACAGAGCCAATCCACAAACTTGGGCGGCGGGGACGGTGGCAACCCTCGATGCAAGCTACACAGCAACAAGCCATTCCCGCTCGACGCTCCTCCCGCAAGCAACAGCTACCCTTTGCAAACCTAGCTATTTTCAAGGCCCCAGTGTGAGGTCCGCACGTAACAAGCCAGGACGGGCTACATAGGCACCTTAGGCTTGGAGGAGCCGACCGTTCGCCACTGAGCAGAATGGACCATTCCAACTACCATTATTCTGCGATGACCCAGTCTCGTCGTTCGTCCTTACGAAGTCTAGCCCTCGAGGTGGGTGATTTCCAGGCATGTCGAGGCTAGGCCGGACGGCTCCACTGCCATGATGCCGAGCTGCAACCGACGTCGCGCTTGTACATGTTCCAGAGCACGAAATCCAGGGTGATGGTGGTAACTTGTCCCAGCTCTAGAGAGGGGCAGCCGTTTGCACCTCGCATGACTCCAAGACGAAGGGGACCGGGCGGGCGCGGACGGTCGAGAGGATACGGTTCGATGCACCGGTACACACCATCACGAGTCGGCATATGGCTGCTCCCTGCTGAGATCTTGCTGATACGGTTCGAGTGCGCAAAACTCGACTCATGCCAACCAAGGCTCGCAGAGCATGCATTACTCAGACTGGCCCGAGGTCCATACAGATTCTCACGCCAGCGTCAAAAGCAAATGTGGATCAGCAAGGATGGATATCGATCTCATCAAACTCCTTCATGTGCTCGTATACGGCGATGCTCTCTATCCTATCAGAACCAACAAATGTTATCATCCATAGAGGAGACTGTCTCGGCATCTCGTCGTCCTATCATAAGTCATTATCCAAAAACTCGCTCTTGAAACCTCATGTTCATACCCGTTCGGAAACCCGTCCGAATCCTAGTCCCTCGGCCAGGGCATGTCAGGGTATTTTCTACCCCCAACGCCCGTCACGCTCGCGCTGGACAAGGCCGGGCTGGGCATCCTCTCCCTCTCTCTCTCCCTTTCCCTTTCTCTCTCCCTCCTCCACCGCTCCGCACCCGCACCATCATCCCTGCTAAACCTCTCCCTTTCTCTCTGCTCCCTATCGCGGATGCGATTGTCCCGATCCCTCAACTCCCTATCCCTATCTCGATCCCTCTCCCGTTCCCGTTCCCGTTCCCGTTCCCGTTCGCGATCCCACTCGGGCCTCCGACGCAGCCGGTCCAGATCCGGGTGACTGCTCGTTCGCCGGTGATGGCCGCCCTCGGCGAGGGCTTCCGCGAGATACGGGCCGCGGGGGTATCGGCGGTGGGGCGAGAGGTCCTCTTCGGAGTTTCCGCGGCGTCGGGCGGTTTCGCGGTGAAGGGCGGCTGAGGCGGCCGAGGCGGCGGGGCTTGGGCTCGGGGTGGAAAGGAAGCGGTCTCTTTCTCGTTCTCGATCACGGTCTCTGTTGCTCGTGTTATGGTCGTGGTCTCGGCGGTCGTGGTCGCTGTCGCTGTGGGCTCTATCGCGTTTTGGAAGGTTCGGGCGGTCGCGGACTCTGTCTCTTTCTCTCTGGCTCTCGCGTTCCCGGTGCTGATCTTGGTCGCGCGCGGCTCGTTCTCGTTCCCGCTCTCTGTCTCTTTCGCTCTCCCTGTGGTGCTCCCTGCTTTCACGGGAATGTCGTCCGCTCCGCCTCCGCCGCTCGTCTTCTGACTCGGTATCGTCCGTGTCGATGTCGGACCATGATCGGCTTAGTCTTGAGCTGGGCAGGACATCCTCCCTCGAGCCCCTCGCCGTGGCGCCCACCCCGTCCCGCCTCCCCCGTGAGCCGCTCGTGCTCCGCGCTCGCTCCCCGCTGCCGACGGCAGGGCTAATGAAGCTGGATATCTTCTCCTTGAGGTCAAAGAGGGCGCTGCGCGGGCGTTTGCCCTCGTCGTGGGTTGCGCTGCCGTGACCAACTTCAGATGGGCGGGGCGAGCGCATGTGCGACGGCGGTATGGGAGGCGGAGGCATGGTTGTACGGACGACACGTGGCGAGCGCTCGGGGCTTCCGGTGTAGACACGGCGAATCGAAATCGGAGGTGGGTCGTTTGACCGCTGGGTGCGTTGCTGGGTCGTGCATGGGCTCACTGGATCGTCGTCTGAATCGGAACAACTGTGACGTCGGATCGGGCTACGTCGGCGGTGTTGCGGCTCACGCTCAGGGACGAGATGTGGTACCCGGACTGGACGTGCTTCGTGTGGTGAATGGAGGTAGTCAGAGAAACTCCGACGGCGTTGGGCGGAATCGTCTGTTGATGACGCTGTCTGGCGGCGGACGAAGTTCTCTCGGTCCCGGGCCCGCTCTCGCTCCGGAGACCGCCCTGTTGGTGTAGGGCGAGGGGATGCGACGTGGACGTAGGTGACGTTGACGGGACGAGCAAAGTAATCGCGCGGCGTCGTCGGGTTGATGCGGACGTGGGTGTAGGGAACCTTACGGTCTGTAAACTCATACTTCGGCGAGTCCTTCGATGCCTCAGCCTCCTCCTCCGCAGAGGCTGCCTTCATGCGCGACCTGCGGGCACACTCCTGATGCCAGCGATCGGTATCGGAGTCAGTGTCGGACGGAAATGCTTCGATTGGAAGGCTGATGGGAAGCGGAGCGCCAGTGTCGGGGTGCTTGAGGGCCCAATTAGCTGCGGCGAACTGCAATACCGGCACTTGTGTCTGGGGCCCAAGGAGGGTCTGAATTGTTTGCCAGCGCACAAATCCCTTCACTGTGAGCGCCGGTATCGAAGGGGCGGCGAAGTCGTCACCGCCAGGGAGAAGCGAGTGTTGACAACCCAGGCCTTGATAGACAGTGGAAATGGCGGGATGGGGCATATCGACAAAGAATGCTAGATGCGACTTGAGTCAGTAACCACTGCCGGGAGGAATTGTCTCTTGAATCAGGGGTAGCTCACAGTCCCAGTCATGACCGGCGACCTTGTAGAAGGCAGCGAGCTTCGCAGGGGTCAAGTTGGCGTCATTCTTGTCGCCGATTTCGCTGGTCTGGAGATGGTGGTCAATATACGTCCCGATACAAGATTGCAGATTGTGACGAACGATATGCAATGCGATAGCTCTCAGGAGCGCATCAAGGACAGGCGTGGGAGCTGGTATTGGCTTCGCCTTGGTAAACAGATAGCCGTAGAAGGCCTTGGTGTCCTCGGCCTCGCCTGATGCAGTCGCCATGGCGGGAATTGATTATCATGGTAGCCGAGCATACGTTGTAGAACAACAGTGGCCAGCGGTTGCGTCGCGGTCAACAGCTGGTTGCTGGGAGGATTGATGTCGTGGGGTGACACGGCCGAAGAGGGGTCCGCGGATGTGGGTTGGCAGTCCACCAGCATATAAAACCGGCTTCCCGATGACATGCATGTGGTTAGCCGACCAGGCTGCCGCGCGGATCTGGTAAGCGAACGTCTGTTTACTGGGTTGCGAGTTGGTCGATTCCCAGGCAGATTTGAGTCTAGTCACCAACCATTGGTGGTTCGATATTTGGGTTGTGGTTAAGGTGCAGGCAGGAGGGCTGATTCAAGAATCTTCGCTGTGCAGCGGCAGCGAGCGGCGCTGCACCCAGATGCGAAACCAACCGGCATTGCTGACGCCACAACGGGACAAACGTACTTTTATCGGTGTTGGTATGAGCCTTGTGAGGGGGCCTGTGAGCGCCTGCAGACGGTTAAGCTGTTGACACGTGCTCATGCAGGTCGAGTGCTTTCTGTACAGTATCTCACAGGCAGAATTGGCGACCTCAATTCGAGCGAGATGGACAGGAGCTGGAATCAGGGAGAGGACAGCAAGCTGCGACTACCAGACCCTGGGCTATGATGCTGCTGGCACCTCGTCGCCATTGTATGTCGACTACTCCGCTGGTCTGTAATGCATGTAAGACCGATATCTCCAGGTCTTAATACTTATGGTAGTGTTAGATGGGTGGCAGGCGGCAAACGATTTACAAAGTCATGAGCGAGGTGGTTGTGGAAGAAAAGGGATAGGGTTGGAAACAGCTCAAGTAACTGTTTGGCACCTGCTGTGACTGCACCTATGAAATCTTTCAACTCAGCCGTTGCTCTTCCTCATTACCATTCAATTTGACGAGTAGTCGAACATTCGGTCATGCGGCCATCTACCCAAGACGAGGGCAGAGAGATTGCTTTCTCTATCACACAAGCGGTTTCTACAGGATGGGTCTGTTCATAGCCGAGTCGGCTGAAGAGATGCTCAGCGCAGAGCGACCTCATCGCGAAGCGATGCACTCTTACACGAAGCATGAAGGCAGGCCGGCCTCCGATACCTCCTGAAGGTCGCAAATCCATGTGTGCCTTGCGGGACCCTTCTACTCGATCTTCCTCATGACCCTCCAGCCACCACTCAAAGCCCCGTCGTCATGTGGCTCAGCAACCCAAGCATTTTCCTTGACCTCAGTAATTTGTTCCCCCGTCTTCCTTACCCTGCCGTCGTAGCTAGGCTGCTGCCGAGTATATGGGACCAGCGCCATCAGCTCGCTCCCGTCCAGCAACCCCGCCATTGCAAGCAATCCCTCGGGCTCCTCGGTTAGGATCGACCGAGTGTGGTAGGCATGCCATGACACCCACCCGCTAAGGATCAGCACGATCAGCAAGAGGGAAGCGATGAGGTACGCCGCCCACTCGACGACCAATAGCCGCGTCGCCGGCATCCACAAGGTCCCTGCCGCCGTCTTCTCGGCCTCGAGCCGGTCGAACGTGCCCGTGGCCGTGCCGATGGCACATGTGGTGGTAAAGACGGGCGAGATGGCCTGCAGCAGGGCCGGCGGCGCAAGGAGGCTCTCATTGCCCGCAATCTTCTCGGCAATGTACACAGCGGTGACGCCTAATTCGGCATGGACCATGCACCCGACGGGTTGAAGACGACGGGATTGGGCATGCCCCGCTCGATCAGCTGCCAGAGTGTGTGACGCCGAACGGAGTTCGAGGTATCATTGCCCGGCGGTCGTTTGAGGCTGCGAATGGCGGGCACGGTGGAAGACGACTTTACGGCTACCTCGAGCGTCCCGTTCACAGCTTGATCATCGGTGGCACAAGAGATGACGCTGATGTTGGAGAGCAGATATGGGCTGGTCGGAGCGTACTGCCCCGCTGTGAAAACGAGACGGCTGTGATGGGCTGCCCGAGAGCAACCCAGCTTCTGGCCTGCGTCGAAGAAGATATCCGACCCCATCCCCGCCACCAGGAAACTCGTCAGAGAACTCGCAACCCTGTCCGTCGCTGTCACCCGTACAACTCCCTGGGTGGCTCCTGATTCCGGCTCTTGGCGGTCGAGTGACATGGTATAGTCAGAAATGACTTCGCAGCTGACATGGGCCGAGCATGCCGTCGTATTAGCAGCCATGTAGGAGCTGCCTTAACGGGCGGTCGTAGCAGAGAAAGGACGGAAAGCGAACTCGTCGTTTGCCCACGGAACCGGGTTCTCGCCTTGAATAATAGCGACGCGAGCATTGGTGAGCGCCGGCCGCCAGTCGATATCGTCAAGTCCAACGCTGGTCCTGTTGTATGCCGACTCGAACGACACCGAAATGTCCGCTGGCGACAAGCCGGCCTCAGTGGTGAAGAGGCGAGCGGCGAACGGGGGGACGACATATTGCAGAGCCAGACCCGTCAGAGTAGTCAGTCCGACCGTCGTCTGACCCAGCCGGAGAGCCCGCAACCACCTCCAGGGCGTGGGCGTGCACTGGTAGTCCAGCAGGATGGAGCTCGCCGCCGGCCCTCCTCTAGGGCCCGCAAGGTCAACGCATGGCTGTCGAGTGGCCCGCGATTCGGATTCATATCCAGTATATGCTCAACAGCTGCAACACAGCGCTCGGTAGAACAGTCCAAAGGTTGGCCAGGTCCCACGAGATGTTCAGCAAACCGATCACTGGCTAGTCCTGCTCAGAAATTTCCGCCGCCTGGTTGGGAACTGTAGCGAAGCCGTTATCCCGTCGTGACTCAGCTGCCAAGGAGACAATGGTGACCATGACAGAGAGGTCCAAGACCGCGAAGAAAAGAAGGCCATTCCTTCGCCAGGGACCGAGTGTCCGTCCCTCCAACCCTTCGTTCCTGGCTCGACGGTTCTGAACCGGATGCTATGACCGCCATCTGCGAACAACCCTGCGGTACTGGATGATTTCAACGAGTTGCTGGTAAATGGTTCAGGGGATACTCATGGGGAGGACAAGCTAACGAGTACAGCTACGCATTAAGGACTATGTAGTCCGTCAACGGCGAGTCCAGCCAAGACCGTCGTGTCAATAGTCGGTGTCAGCCTCAAACAGACAGCCCACTACGCCCGGCACCACCTCCGACGGCTCAAAGGAGACTACCGAAAGCCTCATGTACGCATCTCCAGAATCTTACCGCAGGTCGCCCCGTGATCTCAACCCACTTCCAGCTCCCGCTTGCCGAGATTTCAGTCTGGTCTCGAACGGCGGTTTCTGGACAAAGTTGTCACAACCTTCATCATGAGAAACACCACATTCCTTGCGGCCTTTATAGTCTGTTTTTTCCCTGTACAAACCATGGGCGGCTTCGTTGTCGGGGCGCACCTTCAACCACGGGAGTGTCCGGACGATCCGTCCAAAGGCACTCCATCTTGCAACAAAGTTGATGGAAATCCTGATCCGGTGCAAGGAAACAACAACCAAGCAGGACACCATTGCCTGTTTTCCTGTCCAGAACGTGTTGAACTTGATGGTCGAGGAAGCCTAACCTCGAGTTGCTGCCACGCCGCGTGTCAACAGCAGGCTAAAGCATAGAAGGTGCAAGGGGGAGATTCGCGAGTGCGCAGGGAGTTACTCGTTCGACGCTGATCATGACGAGGCGATAGCCCTCTGGCAGGAGAGGTGCGCCCAGCATCTCACATTCCCCCCCACGACCCTGTCCTCACACCACTCCCGACCGTCGTCGACGAGGCGGAGTGCCTATCCATCTAGGACGCCTGTCTCCAACGAGATGCCGCCGCCGCCTCCTGTGCGCAGGCATATAATGCCGGCGTCAAGGAGGAAGTGAGCTGCCTGTATCAGCCCTCCAAGTTCTGGGTAGCACCAAGATGCTTCGTTGACCGGACCGACTGTGCCTGGCGGCGGACCGAATCCATACCACTTTCTAGAGTGCCCAAGTACAGGTCCTGTTCTTTATCGGGGTGGCTCAAATCGGTCATCACGCAGGTAGGACATTTCCCACCCGGCCCAGCTGAACATGGCGCTGGAAGCTGCTTGCTAACGCATCGCTGTTAGACTGCAAATACCAGCACAGCCACCACCACGTACCATTCTCCGACCCCAAGGCCATTCCACTCGACGATCAGCTTCGGCCCGCCGTAACCTCCACTCAGACACAGTCTGCTGCCATCCAGCGATGGGCCGTTCCTCTCTTAGTGTTTTCTGCTCCGGTCGTCGGTATCTGTTCGGCTTGATGTCTCATGGCTCTACGCATGTGGGACGTATCTGTAACTGCAGTTGTATCGGCTGGTGAGATGCGAGAGGCAGCGTTATCCTACGTGTGCGTTGGTGATAGCTTGGTGGTTCTGAAGTTGGACTTGGGGTTACAGTGGGAAGTTGTTGAACAGAAAGCGAACGCCTAGAGCCGAATGTCAAGCATCAGAGCGTTGAGAACCGTCTGATATGATCCAAGCCGTCAGCTTGAGCCTGCATTGCCAGAACGTCAATTATGTCTCCTACTCAGGGGTGGATCAGGGGTAAAATTGGATCACCGTCGGGCGTCGGAAGCTGTTCACTTGTGAAAGGGAATTGTAACCGCGAAGCCATGCGAAATCGCCTCTTATTCACTATTGTACACATGTACAGCCCTGACATGAGCCTAGATAGAAAGGAAATATCTCTATGCCGTGGCTGCGACTGTGCACGCAAAAATACACCCATGCCTGCCCGTCTATGGCGTCGTCCCTGGCGGCCCGCGAGCCTGACCGATCGTCGTCCTTGCTGGCGCAGCGCATGCTCTCTAACCATTGCTCCACCTCTCCCTCCACCATTCCTGGGCGTCGTTAGTTTGCCCTCTCATCCCATGCTTACTCCTCTGGCGCATATGCCCGGTCAAATTCCAGCCGCGCCCCATCGCGTCTGATTTCCGTCCCCCTACTCTTGTCTAAGCTGCGCCATGGCTTATTGCTTCATTAGAGCTTCAAAGGCGGCCTCGAGGTCGAAGTTGGGTGAGTTCAGATCTAGGTTCACTGATGCCCTGTTAGTCGGCAGGTTCTCTCCTGAAGAAAAGAGTTGGGAAAACTCACACCCAGAGGGAGCGGACGTGCTGGCGGCGGCGGCGGGCTGCTTCTTCTTGGCGTACTCCTCCTTGGCCTTGTTTATCAACTCCTGCTTGTGCTCGTACTCGCGCTGTGCCGCGGCCGCTTTTTGCGCGGACGTGATGGTCCGCTGGTGGTAGAAGCCGTAGAAGATGCCCAGGCCGAGGGCCGAATACCGGAGGACCTGCGCGAGCGCACTGTTAGTCGAGCCAGGTTCGCGAGACAGCTGTTTCGCGATTGTCCCGCAACCCCATCCTCAAGTCCCAATCCTGAGCTTCCCAAACTCTCTCCCCTCTGGTTCCAAAGTCGAACTTCTCAACCAGAATGCGTTTGTTTATATCCGTTACAGAGAGAATTTCGACCGAGGTAAAGCCGCGGTTTTGAGGTGGTGCTGGTGCTAGTACTGCTGCCGTGGCACTTACGTTGACTCCGGACTTGGACGACGACATTGTGAGTGATTGTATGGGTTTCACACGTCTGCTTCGGCCTCGGTTCCGGGGAGGAGACTTGTTGGGCGCAGGCGCTGTCAATTGACGGTATCTATTGGTCCCGTAGCTTGTCGTCGTCGATGGATGGGATCCGGTTCCGTCGGGGTGTTGCAACTTGCAAGTTTTGGCAGAGCTCGGAAATTCTCGCGGCCTTTGCCGGACCCACTGTCGTTCGCTGGCCCACAGCTGCACAGTAGGTGAACTGATAAGCTACACCCCGTGGTGTCTTCCCAGCGACCAAGCATCGCACCCTTGTCGATTGCTGCCAGTCGCGACGCGCAGCAAAAAGGTTGAAGTTCAGAAAGGGACAAACCCACGATATAGCATTCGACTATCCAGCGAGGCCACATCTCCGGTGGATAGTGTGTACGGAAAATTCTTGTTGGCGACATACGAGACTTGGCGACGGAATACCGTGCTCGGCCCGAACGATCGCATCCAATTCAGATTCAGCAGCACTCGGCGACTTAACGACGACTCTCCTGGCTGGACCCAAAAGCGAATGACCCCTTAGCGCTTGGCTAGTCCTCAGGAATGGGTATGAGGATTCGGCAAGATGCAACAACGTCGAGATGAGATTCTCGCCAAAAAGGCGAAGCTCGCAGAGCTCAAACGCCAGAGGGAGCTTCGAGCGAGCCAGGCCAACCGTCCGAGCATCAGCCCAAGCGAAGTTTGTCTCGTCCGCCCTAGGTCGCTGCCGTCTGCGGCAAGCTGACGCTCAGTTAGATATTAGCCCCAACGCCGGGCCGAGCCGACAACCGACGAGAGATAGAGTCCCTCATCGACAGCCTTGTCCGCGAGAGCAGGCCGGTGTCTGTTTCGACCGGCGCCAACTCGCCTGGCCGATTTGGCAGCAGGCCAAACAGCGTGCTCAGCACGGGAGAACTCAGCAACGAGAACAACTCGGAATATGCCGGCCCCGCAAGCGCGCAGATCGCCACTTCGCACCCCCAGATTCTCTCCACGATACCCTTGAAGACGGTCTACGAGTGCCCTCCATCGCCTGTAAAAGAGGTGTACACGTACAGCAAAGGGGTGCAGACGACCGACGAATGGGCAAGCCCAAGGAGATCGCGCGCCCTGTCCGAGTCGGAAGACGAGGAACCACCCGTGACGGCTTCGCCGAGCAAGCGGCTGAGCAGGAGGGAGCGGGACCGAGAGGAAGAGCTGCGAGAGAACCTACGGAAGGAGATTGAGGCAGAACTCAGGGCGGCCAAGGAGCTGGTAACGGATGGCGTGCTTAAACCATCCGCTGCGGCCAACTTCCCGGCCCGGACACTGACTGCCGACGAGCTGAGGGCCGTCACACAGTCTGACGACTTCATGGACTTCATTGACAGGTCGACCAAGGTCATTGAAAAAGCGTTGGATCAGGAATACGACATCCTCACCGACTACACGCTCCAAGTACACGACGCTGAAGACGACGACGACCAGACTGGCAACACGGGCGGAAAAGGCCGGCGAAAGGTCAAGGAGATTGCCCAGTTCTACGACGAGCGGTGGTCCAAGAAGCGCATGGTCAGCGCCATCGACTTCTCGCCCAAGTTCCCCGAGCTCCTCCTCGCGTCCTACACCAAGAACCCCACCGCCCCCCACGACCCGGACGGCATTGTCCAAGTATGGAACCTCCACCTGCACGACCGACCCGAATTCGTCTTCCACGCCCAATCCGACATCCTGACGGCCAAATTCTCCCCCTTCCACCCGAACCTCATCATCGGCGGCGCCTACAGCGGCCAGGTCCTGCTCTGGGACACGCGCGCGCGGTCGGTGCCCGTGCAAAAGACACCCCTCACGGGCTCGGGCCATACCCACCCGGTCTACTGCGTCGACATAGTCGGCACGCAAAACGCAAACAACATCATCTCGTGCTCCACCGACGGCGCTGTGTGCGGCTGGTCCGTCGACATGCTGGCCCAGCCTCAAGAAGCCATGACGCTCCTCTCCCCGCTTCCGGCCAAGAACGAGGACCTCTCGCCGACCTGCATGGCCTTCCCGCAAGCCGACCCGACTTTCTTCTTGGTCGGCTCCGAAGACGGCACCATCTACCCCTGCCACCGGTACGACCGCGCCGGCGCCAAGGCCGGCGTCGACGCCCGCGTCAGCTATCGCGGCCACGCCGCGCCCGTCATGTCGGTCGCGTTCCACCCCGCCCGCGGGCCGGTCGACCTGGGCGATCTGGTCCTGTCGGCGAGCCTGGATTGGAGCGTCAAGCTGTGGAAGGTGCGCGCCCCCGCGGCCACGTCGGCCGTCATCTCGTCGTCGTCGTCCGGCGGCGGCGTCGCGGGCAGCGGCGGCGGTGGCGGCACTGGAGCAGCAGCTAGCGGAATCGTAGCCGGGTTGGGCGGCGGTGCAGCTGGACTTGGTGTGGGCAGTGGCGGCGTCGGTGCGGGACTAGGCGGCCTCGAGCCAGCGGTCGCGCCGCTACTGGACTTTGTGCGCGAGGACGTTGTCTATGACGCGGCCTGGTCGCCTGTCAAGCCCGGCGTGTTTGGGCTGGTGGACGGCGCCGGCTGGCTCGAGCTGTGGGACATTACCGTGGAGACGGAGGAGCCCGTCTCGAGGATCTCGCCCAGCCCGAGGAAGGACGGGCGCACCATGCTGAGCAAAAGCCTGAATAAGCTCGCGTGGGAGCCCAGCGAGGGGAAGAGGCTTGCCACGGGCGGGATTGACGGCGCGGTGACCGTGTTTGAGGTCGGGCCCGACCTGGGCGGGAAGGAGGGGCTGAGGAACGAGGAGTGGACGAGTGTGAAGAAGCTGGTGAATAGACTGGAGGCGGTGGGCGGGAGTGATGGGGTTGGTGCTTGAGAGGGTCTTGGTTAGAGGTGTCCGTGTGTGAGGCAATAGCGGGAGTGGGCGGGCGGGCCGTTCTTTGGTATCTGGAGCTAATACATGGAGGGCGTATGTATGGAGTTATGGAAGTTCGAAGGGGTGATAAATGAGAAAGGCAGGAAGCGGTGATCAAACCCTAACCCTGGAGCGCCTGATCCTAGATATAAAATAAGCACCAAAATTTCTCTCGCAACACTGTCTTGTGAACTCCAACCATATCAGCCAGCAATGGTAGATTGGATATCCGGCCGCTGAACGCGGGATAGAGGTGCTTGACAATGACGTGTAAGTTGATCCTTGGTTTCCCTTTTTCATCGGGCCTATGATGAATGATTCTTCCATGAATTCTGCAATTCTCAAGCGCCTCGCCGAGGCTCCATGTGGACAGTTTTCACATTCCATTTCCTGAGGGCCAACTTTTCGTTTTCACACGCGCCGGCACTTGTTGCCCGTGACAAAGGTGCAGCCAGGTAACTGACAAGACGCAGAGGTATATATATCACATATATTATCTAGCTATGAAAATCACCCCGCCCCCACATCTGGCTTCACAAACGCCTTACCTTAGGTGTTTGTGGTGACATGCTCCGGGTACCTCTCCCCTTTCACCTCAAACTTGGCCAGGATGTCATCAATGGCCTCCATCTCGGCGTCGGTCAAGTCGACCTCGACGGCGTTCTCGGCCACGCGCGAGGGGTTGGTCGAACCCGGGATCGGGATGATGGTCGGCATCCCCGGCCGCCGCGACAGGCAGCGCGTCCAGGCGAGGGCCAACTGCGCGGGCGTGCAGCCTTTTTGCTTGGCTAGGTCGTTGACCTTGTTGAAGAGCTCGAGATTGTTGGGGAAGTTCTCCGGGGAGAAGCGCGGGAAGTGCTGGAGGAGTGGGGGGATGTCCGCTTGGGACCTGAGGTTGCCTCCGAGGAGCTGTGCAATGGGGGGGAATGGGGTTAGTATAAGGCGAGGAGGGGAGATTGGAGGAGGGACAAAGCTTACACCGCGCCCGATGGGCGAATACGCCACCATTGGGATGCCGTACTGCGCGCACGCGGCAGCCACCCCATTGGTCAGCACGTCCGGACTGAAGATGCTCAACTCGACCTCGACGGCGACAATCTTGACGTGCTTGACGGCCTCGTGGATGGTCGACGCGGCCACCTCGCTGAGCGAGATGCCGCCCAGAAGGCCCCGGTCAATGTACTCCTGCATGGCGCGGAACGTTACCTCCATGGCCACGGTAGGGTCACGGCGGGCGCATTCAAAGATGTCGAGCTTCTTGCGGCCATTGAGCTGCTTGAGACAACTGTCGATGGAGCGCCGGATGCCCTCGGGCGAGCCATCGGGCCCCTTGGGGCCGAGGGCGCCTTTGATGCTCAGGACCACCTTGTCGGCGTCCTCGGGGTATTTGGCGAAGTAGCTCTCAAGGAGCGTCAGTGAGTTGCACTCGGGGGTGCCGTAGAACTCGCCGCCGTTCCAGAAGTTCATGCCGTTCTTGAGGGCAGCCCGCATGGCCTCGAAGGCTTGGTCATTGGGAATTGGGTTCGGGCGCCAGGTCAAGCCTGAGACAGTTAGTCGAGGTCTGGGAGTCGTGATGGTGACGTTTAGACGTACCCATGAGGCCATAGCCAGTGGCGCCAACTTCCTGTCCGTTGATCTGAGGCATCTTGAAGTTGAGGATAGTGGTGCCCGTAGCAATGGTGTGTTGGTGTCTGTCTGGTATCTACTGCTAGTATTCACTGCGTGGAGTGTGTGTTCAATGGTTTTGAATGAGAATGACAGGACACAAAGCCGTCGGGTTCGGCCCATTTATACCCCTCAACACGACGCGGAGTCATACAGCCTTGCAACACTACCTAAGGTAGCTTACTGACATCAACACCGTTAGGCCCGAGATCCGCGACAGCCCCGCGGCGAGATGTTAAATCCATGGATAGAGGGAAACATCGCTTGACGACGACACCGGTAACACCGATTGCAGTTGCAGATGAGCCTGTTCCGCTTCCGGAAATATGACCGAAACCTGGGATATGTTTATGCTACCGCTTACAATGTTGGATGGTTGAGGCGTCAATCGGATTGACGGAGAAAGCTCGGTGGCTTCTCGACCTACTCCCGTTATCCCCGCGCTCTCACTTTTCGTCGTCGACCTGGAGCTCGAATCAGAGCTGTCCAGCCTCATCAAGTCCGAACCATCCTATGGGACCTGGCATGGAAAGCTACCACAGTACCAAGATGGCTTAGAACAAGTTGCTGTGATGAATCAGCTCGCTTTGTGAAAGACGTCACTGGGTTTTGCCCAGATACTTAAGCTCGGCCTTTTGAAGCTGCGAAGTACGTAAGATATGACCCAACGAGAAATTTTACGAGATACCTGGATATAGCCCCAACTTACTAATATGATGTACTAAATCGCAATGGCCGTTCTTTCCATACACTATAAAAATAAGTAGGAGAAAGTCACAATTGACCACTTTTACATAGTGAAGTGCGAAAGTGTCAATCGTGCCCAGGCACAGTGAATTAGACAGTGTGCTCTCTCTTTCTACACGCCGTCCCTGACCAGATCTGGAACACGTCGAGTGTAACAAGGGTCAATGCCAAGCAACTGCTTGGGGTAAGCGGAAACAAAAACTCCAAAAAAAGTTCAAGTTGATTTTTGACGATGATGTTGACCAGTACTCGTACGTTGGGCGGGATATTGTAACTCGGGACTCATAGTTGCATTATCAGTGCATTCTGAGTGTTGAGCTCGTCTCCCCGGCTTCAGAGAAAATTATATTCTTCACCTCGCTCCAGTTTTTATTGTCATTTTATTGCCATTTTCTCTTCACCATTGTCACTTTCACACAAACTCTTATTTAACCCAGTTCCCTATTCACAGCAACATGACTAGAAACAGTAGCAGCGCTAGTGCATCTGGCACTGTGCGGCCAGCAGTTCCAGGGTATAAAGCACGATCAACCGCTTCTGCAGCAAAGGCTTTCCAGCTGTTCCTCAGACACCGCCGGTGTGCTCTTCGAAACTCGGCTTCTTCATCAGAGAAGGATTCCAACATCGCCAGCTTTGAGAAATCACTTGCGTTTTCAGTCTGCCAATCCACACTCAGCAACGGCCTTCTTACATGTCTACCCCCGAGAGTCGAACCCAGCGACATCACCTCGACACTACCCCTTCACCGTCACCTCACCAGTTCGGCAGCCGTTAGCAAGCTTGCAAAGCTCTACAAGCGTTATCGGAATATTGAGCGTGCCGTCGCATTATTTCTGCTCCGGAGACAGCTGTGGAGGAGAACAAGAAGGCCAACCTTCAGGAGGGACTTCATCGAGAATTTGCGTCGCATCCAGGCCGACGAGCACTCTTCGGACGAGGAAACCGGTCTCATTCTCACCTCTGTCACGACCAGAGCCCCCCGTCGCCCTCCGTCGTCCTCCAGCGCGACCACAGTCAACATCTCCTCACAGTCGGATGTGGCCACGAAGCGGAAGCATGACCCCGTCGCTCAGCCCACCGCCGAGCCTTCCCCCGCAGCGAAAAAGGCCAAACTCCAGACCCCTTCGCCCGCCGTTAACGCCAAGGGGGCGCTGAACGGCACGAATGAAAAGCTTGGCATCTTGGAGGCAAACGGCAGCGAGACGTACCTCAAGAGACGGGTCTCGGAGAGCGACAAAGAGGCCGTAGCCGACCGACCGGACCGCAACGCCAAAGCACCGTTCCCGATACCTCTCGGCAGCCAATCTACGGGGCCACCAATGCGCGCCGAGAGGGCCGAGACGTCGTCGTCCTCGAGGATTTCACCGGCCGACCCGGTCCGCGCCTCGCCCGCCCAGTCAAACCCCGCCGGCGGACCCAAGCGGATGAAGGAGCTCTTTGAGCGCCGCGTCCACGAGATGCTGACCGACCCGCTCGGCTTCGACGACTGCGTCCGCGACAGCGCCCGCCCGACGCCGCGCCGTGTTGTGAGGGAATTTGCGCGGTACCGCGGCAGCCAGACGCAGCCGCCGCCCCCGCTCGTCATGAGCGGCGCGCTGAGGCCCATGGCCGAGGTTGCAAAGGCGAAGATGGCATACGGCAGCGGCAGCGGCAGCGGCGGCGGCGGCAGCAAGAGCAAGTCCGGCCTGGTTACTAATGGGAGTGGTGGGAGCCTGTTGGCGAGGGAGGCTCAGAAGCGGGCGCATCGGCAGAAGCTGGAGGGCCGGGTTCAGGATTTTAAGGGAAAAGGGAGGGCTATGTCGCCGGAGAGGGACGGGAAGCTTGATGGGGGGTTAGTGAACGGCGGCAAGCAGGCGGAAAGGGGAAAGGGGAAGAGGGGTCGTACCAAGGAGAGAACTTGGTTGACTAACGCTCGGCAGAAGGCTGGTGGTGGTGTACAGCAGGGTGGCCAACATAGTATAGCCAAGAAATACACCAAGTCATCTTAGTGTCTGAGGTCTCTGGTATGTGAGGCGACAGTAGCAGTGACTCACTCCCGTCTCGACGGTACATGGATGCCGTTAACAGTACGTTTTGATCTGGCGTGTTCAGGCCTGGATGACAAACCCCACTTGTTACACCCTTTTCTCGAAATCTTGCATGGAACCGGATGATCAGCATAAACGCCAGGGGCGCCAGCGAGTTGCGGCTGGATGGAAATCGAATTTCTGAAAACACCCGAAATTGGGTTGCCTGTTGGAGGCTGCGCGACTGGAGACTTCCCGAGAGCGATGGCGGAGTCAAGATCGAGTAGGGCAACGATCCCGTCGAAGATCTCTCGAAGAAGTTGGTGCAAGCCGGGGTCCTCGTCATTCAACTTTGCAGTATTACTTGAAGCTGTCTTACTTGGGAGCCACGGGCTCGAGCGAGGGGCGGCGAGGGGTTATCCTTGCGTTGCGCTGGCGTGACCCTCGTGGCTGCGTCGTCGTAGTAGTACACTGCCCTGCATAGACCCCCGGATTGCTTGGAGGTGAGGGTGCTGCCGAGCGGGGAGGTATGCACACGCATGGAACAGCCGGTTCGCATCTCGATTCTCTCTCACCCAGCTCAGGCAGGGTCAGAGGGTAGGGGCCAAGGGGTGAGTTGTCGCCGAGGGGATGACGGTGGCCTAACCCAGAGGCAGAGATGCTACAGTTTGTAGACCTGGTCGTCCCCCTGGGCCGTCTGTCCGCAGCTGGTTGCCAAGCACGGCGACGGGCCTGGATGTCTGAGAAGGGCGGGTCGTTCGTGGCGGCGGTTATGATCTCTTCCTCCATAGCTCCCGCCTCTGCGTCTGTGAGGAGATTGCCCGGGATGATCTGTACCTTCCCATCTGAGGCGTGGCGTTCGGTGTCTTGCAGACCCAATTCCTCGAATCTAAGCTGGATCACGGCGGCAAGTCCTGAGCCGGCGAGTTCCCTATCGGAGCAGAATCAAGACACACCAACCAACTCGCCGACAAACATCCGCTAAGAGGATCTACAACCATCTGAACGTCAAAGAGATTTTCAGGTCCTACTTTGACGTGGACCATCCTGACGAGGCACCGGAGGATGAGGCGGCCGGTCAGGAAGCTGAAGTTTCTATAGACGTCGACGCCCAGATGGAGGACAGCTGATATTAGATTCCGTCACAAAACCGGCGAAAACCCGCAGGTCGCGGCGTTCGTCTGCTGCTTGGACATAGTCTCGCCGTCGCGCAACGAGACACAGTCCGACACGAAGCCACCTTCTAGAAGGCGAAATGACTCCAATCAAGCTCGGCAGCAAAAGCGAGATATGCCCTAACGGTGCAAAGGACAGCCGGAGAGGTTGCACTCATGTTAACGTGGACGTGAGGATTCCTGTTATGGACAATGGCAAGATGGAAAACTTATGCTTCGTTGATCCCGTATCAGATTTAGGTCTTTCATCTCGTCCTTTAGCGGGCGTCCGGGCAACCAGGCCCCCCTGATAGAACAGATCTCAGTCGGGAATATCTTGGGCAATTCGGATAATTGTCGAGGTCTACCTGTGTCCGTAACAGGAATTTCTGCAATTGAGAGGTCAAGGGCATGATCGCAACAAGAAGCGGCGGCCAAGTGGCTTGCGCCACATGGTTCAATGAGCCGCTGGCCAGCTCCTCGTGAGTCTGGCGTTGGGTAGAGCCTCGCTCTCCCTTTCGGCGGCAGAATCATTGACTCCTGGATGAGCAAGGTTCGGCGGTATGACGAACCATCTGGCGGCGACACCACCGTAGTTGATGTCGCGTCAGGTTTTGCAGCAGACATCGTCTTCATCCACTTCGTTCGCATACTCATCTCGGGTTCCACGATCCAGCGTAACCAGCTTATCGTGGCTGCCGTCGACACGCGCGCCGCACTGCTGCACGCGCCAGCTGACCGATATCATCATCTCTCGAACCCTTCGCTCGCCTTCTTCACCAAACGACAAGCAAGCAAAAGCCACAAAGCGCCAAGCATAGTTGAGCTGCCTACCAAGGCTTGGCAATCAGGCAACACCACAGCCAGCAAGATGGCGACGTGCGCTCTGTACAAGCCAAATGCCGGTTTTGCGCCAAAGTCACCAATCGTCCAGATGAACCCCAGTTACTGTGAAGGGAACGAACCTCCCGGCTGAGATCTAGTAGGGATCTCGTATCGATGATCGAAGCTTCGGCGGGTGGTTGCGTCTTAGACACCAATTTTCGGAAACAATCATCTCAGCTCCTCGAGGGAGAACAGCCGACGACGAATTCAGCCTTGTTAAGAGTATGCCGGGCCTGGCAACTGAACTTCGCGCCAGGTTGTGCAGCGTTATGCGGATGATAACGTTTTTTCTGAAGCCTCAAGGGCATGTATACCTGGCCGGTTATTATCAGAGGGGGATAGGACTCCTGAGTTCTGATATCCGCTAGTCGTCAGCTTGAAAACTGAGACGAGTCTTGGTTACCTTGTGGAGTTGGTGTGGACGAGCTCAATGTCGTAGCAAGCGTCAAAGGGAAGTGGTCGTCGATTGTGGGTTCTTTCCCTCGCAGGCTGTTGGCCTTTGCCCATTGTTACTGCTACTTTTTGCTTACTTGCAGATAACTTACATTGCTGCTGACGCGTTGACTCTGTGAAGAACTTTCGTTTTATCCATGCCAAGCTTGAGGCCAGAGTAGAATGGAAAAGCATCATAATGAGAGGATAAGAGTTTCCCCATGACTCTATCCCTCATCATACGGGGGACAATCTGACTTGCGGGTTAGGGTCAAGCATGCTTCCATCCTTGTTCGTGCTCTGTTCCGGCAGGCAGCGTGGAAAAGGTCAGGCAAATATGGTGCACAACTCAGGGATCCCTGCGACACGCACGCTCCGGGGTCGCACTCCACCCCTTGGACCTCGGCACGCGGGAGCTGTGTCGGATGTCTCCCCGCAATGAGAAGCCGGATGGCGCCTCGGCGGGTAGTGGCAGCCGGTAGTATATAGGAATCGAGGTCTCGAGTGCCCAGGCGGACGACTCGAACCCGATTGAATAACTTCATTCGAAGTTCTTAAGACTTTGTACTGACGACTCTCCTCTTCATATTCCCGTCTCCCATACAACAGCGAGATGCCCGGCCCCGGTGTTGGTTTCGAGTATCCTGCCCAGGAGGTCAGCTGGACCAAGCGGGATGCCCTCCTCTTCGCCAACTCAATTGGTGCCACGGCAGATGAGCTTCATTTCCTCTTCGTACGCCTTTCATGCTTTGCTGGGCCTTGCTCTCCACATCATACTCACCACATCGCAGGAGCTCGACCCCAACTTCTCCGTCTTCCCGACCTACCCTGTCATTCTCAGTATGGCCCGTCCGCCAACCTCTCTTGCTGGATGCAAACCCCACTGACACAAACAACCACCAGCCTTCAAGGGCACAACCCACGACGTGATCGACTTCTACGCCGCCCAGAAAGCCGTCCCAATTCCCGGCGTCCCAAGCTTCGACCCCACACGCGTCGTCGACGGCCAGCGCATCCTGCAGTCCTTCAAGCCCCTGCCCACCTCATCAGCCGGCAAGAGATTCGAGATCCGCACCAAGGTGCTGGGCGTCTACGACAAGGGCCGGCCCGGCACGGTGGTGGAGACGCAGTCGGACTTGGTCGACGCCGCGACGGGCGACGTCTACACGCGCGTGCTATCCTCGTCCTTCTACGTCGGCCAGGGCAACTGGGGCGGGCCCAAAGGCCCCGCGACGGTCAACTACCCGGCGCCCAAGGACGGGCGCCAGCCCGACGCGGTATTTGAGCACCAGACTACGTCCGAGACGGCGCTGCTATACCGGCTCAACGGCGACTACAACCCGCTGCACGCGCACCCGGAGCCGGGCAAGAAGATGGGATTCGGCGGCGTGATCATTCACGGTCTGTACACGTGGAACTGGGCCGCGCACGGTCTGCTGCGGCACCTGGGCGGCAGCGACCCGGCGAATCTGAAGGAGTACCAGGCGAGGTTTGCGAGCCCCGTGCGGCCGGGCGATAAGCTGGTTGCGTCGGTGTGGCGGACGGGGCAGAAGCAGGGCGAGTGGGAGGAGGTGCGGTTCGAGGTCAAGGTGGACGGCGGCAAGGTGTGTTTGAGCAATGGCCGGGCGCTAATGAAGTGCGTTGGGCCGGTCAAGGGCAAGTTGTAAGCGGGTGTTTGCTCTTTTCGCTGTAAATTCAATTCCCAGGGTATTCAATTGATTATTTGGTTGTTAATTCCTGGTATATATTGCAAAATTGAATTGGTTGCTGATGCTGTTGATGCCTGCTGGGTCTCAATGGGCTGAACCGAGATTCTGGTGCCTGAAGCCACTCTCGGTTTTCACCCTGAACATTGAAAATCAGCTCAGGGACAGCGAAAGAAAAAAGAAGAAGGAAAACACTCCCTTCCACCCCATGATGCTTGATGCAAATGATGGCTATGCTTCAGTCGGCCAGCGTCGCTCCTATGATGGCGCTCTTTGTACAGTGAGATACATCGGCGAGGTTGCAGGCACAGCGGGTTCCTGGCTCGGTGTTGAATGGGATGACCCTTCGCGGGGTAAACACGATGGCCAGCACAAGGGCGTCCGCTACTTTTCATGTACAATTTCCAAGCAACCCCGTACTCGATTGCTAGGTACACCTGATTGACACCTCTCCCAGGCAAATCCAAATCAGCCACAGCGGCATCCTTCATCCGCCCTACCCGCCCGGCTGACGAGTCGCAGACCTTCCTCACGGCGCTGCACCTCAAGTACGCCGGTGACCCGGTCGAAGACCAGAAACCGCCGAGGCAGATCAAGTTCTCGGGCAAGTTGGCCGAGGAGGTCGGCTTTGAGAAGGTTCGCCGCAAGCAGGCCCGGCTGGACGAGCTGCAGTTTGTCATTCTCGACGGCCTCCAAGTGGTTTGTGCCACCGACGGCAGCCCACAATCTATCGGCCAGGTGTGTCCCAAGGTCAGGGAGCTGGACCTGAGCAGGAACCTGTTTGAGCGGTTTGGCCCTGTCGTCGAGATTTGTAAAGAGCTGCCGTTGCTGCGGAGCCTTCGTGTTAAGTCTGTTTTCCTGCACATCTGATATTGTCAGATCTGATACAAACCTTGAGAACTAACATTCGTCTGCCAGCGGGAACCGGTTCCAACGTGTTCTCGAAGATGAAGTCCTGGAATCAGCCAGTAATGCCTTTTCAGGCGTGACGGAGCTCGCCCTGGAGGATACCCTCTTCTCGTGGGAGGAGGTATGCCACATCGCAACCAAGTTTCCCTTGCTGACCACCCTCCACGCCGGCTCGAACCAACTCACAGCACTCACGCCCATCCAGCCCGCTCCATTCACAGCCACCCTGGTCTCCCTTCACCTCGAGTTCAACGAGTTCGCCTTTCTCTCCTCGCTCGCCCCGCTGGCCTCCATCTCGACCCTGCGCAACCTCCTCCTCAAAGGCAACCGCATCTCTACCATTTCCTCGGGCTCCTCGTCACCACCAGTCTTCGGGCCCAACCTGCAATACGTCGACCTCTCCTACAACGCAATCACCACCTGGTCCTTCATCGACGCCCTCCCAATCTGCTTCCCAGCCCTCACCTCCCTCCGCCTGACCCACAACCCACTCTACTCGAACCCGGACCTCGATGACAGCACCGCAATCGCAACCACCCCAAACCATAATCAAGGCCAGGCAGCCGGAGGCGGCGGCGGAGGAGGCGGCATCTCCAAAACAGATGAGGCCTACATGCTAATCCTCGCCCGCCTCCCTTCGCTGCACACCCTCAACTTCAGCGCCGTCACGCCCGCCGACCGCGCCGACGCAGAAATGTTTTACCTCTCCCGCATCGCCCGCCAGCTGGCCGCCATTCCCAAGGGGAGCGTTGAGGTCGAGAGAGAGGTGCTGAAGCGGCATCCAAGGTGGGAGGAGCTGTGTCGGGCGTACGGCGAGCCGGCGGTGGTGAGGCGTGGGGGGGAGGTCGATCCGGGGTTTTTGGAGGCCCGGTTGGTGAGGGTGGATTTTTATTATAAGAGCAGCGGTGGTAGTGGTGGTGATGGAGGGGAGAGCAGGGTGGTGCATGTGCAGGTGCCCAAGTCTTTTGATATTTATGCTGTCAAGGGGATTGTTGGGAGGGTGTTTGGGATGAGTCCGTTGAGGGTGAAGTTGGTGTGGGAGACGGGGGAGTGGGATCCTGTGGGCGGGCTTGATGAGGTGGATGAGGATGGCGAGGAGGAGGATTTGGAGGCTGCGTGGGAGAGGCGGGAGGGCAAGGGTGATGTGCTTGCGGAGATGCCCGAGCTGGAGAGGAAGGGTGCGAGGTGGGTGAAGCGAGAGGTTGAGCTTAAGGACGGGCCGCGGCAGTTTGGGTATTGTGTTGACGGCTTGGAAGCCAGGATTCGGGTGGAGAGATGCTAGATTGCGTCTGCCAAAGGGGGTTGGTTCAGCAATCCGAATTGTTTGCCCTTCAGGCAATGGATGGTTTGAGCAAAACAGTGGCGTTTGTTGATTGGGAGTCGGCAGCCGGATGAAGCAACTGCAAACGCTTGCCAGAAGTTCTCAATGGTTGCTGTCTCTACAAGGTGTTCTCTTCAATCCCACCATTTGAGCTTGCGAGCGACAACCGACTCTCCCCTTACACATTGCTCAGCAGCGAACCTGAGCAAAGCATACTCTGACACCATGGTCTCCCAGCCTTACTTCTTTATCGTCAGACCTGACACCAAGCATACCACCGCCGATGGGGGAGTTCAGATCATCCCTGAACCCATTGTTCCCCTCGTTGCGGTTGACGAACTCCCTGAGTGGCTCAATATCGCTGGCGTCCCCCGCGAGCTCGCCGTTGAGGAGACCATCGACCTAACGAACCTAGGCACTGCCCACAGGAGCAAAGGCTCGTATGCGGTCAAGATATATCACGACACCAACCCGGCCGTTCGCCAACATGCGGTCGCGGTCAGAAATGCGGAGACCAAACCCGCAGCTGAAGTTGATGCTGCTACTCCTCCACCTTCATGTTGTCCGGCTCCTGCCCCATCACCCCATAGCAAGACCATCACTCCCGCAGCTGCAACAGCTACGGTCCACCCGGCTGATCGCATAAGATCCCCCTGGATCGAACCCAACAACCGCGACTCCGGTCTCACAGGCTCTGTTCACAACCCCCAGCAGCCTCAACCCCATGCTCACCAAACGCAGCCTCTACCGCAGCTCACCTCCCCTGGACTTCCAACTAGCCCGGTCGCTGTCAGCGGCAGCGCTACCACCAGCCCATGTATCGCTAGCCCAGGCCGCAGCAACGATCCAGCCACGACGAACCAAACAACCGAGTACTGCCGCCACTGATGCCAGTTCGGCACCTGTAAGTTCGACCTGGAATGCCGCTACAAGCATGTCATGCCCGACACGCCGGCGGGGCTGGCCGAGGTCTGCCTGAAGGAGATACCGCGCTGGTACAGGTACAAGTACCTCCACCCCACGGCCGCTGTCGGCCATCATCATCACCCACAATTTACCCACGACAGCGCCACCACCGCCATCAACAGCAACAACAATAGCAACAACGGCCACCATCTCGTCAGCCTCAGTCTCGGCGAAGCCACTAGCCTGGGAGGCCTCAACCCACGCGACGTGCGCGCCCCCGAGATGCACCGACTGGGACTGCTGCCTCCTGCACCACCGACAACCCCGACGATCTCAACAACACCGGCTCTGGCACCGTCACCAGCAGCGACTGCGCCAGCGATGGCTACACATACCGCGGGGGGCCAGCTCGGCCTCCTCGGCCCAGGAGGCCCAAGGGCAGGAGGAGGAAGCGGGTCCAGCAGCACCAGCAAGAAAGTGATTCAGAAGCAGGTCCGGGAGGCGATGGCGCAGTTTCTGTTGCATAGCCTTGTGCATGAAAATGAGGGCATCAAAAGTAAATTGCAATCATATCTCCCTAAGTTGGGGCGCTGATAACACCGGGAGTACCCGCGTTCACCCATAGTCTGCTAGATATACGTACATCAGATCTTGTCCCTGGCAGAACACTGCAAAACAACATAGGAGAGAAATGAGTGACGGCCTTCACTTGAGATCAATCCCATACCAATCCAACATCTTACCCTACGCTCAACGCCAGGCTAAGCGAAGGGTGCCCAACATCACTGGAAGCGTCCCCTAGCACGATCACACTCCTCCAAGAACCGGTATATACCCTCCAGCCCCTCAAAGTCCTCCGAGCAATGCTCATCAGAACTGCTCAAAATGGGTGGCGACATGCTTTCATAGCCTTCAGGCTCAGATCCAGACGAAAGATGCCAATGGTTCTCCGCAAAGGCCTCGACGATCAACGCCTCTTCCACATCCGATGACGAGGACCTTGACCCGCGCGACCTGAGCGAGCCGCCAGGCGAGGTAAGCGTGTCCTCACAGCCAGCATCCGGCGCAAACGGGAAGCGGAGGGCAACCTCAACGGCAGGACTAGCGTCAAAGTCCGGATCCTGCCCGACCACGCCGCGCCTGATTCCGACGTCATCGCACAGCCTCTCTACCGTCTCGGCATCCATGCCGGGGAACCGCACCCTGAGCACATTATTTTTCTCCAGCGTGATAGGCAGGTCTCCCAGCCCAGACAGACTCCTCAGATCGGTCATGACAGCCGCCAGATCCTTCAGCGCGCGCGCAAAGTCGACAGACAGCACATCGAGGAAGCCCTCGGCGTTGAGCGTAACGCCGCCAGCCGCGGCCTGCTCCTCCTCGGCAGCACGCATCATGAATGGCACCACCGTGGCGCCGAGCGGGCTCAGCGCCGTGACGGTGGGGCTGATCTGGAAGTCGACGAACGCGCCCGTGCGTCGGTGCGCCATCGCCATGGCCTTGGCCATGCGTACGCGCGCCTCCTCCTGCGCGGCGCTGACGGCCCGGTATCGCTTCTCGCCGTTGGGCCCGACGCCGTCGAAGCGCGCCCGGTGGCCCGAGAGCCAGAAGGCGCGCATCGCTTGGCTGACATTCTGTACGACCTGTGCCGGAGCGGCCGGGGTGTGGGAGAAGTGGCGAACGCCGCCGATCCGGCCGGAGCCGGGGATGCCGTAGCCGCCTGCGGTGCGGCCGAGAGTGCCGCCGGTGAGCTTCGGGCGGAGGGTCGAGGCAAAGGGGGCGCGGCCGGTGAGTTGGGCGACGGCGCAGGAGATGCGAGAGATGGGAAGCTTGGACCGGTCGAAGCGGAAGCTCGTCTTGGAGCCGGCGTGGCCGCTGATGTTGAGGAAGCGGCGGGCGGTGGCGTTGAAGTTGGCCGAGGAGAACCACTTGACGCCGCCCGCTCGCTTCTGCTGGCGGAACCAGGCTGCGGGATGGACTGGCTGACGAGAGTTGCCGGTGCGGACGGCGATGGGTTGGAGTTCGGCGTTGACAGTACGGGTGGCGGCAGAGAGCTTGCTGCGCAGCATCTTGGTCGCCATTCGGGCGTTGCTGACCAGGTGCTTGCGCAAAACGCGCAAGGCTGCAGGAGCCCAAATCCCCCCGGCGGGAGACATAGTCGTTGCTTTCAGCTGTGCGAAATATCCGGAATTCGAGCGACTCTGACGCCTTGTAGAAGGAAGGGAGGGAGGCTGTGAGATGCGGGTGCACTCGGGACGTTATCTAGCTGTTATCGATAATACAATCGCCACCTCCCGCCAGCTGTGCTGCTAGTCATGGGAATACTGAGTAGCTGCATGCAATCTCCCGCTCTTATGGATTACTACATACTGCACTTGAGGGCCACGATATTCATTAAAGAGATAAAACCTACGCGCTATCTTATTGCACCCCACACCCCCTTGCTTTTATCCTCAAATTTTTCGAAGCTCCCACAGCTTTCATAATTCCTTCAACACTGCACGCCGGTCGACAAGGTAAGCTACCAATCCTTCCTCCTCCGCTGCACCGCTTCTATGATGATCATCGATCAATCCAACTCCGACATAGCCCATGGGGACTACAATTTACTCTAGAATTACCCTGAGAGCAGAACGTTGGGCGACTCGCTTGGCCGTCGATTCCCGATCACTTGCTAACTCGTCTGCTCCTCCAGTGTCGACCGATGGTCTGCGACAAATTGGGTTTCCTTCTTCTGAAGCCCTGTCAAAAGGTCAGTGGATTTTCATCTCTTGCACTCTTCCTCCAAGTGATGATCAAAAGACAATTATAGGGAATTCCTCATGCCGAATATACAATGTCGAACCACTTCTTGTTTCAGCCTTGTCTGATTTGGAGCCATACCTCTCGGTTGCTTTCCGGTGATGCGTTTGGCAACAGTTTTGCTAACAGGCAACCGCAGGTATGCTCAACCCTCTTTCCTCCAACTCGCGGCACCATGACGAAAGTTTGAACGAACGGGCGGACATAACGAAGCCTCTCCGTCTCCTCTCGCCAAAAGCAGGGCTGTACACCCTGTGAGGGGAGCTCGGAGAGAAATTCTTGTTGAGAACTCGTCACCTGATTATGCCCTCGTTCATCGATTCGACATACACTCTATTGGACAGGTTTTTGACTAACATTTCGCTGTCAGGTAATTGGCTTTTGATGTTTCTTGTTCACGACGCATTCCAAATGATGATTCGTTATTCACACTGTTTGATCCGCCATCCGGTGGAAATGAACAACTCTTCAAAATCTGATTTAATGAGGTATGGCTCTTGGCCTGGTTGTGTTGATACCGGGTGCTGACCGTCTCGCAGCCTGAACTTGATCTCCAATACCGGAGTGCTTCACGGAGTATTTTCGGGATTTTTGCTGACCAGATTTGGTGGGCAGGTTTGCCGTACAAGTATCAAACCCTATTTCCCTTAGACAAAGAGTGAGTCCCTCCCCTTCTTTCCTACACACATACCTTCCCGGATGATTCCCTTTCCTACCTGCTTTTAAAACTCTGAGTTCATCGTGACGAGACATTTTCACCTTGGAGAACTGATGAGGTTGCGATAAAATTGATTTCGCGAGCTATGGGTTGAGGTCCATGCTAACTATCCCCAAGTTGCAGGTCAATCATCGCTAGGTACACAGCTAGGTACACATCTGTATGTCGTGTTTTAGTCTATCAGCCTGCTCTGGGCAGCCATGTGTCTCTACAAAGAATTGATATATGATCATACATCTTGCTTTCCAACCTGCGAGCGCCTGTGGAACATTGCGCATGAACAACCGAGCACCCTACTGCCGCAGCTGTAACCTGGCGTTCCATCCCACAATGCACCGTACGAGGTCCCAATCCCCCTGGTGCCCAACCCAATCCGTGACGACGATCCCCGTTGGAGAATCTCCAATATCCAACTTGCCAGGCCCTTTACCAGGCGCCCCGTGGCTCATACACAAGTACTCGATCATGGAAGGATTCATCTTGACGGCGATCCGGTCAGGCCAGCAATTAGCGTTGAAGAAGTTGCTCGCACTCAAGAAGTTTATAAACAGCGGCGGCATTTGAGGAACTCCTCCGTCTGGGAGCTGCTCCTCCCCCGGCATCCGAGAGGCCGCACCTACGAGCCCCTGCGCCTGCGCGGCGGCCCGCTGGAGCCCTTCTTGCGCAAACCGCAGCTTGCGCTGGACCTCGGCCCCGCTGCCGACGCCGTAGTAGTCCTGGATGCGGATCGTCCCACTCCCGCACGTCCCGTCGGCGACGTTGTCGGGCCAGACGGAGCCGTCTATGCCGCCTTGGGAGGCGGGAATGGAAGGGTGCAGGTGGTACCGTCTGACGAGGACGATGCGGCCTCGGGCCTGGGCGAGGGTTGGGATTCGGGGGGAGGTGTACCATTTGGATTTGTGCCGGCCGCCGCCGTTGATGTAGTGCATGTGCAGGATCTGGGAGAGGTGGTGGTCTGTCCCGCGGCCGATGCCCTCGCGCTTGAGGGAGAGGAGGATGGTTTCTGAAGGGTAGGTGGACAGGAAGGTGTAGAGGGTTGTTAGGAGGTCGGAGAGGTGGTGGTTGCGGCCGGTGAGAGAAATGGGGAAGGCGGAGTGGACTAGGGATAGTTCGGGGGGAGGCGGTAGTGGAGGGGTGGGGGTGTTGTTTGGGGGGGAGCAGGATGGAGGGGGGTTGGGCTTGTAAACAGGACAGGAGACGCGCACATCGAGGAAGCGCACGCCGTTGTTGAGCTGCTCTTGGACGGAGACGGCTTGGCAGCGGACTGAGGGGAGCGCGACGTGGCAGGTCGGCGAGTTGTGCGTGCCGGGAATGGAGAGGGCGGAGAGCGGGAGGGACCGATCCAGCGTGGACATCCAAGTCGAGAGGTTGGCTGAGCTGAAGAGGGCCAGGTAGGCGTGTTGCGCGAGGTAGATGGCTGTGAATTCTTTGGTTTCTTGCTCGGAGTCCTTGGGGTGTGGCTTGAGGACTATGCTCCGTCGTGAGGACGCGGGAATTTCGGCACTGTAGAGATGTCCCGTGCCAGTGTCTTCGAATGTGAGCCGGAGTTGTTCATGGCGATGGTTTGGGTTCGGCGCGTAGACCCGGGTTCGGCACTCTGTGAAGGGCTGGATCGTAACACCAGTGACTTCTCGCCTCGCCGATGACGGCCTATCATAATCGTGTTCTTGCGTACTTGAAAGCGTTGGCGGGGCATCGGCGTCATGGAAGCGTCGAGACCCCGGGGCGAGAGCCTTGGTCTTGGCCAGGGGTTCTGGCTTATGTGAATTCGGGTGCGTGTGAGAGTCTAGACGCTCAACCAGCTTGAGCTCCAGAGTGGTGACGGTGAGGTTTCGGATGGTGAGAGTTGGCAAGGCCATGGGCAATGCCGCGGCTGCAACGGGTTGAGAGAAGATAAACCCCATGAGGGAGGGCGTTGACTTTCGGTTCCTGCGATGGTGGCTTGCATGTGTTGGGAGAAGGATCAAGGTTGCGAGCGAGACGGCGGTGCGACCATGACGACGGAACAATCAATGAACGGTGGACAACGGCTACGTCAATATAGAGGTGAAAGCGGTGAAAAATGAAATCGCAGAGTACTGGACGTTGAGGTTGAGATCTTCGAACCTTGGGCCCAATCAGGGCGTTGAGCAAGAACGGAAAGGAAAGATTAGAACTGCGGCAGCCACATCAACAAATAACATCTGGCTGCTTACATAATCCTATTGGCTGGCCTTGTTTCTTTGCTTATATGTCCTTTATTACTTGATTGTTTTTATCTACATTCTCATACGGGTCAATGAGGCCGCTCATTCTCCAACGGTGGCGGTTAGCTTGTTGGCAAAGAGAGATGGTGTTTGTGCCTGAAGATCTCAACCCCCTACAACCTCCAGAGAGTTGGCGGGCTTCAACAACGGCTATCCTACGGGAACCGTACAAATTAATGAGATAAGGCATAGGGTCAGAAGCAAGCAGAACAGCAGAACATCTCATTTGGAAAAGGGGACTTAGTATGGCCGGACATCAACAGGAGCTAAGGGTGCAACCACGCATGCGGATACATCCATCACCTCTCCCAGTGCAAGTACAATACTCACGAACATCCGATGTGTAGAAAAGATAGGCTACATTCCTCGAGTCTATCAAGTTATGGGCTCATGATCTGGCCATCTCATCATTTATCCGGGACAGCAAGGTCGAACGCTCTCAATGTTCGGTCTTAGTGCTCACAGGATACCCGTAACCACAGTTCGTAGCCCGAGAAAGAGACTGAACATCAGATCAGTACCAGCAACATGGTTTCTTCGTCGTGCCGACTGGAGGATCTTCGTTTTATCCCCCTCGCCATATCCACATGCAAGCCTACATTGATGAAGGGAGCGCCACTCGGGCCCGAACCACCTCCGACCGGTGCAAGGTTAAGGTATCAGGGACAGACGAAGCACAGTCGTCCCTACGGATACAAGAGGGATTGGAGTATCCGCCTCTGGTAGCGCCGCGATCCGGCTCAGAGGTTTGGCGATGTCGACCGGACGTCCGTCAGTTCGTTATTAATTCCCAGCCGGAGTTAGCTGGATAAATTTAACGCCAATTTGACACTCTTGGAGAGGAACTGGTAGTCGGAAGGGGGCCGGCCTCATCGACAGACAGGTCAAGGCAGAACGCGGTAGAGAGACCGAAGGGAAATGGGGGTATAAATATGGGAGGTCCTGATGCGAAGTCGTGGAAGAGCCATCCACATCTTCACCACCACCCGAACGGAACTCAGTCATCGTCAGCACCATGCGCATCTCAACCTTTGCTGTCACCGCGCTCGCGAGCTCGGCGCTAGCGCTCCCCTCCGTAACGTCGCCTGCCCCTCGCGAGGAAGATAGAACCTGCATGACACGCGATGAAGCAAAGGAGATGGTCGACATCTACGCGCGCCTCATCGCCAACTACAAACCCGAGGACTGCGAGAGGTACTGTGCGTCTGACTTTGTCGATCGGTCCGACAGCATCAACGCCTTCATCTTCAAGCCTCTGGGCGAGCCGACGTTTGCAACCAAAGAAATCTTCATGCAGGCGCAGCTGTCCAACCCGCCGTTCCCCGTGGTGATTGACGCCATCGACGCCGTCGACTGCGGGGTCATCGCCCTGCGCTGGCACGCCACTTTCGGCGCGGCCAACCTGCCCAGCCGCGGCATCACCATCATCGGGACGACCAAGCGCGAGGGCTGGTGGCAGATTAGGAGCCTGGATGTCGAGTTCAACAGTCTGGTCTGGCTGCTCAATATGGGCGGCAACTACACCTGGGAGGGTTGAGTGTGTCGAACGCTGGGGTTGAAGCGCTGGTTTTGCCTTGACTGTGTCGAGAGAGAGTGATCCTGAGCGTGGTGGACATGACAAATTCCTGTGTAGTATGGATTCTGTCTTGCACCTCAAAACAGGGCCACATCATGTGTGTTTTGGCCTTGCCAGCAACCGTGTTCAGGGAACGGCTGCAGAGAACTTGTGCGTGATGGATGCAAGGAGCTCGCCTAGGAAAATTGCATTGATGACGTGAGGGGTCTCAAGCAGTCGTGCAACTGGGCTTTCTGTTGACTTTTACCGCCCAACAACCAGCGCTGTTTTGACGAACAATCAGAGATTAACTCTGAACTCCGACGGTTGTTGACCTGCTCTGTCGTTTCGGCCGTCCTGGTCCTGATGCCTCCCGTCCTCGTAGGGCTGCGTCAAAGAGCAGGTTGACCCTGGTGAAGCCAACTTCCCGACTCTGAGTTCTCCGCGAAGTTTTGGTTGTCCACAGCCGTGGCTTCGATCAGCACAATTGGCCCACGTCGAATCAGCGGCGAGGTCACATGCGGCTGGAGGACTGGATCTCGCCGACTTGTATGACTCGGGGGGAACTTGATTGGCCCACTTTGCCGAAGGCTTGCATAGTGTGTGCGTTAACGGTGACCAGACCGCAGAGAAATCCTAGTACAGTCAGTAATTCGTGGTTGACTGTATCGAATATGAGGAGTTTATTTTTCGTTTCTGTGCTTCCATTAGCTGGAGATGGACGGGAGAGGCGATGGGGGTGGGATCTGGAGTTCAGGTGATGAGTGGACTTGGATTCTCCACCGAACCAAGGCAGCCGGCTCCAGCCAGGTTGACTCTGAGTGGCTTTTTACCCCTGAGAGTTCTGAAGCTTTTAACTCCTACCATGCCCCACAATGCGCCAGGAACTGGCTTAAGATTCGATGGCGCATGCCTTACGGACCCACCAGAGCCGCCCACTGTTGCAGAGGAATGGCAGGAGAAATGAAGATGCAACATGCTCTCAGGGGTTTTCCATCGCTTCAACCGGGATGCCGGCCAATGAGCTTGGCATGTTGGTTCACAGCACACAGGCGGTTTGGGCAAGAATGCCACGGCCCGGGAAGACAATGAGAGAAGGGGGGTAGCGGGCGAGCCCCATACCAATTCATCCATGGATCCTACGGCGCAGCAGCAAGCCATGGTCAGCCTGGCTGCAGCGAACCCAGCGTAGGAACTCCGAACGGGGCAGTGTCGCTGAAAACCACGAGTCTCCCGTCGATTCTTCCCTCTTTCCCTCTTCCCGTCCTCAACGCGTGTCTGCCTTCTATTCCTGGTGTTCAGCCGCAAGTCATTCATTTATCCCGTCGCTCTTTTTATAAACTTGCAGAACCCGCTCCCTTGCCGACCATCGTCATTCATCAATTTCCAGGCGTTGTCTAGTAATCCACGTCAGAAGAAAGATGCGTTTCTCAGTTCCCGCTGTTCTCGCTTTGGCGGCAAGCCTCGTCCAGGCTGCCGATCCCACCGCCGGCTTCCACCCGATCACCAAGCCCACTCAAGGCGAGGAGGTCAGTGCCGGCACGACATATGAAATCGTCTGGGAGCCCAGTGCCGCCTATCCCGGCGACATCACCATTGGCCTGCTCGGTGGATCTTCTCCTCTCACCCTGGACGTTATCAACACCATCGCAGGTAAGACACGCCCGTGCGCATCTACTTCGTTGAAGAAAGTCATTCCTTGCTGACCACGTTTTCTTCAACAGAGGGCGTCGATGGCGCCGCTGGCTCCTTCAGCTGGTCGGTCCCCGCCACCCTCGGCAACCTGGCGACCTACGGCATCAAGATCACGCTTGAATCGGACATCACCGTCTTCCAATACGGCTTCCCCTTCAAGATCGTCGGCGGCGGTGCCAGCGGCTCTGCTTCCGCTAGCGGCAGCGCCTCGGCGAGCGTGACGGCCACCGAGACCTCGGCCAGCGCCAGCGAGTCCGGGTCCGCCTCCGCCTCGGGCTCCGTCACCCGCACCAGCGGCTCGGCCAGCTCCACAATCACCAGCACCGTCACGATCCCCTCCTCGACCCTCAGCTCGTCCACCCTCTACGGCAACTCCTCCACCACCGCCCACAGCACCATCACCAGCCTCACCACCGTCGTGCCCTCCTCCACCAGGACCGCCTCCACCACCATCGCCACCAACGGCGTTGCGTCGCTCGCCGCTGGCTCGTTTGCGATGTTTGGCGGTGTTGCTATGGCTGTCTTTGCTCTTTAAGTGGTAGCATGGCCTTGGTCTTTTGGATCTCTTGTCGGATGGTGGTTCTTCTCCCGTCGCTGGTCTTTTTTCTCACTTGGGTTGCAGGATTTCCACGGAAAACTGTTGGTCTCTAATCGCATCGTGAGGGGAGCATCTCTGCGTCGTAGAGCACCGCGCCGATTGTCTGCGCATTTGAAGGCTGGACGAAAGACGGCTTTCGGACGTGAGGATCTTGGTTGTCTAGCTACGGTGTTTCCTGAATGAGATACCCGTAATATCTGTCGGTCTGGTATCTTCGTCGTGTCGCGCTCGTGAATTCGACTTGACTTCCTTCCTTCGTTCGGTTGTCCTTCTCGGGGTTCCAGCCTCGTTCGGTGTTGTGCATGGGTCGATTGCATGCCCCATCTGATCTGTGTAACGCCGTTACATGCTGTGTCTGACAAACATGCAGCCGCCATACTCTGCGGTCTTGATCTTGTGGACGATCTGTTATGGTTGATCGTTACTCCGTGTCACCCATGTTTTTCCGGTTTGTTGGCAAGCCATTTCTGAGCCTGAGAGAAGAAAAGGATATCTGCATACGGCCACGCACTCAATCGCCGAACACACGCACTAGAGTTGACCATGCCATGATGTTCCTGATCAATTTTATATACTGTAACAAACCGCCATCACGGCCGTTTATCACCCGTACATCGCTGCCACTGAGCCGCTCCCAACGTTTCTTTCTGTTGCTCTTTTTATCCTTCATCTTTTTTGTCTTTGTCTTTTCTTCTTTTCCTTTTCCCTGGTCAAACTCGATACAGTTCCGTTACGCGCCCCAATACAGAATCGCAGAGCCTTTGACAGGCAGGTTCCAGAAGTAGACGTTTAAGTGTTGCTATTGTGCCTTCTAAGTCACCATGTAGTTTCGAGACAGGAATTGGCATGGAACAATCGGTGTCTATACTCGCCCCGGAGACTTCGAACAGAAATGAGAACTGGAAGCGCAAGGAACCTTGGCGTTTGAGGATCACTATAATCGAGCCCAGTCCGATTGAAACGTATCTTCTCTACCTACTTATTTATGGAACATGAACCCTCGCGTTACCTTGGGAGGATTGTTGCCTGGTTGCATGAATAAGTGTTTAACTGGTGCCATCACCCAGAAAATTGATCACCAACTTGCAGCTGTGAGCCAGTTCTCATATCATTCAAGTTGCAAATGGAGTGCCAAGTGCGGGGTGTACTGTGTAAGCACTGTAAACTCGCTTTGATAACGAAACGTGCCCAAACTGAGGTCCTGAGACGAGATTGCCGGCGGCCACTGAGACCCACACCGGAATATTGTCCCCTCCTGGGCTTGGCGGTTCGCAATCCCCACAGGCCTGCCATCAACACTCAACTTCACTCCAGAAACAAGTCGCCGACCGACGCTGGACCTGCGCTGTGCGCTCGCTGCTCTGCTTCGCTTCTGAACACCACCGGGAACTGTATCTGCGACACACATTTTCAAGATGAGAGGCGAGGTAAGACACACAGCCATTTCCCCTAGCTGCACCCCCGCGTCTTCAGGATTGCCCTGCTTCGGAACGCTTCCCTTTTTCACTGCGGAGCCATCGACGCGATACCATCACCGCCTTGGAGTTTGTAGAATGACGGTGGTTGCGGCTGGCCCCAGCGATCTTGCTATCCAACATTCCCTTTACGTGCTTGCGATTCGGATTTCCGCCGCATCACCTTACCGCCGATCTCTCCGGTTTGCTGGCGAGTCTTGTACAGCTGGAACAAGCTGGGGGAGCTCCAGAGAGCTCGCTGAGCTTCGCGACACGACACATGGAAGAAGGCTTAGCCACGATACCCCAAGCTCTAGCTAACAAGGGCTACGAACAGGTACTTCATCTTCATATCGGCCAGGCTGGTGCCCAGCTGGGTAACAGCGCTTGGGAGCTGTAAGTCCTCACCGCTCTTCCTTGCGTGCAACACCCCCCGACTGATCGATGGTTACAGGTACCTCCTCGAGCACGGCCTCGGGCCTGACGGCCGCCCTGATCCAAATGCTAAGGACCTCGCCGAAGGTGGTTCTTTCGAGACCTTCTTTACCGAGACGAGCAGTGGCAAATACGTCCCCCGCTCCATCTTCGTCGACCTCGACCCTTCACCAATCGACGAAATCCGCACCGGCAACTACCGCCAGCTCTTCCACCCAGAGCTTCTGATTAGCGGGAAAGAGGATGCCGCCAACAACTATGCCCGTGGCCACTACACTATTGGCAAGGAGATGATTGACAATGTCATCGACCGCATCCGCCGTGTCACCGGTGAGCTGCGCCCCCAATACACTGCCTGAGAAGCTGGTATATCTGACGCAGTTTCATAGACAACTGCAATTCACTCCAGGGCTTCTTGATCTTCCATTCCTTTGGCGGTGGTACTGGCTCTGGATTCGGCGCTCTGCTGCTCGAGCGTCTCGCGACCGACTACGGCAAGAAGTGCAAGCTGGAGTTCACTGTTTACCCCGCGCCGCGTCTCTCCTCTGCCGTTGTCGAGCCCTACAACGCTGTCCTTTCCACCCACAGCACCATCGAGAACTCAGACTGCACCTTCCTGGTTGACAACGAGGCCGTGTACGATATCTGCCGCCGGAATCTGGACATTCCCCGGCCCAGCTATGAGCACCTCAACCGTCTGATTGCACAGGTCGTGTCTTCCATCACCTCGTCTCTGCGCTTCGATGGCGCCCTGAACGTCGACCTCAACGAGTTCCAGACCAACCTGGTCCCGTACCCCCGTATCCACTACCCGCTCATTAGCTACGCGCCTGTCATCTCGGCTGCCAAGAGCGCTCACGAGAGTTTCAAGGTCTCGGACCTGACCTTCCAATGTAAGTCCTCACTTCTGGCCTAACGTACAACTACAGAGGTGCTGATCCTTCCCTACTAGGCTTCGAGCCCAACAACCAAATGGTCGTCTGCGACCCGCGCAAGGGCAAGTACATGGCTGTGGCCCTCCTCTACCGCGGCGACGTGGTCCACCGCGACTGCAGCGCCGCCGTGGCCCAGCTCAAGTCTAAGGCGTCGTTCAACCTGGTCGAGTGGTGCCCGACGGGCTTCAAGATCGGCATCAACTACCAGAAACCCGTGGCCGTCCCCACCGCGTCGCCGCAGGACGGCGGTCTAGCCGCCGTCGACCGCTCCGTCTCCATGCTGTCCAACACGACCGCCATCGCCGAGGCCTGGTCGCGCCTCGACTACAAGTTTGATCTGATGTACAGCAAGCGCGCCTTTGTGCACTGGTATGTTGGCGAGGGCATGGAGGAGGGCGAGTTTAGCGAGGCCCGCGAGGATCTGGCTGCCCTTGAGAAGGACTACGAGGAGGTCGCTGCCGACTCGTTTGAGCCTGGTGAGGGCGAGGCCGAGTATTAAAGCGGGCTTGGTACCGTCCTGTGTGGGGGTCTAATGACGGTCGCCGCGAGTACGTTACTGAGAGGGGGACTTGTGTGGGGTGCACCAGTTGCCGATCCTGTATGGTCCCCTTGTGGTGGGTTATACAATTGAGGCGGGAGAGGTTGTACAGGACTTTTTAGGAGGGGAAGAAAAAGACTGGGGAGGCTGGCGGAGGGAGACGATGTTGATGGACTTTTTCTGCGTTCTACGCGTCTTATGAAGATAATATCCTGGCAAGTTATGTTCTTACTGCTTTTAGCCATGTCCATTTTGAGAGATAGCACAATGTGGATAGTGGTCTTTGGTGGATGAAGGCGCGGGCTTCTATTCCCATTGACGAGTTACGCCGATAGATGTGTGTTCTGTCTAGATGGTTGTTGGGAAACACTGCGGACTTACTAAGAGAATAGAAGGACTAAGAGAATAGAAGGACTAAGAGAATAGAAGGACTAAGAGAATAGAAGGACTAAGAGAATAGAAGGACTAAGAGAATAGAAGGGCTGCTGGGCTTTCTAATGTCCGTGATTGAATCTTAGAACATGGAGAATCTTAGGGTGCTGTGAGATTGTGTGGCTTAGCTTGATAGCCATGCAAAGCAGACTCCAGAAACATTTTGGATGCTGCCCCGGAGCTCCCTAAGCCTGGATCCATCGTCGGCTTCTCCATTGTCTGGACTCAGTTTCTTCTAGCCGTGAGAACAGACCATTCGTCATCAAAGCCCGTTCGACACGAATTGCTTCAAAATGCTATTCATCGCATTGGCTAAAGTACAGTCGAGTCTACTCCGCGGCCTCTGACAAACACCAGCCTACTACACGTCTTCAGCGTCCTGTCAACCCCTCTATTTCCCAACCTTGCCGCCCTTCTTCTTCTTATGTACTTTGTCCTTCCCCTTCGCCTTCCCCTTCTTGAACTTGAGATCCTTGGGCTTGCCATCCCTGGCGCTGGCCCGCTTGCCCTCAAACACGAACTGCTCCGGCCCCTTGAATCCGTTCTGATTCTCACCGGTACCACCACCTGGCGCCGCCCCGCCAGCACCGGCCCCCCTGCTGCCGCGGTTCATGCCGCGGTTTCGCCTGTCCCGGTGTTTCTTGTCCTTCCCGCCGGGAGTCTCACCGACTAGCTTTGCCGCCCCGAACCGGCCGAGTAGTTTGCTCGCGCGGCCCCGGAGTGTCTGGGCCTCGGCGGTGGGTTTGGGGACGTACTTCCCTGTCCTGGCGGTGTTGTCGTCGGCTGATTTGCCCTTCTTGCCGCCTTTGCGGTCGGTGGCGGACATGGTGGCGGATCGGTCATTGCGAGCTTCCATTGCGCGGGCGGTCTTGTGGGGCGCCTTGCAGCGGCTGACGCGCAGTTCGCGGGGGAGCATGGGTGGGAATTTCTTGCCGTTGAGGAGGATGGCTGATTCGACTGCATTACCGTCCTGTAGGTGGGCGGTTTTGTTAATCCGGTCAACGGCTTGGTGAGAGCGAGGAAGGGAATGGACTCACATAGAACTGGACGTAGGCAAAGCCTTTGCCTACGCGGGTAGCGGCGTCTCTCACGACGCGGACGCTCTCCACCTTGCCGGCCTTTTCGCCAAACACTCGCCATAACCCCTCCTCGACGTCCATTGGTGTCTTAGTCCGCTTGCGCTTCTCCGTCACCTCCTTGCCCTCTTCGTTGAGTTTGGTGTTGTAGACGGTCTCGTCGTCAACAAAGCCCAGGTTGCCGACGAAGACGCATCGATGGTGATCGACAGGTGCCGGATGAGCCACGCTGTCTACCCGGAGATGCCGGTCTAGAACGATGGTGCCGTTGAGCTGCGACACTGCGAGGCGAGCTGCTGCGGCCGTGCTATAGACCGCGTAGGCATTCGTGGATTTGGTGGTAGCCTCCATGACGGACTTTTTGATGTATGCCGCGCGTTTCGGGATGCCTGCGGTTTCAAAGGCAGTCGAACGAAACCGTATGGACTGCACTTTCTGGGGCGGGTCCGCCTTCTTGTCCAAAACAGACGAGAGGTGATGGAGTAGCGTCTTTTTTGCCTTGCGCGAGGTAACCGCTTCCACGGAGACATTGCTGAGGAAGACGGTACGATTCGCCTTTTCCAGCTCTGAGGCAACAGGGTCAGCAGCGAGTGATTCGTGAACAGGGATACCATCCCCGAATTCGTCGTCCTCCCCCTTCTCGGCAGACTTCTCCTCGCCGTCTTCCTTCGAGGATGCCGACGCTTCAGCCTTGGACGTGGGCTCGGCTTTCTTCTGACGCTTCCCAAACGGCTCTTCTTCGTTTGCCAGGCGTTCGAGGTAGTTGGCCTCGAGGTCCTCGTCGTCATCTCGTTGCTTCCGCTTCCTCTTCCGCACCTGATCCTGAGACGCTGAGTGCGACACGGCCCTTTCCAAAACCTCTGCGGCTTCGGCCTCGTCGTCTACGCTTGAAGCGTCGCCTATGTCTTCGTCTCCAAACGGATTTTCGCCGGCGGATTCGTTGTCGCTATCATCTGTGCTCGCAGCTTCTGGCTCAGAACCGGAGTCTTCCTCAGACCCAACGTCGGAATCTGCGATCTCGGAAGCCGCCTCGTCCTCGTCCGCCTCGTCGTTCTTTTCCTCCTTCCGAGGAAGCAATTCTGCATAGCGCGACTTCGGGGGTGCTTTAACAGCTCCAGCCTAGAAGCCATTAGACATGCCAACCGACACTCAGCTCCAGGGATTCTGCGGCATACGCTCTGGGAAAAAAGAGCATCCAAGGCGGGGTCAATGGCCTTGGACGAGGCAACCAATCTGGCTATGCTGTGAGGGGAGGCGAGTCAGCATCTGTAGGCAGTAGAAGAAATCCGACCGTGGTTTATACATACCCTTTGGCCATTTTAGCTGTTGAGGGGGTTCAGAATCTGGCGCTCAAACGGACCAGCTCCAAAGCTTGGGAATATGGGGACGAGAAGCAGATGGGAATCTGGACGCAACTTAGGAGAGGTAGTATTCCTTCCGAATGGCAAATTACAACCGAAATCTTGAAGAGTTGCAGATCGTCATAAACGTATGCAAATTTGCACTATACTCTCGCTCAAACCAGCCGTTTCCGTCTTCGATATGCACAGAAGCAGCAGCTCGTGGTAGTCCGATACAATAGTACAAGGCCGAAATTTCTCGATAAGATAACAGGGCGGTGAGCCACGGCGGCATAAATCGACCAAGGCGGGCAAGCAGCAAGGGTTCCAAGCAGCTCGCTTCCCGCCCATTCGTGCTCCCTCTCAGTGCTCTGGCGCCGCTCCAGCTTCCTTACAATAGTTACCACCGCCGTCTTTCAATCCGCCACCACACATTGGAGACACCGTTTTGCACGTATTTGACGGTACTGTCGCGCTCCAGAATCCCCGTCTACGTCAACCCTTTATACATTTTTCACTGCAACTCCTACTTATTGCTGTCTTCGCAGTCTCAACCTGCCTGTCGGCGTCAAGCGTCGGGTGTCCGCTCGCGGAATTCATTCGGTTCAATTTTGCGCGGTCTGGATTTCTCGACCGCAACGACACAAAACGTCATTGGCCAACCCTCGCTGATTGAATTCCAGCCCGATCGTATGGTCTACGATGGTAACCGGTGATACCGCGCTAACTTTGGCGCCGTCGAGCCCTTCCCCGCCCTTGCGGGACAACAGCCCCAGCAATTTCTCGAGTCCCCTCAGCGAGCCCGAAGACAAGGACGCATATGGCGACGAGGCCGATTTGGACATGCGCGACCACGGCGATGGACACGACATTCAAAACCGAAACGGCGCCCCAGGCGACCCAGAGTTCGAAGCCGTCTCCGAGTCAGACGACGACAGCAAGCTCTCAGAGGTGGATGTCAATGACTCCGAAGCCGAGACAGAAAGACTCTACGACACGCCTCCCAAGAGTGGCCCGACACGCAACATAATGGATACGGCAGGCGATGTTGGAAACCGGCGCTTCACTGATCGCCGGGACCGGGTCCTCGAACGCAGCCCGAGCAAGCTCCACCAGCAATTACGTGCTGACGTAGATACAGAGGACGCGACTGGCGATCGCATTTTGGTTTCTGAGGCAGAGGATGCGGAGGATGACGACGTGTCAATGCCTTCCAGCGAGCCTGAGCTTGACTCGGTCAAGGAACCTCGCCTGCGGTCACCCACGCTGGCTAAGAAAGGGCAGGTGGTCGCCTCCAACGCGCCGACTTCACACCCCAGGAACAATTCAGCCGACTTTCGGAAGCGGAAGCGGCCATCGATCGCCGACACGTCAGAGTCCGAGCAGCCGCTCAAGAAGCGAGCCGGTTCGATCAGCGGCGCCGATCAAGAGCCATCCGGCGACGTCGCAATGATTGATGACGACGGCATCTCGACGAACCCCCAAAGCGGCAACCACACTGCCGAAGAAGACAACGGGGAGCTAGTGGCTACATCTGAGCCCAAGGAGGAGCTGCCAGAAGCGGCCGTAGAAGTTGGTGTGCCGAGCAGGGCCAGGAGAGGACGGCGCAGTCCGACAAAAAAGCGGAAAAGTAAAAGTCCTGAGGACGGAGATACCAAGGAAGAAGCGCCAGGCGAGCCTCTTGAGGATGCCGATGATCAGAGTTTCGAGGTACCCACGCCACAAGCTGAGGATGACCACGTCGACGAAGTCGACGAGGAGGTCGAGACAGCGCACCGGAATGAGGAAGAGCGTATGCAGCTTACGCTTCCCTGTTCTAACTCGGCGGAAGCTAACTGGACAGCAGTGGAACGGAAAAAGGCGGCTTGGGAGGAGCTGGTCGCGATCGAGAAGCAGTTCAGCAGCTTCCGGGAGCGGTAAGCTTCTAGATATTACCAACCATCTGGGACCTTGCCTCTAACCATCTCGCAGACTTTATCAGGAGCGACTAGAACAGCTCAACCAGGAAGAAGCAATGCTCGCGAGCGACAACCCGACGCACCCCGAGTACCTCGCTATGCTACAGTGCCTCGAGGAGCGGCGAGCGGAGAAGATACGGAGGAGCGACCTCGAGTTGCAATTCAAGCTGTCGGTGTTGCGACGCCGAGCAGTCGCGGAGCGTGCACAGATTATGTCGCAGTTCTATCAGGCTGTTCGTGAATCGAGAGACGAGACCGTGACAGAGTTGGGTCAAGAATGGTATCAAATACAACAAGAGCGGCGCCGGGCCGCCAACACAATACCGGATTATGGGCTCCGCTTCCCCGCTACGAGGGCGGAAGCCATCAGGAATGCCGTGTCATACAACAAGGAGGTGTCGGTGCTCTCGGGTTTCGCCAAGCACGTCGGTTTCCCCGCAGCGCCGTCAATCAATGGCGTTACCGAAGACCAGCTGGAGGCCGACCTGGAAGCGATACAAGTGAGTTTGGTTGGGACATCAGTTGCCGATTGGACACAATAGAGTACTGACAACGCTTGGTCACAGTTCGCCCGCGAGCCAATGTCGAGACAGATGCCGAACCACCTGCCGGCGTTCCGCCCGGAATACAAACACACGACGGGCCTTTCCGCGTTCACACACGGCCTCGGCGCTGCCGGAGAGCAGTTCATCGAGCAAACGCCCTGGGCGAACCCGAACCACCCGTCCCATCACATGCAGCGCCAGCAAGGCCACCGCGAAGCCAACCTCCACCCCACCTACGCTGGCCCGCCACCACCGTCGGCTCCCCGGATACACTCGAACCAACCGGGCGGCCTGTTCTCCTCGAGCACGTCTACTATTCTGAACGGCGAGTCTCCGGTACCGGTGCAGAAGACGCACTCGCCGACAGTTTCCGGGAAACTCCAGGGCGCTAATAAGATGAGCGCCGAGCCGCTACGGCGGGAGTCGGCTGTACATGCGTCTTGATTTTGAGCTTCCGGTTCTGTGTTTTCTGTTCATTCTTATCAAGCCACCAGGGATCAGCGATCCTCGTCGCTGAATTTCATCGAGTGGAAGGCACGCATTGCAAATGTATCATTGGTGATTGAGCGTTTTCGTTTTCCATTGTTCTTTCGGACACTTTCTCGGGGTGAGGATTTGACCTGGTAAGGCGGGGGGCAAGGTCGGGGGCTTTCGGGTTGTCTAATGCCGTATAGATGAGACCCATATGTATATGTGGATGTGTACAAACCGGAGAGCCAGTTCATCGTTTGGAGGGGTGGGGGGGGGGTTCTCCCGCCAGGGCTTATGGTTGGTTGTTGGATGGGTTGTATAGGACTCGGCTACGGTAGATACCACCTAAGGCTATGTCGGGGTTGAATAGATACTCCGCAGCATTGCTTAGTGCTGCGGGGGCCTGGATGATATCTTATTTGGATCTAAGATGGAATTCCCTCAAAACTCCGGAATGATGTTGTCAGTTCTACTGTACGTTAATGCCGCTCCCCGTTCCGTTCCTGGTATGTGCTTTTTTCTCATAGATGGATACACGCGGCGGTACAACACCTCGCCTAGATATCTTCGAGCAGGCTTCCTCAGTTCTTCGCCGTCTGGGAGTTGGGTTTCGCCGGCACATCGGGAACCTTGACATCCTCGAATTCGTCCTGGCCGATGGCGTGGAGAGTGTAGGCATCTGGGTGAAGAACGCGGTCAGTACGCTGAGACATGAATGGTGTTCGAGGTTTAGGAAGGGCTGTAAGGGTTGCCGTACAGATGCCAATGGCAAAGGCGGATATGGCGAGCCCCGTGATGGCGTTCTTGACCAGGTAGGGCCGCCGCGCCCTGATGAGGGCCGGTGATTGGCGGTTACGGTCGTAGTAGGTCGAGGGCTGAAATCTGTGAGCTGTTAGAGAGGTTTTGTGTATCTCGAGAAGCATCTTGCAGCAAGATGTAGAAGCGTAGGTCACTTACCCCATGGCTACCTGTTGAGTTAAAGGATCTCGCGGCTTCTTTCGGGTGACGATTTTGGGGATGATGCATCCTATGCTCGATCGGATAAGGTATTGCCGGTGAGCTGACATGGACCGATAACTAAAGCTTATCAAAGGCCTGCCAATGGGAGCTTGGGCGCATTCAGAACCCATTGTGCCGCTGTTGTCCGTGCACGCTCCATTCCGACCCCTGCCTTCTTTCACGTCACTCCCATCTCTTTGGTTTTTGGGTTTGAGCGCGTCGTCCAAGGCTCAATGAGAATGAACAAAGCGTCCAATTCCAATCCTGGCACTCGACATATCCGCTTTCCATAATTTCAACACCTCCATTGAATCTGTTGACGACCAGAGGATAAGAAAGAAGGGGCATCTGTCAAACGGCATTGCACAAGCAGCTGGAAGTGGAATTGTTGATTCATGAAATTGATGCCACCGACCTCTGCGCCAACCTGAACTTTTTCGGTTTGCCTCCACAACAACCTCGACAATTGCGGCTCGCAGTATGACCCGCCTCGGCAGGGCGCTTCCATATTCGATACTGGAGTCTTGACTGTTTGGAGGTAACGAGTGTCCTACTGCGGCGATACATTAGTACACGTCAACGCTTTAGGAACCTCTGAACCAGGGCAGTGGCAGCTCGCGCGCAGGTTGGGGAGACGGCGGAAAGGCTTTGATCGGTCAACAACCTAGACTGCCTGCCTTGGCTTGCCTTGTTGTCGTTGCGCATACAGAGCATCAGGCAGCACTCTCTGTAGATTCCCCTTTTGCTTTGCTCTCGGCTCGTCTGCTTCACGGCCCTCCTACCAAACCAGCCATCCAATCTACGCCAACCCACCATCACGTCGGGTACATCTCATCACCTCCAAGAAACAGGGGGACACGTGAGACACCATGGCGGCCGACTCAACCAACGCCTCATCGTCGTCCAACGGCAACCCCCTCGCCCTCGCCGAGCAATTGGAACAGCTCAATGCGGCGCGCAAGGTGGTGCTGCAGGACTCGACCTACTATGACCGCATCGTCAAGGGAGTGCTGCCCATCATAGGGCCGAGGGCACTGCTGCCGCTGCGACGATGGGGAGCCGAGTTCCTGGCCGAGTCGCTCGCCACGCCGGTGCTGACGATGCGCGACAAGGAGAACATCACGGTGGCGGTGCTTGACACCCTCAGGGGCTTGCTGGACGGCGTGGGAGAGGATACCATCGTGCTCAAGGCGAGCGTTGCCGCAGCGGCTAGCGCGTATCCCGTCGCGTTGAGGTGGATGTGAGTGCTTTCAATCCTTCAGATCCATGATGTTGTTATGTAAGAATGGGACTAGGCGGGCTGTTGTTTTGACATCCAATGCCCGCCTATATTGCCCATATTTCTTATCTCCGGTCCTTGGGTTGAAAGAGCGGGGCAGAGAACATGCTAACAGAGTGCTCAGAATCAACAATTCCTATCATACAGAAAGCTGGGAACAGATGTCATCCATCAAGTCGAGGATACTACAGATCTGGGATGGGGCACCGGCACCAGTGAGGCTGAGCTGCATCAAGTTCGCCCAGCGAGTTGTGCTTGCTCAGACAGCATCGAATGGCATGGAGCAAAAAGTTCGTGTGCTGCAGCTCAACCCTTGTGAAGGTAACTGACACAGCGCACCCAGACCAACGGGCTCGATATCTCCTTGAACATGATCCCCGCAAACCACCCTTTATTAGATCCAAGGAAACTGGAAGCCGAAGCTACGGGTCTTCTGGATAGGATGCTAGGCGTGTTGCAAGACAACAGCAGGTGGGCTACATCCAATGTTCATCCCGAGGCCACTTCGTCTAACTGCGATAGTGACGCTTTGCTTGTTGATGCCACGCTGAACTGTCTGTCCATCCTAATCCGGACCCGGCCCAACACATCAAACCGCATCCTCAACGCGGTATTGAACTTCAACCCCCTGAAGCTGGCAAACTCCCCCATGACGCCGAAAACGAGGGTGCTCGTGAAATCTCTTGAGAAGACCACCCGCATGCTTCTGACACATCTCCTCAGAAGGTAGAGTAGTCGGGCTATGTCTCAACGTGCTACTGCTGACTCTGGTAGGGACCCCAATAATCCCATGGCAGGACGAATTCACCAGTACATCGAAAGGATGATGCGGTCACGAGCCGAGATATTTGATGAAGCAAGCCGCAAGAGGGCCCTTGTGGACCAAGCTGTCGGTGACGCCAAAAGGCAAAAGATGGAGGGAGCTCCTCAGTTCATGGTCCCGCCATTGGGTCCAGGGCCACATAGCCTTGCTGGGGTGTTCACCCTCACGAGCAACCCCGGGCTGCAGGCGTTTGATGCCACACAGCTGCCTGCAAATCTTGCTGCCAAAATTAGCGTCAAGACCTTGATGACGCTCGACCAGCAGATATTTGACTTGGCCGTGGCAGTACGTGTGCTATGTCCAGACACTGAGAGAACGCTGTGAGTACTGACCTGCGCTAGGGCATTCGGGACCGTCTCACTTCCATCTACGCTGCTGGTGCAGCAGCCGCAGTGGCAGCGCAGCCCGCCGTGAATAACGCCGCCACAGCTCCGTTGGGGGTCGATGAAGACGATGACGACTATGAACCAGACCTCACCCCAGCTGAGGACACCGAGCAAATCCTCAACAAGCTCGACAACGCTCCCCCCGAGGAGCCGACAGAACTAGCCGCGGATGCCGCCGCCCTAGCCCTCGGCCCCTTCAGGCTTCCCGCACCTCCTACACTTGACCCCGACGCGGCGGCCAAGCTCAGTCAGGCAGCAGCCTCCCGCGTATTCGGGCCATTATCAGTTCTCAAGGAGAGCGGCGCCTCGCGGAAGCCAAAGGCAGGCATCAACCGACTCGCAGCGAGCTCCTACGACCGCGACTCCTGGCTGACGCTCATCACGCGCCTGGCGACCCGCAGCACAGCCGGGCTCGACGATCTCAGCAGCATCAAGATGGAAGATGGGGCGCTCGACAACCACCCGCCACGCATGTCCCTCGGCGACACGATCCGCGAGCTGCTCTACACGTACATCCTCGAGGACTGGCGGCGGCGCATAGAGATCGCCGTCGCGTGGCTCTGCGAGGAGTGGTACAACGACCAGCTGACCAAGCGCAGCAGTGGAGGTGGTTACAACGACGCGGCGGCGCTGCACTACGAACGTTGGGCGCTGCGGCTCTTCGACGGGTTCTTGAGTTATATCACGGCGCAGGACAAGGTGCTGACAAGGTTCCTGGCCGAGATCCCCGAACTGAGTAGGCCGCTGCTGGGGAGGCTGAAGGTGCTGTGCGAGGACCCGACGACGGTGCAGCTGGCGCTGACGACGCTGCTGTATCTGGTGATGATGCGGCCGCCCGTGAGAGAGATTGCGCTGGATACCGTGGCAGAGATCTGGACTGAGTGTGAGTTCACTCCGTTGTGTGTGTTGTTTTGTCAGGGTTCTGTGGATGGTTGCTGACATGTCGTGATGAATGTAGTTGAGGATGCGCGCCCGTTGGCGGCAAAGTACCTCGTCAAGTGGCGGCCGGGGTTCATTGAGTCGCAGACTCGGGCCCATGGGAGTGATGCGGCGCCGGGTAACAGCATGGCGATTGCGACGTGAAGCCGTTCGCTCTCGCGAGGATTGTATGATCTATCATGTATTCTATTTCCGCACCACTAGCACGACTGTTCCGCCCTCAATACAGGCGAGAGACTAAGTAGGCGGCCATACAAACATTCGTCGATGCAACGGTCACTCATCACTCATACATACCTTATGATGGAACTGACGGGGAGACATTAAGCACCCGGAAATCGGGTGGTAACTCAACTGATTGGCATAGATCAATGGGCTCGCCATTTCAGAGTACCGAGATAGAGATGCGGTCTGGTTTGCGGTCATCCTGATGGACACACGACTCCAAGACGTAGTGGGGCTGCAGTCATCATCGCCTGTATCAACTTCCAGGCTACCTGCTTCGAAATAGCCGGTTTTGTGCCCTGTATCGGGACTTTCTAATCTGGGATTCTGATCTGTGCCTTTTGCACAGCTGGCTGGACACTTCACCGTTTTGATTCACCATGTGATCTCCATGATCCTCCTGCAAGGAGGTCCCAGCGAGATCCAGGAACGGTTGTCTGCACCCCCTGTCTCAGATCCCTGGCCAGCCTTTGCGGCCCGAGAGCAAGGTCAGGAAATTTGGCAAAGAGGCAACTGTGATTCGGCAACGCGGCGAGCCGTGCCCCACTGCCTTGCACGGTTGCTGTGGCAGTCGGACAATGCCGTGCATTCAACGCGCGGGCCTCCAACCACGGCCGTGACCGTGACGGGGCGCCCGGATTCGTGACTGATTGAAAGCCACGGGCAGGCTCTCTGGTGAAATGGTGTATCCTGCTCCTGCCCATGGTCATACCGGACTCAGCCAACATATAAACACGAATGTAAGGAATCCGTGACTAAAAGAGTCGCATGTTGCTTTGAACGCTTCGTGTTCAAGTTCGTCGTCCCATCAACCCAGACCCTGTCAGTCACGACTTAAGCCTTGTCGGCCGTGCCAAGCAAAAAAAAATACAACCACGATTGATCCGACGTCCAACACCAACTGTCCGAAATTCGACAACCCAATGTTGAGCGATCGCTGTCCGCTAAAAGAATGTGCTTCTCGAGCTAGTCACGAAGTTTGTTGTCAACAGCTGGAAGGTGCCCTGAACAAAAATCATTGAAACACGCCCGGTTCTTGCCCTGAGCGGACCTGACCCGCTTAGAAGTGGGAACAAACGTCTACCCCTGACCCAACCGTCTGGGTCTGTCTGTGTTCTTTACACAGTAGTTGTAGACTCGTCCGTCACGAGAAATGCGCAACAAGCTCATGAAGAGTCGGCCACATTTGGATCAGAAGCCGCCCTTCTCAACCCATCGGAACGACCAACACAGTATGTCCCTTTTGGTCCTGCTCTGTGTTACTGTCTGAGCCCCCTTGCGGGTCCTGCACCACGAGGCCGGGAATGTGCAGCCTCAGGATGGCAACGTGCTGGTCTTGGATAGCTGCAGGTTTCCCGTCAGGGCGAGACACTGAGCCGTTGAAACACCTGGTGTGGTTTGTGCTAACGAAGGCTAACAGAGTGTGCTAAAGATCTCTCGTCAGCGATCGTCGTCCCGATAGAAAATTCACCAGCCGCAGCATCAGCTGCGACACCAACCAAGCCATCGCCGAGCAAGGCACCGAGCCCCTCGCATGAGCGCCCCTCGCCCAGGCCAACCCTAATATCTCAGGCCGCCTGCGAAGGCACAACCAACGCGACCATGTCTCGAACCACGACAGGCGAGGCCAACGGAAAAGCGGCTCCTTCCACAACCTCTTCTTTGCTGTCGCCTCGCATCCCAAACCGAATGAACTCGACGATCCGGACGGTACCTAGTTTTGACGACAGGCAAGCATACCCAGAGGATGATTCCAGCATAGACGGGGTGCAATCACATTCAACATCGCGGGATTCAGGTTTCTCGAGTTCCCTCAATAGCACCACCAGCATGGGGTCAGCACACTCTCAGCAGCGGGCGCAAGCACCGTCAGGCGGGATATCTCGAATCCCGTCGCATAATAAGTTGAAGCCGAGCCCCTCGGGAGCCTCGCAGGATAACGGAGACGGTACTCCTGATGGTACACCGAAGACTTCGCGAACGATTCCAAGCTCTGCCGAAATTCCCCCGCGAGAAAGCAGCCTCAACGCATCATCAATACTAGCGCCCACCATAACCAGCACCGACCCCGGCGGCGGCGGTGTCGGCGGCGGATCCAGCGCGAACGACGTTTCCCTCTCGGCAACGGAAGCTAACACCTCCAACTCCTGGGACAGCTCGGTCGGCAAGGCCGGGCTCGGCAAGACGGGCCGCGTTATCAACCGGCTGGTGTCGGACAACGAGGCGCTCAAGCGCGACATCCAAATCGAGCGGCTCCGCGCTGAGGAGTCGCGCAACGCCGCCCGCCTGCTCGAGGACAAGCTGGAGCGCGTCATATCGGACTACGAATCGCGCCTGCTGGAGGCCAGCGTCACCAAGACCCTGCTCGCGCGCAAGGAGCGCCAGGTCGAGTCGCTGCAGGACGCGGTGGAGCTGGAGCGCAAGCGGGCGCTCGACGCGGCGGCGCGGGAGCGCGTCTGGAAGGACGAGATGGAGAAGACGAAGGCGGATGCCAAGAGGCGGGTTGACGACGCGACGAACTATGCAGCGTTGTGCGAGGGGCGGTATAATGCCATTAGTAGTCACTGGAAGGACCAGGGGGAGGAGGTGAAGCGGGCGATGGGGAGGATGAGGGCGGAGGTGGAGGAGCTGGTCGGGGAGAGGGAGAAGGACGATGAGAAGATTGAGACGCTACGGGAGCTGTGCGATCAGCAGGACGGGAATATACGCGAGCTGAGGAGGCAGAAGGAGGAAATTGCCGCGCAGTTTGAGAGGTATAAGAAGCAGCAGGAGGAGGATCTCAGGGATATCAAGAGGCGGGCGGACGAGAGGGAACGGGAGCAGGAGCGCACACTAAGGGAGGCGAGGGAGGTGCTGGATAAGCTCCGGTGGGCGCTGAGCGTCAAGGAGAAGATCGAGTGGGCTCAGTGAGGGTGGCGGCTTGACGGCCAACTGATGGAAAGGGGCTTCAGTAATGGTGGTTGGAGGCAACATCATCGCAACACCATCAGTTCTGCCGTCGTTTGGCTTTCGTACGGCGTCCTGGGGACGGGACAAGGCTGGAGGGACACGCCTGGCTCAATCGCCATCTTTCCGGAAGCAATTGCTTTTCTCGGCTCCATTTCTACTCCGGTCGTTAACGCAGCTCACGACATACCTCATGACGATACCAGACGGTCAGGGTTGAATGGTGCCGGTGGATCGATAGACCAGTTTCTTTTCCTTCTTTGGGAATGCAGGATTTAGGCATGCAAGCGTCGATGCGTGCGAGCCAGCCAGTTCGTTCCTGGACACGCACCTTTCTATTGCTATTCACGGTCTGGGGGTTACGGGAATGGGTACTCCAAGGGAAGGAGTTTGGCGTTGCTGAAAGGACCCGGGCAGGGAATCAAAGCATATACATGCAAGCATAGCAGCAGACTACGTTTACTGGCCTACTTTTTGTGCAAGAGATATCCTATCTTTTACTGATCCCTTACCCCCTGGATAAGTTGTGTCTTCTTTGCCAATCGCATGGGGACCTTGTGCTGATTTCAGCATTGGTTCCCCGGGTCTATGTTGAAATATTTGCTTGGCAGGGGCAAACGAAATGTTTGTTGATTTTCACTCAGGGGTAACATACTTGGGACAACCTCTGGGCGTTTGCCCAAAGCAAACGCCCTGACCGTGAAACATCTGTCGTTGAAATGCCTTACATAGTTGAGCCGATTAGGGCAGTAGATCGCTTGCTTGCGATCGTTGCAACGTGAATGCCACCAGTAGTGGTATGATCTTCCAGGTTGTTAACTTAAAGTCCTCTTATGGCGACTCCTTGAGCACCTAGTATGATGAAGCCTCATTGAAGGATGGATACAACTGCATTTTCAAGCTTTGTAAACCTTCCATGTCATTGCGGTTCAAAGCTGCATGTTCCAGTAGTTGCCCGAGGTCAGCCCCGTCATCGCTCCTTCCTCGTCCGGTCCTTAAGCCCGCCAACTGATCTCTGCATCTAAGGCTTCGCTCAATTGGCGGTGTCTTTCGTCCGTCTTTTCCATGTTTTGGTCGAAAGACTTCTCTCCCCCTTCTTCTGCTGCCTTACCTTTGTGGTTCGGCTCCCTGATTCTCGCGTCTCTCCCCAGGCAGCGAGAACAAACTTATCAGTCACAATCAACGTCACGATCCACGAAATCAGATTTGATTGTGAATTGTTTATGCGAGCAAAAAGGTACACCACATCTCTTCTGATCTGTTCGCTAATTCCAAGCTTCAGTCATCGGCTGCTAGGAATGGTCGAAGCGGCTCATCCGCTCTCTGCCTCATTTCACCACTCCCTCCTTCCTCCCAGCTTTATATTCCTATTGACCAGTTTCCAAACACGGAATTGACTGACTGCTTGCTCCTAGAATATCGGCCCTGTCGTTCTGTTCGTGCCGGCTCGGCCATCGCCAAGATGGCATTTTTCACCGAGTTCTACCTGACCACAGTGTGGAACTTCAAGCCGAATGTTGTCCGCCGAGTAATTGATGATTTTGCTGGCATGGGACTGGTAGGTGTCAATCCGGTCTTCGCTCCGCTGACATTACCTGACCATGGACGCAGGCCCAGGCCGAGTTCACCTACGACAGCGAGTACGGGTGGTTTAAGGTCACCTGTCTTGAGGAGCATGCAAGCGAGATTCGTAACAAATTTGTCATATTGGCTTGCGCAATTGAAGGCAATGCGTTCGACACCTATGAGGACGGAATGTTGGAAACGAACGATACGCTCCGGGTACATCTCCTCCACAGAGGTCACGAACAGAGATAAGCTCACATCGCATAGCCACCGTCGACCACGAGTGGTTTACGCAACTGTCAGACACTGCCACGACCCGCGGAATTGACGAGCCCTCCGCATCGTCCTGTCTTTCTCAGCCGCTGACTGAATCCTCGCGCACTGCCCTATGGGACGACCTCGACAAAAACAACGAGCCATACACGGTTCACCAGATCATGACCGTGAGTGAGCGTGATCAGATCCAAGAGGATCTGCGCGTCGAACTGTCCTCACGTCTCGCCGGAAAACTAGTGTATATCACTGGTCAGAGCGAGGAGTTCATCCGCAAAGCTCGGGATAGACTCAGAGTCATGTTGGCCATCGAGGTGAGTAGCTGCAAGGATACCCACTCGGCATATGCGCTCATCGGCTGTTGCAGAAACTACGGCCCAGCTGTCTATTGGCGGAGCACTTGGTTTATGCCGAGAACTACCTCTATCCAGTTCAGCCGGATCTCAACAAGACTCCCGAGATAACTGCAGACATGCGATACCTGGCCAACATCGACCCAAAGCTGGCCTCCTCGACCCTCCTTGATTGAGTAACGGTAAACAAGTTGGAGGAGTCCTACAAGATAATCTATCAGCAGGCAGCCTCAATCCGAATTTGCCCTTGGTCTCCTCAGCGGGGTTGCCCTGTCTCCCTGCTGGGCCCGAAGGTTCTGTCCGAGACAGGGACAGGACGATGCTGGGAAATCGGCCTACCATCTTCACCAGGACTCTTGACCTGCTTACATTTTCCGCCGACGAGTTCATCTTGCCTGAACAGCGTGGCATGGTGAAGGCCACCAGCAAGGTTGAGACCTGGATTGAGAATGTTGAGGCCCAAGCCGACGCTGCCACCGACACTGCACAATCCATCCTCAATGTCCAAGGTGCTAGCCAGCCTTCACCAGCACTCGCGGATGAAGATCTCATCAATTTTGAAGAGAAGCCGGCAACATCCCACCGTGGACCTGCGATTGGGGCATCGACTGGAAAGCCAGACACGACTCTCTTGGATGATAACAACCCCATCCCATCTTTATCCCAAGACTTTTCGGCACTCCGGGGCGAACCAGGTACGTTAGGTGCGAGTACTACGTCCAATCACCTGCTCACCGAGCCCGAAACCGGCCACGACTGCCTCGTCGACATGCTGGCTGCCGTAGCCACTCCCGTCTTTGAGGGTGCTTCTACGTCGAAAGTCTGCTGGCAAATACGTCCTCTTGTTCCCCCGCCTTCGGAATTTGAGGAAGATGGTAGTAGCACAGCTAACTGGGAAGAATACCTTTCAGTGTTGGAGAAGAGCCCAAGGCGAAGTGGGAAGGCAGCAACACACTCTCAAACAGATCAGCGGCGTCCGCAGCAGAAGATGACAGCGGATATAAATGGCATCGGTCAAATCAGCTGGGTTGAGAATGCGCAGCAAGCTGACAAGAAGGAGAGGGCCACGCAACAAGCTGGACATCGCGGCACGCCACACTCAGATGCGCAGCCTACACCGACGCCAGATCAAGATCCCGATACAAGAATCCCCATTTCCTTGCTCACCACCGAAGCGTTCATCAAGAGAATTGAAAGCGCTACGGCCAGAGTGCTGTCTATGAGCCCTTACAGGCGCGGCAGGCTTGTAGCGAGAGCCGAGTTTGGTCGCATCATTCTGGAACACGTCTCTGAGAGCGGTCTAGCATACAACGACGCCAACACAGTCAGCAACGGATGGAAAGAATAGGGCTTGGTGAGGAGGCTAACTCGGGATTTCGGCAAGAACCAGGACATCCACTTCACCAACATCCTATCGACATATGCCTGCGACGTGAAGGACATGATCAATATGACGGCAAACGGAGCTCGTCTTTGGAAGGAGAATCCCACCCGCGCTTGGACTACCTACTCTTTCCACTGCTCTCTGAACGCCACTCATAAACCTCGTCGTTTCGTTGTCGACATTGAGGATGATGGCGCCTCAAGTGGCTTCTCCTTTCTGATCCGTCTGCCCAGCGATGTTTCCGACAAAGGTGAGCAAATGCCCGTCTACATCCATGCAATCCGTCGTCATTGGGACTTGCGGATTACGGTGCCCCATGCTAGGCAGGAGGGTGTATCGGGGGCGTACCTTTCTCTTGCCACGACGCTGCTGCAGTCTTTGAGCGTCTCGTACGTCATGTTCCTTCAATGTCTACTGACTTGTTGACGCACGCTAATAATTGAGTTAGGTTTACCGAAAAGGGTTTGCCACTGCTCTGCTTCGCGGTGAGGAAGGACTTTCACGTGGCTGTCAATGAGGTTCGCGTCCTGACCAAGTGGCGCCATGCCAGCCTGAGCGGCAAGAGCGCCTTCGAAATTACGGAAGTTCAGCAGATGGAGATGGTGCCCTGCTCTGAAGGTGTCTACTCCGGTTATGGTGATTCATGGGAAGGGAAGCTCGCCCGTCCCTGGCCCAGCCGGAGAATTCGAGACAACCGAGCCAAAGGAGAGATCCCAAGGTGGTACGAGGCTGCCGTGGTTTCTCTCGAGTTGGAGAAGTGCCGCCGGCAGAACATTGCCTTGAGGGTCGGCGAGAAGGCCAACTGGGCCGTGCAGGACCTAAAAGCCCGCGGGGTCTTTTCCACTCTGTATGAGCCAGCCTTGCATATGGTGGCCCAGATGGATCATGTAGGCAAACTGGACGACAACAATTTGTCGCAGGCCTATGGTCATCTGCTGCAACGACCCAACAATCCTGGCCACCATATGCCGGGGTCAGCGTCTGCTCAGAGCGGACGGCGTAGCCGGCAGCAACGTGGGGGTAGCGGTCGGATGCGACTGGACCTGAGGCTTCGTCGGCTCAGGCGAACACGGCGTCTGCTCGTGGTGCGTCGTCAACTCGTCCCAATCCGAAGGCTCCGGCGTGGGTTCCGGATGGCGAGACATACAAGTTTTGGTGAGCGGGGCCTCACTGGGTTGGAGAGGTGTTGTGGGCCTGTTGGAGTCGACGTTGGGAATGGCGAGATCATTCTCCAGGGTGACGGACATGGTGTTGACATGGTCTACAAGGCCATGAGGTGCAGGATGAGCAGGATGGGTACCAAGAAACTGATGTGTGGGATGAGCTGGAGGAATGTTCCCGCTGACAATTTTGATTTGCTTTCCGGGCTGTGGAGTGCTGCTCGGAGGTTCATGTCTGACGATGGATGCGGGCATAGTCATGTTGATGGATGAGCAGTGTACAATTACACGGGGTGAATCTGTTCGGCGTTGAGTTAACAGAAATAAGTGCACTTTAGGGGCGTGAATTACTTATCTTCTGCAGAGAAAACATAGCGACTTCATACCTGAGGTTCTGTTTGTCGCCCAGCGCGATGCCCCTTGAGAGGAGGATGGAGAGTGGTCAGATGTAGCAAAATCTTTATCGCTCCGCCAGCACTGGTTCCAGCCTCCAGACCCTTGTGATAGCCAAGAGGGCTATGGCCCGCGGTAGACAGTATTGAAATAAACGGCATTGCAGAGAATCAAAAGAGAGAGGAAACCGACGGGAGCATTTGTTATATCTATCCCGATGATCACGGTGACTGGTTTGGTATGAATTAGACCTGCGAGCTACCTTCGCTCCCCCACTTCCCTGGCGCGGATGGTCAGATGGATGATATCGGAGCTCCCGGCAAGTAGGTGCTATCACTTCGTTGGAGTGCTGTGCCTTGTTTCCACTATTTGCTTAAGGTATTCGTAAACCTGATTTGCGTTCACCTACGGCAATGCCGCCCCCGTTTTGATATCTCACGCCTCTGTGAGAGCACTATGTGACTGTAGCAAAGAGCAAGAAATACCTGCAGGTTGTCGAGCCCTTTCGAGGCCAGAAGGGGAAGTCTTGAAGTGTCTTCCCGCTCAAGCTGCTGAGGGAACCTTCTTCTTCTGCTCCCTCATGTACTTGACATGCTCCTCTCCAACAAGCTTGGCTTCATCTCTTTTGTCCACCACCCACAGCATCAGTCGTACTCTGCCATACCCCTCAATCTCATCTACCAAACGGCCAAACCGCACCCACGCCTATCCTTATGAATTTTCCGCAAGCAGTCGACGGAGGGGGCTGAGTCGAAGAAGTTGATAGGACACCGGCGTTCCGAGTCCCAGAGTCAGATCTTGTCATCGATTATGTCGATCTCCTCCTCCCCAAGCCATGCCTCAAGGACCTTCAGCTGCTCCGCGGCGCAATACGCGGCGCGCGATGCATATTGGCAAATGGAGCTGTTCACCTGATTCCGATCTTCGACAACTTGGCGCATGCCCTCGACGTATGTCTTGATGTCGGCAAGCAGTAAGATGGTGTACGCTTCTCTGCATTTGTAAATGCGATCTAGCAGTCGGTCCAGGGAATGATCAGCCTTTTTCCAACACATGCTGTACAATACAATCTCGAGGATATGCCAGCACTCACCGTAGATGCCGGGTGGCAGCATCAAGGGTTTCGGAAGATGCCCTCATTGCCGTATGCTAAATGGAAGCTGTTGAACCTAGTCAACTTTAACTGTATTATCACATTTTTCAATCGTCTTGGCTGCAAGAGAGCAAGAGACACCAATGAAAAATCCTCTGTGGAAAAACAGAAATGGAGAGACAAGCCAGAATGAACTAAGCACATACCAGAGTTGCTTGAAGAGGTTCTCCATTCCAAACTCATATGAGAACTGGAGGCGTCCCTGAAGATGAAATGCTTTGTCCGACTTCTTCTCGGGTTTGAAAAAACTCTGGGCACCAAGCTCTCAATCCACCCCGGCACAGTCGTAGCAATCAGGCTCAGTGACTTCTACTGATGGCTGAGTTTCGCAACTTCTTGGGCTTCCTAAAGTCGAGGAGTTCTTCGATCTTGAAACCATCCGAGCCTCTTCCTCCAGAGATCTGGGCTTGGTGAGGGTGGTGGGCTGCCGCAACCAAGTGATGGAAGACCATTGGAGTTCCGTGGCTAAGTTCGGCAATGAGAAGATGACCTACCTCGTGAGGCGAATGAAGTTGCGCGATACGTTCTCGCCACCCGGGAAAGAGCCCGATCAATATCTTCTAAGCGGACAACCATGGCGGTTCTGCTGTCTCGTTTCCATTCAGTGGCAGTATCGCAATGACCCCCGGTGATGACGATGGTCAAAACGGCGTCTCTTGCTGTGGATGCGACGTTGCGTACGCAGTGATGGTCGACTGAAATGGTAGAAGACGAATAGCGCAAAGAGTTAGCAGATTCTACTTCGATATCCACTGACAAAACAACGTACGCAAAATGTCGTGCCACTCCTCATCCGTAAGCTTGACCGCTAGGGCGGCACCGGAATCCATGGTGGTTGAAGAAGCAACGCTGTTGGCTAATCGCGGCGATAGCGATCTTTTTCTTCTATGATTCGAAGCTCGCTGTCTTTGCTTCTGTGGGCGAAGGGAATCATGCTTCCATCATGATGCTGACGTCGTGGCACCCGCTGTTGAGGGAGGGCTTAGCGAGAATGGAACGAGCCTGTTTTGTGAGTTAGAGAAGCGAAACGTAAGTTGAATAGAGAAGCTGTGTAGTATGCGCATGCAAAAAAAGATTGCGGTGCGTTTTCATTCATCCCATGTTGCTGGTGAAAAGGCGGCAATTTGGAAGTGGTGTATTGCAAGGTTTGCCGAGTACATTAAACCTCAACTTCGCCAGAGTCTGACAATAAAGGTCACGACGGATGAAAAGGTACCCTTCAGATCTGCTCTCATTGTATCATTCACAGTCGGCTTCTCAAGGACTTCATCCATCTCGTCACATTCTCCGCCCTGATTCATATTGCAAGCAGTTCGTATGTCTCTAACCGCTTAAAGCAGAAGCGGGAAACATCATGACCGGAAAGGCTACAATAAGTTATATAGGAGGACTCTCGATAAAAGAACCAAACTCCTTCCAATGTTCCAACCAGGGTCTATGGTTATTCGTGGTGGCCATCCAACCTAGTGCCAACTTCACCTCTGCTTCCACACTGACATATGTTCTAGAGAGCAATATAGGCTCTCGTTTCTGGTTTCAAGTGGTGCCAGAGCTGAACATGTCGAGAAAATCGAGGTCTCAACCCCACAAAAGGGTGGCATCAATAGTCAGCTGTTTTTGACCCCTAGCCTTTTCATGAGATGCGATGCCAAGACTCGATGTAAATAATGCAGCCAGATCGGTATTCTTTCCCCTTTGGATGCTTGCGTCTGGGGGAAGAATTGGGCCAGGGTTTAGAACATTCTGCGATTTTCATTGGAGGGTGCACGCGTTTTCTTAGCGTAATACACGTGCTCGGCGACACGGGCGTGCTGCAGCTCCAGGAAGGCAGTGTCGTCATAGGCCCGGCCCGAGATGCATTGTGCCGAATCCACAGCAACCGGATTCCCGCCCGATCAGCTAAAAGGCAAGGCAGATGGCGCCATTGGGATTGCATTGCAGGTTCCTTGACATGTCTATCCTCATAGGTCCAGAACTCGCCTCCCTGTCTCGTAAAGAGTGTTGAAAGTTCCCTCGTTCCCCAAACTCAGGTTAGGGTCATGGTGCAGTTTAGGACCGCAGTTGTACTCGGCGGAATAGAGAACGCGTGATCCATTCAGATCAACGCTTGGTTCCTTCCCGCATATAAGGTATCTCAAGGACTGCGTCGCATTCATCTGCATGTGTCTCCCACTTAACTGTCTCACTGAGTAGTCAGTTCAACATCATCCGGACCAGTGCAATACCTTGAACATATTTAGTCAATAACATGGCCGAGTCCAAAGACCCCTCCGTCGAAGCCTCCAAATCCCCTCCCTCCCCTCCCCCCCCCAAAACTTCACCCTCCTCCAACCACGCAGACGACGACAACGCCATCCTCCCACCAGGCGAAATCGACCCGGTCTACGAGAAAAAAGCAAAGCTCCTCAATCGCGCCATCCAAGAGATAGGCTTCGGCGCCTACCAGTACCAATTAACAGCCGTCATCGCCTTCGGTTGGGCCTCGGACAACCTGTGGCCCATTGTAACGTCCCTCATCCTCCCCCCACTAGCCGCCGAGTTTCGCCCAACCTACCCGCCCTTACTCACGCTAGCCCAAAACATTGGTCTATTGGCAGGCGCCCTGTTCTGGGGCTTCGGGTGCGACGTGTTCGGCCGGCGGTGGGCGTTCAACTTGACGCTGGGCCTGACAGCCGTGTTTGGGCTGGCGGCGGCGGGCGCGCCCAATTTCGCGGCCGCGGGCGTGTTCGCGGCGCTGTGGAGTTTCGGGGTGGGCGGGAACTTGCCGGTTGACTCGGCCATTTATCTTGAGTTCTTGCCTGCCACCCACCAGTATCTGCTGACGGTGCTTTCGGTGGCGTGGGCAATCGCGCAGGTGGTGGCGACGCTGGTTGCTTGGCCTCTGTTGGGTGGGTTGACGTGCCAAGAGGGGGACGAGCAATGTGAGAAGGGGGAGAATATGGGGTGGCGGTGGTTTCTGATTGCTATGGGCGGGTTGACCATGGCGATGTTTTTGCTGCGGTTTGGCGCCTTTACAATCTATGAGTCGCCCAAGTACTTGATGGGGAAGGGGAGGGATGAGGATGCGGTAAGGATTGTGCGTGAAGTGGCGAGGAGGAATGGGAAGACAACGGGCTTGACGGTGGAGGATTTGAAGGCATGCGAGCCGGATGGGTATGTGCGCCAGGCTAAGGTGGCAGATGCGGTCAAGAGGAAGCTGGAGGATGTCAAGTTTGAGAGGGTGAGGACGCTGTTCGGTACCAGGAAGCTTGCGCTGTCGACAGGCCTGATCATGGTGGTTTGGGCATTCATCGGGTTGGGGTGAGTTGAGAACGTTTCGGGGGGCCGACGGGAGACAGACAGCTGACAAACGCAGATACCCACTCTACAACGCCTTCTTGCCGTACATTCAGGCGACGCGCGGCGCTGACTTTGGGGATGGGTCGACATACCTGACGTACCGAAACTCGCTCATCATCGCCGTGCTCGGAGTCCCCGGCGCCTTGATCGGTGGACTGCTGGTCGAGCTGCCTCGGTTTGGAAGGAAGGGCACGCTCGCCCTCTCCACCATTCTGACCGGTGTGTTCCTGTACGCCTCGACGACAGCTCTCGACTCGCAGTCACTCCTCGGCTGGAACTGCGCCTTCAGCTTCACCAGCAATGTCATGTATGCCGTGCTGTATTCTTTTACTCCCGAGCTGTTCCCGACGCCGCAGAGGGGCACGGGGAATGCCCTGACAGCGACATCTAACCGCATCTTTGGCATCATGGCGGTGAGTATCCAGCAGTCAACTGCCCCTGACGCGTTCATTACTGACAACAGACAAGCCCATCGTGGCCATGTTTGCTGACCTCCAGACTGCTGCGCCCGTGTACACCAGCGGAGCCTTGTTCATTGCTGCCGGTCTTCTGGTTTTTGTGCTGCCGTTCGAGTCGAGGGGTAAGGCGGCCTTGTAGGTAGGCGATTTCCGTACTGGAGCCGCACAGCGCAGTCATTCTAGCGCAACTCTCATCGGAGGAGCGTAACTGGCGGACAGCACCGCAATTGGGTAATTCTTCATGACCATAAAGCTCTATGAGCCGCGCTCGGATGGCTGCATCAGGCCGGGTTCTGCTAATGGAATTTGTGTTGCCAGTGCCCCTTATATTCTTTACTTTTTACTGATGTCCATGATTGCTCTGTAACCGGAGTAGGTAGTCTAGAACTGAGACCGCCACTGTGCCGCATATTGGAGGGCCAAGGGCTGCTACGCGCTGCTGCGCCGCGCCCCTACAAAGCGCAACATCAATCCTACCAGAGTCCCCTGACAGGTCCTTCCCTCGCAGCTCGACTGTCCCTCCTTTCATTGCTGCCCCCTCAAAGTACGGTAGTTCAGCCAGAAATGCACCAACATGATGACGTATCGAGACTCAACGCCACATCGCTTTGTCACAGTAGGTGACTATTCAGGCCTGGAACCGGTGTCGTCCCCTGGGCTTGAGCCGGTCCATCATCTTCAGGAAGAGCACTACAGCCGGCAGGCTTGGATCGAGCCCACGGCAGCGGCCAGTCCGCCAGACGAGCCATATCAGAAGATCCTCGGGCTGCCAGTGCGTGCCTTTTGGACCATCGTCATCCTCTTGGTAGTTGTCCTTGCTGGGGCCATTGGCGGTGGTGTCGGCGGCGGCCTAGCAGCGCGAAGTTCGGCGAGGTGAGGGCATCAACGATCAGCAGAGCGGCGCATTAAAGTAACTCCTTCCAAGGAATATCGCTAACACACATCTCTCTCGCGCAGTCCATCAACGCCCACGCAAACACCCCTCTCATCCGCTCGCGCATCCGACTCCCCACCATCCTCCTCAACAACAATAACACCACTGACAATTAACACCGCCTCAACATCCACCACCACCATCACCGGTACCGCGACATCCCTCCTAGGTGCTACCTCCCCCGCCCCAACAGACGAAGGCTGCCCGAGCATCAATGGAACATCCTACACACCCACGGGCGCAACAGGCCAGGCGCTACCGCTAGACTCCTTTGGGCTGGACGGTCAGGCGCAGCAGTTCCTGCGGCTGTGCGACACCAACTGGCCGGCGGGCGCCAGCTACGGCAACCCCGGCGTGCACGACATCATGAAAGTGTACCTGCCGAGCCTCGAGGCGTGCATCGCGGCGTGCGCCGAGTGGAATGCCAACTATGAGAGGAACCGGGCGGAGGGGATCGGTGTCATGAAGGGGGAAGAGGGGTTGTGTCGGGCTGTTAGTGTTGTTAAGGCGGGTAAGCCATTCTTTTCCTACATGTAGACTTCTGTTGTTTCCTTTTTGGTGTGGTGGGTTTTGTTTGATGGAGGCTGGTGATGATTGACTGACTGACGGCGGCTTCTTTTGTAGCGGGCGAGTACTGCTATTTGAAGAATAGTACGGGCAAGGTCGACACATTTGGAGCCCCAAAGAGCTTTTCGAGTGCGCTGCTTTATATGGATCGAGCGGTGGTGCTTTTTGAGAAATCAAAATGAACTACCTGACTTATGACTGGAAGTATCGAAGGACGCCGATCAAGACTTTTCCCCTTGGGGTCCTGATCCCCTCAGCAAGCTGGGCTGATGGTCTGTGCGAGTGCTCCAGCGTGGTGGAGAAATCACCCAGCATTCCCATTTCTCCCGTCGGCACTTTCAAATAAGGTTTTAAGCTTGAACTGGCCTGTGTTTGGGTCCCTTGACTTCAAACTAGGGTTTCTCACGAAGAAGACCTCTGGTTGCGGGTTTGGGCCTGAGACGACTTCAGTAGTCGGACATGGCGTTCAATTACTCGAACGGTTCAGCGTCAACCGCGCATGCACTGCAATGAATGGCTTTGAATTGCCCTTGGTATAACATGGCCCCACCCAACAACATTCGCTGCTCCCCGGCTCTTAGTCCCGACCTGGCTACCAAGGCTCATGGACTCGTGCGGCATTCTGTTCGTGCTGGCTCGTTCTGTCCTCCGAGATGTCGAACTCGGTCATGACAACAATGCCCTTGTTGTTCGCTTGGTTGGCCTGCGGCCCCGCCGACGAGATTGTCTTCACATTCTGCAGCCTGATTTCGTGCACAATACGCTCCTCGCTCTCGGTGAAAGTGACTTTGGTGAGGGGGTTCGTGGCCCTTGCGCTTGCCGTCGCCTGGCGGTTGTGGCTGCGTGACACATCGCCGCCGCCGCCCGCGCCGCCGCCAATGCTCCGGAACCCGACCGGCGTCCTGTACTGTTTGTCCGTGTTGCGCGCCGAACTGCCGAGCAACGGCCTGATCCACGCCTTGAACAGGGGGAATACCATTGGCAAATTGGTGGTGACCACCGCGACGAAAGCCTCCCGTGTGCCCCATGCACCCGCCAGCTCGGCGCCATTAACATCATCCTATGCGGGAGTTAGCGCCTCCCTGAGTGTCGCTTAGTTATCATGGGGGAGACAGCACCGGGTGACCTACCGCAATGACAAAGACGGTCTTGAGCGTGGCGCAGACAAGCACAAAGATACCAGCGCCGAGGACGAGACTCGAGGCGGTCTTCTCAACAAGCCGTAGCCGGGATTGCCAGAGCAACGGGATGGGGATCAGGATGAGATAGATATCGCTCGAGATGTTGGCGGCGAACGAGGCCCAGACGATGGGCCTCGAGACGGCGGGCTGACACACGTTGCCCGGGTCCGGGTGGATCTGCCAATAGTGGTGGAACGGCATGCACGCAAAGAGGATGGCTGCCATGGAGGCGAGATAGCCCGCGAGCACAATGGCGAAGCCGGCGTGGACGCGCATGCGATACGGACGACCAAGCCCGTTCTGTTTGCCGAAACGGATCAGCCTATGCTCCCTACTCTTTAAGGCAAGCAGTCACTGGAACACAAGACAAAAAACATACCGTAAGCCGCAAGTAGAAGAAGGACATGGCGAGCTTGAGAACGAGCATCAAGGTCGAGTAGCAAGACCAGCCCGCCACCTGGATCTTGGACCCTAAGACCCTCATGCCGTACTCAACGTTGGCCGTCGCCAGGGCGGCGCGCTGAGCCTCGGTCATGCCGTTGTTTGCCAGTCCATGAGCAAGATTCCCAACCTCGTATCCCAGGGTCGTTTGTGTCGAGTACAGCAGCTGCGAAAACGCGTGCGCACGGCTATGGTCAGCGTCAGAATGTCTAGATCCAGGGGGCGTGCCCATTCATCTACTTACCACGGCAACCCACACGAGGATGTCGTCAGCTTCGAATCGCTTCCAGCCCACCGCCATGACCCGGGCGTAGGTTCTCAGGACTGTGACGAGGACGCCAACAGCATAAAGAGTCCATAGCGTGATGTTGAAGGTGCGCGCTGCGGCAGCAAGGGCAGCCTCGGCGCCGGCAGCTCCCGCGGCTTCGAACATGGAGATCACTCGTCATCCGCCACAATCGACCATGCAAATCGGGGTTGCTGTCAATCAAGGCGGCGCCGACAGAAGGGTCTGATGGCCGAGATAATGGAGATCTGCAGGACATTTGTATTGTACCCGTACATATACACTAACTATCGGCAGAAGGATGGGAGGAGACCAAGAGCCAAGAAAAGCCCACCATCCATGGACGGTAACTGATGAGTTTCTCAATTCACCTTGTCATAGCGCACGTGGCGTTCGACATCTTCTGCCAGGCAGCTGTCGGCAAAACATACACCTGTTTCCTTCGGTGTGAGCGATATCGTGCTTGACAGTGTCGTAAAGTCGATGCCATGTCCACGATGTGGCCCCACGCCAATTGTTCCAAGGACGTCGACTTCTTGCAACCAAATTCCATCCCGGTCAGACCGGACGGTGGGAAAGAAGGTGGAGGACTGCTGAGCACTTGGAATCGGCGAGCAAGCAAGAGCGAGCGAAGGCATCTGCCGTAAGAATGTCGTGGGGGTTTGGCCAAGCCGGGGAATGTTCCCTCCAGCTGCATGGACAACCATACCGGACCCGGCAACGACCTGCGTTTTAGCGTGGTTTCCAAGGCTTCAGCTGCTGCTCGCTAAACAGCCATGAATCATTTTGTCCAAGCAAACTGCCTCGACTGCCAACCCCCAAGAGGTCGAGTGCTGCCCACGTGCCGGGAGGATGTCGACAATGTCTGGGTTAGATGGTATCCTGTCACATCGACTCACCGTTTCCTTTGAGACAACAAGGGGAGCGGGGAAGATACCTGAGTTGCCACCTTGCATGCACGACCGAGAACTACCGAGCGGCGGGTCCGGTATGGGGATGGCGGTGGAACAACAGAATTGAGAGGACGACTTCGCTAACTGTTTTTGTATCTTCTCGCCTGGCCTGGCTGCATCTGTGCATCGCAGGTGATGGAACGCATCAACAGAACCAAGACCGGGGCCATGCTGGGGTGCCACGCCCGAGGACCTGGCTCTCGGTGACCTCCTTATAACTGTAAGACTCGAGCTGTCAGATCCGCAGGGCCGCGGCGTGGCTTCCAAAACACACCTTTTGTTATTCTCCTGAAACCAGAAACAATGCGCTGGCTCCGGACCGAATTGTTCGCGACTGCGCTTGCTTGGGGTGTCGCATCTGCGGCTCCCTCCGCCTCGGCCTCCAATCCAGAAGCCACCGGGGACGCAGCCGCCCGCCCGTCATGCAGTCTCGCCGATCTCAAGAGGGCCTGGTCGTACCTCTCAAGCGAGGTCGAGGCCTACTATCCCCCCTCGACCGAGTTCGACGAGTACTCGGAGAGGTGGTCTAATCTGGAGACCCCCGTCGTGAATGTCACTGTACTTCCGGCCACTGAGAACGATGTCGTCGAGATTGTGAGCTTTCCTTTCTCCAACGCTTCGGCCAAGGAGCCATAGATTCAAGTTGCTGACCAGGGGATCAGGTCCGGACGACAAGCAAGTGCAATATCCCATTCCTTGCCTATAATGGAGTGCACGGATCCATCACCACGCTCGGCCGCATGGACTGGGGCGTCGCCATCAACCTGCGCAAGCTTAGTGGCGTCGTCGTCGCCTCCAATGGGCAAACGGCCACGATTGCTGGCGGCACCAACTCCAAGGTGGTCATCGATAGGCTCTGGGAAGCCGGCAAGCAGACCGTGACGGGCACCTGTGAATGTGTCAGCTACCTGGGTCCTGCTCTAGGAGGGGGGCATGGCTGGCTCCAGGGCCACTACGGGCTCATTGCCGACCAGTTCGTCTCGATGAACGTCGTTCTGGCAGACGGCACGCTCAAGACCATCGACGCCGACTCGGACCTCTGGTGGGCCATGAAGGGCGCCGGCCAGAACTTTGGCGTCGTCACGTCCGTCACGGTCAAGGTCTACCCTGCCGTCCACCAGAACTGGGCCATCGAGACGCTCATGTTCACCGGCGACAAGGTCCAGGCCGTGTACCAGGCCGTCAACGACCACCTCCTCAAGAACGGCACCCAGCCCGTCGACCTTATCAACTGGTCGTACTGGTTCAACGTGCCCCCGATCGACCCCACCGGGCCCGTCATCGAGATGTACATCATCCAGGAGGGTGTCTCGGTCGTGGACCCGGCCTACACGCAGCCGTTCCGGAACCTGGGGCCCATCTCGGTGACGCCGCGGAACGGCACCTACCGTGACATGTCCAGCTGGGTGGGCATCTCGCTCGACAGTCCGCCATGCCAGAACGCGGGGCTCGCCAACCCGCGCTTTCCCATCTATTTGGAGGCGTACAACCCGGCCGCCATGCAGCAGGTGTACTCGGCGTTTGCGTCGGCCACCAACGCCTCGTCGCCCTTCGCCAACTCGCTCTTCATGTTCGAGGGCTACTCGATGCAAGGCGTCGAGGCCGTCAGCCCCGCGTCGACCGCCTACGCTTTTCGCGGGGACCACCTCCTGGTGGCGCCGTTGATCCAGTACACGCCCGGGGGTCCCGCGCGCGACCAACGGGCGGCGCAGCTCGGCAACCAGCTGCGCCAGATTCTACATCAGGGAAGCGGGCGAAGCCAGATGCATACCTATGTCAATTACGCCTACGGCAACGAGTCGCCGGGGGATTGGTACGGCCACGAGCAGTGGCGCCAGGATAGGCTGAAGGCGCTGAAGGCTAAGTATGACCCCAAGGGCAGGTTTAATTTTTATGCGCCGGCGGCTTGAGGGAGTCTCAGGGAGGAGGTGTACAATGCACTAGTACATACCTACGGTAGTGGCTTTATCTAGAGCAAGGCAGTATCCGAATACTTAGCATTCGGACTGGTTACCCGTCGCGGCACTGCTAGCTTGATTGGAACTCGAAATGGCTATTGACCGATCTTGAGTTGAGCTGTTCGGTTCTCGTTCAGGTTGTTGATTCGGCAATTCCCTTAACCCCGAGACGCTCGTTGCTTCGAGCTCTCTATCTCGGCTCGATCCTCCAATGATTTACTGTACAAATTTACGGGGCAATCATTGCAAACAAAAGCAGGAATATCGGGTGGAGCGGGCAGATATTGGCGACAGGGATACCAAGTACGACTACGAATCGGTCAATCAGCATCATCGCCATCGTATGACAAAGAAGGCCAACGACGCGAAAACACGCAACGCGACTCCGCTGTGAACGTCTACTCATCCGGAGCTCCCCAGCCGGATTACCATACTTATAGTCTCTTGTTCTCGTTACTCAGTGCTCCCAACTTTATACCATCCCTCTTTCCAACTCAACCGCCGTCATTGACACCAATCCACCGTCAGCATCTACACCAATTCAAATAAGCACCACAGCCCCCCCGACCTCATTCACCAACAAAACAACGAAAATGTCCACCCCGCCCTCCGGATCAGATGCCACCCTCCGCCTCGCCCGCGGCACAGCCCTCCTCCTCTCCTCCCTCTCCTCGGGCATCGTCCTCTCCCTCTCCGCCTTCCTCGTTCCGCGCCTGCTCGAGTCCCCCACGCCGCTCATGCTCGCGCAGTGGCAGCGCACCTTCCAGCTGGGCGCCTCCACCATGCCGCTCACGGGCGCCGTCTCCGCCGCGGCCTACTTTTGGCTGGGTTTACGCGGTCTGCGCGCGCCGGGAGGGGCCATCGTTGTCGCCGGCGATGGGCTGTCTGGTTTGTCCAGGGCGAGACTGTTATTAGCCGCCGGTGCGCTGTCGGTGGGGATTGTGCCGTATACGATACTGGTCATGAGCGGGACGAATGGGAAGTTGAAGGCTTTGAGGGAGAGGGTTGGTGGTGCTGCGGTGAAGAAGGGGGCAGAAAGGGAATTGGTTGCGGAGGAAGAAAGAAGTGCCAAGTGGTTGGTGGATCATTGGGGAATGTTGAACTTGGGGCGGGCAGGGTTGTTGATTGCGGGAACGGTTTGCGGGTTGGTAGCGACTCTGTAAAGGTGCTGGGGACGGTTGGGGGAAGTGGGGGTTTGGAGCGTTTCGTGTGGCAGGAAATTCAAGTTTCATGGGTGGTGTGAGACTGTGATGTCGTGCTGGGTTTCTGGGCGCTGTGGTTTGGTGGAAGAAGGACACAACACCATTTCACCAGGGATGACGATCACGTACGATGTGGGTGTACTCCGCTGGATTCAGTTACTACTCTGATTCGTCCCACGGAGACCGATCCATCCACTCCGCAACCGAGTTGTTGGGACTCGCCCATGCCGATGATTCCCCAACTGCATGTGCCCAGGCGCGTCACGCCAAACGCTCACTTGCTACCGCTGCTGCTCGAGCTACCCGACGACGAACCCGAGCCATAACCGGACGAGTACTTGGTGCCGCTGGGAGCGGTGTAAGTCGAGCCACCGCTGCCATTGTTGTAGTAGGTGCTGCCGTTGGAATTGGAGTAGTAGTAGGAACCGTCCCTGCTAGCAGTCAGCGTCAAGCGGTCATTGCATGACAGGTTGACCAGAGGAACAAAGGGGAAGGAGACGAGGAGCGCACCTGTTGGAGTAGTGGTACGAGTTCGAGTTGTTGCCATAATCCCTGGCGCAGTAGTGGTTGCCCTGTGTCGCGGGCGGTTAAAGAAAGTTCCTTTATCAGACGAAGCGATTGCTCACATCGTTATTGATGCCGTGGCTTTTGTAGGTGTAACCCTTGTCAGACATCTTGATTGCTTTTCGCCAAAGTCCTGGATGCGGAATCGTAAATGGGAGGAGGTTGGGATGCTTGGCCAAGTCCGTCGCTGGGAAGAAGGAGAAAAGTTGAAGAAGAGAGGAGTGAGAAATCAAAGGCGGGTGAGGGGTCAACGAATAGATAACACCACTTACCGGTCCATCAATGGATCCACGGCAACCGTGACCGGTACACTTTGGCACTGCTTCTTCCCCAGAGAGTACTTAATGAATCGGGATAGATCAAAACTAGCGTCAGTCAAACGCCGGTGTTTGTCGAGCGGGTTCATCAACTACATCTGCAGTGGGCCTCAATGGCGGAGGCGTCAGGATGTTGCTCCTAGTAATGGAACGCAAACTGCATCAGTGCATCTCAACGTTCATAATTCTCCAAGAATCTGAAAGATGCCCAAAGAGTTTGAAGATAAACAACGTGATAGTGTGCGGCGCGAAGCAAACAACAGCGGGACCAAACAAGGCACATGTTGGATGGAGAAAACTGCACAAACTGGCTGAAGTGATTGCGGACGGAAGAATCATACCCACAGCCAATGGGGTACTGAAGACGAGATGCAATTCTAGGGTATACTTCTATCCACAGCCCAAGCTGTACATACAACTCGTAGCCCTGCTCGTTTTTAGACGACCGCACTTCTATAGTTTCCCGTCCGCCTGCTCCTCTTCAAGGTCCGCCAAGTACTTCTCCGCATCCAGAGCAGCCATGCAGCCGGTGCCTGCCCACCGTTAGTATCCTGGACAACCCTCACCGGAGCAATAAACACCACATACCTGCGCTCGTGATCGCCTGGCGATACCTCTTGTCCTGGACGTCTCCCGCCGCAAACACGCCCTTGACGCTAGTAAGTGTGGTACCGGGTTTCGTCACGACGTAGCCGTCCTCGTCCGTCTCGAGCTGGCCCCTGACCAGGTTCGTGGCCGGGTCATGGCCAATAGCATAGAACAGCCCGTTGGCCTCGAGCGTCTCCTCCCGGCCCGTGACCGTGTCCTTCACCACGAGATGGCTCATCAAGCCCTTGGCGTCGCCCTTGACCTCGACGCCCACGGTGTTGAACCGCACCGTGACCTTCTTATGGCTCAGCAGCCGCTTCGCCATGATACTGCTGGCTCGCAGCTTGTCGCGCCGCACTAGCACCGTGACGTGGCTGCCGTACTTGGTCAGGAACATGGCCTCCTCGGCCGCGGAATCGCCGCCGCCAATCACCACCAGCGGCTTGTTCCGAAATATGGGCACGGCCCCGTCGCACACGGCGCACGCCGAGATGCCGTTCTGCCAGTACTTGTCCTCGCCCGGCAGCCCCAAGCGGCGGGCGGACGCGCCCGTGGCCAGGATGACGGCGTCGGCCGTCATGACCGTGTCCGGGTTCCACTCGGTCGCGTACTCGAAGGGCCGCTTGGACAGGTCGAGGCGCGCGACCGTCTCGCTGACGATGGTGGTGCCGAAGCGCTCCGACTGGTTGCGCATCTTGTCCATCAGCTCTTGGCCTGTGATGGCCTCGGGGAAGCCCGGAAAGTTCTCGATCTCGGTCGTGGTCGTCAGCTGCCCGCCCGCCGCGATGCCGTTGGCCATGAAGCCCTCGTAGAGGACGGCTGGCGCGGAGGTGCGTTAGCGTGTGTGTGGGTTGAGAAGGGGTGGCCTAGAGAGGGGGAGCGGGGAGGGTAGGCTCACGCTTCAGCTCGGCGCGGGCCAGGTAGATGGCCGCGGTGTGGGCGGCCGGCCCGGAGCCGATGACGACGACCTTGCTGTGCATACTCCGCTTGCCAATTGTGTTAATCTCGTTCCGGTAGTAAGGGGTGCTCTTGTGTGAGAGCGTGGCGGCAGCAGCTACGGAGAGGCCGGTAGCGCTGGAGCGGAGGGTGCGTCTTATGTATGAGGAGAACAGCTTGACGGCTTGGGGGGAGGGTGAGCGAGGTTTTGTCGAGGCGATGTCCGGCGAAGGACTGGATGGCAGACGGATCGGAGTTGGGGCTTCTGGGCGGTTCTTGAAATTTATTATGAGTCGGCAAAAGCGTGGGTTGTTTTGATTCCAAAGCACGTTTTACTCAGCCAGGGGATGCGCCGAGAATCGCCAACCGTGGGGTCAATTCCCGAAATTTGTTCAGATGGAGGGGAACTCCGGGGATCCTTGAACGTGCCTGAATGCGGGTTAGGGTTATAATTGCCTGAGCCGACTGACTTTAAGGTACGGATACAAGAACAGAAACCGTCAATCCCTTCCGCCAACACCAATCACAGTTTACTTTGTCCCACCTGAGGAACAGACACGACCACTTTCCCCCAGGTCTCTCTGCTTCCCAGTGCCTTCAATGCGTTTGGGACAGCCTCGAGCCCGACAAAGTCTCTATCGGTGAACTCGGTGCCCCTGAACTTGCCCTCGGCGATCAGCTTCATGATGCCCTGCCACACCGTCACCACCGTCTCCCTCTCGTGGACGGCGTACTGCCCCCAGTGGATGCCCACGAGGCTGATGTTCTTGAGCAGCACCTTGTTCATCGCCACCTTTTCGATGGTGCCGGCGGCAAACCCGACAATCAGGATGCGGCCGTTCCAAGCCGTGCACTTGGTACTCTTGTCGACCATTCCGACGGGATCATAGACGATATCGACACCCCTGCCCCTGGGCGTCAGTTTCTTCACGGCTTCCGGCCACTTCTCGTCCCGGTAGTCGACAACGTGGTCGGCGCCAAACGATTTGGCGACCTCGAGTTTGCGCTTGGTGCCCGCCGTGGCGATGACGGTGGCGCCGAAGGCTTTGGCAACTGCGAGGTGTTAGCGTGCAGTGACTCGCTAAGGCGACGATGGCAGGTTACGACAGACCCTGAACGGCAGCGAGACCAACGCCTCCGGCAGCGGCATGCACTAGAACATAGTCTCCAGCTTTGACCCCGGCGCGGACAACCAGCGCACCGTAGCTTGTTGGCGCCGTCACGAATAGCCCAGCCGCTTGCTTGTAGCTCCAGCCTTCCGGGACTGGTAGCATGCTGACTTCTTTGGCCACGGCCTTGGTGGCATATGCGCCTTGTGTGGCCCCGAACACCCGGGATCCAACGGGGAATTTGGGCTTTTTGGAGTTGGGGGGAGTGGCCAGCACGACGCCGGCAAATTCGGCACCGGATACCCAGGGGAAGGCTTGGCCGGTTAGTTAGCAGTCAGTTGGACACTCGGGGGCGAGGGTTCCGTACGAGGCTGGTGCTGGTATTTGCCCTGTATCTGCAGTATGTCGAAGAAGTTCGTCGCTGCAGCATGCACCTCGATGAGGTACTCGTCAGGGCCCGGCTCCGGGTCCGGTAGCTCGGTTACTTCGAGCTCATGGGGCCCCTACAAGCGTCAGTTCGCGAACACGTATCTCCATGGAGAGACAGCAGCCGACAAAGTCGATTGGTGAACTCCTACCTTGACATACTGTGCCACCTGGATGCCTCTCATGGTGAACCTGTGCTGTAGGCAAACTGATTAGATAAAGGACGCCGAGGGAGGCGGACAAAATGGATTGGTAAGCGGAACAAATTCAGAGTAAAAAACAAATTAAAACAATGGGCGTACTCTGTGATCTCAACCCGTTACCCAGACTTGCCCGTCTTATACGCTGTCGTCCCCTGGTCGCTTATCCAGTGGAGGATCCAAGCCGCGGGGCTAGTTATCCGAGCCGAGGCACCGGTTCCGAAGCGCTAATTGGCTGTTCACCTTAGCCCACAAGGTGAACAACGTCGATCATCTTGGCAGACGCGGTCTTGGTCTTTCAGAACCCACCAAGCGCGACTGAAACCTTCAACCCAATCTTGATCCAACAATTCCACAATCTTTTCGCAATCCATATCGACTGCCGTTTCGTGAGCTCAGAAGCTGAACCTCAATATTCAAGCTATCAAGGAAGATACATCCGCAACTTCGACCGCCATCAACATGGCGACCGACACTTACCTCGGCGGAGCAACGCCAACCTCGCTCCTCGCCTCCCAGCTCCTCACGCACACATCGCCCTCCTACACCTTCACCTTCACTCCCTTTCTCCAACGCACCTACCAACACAGTCTGCGTTCCGACCGCCCAATATGCAAAGCCTTCCTGGCCGGCAACTGCCCGCTCAAATCCCGCTGTCCCGACCGACACACCCTGCCGCCCGGCGGAACCACCGCAACCACCCAATCCACCGGCCACGGACATCATCATCGAGAAGGCGGCGGCGGCGGTTTCGGCTCGCTAGTCTGCAAGCACTGGCTGCGGGGCCTCTGCAAGAAGGGCGAGACGTGCGAGTTTCTGCACGAGTACAACCTGCGCAAGATGCCCGAGTGCAATTTTTTTGTGCGCAACGGCTACTGCAGCAACGGCGACGAGTGCCTGTACCTGCATATCGACCCGTCCTCCCGCCTGCCGCCCTGCCCCCACTACGAGCGCGGCTTCTGCCCGCTCGGCCCGCGCTGCGACAAGAAGCACGTGCGCCGGCGCATGTGCGAATACTACCTCGCCGGGTTCTGTCCGGATGGCAAGGCGTGTCGGATGGGGGCCCACCCGAAATGGGTCAAGGAGGAGGATTTGGAGAGGCCTAGAGTCAAGGAGGAAAAAACGGAGGATAGTGGGGTGCAGGAGGAGAGGGAGAGGGAGATGCAGATGCATAGAGAGAGGGAGATGGAGAGGGCCGGGAGGGACAGGGATAGGGATGGAGACCGGGGCCATGAGGGCCGGCATAAGGATCGGTTTGGTGGAGGGAGAGGCGGGCGGTGGCGGGGGAAGGGTGGACGGTTTCGGGGGAGGGGTCATTAAAAGGAGCCGTTCAGATGTCCACGAGGCAAAGTATCGGGTCAGATATTGTAGAGGCATAATATGTATTGGCCCTATATCCATGGTTCATCCATAGGCGGGTTCGTGAGTTACTTTTTTATCGAGCGAGGTGTGCCTGTACCGGCCATGATCCAATATACCCAACCTAGCCAACCCCAATTTAACCCTCCTTCCAAACATTTGCATCACCAACATGCTCCAGAGGCGGGACCGCAACGAAGGACTCACTCCCTACAACCTCCCCATCACTGCCCGCCGACTTCGGACTCCCGAACGCTGATGAACCATTTCCCTGCCACATGGCCAGCTCATCCACCCTCCGAATCCCCATCATCCACGCCACCAACCCCCTCGGCACCCACCGCCCAACGAACCCGTAGACACTAGCCCCCAAGCCCACCCGCACGGTACCGCTCGTGATGGACCCGTCAATAACGTCAAACACGGCATTGTGGAGCTCCCGGAGCGAGCTACCCTTCAGCCCGCGTACCTTGCCAGCGCTGATGGCCGACCCAGACTGCGAGACAAAGTTCTTCCCGTAGGCTTGCCTCGCCGAATCGGGCCACGGCAGCTCCTCAGCGTGTTCGGGCGCCGGGAGCAAGCCGTGCGGGTGGAGCAGGCGAGAGTTGGCCGCGGGGGTGAAGCCCGCAAAGTCGAAGGTGCCTAGCTGTATGTGCGTCACGGGGATGCCGAGGGGCCGCAGCTCGGCGGTGAGGACTTCGGTGAAGGCTGAGAGGGCCGAGCACACGGTTGCTTCGGGAGCGTGAAAGGGCGGGTTTATGGACGAGATGATGGAGGGCGTGAAGACGAGGACTTTGGGGGTCGGTCGGTCTTTGTCGGAGGGCGGAGCGAGGCGGGCGGTTAGGAGGGGGAGGAAGGCCTGGATTGTGAGGATCGGCTGGAGGAGGTGCGTGTTGAAGAGGTCGGCGAAGCTGGAGGGTGGGATCGTGGCGATGGGCGAGGTTTGGTAGTTCAGAGAGGGGATGAGGATGACCGCTTTGAGGGAGAGATGGTGCTTCTTCCCGTTGGGAATAGCGGCGTGGGGTGATTGAAGATAGCGAGCGAAGGTGTCGATCGAATTGCCGGCGCTTGGGGGCTGCGGGAGTTAGCGTTAGGGAGAGCCTGGTGACGGGGAGTGTACATACATCAGTAATATCTATGCTCAGTGGCCGGATGTCGGGCCGCGCCAGGTTCTGCACCATGACTTCGTCCTCGTGGCTGTTGGACACAATAAAGACGATGAAACCTTTCCTCTCCAGATCCAACGATAGCGACCTTGTCAGGGGCAGGGCCGGGGAGCCGGCAATGACGACAACATCCATCCGGCCGCCACTGCGGGCTCGTCTCGCCCGCCGTGTCTTTCTCCATCGCGCTGTGCTTCGGTACGTCCTATAGGCAACTACGCCAGTCGTCACAACGATGAAGCTGACTAATATCTTGTGCCTCGAAAGCCAATTCTGGACCCGTTCGAGGGCGGATGTGGGAACAGTGATGATTGCGGGCGGCGGGGGTGGTCGTGGGCGGAACTGCTCGGGCACCCACTGCGACTTAGCGAGGGTGTCTCGTAGTGTCCCGGCTATCTGGTCGACGTGCTTGTTCACAACGTCGGCAACATCTTGGGAGTACTTCTGGATTTCGTTCGGTAGGGACGATAGCTGAGATGACAGCGCGTCAGTGGGTTGCCCTAGCGATAGAAGATCACTCTGATGACGCGACAAGGGGCAGAGAGTCATACCACGTCCAGGAATGCCTGGTCGTCCGCAGACATGATGAGGCCGGCACCTGTCAGTCGGCGATGTAGCTACCGTCCACTGGGAGAAGGAGATGCGTGTTGCTGTAGCGGAGCTGCGGTACCAATGAACTGCCGTGCCTGAAGAGTCCAACAAGGTGGAAAAGGCTGCCTTTATCGGGCCCGGGTTTGTTTAGGTTCTCGACTTATCGGCGGATCTCGGCACCTGATCAAACGTCATATCCCTGTCAGCTCAGGATTTACGGATCCGTACATCTGTAAGTCAGAGAAGCTTCCTGATGAGGCTAGATCGGGATGAATTTATTACTATCAGAGAAGTGATCCTGGAATCCAAATTCCAGTCTTTCTCAACCTCCCTTTCTTCTCACCACTCAGCACACAAATTCAAAACCACCTGCGTCCACAGATCTAAAGAGGTACTCCCTAAATCTTCCTCGCCATCACCCTCAGCCGCACATAACTCAACATATGCCCTCCCCCGGGCTGCCTGCAGACCACCTCCAACACCTCAACCACTTCCCGAATACACTGCTCCCTCTCCCCCTCAGGCACAACCTCAAACCACTTCTTCCCCATCAACCTCACCCACCCCTCCACCCCTCCCCGATCAGCCGCCGTAGGCCTCCACTCCCTCTCCGCCCTCTCTACCTTCCACCCGCCGACTCTCACCTCCAACATATCCCTCACCCATCCTTCGTCGGGGAAAAACCAGGGGTCCGCCTCCTGCGCGCGCGCAAGCCCGACCCGGCGGCCGACGACCGAGAGCAGGGCCGCTCGGATCTCGGGCACGTTGCCCAGTCCGCCCATCTCAAAGACGAAGGTGCCACCGGGAGCGAGGGCGTCTCGCACCCCGCGAAAGACGGCTTCCCGGGTGGCGGGCGGGCGGAGGATCCAGTGGAGGGCTGCGTTGGAGAACGCCTTGGTGAAGGTTGCGCGCTGCAGGGAGCGCGTGGAGGTGAGGGTTGTTGCGTCGAGGACTGGAGGGGAAAATAGGGTGAGTTTGAGGCCGTTGAGTGGGTCGTTGAGTGGGTCGATGAGTGAGTGTGGTTAGGAGACGGAGTGTGTAAGGGAAGAAAGAGGAGTAGGTACCTTCAAAGGTGCATTTATCTGAGAGACCGGCTGACGCTGCTGCTGCTTTTGCGGCTGCGATCATGGCCGGGGAGCTGTCGATGCCGTGGAGCTGGCCCGAGCCTTCGGAGAGGATGCGTGCCATTTGTAGGTTGAGGACGCCGTCTATATGGCCATGGTAAGCGGTGTACCCAATGAAAGGTTGGTCATGGAACGATCTCTCACCACCGCAGCCGACATCGAAGATCACGTCGTCCTTCTGCGGGTCCAGCCATTGTATAACCTTGGTAGCCAACTTGGGCACGAAAGAGGCAGCGTTTTGGTAGGCCTGCTCCCGTCAACGACCTGGCCAAGTGCTGAATGCCGTGTTCATGGGCAGATGGTTGACGAGGATGCCACTGACCTCGGAAGACCAGTTGTCCTTCTGTTCAGCTGCCATGTTGTCTGCTGTCTGGCTGGAGTTGCTCGAGACGAGAGGATCGTAGCTTGGTGCTGAGTGTGCAGGAGTTGAGAATGGACATCAGGGAACTCCAGGCCCTTTATATCCTCTGCCCGACGCCTTAGAAGCCACACATTCATCGTCCGTGTAAACACAGCTACATCTAGATGCATGAGGCGCTTGGGTGGTTTCATCGAGGCCGATGTCGGCGCTTCAGGGGCAACCACTCGCTCGGAGGGCCGTGATGGTTCGACATTGCGACAGATCAGGCAAGGAGACTATGACAAATAAATTAAAAATCCCTTCGTCAAACCACATCAAGCTGGCTATTCATGCTCCTCCGGTCTCGCTGCCCGACGCTACCTCACCCCGATCATTCTCTTCCGATACGCTTACATTATCCCCCACTAATCAAGATCATCGAAACCCATTAGCTGGTACTTGTCATCTCCCAGCGCGTCTTCCAGTCTCTTCATGACTGCTAACACCTTCTCCTCTTCGAGTCTGCGGCCCACGACCTGAACTCCTACGGGCAGCCCGTGCATAGCTGCGGCATCGTAGTGTTTGTAGGCGCCACGCGCAACCCTGTTCAGTTTCTTGACATTGAAGGATGCAGGCAGCTTGTCCAATGCCTTATCCACGTGGGTGACGGGGAGGACGCCGGCTGAATAGTCGAGCTGGATAGCATATCAGCGACGATTTCTGTTACCCTGCGCTTGGCCGAGACTCACGAGGTTAAACAGAAAGGTATATCCGCAGCTGCTCACGGCATAGCGCATTCCGTCGTGCGGCAATGCAGGTGTCGCATTTGGCGGCGCGATGATGATGTCCAGTCCCTGCTCAATCCACCAGTCAAACCACCTGGCCCGGTAGATCTCTCTCTGGCTGACCAGTTTCCAGTTCTCAAAGGCTGACTGCGCTCGCCAATGCCTGACAAGCCCTGCCCAGACGTGATCTCGTTGCACATACTTCACCCAGAGATAGTAAAGATACCTAACCGGCGTCCACATGGCAGCCAGTTTCCTGAGCTGCGAAGCCCCTGGGTCGTTCCACTCCCCGAACCGCCTGAACGACTCAAACATCTGACAGCCGTCCGCATTCAGCAGCAGCGAAGCAAGCCTCAAACCCTCGTACATATCCGGCGCTCCATCCATCTCCACCATCTCACACCCTTGCCTCTTCAAGGCCTCCTCCGCCATGCCCAGCGCCCTCTTACACGCCGGGCTCGGCTCAACCACCCCGTCCGTCCTCAACACGCCAACCCTCAACTTCCTCCCAACATCCCCAAACTCCCTTTCCATCTCTCCCCTCCACGGCAGCGGATGCACCGTATAATCATACCTCCATGGCCTCATCTCCCCAAGCACCACCTTCGTAAAGTACGTCAAATCCCCCAACGTCCTCGCCATCGGACTATACACGCTCGGCACCCCCTCCTGGCCGGGCATGCTCGTCGCAATCCCCGCCTTAGGCCACCTCCCCGTCGAGCACCGTATCGAATAACAACCCGACCAATGTGCCGGCACCCTGACGCTCCCAGCTACATCACTCCCAATCCCAATCCTCCCGCCCATCGCCAGCAGCGCCGCCTCCCCACCCGTGCTCCCGCCCGGCGAATATCCCTCCTTATGCGGGTTCACACACCGCCCCCAAACTTCATTCGTGCTCTCAAAACTGAGCAGGGTAATCGGCAGGTTGGTCTTGACGTATGGCACCGCGCCGGCGTCTTTCAGCATCCGCACCATCGGCCCGTCCCGCTGGCCCATGCTCTTGTTGTTCCCCACAAACAACGAGTACCCTACCGTGGCATCGTACCCGCCCACCACCACCGTGTCCTTCAGGCTCACGGGGATACCGGCCAGCGGACCTTTGAGGTTGATCTCGCCGCCGCCACCATCACCATCCTTGTCGCCGCTGGCAGCAAGCCAGTCCTGGGCCGAGGGGAGCAGGATCTCGGTCAGGCAGTTTGTGCGGGCGTGGGCTTTCAGCGCCAGCTTGCCGTACGTGCGGAGGATGGACAGCGGGGTGGTGGTCCCCGCGTGGACGGCCGCGACGAGGGATTCGATGGGCGCCGTGAGGGTGGCCTTGTCTGCGGCGGTGAGCGGGCCGTGGTAGGCGGTTAGAGAGGCGATGAGGCGGGCGCGCTCCGTTTGTTTGAGGCGGCTGAGAAAAGGGTCCAGTTAGGTAGGTTCTGGGAAGTGGTAAGTTACCTACGGAGTGGAGGTAAAACGTACCAATCATGCCTGTGCAGGAGGTAGTCGAGGAGGAACATGTTTGCGCGTCTGCAAGTGGATATGGTAAGTTGGCACTGGTGATGTGGGCTCAGACTCTCAAAATGTTGTGTACCGTACCGTTGAAATCAGTGGTGATCGTGAGGAACTTCAGAATGGCGGTGTTGAATTCGGCCCCCGGATCTCCGACAGTTCAGGATACCAGTCAAAAGTCGCGCAACAGGGGTCAAGCCATGACCAGAAGCTTCACGAGATGATTGGAATGTCGAAGGGACAAATGAATACAAGTACCTGGCAATCGGTGTAAGTGATAAGATAGCGGGATTGGAGCAGGTCGGGTGATGTGTGGGGAAGCGGAGCGGGCAGGCTTCCCCGCATGCCGTATCGCTCCGCTTTACCCCTTCCGACAGAGCTCCACGGCCGAGCCGGCTTCCTGAGCCGACTGGAGCCGGTTATTAGCGCTGCCAGCCCTCAAACTCCAAGCACAACCGAAGTCGGGCTCCGACAACGTCTCAGAACATGTCCAAGTGGGAACCGTTGAAGTCTGTGCCATACCTCAGATAAACACAGTAAACCCCCGACTCAGGTGTGCCACTGCAGCAAACATCCCCAAATTCAGAGTTCGATCAACTCCTTGCCCACACCACCAGATGCCAGACAACCGGCCGTTCTGAAATAGCATAATGAGTGACTTGGCCGAGAGGATTATGCAGCACAAATCACCCCCCATCCCTGCTGGCATTTTTCCCCCGATCTGAACCGTAACGCCTTCCTTTCCTTTGTAATTTACATGTCCACGTTATCGTAGCAAACACTCCCTAGACGGGCTCACGCCTTGGATCATCGCTGTTGCTGCTTGACTGCGGCCCCCCACTGACCAGCGTCGGCGCAATCCGTCTTCGCTTGGCGTTTTGGTGACTACTCGCTGAATCATCCGCCCCGCCGTCAGTCGTCTCCCTCTTGGTGCCCGATGGGGCGGCGAACGATGCCCGCGGCGTCTCGGGCGGCGTCGTGATCGGCACGCCCACGACCTTACTGGAGTTAGTCGCTGCGATGCTGGGAACCTGCCCAGCTATCAGGGGCGGATTGCTAAGCACGCCCGTTTGCGAGGCCGAAGACTGGGTGATGGTCGAAGCGTTCGACATGGACCGTGCCGGGGACGCCGCTCGAGGGTTGACAAAGGATGCCGTTACCATCGGCGGGGACGGGGCCGTGAGGGAGCTAGCCGAATCCCGGTGTCTGTGGTGCGAGCCATTTGGGAACGGAGACGGCGGCGCAAACACCAAAGTTGGAGTCGGCACTGGGGTATTCTGGCTGGACGAAGAAGGCACAGGGGGTTTTGGCGGCCCTAGTTCTCCCGTATAGACGGTGCCAAGCTCGCCAGGCGCGAAAGATAGTATGGAACAGAACCCGTCCGAGGATGAGATCAGTAATGTCAAGCCGTCACTCGACCTTTGAAGGATGTTAGCCTTGCTCAGACACCAGCGGGGACATAGTGACCTACCAAGTCAAATCTGTGAAGGTGGCGCAATGAAGATTGCTCACGATGCAGATGGGGGTGTGTTGCTGCGTGTCATAGAGCAGCACTGAATCTTGGGTCGCCACAGCGTACACCATCCGATACGGCAAAGCGAACACGGACTTTGGCCCCTGACCTTGTACGCCTGTTTCCAAATTCAGCGTCTTAGATATAGACGCAGAGGGCTCTGCCACGACCGGCGGCGGCGGGGGTTCCATAACCGATGCGGCCGGCGACGGCTTGGAGAGAGGCTCTGGAAGAGGCGGAAGTGGTTCCTCGGCAGAAGAGGTGTCGATAGTGATGTGCTTGGTGACGGGCGCAGATTGTCTCAGGGTGTATACTACCGGAGAGCACCGCACAGCAACCGACGGCTTCTTATGGCCGGGCAAATGCGCGATCGGTGGCTTGTTAATGCCGCCGCGCGTATATATGTAAACCGTGTTGATGACCTCGTATGTGGGCTTTGACCCCTCTACTTGATGCTGGGTCTGGTATTGCCCAGCAGGGGTGAGAAGGAGACTTCCGTCGGGGGTAAATGTCAGCCTCCGAAAAAAAGACGTCAGCGTCTCGTTCGCGTAGAGGCTGGCGTTTCTCATGCCGAGGCTTGTGTTGTTGAGATGAGGCTTTGGAGATGCCTCAATGGGCATGATAGCGGGCAGCGGCATTGATGGGGCAGGCGATACTGAGCGCCTCGACGACGAAAAAGACGACTTGCGACTGTGGGTGATGACGTTGGGTGGATTCATCGGCAGCGCAACCGATGGTGGGGTCCCCGGGGCCGAGGGAGCAGGCGAACCAACAGAGACGCCAGGCACAGCGTCGACCGCCGCGAGAACCGATCGGTATCCTATCTCGGGCGGTGCTGGGCTGCTGGAGGATATTCGACGAGGCGGAAGGTCTGTCTTGGCATGGCTGGCGAGCTTCGAGGGCTTGTCATCGTGGCTGTGGAGCGTGTACTGGCCGTCCTTGGTCCTTAGAGAATAAATGTGCACCGAACGGTCTGAAGACTGTGTCGCAATATACTCGTTCAATGGGTCCCAAGCCACGCCCTGGACATAGTGGCTGTGTTCGGCGATTTGCCGCACCAAAGTTCCTACAATGTCCGGTCAGCAAACCTCTCTGGCGAGTTTCTTGGGGAATGCCCACCTGTCCCAGCATTGTATATCCGCGCCACGTTATCCATGCTTCCGATGATGAAGAACTGGGCATCCGGCGACCATGCTAGGTCGTAGATCTCGGTCCCCAACGACCGGCACATGTGCTTTGTCCGCCACGTCTCTTTGTCGTCGAGGCCTTCGGAGCCAAATGTTGGGTGGTGAGTTTCCGACCGTACCCATAGGATAACGTTTCCATCGTCGCCAGCAGATGCGAGTAGTTCTCCTAGAGGGTATTAATCGGACTGACGCGGAATTGTGCGCCGGTTGGTAGTTGGCTCACCCTTGGGGGCCCAGCGGACGACGTTTACTGCCTGAGTGTGTTTCGAGAGTGTCGCGAGGTAGTCGACCTTCTGGCCGTCGGCGTCGTCTTCCACCTTCCACAGCTATGGCTGTGTCAGCAGTGCTCCAACAGATCCTCCAGTTCCTCGTGCACCACGCAATCACCTACTCGAACATTGTTGTCGCCGGCGCCCGTCGCTAAGCGGCCTTTGCCGCTGGGTTCAAAGTGGGCAGAATAGATCGGGTACGGATTGCTATTGTCGTGGTGCCAGTTTATGATCAACGGAGTCGCCTTCATCTTGAGGATGGGTCGATTGTAGAGCCGTTACCATAGAGGTGTTGATTGAACCGCTGATCCCGATCCGCAGCTGATGATTTCGAAGGTTGGTCGGTTTCGCAGTTGAAGTGTGGTAGTCAAGGTGTGTTGAAACTCGCCAGATGTTTCCCAAGAGATCAATTGACTAGAACCTTGCAAGAGTGTTTGAATTGTTTGGATTGGGATCGTCCCGGTCAACGGGTGTTGGTAGGGACCGATGCTGCAGGGGAGCGACTCTTTAGTGTGGGACAGGAGCTTCTTGTTGATTGCGCTGCGGCGTGTGGCTGCTGTAACTCGACTGCACTTGGATCGGACAGAGAGTTGGCTTTACACCAAAACGAATGTCAGATGCATGAGCAGGTATGGGTTCCAACGTAAGGCACAGCTCAGAGGCGATTCTTGAATCGTGGTGCAGCAGGACAGTTCACCCCGTCCACGTCGATCAGTTGGATTCCACTGACCCTGGGCAGCACGATGGGACCACTTCGAGTTCGAGCTTCGAAGGTCAATGGGTAACCTAGCCAATCAGAGCGAGGCATCTCCTCATCGAGGCCCACTGAACTGAGGTTCTCGGAGTCAAGCTGCTCCAACATTCGCACCGAGATCCATTGCATCAAAAGCACACCTCCTTCCGAGTGCTTCCTCCTCTTCAGAGTGGCCGTCACGGAGCTCGGGCTGTTAACTGCTGAATTGTGCCGGCCAACGATACCGACCTAATTTCCTAAACCTTCCACGTTACTCTTGAGCAAGCGTACGAGTAGGTAGGTATGTGATGTACAGTTCATCACGTAACATTACAGTTTCGCATTACCCGTATTTTACAAGTCTACTGTAACTCCAGCCTGGACGGCCTGTGCATCACATGGCCTTGTTTGCAAGCCAGTACCGGAATCCAGCTGGAGTGACACATCTCATCCCTGGCGACATTTTACACCAGCAAAACTGTGCATGACGAAGGTTTCAACTTTGGACAACCAAACCTTCACCGCCCCAACAAAGACGCGAGCTTCTGGGCCCCACGATGGGTCTTGGGACTTGTTGCAGTCCTGGTTCGCTTGTTGGGCAGTGGTTTTCTTGTTCCCTGCCGTTGGCATGGATGTAGCCCCCTGGGCGAGCCAGCCGTTACTGTGTCCCACGCAATGCTCCGGCGCCGGTTGATGTAGTTGTCGTCATCGTCGTCGTCGTCATCTCAAATCTCATACGCCATGTCTCAGCTCCCCGGATTTGCGACGACAGCACTCGACGCCAGGGTGCACCGGGAGGAGACCCTGACTCTAGCCCGGAGAGCAACACACCGAGACAATGCGAGGACAGCCGCTCCAGCAACACCCAACAGTGCCCCTCTCAATGCGGGCCGGCGGCGAGTGGTCCTCCCAGACCCGATTGCTTTCAAGTGAGTTTGTTCCCTCATCCAGCAGCAAACAGAGCGCCCCGCTGACAAATCTTTGTGCAGGTTCCTAGAAGGCGATCCCTCGGTTGCCGTTGTCGAGCGCAGACACGTCCTCCCGGGCTACGAGCTGTACCTGGTCGAGCAGTGGGCATGCTCGCGCCAGTCGCCCACGCTGGTCATCGCGACCTACACGGGTGATCCGAAGCACTCAGTTGTCGTTGGCGTTCTGGAGGTGCCTGCCGACGAGGAGGACTGGTCGCCGAGGCTGAGAGTCTACTTCAAAGCCATACACCAATACCATGCGCGGCCAAAGGAGACGGAGCTCGGAGAGCTCATGGTCACCAACCTCAGCAGCTTCCCCTCGGCGCTGACTGTGATAGCCGTTCCCGAGGGCGACATACGGAAGCATCGCCAAGTGTTCATCGTCAATGAGAACTTGAAGCGCTTGGGCTGCGCTGGGCGGTCCGGCTTGACCCTCACCGAGCCGACCTCGGCTACGCAGGCAAAGTTCATGCAGATGTACAAGACCAGCGACAGGATACCCTTCGTGCAGGCCGTGCTGGAGCTCGTCAAGCTGTGCCAGGTGGCCCTCTTCATCTTTGGCATGCTCGAGGAGGAGTACATTGACGGTCTGCTCTGCGACGTGACCGAAAAAGCGATCAATGACTGGTGGACCGAGATCGGATCAGAATACTTCAACATTGAGCCGACAGACGGCATCCTAGGGCCGACCACTGTGGCCGCCCTGCTCGGTACCCTGCTAGGATCAAGGAACCGCCTCAGCTACTACGGCGCTCCCGTGTCCAAGGATGCATTCGATGTCGAAAGCATGAAAAAGGGCATCGGCACGTTTCAGAAGGCCATGAGGCTGGAGCGGACACGGCGCCTCGACCGGCAGACCCTACTCAAACTGCACATCCTAACTGCCAAGGCGGCGGCGAGAGAAGGCGGTTGGGGTGTGCAAAAGGCAGTCAAGTCCACGGTCGCGGAAATCGGCGGGAAACGGGGCGAGCTTGTCATAGGCATGGTGGGCGGCCGCGACAAGGCGAACATCGGAGACATCGAGACGCTTGATCTGGCAAAGTTCATCGGTTTGGCATATGGCGAGAGGCCGAAATGGCTCTGGCACGGAAAACCGAGGAGGACGCTCCAAGAGAGCGAACAGGACCATCCCATGTCAGGGTTTGGGAAGGAGCTTAGAGACGAAATAGGGCCACAGTTGGGAGGCAGGCGGACACAGTCAGCGCCGGTAGAGGACGAGCTCGAGGTGAAGAAGAGGGAAGAGTCACCCGGAATCCTCTCACCTCCGCAAGCGTCCCATTCGCTTCCTATCGCAGGCGAGACTCCCAGCGGCGACCGAGACGCGTTGCGGAAGACTGTCTTCAAGAGCGTCGCGGGCAAGGTAAGCGACGCCCGGTCAGGGCTGGGACGTATTCGAGACGCCGTGGGAGGCGGCTTGAGAGGGCACGTCAGCCGGCCATCCAAGGACGAGATCCCGGACACGGCAATGAGCGGGTACTCGAGCTCCAGTATCGCGATGCTGGCGCATTCATCGACCTTTGTGACGAGCCCGGTTGCTGTTGGTAAGGCGTTTACCTGGAAGATCAATCCGGATGAGTATATTGCCTCACTTACAGGCAGGGAAGCCGTCGAGTCGGCACCTGCGATACCTAACGCGGACACCAATGGGGCTGATGAGCAGTCGGCGGCAGCCACACATGATGCTCGGCCGCCTCAGGAGCAGCTTGACAAAATCGAAGAGAAGGAACAGTTAGAATCCAGGCTTCCTGAAGTGGCCAAGGAGGTTCGCAGCATCAACATCTCAGTCGCAGGATCTGTGGTGGCCGATGGAGACCTCGAAGGGCGAGTGCTGGCCCTGGAACGGAGCTCAGACGGGCCCCTCCTATCATTGCAGCGCCGTCACAGCTACGACTGCGTCGCCTCCATCCACCAGCAGCCCAACGAAGCCCGCTACCCGCGGCGGCTATCCTTCAGCGCGGCCGAAGACGCCATCCTTTGCTGGGAAGAATTTATCAACCTCGCTGACACCGCCTCACCGACAGGTGCCGCCAGCAACAACGACGTGCCAGACCTCCACGCCCAAGCTGAACTGTCATACAGCCTGTACACGCGCCTGCAGCTGCTCCAACGCGACCTCGCGCCCTGGGTATCCAAACAGGTCGCGTCCGTGACCGCCTTGGACCAGATCCTCGACTCGCAGCAGGGCGAGCTCCAGCAGCTGCTCCACGATGCGGACGAGCGGTACCAGCGGGCGCGGCACGGCGCGGGGGAGGTGGTGGCCGAGGAGCGGGCGCGGCTGGCCGAGGCGGTGAAAGATGTTGAGATGCTGGCCGCCAAGCTCGAGTACGAAATTGGGGCGCTCGTTTCGCGGGTGGCCGAGGTCGAGGACGGGGTCGCGCAGTTTGGGCGCCAGGTCGAGGATGTGGAGAGACGGGCGGAGGAGTTGAGGGTCGTGCTAGAGACGGAGAGCTGGGTGCATTGGTTTGTGAGAACGGTTACGGGGATTGGAACGGGGCCGAATATAACTAGGGAGGTGTAGCCATACCTCGGCTGGTGGGTGGCTATCATTACGTTGTGTGATGGCTTTGAGTGAGGTGAATGGCGTCGCAAGGATTGTACTAAGTATTTGCTGCTGGGGGAGCAATGTGCAGACACTTGATGGGACAGAGGATTGTTTTGGCACGCCGGCGGAGAAGAGATGCCATGAATTAGCCGTCCGAACTCTGGCCACGCCGGACCTCTAGTTACTCTTCTTCGGGTATGTATTGTACATGTCACATCTGCTCCAAACCCCGGGAACTCCCCCCTCCCGGTTGTTCCCTGGCTCCCAGTGTGATCGAACCGCCAAACCAATAGAGTTAGTCAGAACCAAGCCAAATCAACACAAACACTGCTTCCCCGACCGTCAGTCCCGGTAGTATTATCCAAGCACACATCATCAGCCTCTGGCGAGTGCATGGCTCGATATCCCCTAACAAACACAACCCCATCTCACTCCAACCCTCGACTACCGATCCTCAAAGGAGTATAATGTATCCATTCCTCCATCTCCCTCTCAACGATGCATATCAAGCCCGAACCGCCTCGATCATAACCATGTGTATGTCGAGTATGTAGGCTTTCGGTATGTGTGTTTACATCCCCCCACCGAACCCCCTCGCGGCGCCCTCCTTCTGCAGCTGCTCCGAAATGGTCTGGTGCGCCTCAAAGAACTTGGCCGAGCACCGGTCCAGGCACACGGCCTCGCCCTTGGACAGGTCGCCCTCGCGGTAGCTGCGGTCAACGCACTTGGCCGTGCAGACTTTGACCATGCTGAAATCACCCGACTGGTATTAGCTCCATTTTTTGGATTGTTGTAAAGAATAGTTAGGAAGTAAAGGCTTACCGCGAGTGCATCTCGGCGAACACCTTGTACTCGTTTTCTACCGCCGCGATCTTCTCGGCTGAGGTGGGCTGGGAGCGGCCGAAGCCGAGGAAGGACATTTTGAGTGGTATTTTAGAGGGGTTTGTTGGTAAGGGCGTTGGGTGTGTGTCTTGAAGATCCGTCGACGTTGAATCTCAGGAGCTGGGTAGTTATTCTGGCGACTATGGAAGTTTGCGGTCGTTGTGAATGTTTGTTCGTTATCGGCCTGTCTTTGATGTGGATTTGTCCTGCTTCCTGCTATCGGGCGGTTTTGCTCAGCATGCCAAGTCGAGGGCGGATAATCTTCGGAATAACATACATGCCAAGACATCCATTTGTGGTGCTGATTGGCGATCTCAACCGGCAGTCAGAAAGTTCAAAGTTGCTCTCAAGTCTCATCAACTCCCAATTTGAGCTTGTAGATTGCATCTGGCTGCCTTTTGGGCTGGCACAAGACTCCGGAGCTCATCACCAAATACCCAAATTGTGAGTGATATAGCCCTCCCTCTTCCGCTGTTCCTGTCTACACTAGCTCCTATGATGAACCGCAATATCAAAGAACCGTTGCGACTGACGCGCCTGCGCGCATGATCACACTGCCAATTTTCTGACTTCCCTTGCTCTACGTCCCTCGCATGTCTCTTCGCCTATCAAGCCTAAACATATGCTGACCTCAACCAGACGATGCAATGAGGCCGGCCTCGAGTCTCCAGTTCCTGCGCCCATACCTCTGGAAGCCCGCGGCGCCGCCAACCCCGGCCTACCTGCGCTTCTTCCACCTGGCCCGGCAGCAGGAGCTGGAGCAGGCCAACGCCCTCAAGTACCCCCGCCTCCGCCACAATGGCCCGCCCATGCGCATCCCTGACTTCCGCGTCAAGTACGCGGACATTGAGCAGGGCGTCGTGGCCGAGGAGGAGGTGACACTCCACGGCCGCGTCGAGTCGGTCCGCCGCGCCGGCAACAAGCTCGTCTTCCTTGACCTGAAAGCCGAGTTCGAGCGCGTCCAGGGCATCTGCAACTTCGGCAAACTCTCGGACGGCACCACCCTGCAAAGCCTAAAGCAGCTTGCCCGGCTGCTCAACCGGGGCGACATCATATCCATCAGGGGGCGGGCAACCCGGACACCGGCTGGCGAGCTCACCATCCAGGCCACCCACCTGCCAGAGGTGCTGACTCCCAGCATCGTGCCGTTGCCGACCAAGCTCGTCGACGAGGAATCACGGACACAGTATCCCCACCTCGACATGCTCGTGAACCAACGGACCACAGACATCCTGCGCCTACGGTCCTACATCATCCGGTACCTGCGCGATTTCTTTCAGGAGCGGGGTTTTCTCGAGTTTCAAACGCCCATCCTCGCCGCAGACGCCAGCGGCGCTAACGCGCGTCCCTTCACCGTCTCTGCGAAGACTGTGTCGAAGGACCTCTCCCTCCGAATCGCCCCGGAGTTGTGGCTCAAACGCCTCGTAGTAGGCGGCGTGGACCGCGTCTTTGAGCTCGGCCCTGCCTTCCGCAACGAAGGCATCGACCAAACCCACAACCCAGAATTCACCATCTGCGAGTTCTACCACGCCTACGCCAACCTATCGGACCTCATCTCCCTCACTGAAGACCTCGTCCGTGGCGCAGCCGCCCACTGCCAGTCCCTCATCGCCACCAAACTCACTTCCCTCCCACCCATCGACCTCGCGGAATTCCAGAACCCCTTCCGGCAAGCTGAATTCATCCCCGCGCTTGAATCCGCACTCGGCTTCACCCTCCCGGATCTGGCCCTCCCCACCGCCCTGCAGGACCTCCTCACCCTCCTGACAACACACAACATCCCCCTCGACAACATCGACAACAACGATTCGCCGACATCCTCGCTGTCCCAGCTCCTCGACCGCCTCGCCGCAAGCTACATTGAACCGCTCTCAGCGACCGCCCCGCTCTTTGTAACCCATCACCCCCTCTGCATGTCCCCACTCGCCAAGTCCTTCACCTGCCCCAAGACAGGCCAGCAGGTCTCGGCGCGGACGGAACTGTTTCTGGGCGGCCGCGAGCTGGCTAACATGTACGAGGAGGAGAACGACCCTTACGAACAGCGGCGCAAGTTCCTGGAGCAGGCTGCTGCCAAGGTCAAGGAGGCGGCGGATCCCGACGGTGTTGAAAGTGAGCCAGCCATTGACGAAGGCTATGTCCATGCGCTCGCGTCGGGATTGCCGCCTACGGGCGGGTGGGGGTGTGGTGTCGAGAGGCTGGTCATGTTGTTTAGCGGGACGAGGAGGATTGGGGATTGTTTGAGCTTTGGGAATCTGAGGAATGTGGTCGGGTTGGCGGCTGCTGGGAGTAAGGGTGTGGTGGGAGGGTTGGGCCAGGCGAAGGGGGAGGCAGGGGTAGGGGAAGTGGGAAAGGGAAGACAGGCGTGAGGGACGTGTTCGAGTTGTAAAGTATGTACGAGTAGTGTACGGCAGAGAAAGACATAGAGATCTAGACACCTGTTGTTGGAATGTATAACGGTTCCGGATGACTGAGTCGGGGAGCATGGAGCACCGTCATCAGTTGAAGCCGTCACGCCTGCAGACGCAGACACTATCCGGACTTCGGGTTGATGGCCTGTTGTTGCTGAATACGTACGAGCCCATTATCGTGTCCGTCTACGGGTACGCCAGTCGATGGTTCAACACAATGTGAGTCTCAACATCTATCGTTGTCGGAAGTCTCACACTGAGCCTGCCCACATGCCACGGAGGGTGTAGGCCGATGAAGACCATCAGAGTCCTCCATACCCGGCCCAGTGCGCCATAAAAGGCACGAAGCACCTTCATCGCTCCCGTCAAAGAAGCCCGAATCAAAATGCGTCGTGTGTCCCCCGTCCATGGCGATGCCCTCGGCCAGCGGCTCGGCGGACTCGGCCCGCCTCCTCGCTTACCCATCCTCACCATCCCACCCGATAATGAGTGACAGTCACCTTCAATAGGAACAGGAGGCTACTGAGAAAGCTCTTTAGATATGTCTTGGCCCGCCGCGGAATATCGGATGCCCAACAACGTCCGCCTCCCTGACCCTCCCTCCGGCCCCAAACAGTTAGGCAAAGACGGACACATCCACGCCCGAGGGAAAGTCCAACCACCACAACACCAAGCGGCATCGTGTGTAATGTATGAAACCAATTTACCGATCTAGAAAGTATCAAGGCAGTGGAAAAAGAATCAACCTCGAAAAGCAAGAAAATGAATATGCGGCGGCCATCGTATCCCAAGCAAAGCCATCCATCCATCCCCCTTTCCTCTCCTCCCTCCAGTCCATACCCATTGCCAATCTCAGTCTGTGTCCCTCAACCCCGCTTTCGCTTCCCAAACTCTATGCCAGTTCTTGTGTGACCATTACCCAACTTTCTTCGCAGTAGTATCCATTCCTTGCCGTCGAAACTCCAAATCTATCCTACCCCCCACCCGCCCCAAACGCCACGCCATGCTATGCTCTGTCCATAACCCCCGCCTCAACGCCGTGCTGCGATGCTTGCTTGGCATTGCCAATGTAGATGTCGAATTTGCTTCGTGTCCGCTGTTCATGAGAGATCTTGAATGATGTCGTGACCAGCCCAGAGCCGAACGGTTGGGCCGGGGTGAATATCACGCCCAGCACATCCCTTGCCCACGCCCATGGCGCAGTGCCGATTGCCTTGCCTTGCCTTTCCTTGCGTTGCCTGGCGTCATGCAAAAAAACTGGAGATGAAAAGGAAAAGAAACAGAAGCAGAAAAGAAAAGTCACCCGTAGAGACAAAGGTCGATTCTGTTCTTCCCCTCGCATGCATGTCTCCAAATCCATCTGGAAGCTTCTCCACTTTCTCCCCAATCAAGAAGAGAGGCAGGCGGCCGCAAAAGAGCAGCCGTAGAGGAATGCTGTGTGCAGAAGGAGGAGGGAGTGAGATCTAGGGATGCCGAAAAGTTCAGGGAAAGAAACCGCAAAGGAAATTCATCATGGCTGTCAAGAATATCGCAGTCGAAGTCCGAAGAGCGTGCTAACTGGGCTGGAAATTTCATTGCTCGACTCAGCGGTCGAACCAGCTCAGCAAGCCAAAGAAACGGCGAATAAGCCTCCCTGTCAATGTTGTATGTCGAGTTGGCCAGGCGATGACCGGCCAATTTGTCGAGTCCATGTGTAGCCTCTCAGCAAACTGGCAGAGGAAGACACCAGAATCAAATCGAACCAAGCTATGACGGAGTACTTCTGATGAGCCGCCGAAAACACATCGCGAGATGCCGTTTGGAGAAGATGTGCATTACTGTCAATCTGCGCGTCCGGCCAAACCGCGGCAAGGCAATACCGCAATACCCGGGTGGGCGACTACCAACCGGACCTGGTGTGGCAATACTTGCTCGCATTAAACTTGTGCTTGTCCACCGCGGCCCAATACTCCTCCGCATGCACGTAAGGGTCAGGGATGGGCTTGTCCAGATTGAAGGCGATCTGGCCCGGGGTGCCCATCGAGATCAAACAATCCTCGACCTTGGGATGGTGCCATCGGTGGACGATCTTGTCGTGCTTGTTCTGGGCGCGCCGCTCGGCATCTCGGACCATTTGGCGCATATTGACGTCCAAGCGTGCCCAGTTCAGCATCCGCAGGACGTCATCCGCACGGATATCCCAAGACTGGTTATGATCCCGGTACATGCGGCGGAACGTTTGATCGCTGACCGAAGTCCACTCCCAACGCTTAATGAAGTTTTTCTTGTCCTCCGCACCAATATCTTTGTCAACCCAGTCGGAAGGTGAGATGGGCGACTTGCAGGGGTCTGCACGCTGGGGACCGCCCTTGCGGTAGTCGAAAGGCTCGGTGGCCGGGTTGTGGTTCCAGCGCCAGCGAGCCAATGAGGCACGGAACCCATCGAGATCCCGGGGAGGCGGCGGTACAAAATACTCGGCAGCTGCCTCTTCAGGAGCTCCATCCCAGGACTTGACGCCTGGTAGAGGGACCCAGGGCCCCGGCTCAGAGGGCCAGCCATCGACCCCCGGCAGACTGGGTTTCGGCGTGGGCGTCGTGGTAGGCAGCCCTTTCAAAGCTGCCGAAGTGTAGGAGTTGGTCTGGCCTGTCTTTCGTCCGTTTCCCCGTGGGGATAGCATGCCAGGCGATCTTCCTTTGAACTTTGCCGGTCCCCTCTTGACAGGCTGAATAACTTGCTGCGTCATGGGTGTTCCTTGCCCTGGGGCGGGAGGAGGAAATACTTCCAAATCCAGTCTGCGCATGCGACATCGTCCAGGGCGGCGCGGAGATAAACTTCCCCGCTTCGAAGCAGAGCATGAAGATTGTCCAGCTTCGGGTCAAGATCGCGGAGCCAGTGCTGCATAGCGACCTGTTGCCAAAGCCGGAGGTGGCTGTCCTCCATTTCGTCGACATACATTGCCATCTTGCAGCTCCAACAGGTACCGGCCCGGAGCGGGAAAAGCGTCTTGGTATAAGTCGTTGGTAATTCGCACTTGCCGCACGTTAGCGACTTGGCCCAGTGCTGCCCGATTGGCGGCAACTGCTCTTCACTCATGTATCTTGCCATTCCGGCGGGGACCGTGGGGTACGGCTGATTGTCACCGGTTAGTGCGGCCCTAAAATCGGTGGCAAACTTGTGGTCGATTTCACGAAACGACTTGCCCTTGATGTCGAGCCGCTGCTGGGCAAGATCGTAGTCGCGAGTGAGCATGGCTTCCCTAGCCTTCATCGCCCAGAGCGCATCCGGGCCAGGCAACTGTCGAACAAAGCTCCAGAATGATGAGCTGTCGCTCACTAAGTCCATGCCCACCTCCTTGGCAAGGTTCCAGCACCGGGTGATCAGGGCGAAAACAGCCTTGGGAGTGTTGAATGTGGGCTCATTGTAGGTGACGCCGAACGAGCCCAAGCGTTCGAAGGAGGTCGGACCGTGAGGAAAAAAAGGGAAGAAGTCGAGCCGAATAAACTGCTTAGTCATTCTTGACCTGTGCCGGTGCATCAGCCCACTGACCATTTTGGTTGCGGGAGATGGCGTCAGTGACCTTGCCCTTGCCCTCGGTGGCATTGGTGCTGGTTGAGCGGCGGGGATGTCGCTTGATGACCTCCAGCAGCGGCATCAGTTTGGTGACATCGAGCCTCACGCACCGAGTGATGGTGACAGTTTTCAGGGGTTTCAGGTTGGGCATCGTGTTCACCATCATCTCAAAGAGGGCCACGTCGAGAAAGGGAATCTGGTCCAGGACAATAGACCGAAAGGTGGAAGGGACCTCCCTGATAGCGCCGCCTATTCATTCCAGTCAGTGCAAGTCATTGATTAGTATGAAGGGATAACACGTACAAAGAGCGATAAGGTTCAGAAAGTCAGCCGTGTAGGGCCGTGTGAACCCCTCCTGTCGGTCGGAGATGGGGCTAATGATTAGAGTGTTGGTGCGGACACCTCCCCCTTGGACAAGGCGGCCGTTCTCGTCCCTTTTCTCAATGAACTCGTCGGTTGGGAAATATCCTTTTGTGAAATCCCAGACTGCCTGTGCATGCATATATCACTATTGGTTGTCTTACTATGGGGATTGGGGAGTTCTGAAAATGGGACCGGGGCAGGGAAGGACAAGGGATAAAAGGAAAAAAAAGAAGGGGAAGGGGGATCAACCCGGGCATTACTTACAAAGCTCAGCTGCACACACACAGCGGCACGCTTGCAAGATGTGGCCAGTGCAGTAATATCACCGATGCTAGGCTTAACGTGATCGATGATCATCTTGCCGAGCTCGACGACAGCTAAGACCCTGATCAGAGCAGACCCGTCATTGACCGGATTGATAGTGCGAGCATCGACCCTTGGGTTCTGAGATAGTGTCAGTTTCAGTTCACCGCTGTGTCCGAATGTTCGGGTCTTCAAAAGTGAGCTTACCGCAATGAAGAGCTTGGGAGGACCTTGAATCTTGTCCATGGCTGTCACTCTGGCCCTGTACAATTCAGGCTTGCCTGCCTTCCAGTACCGGTCGTGCAGTTGCTTCCGTTGCTCAGCGGTCCAGTCGGGCTCAGGCCAGCGAAGCTGCGACCTCGCGAACCGATCAAACTGCTTCAGCATCTCCTCTTCAACGTCCTTGCCTGACAGTGAGCGCCAAGTCCGCAAATAGTCGAAGCTGTAGATCTCCATGGGTTCAGGCTTCAGAAAGAGGTCAGTCTGATGGACACATTGCGCACAAACCGGGGCCGAAAAGCCAATCCAAGAGAGCTGCGCAGCAACTTACATAGCTCTTGTTCAGTACCCAGGGCAACACAGCCTTGAGGCTTGGGGGAGCCGTCTGCGACATGGAAGTGAGCCTAACGAACAGAGTCGGTTAACGCGAGAGACATACCTGGTTAGTCTCCTTAATGGCCTTCTGCTGCTGGCCGTTCTTCGCTTGCTGGCCCTTCTTGGCCTGCTTTGATTCTCAGGGTTGCCTTGATCACAGACCAAGACAGCTCCGAGGTGGGATTGCTGGTAACCTTTGACTCCACCTGATGACAGCGATTTGTCTTCTCGGTGGGAGTGTCTTTGGTAATGGGTTTGGGCTTGGTTTTGAATCTAGGGTTTTGCTTTAGCTCCTGAATCTGAGCTGGGAACTGAGGTGCTTGTAGCTTCTGAGGCTGCGGAGCAGGACCCGAGTTAGCATTTTGGGCTTTAGCGCCCTTGTTTTCCCTAAGTGGCATCTCGAAGAGCTGAGCCGAGTATATCGGGGTTGACAGTTTTTGGGGAAAGGTAAAGTTGACAGGAACGGCAGGGCTCCAGAAAGGCAAGTGACAGGGCCGAGCTTGGGGGTTTCAGTCTGGCAAACAAATTGAAACGAGCCAATAGCCCGAAAACGAGACCGAGGCTTGCTGTATTGGCAGATTCTCAGGGGAGGCGCGACTGGGATGAGGGATTGAAGGGAAAGGCAATACAGGCAGGTGCTCGGACTTCAGGCAGGGGACATAACTGATAGTGATCTGATCTCGTTTTGACCGGACGCCACGGAGGAAGCTTGAGGGCTGTGCAATATGGGCTTCAGAGGCAATATTGGGGAAAACAACGGACAAACAGCCACTTACCACGCGTTTCTTCTAGCTACGAGCTGCAGTGTAGCAACGCAGGGAGCAAGACGGGACGCGCCTTGAGCTTGGATCGAGCAACTCTGCCAGCTGAGCCGCAGATTCAATAGCAGAAGCCAGTGGTCGCAATAAAGCAGAAGAGGTAGGAAGAGATTCAGGGAGCGGTTGAAGGAACTCGCTCGCCCGGAGACCTTGAAGTCGGCCGAGTGGTAGAGGGTGGAAAGGCGAAGATGGATGAAGTGGAGGATGAAAGAATGATGTATGGAGAGGTTGAAGGGTTGTGGAAATGGAGGAAGTTGGAAGAACCAGGGCTCAGGACTTCAATTACCAGACGGCGTGGCGCCGGCAGGGTCTGAGCTCAGATCAAACGTTGGAAGGGCAACTTGGCAGCGGCAGTAAACACTCATTAATCCAGCAAGAATAGGATGTTTCAAGGCCCTCAACCTATCTGATGAAGCGGAGAAACCTATCGTCGACACCATGTCGTCACCGAGCCAATGCGAGGTAAACCAGGCCGCCTCATCACGAACCCTGGAAGCACTGGCCGACGAGGGGTTGGCATTGAAGGCCCCGGAATCTTCAACCTCAGTAGGGCCCCTCTGCAGCCAAGTCCCTTCTTCCCTCGCAATAAACACGCAGTATGCCTCTGTCAACGCGGTCACGTATTAGCCAATTCCTCCTCGTCCTGAAGTATCCAATGGTGCCATCCTCGCTGCGCTTCTTAACGCCTCGTTTCCAATAACCACAACGCAGGTTTCAACCCAGTAGAGCCCTGCAAAACAATGGTTTCCACGGCGAACCATTATGGCCGGCTAAAAGTTTCTTCCTTGATTATGACTCATAGGCCGCCAGCTCGGCGGACAAGAAGGTGCAGATGAGAATCAGGAACATGGACGGAATGGATGCTAAGAAATGCCTAGCGGGGAATGATGAATATAACCGATGTATTGCAAGCTAAGGTACTGACTACTCAAGCAGTATCTAAGTGGTGATGATGACCGCACGCTCGGTCAACCCTCAGTAGTTCCTTGATGGAGAGGGATTGACTTCTGTCAATAGCCCGCGTCAGGACACGCTCGTGCTTCTGATGAAGCCGTCAACCAAGAACCAAGACGTGATTCAAGGTTGCCTCCAACGTACAGTGTGTCTTAGGGCCAGAAACACTTGTTCCGGTAACTAAAAGTGCCAATCCCCATAATGAGCATGAGAATAGAAGAGAGTCCGTTCCGCATGCGGAACAAGCGAGAGAGGAGACATGCCTCACAAGTCTGTTCAAGGTCGTAGGAGAAGCTTGACTGTACCGAAACAAGGGACAGGGGCTGATGACAGCAAGATGATAACCATGAGTGAGGTGAGCTGACACTGACTCGCTTGGCCAACAATACCAATTCCCAGAGATGTGATTGAATAGTTTGACGTGACAGCAACACGAGTGCAAGGGCGGCTTGCCGAAAGCAGCAAGAAGTGACTTAAGGGAAAGCAAAAGAAGACAGAGATGGGGCAGTGCTGACTAACACCTAACTGTGGGCAACACTGACCGACCCGGTATGGACGACGAACCGAGCATCATGGTAGTTGACGTCGAGGTATACAACCGACGAGGAGTCTAGTCAACAGTGAGTGTCCTAGTCACCGTGATAGACATCGTTCAGGGGCAAATAGAAAGGAGGGCCGTCCGGCAATACCCCTGAGCTGGCGGCATCTCGACAAGGCCGGGTCAGAGACCATTCTGGGAGGATATCCCGGAATGAAGTGCCGCTGGCATAAGCATCACCCCTGAGCCGGCAGTATCCCAAACAACCTCCATACACCGATGGTTGTCGGAGGCAGCCCAGCATTCTTGAGACCGGTGTTGACTTGGGCATGCTGCCTCAGAGCCAGCAACTCCGGCTGAGCGGTCAACTTTGCTGAGCTGTCAACTACCCTTGAGCCAGCAAATACATCTCAGCCGGCGAGTACAGCCATTAGGACTCTTTTGCGGGACCAACTGTTGGGCGGTGATACTTACCACATATTGGCCAAAAGACATACCCAATTCCCATGTCTAGAGCCAACTCATCAATCCACTCAAGCATTAGACAGCTGGGCCACCTCAACTTGAGGCTTCAGCTGATCAATTGGCTTTGTCCCTTGGGTAGCCAAGTGGTAATGCATGTATTAGTCTTGCAAGGCAGGTCTGGAAGGGAGAAGGAACATGGGCCAGGTTGATAAACACTGAGCATTGCTCACGTGCTTGGACCCAAATGACGGTATTGTGAAATAGCGGTGGGTCCCAGACTCCAAGCAAACTGTGGTCTCCCGCTGCAGCATCTCAAAACCGCAGTTCCCCCCTTAAAGGAGTGATAGCAGAGGAGGAACTCCCCTATCAAGTTGCCGAAGTATTGTCCTGCTCTTCCCCGCACTAGAGAAAGGTATGCTTATGCCCCGATATCCCACCCACATCCATGCAAGGCAGTGGTACAGGAAGGGCATCGGACGAGTCGCGTGCCCGCTTTCTGCTCGACTCGAGGGAGCGAATCGTACAACCCCCTCACCCTCCATCACAGGAGTCAGGCGGGGACATACTTGAAACCAGTCGGGATCCGATCAGGCATATGCCGCTTGTTCACGATAAGCAAGCTGCTGAAGCAGCATGATGAGAGCGAGTGAGCGACAAGTTGGCGTTATCGATCGCTGACTTTCCAGAAAAAGCCAGAGCAGCTTGCTGAAACAGGAAGAGACAAATCAAGGAGATTGGGAGACAGCGGCAAAGCAGTTTCGAAGGCAAGTCGCAATAAGAGCAATTGAGACAGAACGAGAAAACAAAAGCGATTCAGTTGCTAAGAGGAGAGAGGGAAGCGATAACCATCTAACCACTTAACCCGCCTTCAGGAGTATCTTCGATACAGGGTATTGACCAGGCAAAGGTGGTATCATTGCAACGCGCGGAAGTCGACTACCTCAGTCGTAGGTGCAGCGACGTGCATGAATTCATAAATGGCGAGCTCGTTGATCGGTTGACGGAAGCGGTCAGGTGGACTCGCTGTAAGAGTCAAGGGAGGCCGATCGAGACCTGTACCGCCCACATACACCAGTGTGCCGCTTCGTGATAGAACGGAGAAATGGCGTAGTACTAGTGTGCAATCTTGTTTGTGGAGGTTGAAATGTGTGTGTTCTGTGTTGGATTGGGACATGAAGGAGAGTGGACTGAAAGAGATCGGCAGCGACTGAGCGGTAGGAGGGAGAGCTTTCGAGATGTTCTGCAAGTCCGGAGGAGAGGTGATAATACAATGTGTGCTCTCACAATACCGTAGACAAAAAAAATCTATTGCGAGCTTCGACGTCGCCATCTCCCAAGCTCGGGCCACAGTCCATGGTCACCTGAGGCGTGGTTAACGTGAGAACGGAAACGGCAAACGTGCAAGAAGGGCAGAAGCTGCTCAGACTTCCACGGATCACCATCCTTTTACGCTAACCATAAGGGGGTTAGCGTACTTGTCCCCGAGACAATGCCAACTTGTCCCGCCTTACCTCCTGAATTCAGAGTCATTGCTGCTGGCTCTAAGTCAAAACTACCAATATATAAGGTACATTATGGGCGGTATGAGCTGAAACTGCTGTCGAAAGGAGGCATAGAACTGTCGTATGTCAACAAACAGAGCCGAAGGGCACACAGGTTTCTCTGCAATGGTGGAAGTGGACAGGGAGAGAAATGGCTGCAGATGCTTGTCAAGACCCACCAAGGTTGCAACCCCTGGTTATCGAAAAGAGACTTCGCTTGTGTTCGAAGGAGACGGGCGGTGAGTCTGGAAGTGTTGCTCAGGACTGTTTTGACACTTTTTTTACCTGCGAAGTTTGTCCTCGAGCCTTCCTTTCCCTTGAAGCCTCTATCCAGGGCAGTGGCTTGCCGTATTCTTTGGCTTTTGGCTCAAGAGCCGACCCAGAGACGCAAGAGAAGCGTGGACATAGCCGGGCATTGAAGGCAGTGGATATGCCGGTGTCGGTGGAGTCGATTGGCCTGCCGGTGGTGTGAGGCAGGCTTGCGAGGCACGCCGGCATATTGCATCCCTTTTCGAGAATCCGGCCGGTGTCGGGTCAGCAAGAAACCATCTGCAGAGTCCTGTCGGAGATGCGTCCACATGGCTGATGCACGAACGCGCTGCTCTAGGCCAGCATGACCTACTGTGGTACATTATAAGGAACAACTTTGTACTCGCTTGTTGGCGTCTCAGAGGCTTGCGGCAATCGTCGGAATTCTCGTCCGAATCACCTCGATAGGCCAAGTGCAGGACCATCAAATCGCAAAATGTCAGAAAGGCAAGGAAACGGTGGTAACGGTGGAGCATGACTGATTTCGTCCAAGTTGATGTTGAACCAAATTTAAAGAAGTGGAGCGGTGGATACCCGGTAGTGGTTGACAAAAATCCACTCCAGTCGACCTTGCAGGAGCGGTGACTTTCCCATATTCCAGGTTGTTTCGCCCTGGAAAGGGTGCCCAACATAAAATACCTTTGAGTAAAGAGACGGGAGATAACAAAATCTGCAATCGTGTTGCACTTTCCCAAGCAGACTATCATCTAATCTTTGGGGTAAAGGGGGGAAGGTGTTGGGCGGTGATGCAGCCGAGCGGCACTCTCCTGGTGCGATGGTGATGGTGTTTGATGAGGGTAGGATGCAGATCGACAAGGAACTGGAGGAGTCCTAGCTGCAGTGACAGGCGGCTCAAGTACCCTGAATAACCGCTACCAACCAGACAGCAGGCATGAAACGAAATCAGAGCATTTTGCCACCTGCCGTGAGCAAGTCGGTACCTGCAACCCAAGTATCTCTATCAATGCAGCCTTTGTGGGCTCTGTGGGTCTCGAGCTGCTTGTGGCTGCAGATGAGCGCGTGCAAGGGAGAGCTTGGATCCCTGTGCAGAAACGGTCTGGATGCAGTCTCGTGTTTTCCTGGCTTCTTCGCGGTGTTGCACGCCTGTTGCGCACCACTGTGTCTCCCAGGGACTACGGCAGCACCTTCCTGTGTGAGAGTGATTGGACTTCCGTCAGCTGCTGCCGCTCCAGGGTCCTGCTTCCGTTTCGGGCCCAGCGGGAATTCAGCCAGTCAGAGCCCGAGGATGAAAGCGTCGGGGCTGGGTTCACCAACGAGCAGCCATGCCGGCGCCGTTTTGGACTTGGAGCACCCACCGACGAACAAACCGTGACCTGCTTCGTCCGAAATAAGTAGCCAGGGAGCTCATCACGCGGCAGGTTCTTCTCCCTCTTTCTCTCCCTTTCTGCTTGCACCCTCCAACACATCTCGTCACCGAGATTTTCTGCGATACCCCTCCAAAAAGAAGCAGTGCAGGCCACACCGTGATAATAATCCGTCACATCAAGGCTCCTGTTTTTTCTTGCTCTCTGTCTTCTCAGTGATACCCGATACCCGTTTTCTAAATTTTCTTAAAGATACCCTGCTTTTCAAGCAACTCATAATTCTTCACAATGGCCGATACACAGAAGCCCGCCGACGTGCCGCAGGAGGCCCCAGCCGTTGAGCCCGTCGTCGACACAAAGCCCGCCGAGGCTGCTGCTGCCGAGACCACCGAGACTGCTGCTGCTGCTGCGGCTGCTCCTCCTGCAGTCGAGGTTACCCCTGCGGCTGCAACTGAGACTCCCGCTGCTGCTGCTGCTACTGAGACCGCTGCGGCTGCGGCTCCGGCTGAGGAGACCAAGAAGGAGGAAGAGGCCAAGCCCGTTGAGGAGGGCCATCTTGAGCACAAGGGCCAGGGCGCCAACTTCCCCAAGTATGCCGTCGTGTCGCTCTGGGTTGTTGATCGACGCCGTGCGCTAATGTCATGTAGGAACTTCCTGTACACCAAGCACCTCTTCTGGTTCGGCTCTGAGCCCGTCGATCTCAAGTCCATCGCCTCGTTCAAGGCCGACAAGGTCCCCGACGTTGCCCATCATGTCACATCGTGGGCCACCGAGACTGGCAAGGGCCTCTTTTTCTACAGCGAGAAGGGCGACAAGGCTGCCCCCACCGGCGCGATCCACCTGGTAAGTCAATCAATTTCCACTTGACTGTGGTTCATGGGCTGACTCGAAACCCAGGCCGATGCTTCGGAGCCTGCCGTTGATGGCACCCACAAGTTCCACTTCACTGCCAAGGGCCACAAGCACACCTTCAAGGCCGCCAACACGGCTGAGCGTGACAACTGGGTTGCCCAGTTGAAGGCCAAGATTGCCGAGGCCAAGGAGCTTGCTGCTACCGTCACCGAGTCTGAGACGTACAAGAAGACCCTCGAGAGCCTGAAGCCCGCTCCCGTCAAGAAGGAGGAGAAGACTCCCGCCGCTGAGCCTGCCGGTACTGAGGCTGGTCCAGCTGCCGAGGAGCTTCCCGTCGCCACTGAGACGGCCGCCGCTGAGCCTACCACAGAGGAGGCCAAGAAGGAGGAGGACAAGGCCGAGAAGGAGGCGCCCAAGCGCCGCTCTGCCAGCCGTAAACGCACTTCCATCTTTGGCATCGGCGGCCTCCTCGGCAAGAAGGAGGAGAAGAAGGCTGTTGAGGCCACCGAAGCCAAGCCCGCTGAGGAGACCCCAGCTGCAGAGACCTCTGCTGCCACCGCCGTCGAGGCTCCCGCTGCTGAGGCCGCCGCTGAGCCCGCTCCTGCCGTCACTGAGGCTGCCACCACCGAGGCTGCTCCCGCTACCGAGGACGCGAAGGAGGAAGAGAAGAAGGAAGAGAAAAAGGAGACTGCTGAACGCCCCGTCCACGTCAAGCGCACTAGGTAGGCGATACTGGTTGTCTTTCGTGCCTTGTTCCACTTGCTGACAAGCTTGAAGCATCTTCAGCAACCTTTCCTTTGGCAAGAAGAAGGCTGCCGCTCCTGCCGAGGCGTCTCCTAGCAAGGAGACGCCTGCCAACACCACTGAGGCTGTCGCTGAAACCGCCCCCGTGATCCCCGCCGTGGAGACTACCGAGCCTCTGTCTACTGAGGTCGCTGCTGCCCCTGCCGCTGCGCCGGCCGAGAGCACTGAGGCCGCTGCCGTTACCACCAACGGCGATACCAAGAAGGAGGAGAAGAGCGAGAAGCGCAAGAGCGTCCTTCCGTTCGCCTTCGGCAAGAAGAAGGAGGGCTCGACTTCGGATGAGGAGGCTGAGAAGCCCAAGTCTCCGTCGGCTTTCTCCAAGATCCGCGCCACTATCAAGGTACGTCTATGCTCAAAGTCTGTTGAGCAGGCTGTATATGAGACTGACGTGGTTACAGGGCAAGGGCAAGGCCGAGAAGACCGAAAAGGCTGGGGAAAAGGCCGAGGAGACCCCTGCTGTGCCTGCCATCCTCGCCCCCGAGACGGAGGTCAAGGCTGCTGAGCCCGCCGCCGAGGAGGCTGCCAAGCCCGCCGATGTTGAGGCCACGCCTGCCGCTCCGGCTGCCGCTGAGGAGGAGACTCCTGCCAAACCGCTCGAGGCCACCCCGGCTGTCACCGCCGCCGCTTAGAAAGCGACGCGGCGCGCCTTTTGAGCTTATCATGACCATGAGCAACGGATCGGACGGGAGATGAAATACGACCAAGAAAAGAAAACATAGAGCGAATTCTCCCATCAACGCACGCCACCACGAGAGGCACAAACCCACCCTCGTTTTCACCTTCACCCTCGGGTTAGGTCGGGATCGGATCTGCATTTCGAGATACCCAAGTCAAGATTGGTTCTCTGATACCCTCACAACTTGTAGCAGCGTGCGAACAGCAGCACGAAAGTCGGTGTAGCATATGAACACCGTTCTCTCAATTGCGTTACTGCTACTTGTTTCGATTTTTCTTGCTTTTTCTACATGTACCTCGCACTCTGCTATTTCTCCTGTTTTCGGTGTTTTTGATACCCAGAGTATACCCCGCCTACCCTCTCAGCAAAGAGAAGGCACAGTCGTTTAGGTTGGCTTTGGGTTCGTCTGACTGATGAGAAGAGACGGTGGTTGGAGCTGGTCTGGTGCAGGTTGGCTGACCAACCGAACTCAACAAGAAAATAAGGATGACAAAAAAATACAGGGTTGGGTTGTGGATTGTGGGGTGTGTCGTTGAGGGTGCTGTGGTTGTGAAGGGGGAATCATCATCGGACGTGGTGTTCTTGTCCTCGTGTCTCGCCAACTAGGGTGAGGTTTCGAGGGAGGGCTGACCCAAGCAAAACTCGCTAATAGCTAATAATATACCTCTCGCATGTTGAATTCGCCTAAACAGGTTGTTGTTCCTTATGGCTGTGTTTGTCGTCGCTGTTCTAGGTCCGTCAAGCACTGAAAATGATATGGTGGGCTTCCGAGTAGACATCACCATGAGTTTGTCTGCCAGCCTGAGATACTCATAACCTGATGTCCATTCCTACTTTCGATAACAGGTCATGTGTATTTACACACATACCTTACATTACCCAATTTCTCACTCACTCAAGATAGCTTGGTTAGTGTTGAACGCTAGAGTGACTCGAGGAAACAAGGCTCTTGCTCATTGTCGAGCTGTCTGTTCTGACGTAGAGAACATTGGTAGCAATGTCAATGACCATCCCATATGCCCTTCGTGATAAGGTTGTCTTGTTCTCCTCCTCCCCCTTGTTATTTCTTCTAATTTTCTTCTATTTCTGCTTCTTTTCTTGTCCTCCTCCTTCCTCTCCCCCCCTCTTCTTACCCGCTATCTCCATCCTTTTCCCAGACCTTAAGAAAACCTGTCCAATATATGGATGAACGAGCATTGGCATGTTAATTGTGTCCCCGCTTTAGACGAGAAATGGAAGGGCCTGCAAGTAGATGTATAAGGTATATATGGATGGGCCGCAGTTCACTACATCGATGGGAGATGAACAACAGTCCTGCTTGCTTCCTCACCGGGATTAAAGGAGGCCAGACCACTGAGCTCGCTGCCACAGGAGCGGGTAGTTAATGGAAAGTCATACTTCAAAGAACTGGCGGCTTCCGGGGTCTGAACTCACACCTCGTGCGCTTGAAAGGCGGTAAGTTAATGACAACGGGATGAGAAGTGTGCCCTGTGCTGTCTAAAGCAAAAAAGACTCACAGTACATCAAGAGAGCTACAATTCCCTTTGCACGAAACCAGACATACCTCACTACCAGCCCTCAACCATCCCCCCGGAATAACAATGGAAGACTCAAGTCTCTATTTATGGGGCGATGGGGTAATTCATCAAAGGAAATGAATTACCAGATCACAACACATCAAATATGGGTGGAACGAACGCGCCAGGCAGTTTAGTCAGAGTAGACATTACCAGTCTATTTAAAAGTCACGTTCTTTCTCATCCACGAACCTTCTCCATCCATCTAGTTTTCCCACCTCCCATGACTCCCCCACCGAAACTCCGCGATGACATATGCTTTATAAGGGTGGTATATCCTCCTCTCCTCCGCAGAGAATTCCTATCCATCTACCTTCTGACCCCATCACTCCGACATGAACCCCCCGCCCAAATCTACAATCTCCCTGCTACATAACCCTAATCTCCAAAGCAGCAGCAGCAGCTGATCCAACACCCCATCACAAAACGCCAACGCATATCTCTCTCCGCGTCCGTTCTTCTTGAAAAGGTTCGATCTCATATGAAATACCGGCGGGGATCCAACGCTTGGAAAAACATCCCATAACTCTTCATGGCTGGCCTTGTTTCAATTTGAGATTTCATAAAACCCAACAGATATCTTTCAAGCCCCTTGCCTCCCCAGAGGTCTAACCTTAACCATCAGGGTCCGCGAACAAATCATTCGCAGCAAGCCATGATCAGATTCGGAAACGACCGCAGGAAGGTACAAGCCACGTTGCGTTGATTCCTTTGCATCGTAAGAGTCGAGGCCCCGTTCCCGGACCAGAGCGTCTGCTTCAACGCGGCTTCGGAACCATGTTGTACTTTTCAACCAGCTCCTCGATCTTGGGTATCAGTTCCGAGATGCGGAATGGTTTCGAAATCACGCCATCCTGTTTCAGGTCGGAAAAAAACCCACGGTTAGCCAACAAAGAACGTCTGCAACGCCCACTTAACAGTCCAGCAAAAAGAGAAAATCTTACAACGCCCGCAGCCTTTGCATGCTCCACCTGCTCCGGCCGCGCATACGCCGTGACGGCGACAATGGGAATATGCTGCGTAATTACCCCCTCCTTCTCCAGCCTCCTGATCTCACGCGTGCAGCTGATGCCGTCCATGACGGGCATTTCAAGGTCCATCAAGATGACCGAGATATTCTTCTTGGTCTCTACCCTGTCGTCTGACCCAGGAGGACCCGGCGGTGACAACCAGACTGGGTTGTTGCCGTCGACGGCAGTAGCGCTCTCGTTCCAAAACCGGGAGTGCCTCAGCGCGGCCAAGGCTTCGCCGCCATGGTTGGCAACGTGCGTGTTGCTGCCGGAAAGATGCAGCTGCCGCTTCAGGACCTTCTGGTTCACCAGGTTATCCTCGACAATCAAGATGTCGAGTTTAGGGGGTTCGGGCTCCTTCAAAGGTGACGGCGGCGGCGGTGGCTGGTCGGGTACCTTGGTGGGCGTGGCGGGTCGGGATGCAGAGGGTAGCACCGGAGGTGCGCTGATAGAAGAAGACAGCGCAGGTCGTGTAACCTCGGACGTGTGCATAGGTTCCGGTGAACTCACTCGGGGATGGTTGGATTTGCGGCCCTTGATGTAGAACGCAAAGGTGCTACCCTGTCCTTTTTCAGATTGTACCGCGATCTGTCCACCTTGCAGCTCAGTCAACGTCTTGCATATGAAGAGACCTAAACCGGAACCACCGTATCTGACATGGGTCCTTGGGCTTGCTTGACTGAAGCGTTGGAAAAGGATTCGCTTTTCGTCGTCATCCAATCCAGTGCCTGTGTCAGTGACAGCAAAGTGGAGGTTGATCTTTTCGCCATCCGCCCAGTCAGCCTCATCGGTGAAGTCGTCCTGGCCCGGTTGCCGCGGGGGAATGTACGACAAACCCTGCTCTTCCTCCCCGCCGTCTTTGGATGCCCCGATGCTGACCACAATGGAACGTTTCGGCCGGCCCTGTGTGAACTTGATGGCGTTGGTCATCAGGTTGATGAGGACCTGGCGAAGTCGCGAGGGATCCAGCTTCACCCAATCAACTTTCAAGTCCCGGTACGATTGTTCGATGGTCAGCTGGCCATCGATGCCGTGTGAGCTCAGTTCAGTCTCGAACATCTTGAGAACATCCCGAACCACGCTGATGGGCTCGACATCAACAGGCGTGACGAGTAGCAGATTCGAATCGAGCTTGGAGAGTGTCAAAATGTCGTCCACGATCCGCTTCTGGTGATTGGCGCACAGCGAGATGATGTTGGCAGCCTCGATGCAGCTGTCAATCAAGGCGTCTAGAGCACCGGAGGCGTTGGCCGAGGGGTCTCCTTGTCTGTACCGGCTCAGCCCAGACGAAATCTCGTCTGCACATTGCAGGATAGCGCTCAAGGGGTTCCGCATTTCATGACTGGTTATGTCGATGAAGTTCTCTTGCTGGCGCTTTAGCTCGACCGCTTCCTCCCGGCGTTGCTTCTGGAAGTCCTCGGCCCACTTCTGCTGCGAGATGTCTGTGATGCAGCCAAATATGCTCTTTAAATTTCCGGACTCGTCCGTCTCGGGGTACGCACTCATGAGCGCCCACACGTCGACGCAGTGGCCGTCAATGAGCTCTCTGGAGCCCTTGAACCGAAATTCGTGCGTCACGCGGGTCTTCTCTTCGACGAGTCGGCGCCAAGCAAGTTCTGTGCCAGGTCGATCCTCATCCCGAATGCTCTGCATCCAGGCAGCGAACGTGCTTGCGCTCCTCTGCAGACCCGAAATCCTGTACCACATCTCGTTGCAGTAGTTGATGTGTCCATTGCCGTCGGCAATGAACAAGCCGACGGGTCCAAACTCGGCCATTCTTGTGAAGCGGTATTCGCTCTCGACTGCCTCTTGGGTGCGGAGACGAAGTTGCAACGAGAGCTGCTGCCGGTCGAGGGCGGCCAGCTTGGCCGCCCTTTGTCCGCGCCTGATTTCCTCCTCGAACAGAACGACGGAGGCCAGCGAGGTGGCGAGCTGGCGCGATAGGAGGTTAACGAATAATTGGTAGTCGGCGTCGTACGGGCGCCGCGGATTAGTGCCCAAAACGATGAATCCCACGACGGAGTCACAGGCCGTCGTGGGATGCACTGGGAACACGACGAGGGTGCGGCACGGATCGCCATATCCTGTCCACGAGACGCCCTTGAGCAGCTCCGTCGGTAGGCTGCCGTCTTCCTCGCTGAGGATGATGGGAGTGGCTGACTGCGCCAACGACTCCCTCATGTACCGGGCAAAGCCTTCGTCGCTGGACCGCAGGTCGATCGAGCGGACGGCGCACGGATGGCCCTCGGGAACGCCAATCGAGTCTTGCAGCAATATCTGCGGGGGATGAGAAAGGCTTCCTGAGCTCAAGGACGAGACTTCGCTCTCGTTGTCCTCGCCGGCCGAGTAGATGAGGGCAAAAGGAGCATCCAACTCATTGTACTCAAGGCCCTTTCGAAGCTGCTTCCAGAAGCTTTTCACATCGCGGGCCTGTGCTGTCTTGATGCCAATTTCGCGAAGCGTTAGCATCCGGCGCTCGGCAATTCTCCGCCGCGTGTTTTCGAATGCAGGATTATAGAGAGCCACGACTGTCCCATCACCTCCCACCAGCGGGATGATGCCCCAATTGAAAGATGTCTCCTCTACGTAGCCGTGACGCCAGAGGAAAAGGGTGTCGTCGTTCTTCATTGTCGCATATCCGCTGTTCCAGGCGGCTTCAAACACGGGCTGGATCTCGTCCCAAATTTCGGGCCAGATGTCCTGGTATCGCGATCCCATCAGCCGAGGGTGTTTCTGCCCGGCAACGGTGATGTAGGCCTCATTGTAGATGGCCACATGGTCCCGACCCCAGTAGAGCGCCGCGGGATGTGGGCTGCCCATGATTAGCGTCGAAAGAATGCGCAATTCCATCGGCCAGAGCTCCACGGGACCGAGCGAGGTTGCTGCCCAATCTATCGATCGTGCAAATTTATGGTGATCGGGAAGATTGGGGTCGTCGATGGGAATCCGCGTCCAGTCAAACGTTGTCCGCAGCGGAGGCGAAAAGATAGCCAAATCATCGAAGGGCCTAACGACGGTGTCGGCAATCGAACCGGTCCTGCTTCGAGGTTCAGAGTGAGAGCGAACGTGGGCCTGGGCCTGGGCCTGCAGGGTCGATTCGAAGTAGTCGACGCGCTCTCTCGTTGCCTCTGATTTCCTGCCTGTCCATGGGTTCAAGCCTAAATCAACCGCCGGCAAGTTCTGCACTATCTGGGCTTGGTTGGTCAACGTCGGTGTGTCGGCCGCAACTTGCGCAACATGATAGCCCCGGATGATGCGGAAGCGCTTCCTTAGCGTTGAGCAAGTCCATAAGAGCCCCGCGTATGCGGCCGACTGAGAACCAGCATCCGAGCCCGTGGTTTGCCGCATCAAGCTCACCGCCCAATCCTTGAATTCGAAGAATTCGCGGCTCTGCGCCGATTCCGTATCGGCGGAGCTAGGCTGCAACGACCCTAGAAGTGCGGGCGTGGTCCTCAACGCGACGTTTGCGTATACTAGGTGGAGGGTCCTGGGCGAGAAATTGGCGGGGTCATTGAGGTCGATGATGAAGGTCGGGCGGTCGTCCTGCTCCAGCAGCTCGACCACTCCGATTCCTTGGAGCAGCTGGACAAGCGAGGGTTGCGGCCAGCCGTCAGGACTGCGCGAGACGCTGGATGGCTCAGTTGATGACCAGCTAAGTGGGGTCCCCGACGACCTTGCGGGGCTTGTTGCAGTGACTTGCCCTTGAGGCAAGCGAAGGGTGGTCGTCACGCCATCAGGACGTTCGTTGCTCATTATGGACGAAGCCGGGTCTGGAGGAGAGAAGCTGGCCAGACGACTAAGCTTTTGATTCGGCGAGTTGGAGTAGAATAGGGGAGATGCCCCCACACCCGGCTGAGCGGGAGTGACTTCGCCCAAGGTTGGAAGTGAGAGACTTCCGGGGAAAACAAGGCGGGCCTTCTTAGTTGGTGATCCGAGAGGGCGCGAACCGCTCTTGTCGATTGCCGAGTGCCTCTTGCCTCGGTAACCTTCCGGCGGGCTTTCGGTGGCCGGTTCGGGGACGAGCGGATTCACAGCAGGGTCGGCGTCGGTCTCGAGGGGACGCTGGCCGGGCCTGGGAGTTTCGTGCGCTAGCGAGTGAGCTTGCAAGTCATACTGGTTGGCTTCAGGCGTCCGAAGCCAGGGTTCCTCTCCGTTTGGGGTCGTCCAGACAGGCTCGTCCGGGTAATGACTGCTGCTGCGGCTGCTCGTGGTGCCGAGTGTAGAATTAGTGGTGGGAGGCGCAGAGTCGTCGACGGTCGATGGGCGAGACGAAACAGGGCGGGGCTGGGGGGAAGAAGCAGGTTGCGGGCCCCCCGGGGTAGAAATATCGAATTCGGCTCCGTTTCCCAAAGTCATTCCCATAGGAAGCAGCAGGAGACCCGGCGCGTCTCGACCGTCTCCCAGGAGGGAATGTTGCCGCGCCTGTTTCTGACCTGAGCCGCTGAATTGAAGGGGGGAGAGGTGAGTGGCGGGTCTCGACTATCCGCCACCGAACCCGGAAGACCACGACAACGGCGTTGGAAACAGAACGGCAACCCGTTCTGGACAGGGGGCAGGGAATTGGGCACCAGACCGAACAGCCCAGCAGGCCATTGGCCAACGATGTATGAAAAACTGATATCAAGCTTCTGGGATGGTGGAATTCGGCGGCGGCGGCGGCGGCAGATGTGGTTTAGAAACAAAGCGAATACCTTAGTTCCAGCAAGTCTCGGCTCTGAGGTACAGATATTTGTCGCACCGTCGTCGTTTGTGGGGAACCAGAGTGTAGGTCGAAGGGTTGAGCTCTTAAGGTAATAATCGGGAGTTTTGCTCCGAGGACAGAGAGAGAAAGAGACAGTAAAAGCAGCGAAGTAGCGACCCAGGTGGGTTTGGTTTCCGGCTAACTGGTACAGGTACAATTACATGAAACGAACGGAATCCGGTGTTGCGGGGAAAAGTGTCCGGGTCACCAACCCAAAGAGGTCCCTTTTAAGTTAAAACGTCATCTCAGGCCCATCGATGTAGGCAAAAGTGCACGGGTTGGATCTGACTGTCATGAGCAATGGAAACAATGATTGTCTCGACCAGGTAATCTTAGTAGGTAAGGTACAGAGAAGTGCCAGGAAGCTTCAGGAAGACCGGTAACAGACAACGCCTGCCCTTCTTGCTAGCAGGGCAGATCCCCATCCAAAGAGGCGCATGGAATTTTAGTACACGTGTAGGTGCTGCCCAGGCGAGCCAGGGCAAATGCAGTTCTCTTCCGTAACGTCTTGTTACTCTGTCCGTAACAGGGGCGAGGGTGGAGCCTTCGGTAAGGTAGTTTAACGGTTGCAGCAAAGTGGGCTGATCAGATCAGTGATGATGGCAGGCTTTGGGAGCGAAGGAAGTTGACACTCGCCCAGAACAGAAGGCGGCGAGCCGAACATGTCGCTGGCATGAAGCACAGCATGACAGGGGTTCACCGGTCGGTGAGGGTCTGGACTCTGGAGCGCCGGTTCTCAAATTGACTAGCCGTGGACCACAGGCAGCTTCTTCTGTCAAGTGCCACAAAAGGAGCCCATCCGTTTGCCGCTACCGAATACACCTGCGGAATATGGTCCATGTCGACTCCCGGCTCTCGCCTTCTGTGGCTCATTCCGCGTGCGCAGGTTGCCAATCTGAATCTGAGGGTCTGTTGTAGCTCCGACGAACGACACTGGAAGTGACAATGGAATTCGAGGTTTGTGGAAAAAGTGTGGGCGGGTGAAGCGAGGCGTTCTGGAACGGCCGATCTCTGGCCCACGAACCGATGGAGAGAGCCAATCAGCGATCGCGGCACTGTGGCTGGGGTGGTAATCGATGCCCAGCACAGGCAATTCCCATTCGTTGCGATAGCGGCATTCCGCGATTCGCATGCCGACCACAGATGGGTGCAGCAGTCCCGATCGCCTCATCACTCAATCACACAAGCGACATCGACCCCTGTGAAGTTCTGTTTCATCAGAAGCAAAATCAACTTGAAGATGGAGACGGCTGGAGAACTTCCGACATCCGTAAGTTAACCGTACAGTAAATCGATCTGGGGACCTTGTCATAGCCTGCAGATCGGCATGTGGGTTGTGAAGGAAAGTTTTGTACGTCTCCACTCTCTTACGTGATAACGTTATTGTTGCAGGCTGCCATTCCCGTCTCTTCAACGCACCGTTCTCTTCGTTCGGTAATCGGGGCCGGTTTGCAAAGCCATTATGAAACACACAAAGTGACAAGCCTTGTGGACTCTTTCATGCATCGGTTTCATGCCCGAACGCCCGAGCGATTCAAGATTTCCAATGCTCCAGAAGTTGCAACAAGCAGCGGGCCATCCCGAGTTCTACGAATCTTGGCATCGAGCCAAGCGATCCGTTATCTCGAGCAAGCTGTTCGGTCACTTCTGCATACCGACTCAAGAAAGGCGGCAGAGGATCGGCTAGGTATATCTGTCCTTGTGCTGCGTCCAATGCTGAGTCCCGAACCTGTTGCCGCCACCAACCATCACCACAGCGGAGCAGTTGAGCTTTGCTTGATGAGCCAAACCGGCAGCTGCCCCAACGACCGTCTTGTCAGCGCCTGGTGGGTGACACTGGGCAGCTGTCAGAGCACCTCTCCAATGCTCCACGTTCTGGCGGCCCATCCATGGATAATGCAGCTGTCACTCTGTGTTCCCGCATGAGCATGCTCCCCTGGGATTGGACGACTGGGCGCTTACACGCTGCCACAACCAGACCTGCCCGGCACTCTCATTGGGCGTCCAGCTGTGATTGTCCTGCCACCCGCATCTACGGACTGTCGGAATTGTGCGTGTTTGCCAGGCTCGGCGGCAGCACAGGCGGCGAGCGGGCGGAAGAGATGCATGCAAGCCCTTTAAATCGTGAGCACAATCCTCTCGCGTTTCCATTGTTTCCGGGATGCGTGCGATCGTGAATTGAAAGTCGATTATCCTCGTTATCTCTGTGTCGTCGACATCGACGGATAGCTGAGCAGGACTCACTCGGCACCGATTGCGACGAATTTCAATGTAAGCCGTCCCTCAGCGGCTTCCGACTCAGTGCGGAGAACAATCGCCAACGCGCAGCGCAGCGCCAGCGGCCCCACGCGGGTCCAACAGAATAGAGTGGAGGAGACGAACCTGTTGAGGAGGCTGTAGTCGGCAGTCGAGGAACGAGAAATGGCATACAGAATCCTCCGTCGGCCATGGAGGGCAAAGAAGCCTCTGTACTGGGGCATGGTTCCCGAGCTGGCGGGTATTATCCCGCTGCTCGTCCTGTTCGGCGTCCAGCAGCCAGACGCCTTCCGGACTCTCTTCTGGCGCATCGGGTTTGAGAACAAGCTCAACTCAAATCCCAACATGATCCTCTACGCCTATGCCAATCACCAGCCGTTGCCGACCATCCCCTTTGTCTGGTCTCAGACGTGAGTGTCCCGGTTCAAAGGCGCGTATCTCACTTCGCAAGCCGTGACTGACTGGACCAGATTAACGAGCTACAATGTCGCCATCTCCATCGTCGCCCTCTTCATTCTCCTGGCCAAGATGATTGCCACCATCATGCAGGTCTTCTATCCGCTCTTCGGCACGATCGTCGGCCTCTGCATGACGGCGCTCTTCACCGTGAGCGTCTACGGCCAGGCCGGCCCCGACTACGCCGACTCACGATACCCGAGCCCGGTGGCCTGGTACATCCGGTACGGCTGCGGCATCGCGGAGCCGTACAACGCAGGCAAGAGCTGCATGATGGCCAAGGGAACTTTTGCCGTGACCGTGTACATGCTGTAAGCCGTGCCTCGCAATCCTTCTACCACCAAAGTTCCGGCGTGCTAATCGCCTTACTCAGGTCCGTCTTCGTGGCCCAGTCGGCCTTCGCCATCTGGGCGATGCTCCCCAACAAGGAGCTCGACATGATGGAGGACTCGGACGACGACGACGACTACCATGGCCCCAAGGACAAAGGCGTCGCGGTCGAGATGCAGCCCACGCCGCCAAACCCGCAGGTCCCCTTCACGCCACGAACCCAGGCCTTCCACGCGCTGGAGAGGAAACTGCCGTTCCGGCACAGCTAGGCGCGGAGGGTAGACGGTTGAGGCGTTTTGTTTTATGACAGGGCACCGGTGCTGTGATCAAACCACTGCGCTGCTGGTTGGGGCAGACGTCGTCACCTCTGCAGGAAGTTAAAAACAAATATGGAATACTCCCGGCGGTGAATGGCTTGTACAATTGCTCTCCCTCACTCAATGGATGAGCGGATGCTTTCGTGGATGGTTCCCACATGGCGATTATGGAGTCAGGAGTTGAGGGTATACTTCGGAGTTGACATGCTAGCCTAGTCCAGGGTGGTTGATACATATTCAATACAGCTCGCCTGGGCCCCCGCTGTTTCGCCCTCCAGCTTACCTTAGGTACCTTGATTTCTGACAACAGAACAAAAATTGTCAATTTCGTCGATCATTCATCGCTCATCACCTCATGACAGCCATTATCTGTAACTCCAAAATCCCCGATCCCTTGCCCATTGCCCTCGAACAATTCCAAAAGAGGACACCAGACAGCATCAACGCCACCACCACCTCGCCCGCCTCTTCCCACGTCCCTTCCCAGCTTCATCCTCAGGAACACCCCACCTCCAAAAGCGCAGCACTCGCATCCGGCACACCTACCCTCACCACCCCGCCGTCCTCCACCACAACCTCCTCCCCGACAGTAGTAACATTGCTGAGCCGCACGGGCCTGCCGCCGTCCAGCTCATAGTTGTAGCTCCACCCGTCCCAGGTGATGCCCGTGATGGCGTCGCTTCCGTTGGCCATGAGTCGCCTGACGGGGACTCTGTCGCCTGCCGCCAGTGGCTTGGTACAGGATGATGATGATTGGGAGGGTAGGCGGAAGGTGTATTCCACCTGTCCCCTTGGAGGCGGCGAGGGTAAGGGCTCGAGGCCGGCGCCCTGGTGGGTGGTGTTGTAGGAGCGCATGTTGAGGATTAGAAGGCGGGAGAGGCGGGTTCCTTCTGTGGTTTTGAGGGGATGGGGGGTTAGTTTGATGGATGGTATTGTGGGAATCCGTTTTGGGGGTTAGGGAGGGTGTCTGCGGTGAAAGGGGTGTGGTGTAGGTATTTACAGGGTCGAGAAAAAGGGAAAAGGGGGGAGAAGGCTGAAGGGTGAATGAAGGGAGGTGGATGTTTGCATGGTTGGACTTCTCTTACGGGGTAATTGAAAAAGGTGTGGGGAAAGGGGGGAGATGGAGCAGAGAAAACGTACCGGAGATGTAGATCGCGTAGGCTGCTTCTGGTTGTAGGTCGGCGCCTGAAGTCTGGGAGTCGAGTGGGATTTCCATCACGGTTGCTGGGCGACTCCCCAGCGCGGCGGCCACTGCGATTGAGCCGTAGTAGGGGGCTTTGGTGCCGATTGTGGCCAGTTCGGTCGAGGTGGGTTGCCAGGCGCCATACTGGAGCAGACAGTTGCAGGTCAATATGATACTGGCCGAGAGAAGTAAGAAAGGGAAGTACATACCCTGTAATTCGTTCCCATGTGCATGTGCACCCGCTTGAAGCCGACCGAGGCTGAGTAGAGGTTGAAGTCGACGCCCCAGAGTGCCGCGCCGAAGGTGTTGGAAAGACCGGGTCGCCCCTGGTTGTAGAGGGAGTTGGTCTCGCCAAAGATAAGGGGCGGGACTGGGCCTGAGGACTGGGAGAGGATGGTGTTGTACTCGGTGATGTGTGCGTCTACGGAGCGTTTGGTCACAGCATGGTTCATCAAGGTGCCTTGGAGAGTCACCCCAGGAGATGTGGCCCCGCTGATGTAGCTGGAACAACGTCAGTAAGTGGTTTGACGGACGGCGAGAGAAGACGCACTTGTGGGTTGAGAACAGCTTGATATTTCTGTCCTCGTTCAGGCCTGCTGCCCAGGCTGCCGGAGCTTTCAGGCGATTGCCAACGCCGGCAAAGGAGGGGGCCATGTAACCGTAACTGTCTTCTCCCAGGAGATCCGGGCAATGCTCCTCGAGAAGAGCCTTGATTTGGCGGGTGCCATTGAGCCATTGGGAGACGTAGGTGCTCTCGCTCCAGTCGGGCGGTCTCACTGGCCCTTGGGCTGACGTCGAGTATAGATCTGGCTCGTTGCCGTACGTCCAGAGATGGAGCTTCCCGCCGCCCAGAGCCTTGCAAGCCAGGGGAACTGTATCCAGCAGGGTCTGCCATCCGCTCGATCTGTTGGCGCCCAGGCCGAGGTTGAAGCCGTGGGTGAACTTGATGTTCTTCCATGTGTTGTACGATTCGAAATAGGAGGGCCCAATAGTTATGGTTGTGGGATAGTCGGCAGATCGTGACGGGTCGACGGTGCCGTTGAGGGCATAGGGCAGAGAGGCGTCATAGAGAGCATAGTCCTGAGTGTTGCCGCCTACGCGGATGTACGGCTTGGTTCCCTGAATGCGTCCAAGGTTGTCCAGGAGGGTTTCCGAGTAAGTGTTTGGGTGCGAGACGTTCCCTGAGTGAGTTAGAAGGATGTTGCAGAGTTTGACTCTCGGACATGCCCACCTGCGAAATCGGGGAAGCTTGAGAACTCGATGCTGTAGCTCACATAGCCATCGAAGACCTCGTTACTGTCTACGGAGTCGGCAACGGTGTACTCAGACCTGACCAGAGCAGGACCGGCTAGCGCGTAAAGGATTGCAAGCTGCTTCATGCTGGGCAACACCGCCAGGTGGACGCTGTTGATGGGGTCTATGCAAGTGGGAAGGGGCTGAGCCTCGTGGACTCATATACAGGTCTCATGCTCTGGACCCCACGCCTCCTCCGCTCGTATTCTATTTCCAACCGCGATGGGAGTTACAGCCCATCGATGGTTGCTGCGAGTATTCCATCAATCGGCCATGATCTCGGCCAAAATGGTGCATGGCCAGCGGGGTGAACGGCTCACAAGACACAGCAAAAGAGCAGCAGCCGCTGACGTTGTCGTACGGGCATGCAGCGTTGATTCCCGTAGGCGCAGGTGAGTGGCTAGTGCAGTAGTAGGCTGAATGAAAAGATCGACATGGCAGGCCGGAAGAGAGCCGCGGAACATGGCGATTCTCTACACCGTGAGCAGGCTTGTTGCTTCCATTCGAGACACGGCTAAACAAGCCACTCGGATAAGCACACTGAAACCAACATAGGCCAAAATCGAAGGCGGTGAGGTCGTGAGGTTTCGTGCTACGCAGGAAAGCGCCGTTACCCTGAAAGAGTGAGACTTTGATTCAGTTTGAGGCCGTTGTTGACATGTGGACATGCCTCAGGAAAAGCCTGGAAGGTCATATCCGTTGAACCGGGATCGTCGGACGGGTGAATTCCAGGGCTTGCATTCAGGAGGTAGATGCGGGGAGGTGGGTTCTGTACCAGTGGTGGGGAATTTCCAGGTATATCCTGATCGAAAGAAAAACCATGTAATCACGAATCCGTATTTTGACGCTGAATATTCCCGATTCTCCATTTCTCAGCTGATCCAATAGGATAGATAGGTTGGTAAGATTTAGGATTGACTTAGTATACTAGTCTAGCTAAGCTCCTATTTCTTATTTTTATATTATTACTCTATAAAGGTCTAGCTACTATAGATGAATACTAAACTGATAGAGTATTCCATTTAGATTTTAAGTAATCTTAGTATTCTATAACATAGAGATATAAATAATATTAATGCTATTTTAATTGAGATATCTTAGACTATCAGCAAAATAAGAGGGCTTTTTAATGGCTTACATTAGCCTTAACTTATATTAACCTAATTTTTTGCCAACTTTGCCTTGTATATATTTTCAATGAATTTCAATTCTAGCTGGATCTTTATTTTCCTGTTGAGCGGGATGAAAGATGGAAACCTCTTCGTTCAGTTCGCATAACTATTCTGTACAGTACTAGTAGGTTGCCCATTTTTCGGAGTACCCCTCTGCGGTTCTGCGGTTTCCGAATGTAATGTGGCCCGCTTTTGGGCGCAAAGACGAACACCCAACGTCGTGGTGGAACTCGCCTCGTCGCATCCAGCTGGGAACCCAAGACGACAAACCTCGACCTCAACTTCTCAACTTCACATAGCATTTGGATGCAATGGGCCTCTTCGAACGAGCCCTTTCGTGGCTCCCTCTCAAGCTGAGGCGTAAATTCATGAGGCTGCGCAGCCGCTTGCGCCAGCCGTTCACACCTCTCGAGCTGCGCTGGGCGTGCTGCGCGCGGTCCACGCGGATGGCTACCACGAATCTTTCCCCGCCGCGCGTGCTTGCCTGCATCTCGCGCGTCTCTGTTCCGGCTGCCGTGATATCACTCATGCCACCTCCCCCGCTCCCTCAGCGAACTTATGGCCTATCCACACCCCGCCAGTACTTTCAAATACACCATACCGCCTTCCTCCCCGAACGCCAGCGCCCCCTCTGGCGCTGGCGCGACACGGCGTCGCGCTTCTCTTCCGTATATATGAAGGCCTTTGCGCCGACCACCACTAGTAACTCTAGGCCGAACTCCCACAACCCCGCCCAAATCACCAGGTTATGGTTCTCAGACAAGCGTCCCCTACTCAATGCTGTCCTCCAAAACCTCTGCCTCTGTTGTTTCTCAAAGGATGCGGTTTCCTGTCTCCAAAGCTATGTACTAATTCTGGACCCTTCTGAGCAGACACTGAACATTTAATGGGGCAAAAAGTGTACAATAAGTCACCTAACTCTCCAGTACACCAGGCCAATCCGTTGGCCGGACCCAGCAGGTGCCTGTGTCTCAAACGGCGAAGGAAGCGGTTGGCTGAAACAAATCAAATTCGTACCCGGGGAGTTGAAAGATGCCAGAGAAACTTCCGTCCATGTGATTTCGATCTTGAATAAACAAGCCAATGTCTTGTTGAAGGGAAGTAACGCCGGCGCCACGACGCTCGGTTCTCCCACGCCCCCCTCTCGCTGCCCGTTGCCGACGCTAGGCGCCGCGTCCCCACTTATACTCGCCGAACCGGTCGGACCTCGCCTGATTGGCAGCCTTCCGTGTTACCTTGGGGACTGAACCGCGGTTCATTGGGGGTGCAGGACCCGCTATTACGACGTCATCTACAATTGCGAACTTGAAGCAGTGATAGCATCGCAACAAGCAATCCGGACGAGGTTCACTATTCAGGTTTCCTTACCGGATCTAGGATGCCCTGTTGACCCCAACTTTCCGTTCAATTGCATTCTTCCCATCACTCCCAACAGTGACTGTTCCTGCAAAGAGCCTAGGTAGGCTGCCAGAACCGACAACTTCCCGATCTACTGGAATACATACAAGTCGCTCTTGGCATCCCCTTCCCTCGGTCTCCGCACTGCCGACATTTCTCCTCGACTCGCGGCCCCCCATCGCACCGCGCCAGCCGCGGCCCGTCGGGATGGCCTTTCTACATAAGGCTCTGCTTTCTGTCCCCCGGACTACAGCAGTTAGGTCTCAGTTCCGGCGGTCAGCACTGCCTGGGATCATCAACTCCTTCTCGCGCCTTGCATCCACTATGACTCCCAAGGTAACTCACCGCATTTCCCCCCCATCACCGAGCATGCGAGCGCCCGGGCGGCTAGCTCACAATGCAACCAGCTCAGAGACCCGTCCCTCTTCAAGCAGGATGTGTGCTACGTCAACGGCGAGTGGGTAACGGCCAGGTCGGGCAAGACATTTGAGGTCCACGGTAAGCCTTGCTGCAGCCAGTCTCAGCCCGGTGCAGCATCCTCACTTGCGGTCTAGACCCAGCCACCGGCCAGCTCATCGGGACCTGTCCCGAGTTTGAAGCCCAAGACACAGAGAAGGCCATCGAGGCCGCTGCCGTCGCATTTAACGAATTCCGCCTCAAGACTGGACGCGAGCGCTCCAAGCTGCTCAGGAAATGGTATGATCTCATGGTCGAAAATGCCGACGACCTGGCCACCCTCATTACCTGGGAGAACGGCAAGCCAACCGCCGACGCCAAGGGCGAGGTGACGTACGCAGCCAACTTCTTTGAATGGTTCAGCGAGGAGGCGCCGCGCATCTACGGCGACACCATCCCCTCGTCGGTGCCGGGCAACCGCGTCTTCACGATTAAGGAGCCAGTCGGCGTCTGCGGGCTCATCACACCATGGAACTTCCCCGCCGCCATGATCACCCGCAAGGTTGGGCCCGCCCTAGCAGTCGGCTGCACCGTGGTCTGCAAAGCCCCGGGCGAGACGCCATACACGCCCCTCGCGCTCGCCGAGCTCGCCCACCGCGCTGGCATCCCCAAAGGCGTGGTCAACGTCATCACGGCGCTCAATAACACACCTGAAGTAGGCCAGGTCCTAACAACCCACCCCACCGTCCGCAAGATCTCCTTCACCGGCTCAACCCCGGTCGGCAAGCTGCTCATGAAGCAGTGCTCAGGCACCCTCAAGAAACTCTCGCTCGAGCTGGGCGGCAACGCGCCATTCATCATCTTCGACGACGCCGACGTCGACCTGGCCGTCGCGGGCGCCGTGGCCTCCAAATTCCGCTCGTCGGGCCAGACGTGCGTCTGCGCCAACCGCATCTTCGTGCAGCGCGGCGTCTACGACGAGTTCGCCACCAAGTTCGCCGCCAAGGTCCGCGATTTCACCGTTGGCAACGGGTTCGACTCGGGCGTCACCCACGGGCCGCTCATCCACGGCAAAGCCATCGACAAGGTCGAGCAGCACGTGCGGGACGCCGAGCAAAAGGGCGCCACGGTCGTGCTGGGCGGGCACAGGATGCCTGATCTGGGCCCCAACTTCTTCCAGCCCACGGTGCTGACGGGCATGACGACCGACATGGCCATGGCGGCCGAGGAGACGTTTGGGCCCGTCGCGGGCCTGTTTCCCTTCGACACTGAGGAGGAGGTGGTGCGGATGGCGAATGCGACGCCCGTCGGCCTGGCCGGGTATTTCTTCTCGCGGGATATTCATCGGGTGCATCGCGTTGCTGAGCACCTCGAGGTGGGCATGGTTGGTGTGAATACGGGCTTGATTTCGGACCCGGCAGCGCCGTTTGGCGGGGTCAAGGAGAGTGGGTTCGGTAGGGAAGGGTCGTTGTATGGCATTGGAGAGTACCAGGTTACCAAGATGATTACGTATGGGGGGATGGGAAAGCCGTTGCAGAGGTGAGCACAAGGGGGACCGGGAGGGGGCTTGGTGCGTGGGCAAGGGTTTGAGCATGATGTTGTTGAACCGTGAGGAATAATGAGGGTATGAGAATGGGGAGCTGGCTTAGCGGGCCTTTAAATACTCAGAGTCTGCGGAGTTGCTTTTGTAAAGCAATCCCCGGCGTACTCGTTGGCGTGATAGTTTACGTTTCTTGGCGTCGTTACTTGGAAGACTCGCGAGGAAGTGGTGTCCCGTTTCACGATCTGCAATGAGTGCAGATGTGATGGCCTACCTATACAGACACGGAACTCCATCTTCCTCACAAATCACCTACCTTGTCTATAATTCGGTGTAAAAGATCCGCGGCCACAGCACGGGATTGCTGCACTGTTGGGTCCATCATGCGCTTCGCCTCGGCTCCGGCGCTTAACGATAACCCGGAGGATGTGACAGACTCCAAGCCGATCTGATCAGCTGGGTAATGGACCACCAAATGAAGTGACAGATGGCATGCGCTTTTCAAATCTGACATGGCTCTTCCGTGAGCTGGCTGGGAGTTTGTGGGGGGTTGTTGATGTGCAAACTTGGAAGCTGGATTCATTTTGAGCTGGCGAGAATACGGAGTAGCTGTTGCAAGGGATGTAAGTGGGAGCGCCCGAAATACGGATAGATCGCTCTCATTACCAAGTACATCTGTGACCGTACACCGTCAGTTCCGCCTTAGCGCTGGTTTTGGGCCGGGCCTTTCAATTCTTTCGATGCATACCATAACATCAGCAACTAATGCACCTCAGGCTACACACAGATATATAGGGCTAATACATATAAATAGACGTAAGTAGACCTATAGAACCTGGATCCGTTGTTCATATATTTTCGAAGGCAGTATATGTCGAGCTGCTTGTGAAAATGCGCACTTTATGATGCTATAACCAGGCTAAACGCAAGTTGGGTAAGTTAAACCGAGCGCTAATTGGTTGAACCGGTCGGAATGAAGTGTGAAATTCAGCCAATAGAACCATCCAAAAAACAATGCCAAAAGAGGAACTGACGGTTTGCGGTCACAGACCACATGTGAGAGACAAGTGGCATCAAGGCGAGGCACTAAGACACTGCAAACGCCGACTCTATTCTGCTGATCGGAAGCTAAGGAAAGGAAGAGGGAGAGCATATAGGATCCGCGTCTGCGACGCGAGAAAGGCAAGTGGGCGCATATACCACCCACTGATGACCCACCGAAGAGAGCATGAGTCCAGGGTGCGTTTTCCGTCACACCACAAACCCATTGTTGAGTGACAGATCTCGTTCTCGTCTTAACAAGACTAGATATTGGGTAGTTCTATTTTGCCCTATGCGTCATAGACTATTTTTTGTTTCTATACGTTGTTGTTTACTCTAGCATAGTGCATCTCCCATCGGCACAATAATTTGGCGAGACTTTAGCTCAACAACCCCCTCCTCTCTCTACGCGCCTACTACCTAATAAGAAAAAAAAGACAGAGAAAAGACGGAAGGAAAGAGGATAAAGGCTGAACAAGCCTCCGTACCTCGAGATCCCTTAATGCATCCTACTGTTGGAAGTGAAGGCACTTGAAACTCGGAAACTGGGTTGCCGGTATCGTACCTTGGTCAGGGGTAATACACAGCTGTTACATAAGGTCTAGGAGGCACCCAGGCAACTTGGAGAAGGAGAAGGACAGAACACTCAATTGACAGATTCTGGGCTGGTCCCGGGCACTCGAAAAGTTCACTGTCTCAAGGGCTCCCATAAAGCGTAACACCGTGGAATCGTGGCTGTTGGCTTTCCAACACTTACACCCATACCTGCTGTGGCGGCACCTGCCGTCGAGGTGCGCGCGCGTGCCCCACTTGCTCTGGCATTTTATCCACTGTAATGCGAGAGCTCTTCCAACTCCTCTTCCTTTTCCCTCACCTTGCGATTAGCAGAATTGAGTCCCATTGGCAGTGCCCTCGCGCCTCACCTAATTGTACGCTCGTCTCTCACACTTGCCTTTACTATAGAGAGATTGGGAGGTCTGAGCACAGGGTTACAGCAAGCCTTATAGGTGTAGAACTTACTGTCAGTTGGAACAGGTTTGCCCTAACCCCTTAGGCGCAACATTGAGTAGACAATAGTATGCAAATGCTATAAGCGAATGTCTTTGAATACAATATACAAAGCTGTTTATAAAATAGGCTCTTCAAACAAGAATATATTGTTAGTAAGGCTGTATTCGGCAGATACGAATAGGGCTAGGGTCATTCTTACCTCAGCCTAAAAAGGTACTTATCACTCTCTCTTCTTTTCTTTTTAAAGAAGAGAAGAACAACTAGGGATTGAGCATAGAATCTCATGGAGGTCAAGAAAAGAAGTGTCGCTCAATCACATTACATTAAAATCACAGGAGACCATGCAGAAAAGGAAGCCACGGTTCATATGCCCCTCTCCGGGCTGAGGCTGTGACAGTCGCCGAAGCCTGGATAGTCTGTTATCTGTGAAACAGAATGTAGGCCTTGGTAACTCTGAACCCTCTAAAAGAGAACTGTTCTTGCTTCAAGAAGATTATTGGTTGAACAGTCTGGGAAGGCAGTTTTGGAATGTTGGCAAGAATATCTTGTTTTCAATCTGTTAGGCCCAGGTTCTACCAGTTCCTGCCACCATTAGTATATTCCAGCCAAAACAGTCTCGCAATATCCTGTTCTTAGACACCCCCATCCCTCCATGGTAGTCTCCGTCTTGCTCGACATGAGGCCTCGGCCAACGCGGCCGGATTTCGGACCCTCAGCAATCGCAACATGAAACAACCTCGCGATCCAGCCATCCAACGACCCCGATCTAGACTTGTACGACCCGAGGTTGTTTCGTTTCGTTTCGTTTCGAGGCAGGCCCAGGCGGGTCCGGCTTCGGGTTAATTGGCCAGAGCTGGAGGGGTTTCTCGTAAGCGCGGCCGCGGCATGGCATACAGCCTCCGCTTGATTATTAGCTGATGGCTAGGAGATGCGGCGTTGCGGTGCGGGGCGGGGGCGGCTGGGCGGGAAAACCTGAAAGCGAGGGCATCGCCTCATCCCTCCGGGCAAACTACTGCAGGCACAACCGTCTTTGTTCCTGCGTTGGTTTGATCCGGCTCAGGATCACGGCAGGGCCATCGCATGATTCTTTTTCATTGTTGGGTGTTGCGCTGTTGGGGATGTCAGGTCTATTGTCCAACATCAGGGAACCCGTTAGGGAATGGAGTATCCATGAGAATGGGAGCACGAGGTAGGAACGCTGCCTACTTGCTGGGGAATAATTAGTGGCCTGCTTTGTCTCCAACGTCAGGCTATTTTGTCCGTCTGACGTTGCATGGACAATACACGCCGAGACGTCTTGGGGGAATCACAGCAGCCTGCACCAGCCGCACTTTAGGGCGGCGTCAAAGCTGATCAGCTGAAGGGGCAGCTTCTTCTGATATAGAACCTGAGGCCTCGTAAACGACGAAAGTATGTTTGTTACGAGAGTATGGTCCATTTTGTTGCTTTGCGTTATTAAATTCTTGCATATGCCTTCCATCCCGTTATGGGCCTCTCCATTCCGGCCACCAACAGTGGAGTCCAGCCTGCATGCAAGTCAGATCGCCTGCATCGCGTGTCTGGATCCATATCAGGCCGCCCTTAATACTTTAGGCTGGGGCTATGAAATGTATGAGCGGAAAAAGGCCCCGTTCTGACCTGCTGCTGCACAGTAGTCCCTACTCACCCCTGCAAATGCAATGCAATCCTAGCGGGAGCGAAGGAGTGTGCATACTGGACATGCCATGCCCACGACGCCAGGAGATCCACTCACTGGCTAACTTTATGCTCACGTTGAGGTAAAACACTGGGATGAACAGTACCGGAGGTAGTAAGTAAGGCATGTACCTGTGCTCTGCCCCAGTCGTCGCTATGGATCACCAAAATATGTACACATCTCCCTTCACCTCGCCTAAACAAAACAATCCCAGTGGAAAGACGCCATGGCCTCATAGACAACATGTGCTCCGTCCATCACTCCAGAATAACACCCTCTCGACTCCCACAAATGCCTAAACGCTGACTCCTGGCCTCCAAGCAAAGTGTGACAAAGTCCCAAACACAAGAAGGGAGAAAAATGAAGGAATTTAAAACAGGAGAAAATGCATGTGGTATCAGAAAACACAACAAAAACCAAAGCCATCAAGCGTTGCCGCCCCTTGACCTCCCTAAGTCAGCGCCCCCAAATGCTGCCATGGCTAGTAAACGCCTTGCCAGACGATTCCACAGAAAAAAGATCGAACAGAGAAGAAGAGATAACACAAAGTATGCCCCATCCCGCCCTGATGCCCAAACACCCCTGTATATGGCCAAATGACAGTGCCTGGCTTGGGGTGATAAGAAGGGGAGAAAGAGAGGATTGGAATTTGAACGGCAGAATGAAAGAAGAGAAATGTGTGATGGCCGTAGATAAAAACGCCGTAATACAACCAAAAACCGATAAACCGCTTCCAAAAGACAAGTCCATCAGATACTGCACCAACAAAGCTAGGCGAAAACCGGCCACAATAAGGAGGGTAATCTTCCCGAGGGCATGACGGAGTCCTCTGTAGTTCAAACCCTCCCCCCATCCCCACCAAACCCCCCACCACCAAGCCCTCCACCAAACCCAGCCCCGGACACATGCTCCGCATGCCACGTCAAAAAGTCTCCCAGGTCATGGCTGAGGTTGAACCCCATCGGCACCATGTACTCATTCCCCTCAACGTCATGGCTCACCACCAGATCCATCATGGGGCTCTGCGGCAAGCTCTGCACGCTATCCACGCTCGGCCGCCGGCTCTTTTCCGAGTCGATCGCCAGCCCGGCGTGATTACGGTTGCGGCTCTCTCCTCCAAAGGATGCCGATGCCGATGGTGGGAAACCATAGCTGTGCATAGCATGGTTGTATGGTGTCGTTGATGCCCGGGGCGTGGTGAAAGGTTGTTGTTGCGGTTGCGGTTGCTGGTGATGGTGATGGTGGCCAAAGGTGGTGCTGCTCGCGCTGCGGCGGTGTCCTCGCGCATACCCGGCGGTCCCCGGCGCGGGGTGGAGAAGAGACGACGACGACGACGATGATGACGATGGCGCGGCCGGGGGAAAGAAGCGGCCTGCGATGGAGTCGCTGCCGAACGAGGCGGCCAAGTAGGGGCCTGGGTAGTTGTAGGACTCGCTTGTTTCCGGCGGGTCGATCCTCCTCATTATCCCCACCGGGCTGCGGGTGCCGCTGACGGTTCGCGGGCTGCTGTTAGGGGTGGACGGGTTGGGGGACGGAGGGGCCAGGGTTGGCGTGCGCGGCAGGACGGGCGTCCACGGCTGCTGGAGCCCCGGGGTGCGCGGGTATGTGTCGCTGGGCCCAACCAGGGAACCGGCGCCCTGGAAACCGAAGCTCGCAAACCAGGATGTCAGCCCCTCGAGCTCGTCGAGCTCCGCCTCCGAGGGGCGCGAGTAGTCGGTCGGCTCGCTGAAGAAGTCGCCTGCGCCGCCGAGGATGGCCATCTGGAAGGCGGTCCAGTCGAGCGTGTCGTCGACGGCCGCGGCCAGCTTGCCGATGGGCAGGTCGGCCTTGGCCAGGCGGATCTTGCCGTGTCGGAAGGCCGGCATGGTCAGGGTGTAAGGGGTGCTGTTGAGGTAAACGTACTCGTCCGGGTTTACCTTGGTTGCGGATCCGGGCTGCGACGCTGCTGGTGTCGGCGAGAAGGCGGGCTCCTCGGGGCCTGTCGTCATGATCTCGGGAATGGTGGGGAGAGGAGGTAATTGTCTGCTTGGCATGCGACGGTGCATCGGAGGCTTCATCGGCAGCGGCACCATGGGCGACGACAGATGCTCGGCCTTGGCCGGCTGGCGCTGGGGGATTTGGTCATCCTCGACGCCCATGATCGGCAGGTTCCCTTCGGTTGGCGAATCCGGTTGCTGTAATGGCAGCGATGGTTGTTTTTCCGACTGCCCTTCGGCTTGTCCCTGCCCATTGGACCCATCCTCTGTCCTTGTCACTTGTGCTGCCGGCAGCGGCGTTGGTGTTTGGCAACCGTCCCGATTGATCTCCATTCCCTGATTCACCAAAGAGGCACGAGGCGTCGCCATGTCCTCCTCTGCCACTGGGTCGAGGGACTCGTCGAGGCTCAGGGGCTCAATGGGTGTGGCGGCTGCGCTCTTATCGACGTGTGTCACGCCCAACTCTGGAGACCTCGTCCAATGGGCTGCCCTACTCATCCGGATCTCGCGCAAGGTGCTCTCTGGGAGCATCTCGTCGACTTCAATTCGGTGAAAGATGCGAATGGTAAACAAGTCTTTGGCGCTTTCGGTCAACTGCCACATGGACGATTGCCTCACCGGCGCACGTGGCCGCACTCTCCGCGACTTCTTTGACTTTGCCCGCTTTGGCCTCGAATTAGAAGGGAGTCGGGCTTGGGCGGGCAACAAAGCGTCCTTCTTGGACGCTTTTGTTGGAGACTTGGCCGACTTGACGGAGCCCTGGCTGCGCCTCTGCGACTTTCTGCGCACCGGAGGGGACATGGTTGTTGAGTTCTTGGGCTTGAATAACTTGTCCAGCTCATGGTCGGATAGTTTCGCGTTGCTCAACGTTTTGCTTAGCTTAGACTCCTCGTCCATCTGGGTCGTGGGCGTGAGAAGCTGGACATCCGGGGAGAGGGCGGCATTGTTGCCTTCAATGGGCGTTTCTGTTGGTGGAGTTACTGTGATTGCTTCGGGAGATGTCGGCTGGCTGCTGGCGGCGGTCGCGGAGGTCGAGGGGGCCGTGTTCGGCGAAGTCAGCGGTGTTTCCAGCGCCATGTCGACCTGCTGGGGAGGAGATGCAGGTGGCGTTGGGTGCAGGTGTTGAAATGAGCGAGCCGAGATTGGGCTCCTGCCTCGCGGATGTTGGTGATCATCGAATTGCTGTGGGAGGAGAAGTGGACTTCTTTGGGGACTCCTTTGCGGGCTTCGCTGGGGGCTCATCAGGGGACTTGCCAAAGGAGTCCTGTCGGGTCGGCGCGGAGGCGAGGAACGTGGGCTGGTGCCATTGTCAATGCTGCACAAAGAAGTGGTCGACGACTGCGGCGTATCCGGTAGCGGCGGAATGCAAATGATGCGGTGCAGGTCCTCACTCCGGCGAATATCGATGCTCGGCTTGGACCGCTTCATCAGCCCCATGGGCGGTCTCCAAGTCTTGATCTTGCTGAGTGTGTCCATGTCATCGTCGTCGTCGTGGTAGAAGTACGAGCCCTCATAGTCCTCCGGTCCATCGTGCTTCTTCTGGGGACTCGGGATGAGCTTCCGGATGCTGAAGGTCGGCCGGGACAACATGGTGCTGTCTTAGGAGGGTCTAGAAGAGGAAAGAGAAGAAGGAGCCGGGGGCAGGGGGGTAGGACATGGCATGTGAATATGAGTAAGAGGGTCCAAAGGCAAGGTTGTGTCTCCGGTCACCGCATTGCTACTGCCAGTGAGGAATGTGACGGCAAACCCAACAGAGGGGCACACGGGGAGAGGCAGGTAGAGAAATGGCAGAGTCGCTGGGAAGCGCAGGGCCGGAGGCGCGGGGGGACGGTATGGGTTTGCTGCGATATTAGACAGAGCGGCACATGGCGGTCTTGCAGCATAGCATGCCAGTCGTCTCCACGAGAATCACACCCGCTAGGTCCGCCTCGCCCTGCCACTGGCTCCCTGCCCCCAGCATGTACTGTTACACCCCGAGTGTGGCGTTGACCATAACCAAACCTGCAAAGAAATGTAAGACCAGGCCCTGGTCTTGCCAAGAGGACCGGGGGCGGGCACACCCATGACGGTGCCGAGGAGCGGGTGAGGTGCTGGTGAGAGTGACCCCTCACATCCTAGATTCGTATTTTTGCAAACATTAAAGCAATTGAGCCTAACTGTTTGCGAGCCGTGGTTGGCCCTGGCCGTCCGTAAGTAAACGTATGGAAGAATAGGCGTGCCAAGCTGCGCCATGATACGACGAGGAAGCTGGCTGTTGTCCGCGGCGACGAGCAACCTGGTGAGCTATGCTGTCGTGTCCGTTGCAGTAAGATAGACAACGCCCAGCGGCCGGGAGGGCTTTTCGCAAGCAGATCGACGCGAAACCTAATGGAGAAGGTCCTTGTACACTGATCCTGGGATTCTTCCGAGCCTGCAGTGCCACCAAGATCCCGCTGAGATCGCACAGCATCCTGCAACCTGGCTGGCTCCGATGTCGTGCCATCGCGGGTCTGGTGCTCGATCGGAGCCCTCTTCAGCTCACAGGCAACAGATTAACAGGTTCCGAGGGACAAGCCACCCATATAGTCGTCCCATACTCCTCTCCAGTGCACTTAGAGAGGAGCACCCCGGCCGTCGCCGGACGAGAATGAGGTGCTCCGTGTAATGTTGGTGTAGTTGGCCGCGTGCAGACAAGTTGACAACTTTGGGACGAGCCTCAAGCCGGCAACCTACTCATTGACCAGGGCTGACTGAGCCGTGGCACCTTCTTCTCAGGGTGCGTCGGGTGTTGGCTCTGTTGGTCATTGAATTGGGGTCCTTCCTACGCGGCTTCGAGCCCCGGAATGCTGCTTCACCTGGCATGGCGAGGGCACAGCTCCCCTACTAACCTGCGAGGCAGGCAGCTGAATCACGAACATTACAATCCAACCCTGGTTCGTTCGTTAGCGTGGCACATGGCGGGGCACTACCTCAAGACACGGATGAATCAAGGGATGTAAGAAAACATGGAAAAAATGAATAATGGAAAGTAAAGACAGAAAAGTAAGTAAGAGAAGAGAAGAGAGAAAGAGACGGACAAAGACAAAGAGGAAGAGGAAGAGGAAGGAAGCAAAGGAAAAATACGAGTGAGTCAAAGTGAAAGAAGATGAGGTGTAACCCTACACATGAACTACCTAAGTTCCGCGCTAACAAACAAACCAGGTTGAGTCATAACTGTGGTAGAAACTCGGCTTGCAGGTCTACCGTAGCTGGTTTTGAGGGAATTGTCCTGCATGGCGAGGTCCATCGGTGGTTGAGTTCAATTGAAAACACCTAGGATTGCCGACTGATGAATGTCCGAGAGATATTCATGGTTACGGATATCGAAGAGACCATGGACCGTTGATCTGGGGGCTGATGGGTTTCCTGGCCTGGCAGGGCTGCCAATTCGAGGATTGGCTAAGGTATTCGGATGAGAGCGGCATGGCAGTTCTTTGCAAGAAATTGCCCCGCATCAAGCAAACAGTGTGCAGCTTTGAAGTGCGCACTGGCTTAGCTTGCTGTTCCGGAATCCGATCGACTGAGACGAGCACTAGCACTCGGTTCCTCGCCAACAGGCCAGCCGCACTGTGCACGATCCGTGGAAACCGGGCACAAACCCAATTCGATGCCTCCGATGTTGATGGCAAGGCCTCAGGCAACCAATTACCAAACAAACGAGCGCTCAAGACACCGCCTCGAGCAAACATTAACGAATTCGCAGAGAACCTGGAAGTCTGTCGTTGAGTCCAATGCGCTAGCTCCGCATGCCTTATCAAGCCTCACTTGCCGGACATACTGACTGGTGGGGAGCTTTCAAACTGGGAGTCACTGGACCACAACGGTGATGTGATTTCGAGCTCTGGCAGGAGCGTTTCTTTACAGTATTACCTGTACTGGGAGTCAAGAAGCTGAACCATCTCGGTCTTGCCCACACACACGTGGATCGGCCTTACAACAACCAACTTTGAAGGGAAAACTCCCGTCGCTTGGATTTTTGGGTGGGTTCCCACCGAACGACGCTATTTTAGCCCCCTGCGGGCGGGTGATTACCCACTAGGTTCCGAGAAGACGGGAAAACGGGAGCCGACCTTACCGCCGACATTGACGGGATGGTCTCCGAATAGGTACTCTGTACCCTAACAAAACGCCGAACAAATGGAAGGACAGGTTCCCCAGTAGTTAACCGCCCCATCAGCGATCCGAGTACATTACCACTCCGATGCGACCGCCTCAAGGGTAATCGAGATTGACGTGGACGGGAACCAGCTGCCATCTCTCAGGTTCTCCAGGCAACAGGTTTACAGTGCTATCATCAAATCGACCATTGCCCATCTCCTCCTTTCATTGTGCAGCACACCATCTCGACTGCAACTGCCGCGATAGTGCATGCAACGCAAGCGCCCCAGCCAACCAGAGTTCCAGTCTCCGCGGGCATCGAGCGCACAAGCGCAAGCTTCGCCACAATCACGCAGCATTCATTGAATCGTCTTGATCAGCACTTGCCTGATCAGGAACAGCGTCGAGACCAACCTAGCCGCGCAACCAAGCGTCCCGTTCCTGACTTGCGCGCTCGCTGTTGCACATGGCAGCCGCCGTCCTACGGCTCTCTCCAGTTCCGCCGGCAGGAGCATCGGCATGGCGTTGCGATAGGATTCAAAGGCCCACCGCCTAATTCGACCAGCGACCATTGCACGTGGCGTCTTATAGGAGAACACATATTTTGCTTACTCGGAACTGTCGAAGCCTACGGAGCTCAGTACAACCTCGATGCCTTCGCACCCACCCACCCTTTCGGCCCTGGTCAAACCTGATTTTGTCTGACCAACCTTGAAATGCGGTCCACCACTCGAAGGATCCAGGACTCCGTGTACTTTCGTTACATCGAGTGGTGAGAAGGATTACACGCCGCTATTTGGATCAAGAAGCCAGCGCCGTCACCATCGAAGTTCGAGAGACACGTGCCGACAACGTTGAACACCGATCCGGCCACCCCAGAGACTCTGACCGCAAAGCATGGCCACCAAGTTCCCGATGACATCCCTTGATGCCGCGCCAATGGCGTTGCTGTTTCAGAATTCGGTACCTGGGCTTCGCCACAGATCACTCATGTCAATTGTCCAGCCAGAAGGCCAGGAACTCTCCATCTGCCGTTGGATCCATTCTGCGACCCGTCTCCCTATCACAGATAATCCCATCGCTCTGGGTCTCAGCCCCATTGGCCGTTGATTGTTTCCCGACCAAAACCAAGCCGGAAACTCTTGGCCTACTACCCGCTGCAGCATCTCATCGGAGAGCCGAAACCCAGGGTGACAGAAAAGCCCTTACCCGCCTCCCGCTCTCTTAACTATGCTCCAACGTTGCCCTGCTGCTTGGTCGGTGTAAGGCTGATTTGCTGCTGCTATGTATAGAACCGGGTAGCCCGCCATCGACTCCGACCTCTTGGCCGGACCCGGGGATCCGCCAGTTCGACGTGACACCGCCGCGAGTGTTCCTCATCCAACCTCCATGCATCCAATTCTCCGAACCCAGCTGGATCCGCGGACATCGCCATGCCGTGCCCGGCTGATTGTTATAGTGAACACAGCCCTATCTGTCGGTCCTCCAAGTGCGCATATGTTCTTCCGGGCTCGGTTTTCGGGTCCCCCACTCTCTGGTGCTTTGGCCCAACTCCGCCGGGATGCGTCTCAGCGGCCGCTGCCGGCGTTGACCGATGATGTCCACGACGACGACGGCGGTGACTGTGACGGAAAGTCAAAGAATCTCGTTCGCCTTCCGCATGTCCCTTGTCGTGGTTGTCTTGAGGAAGGACGACGCTGCGTGCGTTGGCGTGTGGGCATATTTCTTCTTGAATGGGTCGGAAGTCTGCTCATCGAGCTCGGGGCGCCAGCATCGATACAGGGATTCGAATGTGGACTTGATCACGCCGAGTGGCAAGCAAGTCCTATGTGCTTCACGCACATCCCCTTCCCTTTGCCCAACATCGCGGTAGTCGTCGCGCGTCATTGTGCGGGTTGTCTGGGCGAGAACGGGTGACTGGGGATGGTCGCACCCAAGTCACAGGATGTTGGCAGAAACCAAACAAAGTTATTGGGGAGGAAGTGCTCAAGGTTACGGGGGATTCAAGCGACTTCCCAAGGAATCTCACGTATATATCGAGAAGGTCCATTCCGATGAACGCGGGAGGAAGGCAACATTCCTGCGCACCGCTGATATAAGTATGGCAGAAAGGGCACAAGTTCCAGCGTATATCATGCGCTGATTTCAAGGACATCTGCACCTCTGCGGACGAAGACGCCATTAGCTAGCTCTCCACATCCATCAACTGCGATTGGTAGGGCAGCACCGAACGGAGGCCTACTCAGAGCTGCATGCGGAGTTCCAGAACCCACCTCCAGCTGCAAACGCGACATGACACTGCAGTCCCAAACTACCGGGAATGCGGCAGAGCCTCCTCGCCTGCGCCGAAGAGCGCGAAATTTGAGACAGATTTCCCCATCCCTCTTTTTCGCCAGCCCTGCCCTCCCATTTTTTTGGGGGGGCTCCAGACTCGTCTTTTCCTGCTTTCCTCCGCCGCAAGGCTCTCAACGCAGTGGATTGAGGTGCAGCAGGGAACCGAATGGAGTAGGAAACATGAAACAGGATAGGCTGCAAGTTCGGAGCTCCGCTGCGCTGCGTGCGTGGTCATCCGCATGAGCTTGCACCCGGGTGACCGACATGCACCTGAATGCAGCCAGTGGCGGGGTGAGCTTGACGCCACAGTTGGGCGCGAGCCGGCTGAAGGAAACGGAGGAAGTCCTCCAACGAACCAGTCAATCTGTAGCGTCCCGTGGGAAGCTAAAGAGGGACGAATTGGGTTGGATGGCCCAGGTTTCTTTGCTCCCGGGCTTGTTCTCGATGGTCTTGTTCTGCGACGCTTTCTATTGGCGACGACATTTGTCTGTGTTTTGAAGGAGAGGAGGAAGAAGAAGGCAAGGGATATTCGTTTGAGAGCAAGGCAACAACAAGAAAAGAAGAGAATACAGAGAGCGAAAGAAGTTAATAACATGCCGAAGATGACTGGCTGGTAGTGTCCTTCTTAGCCAAACAAAGTTCCCCGACGTTCGTACGTCAACAACACCAGTTACCCACCTCCATCTCCCATCCCTAGCGTCGTGCCATCTAGCACATGGCGCCGGACGGTGACCTGTTTCTCGGCGTTCTCTGCAAACCAACCACTAGTTCTTCACCACTCCCTTCCACAATACTAGATCGTCATGGCACCCCACCGCTCGGTAGTCAGATCCGAAAAAGGAAGCGCGGCTTGAGTCTAGGATGCATAATGCGTGATGGGGCACAAACAAGGTTTGCACCGGGAGTCAGGAGAGCCGGATCTGGGCAGCCTTGCGCTGTACTACCGGCAGATGATACATCGCTAGAGAGGGTGTGTGTGGATGGATAGCGGTCGGGAGTCCTCGCCAAGCTCCTCGTCGAGTTAGCTTTCACGAGACGCACTCGGTGACAAGAAGCAAGACCTGTGTCTGTTGCGGGCTCTCTGGGACCATGAAGGTTAACGGATAGGAACGGATGGCAAGGACCGAGACACCGAGACCGGCAGCCCATAGTTTCCTTCCCCACGCCTCACACGCCCTCCCTCCCACTTCTTGTTGTCCATCCCTTCGGTGATGCTTCCTCAGCCATAGGCCCGCCTGTACGCTTTGCTCACTGGCGACCAGTGACATGGCGACGGTAGCGAGCAACCTCCATGTTGGGATCGGAGGGGTTTACCGAGCTTCCCGAGCGGAGGGAGACAGGAGGCTAGGTGGGCACAGATCTCTCTGTCCGCATATATCTGCGTAGTGACTCTCTCTCACTAGAATTACTGAAGCGTCATGGTGAGATATGTGGAGTGACAACTGAAGGCAAAGGCCGCTTTGGACCATTTTCTCTCAACCGAATAACGCAGGTAGAGAAGAGCACAAACTGGCCATCCTAGCTCAACCTCAAGTTCAAATGAAGTCTAAATTGTGACCAGCTTAAACTTCCCCAGAACGACTCCTTTAGTGAGAGCGGAAAAGAAAAGGCGACGGCAAAAGAAGCGAAAAGCTGGCCGGCTAACCCTGTTCGCAGGTCGAAGACAAGTAGCCGGCTACGAAAGGCCTCCGGATGGTTTACTTCGCGGCGATCAATGGAGGTGGCGCTTGTCGTCATTCTTGTTGCCCCGGGACTGGCTCACTGGTGACCCTAGCAGTACGCACATCCGGATTCCAAAGCACCGGGCGGGTGACCACGGCCATTAACCATTAGGCTATTATTGGCTGTGATTGTTGAGATTCGAGACCAAGGGCCTTCTATTAAAAAGCACTAGCTGGTGCTGATGGGCAACGCCCCAGGAACGCAGTTCGATACCATGCCAAAACACATGACACGCAACGCTGGGACGGCAGAACGGTCACCAAGAAAGCCCCCAAGGGGGTCCCCTTTAACAATCAGCAACCACGAGACCAGCAAGATGGGCACAAGAAGTTGGCTGCAGATCTCTGTCAATCCTGTAAACACGGCCTTGATTAATCTCAGAGCAACACCCAGTCGTACCGCCAGATCGCCAATCAAGATGACGGCAATGAGCCTCGTCCCAACAACACCTACAACTCCATCTCCCCTCCATCCTGCCCCTCCTCCTCCCCCGCCTCGTCACCCCCTTCTTTCTCCCCTTCATCATCATCACACACGGCATACGGCACAAACCGAAAGTCCAAAAAGCTCGGTCCGGACCCCTCCACCTCAACCATGAACTGCATACTCAGCACGCCCTGTCCGTCCCCGCGAAGGCTGACCTTGCTGGCAATGCGCATGGCCTCGCAGGCCGACTTGATCATGTCAAACTTGAACGTCTGCACCCACCGCGCCTGCACGGCAAACGTCTCGAGCAGGTCCCGGCCCTTGGCAAAGTCGACGCTGCTCGAGCCCAGCGGGCCGCCCGAGCTGGTCAGGCGCAGGTACGGCTCCCTCCTGCACGCGGCGAGCGTCAGCTTCTCAGGCTGCGTGGGCGCCAGCTCCGTCAGCGCGTCCAGCAGCCAGCGGGCCGACGTGATGATCTTGAAGGAGAGGTCCTCGATGTCGAAGGGTATGTCGTCGGGCGCCTCGGGCACGTACGTCGTCAGATTGCACGTCGTGCTGACGCCGGCCTCGTCGAGGACGATGCTGAAGGGCTCGCCTTCCTGCGCGTACGACAGCGAGCAGGTGCCCGACATGCCGAGGGTCTGGTTGGAGAAGGCGTCGGAGCGGTAGTTGCGTAGATTGCTGCGGTAGGGGTCGACGTCGGCTTTGGCCTGGCGGGCGGCGGCGTCGGCGGCGCCGAAGATTTGCAGGGTTTCGAGGAGGGCAGGGAGGGATATTTGGAACGTTGGGGGTCCGGGCTCGTCGTCGTCTTCGGCGTCCTCGGCCGAGGATGCGGCTTGGGTAGGCTCTGCGGGGAGATTGCTGGTGTAAGTGGTGAAGAGGCTCTTGCTCCAGTGTGCGACCCCTGAACAAAGTCAGCATCCAGAACTTCGTCGAGCGTGGGAAACAAACTCACCCTGCATCACCCGGGCATGGTCGGCGGCAAACCTGAGGCCATTCTCTGTAATATCGACGTGCACCTTGTTTGTGAAATTGATGGCCTTGAGGAGCTGGTACAGCGGTCTCGTAGAGCTGGCTACCGCCCGGAAGAGAGGGGGAGCGGGAGCGGAACCCTGTGTTTCCATGGCGAAGTGAAGAGAGAGCTGGGTTTGCGGAACGCGAGAAGACTCAGCACGGTTTCTGCTTGTGCGCAAATCGACTTCGTTTCAAGAATTTCTATGTATGGTACAGGCTCGGCGAGACTTTTTGGGTATCTTAGACGTAGACTCCAACCGCACAAAACATGTAGACCACGCCAAACCTGCCATGTCTGTCAGCCCCGCTCGAAGATGGGATCATGGCTGGTGGAGGGGCAGTGGACGGGCAGTGGACATACGCAAGAGCCAGAGCTGCCGGGACCGCAAGGACGGGCAGATTCACAACCGACCTGTCTACACGAACGATGGTTAGATTTGCAGCTGGAACAAAAGTCGACAGAGATGCACAGGACTTACTCAGAGCAAATGCACCGCCCAGCGAGAAACCGAGAAGCAGCAGGATGAAGGCAACGAGGAATTGACTGCTCTTTCCGACAGTGGGAACAAAGGGCGAGCCAGCTGCGGCCTGCCAGACCTCATGCAGTGATGAATCCATGTGCTGGGGTTAAGAATGTCCCGTGGCAGCAGTTGGAAAGCACCTCAGACCGAGAGGACGACGCGAGTTGGTGTTGGTGGTTCGCAAAGGTGAGTTGTCTTGGGCAACAACGGATTGGACAGCTTTCGATTCAATCGGTTGCTGCCCAGGCTTTGTCAATTGAAGCTTGGCGCAGACAAGGGAACCCGGCCTTGCTCGGTCAGCGGCGGGTCGAATCGGGGATTTCAAACACCCCCGACGAATACGGTACCTTACAACCTTCGTACATGAACGTCTCCTCCTCCTACGTGTTCTCCATTTGACATTCTCAGACAGGGTCATGGTGCAGCTGATGAGCTTCAGTTGCTGGTGGAACTTTTGAAATCATGTCTATGACCACCCGCCTCTTTGAATATGCGCCGCTAATACTTTTCCCGCTGAAAGTAATCTGGCCGGATGGCTGACCTGGCCAATGTTGGTTGTGTCAATTGTCTTCGTTACAAGCAGCACAAGCAACAGCGACTTAGAGAAGGCTTATAGTCTGTTTGACTGCTACTGCAGGAAATCCAGTCAAGCGGCAAATTACCGTCAAGTGAGCACTTTCCCCAAGCCCATAACACGGCTGCGCGGCCCAAGCTGCTCCTACGCGGTCCATCAAACCAGACTGGCATCCACCATCGCAGTTCATCCATCCATCATGAAAGTTGTTAAAACAGAGCTGGAAGGGTATCTCGATCCACCAAGTTCAGAACGCCGAACAACGATTCGAATCCGCCAAATGCCGTATCCAAGAGAGAGTGTGAGGCAAGGAAAAGGAAGAGACGAAGGAAAAGAAGAAGAAAGGAAGCCTGGTCCACTACTGTGGTTCTCACTGGTTGACTATATTATAGTTCACCCGATATACGGGGTATGACGGTTGTCGAGGGCGATTTTGACGGAATCGCAGTAAAGTTCTAGGCTCAACCATCAGCAACCCATCCGAAAACATTTTCTGCACAACTACACTGGGAGAGACTCTCACCTGCGATCTTCCACCTATTTGCCACCTTGTCGAGTGTGCTCTTCAGGTGGCGGACCTTGTCGAGCCAGCCGGAGTCCTGGAGAGCGCCGTCGCCATGGTGGATGAGCAACAGCGAGGCGTAGCACATGGCGAATGCCCAGGACGGGCCGATGGCGCCCCTCTTCAGTCGATCTTGGGACTTGGCGAGGCTGCCCGCCTTGTCGTGGATCACGTCGATGACGGTCCGGATTATCCCTCGGGCGGCTTCGTCGTGAGTCGGGTCGACGCATGGTATGGAGCCGATGCCGCCGAAAAGGGCGGGCTGGTTGAGCTTCAGCAGCGCGCTGCAAGGAGAGTCACATTAGCCAAACCTTTGTTTTCTTGAAGCCGGGCGCACCGGGTTGAATCTTACATCAAGTCCGTGCCGACGGCTGCGTTCCGATCGCCGGCCCTCCACCTTGCAGACGCCGTGAGCCGTGCGTGCTGCCAGATTTTGTCCGAGAGCGCCTTGGAATCGATGCCCGCCTGCGTAGGGTTTGAGAGCTGCTGCAAGACAAGGCTGAGATACCAAGCCGAGGTGGCCTCGGGGAAGACGATACCCTCAATCACGTCGCTGTTGGGATCCTGGAGCGCCTGGTTCTGGACTCCGAACTGGAATGGGACGCTGGTGAGAAAGTGTTGATCAAAGGCCTCCGGACGGGGTATCACGGAGAATGGAGCCAGGTCTGTCGTGTGCATCGGGTACGATTGGTGTTGGTATGCGATGTTCAGGAGGCTGCGATACGCAGTTAGCCCTTGGCTGCCGGCCTGCTGAGAAGAGCGTGCTTACCAGTCGATATAGACAATCGCCCACCACAGGATGGACTTGAGCTTCAGCTGTCTCAGCATGGTTGGCTCACCGTGTTCGACGGACGACCAAAAGGCGCTATCGTGCCAACCAAGCGCCCTAGTCATTTGGAAGCAGCGTCCGAGGGACAGATAGGCCTGCTGGGGCATCGAGTGGGAGAATTCGTACAGGGCGACGAGGAGCTCGGCCTGCAGCAGTGGGACCGACATGGGAATAGGAAGTTCGCTCTGGACGGCGCTCAAAACGGATTTGATGGAGGTGTAGGTGGCATCTGCCATGCCCCTGCCCTGCTTCTGATTCGATGGGAGGGCGACGAGGGCCATGCACAGCACCATGATGCTCGTTTCGGCCGACAGATCGTCCCAGGTGCTCTCAAGTTGCGCCTCGAAGCTAACCCTCTCGATGATGGTGAACCAGGTGTTGATGCCGTCAAAGTACAGTGAGACAGCATCCATTACTTTGGACTTGTTGTGGTGGATCTCCATGAGAGTGCCATAGGCGTATGTGTCGATGTCCTTTGCTGACGAGATTGGGCTGAAAGCGCCATCATCGGACGGGTCCTTGTACTCGCAAATCCGATTTGCTCTGTGGAGCACGAGGAGACGGTCAGTTACTGTGCAGAAAACAGGCGGCGGGGAACGAAGGGGGACTTTACCTGGCGCATTTACCGCAAGGGAGTTTCTTATCACAGGCTCGCTTGAGTCTCTTGCACTCGAGACAGCTATGCTGTGGCTTCGTTGCCGTTGGGGAGGTGGGTGGGGATGAGGAGGCGACAGACATGTTGATGGTGTGTTATGTTGGTGCTGTAGGAGGTATTGGCCGGCCGTTGATGTGGTCGCCAGTCAACCAACGGCGCAATTATAACGTTCAATGGCCGTGTGCTTGTGGACCATGATGGCCAGTAGAAGCAGTGAGCATCCGACATGTTTTTAAAGGAAGGACGTGGACTGGGAATCAAGTGAGGGAACCCCGAATGAGTGCTATTGTGATGGAATATGCATCCATACGTAGCTATGTCTACAATTTGCAGGGGTTACGGTCTGCGGCTGCAGGGGAGGTTACTGCGGCAATGTTTCAAGAGGGGCACAGCACCATTCGAGTCGACCAACCGAGCAGGCCTCACGGGAATTTCGCATCCGGACGGGAGCCCAGGCCAGGTCCAGTGTCGTGCAGGTGATGCTCTTGGCTCTGAGACCATTGTCGGCTATACAGCCAATGGTTGGCCTGATCTGTTTTGGCGCACAGCCACCTCACTGCGATGCTGCCAATTCCGGGAACTCAATGTGGATCATCGCGTCTACCAGCGTCTGTCGATCGGCCAGGGCAGCCGATCGACCCATTGAAGTGCACGAGTCAATTTCTCTAGCTTGAAGCCAAGGTAGGATATGTCCAGCTGCCAGATAGAAAATGAGCTCAAGGGATCGAGTCAAGACTTCTCACAAATATTCAGGTAGTCGTCCCCAGTCCCTGGCAGCGCACCTCAGGCTCGAGACTGCCATACTCCGTAATTACTGTGTCAATTCTCAAAGCTTTCAGCGCATATTTAGAAGCACCTTTGGCCGCTGTTCAAAACCTTCCTCGAACTTCCAGCTCCATCCTCTCCATCGTTGGGCTTATGGACGTGGCCCTCGACGGAAAAAAACAGGCAATGCCTTGTCCTGGAAAGCGGTAGGTCGCGCTTAACGGAGTTTGGCGGGGCTTAGAGCAGGGACCACGTCGATGTAATGGGGCAATCGCGCCTGAACCCCTGACCCTCCCCAAGGCTAACGACGGTACGGTACCAACCGTAACAGCGATGGAAAGTGAACGGACCGTAATGCCCGCAAGAGGGACAAGCCGAACCCTCCCTATATCGAAAGCATTAGCTTATGAGAAGATATTCAGCAAATAATTACTTTTTATTTGCACCTATATCCTACGGAAAAGGAATCGCCGTTTTTTCTGGTCCCGCTGTTAGATCCCGCAACGTCTCGTTCCTTATAGTCCGATGACGATCGGGCGGTCCCGGTCGCCCCACCATTGCTGAGCAAATCCCAAGAGCCTGGGCCACATGCTGGGCCACAGGCAGTGAGCTTTGGGAATCAACTCTGGCCGCTGCAACAGGCCCCTGCAGCAAATCCAAGCCACAACCGCCTCTTTTCGCACCGATCCTGCGACGTCAGTGTTCCCAGTGTCACACACATAGGCCTTGGCATCTCGACACCTTGGGTTGCCTCGGAGAGACCAGACCACAGTTACCCCCCACTCAATCCACAAACACCGCCATCCACAACCTCCAACCCCCTCGAGTCCCGACCCAGGCACGACGCGCGATCATGCACGATCCCGCCGATCGAGTTGCAGGTGGCTTGTGTGCACACTCGGGAGAGGCTTTCAAACCCGCCGGCTTGAGTTTCTCTGCCGGAACTTGAAGCGGCCGGTGGCTTAGACTAGCAAGCCCAATACACATGTCTACATATCATTCACCAATCTCTCCCCTAAAACCTAAAACCACCCCAACTGACCGATCCATAACCTCCTTCCCACTTTCCCTCTCGAACGGGCTGGGTCGAAGACAGGTGGCTATGATGTGCAAACGCGTCATTTTCATCTGCGTGTCCGCTCGATTCCATGGATGCGTTGTCTGGCATGGAAGCGCCAGCCATGCTTCCAGGTTACTCGGCCGCCGTCCAGCCCCGATCCCAATTCTGCCGGCGATTCGAACAGCAACAGAATCTGACACGACCAAGATTCAGTAACCACACATTGAAGCTCAGAAAACGATATATCATTCTGGATGTCGTTATTGCCTCAAACATATCCATGACCCTTCCAGTCTCCCGCACCACCCTCACAAACCACCGTTGGCGGACAGTGAATCAACCCGACCCTCACCCTCACAGCCTCAAATCCTCGCCAATCCCTTGGTGCCCAACCTCGACCTCCAACCCGGGCGTCGGCGGCGGCAGATTCTCCACCTTGGTACACACCCAACAGCTCGCATACATATTGACCCGATCAATGCACCGGCCCGGCTCGCGATCGCCAACCTGCTTGCCGACGAACCCGTGCGCCTCAAACTCGCGGATATACCAGGGCTCGCGGGCGGAGCTGCGCAGCAGCACGCGGCCACCCATCCTCAGCGCGCGGTTGAGCTTGCTGATCTGGCGCGGCGCCGCGGTGCCCCCGCGGTCGAACCAGTCCATGCTGTCCATGACGATGGCGACGGTCAGCGTGCCGGGCGAGATGCGCGCAATGACCTCGTCGATCTCGTCCGTGTGGATGCGCAGGCCATCGAGCGCGCCCGGCCGGCTGAGGCGCGCGTGCGCCTCGCGCGAGAGGTAGTCCGGGTGGCACTGCGGCGAGAAGGCACCCGTCAGGCAGACGAGGTAGTAAGGGTTATCGGTGGCGATGTGGGTCGTCTCGATGACCGGGTCAAGCGTGTTGACCATGTAGTGCCAAATGGCGTGAGCGCGGGTGGGCTTGGCGGTCGGCGAGGGGCCCGTGACGGCTTTGCTGGTGGCGTGGTCCGCCTCGATCATGGCGAGCTGGTTCTTGGGCACGCCGAGCGCCGCCCACAGGAACGCCTCGGAGCTGACCACGATGTTGCTGACGAGCGGGCTCAGCAGAGCGGGGCGGATCTTGGTGTGCCAGATCCGGCGCTGCTCGTCGAGAGCCTTGGACTCCAGGAGCTCTGTGACTGCCCTGCGGCAGGCAAAGATGCGCGAGATCCAGCGGAAGACGCGGATGGCGTGCTTGCTACCGCCCGTGTCGTAGAGGCCTCGGCCGTTGGGGTTGGTGAAGATGGTCACGTTGTCGAGCCAGTACTGGAAGGCACGGCTAGACAGGTGAGGAGAAAGTTTGGACAGGAGCAGTGACCGGAAGTCCGGATGCTTGCCCTCGCCAAAGATTCTCCAAAAGTCCTCGTACGGCAGCTGCGCGGTAAACGCGGCCACTTTGAGCTCCAGGAGGTGGTTCTGGCTCGGATTGAGGTCGATGGCATGGATTCGGGCTGGGCTCTGCATGGCATACGAGAGGATGTTGTCGCCGGCGCTGGTGATGGCCAGCACAACATCGTCCGGACCGAGCTTCAGCAGGTCTGCGTCGACCCGCGAGTCCTCCCACGTGAAGGCGTAGATGTACTCGTCATTGAACTGGGTGTGCTTCTCGAGCTGGTCATCGTAGTAGATCCGCCAATGGTGATTCTGGTAGAAGAAGGCCGGGAGAGGCAGGTTGGCCGACAGGTTGCCTACAGCCGCATCAAAAGCCTTGGATCGGATCTCCGGCGCCGTCCTCTCAACCGCGCGAGTCAGGGCATCCTTCGATCTGGCCCCATTCGCTGGAAGGAGATAAGGAGACTCGGTTGCGAGGGCATCGATGCGCTCAATGATCTCGTGAGGCAGGCTTGATGAGGAGAACGGCTTCTTGTGGCAGCCAAGCCAGATGTAGTAGGGGATCGCGCCAAGTGCGGTATTGCGCAGATTGGCAGTCAGGATGGTCCCCATACGATACTCCAGGTAGTCTCGACGGCCAGGCTCAAGTGAGACCCGGTCGAGATCAAACCATGAGCGCCAAAACGTACGTCCGAGGAAGTTCACATGGCGGCCGACCAAGCCGCCGGTGTAGTTTCGGAAGCTCACGTCCACCTTGGACTGGACGTAGAAATCGACGACACCCATGACGCCGTGAGGCGAGAGGAGCGATTGGAGAGAGTCGATCGCCGAGTGATAGTCAGGCTGTTGAGCGGTTAGTGTATGCTCCAACACTCCCTTCCTCTCCCCTTGGGTCTACCCACAATCATCGACAGACTGTACGACATGGTGACCAGGTCCGCCCCTCCGTGATCGGGTCGGGGCTCGAAGTAGCTCGAGGCAGAACGCGTAGGAGTGCTCCGGCCCCCAGAGTGGCCATTCTCATAGTCCTCCAGGCGGAATTTCTTGGCGTCCTCGCAGATCACCCTCACATTGGACCAGCCAAGTCGGGCGAACCGCTTCCGGGCCACCTCGCAGAGCGAAGGCGAGAAGTCGACTAGGTAGACGGTGGAGAAGAACTCGGGCACGTTGAGGAACTGGGACATGGCCTCGATGTTCCAGCCTGTGCCGCCGCCAACCTGTGGGTCTCGTTAGGCTTGCTGTAACCGCGAGCGCGACAGGGAAATGGAGGAGGCCCACGTCAACCCAGATGCGCTTCCCCCCAGCGTTGCCATCTTGCTTCTCGGCCTTGGAGCGCAGCTGCGCCGCAACGAGGGCGAGCATATCCTCGCGGCCTTTGAGAAGTGTTTTCCTAGTCACATCGTACTGTTCGCAGTATCAGCAATCGTGTCTCTTCCTTCCGAGGGCGAAAGGACAGAGCTGCCGAGTGTTGAAAAAACGTACAGCGCTGGCCTGGCTAGCGTAAAACGATTCTAGGGCACTCTGCTGGTTGCCTTTGGCGGCAGGCGAGTGCGGCTTCAGGAAGCAAGAGTAACAGAAGAGCAAGACCGACTTGATGAAGCTCGGCTCATCGTCGACGGTGCCATCCTGCTGGGGCTTGCTTGAGAGCTGGTAAAAGCCGATGGTAAAGAATACCACGCCGGCAAGACCAGCAACAAAGATTTGGGGGCTGATGATGCTCTCAGGGGGCGAAATGTTACCACCAAGAGAAGCCATGATATTCTCTCATGCTGCTGAGAGGGTTGTAGGGTATGCGAAACAAAGGCACGAGGTGAAGAGCCGGCCAATACAGGGAGCAAGAGGAGAGAAAGGTGAGCTGAGGGGGAGCAACAGATTGGTTTATATACCTACCTCGTGCGCAGCTTGGTAGCTGTCCGGCAGCCGGAAGAGGAGGAGCAGCAGCCCGACTCACCACATAGCGGCTGTCCTGTGAGCGTTGCCTGATCGGCAATGGTATGCTCTCATGGACCCTTCACGCGTCGAAGCAGCGGTCGCTGGCAAAGCGTGGACCGCGAGCCGTGACCCCACAATACCCGGGGTAATTGTGCAGTGGAGGTGTTACGGGCCAATCAGTCCTGCACATGGCATGGTGTATCACGCATGGGAGGTTGACAGCGAGCCGTGTGTCCACAGCGGGATAGACGCAGTGTTGGAGGGGGTATGTATCAAGATGCTGTGGGAGCAACCCCTCCGGGGGTGACATGTAGATTTCTACTGTGTTACAGTAGATGCTGGGCTGAAATGGGATAGCCGGAGCTTGGAGATGTCTTCCGGGTCCTCGGCGGTGTCGTGGTTGACGGAGTAGAAGAAGCGGACAAGAACCACGCAGGACCATCTGCTGTGAAACGCGATCTCTGTCGGGCCGCTTCTGACGATTGATACCTCAGTAGGATACACTACAGGTAGCATACCAGGCCGTGTCCATCGCTGTGAGATGCGGGTGTGGTTGGCACTTGTTGCGGCTGCTGTGTTGTCGAGGGTTGGTACAATACGGACTACCACCTCGATCGACCTCAAGCTTTTGGTGGGGGTAAGGCACTAGGGTCCTCGCGGTGAAACCAATCGGGGAATTGATTGGGCGCACGGGAAAGCCGCAACGGCATCATAGGGTCGCTCGCCCCTGACGAACTGCAGCTCGAATCGCCGGCACCGCATCTTTCAAGTTGGTTCTCGCAGAAGAGCTGCGGCAGAGCAACTGCTGCGGATTGCCACAAGGGATTAAAACTTTCCGTTCCTCATCACCTTCTCGTCTGTGTGCTGCCGAACATGATCCCGGAGGTCTTAAAGGCAGAATGCATACCTCTTGTGTGGATGCCAAAGGTTCAATGGACGTTTGTTGATGAATTTGCGATGAGCGGCGCGACTGGAGAACCGTGTCGACTGCGGGCCGGTCGCCATTCGCCCATGCTGTGTGTTGAGGTCTGGGCTCAAGGTATGGGGAATGTCAGGCAAATCCGTCTCCGACTCCCCCGCGGCTTTCCAGGCTGTTGAGTGGTCCCGTGGCTTCAGTTATCGACTTGGATAAGAAACGGAATGAAGAAAAAGCGGGCCGAGAAGCCAGCCTGCTGACTCATCAATCAAAGCTATGCTCGCCGGCAAATCCCGAGGCCTTTGTGACCCATGTCAGGTCACAACTGCCGCAGTAAGCCCGGCTCGGCCGGGCACCGAGACAAACCAGGATATGGCGTTTCGTGGCCGAGCCCATCATTGGATGTGACGTGCATGCTTTGTGCTGGCAACGACAAAGTCGCGCGACTGACAGCCAAACCAACAGGACGCGCCAGACGCACCAGCTGCCGCATGCAACTGGAGAAGACATCTTGGTGCATTTGCTGATTCTCACGGTGTGTAATCCCGAGGCGATCCACGGCTGTCCAGGATGGCTCCGTCATCGAGCCAGAAGGGGACAGGGAAGAAGGGAGGCGCCAGCGCAATTCGCCAGCAGCAGCAACAGCAACAGCAGCAGCAGCGGAGCCGCAACACCACCCCCGGCCCCGCGCCCCCATCCGCGAACCTCCCACCTTTCGAAACCGTCGAGACCGAGACCATCGACTTGCGCTTCGACGTCTTCCGCAATCTGACCTTCGAGGACATGGTCGATCCCCTCGCCTCGGCCGCGCTGATTCCAGACTCCAAAAGCCTCGACGGGATTCTCACCAGACTGCAGCGCCTCGGCGATGTCATAGAAAAAAGAGGCACTTACTGCGATCGCGGAATGAGGCTGCTCGCTCAGACCCGCAGGCAGCGGATTGACGAGCTGGCCTTGGAGCGGGGCAGGGAAGAAGAGCGGAGACAGCGCGAGGCCAACGACGGCGAGCGAGAGAGGAAATCAAATAAGAAGAAGCGCAAGGGGACGGATGCTTTGGCACCACCCGGCGGAACAATAGGTCAGTCATTTCGCCCTCATGCCTACAGCAGAGCAGACCTGGTCTTGGAAGCCATGGTCATTTTGTTTTCTGTTCTGCTTTATGGGCTGGAGGACCTTGCCCAAGCACATTCATTGCATACCCATTTCTGCACCCGGTGCGGTGACGACGCCGCAACCCATCACTGACATTCGCAAACCAGAGCGCTCGTCCCCTCATCGCGAATCGACCGGAAAAGCGAGAAAACTCTCTCGAGACGACTCGGCCAGCTCTTCACTCTCGCCGCCGGCGCCGCGCACGCCGAGTAATATGGACGTGGACGACAAGACCAAGACGGAAGCCAACGATGACGACTCGAGCTCCGACGATGGCCGCCCGCCGCCCCCAGCCCGCCCGCAAGCCAACACATTTGGCGATGACCCATCTACCTTCCCCGACCCGACCGTCTACGAAATCCGACCTGTGAAACCAGGCATGACTGAGGAGGAAATTAAAGAGATATATTCTGTCGCGTCTTATCCCAAGAGCGACCTGTCCCACCTCATCGCCGGCGACCCCCCAGATAAGGACTTTAGCAATGCCAAGCCTAGTAATCAGATTAACTTTAGCACCTTCAGCGCCTACATCGAGCCCTATTTTCGCCCATTCACCGAGGAAGACCTCGCATTTCTCAGGGAGCGGGGCGACCGTGTGACGCCCTTCATGATGCCCAAACGCGGCAAGAAGCACTATACCGAGATATGGGCCGAGGAGGACGGTGCCATGGCCATTGATTCCTCACCCCCCGGCGGCCGAGACAGACTGCCACCGAACCAGGCCCGTGGCACCATTGAGATGCTGGATGACGAGGTGGCCGAGACAGACAAGCTCTCCGTTGGCCCGCTCCTGTCGCGCCTCCTCCAGGCTATGCGCCCCGAGCATCGCGCGCCCTCGGCCGAAGACAAGCAGGGCGGCGCTAACGGCGTCGGCGGCGATGGCGACAGCATGAACGGTATCGCGACCTTTGACTTCAGTTTCGGCGACAACCCCCCGCCAGCCAGTCAAGCCAATGGTAGCAACGGCATTATATCCCAAGCGCCCAACCCCGACCAACCGCCCCAACCGCAGTCCCTCCCTCCGGCAACCTTCATGCCCGAGTCCAATACCGAAGCCTGGAAAAAAGCCACCCACCCCAAACTCGACTACGCCCAAGTCGACGAGCGCATCAAGCAAGAGCTCCGCCACATCGGCTTCCTCGCACCCCTCCCACAAGACCCCTCCCTCGCCGGCTCCTCCACCACCACTAACCCCACCAACAACCCGTCCAACACCACCGCCCCTCTCGCAGGCCAAGCCATCGACCCGGCGACAACGGCCGAATACGACGGCCACTACGACGACGAGGTCGCCGCGCGCCTGCGCCTGCTCCAATCCCGCCTGCGCGAGCAGGCGCTGCTCAACGGCGCGCGCAAGGCCCGCCTGACCGAGCTCGTCAAGGAGCGCATGGCGTTCCAGGAATACCAGACCATTCTAGAAGACCTCGACTCGCAGGTCCAGGCGGCGTATCTCAAGCGCACGCGGACGATGGGCAAGAAGCCGAAGAAGGCGAGGCCCGGGCAGTCGGCGGCTGCGGCGGCTAGCGCGACTGCTGCCGGGGGCGCGGCGGGGGGCGTGGGTATGGCGAGGCCTGGAATAGGGGATCTTACCAGGACGTTGATGGAGCGGAGACGGAGGTGGATTGAGAGTATTGGGACCGTGTTTGACGACGAGGGGTTGGCCAAGGTGCCGAGGGCGAGTGATACGGATAGTAGCATCTTTAGGCCTGGAGAGATGGCCGAGTTGTTGAAGAGGGAGAGGGAGGCGTGGGATGAGGAAGTTGAAGAGGAGTGATGGGAGCGTTAGCACAATGGTGTTCCGCTTCTCTTGTGCTATTATATCCCATTCTTTGCTGTATTTATGATTAGGGATTTATGCTTTGGTTTGGCTGGGACTGGGTTGGGATGCTGCGGGTTTTTCACCACCTGACTAGCAGGGAATTCCTTGGCGCTCGGTGCTCTGGTTGGTCTTTGAGAGGATAACGATTATGTTTTCGATTGTATACTGGGATGGGTAGTGGGTACGGTGGTGTTTTTCGGCGTACTGAGCAGACCATCATGGCTAGCCTTCTGATGGGAGTTAAAGCTGGTGTTTGCCGTCATGTTCCCGCGAAAAGGGAAGATGGTGGCGCGTTTTCTGCCTTGCCATCATTGCCTACCTCTGAGGGCTGCCCCAATAATAATCTGAACCTCGTTCTCGCATGCGAGTTGGGGTCCGGGAGGATGTGTTCCCGTAGGGTACCGCAGCTCAACGATCAGCACAGCTGAGGAACAGCAAGGAGAGGGTATCTTGCATTGCCATCTGGTTTCGAATAAAGACTTCAATTATAGCCAAAAGAAAATGCAGATTGCGCTCCTCAGTGAAAGCCTGGGCTCCTCAGTTAAAGCCTGGGAAGATCTGGCTGCGTATCCGTTTCCCTTCGTAGCTGTCAGCTTCAGAGCCACTCACTGTAACAATTCATTTCAAGGACAGCTTACAAATGGTCATTCCAGCCTCCCCGTAGTCCGGCTGAAACCCGGCCAACTCCCGCATGCGCTCCCTCGCCAGCGCTGTGGGCGCACCACCCTGGCGACCGGCGCCATCCTGATAACTGGATCTTAGAAGTTGCAGCCGAACTGGCTGTGGCGGGCGATTTCCCGACGGCCTCGGCTGGGCCTCTTGGAGCTCGGTCGACGTCGATGACAAGGGATCGCTACTATGCGCACCGAATATCCTACTTTTAGTCGTTTTCCACCAACCCTGGGGTTTGCCAGAGCAGGTCCCCTCGTCAACACTGTGGAAATCTTCTACACGGCTCCGTAACCGCCGGATGGCGCGCTCCCGACGCACCAGGGCGTTTGTGATCTTGGGACAGTACCCCTCGGGAAGCATGCTGGTTTTGCAGATGGGGCAGAGAGAGCTGATTTGGAGCAGGAACTCGTCGATGCACTCGGGATGGAAGATATGGCGGCATGGGAGCTCGCGGATGACCGTCGCCCGGTTTTCGAAGAGCTCCAGGCAGATTTCGCAGTTGGGCTGGTAGTCAGTGGCCGTTCTTGACCGGGCGAGGGGGCTAGTCAACCCGTGCTCAGAGACTGTGGAAGACATGGGCGCCGTGATACGCAAGGTTTGACCCAAACAGTGTGTCCTGGTGCGAGTCCATGCAGTCTTGGCCGACCGTGGAGAAAGTGGTGGACTGCTGGCTTCTGGCTCGTAATTGTAAGTAAATAAAGGGAACCTTTGAATATGCTCCATTGGGACGGTGAGGCGCTTGATTCCCATAGCCTCTAGGTTAACGTCTCCTGCCATAACGCGGCGTCGCAGACTCGCACGTGCTCGTGCCCGGGCAAAGTGCATAAGCAGCGAAGTCGTAGTGATGACGGTGAGAAGAAGACCGACAATAATGAGAGCGTAGACCCAGGTATCGAAGGCGGCTGTGTGCGTGGTTATGTCCAGTTCAGTCCAGATTCGGAGGTAATCATTGGGACCGCTCAGGAAGCGCTCAGTGATGTTATGGCCAAACGGCACCTCGCTCATGTTTCCCGAGTACAGACTCAAGTGCTGCATCATGACTTGGCCCGCCATGCTTGATACAGCATAGACAGGATAGCCAGTTTCTGTCATCCAGTCGGCGCGGTCTTGGATGTACCAATCAGGGGAGTCGGCGGGTGGCGGTGGGCCAGCGTCAGCGCCCGGCAGGTAGAAGAGAAAAGCGCGGACAGGAGCGGTGAGAGCAGAAGTCAAGTAGGCATTAGCGCAACGGCCGTTAACCCATGGGGCAATGGCGATCAAGTGATAATTCATGGGCGGGAGGTTGGCCTGGTGAACGGCGGACAGAGGCACGTGGTGTGCCGTCTCATAAATGCACGAGTCGTCAGACGGCAGGTCGGGAACGTAGAGCAGACCGGCAATCACGCCGTTCGCAGTGCCGGCGTATCGAGTCGACAGCACGGTGGTGTCTCCCGTGAACCGAGCCGAGTAGGCCATCCCGCTCTGCTTCCGAATTAGTTGGGGAAGGCAACGCTTGGCAGATGGCCGGTTTATGCCATACCGAAAGGGCGCTAATGTTTGTGATGGTGGTGCTCGAAACTGTCCCAGCTCCGTTCCATGATGGGTTACTGAATAAAAGACTGCCATTTTGTCAGTGAAGACCTTATCAGCAAGTCCCAGAGTTTGTGTTTTGTCTCGTCGGCGTGGACAAATCCCGAGGTCTTAGGTTGCCAAGTTCCAATGACTGTTCCATTGCCAAGCTGGAAGTTGGACAAGCGCAGAACTCTGAACTGGGGTGAATCCGTCTCGGGCAACACCAACCGGAAGCATGACGACAAGAGATCGGTATGCTGGCAGCGGCAGACCTGAGCGGCGATGGTGCATCCAGGAGCATGGGGAGGATGGTTTAGAAAGAGTGGCGTACATGACATTGCGAATCTCATCGAGGGCTGTGAGACGTCAGCGGCTGGGTCCTGATGAAGATCAGTTCAAGGGGCGGCGGCCTTGGCGCAAAGCTTGGCTCGGCCAAGATGCATGGCGGGCGGGAACTCACACATTGACATGGTCGAGCATTTCGGAGAAGACTAGCGAGGAATACCCTGTACCATGACAGGCATCACTCTGCCCGGCGTATACCTCAACTCCTGTCGCGTCGAGAGACGGCTTGTCCTGACTCTGGCAGTCCTGTCGCGCTGATTTTACTGTGTAGGTAGCTACCACACGATGCAGAAGAAGGGAAGGCCGAGGAGCCAAGCACCGGGGAGGGGCGCCGGTTTTGAGTGCCAAGAGAATGCGCGGCACGCTTCCAGGATGCTGGAGCTTGTTTCCGACCTCGTGGGGCGGAGTGGATGCCTGCAGGGTCCCGATGACAAGGAGGGCACACAGCATTCACGGAACACACGACATGATCGAGATTTCGCTAGCTGCCTCGCCGTGCAACGGTCCAGGGGGGTTGTCGCTTAGTATGCATGAGACATGCGATGCTTCTTCGCAGGAGGCTCGTGTTGATTCGTAAGCCGGCCCGAAATAGAGTCCGAGCCCTCAGCCCGTTCATATTGCCAGCTGGACCACTGAGGAGAGGGTGCGGATACAAGTCAAGTGAAAGGGCGTTCCTGCGCGGGAGCTGTTTCTGATTGGGAATGGCTACGGGCCAGGCGAACGCGAGCCCACTATTTCGAGTGAACCCTTGGGCCATACCCGCTCGCATCAAGAATCTCACTGCGACATCCTCAACTTCCCCCCCATCAAGCAAAGAACAGAGTTGGTCAGTTTGCCAAAGCCTGTTAAGTCAGCTTCTGAGTTGGTGGTGCTGCTTTTTCTGGCTTGTTCAGCCTGAGCTCCGGCCCTTGATCTAGCCCCACTAAGAGTGGAGCTCTTGGCTACAGCCCTAACCCGCGCTCCTTTCATATCTGTAGGTCAGAAGTGGCGCACTCAGAAGCTCCAGCACTAGAGGCCGCTCGGTTGAAACACCAACGTTTGAAAAACCCATGCACTCCGAAAGTGTTTTCATTTCAATTGTATGGTAGTTGGAGAATGTTTCTTTGGGGGTTGCCGAGGGTCTGAGACTAAAGCAGTTAGCGCGGTTGAAATAGTGACAGGATCAGTCGAATAGTGGGCTCGGGCGAACGCCGCTTGACTACCTTACCGTGGTAATGTGACTTAAAAATGGAACAGATACCAGCGGAAGGAAGTCTCTGCTGCTTTCTTTTCAAGTGTTATCTCTTTGAAGTGGTGCTCTTCATCTATCATGCTGTTTATTACGGGACACAGCTGAGTTGATCTGTCAGAAGGATCGGTTTTTGAAAGAGGCCTGCAAGGTATCTCGACTCGGAGGCTTTATCTGGTAATTCACAATTCAGCCCTGGTTTGTTTGTTACTGTGTTACAGGGCGTGTGGCATTAAACATGAATGGGATAACAGAACAGATAATCAAGTAACTTAACGTATGCAGACAGGGAAGAGAGAAAAAATAACGGAATGTAGATACTATATCAAAAGAAAAAGGGAAGAGGGAAGAGGAGAAAATTAGGAAATGTAAAGACATTTTTCCTCTAAAGTATAAGAGAAGAGGAAAGGTGAGAAATGAAGAGGAAGAGGAAGAGAAAAGAAGGAATACAAGGTCAACGTGAAAGATGAGGTGTGATATGTAAGTCCGCGCTAACAAAACAAACAAGTGCTGAATTGTGTGATACCTACTCGACCGATAAAGTAAGGTAACGTACGGATAGCGTGGGAATTACTGACCAAGTCAGCCCCGGCTTGTTCCAGACTTCGGTATGTACACTGCACTTGACCTCATCCCGCAGACAAGGGGTTCTTTCCTCGGAGGTATAGAGCCATTACATAGTACCTTAGCTACAGGTACGCATTTCACAACAGTCTATCATACCGTAGCATGAAAAGTTGCAATCTATCCCCGTCACTTTCTCCTCAGGTCAGCTCACAATGAGCAATCTTGGCATCCTGTGCGGAGCACCTCCGTATCCCTGTCCCAACCCACTCCTTTGAAATGCAACAATGAGGTCCAGGAGGCTCTCACGGGTCGGATAACCACCCAACTCCTCTTACAATCACAAAACACAGTAAGCATACCGGAACACCTGACACACTCACCTAAGACATCATGGCGCCCCTCGCCAACGACCCCCGCCAACTTCTCACCGTGTTGAACCTGGCCCGGCGCAAGGCCCTCTACACGCTCGTGGTCGAGATTACGGCCTACATGCGCTCGCAGCTCGAGTTCAACGAACTGCAACGGATCTCGGACGTTGCACCACTGCTCATTGACCCCTCGGCTGAGAACAGCATCGTCATCCCCGAAGGCGCGGCCGACACCACCCCGCCCAGCCCAGCTCTCGTCCGCCTGCGAGCGGCGGCCATCGAGCACTTCGATGCCTGGCGCAAGGATGTCCTGGCGAAATTTAAAGAGCTGCTCTCCACGCCCGACGATGCCACCATCGTCGAGGAACGGCGTAAGCGCATCGCTCAGCAAAAGCAACAGCAGCCGCAGCAGCCGCAAAAAGCTGGGAGCAGTCGCGGAACGGCTGGGAACGAGGCAGACCTGCTTGGTTCTTGGGATGCATGGCCCGAGGACGGAAATAATACCAGGTTCACGAAGCCGGCTGAGGCGGAAACAGAGGATCCCGCCCAGGCCATCGCCCGCCTGCAGTCGCATTGGCATGCCATCCCCACCCGGCTGGTGACGATCCCGGAGGAGGACCGCAGGGAGACGCTCAGCTGCGTCCTGCTGGTGCTGCTGTCCACCGGCCACTACTCGGCGCACGCGAGGGCGATGGCCGTGTACCTCGCCTCAGCACTGGAGTTGCCGCTGGCGGTTTTGAACAGCGAGGAGGCAGAAATTGCAATGTCTCTCGTAGAGCGATCGAATCAAGCCGTCAACGCGCAGCAGCAGACCATGTCTGCCCAGGCCGAGGCAGAGAAGCGGAAGCAGCAGAACCAATCAAGCAGATACTGGAAAGTTGGTTTGGCCTCGGTGGCCGGCGCTGCGCTTATAGGTGTCACCGGCGGTCTTGCCGCGCCTGTGGTTGCTGGGGCGATCGGTGGCATCATGGGGTCTGTTGGCTTGGGCGGTGTTGCCTCATTTTTGGGCATCTTTTGGATGAATGGGGCACTTGTAGGAACGTTGTTTGGCGCATTTGGGGCCAGGATGACGGTCCGGTACTCCGTACCCCTCTGCCACTCTTTGGCTAACGGCTTGCTCAGGGCGAGATGGTGGATCGGTATGCTAGAGAAGTCGAGGACTTCCGCTTTATCCCCCTCAAGGACGAGTGGGGCTCCCGGGGCAGCAGAGACAACGACAGGCGTCTAAGAGTGACCATCGGCATCAACGGCTGGCTGAATTCCAGAGACGACGTGACCAAGCCATGGCGCGCTTTGGGCGATGACTCGGAGGCGTTTGCCTTGCGTTACGAGATGAGCAGCCTCTTGGGACTCGGCAAGTCCTTGCAGGAGCTGGTCTCGTCATACGCTTGGAATACGATCAAGCTCGAGATCCTGAAGAGAACCGTGCTGGCGACCCTCTGGTCAGCCCTATGGCCGGCTTATCTCTTGTCCATGGCTTCCGCCGTCGACAACCCCTTCAGCCTCGCCAAGAACAGGTCCGAGAAGGCCGGTGAAATCCTCGCTGACGCGCTGATCAACAAAGTCCAAGGCGAGCGCCCAGTCACACTCATTGGCTACTCCCTCGGCGCTAGGGTTATCTACTCCTGCCTCCGTTCACTGGCTGCTCGGAAAGCTTTCGGCTTGGTCGACACGGTCGTCTTCATCGGCGCTCCGGTTCCGTCAAACAGACAACACTGGCAGATGATTCGCACCGTGGTGTCCGGCAAGATGTTCAACGTCTATTCCGAAAACGACTACCTCCTCGCTTTCCTCTACCGCGCCACCTCAATTCAGCTCGGGGTTGCTGGTCTGCAAGAGATCAAGGACACTGAAGGCGTCGAGAACCTTAACCTCAGCGACGAGGTCCAGGGGCACATGCGGTACGCCAAGTTAATCGCAAAGATTCTGGCAAAGTGCGGTGTTCCCGTCATTAAAGGTTCCGAGGGACCGATCGAGCAAGACGAAGATACCATCCAGCTCAGCAATCAGGACACCGCAAACCTCATCGACCTCGACGAGCTGGGTATCGTTGGACCACCCAAGAAGAGCCAGACTGCGCCGCCACCCGTGCACACTTCTCCGGCGCAACCACAGCTACCCATGACTCAGCTCAAGAAGCAACGCACAGCCGTGACGAGGACGGCGCGATCCGCTGTTCCGGTCAATCAGGACCTGTTGGGCCTCGATCTATCAGAAACGCCATCACCAAACCCTGGCTCGGCATTGAAACCCTGCCCTCGCGCACCCCAACCACATACTCGCCCACAACGAGCCCCGAGCCCACCAGGGCCCGCACCAGCCGAACAGCCCAAGACAATACCCACGACACCAAAGGCGGTCGACAGATCTCTCCATGCTGACGCCCCTCCCAGACCTACAGTGTCTCCAATCCCGAGGCCTTCTGCGCCCAAATCCCAGATACCAGCTCCACAAACGCCGGCGTGGCCCGTGCTGACATCCCCGCACAGCCATCGCGCTGAGGACGACGAGGAGGATAGCGATGAGGAGGGCGGAATGGGGATCAAGATGGTGGATAACGACGACGGTCTCGAATACTGTGACCCAACGCCTATGGAGGACGAGTACCCAAGCTGGAATTAAAGCAGCGGGGGCAACCTGGAAATCAATGACAAGTAATACCCCTTTATTTTGGGCTCAAACGCGTGACCAGTAAGTAGCGTATTGAAGAGTAACGCACCCGAACAATAGCGCAACAACGCCCAATCATGATCTGTCTCGGGATAGGAGGATATCTATTCATCCTCCTCTTCTTCCTCCTCTTCATCTTCCTCTTCTTCTTCGTCCTCCTCTTCCTCCTCGTCTTCATCATCCTCCTCTTCCTCCACCCCATCAGCCTCTTGATCCTCATCCTCATCCTCACCACTCTCATCATCACCCCTCTCCCCGTCCTCCAACGCCTCCCTCTCTTCCTCCTTCCGCTTCCTCTCCTCCTCCTTCCTGGCCTCCTCCATCACCTTCAGCTTCTCCGCCTTCAACTTCCTCTGCGAAACAACAAACGCGCCCAGCGGCGTCCGCTGCCATTCAAAGTCCTTGAGAAACGCGTCCACCTGCGCCCGGTCCTTCGGCGCGAACTCGACCCGCGCCCTCTTCTCCTCAATAAATTTGGCGTTGGCCTCGAGCTTCTGCACGAGCAGCACCAAGCCCGCCGCCACTTTCCCATTCTTGTTCCCCTTACCGGGCTTCCGGATCTCCTTGAGCCAGCGCTTCAGGCTGATGACGACAGGCAGCGCAAACTCGGGGAAGGCAATGCTGCGCGACCAGAGCACGAAGAACTCGGACAGTAATTCGGCGACCTGCTCGCCCACGCCGTCCTGGTACACGCGCGTGCGGAGGTAGGACTTGGGCGCCTTGTAGGCGACGGCAAAGTCGAGCGGCTTGAGCGTCGACGACTTGGGCGGCTTCTTCATCTCGGCCGAGCCGAGCACCTCGAGCAGGGTCGAGGCGAGCGGTATGTACGTGTCGGTGGCGCGCGACAGGCGCAGGAGCGAGCGGATCAGCTGGAAGCGGAGGGGGAAATAGAGCGCCGTGGGGATGAGGCGCATCGCGCCCAGGGTGACTTGGACGAGCGGGTAGATGAGGAGCTTGAGCTGGCTCCCCTTGCCGGCTTCGGCTTCCTTGAGTGGGCTGCAGTGCTCCGAAAGGACGCACGACCAAAAGTCGAGCGAGTGCACGTACTGCCAGTTGTAGACCGCGCGGTACGAGTCGTTCTTGTTGTTGACGATGCTGTTGCGGAGGTGGATGGCCAGTTGGCGGATCGAGGTGAAGGCTGTCGTGTAGCCTAGACTCTGGTCGAGGCCCCACAGCTCGGCGGCCGAGTTCTTCATGAGGTTGATGCCCTGGATGGTGTTGACGTTGGTTACACGACTGCCCTGAACCAGACCCTGGTAGGCTGCCTTGAGGACCACCTCCCTGACGGCCTTGTCACCAATGACCACTAGACGGCGGATCACGAGAAAGGCCGTTATCCTGGTGGAGTCGGTGCTTGCAGACTGGGACCAGAACGCGACGACGGTCTTGATCAGCATCTTCAGCAACTTCCTGAACGAGAGCAGGTATGGCAGGAGTGGGTGCAAAGCCGACAGTGTGAGTTTGAGGGTTGCTTCATCTGACAGCGTCCCAAGCAGCCGGATAATAGAGGCCGCAAAGTTCTTGATGAGCATGGACAGTGTCTTGAATTTCTTGCCCTCGGTTTGGACGTACACCTTGCCAGCCGCAGATTCCTTCACCGGAACATGATGTTGCAGGACTTCTGGTATCTCCTTCAGCGCGACGACAACAATATCGTGGAAAACCTCAGGGCTCGTGATGGTGTATCGTTGCTGGTTCTCCTCGCCACTCTCGTGCAAGTGGGCCGCACAGCGGAACGCGATAACCACCTGCCGGGCAGCTCTGAGCGAGTGGGTCTCGGTGATCGAGGCCTTCCACCTGGCCACCATGGCTTGCGTGAGCTCTCTGTCGTCCTTCTCTTCCTCTTTGGCGGCCTTCTTATCCTTCTTCTGCTTCTTTTTGGGTTGCTCCTGCTCTCCTTCACTTCCGCTGAGTTCGTCCACCTCCGCGAGGTCTGCGTTTTCGTCAAAATCCAGCGCCTCTGGGTCGTTCTCCTTCAAGAACTTGTAGAACTCTGGGTCTTTCTCGGCGAGAGCTTCCATGGCGCTCTTGGACATGCCGAGGTCCTCTGCGTCGCTGAGATCGTCGGTATCCGGGTCGCTGCCGCTGTCCATGGGCTGTTCATTTCCCGAAGACTCGGGTTCACTACCGCTCCCTTTTGAACCATCTTCCTGAATATTGGGTTCGCCTCGCTTTCGCTTCCCCAGCTTTGCGGTGGATTTTGTCTTGTCGGCCCTGGGTTTTGTATCCAGGATCTCGAAGCCGCCCTTGAAGAAGTCGTCAACGCTCATCTCGCTGGCCTTGACGCCGGGCTTTTTGTTGGAAGCATTCTTGTCGCCATTGGCATCGCCGCCCGGCCCCTTGTAAAATTCGTCATCCCCTGCGCGCTTGGCCTTCTTCTTCTCCTTGAGCTGTTGTCGTTGCTTGATCTTGGCCGTCGCTTTTCTCCTCTCCAAAACACCCTTGAGGTGCTTCTTCTCGAACTTCTTTGTCGCCTTTAGGTTTTTCTTCGAGGACGCCATTATGGCCGACGATAGCGCTGGAATCGCGTTTTCGATCTGACCGAGTAGCAATGGGTCTTGGTACGTATGGTAGGGGATTTCCTCTAGACATCCCAAACTTTTTCTCGGATTTACCAAGTCAGATAGGCATTATCGCGTTGGAGCTAACCTTGCCTGGCTTAGCGTACTTTGGGTGGGACTAGCTAGCCCACGACCGCCTTATCGATATCAAGTACTGCGTAATCCGTACTCTCACCAGCACTTGCTTGCTTGACCTTCACTTTGTGCCTGAATGCCGGCATCCCTGCTGCCGCCATGAATCGACATGTGCACGACTCAAGACAGGCAATCACCATGATACCACGACAGCCATACGCGCCGACGCCGCACAGCTATGTCCCTGACTCGACACTATCCGCAACCATAAACCTCGACGAGGTGTGTTCCGAATGCCCCGCATCAGCCTGTCCGAGCTGACTGATGGACCTTATCGACTGCCAGGAAGTCAAGCTCGCCGAAACGCGCGCTGAGCGCGATCTGCAAGATTCACTAGCCGAGATCTTCAGCATAATTGTCACCATCGACGAGCTCGAGAAGGCATTTCTCAAAGACGCTATCCCCGAGGCCGATTACACCGAGATATGCGAACGTTCGCTGAAGCAGTACAAGTCGCTGACCGCCGATGAGACAGTAGCGAAGGCGTTCGTGGGACTGGAGCACTTCAAGGCCGAGTGGGATGTATGTCTGACCTCGCCGTGAAACCGAAGTTCTCAGGGGACTGATGGTGTCGATCACACAGCTCGAAGTGCCCCGCGCGACAGAGCGAATTCGAGTTGGGATGCCGTCCACTGCCGTGACAGCAAGCTCCAGCGCTCTTCATGCACAACCTGCGGTGGGTAACACCAGCGGGGCGCTGATTCTGGAGGCGACCCAAGATTTCATCACGTTTCTGGATGCGCTGCGATTGGGCCTGCTGGCCAAAGACCAACTACACCCGCTCCTGACCGACGTGATCCAGTCAGTGAACAAAGTCACAGACAGGGACTTCGAGAACCGGGGAAAGATCGTGCAGTGGCTCATCACGTTGAACCAGATGAAGGCGACGGAGGAGTTGAGCGAGGAGCAAGCCCGAGAGTTAGAGCTGGATATCAACTCGGCGTACCAAGGGTTTAAGAACACGCTCTCTTAGAGACGCTCGTCCCACAGGCCCCTTGAGTGCCGGCGCCTTCCATTCCACGCACCAGTGTTCTACACCAAAAACGTCCAAAAGCTTGGGTATACAAACTCCTCCTCAAATATCCTCCTCACCTGCTCCAACACAAATCTCTCCACCTTGCCCACATTCTTCAGGCTCTGCTTCCCGCTCTCCCGCTGTCCAATCTCGCTCTCCACCCTAATCTCCTGCAGCAAACCCCCCAACTTCGTGCTCGCCGCCACACCCGGGGGCTGACCCGGCTGCTGCGCCTGCCCGTGTTGCCCCTCAGACTCAGACGAGGCCATGCTGTCGTCCCCAACAGCAGCGACCGCGTCCTCGGGGCTCAGGAAACAGAAATGGACCCTCTTCCTGATCTTGGCCAGCACGCCCACACCGTCAAACGTTAACCCGGTGATGCTCAGCCGCACGGGGATGCCGACGAAGCTTGGCATGGGATAGTCGAGCAGGATGTCGGCCGTCAAGAGCAGCTTGACGTCGCCGGCGTAGGAAATCCGGAAAACGGCCTGCATATCCTCGAGGCGGCGCTCCCGGAGGCGGGGCTGGTCGCTTTCTTCTTGCTGTTGCTGCTGTTCTTGCTGCGCGCGTCTGCCGGTGTTGTTGCTGGCCGTGGCGTGGTGGTTGGAGTCTTGGTCGGTGTCGTCGTCGGCGATGGCGGAGCCCATTAGGGTTGCTGCTGCGTCACGGGTTGGTGGGCGGGAGGCGTTGGCTGAGGTTGGGGCTAGGGTCGAGACGCTGTGTTTCTCTTTGAGAGAGTGGATGCCGAGGGTGGTGGATGATGGCGGGACAAGGTTCACGGTGGGATCGAAGTCGGCGATGGAGATGGAGCTCTGGGATGGGTTGCGGCTATGGTTTGGTTCAGGGCACTGCCGGGCGCTCCCGTCGATGCCGCCGTAGTTGGAGAAGTGGTGTAGATTCGGCACTGACGAACTGTGTCCGTGGCCCTCTAGCCAGTTGGCAGTATTACGGTGCTGAGCGCCGGCGACTGCGGCGAGCGGCGTTTGCGTTCCAGAGAGACCGCTTGCTAAATGTGGGTGGAAGTAGTGTAAGTTGGATGTCCCGCCGGGGATGCCTGGTGTTGGGACGCGGAAGAACGGGCTGCCGGTATCCGCGTTGCGCAAGCTCCCGACTCCAGTGCCACCAGGACTGCCGAACATCAGGTGCGGCGGAGAATGCCCTGGGTTTGGAGCTCGGCTCGCCAAAATATCAGACTCGACCGGTCGCCGGCGCCGCTCATCCTCAACCTGTCCGTTGTTATCCGCGCCGTTGTCCTCGCCCTCCGAGTCAGATGCGAGATCCGAGTCCACATTGTCCTCGTAAAAGTCCGGCAGTGGGTCGGTGATGTCCTTGAGCTCGATTTCCGGAGGGATTTTGCCAAACTGGAAATCATGGACTGTAACGGACTTGATGAACCGGGGCAGAGGCACCGACTGGAACTTGGTGTGAATGAAATCACGAATCCGCTCGGCCAGCTCCTGCCCGTCAGGGCCACCTGTGACTGTCTCCCAGTTGAGGTCGATCGACATGGGCAACTTCCAGAGTGAGCGTGTTCGAATGCAAAGTGTTCGACTATGTTATCCGAAGCTCATCTGTACTCTTGTCTCATTGAACAAGCTAAGAGGATGAACTCTGCCGTCACGGTTGTGTCTGTCCAAGATGTAGTGGGGCAACTCAACAAAGAATCACGGCCGACAAACCGACAGCACAAGTATGTGAGGTTTCCCCGTGAAGCAAGATAGGGTTTAGGGAAGATCACTACTAATGTCATAGTTGACATGGCAATGGTTGCAACTCCCAATTCTTCGGGTCTGTGACTCGGGTCAGGTCCTGTCTTTGAAGAATTGTGGACGTGTGACCCTAACCCGGGTGCTTCACTGCCGGCGGAAGGCTCCACCAAATCCACCTCGATTTGCCCCACCTGAGTGTCTCCCAGGCAACGACACGCCCTACAGAGGAGAAACATCAACAGCCGCAGCTGCCCTCTCCACAATCAAGCCCTTCACCGATATGTCGTAACCTGGAACTGCAACAGTAAACAGGAGCAAGGTGTTCGCTGAATTTGGTTACCGCCACCTTAGGTTCTTACCGCATCCTTATGAGGAACTGGTAGTAGTTCCTTCCCATCTTCTGCTTTCATCTCCCTTTCCAGTTCAAGTTCAATTATCCACACAGCAAGCTGGGACCCTCACCTTAATTCGACCACAATGGATCTGCAGTCGCCGCCAAAGAGAATGACACGGGCGCGCGCTGCAGCCAAGACGGGCGAGCCCACCACAAAACCTGCCCGCGTCGTGTCTGCTGGCACTAAGGCCAAGGCCGCCCGCAGCATAACCACAGCGACGACTACGACGAGAACAGCAACCAAGAGGAAGAGTCCGTGCGATGAAGACGAAGAAGAGCACATGCACGAGATGCAGCCGGCTAAGAAGATAACTGCTGTTGCTACCAAGCCCACGCGTGGCCGGGGCCGGCCAAAAAAGGTACCAGTCGAGGAACCAGCCCCGGCGTCGGCACCCGAACCGGCACCCTCAACAACCGTTCGGAGCCGTGACAGACCCAAAAAGGTGGCAGAGCCTGCTACGGAGGAAGGATCAAAGCCGACCAGGGCAACTCGCACAACCAAGAAAGCCGCGGCAGAGGAGCCCGAGGTTGCGACTGAGCCTGCCAAAAAGACAACTCGCGGCCGCCCAGCAATCTCAATAAGCACGACAACGTCCACTGCCATGTCCATGACAAAATTGGCAGCGAGAAAGACTGTCACATTTGAGGAGCCCGAGAAGGAAAATATTGCGCCATCCGCAGGGCCGGCAAAGAAGACGTCGACCAAGGCCTCAGCACCCGCTCCAGCTACCGGTCTGCGCGGGAAGCCGGTTCGCAAAGCGGCCTCTGCGACTGTGAGCCGGGCATCCCGCACCACCAGAAGAACAGCTAGTGGCACAGCCGAACCGAGCGAAAAGGTGGAGAAGCCGATGCCGCTGAGCCCTAAGAAGGTCAACCAGCTGACTTTGAACCGCGCCGAGTCCGATGACGAGCTCGGTATGGACGAGAAAGTCCCCGTGAGACGATTCAAGAAGCTTCCTATGAAGCCTGCCATGAGAAATGCCAAGCCGTCGTCCACGGCAAAAGCTTCTGTCCCCAACGCCGTCAACAACGAGAATGCGACTCCAGCTAGCCTGCCCGAAAACACAGTCAACCTCATGTTGGCCACTCCAGCCAAGCGCCTGCCGCCCTCCCCTTGGAAGGGTGGCATCAAGTCGCCTGCGAGACGAGTTGAAGGCTTGGTCCTTGGCTCTGTATCGCAGAGTGATGACCAGACATCACAAGGTCCGTCTAAGATGGGTCTTCTGCAGTCCCCTGCGAAGAGGCAACCTCTCAATCTCAATCCGCCTGGTGTCGACGCCATCGGCGGGTCTAATATCTCGCCAGTCAAGCTGTCTTTTCTCTCATCTCCGGCGAAGCGGCCGCCGATCTCTCCCATCAAGCCTCTGCCGAGGGCTATTGGAGAGGAGGAGCCTGTCCAGCGAACTCCAGCGCCAAAACCCACCCTGCTCGCAAGCCCGTTGTTGAAAGAAGCGTCTGACAACACCGAGGTTGGGCAACTAGCCACAGGCGCAAATGCTGTGGATGCGCAAAGGGACGATGAAGGCATGAACGAGGCCCCGATGAGACTCAGCTTCCCTGGTCGACTCTCAGCTGTCTTGCCACGTCATGCAGACCCAGCATTAACACCTCCTACCTTGGCCGCGTCGGAGGAGGCATCACAAGCTGAAGGCCAGCAGGAGCTTGTGGAGGACGTTGAGGGGAAGAACGATTTCGAGGGTCTTGGAGAGCCTATGGTGTTGGATAACCCTTATGTGGAGTCGCGGACAGTTGAATCCGCCAGCAGCACTCCTCCGTCGTCACCCCCCAAGACAGCCAATCCCATGTTTGGGCTCCGGGACAAGGACCTCTACCCTGGCGATCCTTCCGCCGAATCCGAGTCGGAGGATGATTCCCCTGTGAGGCAGGGCAGGTTTACATCAGCGTTCAGCGCGCTGCCGACCACCCCCTGCCCAGGCCCTGCAAAATTCGTCAACGTCATGCAATCGGCTGGCCGGAGCAGGGCTACGAAGGCTGGGTCTAATGACAACTTTGGCTTCACCCCTCTTGCCCAGCAGCTGGGAGGGTGGAGGGCCGGTCCGAGCCCTGTGAAGCCCGGTCTAGATACCACTTCTACCGCCCGATCTGCGGAAGTCTCTGGCCAGGAACAGCCCATGCTACCTGCGGCAGAGGCGACGTCAACTTTGACCAGCCCAGCACAAAACACTTTTTTCGACGATGAAATGCACGTCAGGTCAGATGCTATGGAGGTTGAGGAAGATGCAGCCACCGTGATTGAGGGCAACGACGATCATGTTCTGGAGGATGTTTCGTTTACCGAAGAGGACATTGAACTGGCTGCGGAGGCGAACGAGATGTCGCTGATGGAGAAGGAAGCCGGCCATCCAAACAATGAAGACTACGAGGACTCCATATCGGAAGCCAGTCAAGAGTATGCCGACGAGAACGCAATTCCGATCGACCCAGCGCTTCTCGCAGGCAATGGCGTCCGCGCTCCGGCTGCGCCCCCGGTTACTCCTCAGCGAGTGACTCATCGCGAATTCCACACCGTCGCCAAGGTCCCTCTACAGCCCGCGGACGAGTCCACACCTCGCCCTCAGTCGGAGAGGCGCAGCTACAGCGCTTCACGACTTCCCGTCACAAGGTCATCCCGGAGGTTGACTAGGAATGCCACGGCCAGCTCGCACTCACCCAGCAAGGGCCGCGACGCTAAGGTGTCTGAGGATGAGTCGAAACAGCACGCTGAGCCTGTCTTGCCCGTGACTCCACAGAAGTCGGATATCTGGTCAACAATTGGCACGCCGGCGCGGACGCCGCGGCGGGACCTCAACCCCGCCCTTCTCCGCGGCGCTGTAGTGTTTGTCGACGTTCACACGAGTGAGGGCGCCGATGCCAGCAGTATCTTTGTCGAGCTGCTGACGCAGATGGGAGCTCGCTGTGTCAAGACGTGGTCGTGGAACCCCAACAGTTCATCTGAGGCTGGCTCGGATTCGAGGGTTGGGATTACCCATGTCGTGTACAAGGATGGTGGGAAGCGAACGCTGGAGAAGGTGCGCGAAAGCGGTGGCGTTGTCCAGTGTGTGGGCGTCAGCTGGGTCTTGGAGTAGGTCTCCCACACACCGTGGAGTTCGAGTCCGACTGACCATGTTTGCTAGCTGCGAGCGCGAAAATCAGTGGCTCGACGAAGCTCCCTACCTGATCGACACCTCGCTCGTTCCCCGTGGAGGTGCCCGCCGACGCAAGAGCATGGAGCCGCACGCCATTGCCAATTTCAACGGCAAGCTCGTGCCTTCTCCTGCGTGCAAATCTTCCCGTGGCTCTCAAACCGCACAGACACCAGCCAACCACCGCCGTGCGAGCAGCCTGTGGATTCTCTCTCCTGAAAAGTCCCTAGACCATGACGACCACGACGCCGAGTGCGAAGAGGACGACGCCGAGTGGCCCACACTCAGCCCGGTGCCCAAGACGCCAGCCCCTGAAGCCATTGCCCGCTTCGTGGCCAACGTCAGCCCTGGATCTACCTCGCCGTCCAGCGTGGGCAGCGTCGAGAGCGGGGATCTGCTGGTCCGAGAAGACGGTGGCGCTCACGGCGGCGAGGAGATGCTCCTGCGCACCTGCCCGCCCAAGCGCACCACCTTTGTGGAACCGGACGAGGGCATCCTCAGCAAGGAGAAGGATCATGGGGTGCTCATGCGGCTGATGGCTGCTCGCCGAAAGAGCTTGCAGTTTGCGCCCAAGGTTGGGAGCCCGTTGGCTAGGGCATGGAAGGCTTGATGCTTGATTGGATTGGCTTCGAAATTGTACGGGATTGGATTGTATTGTTTATAATTGTGCTCTTGGGAGCTCTCGTTGGCGTGACTAGCAGGAGAGTGTTAGGATATCAACTGGAACGAACCAGGCGGCCTAGTTGTCACTCTTCTGAAACCAATGGGTCACCCAATGGATGGGAGTTGGCTTTGGATGGCCGGGCGTAGCATGGAGTCTGACAGGTTATTTGTGTTTATCGGGAAATGGGATACATACTTTACCTATGCATTTCCTCCAGGCCTTCGCTTATGACCGAACCTCAGCGTGCTCAGCTGTCCTTCCCACCGTCTGCTGGTGTGCCCTTGGGGTTGCCATGATTCAAGAAAGCAAGTGAGGATATCAACATTGAAAATAGATACAGAGTTAGAAAGCAGATACTCCATACATCCCCGAATTCCGCAGGCGAGTTCAACTTTGACAAACTAATCGCGAAGATGCTGTCATGCCCCGAGCACGGTATCAGGTCGGGTAGTCGGATATAGTTGCGTGTGACAAAAATAATACCTGGATAGAACCCTAGGCCCTCCCACTGCCCTTCCAAAAACGCGGCCAAACCGACCCATGTGCTCCTAAGGCCCTCTTGCGCCGTACGCCTTGTTCACCGTCCCGATCGTCCTCGAAAATATTCAATAACCCGAGTACCGCGCTTCAGCTTCCTCCCTCATGCTCATCCATAGTGCATCGGCCCGTTCGGTTTCGGCGTGCCATGCTCCCATCCGTGGGGTGGCGGGCCGCCCTGTCCCCCCGGTGGCGGGCCGCCCTGTCCCCCCGGCGGCGGCGGCTGCATCGGCATGGCGTGGCCCCCTTGTTGCCCGCGGAGGGCCTGGACGTCGGGTCGGTGCGAGAGCGGCTGGTGGAAGTTGCAGATGCGGCAGACGACGTCCTCGTGGCCTTTCATCGAGAGCGGGATCACGGGCTGGCAAACGCGGGTGTGGGATTCTAGGGTTAGCCTGAGTGCAGTTCGAGGGTAGAATAGGTGGTGTTTGGTTGGAGAGAAAGCTTACAATGAAACAGAAGGTAAACCAGGGGTTCTCTTTGATCACTGAGCCCGAGTAGTTACCGCAGTTGTAGCATCGGCACACGAGGCCTTCGTAGCCTTCCACCTCCTTGCGGAACTACCGTACCCAACAATGTCAGCTGTGAGTTTCCCATTGCGGATGGCTCGGGATGATCGTTTTACTCACAGTGTGCTCGCCACAGGTAAAGACGATGCACATGGTTGCGGAAGACGCGCGGTCGTGGAATCGAGAGTATTAATCGCTCGTTCGCTGGTTAACTTGTTTCGTTTTGGGAATGCGCAGAAATGCGATGCTTTGGAGACGGACAGGCAGGACGGTATTAGGCGAATACGCTTTGGTTGAAAGAGGTTGTAAAGAGTCGTTTCCGAGTTGATAACGGCAAGTCACATTGTTACAAGCTTCATGAATGGAAGGAAGGATGGAGGTCTACGCAATCTCGATCCCAGTTCGTGACACATGATCTCTGCCAAGAACGAGGCGGTGCTCGCCTCAAGACGTCTGATCAACTTCCATGGTAGCAAGAGGCCCATAGCCACTGGACAAGCTGGGCCTAGAGTGCCTGGACTCAATGGGCTCACCACCTATTCTTTCCTTTCTCCTAAGTATATCGTCAAGGGAACCAGTCACACAAATGATAAACAGGAGGGAAGGTATAGCAGATTGTAATGACCTCAGACCCTAACCCTGTTTCACACCATCAACCAATCGAGCTCAAAGTTTAGCTGATCTGCTATGGTACCCACTTTGGCCTCAGCTATTGTCAGTTAAACCTTCAGATCCTTTCTTTCTTCTTTCCTCTCCCCTTCTAATTACCTTTGTCCTTCTCAACAGCCCATCGACCACTCTGTCGGCAGAGTTTGACCATTTTGCGGACGGAAAAGCATCGGATTTATGATTGGATCGAGATGCGCCTCTTTGCCCGTTAGCCGATTCAAGTGATGTTATGGTCCATCCATTGGAAAGCTGACAAGGGAGGCTGTTTCGAGCAAGTGCTGTTTTGCTGTCTTGTTTCATTCTAGTACAGTAAGTCGATCTCGATCGACGACTCGATCCTTCAGTGCTGTCTCTTCAAGTTCCGGTGGGCTTCCAATTAATTCTGAAGTCATGCCATTGCTCCAGCTTCTCCCTCTCCATACTTGGCTCTGCGGAGGTCTTGGGGGGATCGACTGCATCTTGTATCCACAACTGCCTGCCAATCAACTTGGGTGCGCTTGTGCGTCCACCGCCTTTCAAGTCGCACGTGGACTGATCCGTAACGTCGGGATGACAAGATCTCCGGAGGTTGATGTGTTGATATCCGGCTTGACACTTCTTTTATCACTTGTCTCAACATAATAACCTGCTCTCTTGCCCCATCGGTCGCAGTTGGAGATGGCCTTCCTTGCAACGTACCCTCCTCTGGCGCAGGTCACCGTACTGAACGACCCCAACATTGCGATCCACGCAGTGCTTGAAGTCCCCCCTGAAACTGCCACAGAACCATGGCAGCTTTCACTTTGGTATTGTAACGGCGATGGAGGGGACTGGGCTCTGATTGAGTTCATGGCTGATTCCCCAAACGCCATTCCCACCGACTTGAGTGGAACGAATGAGACAGCGACGAGGCTGTACTTCACAGCCAAGCTGGAGGTCGCGTCATCGCTGACATTCACTGTCAAGTTCAGACGAGGAGGCAAACACGAATGGCGGTGGGTTCGCACTGAGCAGGGCTCAGATGATGGCATCGTCGTGGTCGAGCAGAAACGACAAGGGGTAGAGTCTGAGGATCTGCCGGACTTGATCCAGGACTTGAACCCGGACCTTAGGTGGCAGAGCCATATGAGCCAGTCCCCTGGGACCCGTCTCTGGTCTATCGAAGCCACTGTGGATGGGGCAAATGAGGACGAGTCAGCAGTTGTTGACATACCGCTGGGCATTCCGTGGGGTCGGTTTTTCAGGTAAGGGGTCGATCCCCGGGACGACGCCGTCCATGGCCAAGTGGTTTATATTATCCTGGCATTGATCTGGTCCGCCGATGCTGACCCACGGTAGATGGTTTGCCTTGGTCAGGACTTGGACACCTTGGTTAGCTCCCAGGCAGGGCAAGTCCGAGTTCAACCTTGACAAAGATGCCCTGCTTTGCTCATTTCTGTCCCCCCAGGGCAAGCACATGGTCTTGCTTGGGATGAGCGGCGTGGACGATGTCATGGCTTTGCTCCGGAGTGGTGATTCCGGACGCTTGATGCTCCACGTATGACCACACACTCTCCCAATGTCGATTGCGTTAGAATTATGTTGACGCTCGATCAGATACGGAGCGACAATGCCGGCTCGGCGACAGCAACTGCTCTCGTGGCTGTTGGTGACAACTTTGAGAGCACGGTCGCGACCGTCATGTACCATGCCCGTACTCTGGTTACCAGTATGGCAGCGGGTACCTCGGCTGCTCTTAGCGTGGCCGAGATGACAGCTGAGGGCGATGTCAGTCCGCAGTGGTATGAGAGCTGGTACGATGGCTTGGGGTATTGTAGGTGTATCCACCATTTCTATGCTACCTTCTACTCTAACCATACAGGCAAGGTACTTGGAACTCCCTCGGCCAGGAGTTAACAGAGCAAAAGGTGTTGAAGGCACTGGACACGCTAGCCGAGAACAAGGTCAACATATCAACCCTCATCATCGACGACAACTGGCAGGACATCGACTATCGCGGTAATAGCCAGTGGCAACATGGCTGGAACGACTTTGAAGCAGAACCCAAGACGTTCCCCCGCGGCCTGAAGGCACTCATCTCAGACATCCGGTCAAAGCACAAACATATCCAGCACATCGCCGTCTGGCACGCCCTACTAGGCTACTGGGCCGGTCTCGCCCCCGACGGCCCGCTCGCTAAGCGCTACAAAACCATCCGAGTCGCCCGCGATGAGATCGACAAATGCCAGCTCCCCATCGACGGCCAAATGACGCTCGTCGCCCGCGAAGACGTCCAAGCCTTCTACAACGACTTCTACAACTTCCTCTCATCATGCGACATCGACGGCGTCAAGACGGACGGCCAATACATGCTCGACACCTGGACGTCCCCTCCCATCCGCCGCACCCTCATTCCCGCCTACCTCGACGCCTGGACGCTGGCCTCCCTCCGGCACTTTTCCGCCCGTGTGGTCAGCTGCATGTCCCAGTCACCCCCAATCCTCTTCCGCTCGCAGCTCCCGCACACCAGCCCGCCCATCGTCTGCCGCAACTCGGACGACTTCTTCCCTCCCGTCCCGGACTCCCACCCCTGGCACCTCTGGACCAACGCCCACAACGCCCACCTCACCCAGCACCTCAACGTCCTGCCCGACTGGGATATGTTCCAGACGGTGCACCCCTACGCGGGCTTCCACGCCGCCGCCCGCTGCGTTAGCGGCGGGCCCGTCTACATCACCGATGTCCCCGGCCGCCACGACGTGCATCTGATCCGGCAGGTAACGGGCATCACGCCCAGGGGGAAGACGGTCGTCTTTCGGCCGAGCGTGCTCGGCAAGGCGATGGATGTGTATGCGGGGTATAGGCAGGGACAGGGTTTGCTCAAGATTGGGGCCTTCCACGGTCGCGCGGCGCAGGGGACCGGGATTGTGGGGGTGTTTAATATCGAGGAGAGGGGAGTGGTGGATTTCGTGCCGCTGGGGAGGTTCCCTGGGGTCATGGAAGGGCGGAGGTATGTCGTCCGCGCGCATGGCACCGGGAGAGTTAGTGTGCCGTTGGAGGTGGGCGAGACGAAGGCGCTGCTGGCGCTGTCGCTTGAGGTTAGGGGGTATGAGGTGCTTTGCGCGTATCCGTTGCACGCGATCGAGTCGAGGACGGGGGGGCTGGTCTTGGTTGCAAATCTTGGGCTGATCGGCAAGATGACGGGGTGTGCAGCGGTGTTGAATACTGTGTTTGAGGTGCGAGAGAATGGGAGGATGTTGGTTGATGCCACGCTGAAGGCTCTTGGGGTATTGGGTAAGTTGCATCGACTCGGTTCGCATGTGATAGAAGAACTGTGGTGCTGACGCGATTCCAATACAGGTGTCTACATATCGGCGCTTCCGCAGCTGTCGGTCCGGGACGACTTCATGGTTACCATCCAGGGCCAGCCGATCCCTCCTCACACTGTGGCCTTGAACAACGACGATGAGCATGTGCTCAATATCGACATCGAAACGGCGTGGAACGAAATGGGCCTGGAGAGTGGGTGGGCGAACGAGGTGGAAGTGAAGGTCTATTTCGACTTGGGGAGGTAAACGTTGCGGCCGGACGTGGGAAAGCTGGTGCACGATGCTTTGGCTGGAACCATGACAAAAAAAACTCCAAAAGCGCACCATCCAGCCCCCGAAGAAGGTGGATGGCTACGAAAATCCTGGGACCACAGATTTGCTTCGTTGGGGTTGTCCCCGAGGCGTACTCCCCCAGAAGGGGGGCTAGGTCCCCTCCTCCCCTCTGGAAATCGTCGCCGAAGCGGCGAATCGAAGAGGTGGCCTCTCCCAGAGGGGAAGCCACGTCCCGAGACTTCTACTAACTAGGCCATTTGACCTGTTAGAAGGCGCGTTATGAGTATAGACGTGGACCTAATACATATAGCGCGTGCGGCCGCCATGGTGCGTCCGTGCGTATGCGGCCGTGCGTTGGGATGGAAGATTACCTTACGTAAGGTTGGAATCAGGGTCGTCTTGGGGCTACCTGAAGTCGAAAGCAGCAGGATTTCGACGGCCTGCTAGGGGCGTGTTCATAGCATTCGTTGGGAAGCAACACCGAGAGTGTGGGGTTCTCGAACTGGCATTCCTGGTACAATGGAAACTAGACTAGGACCTGTCATGCCGTCCGTCACCGCGAGTAAAGCGCTCTGTCAGCTACTCAACTACCGCTGTTCAGGGTTGGGACGTCTACGCAAGATTCTCGGGGACTAACTTGTTAATATCAACTCCATGTTGTTTATACCCATTAATTGATGGGATGTAACGGCCCAACCCGCTCGGTGTTCTTGCCCCACCCACAATTACCACCTGTGACTACCTTACACTTGCTGATTATTACTTTTCCGAAGCGGCATGTACTTAAGGTCCCAAGATATATATCAAATTCAACGACATGGAATAGCCGGTGTTGCTCTAGCTAAGTTGACATGACTGGAGCGGTGCGGATATTCCCATATTGTAGCACGCAGTAAAACAAGCATAATGATGCCAGGCTCGGATGCAATGGATATATAGGCCAGGACAGCATGGAGCATCCGTGGTAAAATTCCTGGAGACTGTATATGTACATACTTTTGTAAGCAGGGTACCCGCTCACTTATTTATCTGTGCTGTAGTATCAAGTAGAGTAAGACGTGTTCACCGCGGCGCTTTTCGTCGATGTTGGACGTCGGCTAGGAGGGTACCTAGATACCACAGGCCCACAGCCTGATCATGTCATTCGCTCACTGAGCCGAGTCATATTGCTGAGCATTCTTGGAGCCGTCCCCGTGGCTGCGGAAGAGACCCTGCCGATGGCGGGGTTGTACAAAAGTGGGACCATTGACCGGCCACCCGGCAGGCCCTCCTCCGGGAAGGCTGCTGCTGGCTTGCTCGCGAGGTTGAGCTTCTGTGAAGACAGGGCAAGTTTATAGAGATCAAGGTTTCTGTCAAGGACAATTGTGGGAATGAATATGGTACATCCCAAAAATGAATGGGATAACCTTTCGCCGCCATTGATTAGATAGCTTATCAAGGTATTCCACTGCCACCGAGCATCATGCTTTGGTGCTTCGCAGTGGTGCAACCCGAAGGCATGTCGGCGTGACTGCACAGCATTCCCGCCACCTGACGTTGCCTATGTCTAGGCCCGCTGGTATGGAGCATGACTGAAACGAAAGTTTAAGGATGAACAACTATCTTGACTTGAATCTCTTTACAGGAAATTTGTTGTGACTTGAACTCTCTTTACAGGAAATTTGTTGGTTCACGACAGGTGGAAGCTCGAATGATTGTTTCCGAAAAGAGCCAAAACTGGCATCCGAATGAGATCAGTGACGCACAGGCCAAGGCTACGTATCTCTGCCAAGCCTCGGCCGATCCATTTTAGCGCGGGCGAAAACGGCCAACAAGGACTGCCACCGGTCGAAGTTTGGCGAGACATCGAACCTGCATGACTGACAGGTGATCTGCCACCATCGCCCGCCATCGCGACGTCGTTTTTGACTCGCAGCCGCAAGAACCGCTCGGGTCTGCGCTGTAAACAGACAAGGAGACCTGCGCATAGCTTTACCTGTGTCTGCTCCGCCCAGAGGCAGCACTCGACACCATGCTGCCCTCATCCGTACGACGAGTCGTCGCTGCGGCACCTCAGTCGCCCGCCGTTTCCTCCGTGGCCTCGTTCGTTCCACGGCCTGCCGCCGCCTACACCCTCCCCTACAAGCAGCGTACCGGCCTCCAACAGCGCCGCTACTCCTCCTCCAAACCGTCCAACCCGGATGACGGTTCCAGAGACTTCGCCGCCCGGCCCGTTCCTGCGTCACGAGCGTCCAAGTCAGAGAAAACCAAAGGGCAAGCAAAGGCACCCGTCCCGCAACCGCCCAGTGTCCCCAGTACTAGGCACATTGGGGATGAAGGTTCGTCTCGTCACTTTGTTTCTTGGGCTGGCTCCAGTCTCTTACCTCTTGACCAGGCCTTGCACTCTCAACCTTTTTCGCCCTCCACCGGCCCATCTCGGTCACCCAGCTCCTACCCCAGACGGTGTCGGACGATACGTTTGCCCGAATATTTGCCCCACGGACTCGCAATGGCAGAGTAGCCGAAGTTCTCTCGACGCTGTCACAAACGGTACACGACCTGGAGGAGCCCCTGTCGAGAATGAGCATTGCCAACGGAGACAAGCAGCAGTTGCAGGACGGGCAAGAGGCTGACGACGGGACCGCCAAGCTCAGCCTCAGGCATGCTGATGGCTCCGAGACCAACCTGCACATTCAGCTCAATCCCATGTCGGGCCAGTACCTGCCCTACGCCCCGCCGCCGGCGCCCGAGCCGCTCACCGAGGCCGCCGAGGCCGAAGCCGAGGCTGCCAACAGCGCCGCCGCCGCTGAGGAGCTGGCCGAGCAGCAGCAGCAGGAGACGCAGACGCGCGTGTACAAGGCCATGGTGACCATCGAGGAGACGGTCGACGCCAGCGGGCAGATCAAGGTGGTGGCGCACAGCCCGGAGCTCGTCGAGGAGGACGCTCCGGCGCCCCGCACGTTCCTGGAGCGCATGGCGTGGCGCCAGCTGCGCTACGATGAGGCACGCCGGCAGCAGGACCGCGCCATGCAGGCCATCAGCGTGCGCCGGCAACGCAAGCTGCGCATGAAGAAGAAGAAGTACAAGAAGCTGATGAGGAAGACGAGGAATTTGCGGCGGAAGCAGGATCGCTTGTAAAGGGGGACATACCCTCTCCCTGTGTAAATAGTTTTCTTTACGCTCCATCCGTTTCTTTTCCTTTTATTTTGTCGTCTAAAGACCGTGGTGTCATGGTGTACGGCTTCCTCAACCCGCATAACATTGGCTCTGGCTGTTTGTTGCGTTCCTGTGGCATTCTGCATTCTCAATTCTAAATCCCGCATCCACATAACCCGCAATAGAAAGAGTGAGAGGGATATGGGCAGAAGAAGAAAGGACGGCAAGAAAGGGCCAGCCAGCTAGTCACAATATTGTCACTTCACTTCTGCACCTGTTCAGTCAGATCTATGTATGCTCCCGTCCGCATTCTACACGACGTTCTTCCCCAACCACTCGACCCACTGCTCACCCGTCCACGAGCTACTAATCTCGCCAGCGACAACCCCGTCAAACACCACCGTCGGCGTGACATGCACTCCCGTCAGCCGCGCCATCTTGACAATGGCCTTGACATCACCCGTCACGCCATTCCCCGCATTCTTGACTGCCGGGTCCTCTGCCGGCTTCACCTCCAGCAGGCCGTACACCTCCGCCTCGTCCACCCCGACACTGTCGGCCGCCAGCTTGGCCAGCCGCTTGTAGGTCTCGTTGCGCGTCTCGTTCAAGACGGAGAGATCAAAGTAGGCGATCTGGTCGTCGAAGAGCGCAGCGGAGAAAGTCCAGAACTTGGACGGGTCCAGGCGCTGGACTGCGAGCGCGGCTTCGTGGACGAGCGTCGAGGACGGGTGCCAGGGCTGGATCTGCTGGCGGATTATGAGCTGGAGGTTGGAGGATAGGTGGGGGTTGGCGCGGATGTGGGGGATGACGGCCTCGTTGAGGGTTTTGAATATTTCTGGTTGTTTCTTTTGTGTTAGTCATCTCTGAGTTGAGAAGGGGTGTGTTTGGGATCGGGGCGACAGCATATTTGCTGAGAAGGGGCAGACGTAGTCGAGGTAGAATTCGAGGGTGTGCAGGACCGGGTTGGTTGTGGAGAGAGAGGTGGTGGCCTCGGTGAAGGTCATCCGGTGACCTTTGAACTTGGGTGGGAGAGCCATGTTGCTGTGGTTCAGATGGTTGGTGTTGTTATGAGCGAGGTGTAGGTTGAAGGAAGAGCTGATGAAAGACAGAGAAAGGCAATTTATGTAATCACCACCAAACGATCAACACGGCTGCTTGAGCGATGTAATCAGCCAGCGGTTTGGGAGCTTACACAGCACCACTGGCAGCTCACAGCAAGCGGGGAAGAGGGGCAGCTCCGTCTTCCATGCATTGCATCACACATATCCCTTCCTGAATCGGAATAAGGCCGACGACACCCAACCTCATGTATGGTGCGAGCTCGCGAAGAGAGGTGCTGTTTTCTTCTTACCATCTCACTTACACCTCTCTATCACGAGACTCGTCCTTCTTGTAATGTACATACCTAACTTGGCGGACAGTAATAGGTTACCCAAAGTGGTATGGTCAAAACATACGTCTGCGGCCGCTACAGGATTGACAGTTGCTCCTGGTTAGACTTTGGCAGGTGTTCACATTCCACGTCGGATGGATGGACCGCTGGAGGGCGTGCTAACTCTATCGCCCAGGCCTTCCACCCGGCCCATCTCTCCATCTTCTTTTGACAGAGGTATCAATGACGATCTAGCAGGTCCCAGTTTGACCTGCCTTTTAGCTTGTCCCCATCGTTTCTCACGCAGCTTAGAACATGGTTGGATTGCTTCCACACTACTAAGTTCAACATGAAGCCACTTTGACAAAGGCATTGTTGGCTCGAACCACGAAACACAATGAAATACAGCACATCGTTCCAATAACCTATTTCTTTGTTCCACGCAAGATGAGTGAACCACATCACCCTTCATTTAGTTGCTTTGCTGAGCGTCAAGAGTACCAGCCAGTCCCCCTACCAGCCAAACAAGCTCCAATAAAAGCCCTGGCCGACGGTTCTCAAGCCGTGACTTTGATTCTTCGTACACCCAGCTATGTGGGCTACTTCTCAGCTCCCGCCCCCGGCGCAACGACTCCTCCTCGTCGTCATCGTCATTAGAATCCGAAGTGTCCCAACCGTCCCTCTCGCCATCCTCTCCAACATCCTCGTCGTCTGAGCACAGCTCTTCAAGTGTAGGTGCTAGCGTCAACGTGGAAAACACCTGTGTCGTGAACAGATTGGAACCCCTGAGCTGGCTCTGGTCACTCCATGGGATTCTGGCGGTTGAGAGCCAGCCTCCCATCATGCGGCGCCCTTAGGCTGATTGATCTGATGTGATGTACCGACATAGGCAATATTAGTGTGGTCTATTTCGCGTATATATACGAACCCTCTCTTCCACCATACAATCTCCGTTCTTAAACTCAGTCGCGTGACCAATGCATTGATGGTGGCACAACTCCACCCTCCCATTGTTTGGATTGCTCGAAAGTCACCCTCGAACCGCAACTGGACCACGGTAGCCTGGATTCTACAGCATTGCTACAAGAGGGAGTTGACGGCCGTGTTGTTGCCCCTGATTCATCATCCTTTGTATCTCTTGACTGCTGTTATTAGCTTTGTTAGCTTAAGAATCCGAGACAACGGCACCATCACATTGTTCCGCCAAGAAGACGTATATGCTGTCTTAATTGGCATAGTCCATTGTCCATGCGCCGTGAAGCCTACAGGATGACTCTAATTACATACGCAGGTCTCAGAGTTTGGATCAGAAAAACTCCTCAAACAATACGTAAGTCCGCCTAAAGCATCCTCACCTCACGAAAGCAGGACCCCCCTAGCTCACTACGCACATGAAACCGGAAGGAAACCGGCGGAAACGCCCAAGCCCGTCTATCCACGCAGGCGCCATAGAAACAACCGTAGCGCTTGGGTGCTCCGGAAAGGCCAGCAAAGGTCCGACTGAAGTCACCACGCAGCAAACGGTTGGTGTGAAGCATGTATGACGATAGTGATTGGAGGCTCACCCATTCCTCATAATCTCATTTCTCAACTTCAGCAGAAAGCACTACCTAGCCTTCTTTCGCTTCTTCTGAACAGGTGGCTCTGACTCGTCTTCGGATGCGAGGATGTCACTCGCTCCCTCAATGTCGACATCTGACTCGGCGTCCTCCTCCGCACCGCCCTCGTCTGAGCCATCCTCATCTCCGGATCCTTCCTCATCCTCGTCACTCGAGTCGCCTAGGGGTATCATATCTTCCGCACCTTCCTCGGCCGCTGCTTCAGGCCCGCCTTCCTGCTCAGAGTCACTGTCACTCGAGAACCCGGAGAAGTCCTCGTCTTCCTCTCCAGAGTCTTGTTCCTCGGCCGCTACGGTTGAGCCAGCCAACGAGGTGTCGGCAACACTTTCCGCCTCGTCTCGCTTCCGTTTGAGCGGCATCTCCCCAAGACGGCCTTGCCGGCCTTCAATGACAGTGTCGTCACCTCCCTCCATTGCCGGAGCGGGCGTAAACCAGGGAATCTTGCCTCGCATGAAGTCGTTGAGAACCATCTTGGCAACCCCGTCAACGTCTGGTTCGCCGCCCTTGAGCAGCCTGCCAGATTTCCTAGCAAGGAGCTCGAGGAATTCGATGTGGTCTTTCCAACCCTTCAATTCATACGTCCTCTCCATGTGGTGTGTCTTGACCTTTTTCAAAACGGCGGGTATGTACTGCTCCGGATGCTCGACGTTCTCGACACGAACAACACCGCGGAGCAGGAGATCCTGCGGCGTATCGTGATGGTTTGGTGGCACGATACCCGGGCAGTCGATCAAATAGATCCTCTTCATCAGCGTGACGTACTGCCAAACCTTGGTTTCACCCGGAATGGGTGCAACCTTGGCGACGGCCTTGCCACGGAGGGCATTGATGATACTCGACTTGCCTACGTTCGGATACCCGATCAAGCCGACGCTGATCTGCTTCCGATCCTTGTGAAGGATGCTAAATTGCCTGAGGAGGTCAATCAGAGAACCGCGCCCAAACGGGTTCTTGATGCTCGATCTCATGGCACAGGTGGGGTGGTCCTTCTGGAGCACGCGGATCCAGGCGGCCTGCATCTGTTAGCATCCGTAGGGGAGCTACGAGATGGAAGCTGAATATGAAACAAGACGTGAAATGTGTGAATCATCACTAAGAAGACCACCATGTGCTATCCACGACGGACAGTGGCGGCCTTCAACTCGTCTGAAACACTTCCGATATCCGGCGACAGAACCCCAAAACGAGGCCTATCAATCCCCAGCTTGAAGACCAAACCAGGGACGTTGGAAGTGGAGATCGTTCTCCCAGGGATGTAACGGACAATCTCCCATGGAGCATGGAAATGCGGAAGGATCCTGACGAAAGCCCTGGGGCCTGACAAGCCTGGCAATGGGGAAGTGCAGAAAACTGAGCTCTGCGTCTGTGGGGATGAGACTTACCGCCGTGCTCGAGGGCACCAAGTCAATCTTGTTTAACACGAAAACAAGATGTTTGTGCGGGGCTTCGGTAGCGAGATACTTTTCGACGTGCCGACTGTCGAATCAGATTAGTATCTGGCGTCAAAGGCGGTAGTGAGTGTAGCCGTACCATCTTGTCCCCAACGGATCCCGGGCGTCTATTACGTGGAGAATGACATCTGACGAGTCAATCACCTTGTCTAGGGAGACGTTAGCAGACGTCGTCGGAGACCGGCAGCAATGACAACTCACAAAGCTCGTTCCATATACGCTTGGACTGGCCCTTGCTGAAGATGGCCTCCTTGGCGGTCGCGACACTAAAGTCTTCCTCCACAATCGCATCACCGTCCGTAGCCGCAGATCCCGCGGCGCCATTGAGCAGCTTGATCTCCTCCAGTCGAGCCTGGTACGAGTCGAGACTCTGCTCGGTGTGCCCAGCGAGCTCTTCCACTGTGTTAAAGGTGACCTTCGGCCGTTTCCTCTGTGCCTTGGGTCCGAAGGTCTGGGAAAAAGGCTCGCTCTCGATGGTCATCTTCGCCTGATGCTTCTTGAGCCCGTCCTGGAGGCTTGGGCCGTCCCGGATCAAACTCATGGGAAGCTTGTTGCTCTTCAGCAGGACCGAGTACGGGTCCTTCTCTTTCTCTGCGATGGCCTCCCTGAACGATTTGAGCGTGTCTTGGGAGATGACTCTGGTGTTGGTGAACCACCTCCTGTTCGGCTCGACTACTGCCTTGGGAACCTCCTTGCTCTGGTACGAGGCGGCCTTGACAATCTTGCCCTCTTTGTTCCGGATTGCCTTGCCATCCTTGTACATGTTCAGGGTCTTTATCTTCTTGGCGGAGCGGTAGAAGTTCTCGCCCTTGACCTTGGGGTCGCCGGTGACCTTCCCCTGCCGCTCTATGCGGGACCGCTCCTTCTTTCCTATGTATCTGTTAGTCGCCATTGAGTCCCACTCGAGATGCAAGCACAAGAGGACGACCTACCGGTACCCATCTTGGCAATTGTCTATCGCCAAATACAGATTTTAAAAAGATTCAAGAAGTGAACAATACCCCTAGCTGCAAAGTAAATCGCAGCGGTCTTCCACTGGGGAGCGGGTTGTGGAAGACGAAGAAAGAAAAGGTTGGGAAAGACAGAGCGGAACGTGAAGCAGGCCAAATGAAGTTTTCGGCGGGGTGGAGCTCAAAGGGCTCCTGCGAAAAAAGGCGGTAAAGCACGGCACAACAGCCTGCCATTCCTAAATCGGACTAGCGCATGCATTTGAAGTTCAGAGTCCCCAAGCGTCAGAATTTCCGAGTCGACGGAGGGAATCAGGTCTCCTGTCTTCCGGGTCTGGATCCTCGGCTTCAACTCCCACCGTCGCCGCTCCGAAGATAATTCTGTCATTGTGCAGAATTGAACTCTTCCCGGCACTCACGATGGCGCCTCCACTGCCCCGGCCGTCAATATGCGGCCTGCAATCCGCTCTCTCCTCGTGCCGAATCTCGACGACAAAGACGACGACCTCGACTTCACAATGGCGCGCATTCAGCATCACCCCTTTTGCCTCCCAAGTCTCCGCCGTGCCCCCCGAATCACCCAAATTCATTACCATCCCGGAGCCCCCCCAATCAGCGGAGCCTAAGTTGCCCCCGATCAAGGGCTACCTCCCGGTCCCGCGCGACATGTTCCCCAAGCGGGAAGGCAACCGCAAGGTGAAGCCGGGCTACGTCCAGGCCGCCACCCCGGTCTCCAAGGCCGAGCTCGCCGGCTTGCCGCCAAAGTCGGAGCAAGAAGCCCGCCACCGGCTCATGGCCGCCGCGCGCCGCAGCGCCTTCGCCTCGGGCATCCAGGGCCTGTACGTCCGCAAGACGCAGCGCGAGCAGCGCATGCGCGCCCGCGCCGAGGCCCGGCGCCAGGCCAACATCGCCGCAGCGACGGCGCCCGAGAGGCTAGACGACGTGCTCACGCGCTCGACGGTGCGCGCGGCGACGGCGCTCGAGACCACGGTGGCGCCAGACCCGAACCGCTTTGCGGCCGCCGAGGCCGCGCGGGCGCGGCGCGAGCAGCAGGAGAGCCTCAAGGCCGAGGCGCGGCGCGACGCGCTGGCGCAGCTGTACGTGGCGGCCAAGGACTTCATTATCGACGAGGCCGAGCTCGAGCGGCGCGTCAACGCCATCTTCACGCGCGACCACCACAAGTACGGCAGCACGGACAGCGGGCAGAGCATCTGGGACGTCAAGAGCGCCCCCGTCAGTGTGGCGGACTTGCAGGCCGAGATGACCGGGTCGTCCAACAGGTTGACCGAGAGGAACAGGTCCCCTGCTTTCAAGACGACGGCGAGGCAGAAGGCCGTGGCCGAGGAGTTGACAGGTGGCAAGTTGTGAGAGCCTCTCTCGTTGGCGTAGATAAAGGAGGGTGAGTTGGCTGTTATCGCGGCGATGTATGCGATGTATCAAACCGAGCAACAGCGGGTCCTGTACAAATAGAATTGAGGTCAGGCAAGGCCTCTGATATACGCATTGCAAGTGTATTATTCTACATTTGAGGAAACTTGTACGATGTCTGACGGGTGCCCTGATATGAAACTGGTTGCAAAAGCAATGGAAGCGCCGCAAACGCCTAACCTTCAAAACTACCCAGACTCTCCCCACAGCCATGTAACACAAAACTGCCGCCGCGAGAACCAATGACCCTCTCTCACGCCCGAAACACATCCCTTTGAATCCTTCTCGGGCCCCTTCCACCCACAAGACTCAAATCACCGCCTCTCCACAAGCAACACATGCATCGCTCCGTAGGCCAGCACAATGAACACCGCCCCGAACACGCCCAGGTTGATAATATCAGGCCACATGGCCTGGTTATCAAACCCAAACGAGCTGAGAATAGCGGCGCCCGGCACCGTGATATCGATGCCAATTTTGTGGTCAATCAGCGTCAGCTGCGTGACCTCATTGACAATCAGCGCCTCAAACCCGTAGTGGAAGATGGACAGCCACTGCAACCACAGCGCGGCCTTGGGAATTGCATTATGATTCAGCAGCAGGCCCGCAAAGAGCAGGCTGAACAGCATGACCAGGCTGCCAATCAGGTTCGCGACGCCGCCGTCCTTGCAGACGATGCCAATAAATAGGCAGATAGCCGCGGCGGCGAGGTTGAATAGCACCAAGACGAGCATGAACACCAGAAACTTGTCCACCTCAGCGACGAGGCCCGTCATGGGGTAGACGATGCCGCCCAACAGGATGGGCGGGATGATGCGCAGCGGGACAATGTCAAACAGCACCTTGGCGGCGAAGTAGGTGACGGGTGCGTAGTAGCCGTTTGCGCGCTCGCGGACAAAGAGGAGGCGCTCCTGGGAGAAGACGGACAGGCTGGTGAGGGTGCTAAAGCCGAAGAGGGCGAGGACGAAGAAGAAGAGGCCGAGGCGGTTCTGGAAGCCGGCAATGTCCATTGACAGACCGTAGAACAGGTAGCCCGCAAAAACGGCGAGGAGAATGGCGATGGCGTAGTGTGTAAGCATGAGCATCGGGTTCCGGTAGAGGTTCCGCCACGTGCGTTGCGAAAGGAGGACAAACTGTCGCCAGAGCCCCACGCGGGCGTAGCCCCTGCCCATGGTAGGGATGTTGATGTTGCCATCTGCGATAGCTCCGTTGGAATTCTGGCCGTTGCTACTGACGGCTGCTGCAACAGCCTGCTGAATCTCATCGTGCGTGTTTCCGGCGATGTCGGAGTGAATGTAGGAGCGCACCAGAATGTCAAGGTCGGTGCCGGTGGGAGCAGGAGGGGGCAGGTCGTCGTGCTCATCTAGGTTATGCGGCGGCACACGGTGTGGCGTCGCTTGGAGCTTGTAGGCGCCAATCTCATCACCGGCATCCGAGGACGCGGCAGTGTTGACGTTATGCTTGCGGCGGGTGTAAAGCTCCCTTTCCTGCTTGAGCCGCACCGAGTCCTTGCGCTTGTTCTTCGGACGAGACGAGCACGCTTCGACGAGGCTGTCATCGCCTACGCTTGTGCCCGAAATGCTGGCGACAGATTTGACTGCCCTGGTGCTGCTGGGACCTACGCTTGCCACGTCAGCCGAAAGGGTGCCGTCGTCGAAGGACGCGGTAGAGCCAGCGTGCATCGTCAGGTCGACCAGATAATCGGCAATGTTGAAGCCGGGAGGGCAGCTGTATCCGATGTTGTCGAAGTACTCCTGGCATTGGTGGAGAGGCCCGGAGTACACCGTCTTTCCCTGAGCCAGCAGGATGAGACGGTCGAACAGGGCAACAATGTTGGATCTGGGCTGGTGGATGGTGAAGATGACAGTTCTCTTGTACGTCTTGGCCAGTGTGACGAGACATTCAATGACATTGTAGGCGTTGTATGCATCGAGGCCGCTGGTAGGCTCGTCGAGGAAGAGGATGGAAGGGCTGGTGACAAGTTCACAGGCGATGCTGACGCGCCGCTTTTCTCCGCCAGAGATACCGCGCCCCTTGCCTTCTTCTGACCCGATTAGAGAATCCCGAATGTGGTAAATACCCAACTGCTTCTCAACCTCAAACACCCTCTGCTCCTTCGCAGCCCGTGTCATGTCCCGCGGCAGGCGGAGCAAGGCGCTGGTGAGGATGGTCTCGTGGACGGTCAGGGTAGGGAGCATGGTGTCCTCTTGGTCGACGAAGCCGGTGGCGTTCTTATAGTCTGCATCGCTGACCTTCTCCCCATTGACGTAGAATTCTCCGGAGACATGGCCGCGCTTGTTCTTGCGCGCGAGAATGTCGAGGAAGGTCGTTTTCCCTGCACCAGAAGCTCCCATGATGGCTGTCAGTTCACCAGGGTGAGCCATGCCCTGAATACCCGTCAAAATGTCCTTGCCGTTGAGGTTGTAGCAGACATTCTGGAAGTACAGAGACGCCGGCTTATGATCTGTCATGAGCTTGATGGCTTCGTCATCCGAGTCGTCCAAATGAATCGGCCCATATTTGAACTGTCTTCGGGAGAGGTACCAGGTACCGAGAATGACAGCAACCAGGAACAGCGCAGATGCGGCAACGGCCCCAGCAATAAGCGGCGTGTTGATCCTGGGCACTTCGGGCGCGTACCCGGGCACCTCGGTATGGTAGAGACACTCTCCCGCGCCACAGGTCAGCAGGATGCTCGAGTCGCCGAATATGTCGCTGATTAGGTTGTTCATCTCCGGTTCCTGGAAGGCGCATTTCTTCTCTTCCCCGGGCTGCTGCGTGCACTCGAACTTGGCAGGACCGCGGATCATGTTGACAAGGAAGTCGCTAATATCGACTGAACCATTCTCGCCGCAGAGCATGCGATCGGGGATACACTCGCAGCGGATCTTCTCGCATTTGTAAGATGTCGAGTTCTTCCCGCCGGAGGTGTCGAAGTCGGCGCTTGATTGGCATTCGTTCAAGTGGCACATGAACGACTCGCGCTCATCAACCCAAACTGCAGCTTGTGAGTAAGGGGCCCGGTTTGCTCAGGAACCGACAGTGAACTTACACTGGAAATCGCACTCCCCGGATTGCTTCTCGCAGGTGAAGGTAACCTGGGGCACCTGGGCGCCAAGGAGGTCTCGAATCGCCCTGTTTGTGACATCGCACATCTGGTAGTTCTGCTTGACCACCTCGCCGCCGGTGTAGCAGACGCCGCCGTCTCCTGTTTCCGTCAGGGCATCGCATGCGCGGTCGCTTGTGCACACGTTGCAGTTGATGCCTGTCCAGCCGTCGTCGCATTCGCAGGACTTGCCCTGCCGCACCGAGCGGTCTGGCCCACGCGCTAGAGATCCGCAAACTGGAGAATGGCAGTCATGAGTAAGGTCCCCAAGGAAGGAGGAGGTATAAGGGACTCCGTACGGGGTTCGAGACAGTTGTCGCCGCCAAAACCAGCAGGGCAGTTGCATTTGCCGCTGTATTCGCTACATGGCGCAAATTGGCCGCACGAGTATATCGGGAGGTTGCAGTTGAAGCTGCCAGCAATAAACCATCAGCATGCCGAGTGGGAGCCACGTTGGAGAAGCCAGCGTGATGTCATACCACGGCGGGCAGTCCTTTGGGCGATCTTCCAGGAGGGCTAGTTGCGCTCGTATCATGTCGACAGACGAGTAGTTGGTGTAGGCATACGCCATGGACGACAACGATAGCAACGCCGCAGCGAGCGCACGGGGCCGTAGGAGCGCCATGATGGCAGAAGCGGTCGATCACAATCCTGTCAGGAAGGCCTCACCGACGAGGTTGACGAATGCAGAGAGGGGACGCGGAGGTGGTGAAAAGAGCCCGGAAGCTGGGCAGGTCGGCGATCGCTGTGCCGGCAGGCTGCGACCAACCCCACGGCTTGATTGACCGACGGACCGAGACGCCTATCTCCAATCAGAGCAAGCTTACGCCACACTTGGTCGCAAGCTTGGGCCTCGAGACAGTGGAGCTGAAGTCGCGCCTACCACAGTGAAGAAAGGACCCTGACGTTAACGTTGGACCCGGAAGTAATCAAAATACGAAACGACAGTCTGACAAAATGATAGTCTTGCGAAAGCGTGGCAGTCTGGATGTTATTCACGCTACATGGCAGCCGCTAGTGCGTGGAGGTAGCTTATGCTGTCGATGTGGGGTACCTGGTATCGGAACACTGACTCCAAGAGTCCAGGTAGGCCTGCTCAAGGGTGCGATTGGTGTGGCTGCTGGAACCTGCGTAATTTACACAACCGTGAAGCATGTGAGTGTAACACCAACGGGCGGTCGTGGTTGGATGGATGCAAGACGGGAACATCCGCCCAGCCACAAGAGTCAGGACGCTACTTACATGGCAACCACTTGGTCATCTTCAACCGTTGAAACTTACAGGTTTTCTTGATCATGGCACCAAGCTGTCAGCACGACCGGTCGTGAAGCTTCAGACCTATCAAAAAAATCCAACCAATGAGGCCATGAGAAATCAATCATTCGATGTGTCGAGCTGGCCCGAGCAGAGATGATTGTGGACACAATGTTAGCCATAGGGCGTATCCAAAACGACCCCGCCTACTAATGGAGTCGCGAGTTCAAAAAGGTCGCTCGGAAGCCGTAGGGGAACTAGAGTGCCATACCGAGTCAACGATCCTTTGGTAACTTGGTGCGCAACGATAGACATATCACCGGCGAGCGTCCCCAGGACTGAAATTATCAGCAAAAGATGGTCAAGATCGAGCCGTTCGAGGTCGAGCAATGGATGGACCGCCTGGAGACTACTCCGGGTTCGCTCAACGTCGCCGAGACCTGTGCAGCCTCCGTCTCTGTTGATGACTTGATCCAGCTGTGCGAGGACAAGGACGCGGCGAGTCCACTCCTCCTCTCCAGGAAGCTGACGTACGGAGCCATCCGGGGCTCCGAGGCGCTTCGTCAGCGTGTCGCATCCCTCTTGGACCGCGCATCCGATGCCGAGCCGCTCCCGGCCGACAACGTCGTCATCACCCAGGGCGCCATCGCCGCCAATTTTCTGACGCTCTACACGCTGGTGGGCCCTGGTGATCATGTCATCTGCGTCTATCCTACCTATCAGCAGCTGTATTCGGTCCCAGAGAGCCTCGGGTCCGAGGTATCCCTGTGGAAGCTGAAGAAGGAGAACGGCTATGTGCCGGATGTGAGAGAGTTGAAGGGGCTGGTGCAGGCGAACACCAAGGTAAGATGCTCCGGATACCTAACACAAAAACCCTCTTACTGACGAGACCCAGATGATCGTCATAAACAACCCAAACAACCCTTTGGGCAGCACCATCCCCCGGGCCATCCTGGAAGACATCGTTGCCTTCGCCCGGCCAAAGGGCATCATCATCCTCTCCGACGAGGTATACAGCCCCCTCTACCACTCCCTCCCCGCCGGAGTGGAAGCGCCTCCGTCGATTCTCGCGCTGGGATACGAGAAGACCATCGCGACCGGCTCTATGTCCAAGGCCTTTGCCCTGGCCGGCATTCGGACAGGCTGGATCGCCTCGCGGGACAAGAGCATCATAGACGCCGTAGCGGCCGCGCGCGACTACACCACCATCAGCGTGTCGCAGCTCGACGACCAGGTCGCCAGCTACGCGCTTTCCCGGCCGGTAGTGGGTCCGCTGTTGAAGAGAAACACGGAACTGGCCCGGGCCAACCTGGGGCTGTTGAGCGCATGGGTTGACAAGTACGCCGAGGTATGCTCGTGGGTAAAGCCGACGGCGGGGACCACGGCGCTGCTTCAGTTCAGGAAGGACGGCGTGCCGGTCGACGACGCGAGTTTTGTGCTCGATCTGCTGGACAAGACGAAGGTGCTGGTCATGCCGGCGAGTCCTTGCTTTGGGCTGGGGAAGGACTTTCGGGGGTTTGTGAGGATGGGGTATGTTTGCGAGACGGCGGTGCTGCTCGAGGCCTTGCCGAAACTCGGCCGGTATGTCGAGGAGACTTTGATGGCGAAGAAGTGACACACTTGATTGTTCACGTCCCGGCCTCCGACTACCAAGTGCAATGGAGGAAGGTCAATCTGAGCTGTCTCAATCATGCTGCTGCTGAAGAGCGATGCTCGTCACGCAATGGAAGGGTTTCAGATTGTGCTTTGTTTCAGCGTCGAAGCAGTCCAGTCCAAAAATGCCAAGATCATTATGTACACTAGCCCAAAACGGCCTAGCTGCGTCAATGATTGACATCACCGCGACGGGATGGAGACTGTCAAGACTGGATCCGGCTGTCTCGGCATTGCAGTTTCACCACAAGACTTTTTGTCCTAGTGCGTCGTGTCAACGTGGCGAGCACAATCCGAGGGCTGTAGGGGCAGCCTGAGGACCAGCTAAGCGTGTGATGCTGAGCCACCTTGACTACCTCACGCTCGCTCGCTTTTTGCCTTGTTTCCTTCCTGTTTTCGCTTACACATTGCCGCTACGTTCTTAAATAACTCAAGGCGTTTTGATCACCCGAGCCGCCAAGAACGTTGTGGCGGGTCGGTGACGAACACATCGTGCTCCGTATAGTACATAGTATATCCGCCTTCTTATTCGACTTTGTCTTTTCGCTGGTTCCCCCATGACCGTTTCCAGCTTCGCACTCCACTGCCAGTGCGCCGTCTTCCTTTTCCGGGACTGGGCGGTTTTCTCATCACTCTTGATCTCTTCCACCTGGCTGTCTGCGGGAGGGGATCTGGCCGTCAATTTACCCTACTCATCAACTCAGTGCACAGCAGTTTACCGATACGCAACGTCATTTCCGCAGCTATGAGAGGGCACAACGCCGTAACTATTGGAGCGCTGCTCGCGGACGCTGTGAATGCATACTCAGGCAATGGGGTGGTTCAGTGGGATATACAGAGGTCGCAGCGGAAAGAGGAGTTCAACAGGTTGAGGAAACGGGCCGACACATTCGAGGAGGTGGTCACGAACGATCAAGCAAGAGGAGGGTATTTTGCTACTTGCAGGTTGGGAACGCCTGGCCAAGACTTGACGCTGCAGTTGGACACTGGGAGTAGTGATATCTGGGTGCCATCTTCCAGGGCCGCCGTCTGTCGGCAGAGTCGGACTGGCGAGGGAGGATGTGGCCTGGGAAGCTGTATGGCAGACTCGACCCCTGACTCTCTGATTCTACTAACACAATTAACTAGTCAACTCTGACAGCTCAACCTCTTTCACGGTTGTTGGGGAGGGGAATTTCGACATTGAGTACCTCGATGGAAGCTCATCCAAGGGCGACTACTTCACAGATGTGTTCGAGATAGGCGGCGCCACCTTGCAGAACATGACCATGGGACTGGGTATCAGCACTGATATTGCAAATGGACTGGTCGGCGTCGGCTACGCCGCCAACGAGGCCATCGTGGGGAACACGCGCTCGACATCCTCCGTCTACCCCAACCTTCCCGTCCATATGGTCAACGAAGGCCTGATCAACACTGTGGCTTACAGTCTGTGGTTGAACGATCTGGGTACGTTGATGCTGTGTCCCGCCTCGGTTGGTCCTTGCTGCTGACTGCTCGTAGACGCTAGCTCGGGCAACATCCTCTTCGGGGGAATTGACACCGAAAAGTATCAAGGAGATCTGACCAGGATCACCATCTACCCGACCCAGCGAGACCCAGATATCTACACCGCCTTCTATGTGGTTCTGACCTCCCTGGAAGCGGTCAGCTCGAGCGGCCGGGACACTCTGACGTCAGAACAGTTTCCCATCCCCGTGGTCCTCGATTCGGGAACAACGCTGTCGTATCTGCCCAATGACCTTGCAAGCCAAATCTGGAAGGAGGTTGGCGCCGTCTACTCCTCGCGGTATCAGCTCGCCGTCCTGCCCTGCGACATGCAAAACAGCAAGGGCTACTTCTCCTTCGGCCTCGGAGGCCCGAGCGGCCCGCGGATCAACGTCACCATGGACGAGCTCGTCATCGACCTCACCGCAGGTAACGCCCCAACGTTTAGCTCCGGCCAGTACCAGGGCCAGGAGGTTTGCGCGTTTGGCATCCAGAACTTCACCAACAGCCCCTACCTCCTGGGCGATACCTTCCTCCGGTCGGCATACGTGGTCTACGACCTCGTGAATAACGAGGTCGGCATCGCCGCGACCGACTTCAACTCGACCGACAGCAACATTGTGCCGTTCCCCAGCAGCGGCGCGCCGATCCCATCGGCCACGGTCGCGCCGGATCAGAGCGAGGTGACGAACCGTCCGGCCTTCACGAGCCCGGGGTTTGCGGCGAGCCCGGGGTTTTTAGACACGAGCGCGACCCGGAATGAGAACGCCGCCGCGGGAATGCTCGCGGCTTTCGGGATCGGTCAGATGATGGTGGTTGGTGTCACGATGGTGCTAACGGCGCTTGGGTCGGGACTGTTTTTCATTACCTAAGCCTCTCGGCGCATTTATGAGTTGCGCTTTTTTCGTTCATATTTCATGTGACTGGAGTCTGGAGTTCATGTAAGAGAGGGTTGGCCTGGTCGACTAATGCATGTCTGGATTTCCTGTACTTGTACCTTTGTGGGTGGAGGATGTTGTTCGATTATCTGAGTGTTTATTGGCAGCAGATCTGAGGGAAGGGGGAAGTATACGCACAAACTGTGCACGTCAATACGATTCAGTACCATGATGTTCCAATGTTCAGTGGTCGAGGACCCTTGCGATCTGCATGACCGGAAGCCGGGATAGACTGATCTTCGCGGTGCCTGCCTCGGCTCCACTATAAAATTTCGCGGGCTGGGGTGCCGAGACACACTCAGTCCACAGCAGCGAGAGTGTCGGAGGCTTCCCCATCTTTTGGAACCTCCTTCGTTTGCCCAGTCATTCCTTTCTTCCGCTGTCTTTCGTCAAGATGCGGGTGATACGGGCAGTGGCTGCGCTGAACAGCGGCTGCGCTGTGGGCTCCAGGCAAGCAGTTCGCTATGCCGGTCTGACCAGCCGAGTCGCCGCCGCCAACTCGCCGGCAGCGCAATGCTACAACTCCCGTCTCAGTGGCCTCCGGCACTTCAGCAGGAGTCCCGTCTCCCGCGCCTCAAGCGCCGCAGAGGCTGCGTACGTCCCTTTTGGGCTTGGTTGAATTCATTGGACCACGGCGAGAGCTGACGCATGTGCTGTCCAGGTTGAAGCAGGCCAAGGAGCTCGCCGCCGCCAACATGACCCCCGAAGCCGCCGCCGCCCGCATGACGCCCGAGGAGAAAAAGAGGTTGTCGATGCTTCGAAATATTGGTATTGCAGTATGTCTGAACACAAAGAGGGTGAGGGTGGGGCTAGCGCAGGGACACCATCACTGAGCAGCTCGACAGGCACACATCGACAGCGGCAAGACCACCGTGACCGAACGCATTCTCTTCTATACCGGCCGTGTGAAGGCGATCCACGAGGTCAGGGGGCGCGATGGCGTCGGCGCCAAGATGGACTCCATGGAGCTCGAGCGGGAAAGAGGCATCACCATTCAGTCCGCTGCCACCTTTGCCGACTGGAAGAAGACGGAAAACGGCAAGGAAGAGACGTACCATTTCAACTTGATTGACACGCCTGGCCACATCGACTTCACCATCGAGGTCGAGCGTGCCATGAGAGTGCTGGACGGCGCTGTCATGGTGCTCTGCGCCGTCAGCGGTGTGCAGAGTCAGACCATCACCGTCGACAGGCAGATGAAGCGCTACAACGTGCCGCGCATCAGCTTCGTCAACAAGATGGACCGCATGGGCGCCAACCCGTTCAAGGCGGTTGAGATGATCAACTCCAAGCTCAAGATTGCCGCCGCGGCGGTCCAGATCCCGATTGGTTCCGAGAAGGAGTTCGAGGGTGTCGTCGACCTGATCCACATGAGGTCCATCCGAAACGACGGTCAGCGGGGCATCAACGTCAAGGTCTCGAACACGATACCGGAGCATCTCAGGGAGCTTGCCGAACAGAAGAGGCAGGAACTGATTGAGAAGCTGGCTGATGTCGACGATGAGATTGCCGAGATGTTCCTCGAGGAGAAGACTCCCACGCCAGAGCAGATCAAGGCGGCCATTCGCCGGGCTACCATCAGCCTCAAGTTTACCCCCGTGCTCATGGGATCTGCCCTGGCCGACAAGTGTATCCAGCCCATGCTGGATGCTGTTTGCGATTATCTCCCGAACCCCTCCAACGTTGACAACACCGCCCTCGACCGGTCCAAGGGGGAACAACCCGTGAAACTTCTGCCTTATAACTCCCTCCCATTCGTCGGCCTCGCCTTCAAGCTCGAAGAGAACCCTTACGGCCAGTTGACTTACATTCGAGTCTACCAAGGCTCGCTCAAGAAGGGCCAATACCTGTATAATTCGCGCAATGACAAGAAGGTTCGCATCCCTCGTATTGTGCGCATGCACTCGAACGAGATGGAAGATGTCTCCGAGATTGGTGCCGGTGAGATTTGCGCCGTGTTCGGTGTCGAGTGCGCCTCTGGCGACACCTTTACAGACGGCCGCCTGCCTTACGGCATGAGCTCTATGTTCGTGCCCGAGTCGGTTATGTCGCTCAGCATCAAGCCCAAGCGCAGCAGCGACGCAGACGCCTTCAGCAAAGCCATGAACCGATTCATGCGCGAGGATCCGACTTTCCGCCTGCACGTCGACGAGGAGTCCGAAGAGACCATTATCAGCGGCATGGGTGAACTACATCTCGACATCTACGTCGAGCGCCTGCGCCGTGAGTACAAGGTCGAATGCGAGACGGGCAAGCCCCGCGTGGCCTACCGCGAAACCATCAGCAAGCGCGCCGACTTCGACTACCTCCTCAAGCGCCAGACGGGCGGCCCTGGCGACTACGCCCGCGTGATGGGCTGGATCGAGCCCAACGCCGAGAATCCCGAGGCCAACAAGTTCGAGGAGCGCGTTGTTGGCGGCACCATCCCTGACAAGTACCTGGCCGCCTGCGGGAAGGGCTTCGACGAGGCCTGTATCAAGGGTCCGCTGCTGGGCCACAAGGTCATCGGCGCATCCATGGTCATCACGGATGGTGCCACCCACGTCACCGACTCCAGTGACTACGCCTTCAACCTGGCTACGCAGATGGCCTTCCGCAAGGCCTTCACCGAGGCCGGCGGCACCGTGCTTGAGCCGCTCATGAAGACGACCATCACCGCGCCTGCCGAGTTCCAGGGTAACGTCCTCATGCTGATGAACAAGCGCGGCTCCATTGTGGATACCGAGGTCGGCGCCGACGAGTTCACCATGATTGCCGAGTGCAGCTTGAACGCCATGTTTGGCTTCAGCACGCACCTGCGCGCCGCCACACAGGGCAAGGGTGAGTTCAGCATGGAGTTTAGCCACTACGCTGCGGCGCCGCCGCATCTGCAGTAAGTACCTGCCCTTACATACTATGTGCGTCGTCTTTGAGATGGGTGCTGACCGATGTGTCTCACAACAACAGGAAGGAGCTGGTTGCGGCACACCAGAAGGAGTTGGAGGCCAAGCGGACCAAGTAAACTAGCAGGTTGGTTGGTTTCTGCTTGCCTTACCTCATATATGATGCCGGGCACACAACCCATCCTCGGCCCTGACTAGGAAGCCGGGAGTTGGTATGTCTTGATGATGGGAAGAGTTCCCTCACCTTCGCGTCGGGAAATTATCCCCCCACACGCACAAGGTGAAGTGTACAGGTTACTTCTGGGATAGATCACGGGTAGATGGTCATGTCGCTGGGACTGGCGCCACAAGATACAGGGGCCGGCTTGCATTTGTAGCCTGGGTTTGTACGTATAAGGGTTGTACTATATGATACACGATACAGCTTGCGGTTGGAGATTGGGTACTGTAATCATGGGATGATACCATCCTGCTTCATGTTCTGGAGGGTCACTGCTCTGAATTATCAAGCCACGTGGTATTCATATTGGAAATTAGCCGCCGCAGATTGGGGAGTTAATACCTATGCTTCCCTTTTATTTATCCCCATAGACACCAGTTATGTACAAACGACAGGTATCACTACAACAGCCAGTTGCCTTGAAGTCCTGCATGTTCCTCCTAAGCCAAGCACCGACCTTAGTTTACAGACGGCGGAGGATATCCTGGACAACCTCCTCCGTCTTGGCAGTACCGCCCAAATCTGGGCTGAGCAGCTTGCCTTCCTCAAGGTTGGCATCAACGGCAGCGTAAATCTTGGCGGCGGCAGCCTCCTCATTGAGGAACTCGAGCATCAGCGCGGCGCTGCGGAGCGTGGCGATCGGATTGGCGATGCCCTGGCCCTGGATATCGGGTGCGCTGCCGTGGCACGGCTCGCCAATGGCGAAACCCTCGCCGACGTTGGCGCTGGGCACCAGACCCAGCGACCCCACTAACGCGGCGGCGCCGTCGGACAGGATGTCGCCGTACAGGTTGGGCGCAACAATCACGTCGTACGCCTCGGGCTGCCGGAACAGCTTGTACACCATCGAGTCGACAATCTGCTCCTCGACGGCGACCTCCCCGAACCGCGGCACGGCGAGCGCCTCGCGCGCCGTTGAGCGGAACAGGCCGTCGGTCTGCGACAGCACGTTGGACTTGTGCGTCACGGTGACGAGCGGGCCCTTGTGGATGCTGGGCGACCCGGCGGCACGGATCTTTTGGCGGCGCAGGGCGATCTCGCCGGCGATGGTGGCGATGCGGCTGCTGGCGCGCTGCGAGATGCGCTTGACGGCCTCGGCGACCTTGCCGTCGGGTGTGTCGCGCGTCGTCTCCTCCTTGACGTACAGGTCCTCGGTGTTCTCGCGCACAATGACCATGTCGATGGGCCTGGGCGCCGACACGACCGTCTTGACGGGCCGCACGTTGGCGTACAGGTCGAGCTTCTTTCGCAGTGCCACGATGGGCGACGAGTAGCCCTTGACGGCCGTGGTCGGGGAGCTGACGGCGCCGAAGAGCGCGCCGTCGCAGTCGGATTTGAGAATCGATACCGTCTCGTCCGGCAGCGCCACGCCTTGCTCCTGGAACGTTTCCCAGCCCGCTTTGAGGTCGACGAACTCGAACTTCAAACCGAGCGACGCGGGAAGGGCTTCGAGAATGCGCCGACCGGCGGGGATGACCTCCTTGCCGATGCCATCGCCGGAGATGAGACCTGGAGAAGGAGGTCAGCCAACTCGACATTGGGCAAATGGGAAGACGACTGTGGATAATCTTGAGAACTCCGGGTGTTGTTAGCTGCTTACCGATTCTAAGAGTCCGAGCTGCCATGGCTGCGCTTCAATTGGCGTTTCCCAGTGAGTTGGCTCAACTGTTGCAACTTTTTTTTTATGGCAGCCGAGAGCTCGATTGTACAGAAGACGATGAGCCGGCCGGGATCGGAGGTTGTAACCGATTGGGCAGCTGCCCTCTCAGCGACGAAACAGCATGTTCCGAAGACGAATGGAAATCGAATCTTCTCTGAGCTTTCCTCTACAGTTTCATAGCTGTCACAGTACGGTGTAGGCTGGCAATAATTCGCTTTCTTGATCAACAATACTTTATGCTCAGAAGCCCAATGAGCAAAGCAACTCGACATCTCCTCCACTCCCACTCGAGTCCTGGCTTTGCGATGTCGGGGGAGTTCACCACTTGTTCTTTCATCTAAGCACCCGATCACTTTTCTGCCCGCCGACTCTTCTAATGCAGGCAGCTTGCAGGCGCGAGGCTCGCTGTTCCGTTCCCGACCTATGATGTTTCTCAAGGCGAAGTTGATGGTTGAGTCCAGACTCGAGTCTAATCTGATGATGGCTCGCTATCCACTCCGGAATTGTAATCGCTCCCCTTCCTCAACTCATCCGGCAGGCCTCTTTCATCATCCATCAGCGACTGTGAACATGCCTCTTTAGGATTCCCCATTCGGCTTTGGCCACCGCGTGTACTTCCGGTAATCTCGTCACGACCGTCGGGTTGCCGTTGTGTCATTTGACAAGGGTCGTGGACAGACCCACTGCCATAACACAGGGTCCTCAATGCCGGGTCAGTTTGTCTGCCAAGACCGAGAGCTTGGGTTGCCGCATCTCTGAAACACGACACACACAGCTTGAGAGCTTCCCTTCTCACATAACAGTTGGCCAACAAGGACGCGGCCGTGTTGGGACTGTCAACCCGGGCCCTTTTCCTCCGTCAATCCAGCAGTTCTGAGCTGGTGCATGACGGCGCATCCTATATCATCCAAATCAATTGTTGCCTGTATATCGAATATTCAAACTCACCTGGGAGGGCTCGGCAACAAGACCCCCTGGAATTCAATCCATGCCCAAATTGTCTCTTCTAATTTGAGACACCTCGCATTTTTGTAGGGTGGCACCACGAGCTTTGAGTACCCGCGTGTGCTCGCCTTCTCGTCGTCCCTCCATCTTTAACGTTATTTAGCTCGTCGCAAATCTGTCCCTTCTCGCGCATTTGACTCGTCGTCGCGAGGTCCACCAACCGGCAGCAGCGCACAAAGGTCGCCATTCCATTGGTCGAGTTGCCCCGAAGCTCTAGGTTGGCTGAAGGTACGACGCGCTCTTGCATGGAGCTCGAGCCCAAAAGGGGTGTTTCCCAGACTACACCTGCCTGACCCCGACACAGACGACAACCTCTCCGCAACTCAGCAACGGCTCCTTTGCCCCTTCCACGGGCGGCTATCTACCATTTTCTTTTTTTGGTGGCCAGCTAAAGGTATCTGGGCGCATTGCTCCAGAAATCGCAACCATGAGCGCGGTCAAGAACCTTCGGGCTATGTTTGAACAGAAGGGGGAAACCAGTCCCCCGGACAGAGGCAGGTCGCCTGGCATTCCACATAGTAAGGCAGTAGCCTTCCCGCTTATTGTTGTTTCCTGGCCTACGCGCCTTGCGCAATTCTACTCGCTCAAGCCTTGAAGCTAACACAACCCTCAGGACCCGGCGACTCTCCAAGACCCCTCTCCAAGATCCGAACGAGCTTCATCGCGATTGAAAAGGACGGTAGGATGGGCATTCAGCGCGAGGGCAGCCAGGACTCCATTTCGGCGCTTCGGAAACAGAGCGGTGACAGCAACGTGACGACGCCCGTCACCGGGAACGAAGGGCCGAACCCCTTCGGCATGTTGACGAAATCGCCTGCTAGGATGGGACTCCAGACTCAGGCCATCGCCCGGTCCCCGCAAGCAGATGCTGAAAGCAAGGATGCGGCTCCGTCTGTTCTAGTAGAGAAGAAAATCACAAAGGCTGAGCCAGTACCAGGCCCTGACGCTGGGTCCAAGGAGCCCGCGCCGAATGGGGGAACCAAGAGTCCAGGGTCCTCAAGTGGCTCTACCACGCCGAAAGCAAAAGAAACCAACGGAACAGGAAGCGGACAGGATCCACCAAAGGCCAAGGCGAATGAAACGAGCAAGCCCGGCACACGCACCACGAAACCAGTACCGACACCCCTCCCAGCGCCCTCGGCGAACAAATCAACATCAAAGCCGGAAAACTCCCCGGCAGCCCACAAGGGACTGAGGACGCCTGCCATGACATCAACTCACTATCCGGTTGTCAAGACAACGCCAGAAAAGAAGGCTCAGCCGCCTGAGAAACCAGTGACCCCTCGAGCGACCGCCACTCCGAAGCCTGCGGGCCCATCTTCTGTCAACAAGCCGCCTTCTCTTCAGCCGTCCCCGTCGACCGGCTTCGTGAAGCCAAGGGTCAAGTCTCCGACCCGCCCCGTCAAGCTTCCTCCCGGCCTCACCACGCACACCGCGTCGTCGGGCTCCAAGATCAACGCTCCGCGACAATCCCTGTCTCGCGCGAGTGGCGCCACCCTCCCTGCCGACTCTCATGGACGCCCGGCTAGCAGAGCGAGCGCCTCGACGGCGGGGAGCGCGGCCCATAAGCCAGCTTCAACGAAAGGTCTCAAGCGGCAGAGCTCGACGGTCAACCGACCCCGGCCAAGCTTGGGTCTGCCCCCGAAACAACCCGCGAAAGACCACCCGCCGACGAAAAAGGAGAAGGAGATTGACCAAGGGTTCCTCGCGCGCATGATGCGCCCGACGGCAGCATCCGCTTCCAAGACGACCGAAAAGGTGCAGACCACTCCGCCGTGGAAGCCGGCGTCGGTGCCCAAGAAGCCAGCGGCAGCAGTGAAGCCGGTCAAGAAGGCAGCGGGGACTCCGTCCTTGGCGCGGTCAAAGCCTTTCTCTGCCGATCAAACGGCAGCTGGAGCTGAGCATGCTACGGCGGCCGGTGAAGTGGCTGAGCCAGCCGAGACCGCCGAGGCTGAGGCCAGCTTGCCTAGCGAAGTGAACCCGAAAATTTCGACCGGAAAGGCAGCTCCCGCCGCAGTGCAAGGCGAGACTGCCGATCAGGATGTTACTGCCGCTCAAAAGGCTGGTGATGAAGCCGCGCTCCTTCAAGCTTCTGACGCAGCGGCCGCCGAGGGCTCCAAGGAAAACGCCAAGGCCAAGGTTGAGGGTGTCGCTGAGGAGTCAATTGCCGATGTCGACATCGAGAAGAGGGACGCCGCTGTCGCGGAGCATCACGAGACCGAAGGTGCCGCTGCCGACGCGGGCACGGAAGAGAAGAGTGAAAACGGTGAGGACTCAACGGTTGTCTGAGTGGTTTTTATTCAAGCGGTCTTACTCAACCGCCTGCGGCAGGTTGTGTTTCAGCGATTCTGTATTATTTTTAATTTCGTCTCTGTCTACGCTTCTGTAGGGGGAGCATAGCGTTTGTTGGCAGACACCCTGTTTCATGATACCTGGTGGGAAAAGGAAGTGTCTTTTTGTAAGCGGGCGAGTTGGTGACGGAGCGTGTAAGGTAGAGTAGCTAGCCTCTAGGGCTGGCGTTTGAGCGTTAGAGGAATGCACTCTATTTGCTTACATTCTATTGGACTGTGAAAGATATGGTACATTTGGTCATTGTTTACAGGCGTCCGCTCGTACGTCCAGTGCTGCGAGGCTGGAAAGCTGTCCAAATTCTGGCTTGACGCGCAGATATGCCTCGACCTTCGACATGTTCCGTCCATCTTGCCTGGCTGCATCATACAGAACCTCCATCCTCTCGTCTCCCCCTTCTCTTAGCTCAAAACACCGCACTCATCCCTTTCACAATCCTAGCCGATCGAACTCATGAAACTCGGCAAAGGATCAGCCCGCCAACCTTCTTCGCCAGCGCCTCCCGCACCTCGAGCACGCCGCGGTCCGTACTCAAAAACATGGTCTCCCCCAGGTTCAGCCCCTTGAGCTGCTGCACGCTCAGCCCCCTGGCGACGCGGGAGAGCTCGTCCAACTGCGCCGTGACGAGCCGGCTCGGCTTGGACACGGGCGACACGTTGCGTATCACGGGCTGGTTGTTCCAGTACTTGAGCCCAATCCACAGCCGCCGAGTCGCCACGTTCTCGAACGTGACGGGCTCCGTCTCGGTCGCCAACAACGCCTCGGGCGGCGGCGGGCGCGGGCCGCCTCGTGTGACGGACGCGATGAGCCCCGCGCGGTGCATCGCCAGCGCGAGGCGCAAATTGTATTTTGTGTTGGGAATCGAGGTCAGGCCCAGCCGTGCGCGGGCGGCGTTTTGGAGGTGCACGCAGGCGTTGGTTATCGAGGCGATGCCCATTGTGGTGGCTGTGTGTTGTTTCTTTTCCTACTTATGAGGTGGTTCGGGGATGCAGGGGGCCTCGGGATGCTTATGCGGAAGGGGCTGATTCGGCGACAGAGGTTCGGGTCGCTGTCCCCTCAGGAGGGGTGATTGATGGTCGAGATCGCGGTGGGCGGTTTTGAAGCCTTCTGCTTGAGACGATGGTTAGGTCGCGGTCCTTTGAGTAGTGACAGGGGGTGAAGGAGCTGATGCCCACTTACTTTTGTAGGGTGAAAAATGGTCCTCGGCAGCCGTCAGTTCCCCTACTTCGTCTCTCTGTCGTGTCTTGATCTTCGGCGTCGTAAATTTCGGTGGATCAATTCGGTTCCTTCCGTTCAGCGGCCGAAATTTTGGCAAAGGCCCCGGATAGTTGCAGGGGTCCATAGATCGTCAAAGAGGCTTGTGCTGCCATCACCAAGGCCCAGAGACCACGCCAACCCCACCAGCGTGCGTTCGATTGGCTTGCTGCCATCCCACTTTAAGCGCCCAGCAAGCTCGCTCAATGCCACCACCCCAGAGCTCTCTCGCGCTGAAGTGTCGGCTCAATGGCCGGACCAGGGGCGGCATCATCAAAGGTTTGTGAGACGTGATTCGATGATCAGATGTGCCATCCTTTCAACAAGTGCGCGGGGCACTCCCAAAGCCTGCGATGGCTCAGGCATGGCACAGGGGGCCGGCAGAAAGCTCCTGGTCACACATGTATCTGCTTGTTCCTTGCCATCTCATGGTTTCTTCCTCTTCCCCTTACTAGCGATCTCCTGCCTTTACTGTTATTACGTTGATTCTCCGTCTCGAAGTTGAAGCTGAAGGAGGAGTGTCTTTTTCACCACCACCCGCGGGCTTAATCTAGCAGCGTACTTTTGATATCCTGAGTTCAGACCGACCCCTGGACCACTCCTGAAGCTTCTCGGCTAATCGGAGGTCCAGCACAAACATGGCTGCCAGGCCGGGCGAGGAGAACGTAGCCACGCTGTGAGTATCGCATGCAGCTTCTCAGCCCTGACGCAAGCCTGGGCTTGTCCTAACCACGCCCAAAGTTACGGAGACGTCCATTACTTCTACGGTCCGCCGACGGATAACCCGCCTCATCACCGGTTCGACAAAGGGTCCTACGTCTACCTGTTTGAGGATGCGAACCAGGGGCGCGCTCGTTTGGAGATTGCCAACCATGTCGGGACAGATGATCAGGACGCTTTTGATGGCTGTAAGCGCGCTGCCTTACTCTTCCTCGAACGAAGACATGGGCTGATCAGGCGGCTTGATCTCCGAGTCTCCAGACCTTGACAGGGTCCACCTTCACTACTCGTACAAGCACACATGCCTTGTGACACTGATTGTCGGAGAGGTCGAGGGAAACGACGAGTGGCATCTGCCAACCTACGACCCCCATAACCAGAACAAATACCATTACAAGCTACACTCTCTCGACATCTATTTCTGGACGCCCCAGGACGCCGTGCAGTTCGTCAATGGCATCAGGCGCGTGCTACCTCCGGCCCAATTCGAGGTCCAGGATGAGCCTGGGCCGCCGCCCCGTCACTCGGCCGAGGTGAGCTCAGTAGTGCAGAAGCTCGAACAGGCCGCCATCTCCGACTCCGGTTCCCTCCAGAACACGCCCGCTGGTCTGCAGTCCAATGCCGTCGGAGGCCCGACGTTTCCGGGTCCTCCAATGTCTGCAGTCTCCGGCACGGCGGATGGCACCCCACCCCCGCCTCCCCAGTCAATCGTCCCCATGGCTTACAACCCGGCCGCGCCACCTGCTCCCGAGCAAGTACGGCATCGCGAGAAGACACCGCCCCCTGATGATGGCATCGCGAACCCTCTGCACCAGACGCTGGCCTACGACGCGGCGACACCCTTCTCACCAGGCCTCGCCCCAAGCGGTCTTGGCCCGCTCAGCCCCGGTATCCCGCCGCCGAACATTCAACACCCGCCCGGCGCACCGACCTTTCCAGGCCCGCCTCAACACAGCGTCACCTCACCAGGGTTTGCGGCCCAGGGGTTTGGCTCCCTCGGCGGGCAAGCCGCTAGCCTGTCCCAGCAACCGCCTGTGCACCCAGGCATCTCCCGCGCCGCGACTATGCCAGTCCATGGCATCGCTAGTCCACTGGCAAGCCCAGGGTTGGCGAGCCCTTATGGAGTCGGGACATTCCCCGGCCACGCGCAGTATGCGCCTGGCATCACCCAGACGCCAACACCGCCAGCTGCCGGGGCCGGCGTGCCCCCTTCTGCGGTGCCGGGGCAGGTGCAGAGCCAGTATGCGGTGCACCAGCAGTTTTACGTACCCGAGAGCCAGTACAAACCGAAGCAGGAGACGAAGGGGAAGTTGGAGGAGGGAGCTGGGAAGTTGGAGAGGGGCGTTACAGGGTTGTTGAAAAGGGTTGAAAAGAAGTTCGGCTGAGGGAGTCATGCGGTGGCCCAGTTGTTGGAGACAATGGTTATCAGGAACGGGACGCTCAAACAATTGATACCTAGGTTCTCTTGTGGCGAATCCAGGTATGCAAAACGGAATACAGTCCAATAACAGGACTTTGCAGTCTCATCTCTATCAATAATCCTCCTTTTGCCTGCGAATGCCCTATGACTCCAAAAATGCAATGCACCTCCAGCCCCTCATCTCCCCAATAGTTCCTCTGCCACTTGCTGCAACGTCCGGAACCATGCTTTCCTCGTCGGCCTGTAATGCGCCCAAGACCTTGATGGCTTTCCGTTGGCGACCAGTGGCCAGCAGACCGCCCAGCTCATCCGCAAAATCACCTCTTTCCCTTACCATGCAAGCGCCTCCCTCCCCCTCGCAGCCGGCTGCCCTCCCCTCTCCTTCCTCGCCCTTTCCTCTCGTTCCCGCTCGTCTTCCTCGTCCTCCCCACTCTTCACATCTCTGATCTCGTCCTTCAACACCTCCCAATCCACCCCATACCGCGCCGCCTCCGCCCGCACAATCCCTCCCCATTTCCTCAGCAGCGGATGCGCCTCGGCCACGTCCGAAAACACCACCCCGTCCTCGCCCAACCCCCCGCCGCTGCCCCCAACATCATACCGCCAGTTCCCATCCGCCGCCCAAAACGCCCCGTCAAACACCCCTTGCACACTCAACTCGCGCCGCGCCTCATTCAGCAACCCCTCGATCCGCCTCGCCTCGTCCCGCCCGGTCCACTGTGGTGGACTCCCCTCATAGTACCCAGTCTCAGTCCCGGTCGATGGTGGAAGTTCCTCTGAGGAGGAGGGGGAGGATGAGGAGGAGGAGGAAGAGGAAAGAGACAGCGCATGCAGCCCGACGGCTGCCGCTAGCCCCTCCAGCACGCCGAGCAGCTGGCCGGCGCGCGCGCCGATGGTGGCGCCCAGGCCGTAGCCCTCGTCGAAACCCTGCTGCGCGGTGCGAGCCTTGGCGAGCGTGATGCCGTCGCGGTAGCCCGCCGTCGTGTGCGCCTGAGAGAGGCGCGGGATGTCGCTTACTTCTTGCGGCGGGGTGTAGTATTGTTGGTGATGACCATGAGGGTGAGGGTGGGGGTGAGAGTAGGTGGTGGGTTGGTCGTCCGAGGCCCAGATGTCGTCTAGATTGTTGCTGTCGCTTTCGGTTGGTTGATCATGGGATATGTCTTGGTCACGGTGAGGGTCGGATGCGGCGGGATTGTGCGAGGTCATGGTGTGGAAGATGTCGGGGTCCCGGTCTTGAGAGGCGGCGTTGCGGAGGAGCATAATTTGGTTGGTTATAGTCTTAGGTGGTGGGAAATAGCTGGGTTTAAGTCTTGGTTCAGGTGTTGGTGGTGAGTTGCTCAAAGTGTTGGTTGGTTGTTCTGGGATGTGAAACCGAGCAAACAGTGAAAACCTGAATAAAAGTGAGAGAGAGCAGCAACCCTAACCCTGATTGTTAACTCATCGTCCGATTTTGACAAAGGGTCATTTTGTAGGCGGGCGAAAGAACTGGCGGCTGACTGTTATGTCTTAATTTGAACATCGCCCATCCAAGAACCATCTTAAACATGCGACCTGTGATGCTTTGCGGTAACTGCTTCATGGGTCTTAGGTTGGGTATTGTAAATGTACCTGACCCCAGGTACTGACGAACTTTGAATCCATTTTTACAGTGACCTAAAAGCTTGAACTTCGGCTTTATCCCCAGCAATCTGACCTTCAAAGTTCAAATGCTTGCCTCCAAATCAACTCGTCACGCAAAATGCAGTGGAGTCACCAACGTTGCGATCTCTTGTCAATTCACTGTATAACACACTTTCCAGGTAGCCCGCAAGGACCTCCCTTGGCCTCCTTCTGCTTTGCTGCCGGAGTGCCATTGCCATGTTGCGCCTCCTGCGCCTTCGCCGGCTCCCTGACGTCAGACGCTGCGGTCGTCACCACCTCTCTTTCTACTCCCTCTTCCAACCGCCCATTAGCGATAAGGCCACTCTCTCTCCCGCTCTCCTCAATTCAACTAACTGGTCACGCACCGAAAGCTTTGGCGACCGTCTTGTAGAATTCCTCTCCCTGAATGGTCGCCAGTTGCTTCTCCTTCTCGCTCGGCTGCCTGCTGCCATCGCCGCCAGCAAATGTGCCCGCGCCCCACGCGCTGCCACCGCGCGCCTCAGAGAGATCCGTCAAGATACCGAACGCCGGGGCATACCCGAGGGGCACATAGATGATGCCGTGGTGGGCGAAGGTCGACATGGCGGCAATCGCTGTCGACTCCTGGCCACCGCCCATGCTGGCGGTCGAGATGAAGAGGCCGGCGTACTTGCCGTAGAAGCCGCCCGTCGACCACTGCTTGCCCGTCTTGTCCCAAAAGGCCTTGAACTGCGCAGGGAAGTTTCCGTACCGCGTCGGGATGCCGAACAGGAAGGCATCGTATTTCTCCAGCACGCTAGGATCCTCGAGGACGGGGATGTCGGTCGGCTTGGCGGGAGCATGCATCTTTTCCAACACCTCCTGCGAGAGCGTCTCCGGGACTCTGTGTGACGCTGTCAGTCTCATGTCACACACCCTGTCTGTTGCTGGAGTCTGTGCAAACAAACGTACTGGTAGAGGTCGGCAGTACCGCCAGCCTTCTCAATACCCGCCTTCTCGGCCTCGGCAAGCTGCCGAATGTGGCCGTACATCGAGTACTGTTGCAACGTGTCAACCATTGTCCGGCCAACGGCTAGTTCCACAAACCATCGGGGCGTGAAAGGATCACCGGCATCGGGGGACAGAACTTACAAAGACGATGGCGATCTTAGGAGCCATGGTGTGCGATACCCAGTTGGGTTGGTTGGTTTGGGGATGGGTAGAAGGTATTGTTGAATTGTCCTGCTTGCGAGATTGATGGTGAGACAAATCTCACACGGACTCAGACACCTCGACCTTTATACACGGGTGCCTGGGTCTGAGACTGCCCGCTAGGTCCAAGAGATGCCGACCTGGACCTGGCAAATCTCGAAGGCTCCATGGGACCTTCCGTTGCACGCAGCCCGGGCCTGCATTCGTCATGATCGGATAATCCACTCAAACACAATGAGCCTGGCAGCTCGGTACCCGGACAAAGAGGGGAAACCCAGCGTCAAGAGGGGCTATGATCGGCTTTCTGCTTTCCTTTGTTGTAACACACGCCTGCCATTAAGGTACAAGGTGCCTTAACTTTTAGCCCTGAGTACATGCGTGGGGAAGAGAGGTCCTTGCCGGCTTTCAAGGTTGCATGGCAACAATGTAACAGCCGAACCACGACCCTGAGAATGGCAGACAAGGTTCGGGCGGTTCCGATCTGGCCGATGGACAACAAATGCCTCCGCCCTCGCGCGCATACCCCACCGCTACTTTGCTCCAGTTTACCAAATTGCTGAGTAAGGGCTTACAGCAGCCGTAGCAATCGCCTCACAGCAAAACCTTGATGGCGCGACGCTTCGCTCCTTAGTCACACTGACAAATCTACACTGAGTCGCTCGGCAGTCCGTTCAGAACTTCAGTCGGCATGGCTGACACAGAGCCGCTTCCGAGTCCGCACTTCCACTCAGCTTGCTCAGGTTGCCAGCCTCGCCGGCTTCACGGCTACAGTACATAAAGCACTTCTTGTTGTCCCTCGGGAGTACCAGGAGCATCGGGATGCGGCCCAAGCGCAACTCGCGCTTGGTCGCTGTGTGGTGCATTGTTTGAGTGGAGACCCCCTCTCAGCGGCCGGAGGCACGCTATGAAGGGCCAGATCTCAACACCACGAAACACATACCCCCGCTGCCAGAGCACGACAGCAACATCAACTTGGCACGGCTGCCTGGAGGCTAGCGATAACACGGACTTGGCCGTCTCCGCAGGCGCTGGAGCAGACTCCGCACGCAGCGGTGCGAGAAAGCAACTGACCACACCTGGCATGTTCAAGCGTGCTGGTTGGTTTCGGAAACACAGACCTGCCTGAAACACAGACATGCCAGGGGGGGATTCGAAAATGATCATGTCATCATATATCACAACCTGGCTCTATATTTCTTAGTCAAAACTCTGCAAAGTTCTCAACACCAAACGATGACCAACATGGCGGGCGACGGTATCGTCCCACATATCAAGCCTTGAGGTTACCACTCCGTGCATACAACAGGATTCTCGACGCCGAATAGAACACGGTCGCCACCAGAAGTCCAAACGCCGCATATAGCATAGTCCCCAACCATTGGGGACTCTCTTCGGTGCCCAGAATTGCCCCGGCGATCGGGGTCCCCACGAGGATCGCTATGCCCGAGATCACAAAGGCCAACCCCATCCTAGCTCCCATGCGCCCCATGTCGGGAGAGAGCCCGACAAGCACGCTCGGTGTAAGGGAAACCACGCCGCCGGAGAAGGCTCCAAAGAGCAGCGCATACACCACGGCGCCCCCCAGGTCGTGAATCCCCAGCCAGCCAAAGATCAGGATCGCGCTGCAAAACGCGCACGCGATTATGATGTTCATCGACCCCCAGCGGTCGGCGAGCGCGTTGGGAACGATGCGCCCAAAGATGGACCCGACGTTGAGCAACGTGACCAGGTACGGCGCGAAGCTGTCACTCGTGACATGGTGCGACGTGGCGAAGAGCGTGATATAAAAGAACGGAACGTACAGGACGAGGAATGCGAACAGCCCGCCGGCGACGAACAGCAGGTATGGCACGTCCCTCACCACGGTCCGGTCCACCAGCACCCTCTTGCTCGTGGGCGGCACCCGCGTGCGCATGAAGGCGATCGGGACCGCCGACACGCCCAGCAGGATGAAGGCGATGGCCCGGGTAGCCCAGCCGAACCCAGCGCGGGGCAGCACCCGGCTGAAGAGGATCGGGAACACGGTCCCTGCCACGGGCGACCCGACGCTCGACAGGCCCAGCGCCAGCGCCCGGTGCCGCGAGAAGTATTGCCCCAGGATGGCCGCCGACGGCAAGAAGGTCAGGCCCATGCCCACTCCCTGGCTGATGCCCTGCGCCAACATGACCTGCCAGTACTCGGTACACAGCGACGTCATGAACTGGCCAAACACGATCAGGAACAGGCCCACGAACAGCAGGTGCCGGAAGTAGCCCATGTCGTAGAGCGGCCCGGCGACGACGCCGACGAGGAAGAGCAGTGACGCCTGCGTCGAGCCGATCCACGAGATGTCGGACGACGAGTGGTCGCGGAGGAGGTCGGTTTCGTAGTACGCTTGGAACACGCCAAAGGTGTTGATAACGCCCCACGTGTTGACCAGGATGGCGGCCGACCCGACCACTTGCAACCAGGCTGTCAGGCCGCCGTCGGGGATTGGATCTGGACCGGAGGTTGGGGGTTGTTGTGGTGTTGCTGTGGCTGGTTCCGGGGTCTTGCCGCCGTCGTCCATCTGGAGGGAGGCCGGCTGCCCTTTTTCTGTCCGGTCCGACTCGGACGCTGTATTTTCCGGGTCTCTGTCCATCGTTGCTGAGAGAGCGCCGGCTTCTCGTCCTAAACTGATGCCGGGCCGCTCGGGGTGTGGTGCTGTTTTGGCTTCGAAGGGATGTCAGGTAAAGGGTTGATGCCGACGATGTTCGTGTTAACACTGTCCTCGGACCTAACTCGAATTGTTTCTGATATCGAGGAGGACTCCCTGTGTTGAAGACTCATAGCACATCTGTTGTCTGGTTTGACTTTTCCCGTCGGGAACATGATACCCATTTTATCCTCGCCTCCCCTTGACTCACCGCGAGGTAAGAAACAACATTTATCATCCTCAACCGGTGGTTCGGGAATAACCAGGGTATGGGTTCTGGCCCCTCATGATGCAACTCCGAAGTCCTCCCCGCCCTCGTTTTTGCGGCTCGCATTCCCCCAACCGGTTTAGCATGCTTCAGTTTGTTGGAGCTCTTTGGTAATCGGCAGTCCATACTGATCGCTTTCTGAACGGATCCGAGAAGCCAGTTAGTACGGCATGGGTTTCTGTTCGTCTGTCCATTGGTTAATTGTTGAGGTTGTTGGGGTTGGTTTGTCAGGCAGATGACAGAAGGGTGTATTACGGAGTACTGGTAGTGTTTGATTAAAATCCTTGTCAGGGCTTTTTTTATTGCGTGCTAAAGACGTGGGATTACCCGTTCCGACCCACCATCACGGGAAGCCGAGCCGAGAGCATTTGTTTAGTGATATAGACACTCTTTACCTATTACTCAACATGCCCGACCAGATGCCGAGGGAGCTAGAAAACAACGATACAGGTGTCTGAGTAGCACAATGGCTCTGTCGGAGGCGCACCGTAGCCCGTGAACGACCAAGTCGGCCCCGGTTCGTTCCGTCTCCGTTCGGCTGCGGGGCCGGAGAATCGGGAATGTGGGGCATCCGGTCTCTGCTGGCAGAAGGTTTGCGGATCTTGACTATACCATATCTTCAATGAAAGTGTGGCTCATACAGTTTCTGTTCTGGAAGTTGGTGGCGGCAAGAGAGGACACTAGCGGGGGGTGTTCGGGCATCTCAGTGTAAACAAGGTTCCACCGGGGTGGACTGGCGACGGATCTGTTCCATAGAGGCAAGCCGCATTTAGACCCATTCTTCGCTCTCCCAGAGGTAGATGATGTGCTTCTTGAATGCTTGACTGATACTTTCTACCAAAAAGTGTAGCCGTACATACAATTTAACAAGGTTGATTCGTGAAAGTTGACGAAGAAACTGATGTATGCATGCCGCCATTAAAACCCCCGTCAACTCCAACCAACGAACCCAATCCAACCAGATGCAAGATTCCCAAACTCCGCTGCCACCAGCATCGAACGAAACGGTGCGTATATACACATGCCCTGCCGTTCCCATACAGGGATATACCCTCGACCCCATCCGAGAACCGTGCCCCCTGACCGTTGTTTCCTCCTTCTAGCATGGTGCCTCCCTTGCGGTCATCAAGGCCTCGCGCTCGACGGCTCAATCACAATCTGCGGCACCCCGCTCAGTCTGAGACTGGGCAGCCTCGGAATCCCACTGTGTGCTCCCGACCCCGAACCACTCTCGGCTTGTGTCTGGGCATGCGAGGCCAGGTCTCCCATGTACGCCGACAGCCTGCTATTCCTCCTCTCGGCCGGTCCAAGACCCGGATAATTCGGCGGCGGGTCCGGATACGGGCTGACCCTCCCGGACACATCTGAGTTCCGGCGCGAGTGCATCGGTGTGATGTCCTCCAGGCTGACTTCGTCGTATCCCGGCGGGGGCATCCCCGCGTCACCCAGATCCGCGTCCTCAGCGTCGATTATTTCCGGAGGCGATCCCGCATGCGGCGTGTTCCCAGAACTCGGCGTCGGCACCCTTGGCGTCGTCGCAGCCGAATTCGCCCTCGACCTCGACCTCGACCTCAACCGCCCCGCCCCGGCAAAACTAAACACTCCGCTCCCACCCGTCGTCAACCCGGGCGAATCTGGCCTTTCCATCATCCGCGAGGTGTCAATACTCAGCGTGGCGCTCGCGCTCCGATCCCGCCCCAGGAACAAACTATCCGCGGAAGCGGCGATACTAGCCGCATCCGACAGCAGCCCAACCCTCTCAGTGCTCTCGGTACTGCTCGCGCGGATCCGCGTCCCATCGGAACGGGCGATCCCGACATCGGCATACGACACACTGCTCACGGCGCGCTGCCGCGTCTCACGGATACGGTCGTGCGAGTGGCGAAGCTCCTCGATCTCGGTTGCGTTCTGTACCGCGCGGTCGCGCGCCGCCTCGCGCAGCTCGCGCAGGGCCACGGCGTCGCGGGCCTCGCGCGCCTGCTGCCGCAGTCGCCGGCGCTCCTCGCGGTCGGCGATCTGGCGTCGCCGCGCCGCCCGGATCCGGTACAGCGCCTCCATCTCCTCATCGCGCAGCGCTTCCTCCTCCTCGGCCGTCCGCATCTCGACGACGATGTCAATCCCGTCGCGCTCGCCTTCCCGGCCGAGGACGAGCTCGTTTTCGGTCGCTTTGGGCCGGTACGCCGGCAGCGTCATGACGCTGCGGACCGAGGTAGTGCGATCGACGGCCGGTGCGTCGGTGTGGGTTTGGGTGCCGGCTAGGGCTTCTTCGAGGTCATCTTGAGTCTGACGGTTGATTTCCCGGGTGCTCGGGGCGTCGTCCTCGTCGACTGCGGGCTGGTAGGTGAGTTTCCGGCGGGCGTATCGATAGTAGAAGTGGCGGAAGACGAAGGCGAGGATTGCAGCGATGGCGATGGCGCCTATGACGATGACGACGATCTGCAAGAGGGCTGTCAATGCGGAGACGAAGAGACTAGGTCGCAGTGATTGACTTACTTGAGCCTGGTTCGGCGTATTTCTCCCTCCGCCGTCACGCGGCTGTAGCGTCGAGCCCCGAGTGTTGAGTCCATCGTCGGCTGCTGGCAGCGGCACTAGGACTGGTACGGACATTCGAAGAAATGGCGGGGACATTGTAGCTGGAAAGATGGCAAGGCCGGGACCAAAGGCTCAAGGAATGATTCGGATTGCCCAGCTACGAAGTCCAAGACCTCGTCGGCATCGTGCGATGCCCCAAAAGGGGGTGGTTCCTCGGCCGTACAGTAAGAATGAAGGTTACAAGATGTGATGGTGGTACTGGACCGTCCGTCCCGGGAGGGTTTTCCACTGGCTTCTCGTTTAGGCTGGGCGCTGCGTGGATCGACACAAGAAGCCCGGAAAGATAGTACAACACAACAATGCGTAGGACGTCAATATTGGACAATACGGTCAAGACACACCGAGTCTAGGAATTGAGAAGGGTAAGAAAAATAAGTCGTCAGCCTGGCGCCATGGGTCGTTCTTTTTGGCTATGAGATACGACGTGAAGGCTCCGAGGCACTGCTGCAAGGATGCCCGCTTACTGGTTCCGGTAAGGCTACGCGATTAGCGCCGGGGCAGCGACCAGAGATCGAAGCCATCAAACGTCAGGTTTGGGGCCCACACCCACAGGGCTTCAGGTTCCTTCTACCTGTCGGCTCGTGGAACTTTCCAACTCTGAGATGATGTGACGTGACAGTGAGGTTAAGGTTCCCATCCGCAGCTCTTGCTGCCTCTACCTCCATCTCCTATATGGTAGCTGTCAGAAACAGCGATCGAAACGGCACGCATTTCTCTATGGAACCCAGGCGGGACAAATGCGCCGCAAGCAGTTCAGAGAAGTCGTCAACTTTCGTGGACTTCGGTCTCCTCCGCCAACCCCGGAGGTTGCTGGTCAAACGGTACGGAGAACAGATACGGATAGAGACCAGAGTTTTTGCCCCGCTGTCTGCCTTGCAATGCAGAATGTAAGCTGGCAATCCGTGGACGTGGTGGTTCCGGGTGGCTGGTTCGTCAGGAGACGGCACTGCCCCATCTTCTGCATCATTCTCCCATCGGCTTGCAGGCAGAGGTCTCGTTTGGAAATCACTCAGCATTCATTGCCCGGGCTGGTTGCATTGAACGGAACACCCTGGACCCAATTTCTAACCTAGGTTTTGAATTGGGGTGTTGTTGCTCTGTGTTCTTCGGAATCGTCACCAGCATCGGGAAACCATAATGTCAAGATTCCTAACGTTAACCGTGAGCTGGGCTCGGCTTATTGTCATCCCTACAGTCTCAAGCCACTGCAGCGTCTCCGTATCATTGCACCCGACGGTTTGTACAGTACTTCCGTACCTTGCAGCAAACAGGTCTCGGTTCCTGACCGCCAAAGGATCATGCCCACCATCTCATATCACCACGCTCCCTGACCTGCCAGCCGCGAGTCTGGCTGCGGCCGATTTTACGCCAATCCTGGAGCACGACCCGATTCTTGGAACCATGAAGGATCGGATCTCACATCGATCCGTGGCACCTCCTGTTGGGGGTCGCTTGCTGCCCAATCGTCCGCCGAGATTGACCGTGCTACGCTGCTGACTGTTCTCTACTATGTAGGCCATGCCCTTTGCAATGTGAGTTTTGCAGCTGACTTTTGCAGCTGTTGAGAATTCGCTTCAACAAGCGACACTCAGTTGAAGTGAACGACCGTAGGCGGCAGGCTCACTGGCTTTTGGCAGGGTCGCTTACGACTGATGGTCCGTTGCCGGCAGCCATAATTGCAAGATGGAATTTTCCTTTGCTCTCATTAGACCACAGCCTGGCTTTCGCAGATGAAACGCGGCTGATGAACATGACGTGGCTCCGGCTTCCGGATGTAAACGGAACCTGACCGGGACTCGGATTTGGATCGGCTCATGCGGCCCCACTTGCACATGCCAACAACAACCACATTCATTGATCACCACTCACGCTCATCAACCGTCGGCTTCGATTAAACATTGCCCATGTATGCAATTGGTATTGGGCGCTTGGCTCGAACTGTTTTGCTATCACTCCAAGTGAAGGCTTCGCTGCAAGTTGAGCATCGTCCTCAAAACCTTGTGCCGACGCGAAATCCCAGACTTCGGCTGCCAGTGAAATTGTCTTCCAGCATGACCTCGGGGAGGCCAACCGACGAGGACCCCATAGTGAAGGCGCTGCAGGAGTACACGACGTGCGTGAGGAACGCTGCCATACTGGCTTGCGAGTGCTTACACACCACTACTGTAGATGTGATGTCGCCGACGCCCTGGTCAAGCTCAAGATCCACAACGGAGGATTCCTACCTGGCATCACCATGTGGTCGCCGCAGCGCCAGGACGGGGACACAAAGATAGTCGGCCCAGCATATACCGTCCAATATGCGCCAAAGGACGACGAAAGGCCCAAGTGGCCTAGTCACTACGTTAGTCGCATCCGGCCGCAGGCTTCTTTTCACTTGTGGGATCGCCGAGTCAGGGACTGAGCATTTATGCATTCAGATTGACTCTGTTCCTGCCGGCGCTGTTGTCTTTGTGTCATGCACGCCCAACACGTCCAATGCCCTCTATGGAGGCTTGATGTCTACAAGGGCGAAAGCCAGCGGTGCTGTGGGTTCTATCATCGATGGTCGTTTCCGCGATGTGCAGGAGCAAAGAGCCCTGAACTATCCAGTGTGTATCCCCGTTTCCTTGCACCAGAGGAAACTAGGGCACTGACATCTAACCAACACGCAGGTATTCGCTCGTGATGTGGGCACAACGCCGCCAGCGCCACTATTCAAGGTCGTTGCCGTTAACGAACCTGTAAAGGTCCGCAATGACGGCCAAGACATCATCATCAACCCCGGGGATTACCTGGTTGGCGACGTGAATGGAGTCGTTGTGCTGCCCAGGGGCCTTGCTGAGCAGGCTCTGCCGCTCATGGCGAACCAAGTCGAAGCAGACTCCAAGATGGCCGTCGAGATCCAGAAAGGCATGTCGTTCGCCGAGGCGAGCAAACGGTTCAGGTCATGAGCCTTCTTTGTCGACGCTACCTTACGGGATTGAGACATTTGTGCTAGCTTTCAGCCAGTCTCCATTTGCTATTCTACATTAACTGGCAGCCCTCTCTGGACCCGATGGCCGGTACTTACTACTACTCAGCATCCCAAACTCTCGGCTGGGTCGGTGCGCCGCTCGGTTTCATTTCTTTTCACAGCCTTGACAACGGCAAGGGACGGATCTTCCAGGAACTCTTTCCAGAATCGGTATCCTCCTGCACTGCTCTCATCTGTTCATATGGGATGATCTCAACGTTGGTCAACCCGGCCCGCTCGTATACCTCTGGCGAACCTGATTAGAGCGTCTCAAGGCTTGCCGCCTCGAAATCCACGTGCGGATTGCAGTGGATGGTAACGCGACACCTGTCACCCCCGAGGAAGGCTGCAGCCGTGTGTAGGTCACCCCGTACTTGCAGGTCTAGACGCTGGCGCTGTGCGGGTTCCCACTTCAAATTCCGACAAAGAGGCCACCGCTCTTCCTTGGTACTGTTGTCAAGGAGATGGACCAGAGGGAAGGCTAAATACGATACCTGAATACTTACCTTACTTACCGCCGGTGACTACCTAAGATGCTTTGAGATGGACCCCTCTTTCACCACTTCAGTCTGGTTTGGACCTCAGCGGCTTACAACCCCTGAGTCCTGTGTTCGCCTACATGTCACATAGGCATTGATTTAATTTGGCTCCTTCCACAGAAATCTCTATTTCATGTGCCTTTTCCACTTCCATGTTTCTTCAACTGTAATAAATTCTTTTCTGTTCGTGCCGACACCCTGACTGACTACGTATGCAAGAAAGGAAACTCCAGCCACAAAAGTGTACTGCACACCGGGCGCTGTCGTATCAGACAGACCTCATCATTACCGACGGGATAACTCATCAGAAGTTTTTCTCTTTTATTTTTTACTTTTGAACCGGACAGTTTTATTTACCCCCCTGCTGACTTGCAAGGGCGAGGGGGGTGATCCGCGGATATCCGCGGATTTTCCGGGGCCTTCCGCGCCATGGTGTTCTCAGGAGGGCAAGCTCCGGCAATTCACTGTATCCATCACCTTTTCTCGACACTCGAAGACGAACATACCCGTAGGATGTCTACCATGAAGCGGAGAGCAGCGTATGTGGCCGAAGAGCCGCAGCGTGGACAGCGTCAGCCACAGATATCATGCGACTCTTGCCGGAAGAGGAAGCTCAAATGCGACCGGAGCGAGCCCTGCTCCAGTTGCGCCGTCCGGGGCCTACCTTGTCATCGGCAGCCAAGCGCAAAGAGGGTTGTGGTTGATCAAAGGTTTGTGTGACCACCGCGTTCTGCTGCGTGGTTCAGGACTAACAGAGGTACCTTGCGGTTTTCAGTCACGGGGCGCTGTCGAGTGAAGACGTTCTGCGCAGACTGAATGCGTTAGAGGAAGCCGTCTTCAACAGCGAGCGGTCGCCGGCGAGGCACCAAGGGCACAACCTGAACTCCTATGGCCCTCTTGCTAACACTCCAGTATCGTCCGCCACGGCGGAGGAGCACAGCCAACTTCTCGACGCAGCAAAGACACTACATGAGACATCGGCGAATTATGACTATTGCGATGTACGATTTTCTGGGCCCTTTGAAAATCCAAGTTTGAACAGCCCCTAAGTTGAGGAAGTCCAAAATTTTGACTTACCTCCAAATAGCTCGAGGATCTTTCAGGCTCTTTCAAGTTTGCGATTTCCCCAACTCCGTGTCCTACCGCCTTCCCAGGCTCCTGTCCCCAGTTTCAAAATGCGACCTCGACGAACCATGACGCTGCAACCCAACCCAGGCTTATCCCGATGATGCCTCGTGAGCAGGCTTTGGCCTTGTTGCAGGACTATCTCGATCACGCCTTTCCCCTTCTCCCAATAATCCACTCAACCACAACCCGGACAATTGTGTCTGAGTTTTACGACCAGCTTTCTCGCGGCGGCCATGTCAGGCCCCAAGTGGCTGCCCTGATCCTGTGCATCAGCGCAGTCAGTGCCTGGCTCTGGCAGCCAGACGCGGGCCGTCACGCCCGGTTCGCCTCGGTCAGAGAGGCGACACAGCTCTGGGAGATCTGGCGGAAGTGGTCATTCGAGATCCTCACCAGAACTCAAGCTTCGGACGGCAGCACGCTGGAGGGCGCGCAGACCTGGGCGCTGCTCTCGTACGCGACACTGAATGCTGAAGGCGGTTCCGCCTATTTCAGGTTTTTGCACTACACGGCTATCACGGCCGCCCGCGAGCTGTCGATGCATCTTGTTGACAGCCCCAAGGCGGACCGCAGCGAAGACCGCGTCACGCGCGAAGTCAAGCGCCGACTCTGGTGGCATCTCGCTGTCACGGACTGGTGAGCCAAAGCTTGAGTGATAGTACCTGAAAAGACACGTAGACTGACTGGCTACATGAAGGATGCTTGGCTCCGTAGGGGGCCCATACGAAGGCACTTATTCCATACAACCCCGACACATGAACGTGAGGTATCCCAGAAATCTGAACGACAACGATGTCGCTACCTGGGACGACTCGATGACTGCCCCTCTCAATGTACCCACTCAGATGTCCTTCGTTCTGCAGAGGATCCGTATCGGGGAGATCGTCAGAACCACCCTGGACGCTCGTCCCCCTGGGAGCCCCGACGTTGATATGCCAGACGACTACAACACCGTGGTCGCCCTGGACCGCCTGTTTGAGCAGGCATTTATGGACATGCCGCCCTTCTTTCAGATTCCCAGTCCCTTTCAGCCCGAAAAGCTCGACAGCTTCCAGTTGCAGGGCGCCATCTTGCAGCTTTGTCTGCTGTCCCGTCGAGCTCGGCTCCATCGCCCCTTTTTTCTACAGCAGCACATCAGCGCAAACCCCCGACACCAACCGTCTCGCGACATATGCCTGCAATGTAGCCGTAAGAGCGTCTGCATCTCGGTCGGCATCCTCGAGGCATCCCTGGACGCGGCTCGAAGAAGTGACACCGGCAGCGAGCCACGGCAGATCGAGAAGATGCGTCCTCGGAGCGGTCTCTCGGCCCATCGCCTCGGCCACATCATCAACCATATGTTTGTGGCGTGCACCGTTCTGGCCTTTTACGCCGGTGCCAGCTCTGGGCCCGACAACAGCCCTGCACGACGACAGCTCGGCGACAGCGGGGCCGAAGAGCCTGACCGGACGGCAGTCCACGCCGAGCTCACCAACGCCTGCCGTGTCCTTGCCGCCCTCGGAGCCGAGTCTCCCGTGGCGGCTCGACTGCTCCGGAACCTCGTCAGCCTTCTGCGGCGGTACCAGGTTCAGGGAGTTGACGGGGATGAGATGCTGGAGCGTCTGGAAGGGAAAGAAAGAAAGGAGACTACTGGCAAAGGAGCTGCTGGGCATGGGCACTCCCAGACTTTTGGTGAAACCGAGGTATTGAGTGATGTGGATGGCGGGCTGGCTCCAGTTGCAGGTCCGGGTGACGCCCATGTTGACTTTGATGGACTGTGGGACGAGTTTATGGGCTCGAGCGACGATTATACTCAGCTGTTTGCTGATTTGGACTATCACTGTGGCATGGGGGTTAATGTAGCATGATCGCCACGCGCATGGGCTCCGACACCACGGGGCTGTATGTATTACACCATCTAAAAATCGTGTCCTCCTCGACCCCGGTCAGCGTTCTTATGTGCACCCATCACCTATAATAACCCTCCCCTCCAAATCATACCTTTTTCCACAACCACTTGCTCATTTACCCGCCCATGGTACGCCCTCCCGTCCCGTCCTCAGCTCCTCCAGAAACCACCACGGCGCGTCCTTCAACTCCTTCTCGCCCCCGCTCCTCCCCACCGACGTAAAGCTCATCCTAGAACCCGCTCAGCAGATACCTGTTCCCGTCCATGCATTCCACAGACACTACTCTCCTCGCCTCATAATCATCCGGTAGCGCCTCCCACACAGCCCGGACGAAGTGGGCGCGGCGTTAAGCGTCGGTCGCGTACCGCTCGGGAGACCAGGAGACGTCTTGGATGAGGACGGGGTATTCGTAGAGGTAGTACAGCGGGGCGGCGAAGGAATTTTCAAAGTCGATTACCCTTGTCAAAAAAGGCGGCGGCGAAACGGGGCTGTTTGGGTTCGACTTTGGGTCCGGGGAGCGCCGGGTAAAAAGGACGTTTTGGGGTTTGAGGTCCGCGTGCAGCAGAGCAAAAGACGGTTGGAGGTAGGGTGCTGCGCTGGCGGCAAGGGGATTGGCGAGCTCGGCCTGGATTTGGCGGTAGAGGGATTGCAGCTCGGGTGAGGAAGTCCCACATCTCCCAGAGGGGGGAAGCCCAGGCAGCCGCTCCATGAGCTGAGATGGGCCGCCGACCTCGTTGTCGGGGCCCAGGTTGTAGTGGTATATCTCGGGCACGGGAATGGTGTGTGTGCTCACGGACGTGCCGGATCGTGGCTATCTCGCTGATCGTCTTGGCTGGATTGTCCATGACACGGACGAAGCGCGCAATGCAGGAGAACATCGCTCGAGCGAGGGTGCTGGCGCCGTCGGTGAGTCCTGGAACCGGAGAATGAAGATCTCGTGGCTGGCTCCTCGTGTGCCCTTGTCAGCCCTGGTACATTTGGCTCCAGGGGGACCTCAGTTGCGCGGGCCTTGAGTTTTCGAAGATTGAACTCCAGAGCTGGCGGCTCATCTGTGTCGTGCTCGTCGTTATCGCTACTGTAATGAGAGAATGACAAGTCATTTCCCGCTGAACAGAGAAGACATGTGTTATGCTGTCATATCTTGAGGAGCTGAGTCCGGGACAGCAGCGGTGTCTGGTTGCATATGAGGAGTTTAAACTTTGGAGCCACAAACGAGCCAGGCGGATGATTGCTTTTTTTAGAGCAAGTACCTAGCCGGAGTTGGCAGGCACTCTCCGTCCTCATTCCATCAGCCACCGCCCAGTCTCCTATTCAGTACCCAAGTACAGTCCCGTTCTTAAGATCCTGGACTCGCCGTCTCTGTTCTGGAAACGATTTATGGATAATTTACAATAAATCGAAGTGAACAACATAAACAACGAGAACAAAATCAGCATCGAGATAGCTGTACAATCAGCGTTCTGCAAAGGGGCATGCTGCAGTACCTAGGTAGCACGTCTCCCGACAATACAAACCTGATCAAGGGTATGATACACGCCCTGATCGACTTCTCTCATCGCATCTTGCTTCACCCTTGCAATCCTCTCGCTGGTCCACCCGCTCCCCTCAACGCCGACCAACCCCTCCAGACATCCCAGAAAGCACACAATGATATTCCTCGTCCCCTTCTCCCTCAACTCCAACTCCGGCTCCTGCAACCTGTCGGTGGAAAACACATCCTCATGCACGTCCACCAATCCAGCGTCCCTGAACACCTCCTCCCGCCTCACATCCCCCGCCTCCCGCATCATCAGCCCTATGACCACTTCGTCACCCTCATCCCCACCCCTAGCCGGAACAAAAGCGCTTTGCACCCCGTCATAAATCTCCCTGCACGCCCCCCGTGACGTTCCCGGCACAGAATTATACAAGGCAAAGTTGCACGAATCAATCCACTGAAGCCACCCGACGCCGGGCTTCAGCAGAGCCGCGATGTTGGTCACCGCCCGAGCCCACTCGCGCCGCGTGCTGGCGCTGCTGACGAAGCGGACCGCGACCAGGTCGTAGGTGCCGAGCTCGGCGTCCGGGAAGGGCACGCGCATGTCGTGCGTCCGGAGGGACACGTTGGGCGGGAGGGTCTGGGGCGGCGGGAAGGCCGAGGCCGAGATGTCGTAGCCCGTGAGGTGGCATGTTGTTGTGGTTGGTGTTGTTGTTGCGGACAAGGTCTTGGCCACGTCGAGGAGCCAGATGGCGGTACCCGTGCCGATGTCGGCTATCTTGAGGTTGGGAGAGCCCGTGCCGCCAGAGGAGCGGGGCGGGATGGGGATGTTGGGGTGAATGAGAAAGCCGAGGGTTTCTGTTGTAATGGTGTGTTGCTCGTCAAGTCTGTTGCTTGGGGTGTGAGTTTTGGTGTGTTCTAGTCCATAGCGGGGGAATTGAGACTTGCCTTGACGGAATTTCTTCTATAAGAGGTTGTGTATCTTGGGAGGGGCCTAGTACCTCTGACATGATGTCTTGGTTGATATCTGGACCACTGGTGATTGGTTTTAGTCTATGTTCAGCAAGAATTAGTCTCGGTTCCTGGAAGAGCTGCCACCGATCAAGCCCGCATCCCGGGATTGTGACAAGGCAAGACCAGGGGGCAGCGGAGGACGGATTAGATTCTCACCTTCGTTGTAACGATATTTATCGTATCCGGTTGACTTTGAACCATGCAAAGATACAAGCACCTGGCAATGGTGCAATGAAGTTCGCGAGAAGACTGTTCGCATCGAGCCCTACTTAAATTCCTGAACAGCTCAGGGTGCCGTAGGGAGGCCGCCCCATCCACTGCGGGGGAATTGAGCCTAATGCATATTCAGGATCCGTATCGAGTCTTGGTATGCAGATGCTGGATGGCTGAGCTAATGTGCTGGCGCTCAGGCTGTCCATGAGTCGGGAGCGTTGTTGAGAGAAAGGACAACTCGGTCTCCGCTGAGAAGTGGCTCCCGACTGAAGAAAACGGGTGTAACTGGATTGATTTATGGGTTGTTTAGAAATATAGAATCGCTGGGATGTAAGGGTTCATGGAGAGGTAGCTCAAAGGAGCTTAGCCGGAATACAATAATGTCCAACTCTCTTCCTCATGAGGTACAGTAGTTTCTGCTCCAAATCAGATTCGCTTGACATGCTTTCATGCAACGCGGTCTTCCCTAGCAATCAGCTGCTCGTTGCCGCAGGCACCCTGACCTTACATACGAACCGGAGTAAAGAATACCTACCGCCAGGACTCAGAGATTCAGAACCGCTCAAAGACCCTTCGGTACCTATATTTACCCTAGTTACCCCTACAACGCTTGCATCTTGAGATGGACAACTTCGGGCGTCCCCGCCAGCGGGGTATTTATCGCCCGCTTGCCCCGCAGTTCATTCGCGTCTTGGAGCTTGATCCAGGCGGGTTCGCGGACAACATAGTTGGACGGCTGGTCCCCCAAGCGATCGATGGAGAATCGTACGAGGCGGTTTCTTACGTTTGGGGCGACACGAGAAACCGACGCGACATCACCATCAATGGGACGACGCTCTCCGTCACGGCGAACCTGCATGGGGCGCTCACAGCCTTCAGATACCGGCCAGGATCAGCGCGGTATCGACGAGGAGTACGGCGGCTATGGGCCGACGCTGTGTGCATCAACCAGGAGGACCTGTCGGAGCGCACGTCCCAAGTCGAGCTGATGGCGCGTATCTTCGCAAACGCCCGCCGCGTGCTAGCCTGGCTCGGCTGGGAGGAGGGCGAGGAGGACCACCGGCACCATCTTGTCGCTGTCCGCTTCATCCATTCCTTCATGGAAGATCCGGAGGCTAACCTGCGCGAGGCCCGCATTCTCTTTCTCCACAAGGACGAGCTGTCCGGGGATGACCGGCGAAAGTTTGAGAAACAAGCACGCACGTGGGAGGCTGTCAAACAGTTCTTCGAAATTCAATATTTCCACCGCACCTGGATCGTGCAGGAGCTCGGCCTCGCACGCGAAGCCATCATGTTCACGGCGCTCAAACCCACCGTTGGAGCTGACCAGGCCTTGGAGTTGGTCTATATCGACTGGCCGCTGGTGGGCCGGTTCGTCAGGTTCTTGGACTACAGTGGCGCCTCGCTGGTGACACACCTCGGCCTGCGATCGTGGGTTGCCCACCATATCTTGATGGTCTGGGAGACCAAGGAGGACGGCACGCCCGAGTGCGACTTTCTTACCGGCATGCATTGGGCACGTATCCTGGGAGTGACAGACGCACGAGATCGTGTGCACGGTCTGCTGGGCCACCCGCTCGCCGTCATGGAAGGCGAGCTCGTGGTCAAGCCCGACTACACTGCGACGCGCGGGGTTGTGTACACCAGGCTGGCCGCCAACTTCATCCGGAAGACAAAGAACCTCTACGTCCTCAGTCTCGTCGACCACGAGGATGACCCGTCCACAGAGGCGAAGAGGGACTGGGATCCGCAGGACGACGGGAGGATGCCCACCTGGGTGCCAGACTGGCACAGCATCAACCGGACAACGCCGTTCGACTACTCACCTCCCGCGGCCGAGGTCGAAGATCCGGACATCCGAATCGACGGAGAGACACAGATCTGTGCGAAAGGAACGCCATTGCCTCATCTCCTGCTCTGGGGCTGGGTGGTTGACGAGATCTCGGCTGTGTCGCGGCGCATGGAGACGACGGACTTCCCGGTGACGCACCTGGCTCGGGAACGAGCGAAGCAGAATCCCTTCTGGCTCGACCGCGTGTGGGAGTTGGTGTTTCCAGCCATCGAAGGCTCCACAGACGCCCGCGATGCGCTTGCCGTGCTGGAGTCTTTGTCGCTGGCCTTGCCGCTCGGCACCCAGGAGGTTGACCAGCCGGTGCGTAGAGCTATAGGACCGCAGCAGACACTGGAGGAACACCGGAGGTCCTTTGCCGCCTATGTCCTCGAGTACCACGAGCTCTGGCGCTGCGCGTCGGAAGCCCGCGGTACCGGAACCGCCAGGGACGACTGCTATGTGCCCACGCGCTCGCTATACGGCAGCCTGCCGGTCGAGGCGCAGGCCGAGCTGCTGAGGCGGGCCGAAGGAGCCACCAGTGGAGGGTTCATCGAGTGCATGACGTGGCTGTCCATGTGCCGGGTCGTGTACCGGACAAAGTCGGGGCTTGTAGGCATGGGCTCGCGCGTCTCGCGGCCCGGTGACATTGTATGCCGGGTGCGCGGGTCGTCCGTTTTGATGACGCTCCGCCGGATCAAGGATCCAGGCGCCAGCCGAGATCAGGTGAGTGAGACAGGGGCTACACCGGACGCTGCACCGATTCTCTGCGTCTACATTGGGCCCACTGTTGTGCCTGCGCGCATGAAGAGGGATGTTGTCGATGGCGGAGAGTTTGGCGAGATGGCAGCCACCTTCCGCGTTGTGTAGGCCAATCTTTGTTTGCTGGACGACGGCGGCTGTTTTGTCATGGACGTCCGTCGGAAACGCTGGTAATGAGGAAAGCGCACCCTGATACTCATTCCTCAGGATACGAATGCGGAATCATCGATGGACCGACTCCCGGACGAATCCCCCCCCCCCCCCCCCCCCCCCCCCCCCCCCCCCACCCAACTCCCCTTCTGTCGCTTAGGTTTCTCAACTCTCTTTCAATCAGGCGACCTTTGAAACTTCAGATCAAACTCGCTTGCATAAGTCATCCTCGCCGCTTGGCCTCATGTTAGCTGCGCAGACGAGAGTCCTTCCCGTGGCACAGACCTTCATTGTTGGGATCACATCGTCGTCCCCGGGTCACTGCAAGGTCAAGCAATCAGCACCCGGCTCGGAATTGTCATCCGAGGTACAGTAGGCATCTCGATTGTGCGACACACCAAACTCCCGCATGGTTCCCTCGTGGTGGCTGACATGCATACTTGGCATTCAAACTGCCGTCTCTTACTCGCGCCCAAACGACATGGATTGTTTCAAAAAAAGTTTCACTAACAGGACGTGCGCTGTCACATGCGTCTAGAAGGCCACCTCACCACTACCTATGTACCTAACTCGGCAAGAGGGTAGTGACCACATACTAAAATTCCACAGCACGTATCAACCACCGTGGGAAGCCAACCTCACAACGGGAACGGTAATCCGGTGCCGCCTCGATTGGGAAGACGCGCGAATGAGGCGGCGCGATGCCCGAACGCATTGTACTTTCGGTAGCGGTCGCACCAAATAGGTATGAGTTTCGTAGGCGATGACGCGATGCTACCCTTCCAGTTTGCTATCTCGGCCAACCGGGTGAAGCGGCTCAGGCCGCCCTGTTGGTTGATCCGGTTTCCAGGCTTGACTGTGAGAGCATCTCGCTTGTTGGGAAGAGATTTGCCAGTCTTCAGTCGGATATTTTACTGCATTTGTGAATGTGAACGAGGTCACTGTGGGCACTCAGTCGAGTTGCACGTGAAGTTGGATGTCTTCAAGCGACCAACAGGCCCAACCAAATATTGAAGGATGGGAGTCTGGGAGACTCTCGTCCTGCATTGACCCGCACGTTGCAGCCCAATTGATGAGATCCACCGGACCAAAGGATCAAGCTGGCGAGCCCTGGCAAAGCTTAGCTTTTCTTGGAGGGCTTGAAGCTTTCTCGTTCCGTGCCTGTGAGGATGTTCCCAGCTGAGTCAAGTTATCGAAGAACAATAAAATAAACTCGGGTAGTTATTGTGTTTCATGGAAGTAAACATGCGGGTTAGCACCTTTACTGTGGTAAGCCACGACCTTGGCTGCGTTGCATCCCCTTCCCATTGCGCTGAGTCGGGTTGCTTCCATCAACTCGAACGACCGTCATCAGCAAGACGGGGGGCATGTTGAATGCCAGCCGACCGACTCCAATCGTATCAACAAGGCCAACAAGCTGAAGGAATCAAGACCCAACTGCGCGCACTGACATGCGTGCATATTCGCGTGATCAGTGCAGCCGCCTGAGGAAGTACGGAGCTCGTTTTGGAATGGTGAAGTGAAGACCGAGATTTGGTGTTGGCTCTAGAAGCCGTGTGCACGGACATGTGGTGGAGAAAGTCAGCACTTGCGTCAAGCCTCTTTTGGTTAGCTAACGAAAGCACTGCAACATATCGGGGGAACCCACTTGGGATTTTTCCCCTCCAACGCCTTAACCAACAAGTCAGTTACCGCCACCTGCTCCATCGCTCAAACCACACTGCAGTCTCGGTCGTTGGTTTTGAGCAACGCATTGATCTCGGGCGGGGAGTGTGAATAAGATCGGAGGAACCCCCTTGTCCAATCTATCGAACGCCTTTGGCTTCCCAGTTTTCATCCCTACCCCTTGCGGGTCCTTGGCCGCATCTTTGGGCCGCATATTTGGATCTGGCCATGACAACAGGGGCCATCAGCTGCCCGACTGTCAACCCTGTGCTGATTTGTACCACCCGTGCTTTGTTGACGGGCTTCGACTCCGAGATTTCCTGACAGACAACGGCAATGGAACACTTGACTAAGTTATCAAAGTCTTCCAGGTTGTCCTCTTGGATGATGAATCCCCGGCAAGCGAGCGTCATCAACGGGCACTAGCCCCGGGTAAAGTGACCGTGGCTTGCGGTTCCACCTCAAATGCTACCCATGCGCTGCAGAGGCTGGCATCAGGGACGGGGGCGGACGGCTCCATTGAGGCCAATGAGAACACCCCTCGATCAAGGAACTCCTGGAGGCGTTCGGCACCCGAGCATGCAGGCATATATTAACAATGGGCTGCGAGTCCGGGGAAAGTGGACGCCAGGTGAGCCCCTTAGCTGGGTGTGCCGGGACCTCACGAGTCACCCCCTGCCTCCGACACGACTCCTCCGACTTATATCCATCGTCCATACAGAATCCCTCCCCTTCCCCCATCCTGCTCCGAACCACACTTCGTGCCAGCACCGTCACCCTCCCTTGCCGCCGCCCTGACGCCAGCGCTGGATTCGACAAGCATCAGATCCATCCATATCATGGTCCCTCCGTCCCGCAGATAGTTCTCGCGGCGGATCCTCCGGGTTCAACTCCCATCAACAAGATCACTCTCTTCTCGAGCCATAACAGACCGCCGCCATGTCGAACACAGCAGAGCCATTGGACCCGGCCCTCTACGAATCCCAGGCCGGGATCCCCATCGCCGTCGTCACCGTCACCCTCACGATCGCCCTCACGGCTGTATGCCTCCGAACATATGTCCGCGCCGTCATGATCGGCCAGTTTGGCGCCGATGACTGGGCAGCTGTCGTTGCTCTCGTGCTTGCCATGGGCAGTGGAAGCTTAGTTGCCGCAAGAACGTACATCCCCGCTTCGTCTTCCGCAGTGCCGCCCGGCTGACCAGGCCCTTCCAGATACCATGTATGGTCACGGCCAGCATCTGGCGGTGGTCGATAAATCACAATTATGGAAATATTTTAGGGTACGAAAGCAGCTTACCCTGCATCACTCTCCAAGCCAGTTTGGCTAATCAAGATCCTACTAGACTTTCTATATCTCTATTGTGCTCTACAACGGCTCCTTGACAGCAACGAAGCTCACCTTCCTCCTTCAGTACTACCGCATCTTAGGGACGGGCCATATGCGGACCGTCATCATCGCCGCCTTCGTCTTTGTCGCCATGTGGTCGGTATCGCAGCTCCTCGTCGTCATTTTCACTTGCAACCCCATCCACAAGTTCTGGCTTCCTGAGACGCCCGGCACATGTATCCCCAATCTTCCTTTCTGGTATTACAACGCGGCAGGAAACATTGTCACCGATGTTATCGTCTTCGTTCTGCCGCTCCCGGCCCTGACCCGCCTGAATCTTCGCAAGGGCCAGAAGCTCGGCCTGATTGGTGTTTTCTGCCTCGGTTTTTTTGTGAGTCTCACGGGATCATTTCATACTCATCCGTGCTGATTTCTGACCCTCACCCTCTCAGACATGCGCCATCTCGGTCATTCGAATCCAGTACCTCAAGCTGAGCGAGGATGTCACCTGGGACAACGTTGCTTCGTCATGCTGGTCCATCAGCGAGATCTGCTCCGGCATCACGTGCGCCTGCCTCCCGACGCTCCGACCGCTCCTCTCCAAAATCATCCCCAGCATGCGCTCGCAGAGCGACCGAAACGACAACAAGTACTACCGGCGCTCGTCCGGACGCGACATTTCCAACGCCAGCCGCCTCAAGAGCACCGACGAGAACGCCAGTAGCAGGGGCATCATCTACCCAGAGGACGTGGAGCTGCAGAGCGACGACCGGTCCGACAAGGAGATCAGGGTGACGGTGGATCGGCTGCAGCAGCCGTCAGCGGCTGCGGGCGCGCAACAGTACGGGCCGTCCATGGACAGGCTCAGGTTGGGGCTGAAGACGACGGTGCGCACCGAGGTCAAGGTCGGGTCTCCTGCGCTCGGGAAGTCGTTTGCTTCGGAGGATCGGGGGATCGCGGTCAAGAGGGACTTCATGCTTACCAGGGGCCAGCCATCGGGCTGATATATTGATTCGGATCTTACTTTTCTCTCTCATACTCTAAGATACCATATTGCGCACAACGGGTCGGCAACTGGGATCCTGCTGTCAGATTCAATTTGTTCCCGGGGTCCCGAGCGGCGCTGTGTCACATCACTTCAATATCCTGACGGGGAGTCTTGCAAGAGGCCTCGCCGCATGTGGTGGTACATGGGGACGATGAAACCAAGGTGCTTGCGGCAATGAGATCCCCGACCTATTTCGTCCGATGTTGACACAATGCCAGAAGCCGGGGCCTGATATTCCCAGCCTATATATAATTACTTGCCTAACCAACCTGAGTTACACAAAGGGCTGAAAACACAGTGTCGGCCTCCATACATCTTGGATCCCTTACTCCTTGCCAACCAGGTAGTGTACGCTCCATAAAGGCCCCTGTACTCGATGAGTATCAATCCTGTTGCAGCTCCGATCGCAAACCGCATCCTGTCTCTGAGTTGGATCGGGTTCATATTTTCGACTCCATTGCGGTCAAGGCTACGTCGCGCCCCGACGGAAGCATTTGGCATTCAGCTTGTGTTAAAATCGATGGGACCTGATTCACTCTTTTCTGGTAAAGGCCTTGAGTGCTGAGACTGCGGATTCAGGGGAACATTCAAACTACTGATTTCAGGCAAGGTTTGACGATAACTACATGTAAGTCAAGAGGTCCGACATGTGAGCATCTAACCCAGAATGGTTATCCTTGTTGAAACGCCAGCCTTTCCGCATGGCTTCTCTCTTCCATAACTGACCACCATTTGATGCTGCCCTTGGCACCCATGACATGAGTGGGCCGCTGCTGAAAGAAGTTCGAAGACAGAGATGGGTACTATAGGATGGGCTCTGAAGATATTGGTATACCTTCCAGTCTTCTGGTCAGTCAACCCTTTGTTGAACCATTTATACGAAGCAAACTACCAGGAAGTGTAAGGCCTTACCACTTGTCATCACCGTGCTCGCTTGTGCATTTTAACATGTTTCGAGAGTTTCCGGCGTGGAACCCAGGGCGTACTAATCAGCACTTGAAGTCACAAAACCTGTATCAACAAGTCGCTGCAGTATCTAAATCAATGTGATGATGTGATGGAACTGAACACAATGAGCGGCCGGATGCCGGAAGGCTGTGGCATATAGGCAGCTCCTGAAGTGCCTCCCTATTTGTAGTGAAAATGCTTAAACAGGTGTGCTTGTTGCCTTCCAACATTAAGGTACAAGTACCTACACTACTAGTACTAAGAGAACTCTCGCTTTGGTCCAAGACGGTTTCAAGTTGTGTACAACTCGCGCGTTATGCATTGAATCTTACGCAACAGCGGATCATGACGACATGGCTATGCCAAGGCGGATTCACGAAGAGCGTTGCCGTATCCTGCAAACGGTTTCTGTTCCTCATGGGTGTTGCCATTCCGAGGGGAGGCAGCGACTTTAGCCCAGTTTGTAACCCCGTTCCGTCCGGAGTGGCGGCCAAGGAATTCTCCACGAATGTGTCACTGTGTCTACGAGCCTCTCTTGCGGCGCGAAGTCCCGGGCTGCCTCGACGGAGCTCGTCGCTCCGACATTAAACCTCCAACCCCACCTCCCCACGCATTCTACAAGCATCTCTCGGTACCATCGTCGGCCTTGTTCGATGTAGGGCATTGATGGCCACGGAGTTCACAATGCCCAACCAAGTATTAAAGTGTTGGGCCTTTCCCAATTGCCCTCTTGACGAGGGCCGAAGCTCAGGTTGAACTTGGCCGTCACTTAGAGGAGCAATCCTCATCGAAGATGGTCCGAAGCCTCAGGTCCCTCCTCTACGGCATCGTCGCCTTGGCGGCAGGGGCAAATGCGGCTCCTTCATGTCCTGCTCGGTCGACTTCCACTAGCGTCAGCGCTCAGCCCAGTGCAACTGCTCCGGCTGCTCGGACCTTTCAGGCTGAGGATGCGACATTGTCTGGGACAAACGTCGATACGGCACAGTCTGGTTACACCGGTGAGATATCAGACGTATTTGTCTTGCAGGATGCTGTTAGGCTCGTGCGCTGACTTTCATCTCGTATCTAGGGACTGGCTACGTGACGGGCTTCGACCAAGCCACTGACAAGGTGACCTTCAAGGTCGACAGTGCTACCACCCGCCTCTATGACCTCAGCATCCGCGTTGCCGCCATCTACGGCGACAAGCGAACTTCTGTGGTTCTCAATGGCGGCGCCAGCAGCGAGGTCTTCTTCCCGGCCGGCACGACATTCACCGACGTCGCGGGTGGGCAGCTTCTGCTGAACCAGGGCTCCAACACCATTGACATTGTGAGCAACTGGGGATGGTACCTCATCGACTCCATCACGCTCACCCCCTCGGTCCCGCGTCCCGCCCACCAGATCAACCCGGCACCGGTGAACCCGGCCGCCGATGCCAATGCCAAGGCCCTGTACGACTATCTCCGTTCCATCTACGGCAAGAAGATTCTGTCTGGCCAGCAGGAGCTCTCGTGGGCCAACTGGATTGCGCAGCAGACGGGCAAGACGCCCGCGCTGGTGGCGGTCGACCTGATGGACTACTCGCCCTCGCGCGTCGAGCGCGGCACCGTGGGGACGGCCGTGGAGGAGGCCATCCAGCACCACAACCGGGGCGGCATCGTGTCGGTGCTGTGGCACTGGAACGCACCCGCGGGCCTGTACGACACGCCCGAGCACCGCTGGTGGAGCGGCTTTTACACGGACGCGACCGATTTCGATGTCGAGGCGGCGTTGAGCTCGACCACCAACGCCAACTACACGCTGCTGATCCGCGACATTGACGCCATTGCCGTGCAGCTCAAGCGCCTGCAGACGGCGGGCGTGCCGGTGCTGTGGCGCCCGCTGCACGAGGCCGAAGGCAAGTGGTTCTGGTGGGGAGCCAAGGGCCCCGAGCCGGCCAAGAAGCTGTGGCGGATCCTGTATGACCGGCTCACCAACTACCACAAGATCAACAACCTGCTGTGGGTGTGGAACTCGCTCGCCGCCGACTGGTACCCCGGTGATGCCACGGTGGACATCCTCAGCGCGGATGTGTATGCGCAGGGCAATGGGGTGAGTGCTCTACTCGTGGTTCAAGTACTGTGGCCAACCTGAAGCGGTTCTGACCTTGACCTAGCCCATGTCGACGCAGTACAACACGCTCATCGAGCTTGGCAAGGACAAGAAATTGATTGCCGCGACCGAGGTCGGCGCGGCACCTCTCCCGGATCTGCTGCAGGCATACGAGGCCCACTGGCTGTGGTTCGCCGTCTGGGGCGACACATTTATCAACAATGAAGCCTGGAACTCGCTCGCTAACCTGAGGAAGGTGAGTCATTGCAGTCTCTCAGGAGTGGAACGGAAGAGATTTTGTGTTGAGCTGACACCCCACAGATCTACACCAGCGACTACGTCCTTACTCTGGACGAAATCCAGGGCTGGCGAGGGTCGTGAAAATCAAGGTTGTATGGCTGAGAGCTTGGTAGCTGTGGAATTTACAACAGCCACAATGATAGGTACCGGAGATGAAGACTGGTGTCATCAGCTTAGTCTTTGAATCTATCATGGCTGCGGCCTCAGCTCTATGATGGATCCCGCAGGAGTCCGTCGAAGGAGATATATTATGTTCATTGCGTCTATATTGGGCAACCGGCCCGTAGCGAGATCAACCTTCCTTCGATTTGTCCCAGAACACCCTTGTCCCTGCTTGGCACATATGGTTCGGGCACTTATCCATACAGCCGGGAGGCGCAGGCATCTTACGGCGAGAATCAAGGCGGTTTCCGGAAATCTCCTCTGACACCCGACTCGACTTTGACCGTCACCATTGAGACCAAGCTGTTTGCTGCGTGAAACCCCAGGAGCGTGGGAAACGACTGAATATTCTACATTGCCCGACTATATAAACGAGTACCATCGGTTTGACTCTAACCATGCTCTCATCCCGTCCCATATTCAGAGCATCCACTACTCCTTTCTGAGGCCCCTGAGTACAGTGACTCGGTATTTAACAACGCGGTTATACCTACCCTACACTCCAGGCTCCAGTTTGCTAGGATCAATCATCCGCCATGCAGCTCTCCCCTCTCGCAACCCTTTTTGGCGGGGCCACATTCGCCGCCGTGCAAGCGGCCAACGTCACGACCGGGAAGCTGGGAGATGCGCGGCCGGTCCGGAACAACCCGGTCATCGGAGAGACATGGGTGGCGACCTTCGACTCGACCGCCGTCAAGGGCGCTGTCACTGCCGTTGCCCACACCGTGGGCGTCAACTACACCATCAACGTGACGGGTCTGGCGGTGGAAAAGGGTCCCTACAGTACGTCCAAAAACCAAGCAGGCATGGCAGCATGCTTGTAGGTTGGGGTTTCGGCTGACTGACCTGTGCCTCTCTCCCCAGAGTACCACATCCACGTGAATCCCGTCCCCGAGAGCGGCAGTTGCACCGAGACGGGCGGCCACCTCGACTCGTATGTACGCGGTGCGGAACCACCCTGTGACAGCTCAATGCCGCAGACGTGCGAAGTGGGCGACTTGTCCGGGAAATACGGCGCCGTGGCCGGGCCTGATGTCAAGAAGGAGTAAGCGTCTGATTGGACCTCCAACCTTTGGGGGATGATTTGATGGAATGAACAGAAAGTGGCTCACTCTGGTCCGTCAAGATTCAATGACCCCTACACGGCCATGAACACCATCCAGCTGGGATACGTCGCCAATCGATCCATCGTGTTTCACGATGAGAGCTCGGCGCGGATCGCGTGTGCCACTCTCAAGAAGGTGGAATCGGCTGACACGTGTCAGGGGTAAAGCTGTGGACGGGGGTCAAGGGGCCGCCCGAAAAGTGCTATTGAGCCGAAAATTAGGATCATTCAATATCTGAAACAGGTACGATAGGTATATACAAACATACGCCGGACGAGCGATGCGCTCCTCGGGTCAGGATGTCTTGAGGTGGTGGTGCAGAGACCTTACGGATCTCGCAACCCGGGTTGATGGTGCACTTCAAACCGGGATAGTCCGCATTCAAGTTTTTGTTGATTCGTTGGAGGTCCGCGGAAGTTCAGTTGCAACTTGCCTCCATAGGCACGCTAATAGTACAATGTCAGCGTGATCCAGGGCCCAGTTCCGAGAATTGGCGATTCCCCGTTCCCTCTGTTGAGCGCGACAAGAACATGTGGTTTACAGTACATTCCACAAGGAATTCCGAGCCGTTGGTGTAGTCGAATATTTTTCTCTCTGCTACCTCCCCGGGCCCATTCGCGGAGATGGTGGCACGGTTCTTGAAGAGATAGTACCTACCTTAATCTTGAATAGCCCTGCAAGATGTAGTGAATACATTGTCCTGTAACTCGAGGCTGATATGGTGCTCGAGCAAAAACGTGAAAAGCTGAAGGGTCGGAGGGGGTGTATAACGACCGTGTTTCATGTTGGCAGTGCCAAATCGTCTATATAAATCTTCCGGTACAAGTGGAATATCAAGTATCGGAGGGGAGGCCGTGTGATATGCATGTGCTTTGTCAACTGCTAGTCTCTCGTCAGTCTCGTGAGAGGTGGGAGAAGTATGTGCAAGGAGGTGCTGATTAGCCGAATTCATGATGTTGGCGGGCACCAGAATGTCTACTGCCTGAAAGACGCCGAAAAGGACAATTTTGGCTGTTCTCGTCTTGCCGAAGAATGAGCCAGAATTTCGTACCATTGGTTGTCCAAGGCTGGCTATTATCCGGAGGGTCAGGGAGCTTGACATGGCAGTATCTGACCTCAACGTATCAGACTAGATGATGTATGTCCAAGAGAGACTGAGTTTCCGAAGCGGGCAGGCAATGTCCTTGAGCGGAATCTCTTGTTGTCGGGCGGCCGGGGCGGACAACCGTTCCTACAGCCGTCAAGGACGAGGCCGGTGGCTCGCACCTGCAACACCCCCTTAGTCGATTGTCGAATGGATCATGGAGTCTTGGGCAATAGAAATTCCAAAAGAGAAAAGAGTAAAAAAGAATACCGCCATCAAGGCCGGATCAAATGCGGGAACGACTTTGGATCCTTTATGTCAGACAACTACTGGGGACCTTGGCGACCCTAAGCAGCGTGGACTTGTGAAGATGCCGCTATGTCAACAGAAGCGCTTATACATCGGCCAAGGAGTCGCAGTATTGGAACTTTGGAAGATGCGGACGACAACCTCGATAGGGGCCGATGAAGTTAGGATGCAATCAGCGTCATTGTAATTGAGGAGGGGATGCCGACTGAGATCTGAGAAGTTGGGAGTGGGTTGTGTGGCACGACTGGATGACCTGAAGTTGGAACTAAGAAAGCCTTGCCTAAGACCCTTGTCTGCGGCGTTGATTTCAGTGTGTGCCTCGTGAGACGAGCCCAGGTGTTGTTGGACGACAGTGGGCTGCCCCGCTGATCCTCCTGATCCACTGCGGCCTCGAAGGTCCAACTAGCGGCCGATCAAGGCTGACTTCTCTGGAAACAGCAGCTGCGTCCCAACTAACTTGGACCACCCAACTTGCCATGCAACACAATAGGAACTTCCCACTAAACCAAAGAATATGATGTCCGCACAACATTCAATTCCGTTGAACGCCCTTCTTTTATAGTGAGTGCCACGACCTGCGACAGAACAACGTGTAATCCCTTTATCTTGGGATGCTTTGTCTATCCTTGCAGGGAGACAGGTTAATTGCCTAGGTATGTAATGACAAATAGATTCCAGAAAGAAAGTCCTTCGAGTAAGCAGTCTAGCACCAGACTCACACGCCTACTTCCCGTCAGCGGATCAAGAAGAATCAACAGGAAGAAGTCAAGCCTGTTAGATATTGAAACTTTCGGCCATTATAGACGGTGATCGGATGACGACATTGTCGAGTCACGAGCAGATCGGATCCTATAGGTCCTCGACCCGCACACCCGCCGGAATGTCCACACAGCCCACAGCAGTCTCCGAGTCGACCGAGGTCGACAAATCCGCCGTCCTCAGGACAGACATCGAGGCACTCAAGAAAACCACCCATGTCCTCGAACCCTTCACGCCACCCAAGTCCTGGCTCAACCCACCCATCCACGACCCAAACCTCCCCTCACTCTCCGCCTCAAACCCGGACCCAAACAACGTCCTTCTCTTGGTCCCCACAGAAAATGAAGACAAAGTTCGAGTGGTCAAAGACTACTTCACACGTAAGACTCTCCACGTCCCCGAGCATGTCAATTTCCCGCTCCCGGAACCCCTGCGAGTCACCGCCGAGTCACAAGTCGGCGAGCAGCCCTACGACTCGGCCGGGCCCGAGGGCGCCTTCAACAGGGTCGTCAACGCAGTCAGGCAGCTGCAGCGCGATCCCACATACCAGAAGTTGCTGGACGACCATCGCATCGGAACCGTGGTTGTCGGGTCGGTGGAGAATTTCATGCTGAGGATCAACGATCCGGATGGGAAGGGGACCGTGCCGGTGGACTACGGGTTTGTGGTGCTCTGCCGGATTCCGGTGGTTCGCAGCACTGCGACTGTCGGATGGGGTGGGCAATCATGGGAATGGAGGACGGGCATCTCGCGCGGCGTTACCGTGCCGGTGGACTACTGGACGGAGGCGGAAAGGGCTGGGTTTGATGATGACAGGGAAGCTACTAGGGAGGCGAGGCGGAGGTTTGGGAAGATGACGGTTGGCACGCTGCTTGCGCGGTATGCTGGGTTGAGCAGTGCTAACTGGCATGAGCAGTTGGCGGAAGTGTCAAGATATGACTTGCTGGCAGAGGCGATGGCCAATATGGAGGCACCTTGGCCAGCATCGGCTGCTGAGAAGTAGCCTATTGTGCCCATACCTGGCTGGGGACCTGGTCTTAACAGAAGAACGAAGGTACCGACTACCTGCTGCCAGTATGTGAGAAGCGCTTCAAGGTGATATTGGTCGATAGATTCAGGGTTAGGATTCGGTTTTGGGTTTTTTGTATGTTGGATGCAGTCACTTGTTAACGTCTTGATGTGCTGTTTACCTTGCACAGCGTTATAGATGGAATGTTGGTTTCGTGGCTCTGGCCTTGTCTTCGCTTGCCTCTTGTCACGATGATCCCGAAGAAGAAGAAAGTCGCCGAGCTCATACATGCGCGGCCTTTCCCGGAACATGCGACTTGGCTTTCTCCAGCTTTGCCCACTGTGCTTTAGGCCATCCCACCATCCAATCGAGGAACTTCTTGATAGCATCGCCATTAGCAAGCCAGTTCTGCCAGAGGACCACGGTGGCGATGGTGGCCGGAATCGTGGTGGCCCAATAAATCCACAGTTTGTCTGAGACCAGCCAGCTTCCATCCTCCCCGTAGTTGAAGAAGCTTGTACTGAAGATAGCCTATGCAGTGTAAGAGAGAGTAACTGTCAATTGCCAAAAACTCTATTGGCAGTCGTACATACCGAGATGAATGTGGCCGGGAGGAATATCATGGTGAGGAGAGCAATTGACTTCATGACACTGTTGTCCTGGCGAGCCATGTTATTGAAAGCCTGCGGTGTGTCAGTTCCTGCCTGCGCCTTTCAAGCCTCTGGACGTTTTGATGGGACATACCAGGTCAATTTCGTTCTTGAGCCGCTCCTCATTCGAATCAGATCTCAGCTTCAAATTCTTGAGCGCCGAGATCTGGAATTGGGCGTAGTCCTTCGCCTGCTCCCTGTACGTCTCGCCCAGGTCAACGTGTAGTCTTTGCTGGACAGCCTCTTGGCGCTGTTTCATCTCTGTTATAGTGTCGATGGCCGCTTCGAGAATCTCCGAGGTGTGGATCGCGTGGCGGGACACCTCATGGATGGGGCCAAATATGGCGCCGGTGCGCATGCGGGTCTGAAAGGTTCAGCAGATCAGCCTCAACAAGGTGCTGGGAGGGCAGATGGTAGTCTTACCTTCTCAAGGAGCCGTACAGGATCTCGTACCCGCCAAACTGCCACATCTGTGTAGACAATCAGCTGGTCTACGAGGCAGGGATGCATGGCAAACGGGTCCCGAAAGTCCAAGGGCTGATCTTGCGTTTCGAGGAGCTTTTGCAGCTCCGAGCGCATGTCAGGGGGCGTATCGACACATAGGACCTGGCATGTGTTGGGGTACTCCCAGCGCGTGAAGAAGGACATTTCAAACCACTTGTAGCCCTTCTTCATGTTCGTCACATATTCCGCGCCATTCTCATGGGGCCCGTCGTCCACTTTCTTGACCATCTTTACCAGACATCGGAACCAGGTTGCTGTCAATTGTCAGCTCACTGAGACGCCGACGGCTTCCGAAAACTTGATCGCTCACTGTAGCGGGTAACATGCTTTGAGGCCTCAGGGCCCGGGCTGTCGTAGTTGGCCTTACTCCCGAAGTAGCCGTTCAGCTCGAAGCATGTCCTGTTCGCCACGAATTCGGGCACGTTGAAGTGGGCAAGGAGCTTCTGCCGACGGCCATCTGGGGGTGGGTAGTCCTGCAAATCAAGGAACCTGAAGCGATTGTCAGCTTCCCCAAGATCCGCGGCATGCGATCGAATAGACTCCTACAAATAACATTGTTTGGGTAGACCGGCCAGCTGAAACTGGTCAACTCGGTTGCTCTCATTACTGCACGACTTGCCGAATGCCAAACTCACATTGTCGACGCTAAAATCTCTCTCGCTGTCGTGCCATTTGTTTCCAGTGGCTACTTCTTCTGTCAGCCCGCTTCCGTCATTGGAATTCATCACAAGCCTGAGAACATGGAGACTCACAGGGCTCGAGGACGAGGATCCGTGGCCTGGCGCTCTTGGAGGACATTCGGACCACTCCGTATGATAAGGAAAAACTTCAAGTTGTAGATTGAATCATGGATCGATGAGCATAGATCAGTGGCGTCACTCTGCCGGCTGGGATGATGTTCACCGAAACCAAGAAAACTCGGCACTCAAGGCTGGGATTTTCACTGCTAATAAAACACCAGGTGATTGGTGATCTGGTTTGTCCTGAACCATCAGAAGTAATCCGCATCTTCCTGCAGGATTGCGGCGCGTAGCATGCATTGTCTTTCCCTGATTGGACCAAGCCATGCCCCTGGTAAAAGCCGGGTTCAGTTCAGGCTTTGGGACTGCTTAGTGGGTGACTTCTGGCCCCCAAATGGTGTTCAGGAACAACCTACGGATGCAACTGAGGGACCGTCAAGATGACCCTGACGGGGCTCGGTCACCAGAGTGCTTGTTCTTTCCATCGTCAGAGCGCCAATGTATGGAAACGCCTTCTAGAAGAGACTCCAAACTTTGTTGACTGGGAATATTAGGATATAAGCCCCCGGCGCGGAAGCGCGAACATGGCTAGGTCGGCAAAGGTTCTTGACAACTCCAACACATCGTGTCCAGTGTGAGAAGCGGACTTGCGGCTGACGGTGCTGCAACAAACTGAAATGGTTCTGTTTGGCTGATTTCGAGGTTTGCGCATCGGCAAGTGGAAGCTCGCGCGCCTTGGAACCTGTGAAGGCGTGGGCTTTTTCTTGGCCATCAAGAAAGTGGGGCAAACCGGGGCGCGGGTCATCTTTCGACCGGGAATCCACACACACGGGAGCCCTGGTCGAAATTTGCAAATTCGGCGAAAAACCACGAGCGAGGGGATCGACGAACGACGACACCACACGACCACCACCTCAACACGATCGAATCCAGCCGTCAAAATGGTGAACGTTCCCAAGACCCGGAAGACCTTCTGCAAGGGCCGTGACTGCGGCAAGCACACCCTGCACAAGGTCACTCAGTACAAGGCCGGCAAGGCTTCAGCATTCGCCCAAGGCAAGCGCCGTTACGACCGCAAGCAGTCCGGTTACGGTGGTCAGACCAAGCCCGTTTTCCACAAGAAGGCGAAGACTACCAAGAAGATTGTGCTCCGGCTGGTGAGCTTGGCCCGATGCGAAACTTGGATACGGTGGAGGAGTCGCTAAACTGGGGTCGGACAGGAATGCTCGTCCTGCAAGACGAAGAAGCAGCTGCCGCTCAAGCGGTGCAAGCACTTCGAGCTTGGGTAAGTTCTTCGCCAAGTGCACCACGTTTCTGTGTTTCGGGAGGGACCGCCGAAGCATCCGATTTCGCGACGTTCGATTCGACGACAGACTCCCGGCGCCTTGGGTCCGGCGCCTTGGGCCCTCCGCTGAAGCCGCCGCCCGGCCGATCAGCTCCAGCGATGATGGAAGCCTTTGCGACAAGCAAGAGTCACGCTGGCCTCTGGCAACTTGTTGAACGTGGTGATGGTTACGGTGTAGAAGAAAAAGGAAAGGTGCCAACTGGACATCGGTTGCGGCACAGCGCGACACCTGGGACTCTGCATGTGCTCTCTTCCGGCGCAGCTCCCAAGTAGTCCGCGCTGGTGTGCTTCCGAAACCGAGCCGGCGAAGTGCAGTGCGTTGGTCCGCACCAGAGTCATCTCCGGACCCTGGTATCGCTCGTCCTGTCCTTCGAACTCGGCACGGCGGTCCCTCTCAAACAGCTCATGCACTCTTTTTGGAAACTTTGTTCTGACACCCGGATATAGTGGTGACAAGAAGACCAAGGGCGCTGCCCTCGTGTTCTAAGCGACTGGCGCTCGGGGAATTCGATGGTGACGAATTGAGGACATTGCCCTGGTTTTTCGGAAGCTGGCCTTGCATGGCCCTTCCCGCCATGCCATGGGAACCCAGGAAGCGATTCGACTTTGGCATGGGGTAAATGGGCATAGAGGAACATGTACAAGGCATGGGTGGTTCGGACGCGGAACAACAAGCACAATACCATCTTGGGGCGTTTCGTCTGCGGTTTATTCACGATCAAGGGTCTCAGTCCCCACGCTCCAATATTGGGTCCCGCCCAGCTTCGATGTCTTGTCCGGCGTTTCGCATGCAGAGAGGCGCCCGTAGCTGTTCCGGGTTGAATGCCACAAACCTTGGGTCTGCACTGCAAACAAGTCACTTGGTTCAATGCAGAGGAGGGCCGTTGAGCTCCGCCACCATGATGACCCCTACTGTTACTACTTTGACATCCTTTTACGCCCAGCCTAACACGGCTTCCCAGACTTCATCGTTGACCAGAACTCAATTTCTGGCCCCTTCGAGTGCACGGTGGCCAACCGTCAAGTCGAACAACCCAACGTACAGGCATTCCCATCGGCGAGGGAATCAGTGCTTCATCTGTGTCCTTCTATTTTCAAACCTGCCCGCCAAGATCAGAAATTGCATGGCTGCGCGACGGCTGACTGCATCGGAAGGCTCAACGATGCCCAACTGTTTCGGAATTTCCCACCCATTTGACTGGGTGTTGTCAAGTGCCGTCCCACCCACCACAATGTAGACAACATTCAGCCACCGCCAATCCCAATTGCGACAACGGGGATCCGAGGGGACGGTAGGGTTCCCTAGCGTTGCTAGGCATGCCCAGCCCCTCGCAGCCACCGCCATCACCAATAACATTAGGTGCGGCTGCTTAGAGCTTCGGAGTTCCAGGTATTTGCAGGGAGACGGTGAGGAGTGGCTTCAGCCGCACTGCGCCAGTCCGGTCCGGAACACTCACACGGGGCAGTCAGGCGGACCATAGACGCCCAATATGAGCGCAGCGGTCCCCGGGATCGCGGTCGGCTTGAAAGGCCAGTTGCATTCCCGATTTGGCACTGACCTCACGCAAGTTTGTTTGAGTATATGGGCGCAGAAGAGAACATTATCGTCCAGTCTTGGTTAGGACAAGGAGCAGACGCAGTCCACTCGCCGAGCTCATAGTCAGCTGGCCGGCCCCTAAGACGGACTGACATACTTCCCGTATCCCGCGACACAGCGAGGAAGTCATGCAGCAATCGTTTATGCAACCCCAAGACGACCGAGCCACATACGAGTACACCACCATCCAGGCCACAGAGGATCGCCATGAAGGGCCAGCGGAGGATGCGTCGCGTGACCGAGCATCGGCTGTGTGGCGGTCCCAGGGCACGCCAGACTACAAGCCCAAGCCACTTCAATGGCCTTTCATCAGTACCGTCATGGTGCTGCTGCTCGTGGCCATCGCTTTGGTCGTTGTCGCCGAGAAACAACTGCCAGATTCAGACTCCAGTGCCAGGATTCTAGGTCTGCACCCGAATGCCTCACAGCCCGAGGGCCTCCGCTTTGCTCGGGCTGCTCGGGATGCCTTCACCAACACGTCCTCTGAAGCCACGGTCGACGAGACGGCGGGCGATCCCCCACCTTCGCCGACGACGCCTACGACGCTTGTTATGGCCACAACCACCTCGCAGATCCAGGGAAGCAGCACGACGTCAGAAGAAGCGAAGGTTCCGAACCAAAACCCTACGGCAGCGGATTCTCGGAAATCAACGACGCAGCTGGTTTCAGAAGCTACTGCATCAACGTCTACGCAGCCATCCAACCCGGCGCACCCATTCACGTTAACGACTTCTTCGCTAGTTGCTGCTTCGCTAACGACGACCTCGTCTGTTTCTACTTTGTCGCCGTCAACGGTGTCATTAGACCCGGGGAAGCCATCCACGTCGACGGCGGGTCTGCCTTCTAGTCCATTGTCCTCAACATCGTCCCCCGTCAGGCCGTCAACAGTCACGACATCCACTAGCGGCAGCGCCGACGTTCTGTTCATTGATGCCGCGCCCGGATCCTCCACGACAACCTCCACGGTGTCTCGCAGCACTGAACATGTATCTGCTACCAACACAGCTAGCCTCCCAAGTGGCGCGCGGGTGGCCACCAGCGTGTCGGTCGGTAAAGTCACAGGCAGTGTCACTAGTATGGTTACTACAGTGACCACCTACACAGTCTCATCGGACGAGACGATCTCATTCACTACCAACACCACGTACGAGACCACCAAAACACTCACCGTCCCCAGAACCCGCAGCTCGCCAATGCCGACATCTCTCCCAAGCTATGCAACAAGTTTCTCCGGGCCTGCCCAAACCCAGACTGAAGAGTACGACACTATTACCGTGACGGAGATCGTGACGACACCAACTGTCCTCCCAACTGTCCGGCCCACGTTCTCGACGGTCACCTCGACAATTATCACAGATGTCGTCATTCCCACCACCGGCGAATTCACTGAAACCTTCTACGAAACTATTTATCCGCCCAATAACTCGCCCAATAATCCGGAAATGGTGACCGCTCAAAATCCTGGTCCCGGAGTGGTGACGGGTACCGCTGTTGTCGAGGGGACGGTAGAGATCGTGAAGACCAACGGCCCGGTTATTCTCGTGGTCACGGTCGACGAACAAAAGACCCAAGTCGTCGAGCCGCAGGTCACAACCGGAGTGGTGCGGGTTGGGGGTTCCGAGGTGACTAATGTGGTGGTGATCACCCCTACGCCAGGGAACTCGGACGGGGTGGTCACCGTGGTTGGCGGTTCACCGGTGACTATCGTCAACACGCTAGGCCCAGTGACTGCGACGACGGTGGTTGATGGCGTACAGCGTACCATTATCGAAACGCCTCCTCCACAGACGGTGGTCCGAATAGACGGTGGCGTCACCGCAACCATTCTACCCGGGCAGCTGGTTACCAGCACCGTCGTCAACAACATCGGCGGCACACCAGTCACCCGGGTTGTTGTCACCACTCCTGCTGGGCCGCCGTTCGAACCTATCACTTACACGATTGTGAGAGACGTGGGGGGCACATTGGTTACCGAGGCTATTACCACGACACCAACGGGCGCGCCTGACGAGCCCGTCACTTTCACTGCTGTCGATATCGTGGGAGGAACGCCGGTCACGCAACTGGTGGTCACAACAGCCAATGGAGTCGGATTTCAGCCGGTCTCTTACACCATCACAACCATCATCGGCGGTACTCCAACAGTTGTCACGGTTACCCCTGGTCCGACGACTATTGTCGAGACGATTGATGGAGCCGCAGTGACACGCGTCACCACTCCGCCTGTCACCAGCTTCACCGCCACTGTCGGAGGCACGCTGACGACGCAGATATTGGTGACCACGCCGGCAGACGCGGAACCCATCACCCTCACCTTCGTCTCCACGTCAGGCGGCACCCTCAGCACCTTCACCAGCACCTTCCCGCCCTCTACCTTCGTCACCACCATCTCCGGGACTCTGCGGACCATAACCTCGACCCCCTCCCCGAGCACATTCACTTCGACCTTGCCCATATCCACTCTGACCTGGACCTCAACCACATCCCCAACCAACACGGCCAACGCCCGGCCTACCGCCACCGTCATCCCATCCACCCGCGTCCACCGCTGGACAGAAGCCGACATCTTCATCGGCACCTTCCTGCCAGCGCTGCTCGGCGTGGCGCTCATCATCCCGCTGCGTATCATCGACCTCAACGCAAAGCTGTACCAGCCCTACCAGGCGCTCGCCAAGCAGCAGCAGCAGCAGCAGCAACAACAGCAACTCAAACGAAGCCAACCCGGGGCCGACACCCTCCTGCTGCAGTACACAGGCCTGTGGGCCTTTGTCACGCCCGCCGTGACGCTCCTGCAGGGCCACCCGGTGCCCTTCCTCACGACGCTCATGGTCGGCTGCGCGTCGTTCATGGTGCCTCTCGCAACCGAGGCCGTCGGGCTGAAGCTGCACGGCGAGTGCTACCTCAACACGGCGAGTTCGCGGTGCGGGCCCGCGCTGGGCGTCAGCCCCGTTCCCGCGCACGCGCTGGTCGGGTTGATGGCGGCTGTCGTGGTGTTGCTCGGGTTGGTGCTGTTCCTCGTGAGTCGGTGGGTGACGGGGGTGTGGGCGAATCCGTGGAGTCTGGCGGGGATCGCGTCGCTGGCGAGGAATGAGCACGTGAGGATACGGCAGGAGGGGGAGATGGGAATGCGGAGGGAATTGGCGGAGAAGCAGTATGGGCTGGGGTATTTTCGGAATGAAGGCGGGAGGGAGGAGTATGGGATTGTGTTGATGGATGAGGAAGCGAGGGGCTTGCATCGGGAGGAGGACGGTCCCGCGGGCGATACCGAGTCGGATCTGCTGGTTGAGCCGGGGCTGACGGCCAAGTGGGGAGGCGGGAGTCGGCGGCTGCCGTTCATGACGCTGCGGTATCCCTGGCGGATTGCCTTTGTCCTGTTCCAGCTGGCTGTTTTCGTCTTCGTGGTGTACTATCACGCCTACTACCGCGGCGGCATCCGCGACGACGGCCGGCTCTGGCTGTTTCTCAACTCCAACACGTTCGGCGTGCGGTTTGTCTCGGCCGTGGTTGGCGTCATCATCGCCTTTTGTTGGCAGGCCTTCTTCCTCAGTAAGTTCGCCGGTTCCTCTACCTCCCAGCCAGCCAGCCAGTGGTACTAACCGTCCTCATCTACTTAGGCGTCAGCCAAATGACCCCATTTTACCTGCTCTCTCTGCGTACTCGGCCTCCTGACTCGTCCATTCTCTTCACCCCCTCCACCAACCCGTTCTCAGGCATCTACTCCTCCGTGCGGCACCGGCAGCCCTTCCTCTTTGCTGTCTCCTTCGCCGCCATACTCTCCGAGTTCCTGCCTGTCATCCTATCCAATGTGCCGTTCAACCTCGCCCAGACAGGCACGGCCGCGACCGTGTGCGCCGTCCTCAGCTGTCTGTTTTTAGGTGTTATGCTCGCCGTGCTGGCCGCGTCCTTCTTTGTGCGCTACCCGCCTATGCCGGTCGACCCGAGGTGTGTGGCGGGGTTGTTGTGGTATGTCTCAAAGAGCAAGATGCTGGAGGATTTTGAGGGGGTGTCGAGGCTGGAAGGGAAGGAGAGGGCGTTGAGGGTCAAGGAGATGGGGAGAAGGTACTTCTACGGAGTTCTCATGGGTGGTGGAGACGGCAGAAGATTGGGGGTTGATTGTGATGTTGGAGGGGGAGGCGAGGATGGCATGGGATACCTGGGTGCTCAGGGAATTCTCAGGGGGCGTGGGGACGACTAGATTGGAGGGGGGGCGGTGAGGAGGATATGATTGATGTGGCATATACATGGTCCTGTTGTAGTTTATACCCGTTGCTTTTCGTTCCATTCCAGTTTCCACTATTTCATTCAGCATTGCTTTTGCTTGTTTCTTTCCCTCATGGATCAAGTTCGTCATGGGCGTTGGATATACGGGGTGGCGTCCGGATTTTGTTCTCTATTCAATTGCTGTTTCACGCGTCTAGGTCTCTTCTTTAACGTAGCCCAGCTTGGCTCAGTGTGCTTGGATGGTTATAGTCAAGGGTCTGTGACTTGATTTTAGAAGTGGGTCAGATATTTTGTTTTTGGGGGGTGGGGTGTTGCTTACATGGGAAAAGGGGCATTCAAATTGTGTGAAATTCAGTGGATTAGGCATGTTATGCTTGGGATGGTTTTTAGGGAATTTTCCATTATTGAACTCGCTGGTCATGGATGTCTGGGGGGTAAAGGTATGTACTCACGTAGAGGCTGCCACTTGTGAGAAAGAAGCTGCAAGGAAGGAGTAGGTACAAGTATGTAGTTACATGCTGTTTTTGACTCAATATCTAGTAATTAATTGGCTTTTATCATTACATTACCATGTTGTCGTCTTCATGTTCGCCGGTGGCAGGCCCCGTCTAGAAGAAACATTCAAGTTGGCATAGTTATACGATTCACCCACACACCTCAGCTTGGACTCCCTACAGGCATCCTTTCAGATCGGAAGATACTACATAGTAAAACGGCCATTACTGGAGCATTTTGTCATAGTTACCGCGGTTCGCTGAACCTGGGAGCAGGTGCTGTGCCGCTTTTTCCCTGCTGTGGCTTGTGGTAGGCTGAAGAGCTGACCTTGGCAGTCTCCCATCGGTTCGGCCAAGAACAGACCCAAATCTCACTGGTCCTTGGGCTGGTCTCGTCTTTTAAGCCCAGAAGTAGCCGTGATCATTGATGTGTTGCGCCGCTATCCCGCAGCTCTTCCATCGCCTGGTTGGTTCACGGTGCCGGGTCAGGGGGCGGTATTGAAGCGGATTGGACCAGAGAACAAATTGTGCTACATGAGCCACGCTTACTGCGCCTGTGCCGCCAGTCAGACGCTGCGGCGAAAATGGTAAAGGCTTTTCCAGGATGGTTGACGGACGGCACAGTGACGCTTTCTCCGAGCTTCTCGGCAGACTGCCTCATTTTCCAGAAAGTTACCATCTAGGATGCAGGTCGCCGCGAACCTTACATGGTGAAGCTCGTTGTCTCTGCAACGTGCCAAGCTCTGGCTCTCGCATTCCTCCTTGACTGCTTTATCTGATCTGTTATCCCCAGCGAGCACTATGCCAGTCGATGTGAGAGACTTCCTCGGCCTCCAAAAACCCCGAATTAAAACTGACGTAGGAGCTAAACAATAGGGAGCGAATCTTCCCATCCCGAACCATGGGCGGAACTACGGCGGAGAGCTGGAGGTTTACCACTGGCACCACCCAGACAACGGCCCGCATCCATGGATGAAACCAGCGCCCGAGGTCTACAATGATCCGAGCAAGCTAGAATTCTGTCAACACCGGCAACCAGAGGACCAACAACGAAAGATTCTCAACCTCCGTCTCCCGACCTTCATCATATCCTGCATTCTCCTGGTGGTCACTGCTGCCTTGGTGCTAGTAGGCGGCCTGTTGGGAAACAAGGTCGCCAGCCTGGAGAACATGATACCCTCCCTCGTCAGCAGCATCAACGCAACCGCCAGTAATCCGACTACCAGTAACAGCACCTCAGCGCCACCAGCAACAACAACAGCAACAACGCCACCGACATTTCCCGTCGAAGGCTGGAATTACCTGGGCTGCTACTACGACTCGGCGTCGCGCATCCTTCCTGGCGCGGAGCTGTCGGCCACCAACATGACCAACGAGCGATGCGGCGCTTTTTGTTCGTCCAGCGGCGACTTTGGCAGCAAGCCGCGGCATTTCGGCACCGAAGTGGGTGTCGAGTGCCACTGTGGCACCTTGACCGAGGCCGACCTGAAAAGCAAGCAAGCGCCCGACTGGGCCTGTGGTCACCAGTGCCGGGGGAGGACCGGGGTGGCGGAACGGTGTGGAGGGAATTGGGTTGTCAGTCTGTGGGAGAGGGTCGACGGTTGATGGTGTTTAAATCAAAGGTACTTCATCATGAGTATGTAACTACCATTTGCATCTGTAATCAGGTGCAGATGTAAGGCGTTAGTCTGTGGGCTGTGGAAGGTGACTTCGAACAGACGCATGTTGGGGGTTCATGCTTGGTCCCAAGGATAACTATCACAAAATTGCGAGCACTTGGCTGGATTGCAATTGATGCTCCTCAAACCTGTTAGCTTTCAGTTGATCCTTACTTCATTAGGTACTGTTTAATTAGAGCATGGTCAAGAGTCTCGTAGCCTGAGGTACTGAAGGTCAAACCTCTTTCAACACATGTGCAGCTGGTCCTCACGTAGGTTTCGCCAGGTAGTCTTGGTACCCTAGTCACGGCAGGCAAATGAGTGTTGACGCTGTAACAGCGTTGAATGAATTACTACATAGTAGATTGAATTCATTGCGCTGAACTCGCAATTTTGAGAGCTGAACTCGAAGTTGGGAGGCTGTTGGTGCCTTGACATTGGATTGGATACCAGCACTTCACAGAGCTGGCCCATTGCTGGTGTTTATTCCGGTAATTATTCCCCATCTTCCTTCTTTCAATGTCAACTCTGTGTATTTTTTTCGAACTCATTGGGTTTTCCAAACGTGTGTGCTGACAAACGAAATCTCAACCCCTCCTCAAGCCCCATCTTATTTCCTTTCAGGCGCCCAGTGCTTGCTTTGGAGGGAATGGCTGAGTGGTGAGGACAGCCAATAGTCTAAAACCGGCTAAATGGGATTTCGTCTAGGGCAGTGGAAGTGGAGGAATATGAAACCATTGCTGGAGCTACTAATACTCTTGGCTCAACTCAACCTCTTTGCAACCACTTCGCTGGACAAGTTGATGGCCCCCTGTATCCAATTGGAGGTTCTCAACGACATCAACTTGAACTCTGACACGCCTTTCTTTACACACACAAACATCTACGCACGCTTTGCCGTGACCGAGGCGGTTACTTTGACGCAACAACATGGCGCCCATAAAAGTTGGCATTGTAGGCTACGGCTTCGCCACAAAGTGCTTTCACTTGCCCTACATCCTTCCAAACCCAGATCTAGAGGTCTACGCGTTCCTGCAGCGGGCGGCAGCGCCGAGTGAACCCTCACAGACACCTCGTTGGGGCCACTGCACCATCGACTTCCCGCAGGCCAAGCACTACCGGACGACCGACGAGTTCTACGCCGACGATCAGATCGAGCTTGTCGTAATCTGCACCTCAAGTACGGCGCATTATGAGTTTGCCGAGAAGGCTCTGCTTGCCGGCAAGCATGGTCAGTGATATCACCTCCTAACAAGAAATAGAGCGAGACAAAGACTAACGCACGGAGAACTGCAGTGGTTGTCGAGAAGCCCTTTGTTACAAGCAGCGCTGAGGCAGATAGGCTCATTGCCCTGGCCAAGGAGAGGGGCAAAATCCTGACGGTGTTTCACAGTCAGTGTCCCTCCAACTAGCATGCTCCAGTCTCTGTTTCTAATTGGATCGTAGATCGGAGGTTCGACAGCGACTTCAGGACCCTGCATCATCTCATGAGTCACGGCGCTCTGGGGGATGTGCTGCAAGCAGACATCCACTTCGACTACCCCGATCCAACGTGGATCTCTGGATGGACGTCAAAGGAGTACATACCTGGGGAAGGAATGACTTTTGGCCTCGGTAAGCCATCTCGGTACCATAAATTTACATATGTGAGGATATGGAGTTTAACCATCCACTTCAAAGGCACCCACACTCTTGACCAAGCGCTCTATCTGTTTGGCCGGCCCGCCTCGGTAACCGGCTTCCTGCGGTCAAACCGCGGCATCGACAGCGAGATTGATGATACCTTCATCATTATTCTCCAGTACTCGGGGAAGCAAAAGAACCTGCTGGTGACGGTCAAGACGGCCATTGTCACGCACATGAAGGACCAGCTGCGCTTTTTTGTCCGGGGAACCAAGGGGACATATTTGAAAGTAAGTTTCCGACATTTTCCGTACATGTAGCCGCTGATAGTGGTTTGACATTCACAGTTTGGAACATGCCCACAAGAGAGCCAGGCCATCGCCGCTCCCGGGCAGCCAGCAACAAGCCCCGAGTTTGGCGTGGAAGACGAACGCATCTGGGGCACGCTGACCACCACCACCGAGTTTGACCCCGAGATCCAGCACTTCGACGAAGAAAGCAAAAAGTACATTGGCAAATATCCCAGTCTGAAGGGGTGGTACAGGGGATACTACGAGAATGTGTCGGCGGCTATTCGCGGGAGGGAGGAAATTTTTGTCAAGCCTGACACGGCGAGGGACGGGCTGAGGATCATTGAGCTGGCGAGGGAGTCCCAGGAGAAGGGATGCACCGTTCCCTGGTCCTAGTCATTAGATCGAGATCGTGATCGAGATCTGAGGCCGGGGTAAAGGTGTGTCTTTGCCCCCTTTGCTCCGCCTCTGGCAATGCCGGGGAATCTGGGCGCAGTGTCCGGCATGTCAGCCATGACACATGGAACTGTGATAGGTCGTTTCTGTGTACCAGAGCATGCACCGTTGACTGGCTTTGCTAGCGTGCATCACTAGGCCCTACGCTACTGCACCGGCCATGCAGCCGGACGTCGCTTGGATGTCGATGGGCCGAAATCGAATTGCCGTCCAGACCTTCACGGGTCGTGAAATTCCAGTCAAGACAGCCCGCCGTGTGTAAAAGCAATTCTTCCAGTTGGACCCGGCCGTTGGGTCTCCCGCTTCGTCGGGGTTTAGTCCTGGGATATTGAAACTCAAAGCAGTAAGGAACCTAGGCGCTGTCTTGAGTGACAACTATAGCCTTCATTCTTCTTGACTGATTACCTTACCTAACTTCGATTGTCAAAAACACCCTCCCGTACCTGCACAAGATCCAGCTGCGCCAATTCCATTGTGTTCATATCCTCGGCCACATACAACATCTATTATTGACGCAAGAATAAACCAGGCCCCCAATTCGAATCCTACTCCCCAGGTCCTTGTTTACCAATCAGTGGCTACCGATTTGAACCGTTAGTCATCAAGCACACGGGACAACAACCTCCCTGCACGACCGTTCCAGTGGAGCCGGAGGCTCTCATCGCAGCTAGGGCCCCATGCATGCAACGCTTTCAAGGATCCGGCTGCTGGTATCCGGATTCGGGTCCCTAGATCTAGGCGCAGAATCTTGAAGGAACCCCACAGCCAATGCCAGTGTCCTTATCGGTGGCCACTTTCCTTCTGCCTGGCAGTGCATCTTGACCCGCCGGCTTGTTCGCCGGTCTCAATGATGGAGGGTGGGTGCTACTACACGGATCCGGATAGTTAGTTCCAACATCTGACGTCCCCTAGAGGACCCTACCCAACGTTTTTCTCGTCTGTGTGATTTTGTTCCCCTCTCGCATGCGTGCTCTCGTTCTCTTGCAAGTTGAAAAGAACTTCCGATGCAGCAATTGATGGACCAACAACTCGGCAACCACGGTCTCTCTTTGTTCGATCCGCCTGAGGGCCTCGTGGCAGTTGAAAGCTCGGATGGTCCTCTCGCTGATGGACAATTTCTGACCTTGAATGCCACACTATTGCCCCTCGGGAGCTGGATACCTGTACCCGAGGGGGATCACGCGACCATGGCCATGTCAATGGAATGGGGGCAGCAGATTCACGCCATCATGCCAGCATGGAGGGTTTCCAGTCCCACGACTCCGCCCGATCCTGGAGTTGTTGATCAGCAATACACCGTACCCACAACCCATTGGCTTCAGGGGTTGTCGACCTTGGGACCCAACGGCTTTGTGGTGGATAGCTGTGAGTCGAGCTTGTCTCGGCCAGCTTCCGGGCCATGGATCAATGGAGAGTACCTTCAGCCTGGTGCTTCACCATGCTTGCTCCCGTCTCTCAAACCACAACCGGGGAGTACCCTTTTCTCGACGCACTGGCGTCATGATGCTTGGATCCAACCAGCGGAAAACGGGGCCTCCTCGACAACCGAAATTGACGTGGAACCATCCAGGAAAAGAAGAAAGCCGCTGCACAGCGACGGGGAGAGGGAGACACGGGATGGGAACAAGGAAAGACGCCTGACGAGATTCCCTGACAACGAGATCACTCAGTACCTACCTGAACATGCCCCCATCTCGAGACCAAGGCTAGCCCAACGCCCAACCCCGGACAAGAGCCAAACAATCTGGCCAAGCACCGACAGCAACACAACGGACACGACTTCCAACACTGACACTGTCAGTCCGTCCAATTCCCACCACCACCCCGCAAGCGACACATCCCCGACTTCCACAACCTCCCCAATCTTCACCGCCATCACCACCGCCCCTCCTCCTCCTCAGGGTCCTATCACTACCACCACCACAACAAAACCGAAACGAACCCGCGTCCGCAACCGCAACCGCGCCGCAGCAAGCCGGTACCGGGCCAAGACGCAGGCCGCCTCGGCGCAGCTAGAGGCCGCGGCCCGCGCCGCCAGCGCCCGCCGCCAGTCGCTGCTCGCCCGCGCCGGCGAGCTGCGCGACGAGGTGCTGCTGCTCAAGGCGGAGCTGCTGCGGCATGCGGGGGCGGGGTGCGAGTGTCCGCTCATCAGGGCCTATCTGGAGCGTGCCACCGAGGAAGCGTGGGCGCATACCATGGGCCGGCGGGTGTCCATGTCGTCGGCCGTGCCGTTTAACGGTAATAATTGTCCGTCGTCGTTGAGTGGGGGGAGGCTGGGGAGTTTGAAGGGGAGGGGAGTTGGGCTTGAACATGAAGGTCAAGGGGGTGATGAGGATGGTTTGTTAACGGGCGTTGGGACGAGCATCCTGGGGTGAGTCGTTTGGTATCTCCATCTCGTGTACCTAAGGTGGGGTAGGGTGCTGGTTGGATCTGCTTCTTTCGGAGGGTGGTGGGCTGTTTGACGTTTGTGAGGGTTGATGAATCGGATGGTGGTTGGTTGGGTTTGGTGTTGGGGACAAGGGAAAATTTGCGATATTTCTGGGCTCGCCTCGGCCGGTTGGTGGCGAGCCTTCTGTCGTCGTATGTACCTACCTGTACAGTACCAAACATGTACCTATCCTTCGTCGCTCTGTCCGGCTTCACGGCAGCCTCGGGTGTTCATGGACACAACCCCAAAGAGTCGAGCAAAGTCCGCGTCTGCGATCCAGGAGGGCGTCTGAAGTCGGCCGCGCTCTCGGTGCATGCAGTGGCGCAAGAAGGAACAGGTCGTTCTCGGTCATGCTCGCCAGGTGGTCTCATAGACTATATACGACGTAGGCAATTATTTCTAGTGAGCAGCGGCTCCTAACCGCCAGTTGTTGGAGGTCATGATGGCCCTCTGTCTCTCGGTCGGCCCCCGTCGCTCCTGGCCATCCTGATCGTCCTGCCTGCGAGCCTCGTTTCGCCTGGTTGGCGTGGGAGCAGCGGAATCCGTCGAAGTGTCCGCAGAGCTCCTCCAAGGAGCGTGGTTGATCCCGCCCTGCTCGAATGCAGGGCCCCTGCTCCGGGGATAGGAGACGCGCAAGGTACCCCCTTGGATCGGCTTCCCGTGCAATTCTTTCAATGCGCGCTCAGCCTCCTCGACGGAGCTAAAGTCGACGAAGCAGTAATGATGGTTCCCCGGCTTCTCCCGTGTCTCAGGGCGCGGAGTGATGCGCTTCCCAATGGCGACGCTAGGTGTACCTGAGTAAGGTCACGTCGACTGCGATTGGAGGACAAGGGAATACGTACACATCAAAACCGGCAAGAATCTCCTGCATTTCAAGATCGTGCTGTGGCTGGTTGATCATCTTGCCCAGACCCCCGATGTACAGTGTGGTCTTGTCAACACTGCGATGATTCCTCTCTTCCAGATGGCGGATCGCGGCATGCGGTCCCTGGTCCGGCTTGGGGTTTTCGTCTTTCCCTTTCCAGTCTCCCCACCTCTGGAAGGTCGGGTTGTAGTCGCGCTTGCTGGCCCAGCGCGGCTGGCTCGACGTCTTGGGGTGGCAGGGTCCGATCTTGATGGGTCGGTTGAAGAGCAGGACCCCGGGAAGAGAGTCCAGGGCGCGGCCTGCCTCGTCGCGCGTGGTAAACTCGGCAAAGCAATAACCTGGGTTCCTGCCGCTGATGGGGTCGACCGAGATGTGCAGTCTCTCAAACGACTGTTCAAAGCCGCTCTGGCGCAGCAGGTCTTCGACGTCGGCGGGTTTGACCGAGTAAAGCAGGTTGCCAATATATATGCGCCGGCCCTCGGCAAGGGCGTCGCCCTGCTGTGTCTCGGGACTACGAGTAGTCTCCATGGGTGCTCTTGTTGAAGGGAGGGGAAGCTGATCGGGAGAGTTGAGAAGCTGAGCGGAGGCTTATGAGATTTGCTGCTTGTTCACCGCTGAAGCAAGAGCTGTATCCGTCCATGCAAAATTTTCCTTATTTCAGGTTGTATTGGGCTTAGACCGCTAAAAAGTGGGGTCCAAATCAGGAAAAGAGTCGATTTCAAGGGGCTTTGCCACGCCCAATTAAGGGCTTGTGCCTCATTGACATACATCCCTTGTCCACGTGCGTCTGACATGACACGGCTTCAAGTTCGGACGACATTCACAGACCTGGAAGAGTAATCCAAGACTGAGAGAGAAGGAGGCATGACGCTCAGTTCACAAGCAGATACGTCGCCCATTACCCAAGGGTTCATGTCAGGGTAAGGTGCGGTGCCTAACACTGAACTTCGGAAATATCAAATTGTTGGAACCTGCGGGGCGATGACCGCTGAGATATGCGCTGGAAGAAGCTATTCTCAGTCAAGACCGTGGATTCAATTGAAAAGTGGTGAAAAAGTGCTTGATTCTCCATGCTGTTGTTGATGGGCATGGGAGAGGACTAAGTAGAGGTAAGGAAGAGGGGTTGCGGTGCTGGCACCAATCAACCACCGAGGTCCGTTGAATGCAGCCATCAAGACGGATTCGTTCCGACACAAATCACTTCCGGATCATTCACTGCCGAGTCAACTCTTTCAGTTCGACATCACAATAGCTGGATGCCAGCATCCTGTTCGATCGATTTGCCCTCCGCTTGCAAATACGGAAATACAATCGGATACTAGCCTGCGCTTTAAATTCGAGATGAACAAATCGCACGTCACATCCCCTAAACGGCAGCCGCTGTTGACCTCTGAGTATCCCCTACTTTACTCATCTTGGATCCGCACGACAATCTTCTTGGCCGCCTTCCCAGCCTCCAAGTCCTGGATTCCCCGGATGACGCTCTCCCAGCCGACTCCGTCGCCAAGCTGGTACTCGATCGGCTTCAGCGTGCCGGCAGCGAGGTGGGTTTCAAAGGTCGGAATCCAGCTCGCAATTTCCTTTGTCACTGTCTGACCGATGGGCTCGTTCAACCGGCAGAGATGGCCGAGCTCGGCGCGGTACTCCTTGATGGTGGACGGGGTGTTGAACGGGGACCTGTTTTCGTCAGTCTTCTTTCAGCACCTACATGCGGTGGCTGCAATGGGATAGTGGACGCTACCAATCATCGACCGAGGTCAGGTACTTGGTCGTTGCCGTGGAGCATGTCTCGAGCGCCTTGACCATGATGTCGTAGCCATAGGCCGTGGAGTCGAAGATGCGGGCAAAGTTGCCGCCGGTGATCTTCTTGATCTCCGCCAGCTGCTCATCAACGGGGCCCCGGTTGTTGAAAGTTGCTGTTGCGCCGTTCTTCTCGGCGGCCTAGGGGCAGGTGAGTCTACATCAAATCAGATATTGTTATTGAACTCACAGATGCCTTGGACGGCGAGCACGAGGCAAGCACCTTGTATCCGCAGGCTCGTGCAATTTGCACTGCAAACTGCCCTACGGTACCTGTCCCGCCCAGGATAACAACCCATTCGTCCTTTTCAGGGGCTCGGGTGCCGTCCTCAGACAGCTTCAACTCCATGCCGGCGAGGAAGCAGAGGCCTGCTGTCTGCGCAAGGGTCAGAAGAAGGCAAGCGAAACAGGACTAATGCCTTTTGAGTATTTCTTACCAGCAAACCAGCCCCAACGGTTGCTGTCTCCTCCACAGTCAAATTATCGCTCTTCTTCAAAAACACATTCTCTTCAACAAGGAACGCGTCCTGGAATGGGGTGAACTTGTTCTGGCCTAGCGGCGCGCAGCCATAGACGTAGTCGCCGGGCTTCAGCCTTTCACAGCCCGAGCCGACCTCGAGAACGACCCCGGCACAGTCGCTCCCAATGATAGCGGGCCACTCGCTGATGAGGAGACCAGTGTGGTGCTGCAGGGGCTCTCTGGATCTTGTCAATCAGGGGTTTTCTTAGGCGAGAGACTGAACTCTTACACCGGATTGATGCCAACAGCAAGACACCTGACCAGCGCTTGCTTCGGGCCTGGAGTGGGACGTGAAATGTCGTTGACAATGGTGTAGGGTTCGTTGGGCCCGGCGATGGTGATGCCTGATTGAGTGGCCATGTTGAGTGCCGACATGGACAGTACCTAGGTACCCTGAGTTTAGGTAGGCAGCGAGGGATGTCAAGGTCGGAGATGAATGAGGTTTGATGCGGAGGAGTAAGTTCATATACATGTATGCGGCCACCGCAGCAGTGAACCCCATTCAAGGTAGTCCGCATTCCTTTGGCATCAGGGCCCCTTGCCTAGGCGCCAGCGGCCTACGTCGTCCCCGCGATTGGACAGGGCAACCTCAAGCACCCGTATTTTACACTGTGTGCTTCCCTCGGTTATGACCAAGAACATGCATGTTTCAAAGGTGTGTTGGGGCCTTTGAATCGGTTGATAGATGGTCCGTTGCTGACGCGATAACCGCAGCTCAAGGGAAGCTTATGCATCAGTGTGCGGCTGAGGCACACCTCTCTGAGGATTGCGGCAGCCAGTCACTCAGTCTTCTCCGCACACGAGCAGCCTGTGTTGGGGGGCCGAAAAAGTTTAAGCGACGGCTGATGACTTGGCAGATAGCAGCAGAGCGATCTATGTAGTTGCCAATGACGTGCGTTGCTGGCTGCACCATTCATCATCCACCATGCCGTCTCATTATGCGCGTGGTGTCCGGTACTAGTAGGTACCTGGGTAGGCAGGCAACAAGAACATTGCGTACCTGAACCATTGGGAATAATCAGCAAAACACAATGGCTCATCATCCATTCGCTACCATACGCCTTATCTCAAGTGAGACCCTGCTGACAGCTCTCGTTGCCTAGAACTGACCATTCAAGCTTCAGCCTTTAGGTAGGACAGGTACCGAGGTAGGGAACTCTTACGGAGATATAATCAGCACCAGACGCTGGCCAGGTGCTTGCAGGATGAGTGCGACTTTGTAGCCAGGGAAACCTTTTGCATTTCTACCTGGATACATTTCTCGAACACAAGAAGGCAAAACCCAAACAGTTGCCCAGCGTGACTGCTCTATGGAAGGTAGGGCCGGGGCAGTGATATATCCAACAGATACTGCTTCATCATCAATATGAGGCGTCATCCACGCTCGAGTCAAAATCATATGAATGCCCTGTTCTGGTACTTTGTAGCACCAAATTTACAGCGAAGGGATTGAAGCGATATGTACAGTTTTTCCTCACTAGAATCTACATGATTCATTGTCCCGCCAGCTTATACAGGTCCCCCCCCCCTCACCCCCCCACCCACCCCTTTCCCCCCACTCCCCAAAACATCCTATTTATGTCCTTACCCCTGAACCTCAAAGGCACTGTGAGTACCAGTCATTCTGGTATGTGCACTTGTAGGGGCTAGCGCAAGTCCTGCACCCCGTGTAGCCGTTACCGGCGCACTGTGCCCAACGAGGCGCCGTGCAGCTGGAAGGAGTCGAGGTAGTAGTGGTGCTCGAGCTGCTGCTAATTCTGGAAGACGACGTGGTGGTGCTGATGCGAGTTGTGCTAGGGGCAACCGTGCTGGTGGTCGTGGTTGAGCCACCGCCGGTGATGCCGAACCACTCCATGTCGAGGGCGCCGTTGACGGGGATGTTGTGGGTGACTCCCGTGCCGTAGACGCCGACCAGGTTGGGGCCGTACACGTACTTGGTGTATCCGGCCGAGGGGTTGTTGGGGAGGGTCTGCTGCGGCTGGCCGTAGCTGTAGCCGAAGACGCCAGCCCACTGCTTCAGCGTCTCGTTGAAGTTCTGTCCGCATGTTAGCATTCTTAGGTACCTTAACCGGCTCCTGGTGGTGTGACGGAATATTGGGCCTACCTGGGGATAGATGGTGGTATCTGCCGAGCCGTGATAGATCATCATCCTGGGGCGAGGACCAGTGTAGCCGGGATACATGTCCAACGCTGTCTGAGCCCAGGCACTCTGGGTCGTGATGGACTGGCCGTTGGCGCAGGTCGAGTTCCACCCAGCCACGGTGCCCGTGTAGAAGCAGCCCGCGGGGACACCGGCATAGGCACTGGCCGCCTTGAACAGGTCGGGATAGGTGGCGGCCAGCACATTGGTCATCATGGCGCCAGAGCTCGTGCCGGCGACGAAGACGCGGTTGCGGTCGGCATTGTACTGGGAGATAGTGTAGGTCACCATGTTGGCAATGCTGTTGCTGTTGCCGCCGCCGTTGCGGGTCAGGCTGGCTCTGGACGAGACATCCCAGCAGCCTCCGCTGTTGGGTGACTCGGGGTAGATGACGATGAAGCCGTACTGGTCGGCAAGGCGGGCATATGGAGTGCCGGTGTAGAAGGCTTGGGCCGTCCCAGTGCAGTAGTGGACGGCGGTCAGGATGGCTGGATTGGGCTGCAGCCTGTCGGGGACATAGATGAACATTCTCGCGCCCGATGGGTTGGAACCAAAGTTGGTAACCTGAGTGAGGGTCGCCCGTTTGACGATCTCGGCAGCGGCCGAGAAAGGGGCCAGAGCCATGAGGCTCGAGACAAGTGTTGAGAATTTCATGTTGGGCTCTCTGGGTGCCGGTGATGCCTGTGTGCACGTCAAACTGGTCTGGACGGTCGTCACAGGAGTTGGTGTCTGGCGGTGCGGAGAAGTGCCTCTTAATATACGTGGTCATGACCCAGTCCCACCGTAATGGTCAGTCCCTCTCCATGCCTCTAACAGTAGAACCCACCTCATGGTACCGTCACATGGAAACTGGGCCATGGTGGAGAGCCTCCCGGACGGTAGCCTTCCGACCATGTGCTGAGTCGACAGGGGTGATACTTCTTCAGCATCTGGCTTGAACAAGATGCGGCCCTCCCGAGGTTACGGTGGAAGAAGGTGAAAGAGGCCCACTTTGAGACGCAGACATGGAACAGCGGAGGAGCAGGATCAACGATTGACTACCTGCAGGAGCGGGAAGGGACAAGGCGCTAGAATCTGCAGAACCTCCATGTTGGCAAGGGTCTCGGGCTAGGCTATAAGGCTGGTAGAAGCAGCTGAATTGGGTTCGGTTCCTGGGTTCGGTTAGACATTGCCGTGGGGTGACGTGATTCAAGATGTTGAAATTTGTAAGGTGCGGCGTGCCTTCCAGCTTCACTTCAGCGAGAACCGAGGAAAGTGGAAGGGAGCTTGAACTCCAGTCTGAGGTGCACAAGAAGCGGTCCTTAGATTCGTGACATTCACCGGCATTTCTTCATGTCTCGCGAACCTGACAGGTCAGTGTTGTTTCCCCAGTTCTCTTCTCTCCCTCAGCATCCCGCATTGCTTCCCTGAGCCAATACCACTTTGTGCGCCACGTACCCGGACGAGAGGAAGAGAACGAGTCTTGTCTGGAACCGGCAGCCAAGATGTTGCACTGGGCGCCCACAAACCGCGTGGAGCACTGGCCGTTGGGTTCCGTCCCCGCTTCCGCCCCTTTTTGCCTGAATTCGAGGCCGGCCTTCTTCCTTTCCCTAGCACACCCACCCCGCTTGCGCTTTTGGTCAAGGTGCCGAGCTGCTTCCTCGAACAATCGAGAATCAAGCTTATAGCTTGACTGTTTAGGAGATGATTGCACGTAAGGTTTATCGCCACGTTCCTAGTGATGACGAAGGAAAACACTGTAGTCTACAAAGTCCAGAGCATACAGTCACACAGAGATTCTATCTCGCTGTAGACCCAGCTGCTGTCCCTTGCCCGGGAACTCCCACACCATCTCCCTTGCTTTGCACATGAGGGCTTTCAGTGGAAGCCTCCCAGAACTGGCCCCTCTCCTCGTCCACCCGCTTGCCGTTCGCAATCTCATCCAAGCGGTCCTTGTTTGACTTGCGCATGTGCTGCAGTCCTGTCTTGTGCTCCGTGTGTTCCTTCTTCAGCTTGTTCGAGCCGATAAGGAACGAGACCAGCAACCCCAGGCCGGAGAAGGCGGCATACATGATGTACATGGTCCGCAGGCTCCTATGGTAGGCGTCGGTCGCAACCTGGCGCTGGTCGTCGGGCAGCTGGCTGACGAGGCTCACGCTGGAGGCCGCGTTGCTGCCGGAGAGAAGATTCGCCACGTCCGGGCCCAGCTCCTGGAGCAGAGTCGGATACTGCCGCTCCATGCCATTCTGAAACACGACACCCCCGATGACGATGGAAATGGAGGTGAAGAGTTGCCGCATAAAGGCAAAGGTGGCCGTGGCCGACGCCATGTCCCGGGGCTCGACCGTCGTCTGGAGCGCAATCAGAGGCGCTAGGAAGTTTGGCCCCACGCCAATGCCTCCGATGAGCTGATACAGCACTACTTTGGCCCAGTTTGCACGTGGCTCCAGGTCGATGAACAAGCCAATACCGAGAGTCATGAAGGCCATGCCGAAGATGATGCAGGGTACGTACTTGCCCGTCTTCTTGATGACTGGGCGTCGTCAGTTTTGCAGGCTTAGAGGAGGAGGATGATGACGTACCGATTCCCGTGCCGGCCGAGACCAGAGAGAGAGACACGACCCAGGGAAGGATATACACACCGGACATCAGCGGTGTGGCCCCGAGGACGGCCTGGAAGTAGAGCGGGAGGTAGTAACTGCCGGACATGAACACGAAGCCCTGAAGCGCCCCGATCCCTAGTGACGCGGCGTTGGACCGGGTGCTGAAGAGGTACATGGGTACAACCGGGAACTCGGCGACCTTCCACTCGATGACGATGAAGATGACGGCCGTGACCACGCCAAAGACGAGCAGGCAGACGACCGTCGGCGAGCCCCAGGGGTAGATGACACCGCCGAGTTCCAGGCCGAGCAAGAACATCAGGGTGGCGGCCACGACGGCCACGGACCCCAGCCAATCGACGGCAGCCAGGCCCTCGCGCATCGGCGTCCTCGGGTTGTGCAGCTTGAGCACAAACGCCAGCACGGCGAAGCCCACGCCCGATATGGGCAGGTTGATGTAGAAGCACCACCGCCAGGTCACCTTGCTGGTGAAGACGCCGCCGAGGACCGGCCCAACGGCTGACGCGACAGCCCAGACCATGCCCATGGCCCCAAAAAAGACGCCTATTATCCCCCTCTGTCAGCATGACGCCCTTCATACAAAAAAGGAGAAGAAAAAACAGGGGACAAAACCCACCCCTCTTCCTCATCGAGAACAAATCACTAATACAAACATTAACCAAAATTACAATCCCCCCTCCCCCGACCCCCTGCACGGCCCGCGCAACAATCAGCATGCCCATGCCGACACTGACGGCGCTCAGCAGCGAGCCGGCCCAGAAGATGGCGACGGCCAGCATGAGGATGGGCTTGCGGCCCCAAATGTCCGAGACCTTGCCCCACACGGGCGCCCCGGCGGCCGCGGCGAGCATGTAGGCCGACCCGATCCACGTGTAACCCGCCGTGCTGCGGAATTCGTGCGCGATGGTCGGCACAGCGACCGTCACGATGGTGACGTCGAGCGCGGCCAGGAAGAGGGCCGAAGCGAGCGCCAGGATGATGAAGGTCGTCTGGAGACGGGTGCGCGTTGCCTCGGGGGCTTCCACGGCTTGCGGGCCGATGGAGGTGTCATTGTCTTGCTGTTGTTGCGTTTGTTGCTGTTTTTGTTGTTGGGCCCTTTCCTGCTTCTCCTCGCCGAGCGTTGTTGATGATGATGGTTCAAACTGGGCGCTTGGCGCTGAGGACGATGAGATGGTGTTAGCGCTGATGGTGCTTGGCACGCCGGCCTCCTTTCCCGGTCCGGGCGCGGGCGCCGAGGCGGCAGCGGTCATGACTCGGGATGCGATGCCCCAAGTGCGGCCTCGGTCCAGCGGCCAACGATTGATCCGATGGATGACAGTGATTCACAACAGGATTTGGTTTAAAGGTTAGCGAAACGGGGGCAAATCAGAGAGTGGCGGCATTATACGTGAGATGCGAACGAGAGGAGATGATGAGTAATGGATGAGATGTCCTGGCAGCTTCTTCATATATGTCAAGAGAACAGAACATTGGCAGTCTTGGCTTGACGACGGCACCCGGCCGTCAAATGAAAGGCGTTACGGAAGTTACTAGATAGGTTTGAACTATAACCGAGCGTAAAATCCTTCAGATGACACCCCCCAGACCCCCTGATCAATTCCGAGCTCAGGGGCCCGAGTCCCCGACTGTGGAGCCGGCCGGGTCCGATCCCCTGGCCCCGTGTGAGATCGAGCAGTCCGGACGTTTGCAAAGGCTTCAAGGTGTGGGTTGTGATTGATCCTTGCCCGCCATTCCTGTTCTCTGTGAACGAACATGTCCCTCGTCTGACAAGCTTTCCCTTTCATTCCACGAGGACACACTGGTTCCCTGGGGCCCCATCTCCAGCGGAACAGGCCCATGGATCATCTCAAGACAAATAGTCGCTCGTAAGTCCGGCTTAGCCCCGAATCGGCGAGTTGCCTCCTTCCGAATATGACACTGCAGAACTCTTCTGACCCGTTGACTGGTGACTAATTCGGCCGGTCCAGACTGTAACTGTGTTTGGCCGCCACAAATGACAAGAGCGCGCGAGACGGCAAGACAACACCCAAGACCACCGGTAACCGCCATGCGATGCGATGTAGATACTTCGAATGTAATCATGAACTGCGAGAACTGTCTCAAGAAATTATATATGTCGGAGTGTCTAGTCTAGGGTCCCAGCATGCTTGCTCACGCTTGACGTGATAACAGCAGCCTCACTCTATCAGCCTGCACCACTTGGTATACAGGCTTTTCGAAACCAACTCCACCACCATGCAAGGCCCAGTATCTACATTAATCGCGCGAATATGCACTTGTACAATACAAGCAGGAGGAAAGAAAGGAACGTCCCACCCTCTAACGCCGCGCGCGAGAAACAGCCGCCGCACTCAACGCCGTGGTGGACGCAGCCCGCTCCATGCCCGAAGTCATCGGGGCCGGCGTCGTGCTCCTCGTCGGCGGAGCAGAGCGGTTGTGCGCCATGTGCGCCCTGACCAAGTGGCCAGCGGCCAGGGCGGAGCAGAGCGACAACTCACCGGCCAGAACGGCGGCCGCAATAATGCGGGCCAACCGTCTGGCGTTCTCGCCGGGGCTGGTCGGGTGGGGGCCACGGACACCGAGCATATCGAGCATGGCAGCCTGGGGGTCGAGAATGGTGCCGCCGCCGAGCGTGCCGACTTCGAGTGAGGGCATCGAGACGGAGATTTGAAGAGATCCGCGAAGACTGATAACCGGTTAGCTAACTGTCCTTAGAGACGCGTGCAAAGAGACACTCACTTCTTCATAATGGTGATGCAGTTGGCGCTCTCCACCACTTGTGCCGGATCCTGCCCCGTCGCGAGGAACACGGCCGCCACAATGTTGGCAGCGTGTGCGTTGAAGCCGCCAACCGAGCCAGCCATGGCAGAGCCGATCAAATTCTTGTTCACGTTCAGCTCCACCATGCTGTCGACGTCCGTCTTGAGCACGCTCTTGACCACTTCGGCCGGGATGATTGCCTCGGCAACCACGCTCTTGCCACGCCCATCGATCCAGTTGATGGCCGCAGGCTTCTTGTCAGTGCAGTAGTTGCCGCTCACCGAAACGATGTTCATGTCTTCAAAGCCCTCGCTCATCATGACGCTGAGCGCGTGCTCAACGCCCTTGGAGATCATGTTCATGCCCATGGCGTCCCCGGTTGTTGTCTTGAAGCGAATGTAGAGGTTGGTTCCCGCAAGAGCCGTCTTCATGCTCTCAAGGCGAGCGAAGCGGCTGGTCGAATTGAAGGCCTTCTTCATCACCGACTGGCCCTTTTCCGAGTCCAGCCAGAGCTTGGCTGCACCAGCCCTCTCGAGAGTCTCAAACGTGACGCACGGGCCGCGGGTCATGCCATCAGCCGTCAGAACCGTAACGGCGCCGCCACCAGAATTGATGGCTTTGCATCCTCTGCTGGTACTGGCGACTAGGACACCTTCCGTTGTGGCCATGGGAATGAAATAACTCTGCCCGTCGATAACCAGCGGCCCGGCCACACCAACGGGCAGCGGCAAGTATCCAATGACATTTTCGCAACAGGCTCCGTGGACTTGGGCCCAGTTGTAGTTTTGGTACGGAAGCTTCGACCGTTCGAGGAGGCCCGTCAAGTCCGCGGTCGCCTTGGTCCGAGAGATGATAGTCCGACGGACTTTGACCGCGCGGGTGAAATCCTTGAGCGTCTTTTCCAAAGCATATCCAGGGATCTTGCCGCGCATCGAGAGCTCAATGACCTCTTCGTCGTTGAGCTCGTGAGCGCGTTTGTCTAAGAGCATCTTCTCCATCTCCTCCTTGCTGCGGATGACAAGAGGCTGATCGGGGATCGATGAGTCCGAGCGAGATGCTGATGGGGAGCCGTCCGTTTCATCGTCAGTCAATGCTGGAGTTGGTGGGATGGATGGCGGAGACGGAGGGGCGCGGTTGAAACCCCCGACCGGAAGAGTGGCCGACTCAGTGTCGTTGAATTTTTGGGCCTCGGCCAGCTCCTTGGGGTCAATCGGATGGTCGGGCACGTTAGGGTCCTTGATGCCCCATCGCGCGGCGTTGAAAAGATAGCCGTTCAACGCGACGCTCATGGCCAGGGCGACAACGATCCACTTGGACAAAATAGGATCCTCGAGACTCTTGAGAATGCTGCCGACCATGCGACCGCCGACGCCGTAACCGGCAAGCTCGCCGAGGCCTTCATCGTCAGTGTTGCCGACGTCCTGTGGCAGGTCATAGTGAACCGAGGGGAACTCGAGTTCGTAGCGAATCGGGGTGAGAACTGTGACAAACGTTTCCCGGCCTGTTGACTTGGCAGCCTCGAGGACCATGTCGAGACCGTTTGAGGCCACCTTGAACGGATCGACGGGCGGTGGGGTGACTACACCGCCCAGACCGCGGGCCCAGGAGGAAATCTGCAAAATCGAATTGGCGCTCCGGAAGGGGATGCTGCAGAGGTTAAGCGCATTGATGAGGAAAAAGCCCGAGACCATCAGCACCTTAAATTTGGGGATGTGCGCGCTCTTGATCTGACGGCCAAAGATGGTTGTTGCCGGCTGATCCTGGCCATCCGCCCGGGCCCAGTCGTTGCTCTGAGCCACGTTTTCCGCAACTCGGCGGCTGACCCCGTCGTCCTCAAGGGCCTTGCGCATCTCGACGTGGCGTTTGATCCGATTAATCTCGAGTTTGATGCAGAGAATTGCCGTATAGAACGAGAAGAGCAAAAGGCAGTCGAAGAATAGGATCCAAGCGGCTAGGAAGCAGAACTGCTGGAGGCCACCCTGTACACCCGAGGCAGCGCCAAGAACGAGGACGCCAACCTCGATGGCATAGTCCTTGACGATCCCGAAACCCTTCTCTTTGATTGCAACATAGATGGCCGACTGGATCACGCTGCCGGATACATTGCTTTTTTTGGAACCCTTGGAAGGCCCATTCTCTGGCCTGCGGTGCTCAATCGCGTGGGATAAGACGGCACGAGTGAGAACAATGTTTTTCTCGAAGCCAATGGTAACAACCAGGAATGGAAGGCCTTCGGAAAGCAGAACCATGGAGACTGGGACACCGAGCTTCGTGGTGACGAAGAGGCCGAAAAGGAAGGCGAAAGTGGACGAGAAGAGGACGCTGGTGGCGAGCCAAAAGTTGGAGCCCATGCGACGCATCGACAGGAAAAGCGAGACGAAGGTGAGGTGCATGGAGATGTAGCCAAGGGCCATGATGACGATATCAAGCGTCTCGGCGTTCTTGAGGAGGTCAATGAACTCAACCCACGCGTTCCGGACCCATCTGGCGATGCTACTCCTAGTCTGCGCCCTGGCAGCCTTCATGATCCACATCTTCTTCTCGTGGCCATGCTCGGTCTCCCGGGTCTCTTGCGAAGAGATGCCGTTGGGGATCTCTTGGACATTCGAGAGAAACTCGGGCGCCTGGTTAAACGGGATGGCAAAAGCCAAGGCGCTGTCCTGCGAGTAGGTCGTGAACGAATTGGAAGTCGTGGGCAAGGGCCGTATCGAGAGGTTTTGGGGAATCGGCACGGTGTTGGCCAGGGGAGGCGCCTTGGCGGGGTCCGTCGACAGTGATTCGGGGAAGACGAGAGTCAGGAGGGCCAGGTGGTCGGCGGTTGCGGGGATCGCCGCGTCGGTATCGAAGGGCTGCCAGTTCCAGGCCGTGTCCTCGGCTGCCCGCAGCAGTCGGCTGCCCTCGACGAGGGAGGACCATTCCGCCTTCCTTACGCTCCTGGTGGCATCGAACAGACTCTCCTCAAGGAGGCCAATGTAGGAGGAACTGGCTAACAAGGCGACAATGACGATGGTATGGATGGGGTGGGTGGAGGTGAGCCGTGCAAGGACTTGAAGGAGGGGCGTGACCTTCTTGTTCAGCCATGATGGTGCGGCATTCTGGGACGGCGGTTGTTCCCCCCGGAAGCGCGAAGGAAGGAGGTTCGAGGCGATCATGGTAGGTGGCTGTCGAGGTTCAGGTACATTGGACGGAGGGCTGCGCAAGGGCAAAGAGGCTCCTGGTAAGACGGAGTGGTGTTAGCCACCGACATCGGTAGAAGTCGCATAACCAGGAATAAAGTGTCAGTGTGCGATGGAGCGTGTCGACATGCTATGGTGGGCCAAGGTATAGCAACCTTGATAGAGCCCAGGATCGTGGAGAATGCGAAGATGAGCGACTTACGAGACACCACTGGCAACCACGGAGGCACTGGAACTTCAGGGGCGTAGGATGCGGTGTGCGCACGAAAATGGCAGCGTTGAATCCTGCTCTCGCGGCACGGTCGAGCATTGGTTTATGGGTGCGGGTCGTGCAGCAAAGCTCCGGTGCTTCCCTGTAGGTTGGTATATATCGTCCCCCGAACCGAGCTGGGTACCGGAACTCGGAACAACGGATGCGGGCGGGATGCACGGGTCTTGTCGTCGTGATGCGACTTCTCCCGCTTGCTGGGGACCGATAGCAATGTTGAATTGGGCGTCCTGAGGGATTGAACGAGGGCAATCAGTCGAGAAAGTCTGATTCCCAGTCGGTACTCGGGGCGGTGAGGAAAGTTTTAAAAGAATTTCAGGTTTGATGGGGTAACACCGACCACGACCGTTTTCTGCACGCTGGCGCATGGAAGTCCTGGCGTCTTTGCTTTGCAGCGGCATGTTCCAGATCATCGGCGGCTCAATGATTGGTGCGAGGGGCCGAAACCCCAAAAGGACCATTGGAAGAAGATTGCTTGGCGCAGCTATCGTCCAATGTGCCGCACCGGCTGGCAGCTGCTGATGTCAGGGGGGTTTGGTCCGTTTGCCCCTTTTCCCATTCCTTTTGCAGACTGTCAAAGTTAGCCAGGCCGGCTCTCCATTGTCAAGTCTTCTCTCAAGGCGGTCAAGGGGCGGCCCTTTTGAAAACGTAATGATTGGCATGATCATCGCTAGTATTGTCCTCGATCGCCCCTTTTGTGACGGAAGGTCAAAGATCGCAAGCCTGATGACCTCGCGCCATCCCTTTCACTGTTCACCAACTTTCCTTACCTCTCAGCCGTGCCTGCAAAACTAAAGCGCTGTAGGGCATGGCGAACAAACAGCAGAGCCGAGACCTTGGGAGCTGAATAGAGGCGGTTCGTCTGGTAGTTTGCCTTGCCACCCACGCAGAAACGGGACGAGTGACAAAGGATCTCAGACGGTTGGAGGCAGTTGGGGACACTGGTGAGTTGAATGTTTGTTCACAGCCACCCACGAGTGTTTCTCGATGACGACGACTGTCCCGGCTTTTACATGGCGACGGTGCACCCAAACCATCCGAAAATCCCTGAGCTCGGACGGCCCGAAACTAAACGCATCGTCCGAGACAGTTCGAAGATATTTGTCGGTCTCAAATTACTGTGTAGTTGATATGTGGCGGAGTTCAAGCTTGTCCAAACAAACTTGTCTCGACTCGCTGGAGTAAAGAGCGACAACCCCTCATCCTTGAAGTCTGAAGAAAGTAGGCTTGGGCTGTTTGGTGGACAACTTAACGATGCCCGCTTGCTTTAGTCCGATCACGTCCCGGCATGGAAGGCAGCACTCTTCAGCTACCGGCTGCTCTTGAATGCGGTCCTGTATTGTCCAGTATTACCCAAGATGTACTGTAACGTTTGCCTTGCAGGTTCTGCACCGTCGAGACGGTCAAACACAGCTGTTTTGTGTTGGGATGCCAAGGGCCCAAGACCCTTCTCATTGGAAGCACGTTGTGTCCTTGCATTATCTTATCGATCTGTGCCCCTCCGTCTGCAAGTCAGATATGGGTGCCGACTGCTGCATGATCTCGAGAGCACTTGCTACCTTGAGGTAAGGTACTCTGATCACCGGATCTTATGTTCTCGCTGAAAACAAAACAGCAGACCACCCTGACGTCAAGAATCGGCAGCTGTCCCTTCAGCGCCAGCCATGACTAATCCCGGTTTTCGGCCGGCACTGCTGGTCGTTGACATGCAAGAGGACTTTTGCCCTCCGGTAAGCCTCCAACACAAATACAAGTCAATGAGTCGATTTTGCATAATAAGTCACATGAGTCCAATTCATGGTCATTGTTACTCTCCTCATCGATACCTAAGTGGGCGAAAACTTCGTGCAACCGTTTTTTTGAAATCTGAAAGGATGCCCAGCTTGCCTTCCAAGGCAATGCTTACACCAGCACACCTCCCCCAGCTCAACACGAGCCACCCCATAAACTGACCACTGACCACTAACCACCTACCAGAACGGCGCACTCCCCGTCCCCGAAGGCCGCTCTATCATCCCGCTCATCAACACCCTCCTCTCTCTGCCGACCTTCCACCTCAAGATCGCCACCAAAGACTGGCACCCACCAGACCACATCTCGTTCGCGAGCAACCACACCAACACCACCACCCACACCACCAAACGTCCCTTCCTCGACACCACAACCATCACCAACCCGCACAACCCCTCCGAAACCTACACGACGCGCCTCTGGCCGGTGCACTGCGTCCAGTCCACGCCAGGCGCCTCCCTCGTCCCGGAGCTTGCGACCGCCCAGCTAACGCACACGATCGAAAAGGGCCAGGACCCGCGCGTGGAGATGTACAGCGCCTTCTACTCCCCTCTCAAGGACCCGCGCGTGTCCGACAGCGGGCTCGCGGCGCTGCTCCGCTCGCACGGCATCACGCACGTGTACGTGGTCGGGCTGGCGGCGGACTACTGCGTGCGCTGCACGGCCGAGGACGCCGTGGCTGAAGGGTTCGAGACGTACGTGGTTGAGGAAGGGACGAGGGCCGTGGATCCGGGGTTGTGGGGGGGGTGTAAGGCGGAGATGGTGGGGAAGGGGGTGAGGGTCGTGCGGGTGGATGAATATGAGGTGAGGCGGTTGTTTGATGAGCAGTGAGGAAAGCAGGCATGAATTGGTGAGGAAGGACGGCATTTTGGGATGGTAACCTCCTGACGCGCTTCTGGGTTCCACCAAGGGCCATCTATCGTTTGCGTGAGGGGGCTTACGGGTAGCTGAGCTTGCTTGGCCAATCCATCGCGCTCAGGCCCGCCACAGAATGATATGAGGCCGGGATTTACGGCGAGAGAAGGTTGTGAATGGGACGGAGGAACAGGGGTGAAGAAGGAGGCTTACAAAAGAAGTCAACCACTACTAGCGGTAATCGAGAATGGGAGCTGGGCCCCTTCAGCAGTCCAAAGGGCATGGTTTTCCAAGGGAGGTCGACAGGGTATGCAGCTCAATTACAGCGCCATAGCCAAGTTTGAGCGACTGGTGGTTGTGTTGCAGGCTGCAACTTGGAACTCGGCCTGTAACCTTGCCCCCTCAGTCTGTTGAAGTCGATACTGGAAGCCTGTAGAGCGCGGGGTTGAGTACAACGCTTGAGCCATGGTCACATAGGGCTTATGATGAAAGTACAAGAATTGCATAAAATCATGATCATGGATCACGCGAATCATTATTCTGTATACATTCAAGTACCCGCCACTCGCAAGCGAATACCCATATCCACTCCAAGCATGCGAGCTGGTTCCAACCACTACCCTACCGCCACCCCAGCTCTGGCACGACCGGTTTTACCTACCCACACGAATAACGCCGGCGGCAATCAGCTTTTGGATCTTGGTGCGGACGTTGGGGTTCTTCATGTGCTCCGCCAGCGCGGCAGGATCAGCCTGCGCCTGCTGCAGAATGGCCTGCATCACCGGGTCTTGCATGATGCCCATGATCTGGAGGAGCGTTAGTACTCGGTAAGAGGTCCAACGTTGTCAGTAAAACTCACCTCAGGGTCCCGCATCAGCCGCTCCCTTGTCTGCTCCTCCGTCTCGTTTTCCCGCGCCGCATACATGGCGGCAAACGCCTTCTGCTGCTGCTGCTCAATCTCCTTAGCGTTGGCGCCGTTGTGGTGCTCGGCGTCGACTTTCAGCGCCTCGGTGCAGGCGTCCACACACTTGCTGTACTCGCGCATGCCAAAGTAGGCCTGTGCCTTGCGGATGTAGGCACGGATGAACTTGGGATCCTTCTTGATGGCCATGTCGCAGTCGTCGAGGGCGCTCGGGAACTCGAGCAGCTTACTGAAGGCCGCTGCGCGGTTGCTGTAGCCGCGGGGGTCGTCGGGTGCGCGCTTGATCATCTCACTATAGGCGGCCACGGCGCCGGGCCAGTCCGACTCCTTAAACTTCTTGTTACCCTCCTCGCGCGCCTCCTCGGCCTTGACAGGATCAATATAGGCCTTGCGGGCGGCCTCAATCTTGTTACGCTCCGCGGTGCGAACCTTGTTGAGCACCTCCGGTGTCCGGTGCTCACGGAGCGACATGTTGTAGAAGTCGATTGCCTGGCCGAGGTCGCCCATCTTCTCGTATGCGGTGCCAATGCGTGCGTAAGACTTGGCAATGATCTTGAAGTCGGCATACAGACTTCGACCCTCCTCGACGGCTTTCGTGCACGTGTCGATGCAGGCCTGGTAATCGCCTTTTTCGAAATAGGCTGCGCCGAGGTTGTTGAGATAGGTGATGTCCTTGTGGAGGTCCCAGGCGGCTTGGTAGTGCTTGATGGCCCCATCGAAGTTTCGCTTCTTGTAGTTCTCGGTACCCAGGGCTTTCTCCTTGTCGGCAGCCTCCTTCGCCTTCTTCTTCTCCTTGGCCTCGTCATCAAGCTCCTCCGGTTCCGGCTCAGGTTCAGGGGCCTTCTTTGGCGGCTCCGCCCTCCTAGTGGGTGCGTCCTGCATCTTGACGTCCTCCTCAGCCTCCGCCCGCGAGCCGGAGGCACCGGGCACTTCACCTGGGGCATCGCGCATCTCCATGTCAACGCCCATCAGCACGCCAAGGACCTGAATCATCCGGGGATCACTGAAGAGGTCCTGCATGTTGTTCGGGTTCTGCTTGATTGCTTGCAGTTTAGCCATAAACGCCGGGTCGGCGAGCAAGGCGCTCGTCTTGGGGTTGCTGGCGAGCTTCTGGATGAGGTTGGGGTCGTTGAACATCTTGCCGAGGCCGGCAGTTGGGTCGAAGGCGCCGCCTTGCGGCACGGTTAGCTATTAGGCGTTGATACGTTCAGGGTAAATGACAGAACTCACCAGCACCTCCGGCTTCTTGCTCCATGGCCCTCTTGACGGATGCCAGGTCATTCTTCATGCCGGCATTGTTTGGGTCGATCTTCAATCCCTGCTCGTACGCATCGTGCGCCCCCAGCAGATCACCCTTCCCGTACAGCGCAGTCCCCTTCCGGCCCCAACCCTTGGGCCAATCCGGCTTCAGCTCTGTGGTCTTCTCGGCATCCTTCAGGGCGTTGTCCCACTCCTTCTTCGAGGCGTATGCGGCTGACCGGTTGCTGTAAAGAATGTGGTTGGTGGGGTCGAGAGCGATTGCCTGGGTGAACTTGTCGCTGTGTATTCCCGTAGGTCAACTTCAATCCATCCTGGGGTCCGGGTCGTTTGCAAAGGAACCACAACCAACTTACATGGCTTCATCGAAGTTCTTGGCGGCAATGGCCTTGTTGCCCAGAGCTTTGAGCTCCTCCGCGGTTGACATTGTGAACTGCTGGCTGGAGAATAGAAAGACGGAGTAGATACTGTTATCTCTTTTGCTATGGGATTGGGAAAACTCGGTTCGATTGAAGAAAACGCCAGGTTGTCGTCCCTGGAGGATTTCAACAACTCAAGGCGGCAGCCGCAAGGCTCATAGAAAGCTCTGGACCTTCGACGTCTTTCGATGGAGGTCCAAGCTGGTGATTGGCTAGAAGCGCTAGAGTTCCCCGCAATTTCCGGCGACGGTTCCTGGTAGGTGACTTGGCAGAAGTACCCCTCAACACCAGATCCTGCATCATCAACCTCGCTGGTCCACAGAGGTACAATTCCACCCTGGTTTGTTTGTTAGCGCGGAACCCTAGCTATTTACACTTCGTCTCTGCGTATTCCTCTTTTTACCTCTTCCTCTTTGCCTTTGTCTTCCTCTTCCTCTTCCCAATTCTCTTGTTTTCTGGTCTTCATCTTCTCTACAATCTTGTATCTTCCTTTCTTGTTTCTTACTTATAATCATTTGTCATTCATGTCCACTGCCTGCCATGTGCCAACTAGCACTTCACCAGTGTCATCACAGCCCGACTTTGCACCCACAGACCAGACGCCTTCGCGAATGCATGCCATGTCTGTCCAAAACCGCCGGAAACTGCTAAGTGCCAACAGGCAGACCTGGGAGAGTTATCAGCTCTCACGGGCTTCTTCAGCAGCATCTCACTCAGATATCCAGTGTCAAGCTGACATGTGTGTTACTTCAGGGTTGATTGTAAGCCCATACGACAAGGGTCTGGAACTTTTGGGACATGTAACGCAATTCTGCTTGCTGTGATCCGGCATTGATTGTTGTATGACGATTCCATACTGTACCCAAAGAGTCCAGCTCGTACTTTAGTGGTCTTAGTGCATCATTGCATCAGGCACTGCATATCCTCAATGCATATATGTTCTTAGAAGTTACTCATGACCTGTCGGACAATAGCCACCGATGCCCTTGACCCTTTTTGGTGCGCTTTCCACCACCCTTTCTAGGTCTGGGATCGGTCAAGTTGATACGTGCATTGCTTTGATTAACTCATTACCTAGGTAGTCGGTGTGAGACACGAAGGGTCCGAATTTACTCGGGATTTTACCTTCGGACATGTCAGTTCACGACAGTGCACTTTGTCACGGGTGATCCAACCTTCCCCAGAGATGACGATTTCATGCCGACATGGTTTCGGCTTGTGCGTTATTGGTCTGAGTGCAGTACGGACTGCACGCATACATTGTAGGTTCTTACTATATAACTTAACTAGGTATTTTGAAATGTCCATAGCGTTAACGTTAACTATAAAGCTCATGACCCGGCAAAATACGAATCACTCCGACTCATTTTCCGTACACTTTCCGCCATCCCTAGGCTTCTGTGTTTTCACCAGTACATGAAGCTCATCTCTACCCTTTCAGCTCTCCTTGCCACCTTGCCGCTGGAACTAGTTCCCAGTGTTTCGCCTCGCTTGCCTAAATTACGGTACCTTGATTTTAGTCGCTCTCCCGCACCTCGCCACAGGATAAACTTGGCAATGGACCACAACATGGAAGGTCTCGATCCTTGGGAGGCGCTTCTTGTTAACCTCTTGGTTGGTGGTGGTCGGCTTGGTGCCACCATTCTTGGTTATCAACATTCCACCGGAACCTGAAAGCGGCCTAATCTGCATCAACTACTTCGTGGTGGGCGCTCTCTCATGGGTGACGGTTCTCCTTGGCGTCCCGCTCGCCTACCTATGTGTGCGGGATCCAGATTTCCGAGAGAGCAACCCGGTGCATGCTTGGGTGCCGCCGGTCGCCAAGGTGACGGCATGAAGCCGCAGCAATAATCCCGTCGCCGGCAGCTCGCTAAGGTGGTGTCCGCGGCGAAGACGTCGGGCAAACTAACACGAGTTATCGACATGTCTGGTCTGCTAAGTCAAATCCTTGTGCATGATGTTGTCGCAGGTATTATCACACGTCCGAGGGATAGTTGGGCTAATAGGATAGGATCTGGCTCAGGTCACGGTCAACCGGGCTTAGATGTGCGTTGGGTAAAGGAAGACTGAGGCTGTCAGCAGCGGCAAGCGTGGAAGTCATAACCATGCGCGATAGCATTTTTCAACTATCTAGGTAAATCTCAGTCAACCAGACCCTCTTTAAAACTTCACTGGCGAGACTAGTATAGAGATAGCCAATTGGACGTGAGTCATGCCGCCTACGGAGCTTTGGAGGAGAAATGTGGCTGTGCTCAAGGCAGGCCAGACGGTCCAGACCGAATCCCATAACCACCTCCAAAACAAACACCTCCATCTCTTCCTCATCCACATGATTCCTAAAGCACCAACAGCATACTGATCTGCTCCCCAGAATTCTTCCCCCCTCTCACCTTTCATACCTTACCCACTAGGACCACCACTGGCACCCACCACGCCTAGCATGGCTCCCCAATTCTACCACCTCCCATCCTCCCCCTCCCTCCAAGTCCTCGACCGCTTCTCCCTCCTGCCCGAATCCCTCGCCCACGACCTCGAAGACCCTTCCTCCGGCCTCATCCCCTTCTGGCCCCTTCTCACCCACGTCCTCTCCCCACTAGAATCGGATAATGACTCGGATGAAGTCAAACCCACCACCTTCGCCGCCCTCACCGCCCTCCTCGACACCATCTCGGCCACGCTGCGCGGCACGTCCCACCCGGCGGGGGATTATGTCCTGCTGAGGGAGGCTATTACGGCCCACTTTGGCGACGAGCCGCATTTCTTTACCGATGTCTGGCCGCGGGTGGTGGAGCTCGCCCTCGAGATGCCGCGTCTGTTTCCTAGCGGCCAGCTGTCTATCCTGGGACGTGCTACTGGCAGTGGTGCGGCAGGGGAGAAGCAAGACGAACAAGAGGTGCTGCTGTCGCGGCGGCAGGCGGCGTGCTTGGTGGTGCATATGTTTCTGAGGACGGTGGCTGCGCCGGATTGGAAGGAGGAAGGAGAGGGGCTGCATGATTTTGGAGTGTGGTATGGGAGTGAGGGCCAGAGGCAGGTTAGTGCCGCGCGGGCGTATTTGGGCGCCTTGATGCGGTATTTGGGGGAGGTGGTTTGTCGGGATGCTGAGGAGGGGGATGACGACGGGTGGATGGTGAGGTATACCCTGCGGACGGTGGAAGAAAGCGAGTTTCAAGGGGTTTTGGGGGGAAGGGGATGTCGCCTAGTGGAGGTGGAGGTGCAAGTGATTGAGAGGTATGATCTATCGCCGGCGAGTTTGGGGGTACCCGGTGGTGCCGCAGTGGTGTCGGCGAACAGGTACATTGGGTTTGGACAGTCAGCTACGCAGGAGGAGGTGTATGTGGGTTCGTCGCCCGAGGCCTGTCCGGCTGTCTTGATCACCCCTCCGTTGAAGGATGACCAGGTTTTGGTGGTCAGGGGCGCGCAGGCCATGGTCAACATCGCTGGCCAGCGTCGCGAGATCCGGGTCGACGAGATGCCTCCCCCTGACGGTGGGGTGAAGGCATGGCAGGAGAGGACAATGCTGTTCATGGACGCACTCGAGCTAGATATGATTGAGGCGGGAACCTCGCTTCCTGACCTTCGTCCTGAGAACATGAATCGGGAAATTCGGAAGGCGTATACGGCGTTCTCGTCGGGAGGATTTGGCGAGGTTCGCACCGGTCCCTGGGGTTGTGGAGCATTCGGTGGTGATCCAGGAGTCAAGATGTTTCTGCTCTGGATTGCCGCGTCACTTGCTGCTACGAAACTTGTCATAGTCTGCGATGCATCTGACCAGAAGTTTGCTGGGGATTTCTCCAGCCTTGTGAGCAAGGCAAAAGGTGCGATCTCGGACACAGTCGGTCTTCGCAAACTGCTGGATCAGGCACCAAAGGCTTTGGCCAGGGGTCAGATTCTATCTTGGATTCTGAGCAACTGGAACACTGCCAAGATACTTTGTAGACAAGGTGGCTTATAGGAGAAAGCTACTGCGAATGGGCAAGGCGTTTCACACAATTGAGGCAGAGGTACGCCGTCAGAACCGTAAGCGAAGCGTCTGCGACTTGATTGCCCCGTTGATTTTAAAGCAAACTAGCTGCCCTGGTCTCAGATGCTGTCCCCAATGTACGCGAGGTTCTGGATACTGGCAAGCCCGTACTGAGCAAAGTCATTCGTGCTCAACCAAGCAGCCTCATCAACAGGGTGAACCACAGCACTGCCCTCGATGCGCTGCGCCGTGAATGCCTGAGTGTCCTTCAGACCATCGTTGCGGTAGTTCGTCCAGGCCAGCGTAGCGACAGTCGCGTTTTTCTGCGTAGCAGCATAGTAGGCCGAGAGACGCGAGTGCCCCTGCTTGAGGCTGACGCCGCTGAACGCCTTGCCATACCGCGCGGTCTGCTCGGCGGCGGTCGCGAGGTAGTAGTAGGTGTAGTCCAACCAAGCCACCTTGAAGCCCTCGGGCGCCTCGTCGCCCCAGTACTCGAGAAGTTCCGAGATGACTTCAGGCATGCCGAAAACGGCGTTGAGGTGAGAGATTGCCACGACCCCCTTGTTCTCCGGGTCGGTGGGTGGAGGCAGAAGCGTGCCGTTCTCGATAAGGTAGGAGCCTGAGCCGGTTACGAATCCGTTCTTGAGCTTCGCAATCCCGGTAGCAGTGCCGGTGAGCTTCTTCTTTGCCTCTTCCCAGCGGGAGCCGCGGCGTTCCCATTCAATAAGCCATCCCGCCGCCAACGCAGCCCAGTCTGTTCCCAAGCCAAAAGTGACAGGAGCACCGGGGGAAGGCTTCCAACCGTCCGTCCGGACCTTTCTCTGCGGGTCAAGGACTCCGTAAGTCCTGTCCGCATCCAGTGTATGCTCGAGGAGCTCGCCCGTCCGCTCGTCACCGCCCGAGAGGTAGAAGAAATACTTCCGATATTGGGGCTGTGAAATGCGAGCTTGCTTGGCGCTGTCAGCAAAGTGCAGCACGCCGTGCCTCGTCCCGAGCCCTTTCCAGTCGCCGATATGATACGTGTCGACTTCTCCCGTGTGCCGCGTCATGGCTTCGGCGAAACGGAAGACGTCGGCGCGGCCAGTGCGGAGGAAGTACTGCCAGATGAAGAGGTCGGGGGACAGCTCGCTATTATCCCAAGCATAGCCGCCAATGTCGTAGCGCCACTGGTGCCTGTCCGTGTCGTAGGTGTGCATGACGTCGCCGTAGTCAAGGAAGCCGTACCAACGGCGGGCCTCGACCTCCTGCTGGTAGTGCTTCACGAGGAAGTCGAGGTTGCTCTCAATCTTGGCTTTGGCAGGGGTGGAGGTGTCTGGGAGTCCCCAGTACGATCCGACAGCCTTGGTCTCCAGGATGTACTCGGGCTTCGCAACAAGCACAGGGGGTTCCTGAGCGTGGGCGTTCAACGCGGCCAGCGTGTCGCTGGACGGGGTGCTCTCGAAAGCGAACAGGAAGACTTCGTTGGTCCGAGCAATGCCGTACGGACTGTCAAACTTGGGCTCGTAATCCTCGTACGTGATCTCGAGAGCATCGAGCTGCTTCGCGTACGTATCCTGACCCAGGCCGTCGTGATAACCACGGAGGTCAAGAGGAGCTGCTTCCGGGCTGTACAACCAGAGTGTGATTTGACCTTCGTCGGATCCGGCGTTGGCGATGTCGAGACCGGTGGGGTAGCGCTTCCAGAAATCTCGCAGAGCGACAGCAAGTCCACCCTGAGTTGCACCGCCCAGGTACGCGAGACCACCGGAGCGGGTGCCGCCGGGGACGTTGACCCAGCTATGGCCCGCCTTGGTTCTCTTCTTGAGGGTGAAACCATCGGGAGACAGCTGGCTCAGGCTGTAGTCGTTCCAGACGGGGATCCACTGGAGACGAGCGGTGACTCTCGTGTCCCAGGTCGACTCGGCGGGAAGAGGCTTGCCCTCCACCTGAGCAGCTCTGACGGCCGCGCCAGGGTCACGGCGGAGACCGGTGATGCCCTTGACGGCTTCGTTCAAGAATCCACCGTCCGTGCCGGCCAGGCGAACGTGGCGGTTGTACAGCTGCTCTCCCTTGAGTGGGACTTGGAATTGAATCCCTAGACCGGAGATGAAGTCCTTGTCCTGCTGGCCGTCGAAAGTGATGCTATGCACCACCCTGATGGCCTCTGAGTTGGCGTACAGATAGAAGCGCACAACGAATGGCAGCCAGTCCTCGTGATCAGAGCCCTCGGTGGTGGTGTGCTTGCCGCGGACAGTAACGAGGGCGCGGACCGAGTTCTCCTTGCTGACACTCACTTCTTCGATGTTGCTCTCAAAGTTGGAACGGTCAATGGCAGTGTCTGTGCGGTCTTCGGCAGTGCCCGGAATATCGGTCTGGCTATACAGCACCAATCGGCCGTCCTTTCCCACAGTCTTCCCCCCAGCAGTCTTGATGGAGCTGACGATGTGATGGCCCTCCTTAGGAAATGAAACGGTGATCTTGCCAGTGTCGACGGTGATTTCCTTATGGCCTTGATTCACCGACAACTTGGTCGTTTGTTGGCGCTTGGACTTGCCCTTGGCGACAGGCGTGGCCTGAATGGTGTACTCGGTGGCGACGTTGTCGGTCTTGGGGATCGCGTGCGCTGACCACTTGATGGAGCCGTCGCGCCAGTATCCGGTAACCCATGACTGAAGTGGCGTCTGCCCGTCCGAGAGTTGGAAGTCGACCTCGTCAGGTTGGTATTGTCCTTGAGGCCAGGGCAAGCCAAACGTAGTACCAAGGTTTTGAGCGGGAGAGCCGCCAATCCAGCTAATCTTGACGCTACTGGAGGATGCGTTGGAACGAGCGGCAGCACCTGCGAGGACACCCAGGAGGGCAAGGAGACGAGTGACTCGCGCCATGTCGAGGCGCGGAATCGACAAGATTTGGAATCGAGTTGCCTACGCCAAGCGGATTGCTATCTGCACATGTGTGAGAGGACCGCCGATCTGGCTATAACAGGATACGCAGATTCATAACGTAGCCGAGGCTTACCGTCTCGGTGTGACGATGATGCGAGCTGCGGATCCCGGGCATCGCGCAACGCTTGTTCAATCTGGCGTCCATCTCAACCCTGGTACCGATTCGCAACGTTGAGCCTTGGAGATTGGCGGATCGCAGAAGGAACGATAAAAGCTTCTGGAGCTCGGTCAAACTCGCAGCGAACGCCATCGCTGGGCATCACAGCGCCATTCGGGGATCCCCCGTTTAGAGCAAGCCTCCCCCACAACAAGAGCACACAACAAGAAGGCGCTAATCATTGTAGCCGCTCCTTGGGTAGTTCCGTTCCGTTGTGGGGAGGGGCTAGTGGAGATGAGGTGTGATTCGGGGCAATTTTGTTCGGACAAAGTCGAGATCGGTAAACAGGAATGAGGGGAATTGCAGGACAGTGATTTCTCCATTGGCACGGACGAAGGCGCGCGGAAGAGTAACACCCGAGGCGAGCAGAGCGGCGGGCAGTCTTGGCAGTTGTGCCTCTGCACTATGCACATAGTCAATCCGCACCCGAGATGTCAGGCACTTTCCTGATTGCCAGTGTCTGCTGCTGAGCTCCAGACTCGTCAGGAGAAATACCTAACATGTACCTCGTTGGCCTCGGTGCTGTGGAGGTTCTGGGCGGCTAAGGCCGAGACGGTCGTAGTTGGGAGGAGGTAGTAGAGAGGTTGATGACCTGCATGTAATTGCAAGAGAATATGAGTTGATTAGCGATGACCCGAAGAAGGCATCATGGTCAACCTTGAGGGGCCACTCACCCTTCGCCTAGGGGCGCGGTCCAAAACGGTAATATCCACCACGTCGACTATATTCGCCGAGTCTGGGCCAATGCTCATTCTCTTGACATGGACTGTGACATGCGGAAAAGGCGCAGCATCCAGCCTCCAAGTGTCCTCCGGGAGCGCCATGCGACGCTCAAATAGCGATTTGAATCTTTCGGGCTCCAAAATGGATTTATGCAGCCAATGAAAGCCGTCCATAGAAACCATGTCCCCGGTCTTTGGCTCATCGATCCGCAAAGGCACAAGGGATACCGAGACGGGCCCGAAGTCGACGCTGGAAATACCCTGTTCGGTTGGGAGCCGAGAAAACACGATGCCGAAGCCCAGCATCTTATCGGATTTTGTAAGCCGATAGTAGGCGCCCCAAATCCTCCCCATGGGGCCACTCTGCGGTGCTGCGACTATAGCCTCGCCGGTGATGTTCATTAGATCCATGTGATAGTTGTCTAGCTCGTCTTCGAACCACCACGTATCCCCCCAGCGTCGGATCAGGAAGTCCCCCGGTTGTAGATTCTGATGTTTCTGAGGCTCAATCTGAAGACTCTCCCTTATACGGATCAGGCCAACCAGGTCGTAGACATTGTCGAAGAGCATAAGCTCGTCTGTTCGACCGTAGCTGGAGTAGCCCCAGGGCTGGAGGGGCAAGACAATCGAAGGCGCCCGAGCCGTCCCGTATTGGCAGAGCAAAACTGCAAACCAGAGGGGTCGGAGTTGTGTGAGTTGCAGTTGTCGCCAGTGGAACACGGACAATCCCCTTGTAGGAAGGACTGGAAGTTCGATGTTGACGCTCGTGCCAGTCGTGGTCGGATAGAGCACTGGAGTCGAGGAGACCTGCATGAAGGGATTGTAAAAGCCGCCGGTGCCTCTCCAGGGCGAGAAGTCGGCTGAATGCAGGAAGTCTTTGGGGGAATCGGCAAAGAGGCCGCGGAGAGTCCTGGATGCCGCCGCTGCATCCCAAGAAATGGGCTCGCGTCCCTCGAGCTGCGAGACGTCAGTGACTTGTATCGCCGGCTGTTCCACAAGCCTGCCCCATGCGAAGAGCGTGTGGTCGGTGGGATTGGTCTTCATGATCTCTTCCTGCAACCTGCGGAAAGCCTTTCTGCCCTCGCCGTAGAGCAGGGGCATGTTGACGTCGAACAGTCCGAGAAGACAGTAGGCAATGTCTTCGGTTCTGGTCGTCTCTCGTCGGGCAGCCCAATACATCCTCTTGGCCACGCTGGCTTCCTCGAGGGGAGCAAGGCCGCAGAGGTACTTGACCTCAATCCCCGTAATCTTGCTCAGGCTCCCGCATATGTCGGTCCGGGTGCCGATCCGCTTCCAGCCGTGGGCGTACAGTTCCATTTCCGGCGGCGCGAGAAGCTCCTGCAAGGTCCATCCGCGGGTAAACCAACGAGCCCTGGCGAGGGCGACGTCTATCTTCACGTTGGCCGGGTCCGCCTCGTAAACATCGGCTAGGTATGCGTAGCACACGGCCGACTGCCTGTACCAGCGGAACATGGAGTTAATGGCCTCCGAGAGCTCAGCGCTGCTCCTTTTGTCGATGCAGCAACTGCCTCAGAGATCAATGATGGTCAGCAGCCTGAGGTGGTCATCAAAACCCGAATTGATCGAAACTTGGCACGTACGTGTCAACCCAAGCCCAGTCCAACCCGTCGGCTGATGCTTGCAAGCAGCAGTAGTCGATCTTTGCGTACCCCTTCTTGGCCATAAGTGTTTCCTTTGGTAAACATTGGTACTCCTCAAACGAGACCTCCTCCAATCCCCAGGTGTGCGAAAGGATGGCATAGCGCTGAACATCGGTGTCGGACAGAAAGTCGTTGATTTTCCTGGTGTGTACGTTGATGAGCCGCATAGTTGCTGCTGTTCATGGCAAATCAGAAAATACCAGCCAAGATGGATGGTTAGCATTAAGTTAGCAGATATTTCAATAAGAAAGAGTCCCAGGCTATTTTCCGATTTTTCAGGCGAAAGTTGAGCGAACAGCGGGGGGAGGAATTTTGGGTGCCAAGCGCACCATTATAGTTGCGCTTAGCGCAACTTAACCTGGAAGGAACGTGGAACTGAAATTCGCCAGGTCGTATTCTGGGAGCGTCACAGGCTCTCAACTGGGGACATGGAGACCAGGTAGGTCAGGTGTTTAGCCCAAGCCCGTCTAAAGATGTGAAGCGAGGAAAGCCGAGGCGACAGCCATACCGTTGCCTCGCTAGAGAGGCGCTTGCTCCTCGCTGATATCGTCTTTGCATTTGGCATGAGTCAGGGGAAGATCATGGATAGCCACCATTGGACCAGGCAGCCCGAGGAGAAGACGCTCCTCATGTGGGACAGAGGCCACTCAATGTGTACTTTACCCCTGTAATAGCAGAGTAAAAAGGTCGCTGAAAGTGCGACAGGTTGAACTAAACAAAGCCTCGCCTCCCGCCAACAACCTCCGCTACAGCCAAACAACTCCATACCCGCCCTTGTTCCTCCTCCACCATCCCCTTCCACCGACTCGCCAAGTCCGCTCCCATGTCGTCTCACAACTTAAGCCGCGCAGAGAGCCGGGCAATCCTCAACCTCGGACAGATCCTTGTACACAGTCGAAGTGATGGTGCTGGTAGTCCCAGTTGCCGTCGTCGCCTTGCTGATCGAAGGGGGACTGGTCACTGTCGCCTGCGCGGAAGTGTCAGACTTGGAGCTGGGCACCGCGACGGTCGTCTTGGAGGTGGTGGCGGACTCAGAGCTAGTGGCCACAACAGTAGTACTTGAAGAAGCGGCGGGCGTCGAGGTCGAAGACAGCAGGGAGCAGGAAGGAGACTCGGTGACGGTGCTGGTAACAGTCTCGGTCACGGTGGTGGCTGTGCAAGTCGCGGCAGCGCTGCTGGTGGGGGGGGGCTGGACCGGACCCGAGCCCGAGCAGACGCCATCCTCAACGAAAAACTTTGAGGTCTGAGCATGGATCACATAGACGTTGGTGCCGTTGATGGCATTGCTATAAGCGGAGTCAGCATCTCGTCAGTGGGCGGTTCTCCGCCGAGGGTCCCCAGGGGTATTGCACTTACAACTGGAAGCCCCACGATGTGTTGACATCGCAAGGGACAGTCACCTCGTGCTCGCCCTCGGTGGTCTGCACATCGGAAGCCACCTGGGTGTAGAAGGGAGGCCAGTCAACAAAGTTGACGAGGAAGAGGCTGAAAGTGGTGGGGTCAGTGTCGACACTGCTCCACTTGACGCTGTATGTCTCCCCCTTTTTCAGAGTGGAGTTGGCGACGGGCTCAAGGAATTGAATGGCAGAAACAAGAGGCGCCGCAAGGGCGAAAAGAGACAAGACACGCATTTTGCTGAGGTTGCGGCGGCGGACAGATAAAGGAGTGACTGCTGCCAAGCTTGCTGGTAACGACTGTGAAGGTTGAGTAACGAATGAGTGAGATGTTGAGGAAAGGTGATCACAACCGCGATGACGGATCCTGGGGACTTTTTGTCACTGAACACGAAGGATTGGGGTGGCCCCACAGCTCGCCAAGGGTCTACATGTCAGGGGTCTGATACGACACTCCAGAAATGAGAATGATCTCCCCTTGCACCAACTTTATCCTGCAATTGGTTGTGCTTGGTCGCTTAAGTTAAGGGCCCAGCCTTTCGTTTTCAGCTCGTGACTGGAGCTTCACCTGGACTGAGCAACTGGAAGGCATGCGGCGCGTCTGACTCGGAGGAGACGCGAATACGGAGTATTGCCCAATGCATCATGTTTTCGAGCTCCCCTACGCCTGGCCCTGATGCTGCCCAGGTGATCTGCCGTCTGCCGATAAGCGAGTTGATTGTCGATACCTTACTGTGTATGGAAGCAGCGAATCAAGGTAACGTGATGGACTTTCAGTCATGCGGTTCGGCAGGTGGGTTAGTTGGATTATCCCGGGGAGCCGTGTAAGCTTGAAGCTGTTTCAACATCGGGTCTGCTTGCAAACCTGCACTGTAGCACTCTGGTCTCCTTGTTTGACACGCTAGCAAGCTGCCGAACAAGAATTTCGTTGGCGGTGATATTAATGTAGTTCTGGCCCTCAAATCCGGATTCCTGCTAGTGCCAGTTGAAATCGATGTAGGCCCCAACCGAAGTTCGTCGCCAACATGGTCGCCGTACTCCATGTTGAGATAGAATCCTCCTTCTGAATCAACTCCCTTGGGAGGGAGAGGTAGCCGCCCACTCAAAAGTTTGCTAACCGCGCGTCAACATTAAGGTAGTCACGTCAAACTTCAAGTTGACTTCCCGTGGCCCGAACACCACTAAAAGTAAGAAGATAAGCTAAAGAGAATGGAGGAGAAGAGAAGAAATGAAGGAACAGCGAAGGCGAGAAGGGAAAAAATGCAAGAGCAAATGAGAAAGGAGAGACCGAGAGTGAGAAGCGAAGAAGAAAATAAAAATAGAAAAGAAGAAAAGAAGAAAAGAGAGGAGAAGAACAAACCAAATGAAAGTAATTGAATACGTTAACCAGTTAAGTTGACGTAACGTTAAGTTAGTTAACTAAATGTACGGATACAAAAGAACAATAACGCACGTGGTTCACCAGAGTGGCGCATCCTATTGAGTGGCGCACTTTTCCAGATCTCACCACTCTAAACTGTCGAAAGTGTACCAAAACCGATGAAATCAATTGCAATCACTCGGATTCGCTTGAACTATCTATTTCCCCAGCCTCCGAGCATATCCTTGCGTTATGGCCAGTCTTACGGCAGATAACGTTACCACAGAACCGTAAACCCGTCCGACGCCTCTTTAATAGACCTTCATTTTCCTCCTTAACGCGCCCTTCCTCTTCCGCCATACCCTTATCTGCCGTTTATTATTATTCCTACGCCGCTGTGCCCTAGGGCGTGCCGGACCTTCAACAACTTACTGTACAGGAAAACCGCGCCCTCGTGGGCCGGGTGAAAAACCCATATCGACATCTGCCGTTTATTCCCTAGCTTAGCTTCCATTAATAGCCCGCTATCCTGGAGACGCGTCCGTTTGGCTCTGCGGCGCTTGGAGAGTGCTTCGTTAGCCTCCTGAAGTGTCGTACTTCGGCCTCCAAAAGGGTGCCCGATGGGAAACCGCTTGCATTCCCTTCGAAAGCTAGTTAAATAGCGGCTAAAATCGGAGTTGGAGAGCTTCCCTGGTGTCTCGCATCTGATCTTTGATAAGGGTAGACTGTGAAAGGGCCTCGTTGCTAGTTTGGGCCGTCTTGGAGGTCCATTAGGGGATCTATGAGGTATCGGTGTCCGCAATCTGATATCCAGCTTCGAAAGTAAGGCCTGTGGGTCGTAGAGGATAAATTCAGACCTTCGAAAACCCCTAAGAGCGTTTTCTCAGGTAAAAGTCAGGTAGAAGGTGTCGGAACGAAGCCGCCTTGATGGCTGCAATCAACGGACCTCGGTGGTTGATTGGTGCCAGCACAGTACGATAGCCATAGTGGTCTGCGAGCGAGACAAGCGGGATGGTCATGAAAAAGTCTATTCATAACACTTAACATGATCATCCTGTGTCCACGAACCAAGGTTGTGCATACCGCCGGCAGCCTACAGGGTCTCCATGGCGCCATGGATGCGACCCAACCGCCGCTGCACCTGGTCAACCTTGCACAGCTCTTCCGGGACGGACCTGTCCGGACGCAGCGCCGATGGATCGTGGGCAGCATAATGCTCGCGGCACAGCCGGCTCTCGACGACACGGCTCACGGGCAGTTGATACTGGCTCCTAGGCGAGATTGACGAGTCCGACGGGCACGAGAAGCGGCCGGATGGCCGGGGGGGGCGCCAACATGCCGGCGCGCCTCGTGCTCTTGGAATGCAAAGACCGACAAAAGGAGCCAGTCACTCTTCGTTGTCGAGTGTGGGGGGGCAGTGGTCCGTCACGAAAGTTTGAACAGAGGAGAATTGAATGCAACCGTGCCAACTACACCCACGATGCCCTACTGCGAAGCTGTCTTTTCGGAAGGCGATGACCACCTCGATTTCAAAGACTTCTTTTTCACTTCCACGTCAAACTCTTTGCTTTGTATTCATTATTACTGACCTCCTACAACGCCCTTGCACCCGACTTGGTCCCGAAAAATTGTGTCACGTTTGTCGCCGTCTCGGCATCATAGTCCAGTCCCCGCCTCCCGAGGCAATCGAAGCGAGAGGAGCCGAGAAAGAAGGCCGCGCGGCTGATTTGAGGAGGAGCTCGCCGCACTCCGAGGCCAAGGAATTAGCCCCCAAGCCCCGCGCAAACAGCTGGGAACCCATGTGCCTCGGACTAAGGTGGTCGTAGAGCCCGCGCCCAGCCACGACGGCTCCACCACCTTTGCCGCCTACTCCTTGCCGGTGCCTCTGCTGCCAGCCGACCCGGACAGCGAGGACGGCTATAGCAACGGCCCGCCTACCACAGAACCAAAGAAGCACCGCCCTATATTCGGAATTCGCATCTACGACATGGCGTCGGATGCTACGGTTGAGCGTGCTGCCGTTCTTGCGCGGCGCGTCTCGGAGCTGACGCGCGATGATCGTATGTGAGGCGAGGGCTTCGAAGAAGACCGTATCGAGGTTGTGGCTCTGCCGCTGCCCGCGTCTACCACGGCGGACGATTGAGCGGCGAGGTGCATCGCCCACAACGAGGCCGAGCGCCAAGTGCGGCTGCCAATGCCCGACGCGGCCGTCGCAGCCTCTTGGTATATCGCCGAGGACTTGTTTGGGGTGGCGTGCCGAAAGGGTCCTTTGGATCTTCTATGACCTGAAAGACTCGTGGGAGCAAGCGCTTGAAGGTACCACTGATGTCGGCGGCGAGGCTCTCTATGGGCGGTTCCTCAGAGTCCGCTACGACAGGACCCGGGACGAGTCTGACTCGGAGGATGAGGACAAGCCAAGGCGCGAGTTCTTTGTGGTGCAATGCCGCTTGGAGCAATTGGGCTCCAAGCTTTCCGACTTCCGAGGGTTCAGGGGCAATGTACACAGGTTCTACCAGACTCATTTTATTCCGGACCGCGTGTTGGACAAGGAATTGGCTCCGGCGAGAGCTCCCGCGGCTGGTGTGGAAGTGCCGAGACCAGTAGTCACTCCTTATTACGAGCGAGAAAACTGGTAGACTGAAACATGGACACGTGGTCCCACTGTCAGACTTCCGTCACCCTGCCTCCCTCCTCAGTCATCAAATCCGGCAATAGGAGAAACAGTGACGCTTGAATTAATATAGCTGGTCGGGATGGGCGTCATGGAGAGGGTAAATATGGTGCTATAATGATTAGCAGGTTGGCAAATAAGACGGCATCGTGGGAGGCAGGGGCAGAATAGCTTACTCAACCGATGTCGTTGTCGCGTTGGCACTCGAACTGGCGTGCGGGTTGACCCACGAGCCTCTGGGCGGCGACAGACACACTGTGTAGCCTGCCGGCTGGCGGTCCAGATTTGCGCAGTCCGCCCTGAGATTGTTTGCCATCAGGAGGCGTGTGGTGCTGATGCGCTGGCTGAGCGAGACCGAGCTGCATGTGTCGCCATCCCGGATAGTATACGGCTTGCCCTGGCAAGACGCAGCTGCCGTGCTGCTGATGGTTGTCCGGGAGGATGTTGCTGTGCCGGTCTTGCTAGTACTAGTACTCGACATAGAAATGACCCATTGGGTAGCCGCTCCTGGTGACGTGATGCTGACGGTTGTCCTACAAACCGCCATCAGGCTCGTAAAGCCTCTACCCACCTCGGCGCTGGAAGCAAGTGGCATCTCCAGCTGAGTCTTGATTATAGAGATAGCGCAGGCGTTGCGCATGAGATTGGGGACGGCTGGCGCCGTGCTCAGCTGGTTACTGGGGTCGATGCCAGCAAGCTTCCGCAGCAGCGAGTTGCATCGCTGGCCAGCACTGCGCGTCTGGTCAGCGCGTCCGGGTAATATACAACCACCGTGCCAAGACTCACTTGTCGGTCATGCGCACCATCTTGTGCTTCTCCAAGACCATCTCAGCGTTATAGGCGGCGAGATAGATGAGGCCGTCCCCGGCAGTGTACCGGCTGCTGCCGCAGGCAGAGTGAATGCGGCTAACGTAGGACGGCAGCGATTCTGCGCAGGTTGCCGTGCATAGCGCGGTCAGGGTACGCAGGGCGGTCAACTAGGCGGATTTTACGGCGGCCATGATTGGCCTAGGGTTCTCCGTCCTTCCCAAGTTCGGGTCTATCTACATAATTCTTCCGCCTAAGAGTATAGAAGTAAAGCAGTCGATTACGGTGCACCGGCCACACAAATCGCGAATTGACGAATATCGGCTGCTCATCCTTGCGCGGAAGCTGAAGAGGATGTAATGGATAGGGGGAGAAGACTTTCGTGGTTACTTGAGCTGCAGTCTTGATGCCGACTGTCACCAGTTCCTATTTGGATCTCGAGCTATCTTGCCCATTTGGCCTAGGGGATTTCTAGCCTGACTGCTGTCCACGATAGTTTCGACTCAGAACTCTGGCCCTACACTTCACATAACGTACATTTTCAGCGAGTGTACAATATAAGCAAGTGTACAATTTCCCACGCAACGCGCCACCCCTCTCATCAATACCACTTTTTTTTTTTTATCACCCAAGATACCCTCTACTTCAGAAGAAAGTAGGGCAATCTTAGCCCTTCAAGCTCTCCAAAACGACAAAGGCCTAAGCGTTCTATACGGCGGTGCCCTGCTCAAACTCTGACAAAACCCAAAACTTATCCCTGCATGCACACCCATGTGAATTCAGCCACCACGGTTTAAGTCCAATTCCCCAATATTTTATTGCTCATTCCCAAAAACCGAGGTTTCTTTCCCACAACGCCACACGTTTCAATACCACCTGGCGTACGGCTACTGGTCAATTCGTATGCTTTCAAGCCCCGTTGTATTGTCTGCTTGCCCGTTCCACGTGCCAACCCTGTTCTTTCGCTTGATGTTACTACGGTCGATTCCGACCTCCTATCGTCATGCCAGCTGCGCTGTCTTCATTTACCTGGAAGGACAGCCAGCTTAAGCTGACTCAGGAGAGATATGAGGAGTGTACAACCGACCTTGAGTATACGGCCTGGATTGTGAACGAGCTTTGTCAGTGCCGCTTCGCTCCAGTCGCTAAGATCCTGCATGAGAATAAGGTATGATCACCCGTCCAAGAGCAAAATGCCAAACGTGTTCCATTCACATAGTTATTGCCCATAAAAGTTCTGTGTCTGCTCAGAAGAGTCCGTCGCGGCGGAAGTGCTGACCGCCTTCAACCAGCCTAACCTGCCCGCCGCAATTGCTGACGACCTGCCGGCCGTGGCAGCCCAGGACGGCGAGCCCTTCCCTCGACGCGACTGTCGTCTCCGACCGCTGCGCGCAGGCGCAGGGCTGGACGGTACTCGGCGCGCCACCGCCATCCGCGCCATCGCCGGGCAGCGGGCGATCGCCGACGGCCGGATTTACTCCCCACGGTGTCTGCCGTGATACCCTGGTGGATTGGTAAAACTGCCTGGAACGGATTAAGCTTGGCATTGGCCCTATGTGACTTTTAGCCGGCTCTTAGGGAGCATAAGCCACTAGACTTTCGAGTTGAAGAAACGTCTCGAGAGTGCTGGGACTTTTAGCTAAGGGAGCTTCAAATTCATGAGTCCTCCCACACCCTTCTTGGATCCTGTCCACTCCCACTCCGTGTTCTTGGGCTTGGTGTGATACCTCACTTCAATGGCCCCGGCACCACGCCTCGGGAAATGCTCAGCGATCGCGATCCAAGGAAGACACTGCTCCATCAGCCGACGGATATTATTATTATTCCTACACCGCTGTGCCCTAGGGCGTGCCGGACCTTCAACAACTTACTATACAGGAAAACCGCGCCCGTGGGCCGGGTGAAAAACCCATATCGACAATCAAGGAAACGATCAGTGTGCGATCCTGCAAATACAAAGTGGGAAGGCCTCTTGGCCTTCGAAGGAAAGGGTATCAGACTGCGAGCTCCAGCTCCAGCCTCCTGGCCAGACTGTACATCGGCAGTTTCCCCGAGTCCATCAGCCAGTCCAGGATCCTCCCCGTTAGCCGTGCATCTTTGGGACTGATTCTCTGTAGGACAGAATAAAAGTCCCTTCGCGTTCTGATTTCGGCTCTCTCCCATCTTCGAGTCAACGGTGGGGCCAAGCACCACATCACAAGGTGTTCGACAGTCTCTCGCCCCTCTCCACACTCGCATATAGGCGTCAGTACCTCTGGGACTCTCCTTTCGATGAGCCAAATAAGATTATGGGTTTTGTCAGAGTTTGAGCAGGGCACCGCCGTAGTTCTAGCTGCAGCCAAGATCTAGTTAGTTACTTTGAGCAAACAAGGCAGAATGAATGTATGACCCCGGCCGTCAACCCTACATGCAGATGTACCAAGAATATCGTCTTACAAGTCGTCACTGTCATCCGGCACGTCTTGTGCCCTTCCATGCCTGTCATTACCTACTTGTCGAGTGTTGTCAGGTCGTTCTTGAAGCCCGTAACCAAGAGGTAGCCGAACTCGGCTGCCTCGATGCACCGTTCTGCCATTTCCTTGTGCCCCAGCGCCTCGTATGCCTCTGCCAACCTGCGTAGAGCTGCGACAACGTGCACAGTCATCAATGTCCCGTTGCCGGAATTCGTGTACATCTCCCTCGGATCCCAGAGCTCGCTCTCGTCCGGCACCTTGAATCCAAAGTTCCGTATCACCTTTAGAGCATACTTGACCACCTTACCATGGTTCTTCCTCCCACGGTGTGCCCCGACAAGCCAGTTGCACGGGTAGATCAGCGTCAGTCGCGGCAGGCCATCGTACACATCCTGCTCGTGGGCTTCCTCCAGCTGCTTTGCCAGCCGATCGACCTGGCGGATCTTCGCATCCGGGATCAGCTCCCTGCCCGGCATTTGCTTGTTGCACAGCTTCTCGACTGCTGCCAGCAAATCCCGCCTCTTTGCTAACATGGCCTCGGGGCTGCGCCGCTCCCGAGTGCACAACGCACACCCACACTCAAAACCCCACCAATCCCTGAACTGCTTCTTTCGCACATCCGGAAGCGACTTGACAGGTACATACTGCTGGAAGATCTCCTCCCCTTCCTTAATGTCCCTCGTCGCTCTGCTGATAAACATATCGCCGATGAACGACCGCATGGTGTTCGCCACGCAGCTGTGGTTCAGGTAGCTGGCGTGCACCCACAGCCCAGTGGCCTGGCGCCCCTCTGGCGAGCTGGGCCTCGTGTCCTCGAGCGTCGACCTCGGCGCGCTGAAGCAGTTCTTGTTGCGGATCGCCTCGACCAGAAACACATCCACGACCGGGATGCCGTCAACAATCGTCCCCTCCTTGCCGCTCCGCTCGTACGTCCCGCCGTACAAGTTCAGCACCGGCCGAGCCAGCGACGGGTTATCGCACAGCTGGCGCACCATGAGCGCATACAGCGCCGCTGAGGCGCGCGAAGGGTCGTATTGGTTGGGGAGCAGCGTGGCCTTCTCGACAAACACGACCTCGCCGGCCTTGATGTCGCGCGTGGCAAACAGCCCGCGGCCGTGGTGCGGCGACTCGGCGATGCGCGTATTGCGCAGGAAGGAGCCGCGGTCGAGATGGACCGAGTGCGGGCCGAGCGAGGCCAGCATGGTCGGGAAGTCGTAGTCGCCCTTCTCTTCTTCGCGGAGGCGGTCATGGCAGCGGGCGTGCTCCTTCTGGATGCTGGCGTTGGTCGGGTTGAGCTCCAGCGCCTTGGTCAGCAGACGGTTGCTCTCGGCGTAGTCGCACAGGCCGTAGGCTGCTCGGCCGGCGTTGTAGTAGGCTTTCCAGTCTTGCGGGCCGCCGGTGATGGAGGCCATAGCGTCGGCTTTCGCCGCGTCGTAGCGTCCAAGGATTAGGTTAGTGCCTGCTCGCTTGGTGTAGATGGGGCCTTTGAAACTCGCGTCGTCTGAGGTCTCGAGGGCTTCGGTGTAGCTGGGCAGATCAGTTTTGTCTGTCTTTCCATGGATTCCTGGCTGGCTGAACTCACCAGAACACTGCTGTTGGGAAGTCCTTCTCAAGGAAGGCCCGGTCAGCTGCGTTCTTCCAGTCCTCTGCTGTCTGGAGAAGGGGCCCTAGGCGGAGTGGCTCCGGTATAATGGGGTCTGTGAACCGCAGCAGAATGACATCTGACGGGTGGTCGACGCAGATCATGAAATCCTCGTCCGCGCCGTTGTTCTTGTAGTAAGGTTCCTTGACAGCAACCACGCAGCCCTCAGGGACACCTGACAGAATGGACGAGTCTGCTTGGTTGTAGATGGCCAGCTTGTCGGCATTGCCGAACTCATCTTCCACAATGCTCACTGCGCCGGCTCCCAGAAAAGGTTGGCTGGCCGCCTTGACAATGATGGCCTTCCCCCAATGATGCGTCTCCGGACGGAGCTCGGTTAATGGGATCTGAAGAGCACAATCAGTCAACGTACTCCGAACGACCTGGGTCGTCTCACTTACGATATCCAGTTCTCTTATGGACTTTGTCGACGCCGGATAGGCCTCGGACATGATAGGCTGCTTGACAGGCCGTGGTGTATTGGGCGAGCTGTCCTGCTTCTTGAGATGCGTACTGTGTGTTTTGACCAACTCCTCCTTGGTCAGCCTCCTGGGAGGAGTAGGTCCTGCCGGCTCCCTGAAGGAGGCTACGCCGGGCGACGCAACAGCAACCGCCATCCTAACAGCAGGATTGTCCGGATAATGCCGTGTTTATTTTGGATGAAAGAGTCTTGATGATGACAGCCCAGTCTAATAAGGCTCCAAAGCGACACGTCAAGGACTGGACTCAAGGTGTTCTGGTAAATGGCCACAACGGATAGTAGTGGCGTGGCCCAAGGCTCGAAGGGTACAAATAGTGCGGGCCGACACATGATCTTAAAGGTGGCATTCTCGGAGGTTGAAGAACCGCAAACTATATCGGACTTAGTGGACTGGGCCTATTAGCCGTGCTCCCGAGAAATGCGGAGGCGGGGAACGCGGAGATGTGGCTCAGGGGTTCAGGGCCGCCAAGACTGGACATTACCTCCTTGCAGCATCTTTCTTGCCGTAAGGGTGATATTCATGCGGACCCCGGAAGTGGCCTCCCCTTAAGTGGGAGTCTCGATTGGGTATCCGTCACGGGCTCAACATCGCCAGGTCGGGCGGACACCCTTCGGCCCGAGCCTCCGTCCTGTCCTGGAATTTCTGGAATTGGAAATCATACTGCCAGGAGATGAAGAGTGGAGGCGGCGAATTCAGTGTTGCTGTGTTACTGTTCCATCCTGCTCCTCACGTTCCACGACGAAGATTGTTTTCATGTTTGACAGGGCACTATTACCTGGCCATCCCGGGTTGGATCTGCCAGAACGAAGCGCGGCGTGGGTTGCCCGCATACTCCTCCTGACTCACTCGCCTCGTCGATTGTCAAGACGCTCATCATCTCCGTTTCGGTGGAAGCCGCAAGGTCGTGGTCTCAGCCAGCCGTGAAATCTCTAGCGCCGTACCTGATCAAAGACCGCTGCGAGTAGCCCATCATGAGCTGGGTTGTATTTCCGTCCCCACACATCGCTCGACTCCAGTGCGATGATCTTGCGTAGCTTCAAATGTTCAGAGGCCTCCTTCCACGGATGCCTCGGGCCCATTCGAGCATTAGTCCCCTCTCAGGAGTTCCGGTATCGCCGCCCAAGTCCCCAAAGTCGTTAGGGTCTACGCCCGTCTCAAGGAGCACGCTCACTCCCACGGGCCGCAAGATCCCTCTTTTCCACTGCCACCTGTAATGAACCAACGGCGTATTTCGAGAGCCGTCGCTGTTGCACCAAGTCAGATCAGCTTTGTCAGAATCTGGAAACCCAGCACTGAGACCCCTTGTCATGGTTGTGTTGGTGATAACCGATGAACAACAGCATGAGCGTCGAAGGAGCAAACTGGCCGGCGGCAAATTCGAGCGTGTCGTGTAGACCTTGATGTGCCCAACCAGCGGTGGGCAAATGGGCGTAGAATTCCAAAATAGGGCCCCGAAAACGAAGTATTCTCCCGCACAGCTCCTGCCACTTTTTGAAATACAGATACCTTTCGCCGAAGGGGTTGCGAGAATCGTAGTACATGGCACCTGGTGCGTATTCAAGGTCGACTTGATAGGAAAGATCTCCCTTGGTCCGCTCTAGACTTTCCAGCAGCGTTCGAGCCAGATAACCGGTTTCATCCAGCTGAAGCATGTGAGCAAAGTGTTTGGACATGGGCTCCTGGCGCTGGCGATAGAAGCTTGAGTTTCTGAATCAGTCGGAAATTGATGACGGCGGGAGAGATTGCCGTTTCCATGCCGAGCAGAATTTCAAGGGTGTACCAGAAATAGTTCCCGAGAGACGCAGGGGCTTGCGTCTCCAGCACATGAACCACAGGAGCTATCCAACTGGACGTACCCCGAGGAGAACAGCATTCGTACATACCAATGTAGCAACAACATGGTCGAATACGTACAGTAGCGATCGAAATCGGTGTAGAACTCAGTGCCACGCCTCTGAGGCTAGTCCGAGGCTAATCGGCCTACTCTCGCCACCGCACAAAGGGTAAGTATTTTGGTGTGCTCAACGAGGGCCTTGTCTCGATCGATTGCAAACAGCGCCGCTAGACCGCGGCGTATCTATGATGACTCTAAAAATTTCAAGAACAGTGTGATTCGTAAAAGAAACCTCGGAAGAACTCGCTACTCGCCGAAGCGTCTCTGATCGTATCCTTTCTCAGCGTTACCAGAGAACCGTAGAAATCGCGGAGCAGTTCCTCATCCAGAACGTAGGCGCTCAGGGGCAATTTATCGGGGGAGTCCTATTCGGCCAATCTGTGCTGAATTGCCTTGGAAAGCACCGCAATCAGGATATCGCGGGTTGGGTCGACAGTAGCGTCGAGCGGGGAGTGGCTAGCACTCGTCACAGTCTCGGTAGCAGGGATGGCTTGGTGAATGGCGCGATGAGTGCTCATCCAATAGAGCGTTTGTTGAACAAATGGACGAGCTTGCCTGGGGATACGCAATAAGAGCCCTCTTATACGTTTCGTTCAGGGTCCTGGGCAAATTTGCGAACGTAGTTTCGACGATCCTACTGTCTGGCTTTAGACGCTACAGGCTTCAAGTTGACATACGACCTAACGGAACTTGTTAACTGTTAAGTACGATCGTCCGAAATCTACTGCTCAAACACTAATGCGGAGAGGGTTGTACTTATATCCCATTTGCTTTCGTGGATAATGACTTGAGAACCTTGCTCCTAGGGTGGCTTTAGCCAGCGCTCAAGTCTCCCTGGTTGTTGCTGAGTTTTCATTTAATATACGTGCCAATGTCTTCGTCTAGCGCCGGGTTAACATCGATATTGGTGCTGCAACTTCCAACAAGGTGCCCCCCATGTCCAAGTATTCCCAACTGGTTGCTAGCATACGGACGCTCTCGAATCGCGAACTCACGGCCAGTTCTCGGAGCACCTATAGCAGGTTTCCCCTACCCAGATCCTCGTCTATACCATCAGGAAAGATGAAAATTCTCTCACAGGACTGGACAACCTGTTCCAGCATGGGAAGCAAGCTCCGGAGAGGAAGCCTTCCGCCTTGCCTATATAACTTGTAGATCGCAAGTTGTATTTGACTAAGTCGGCGGCAGAGTTCGAGAAGGATCCATCTCAGAAAAGGTGCTGCCTTATCTTAGGTAGGACCAAATTAGAAGTAATAGTAGACACATGCGTATGCTGGGCCCCGCAAAAAGCAATGTGTCCTGACCGTTTAGATTAGATGAGATGTGAAGATGGGTTTTCCGGCCCCAAATTGTTAAGGTGACACACACAAGCTCACCAAGGAAGATGCACCGAATCCTCAACAAGCAGCAGGCAAGACGACTGTATTGTGCATGCACCACTAATCAACTGACTGATCCTTGAGAGAGGGAAGTTCCAAGTTCCAATCTGAGTCTCCTGCTCTCCAGATGTCGTCTCTCTGCTGCGAGTCATGTCGCTGCGCCATGAAATCCACAGTGTCTCGCCCGCCAATTGTCCAAGTGTAGGGCTCATGGTGTAAGCCGTGACACAAATATCCCGTGGACCTAGAGGCAACGGGTCTCCTCGTCGTGCCACGAAGCCTATTCGGGTAAGCGAAGTAGCGATTCACCTGTATCTGGTTCGTATACATCGCAGGCCTTCTGGTGCAGGTCAGACAGGTCCGTAGTATAGAGCCAGTTATAAACGTGCTGCTGTTGTACTTTGTTCCATAGTTATACAAACCACGGTTAGCAAGCGTTATAAACCTACCTCGCCTTTGCGGCTAAGCTTACTATTGAGAGCGGTATATATCTTCTCAGTGCTCTCCTTAACTGCTTCAACGTTCGCTTCGACCTCTTTTACATCCAGCTTAAGTTAAGTAGCATGCAACCTCTCAGGTACCTAGGGAATTGGTACGGTCATTGCGCGAGTCGCGTACGACACCGGCACTTACGAGGAATCGGTGGTGAGCGCTAGGGCGATAGTACTTTTGTACTCCCTTAACTCATTGAGGAGCGTCTTCGCCTTGGATTCCTTCAGCAACCAGCCGGAGGCCGTAATGACAGCCTTACTCTTAGACTAGGTTGCAAGACTAAGTTCAGGCGGCAGGAGGTCTTCCAGTTCCGAGATACCCCTTCGGCATCCCTCGATCGGGCTATGGTCGCGGGTATAAGCGTCCGTCACAGCTAGGCCATGGTTACATCTGACGAGAAAATGCAAGTCATCCGAAATGGCCCTAACCGTTGAGACTTCAAGGAGGATAAGGTGGAGATCGCCAGGAGCATCCCGCACCACTTCAAGGAATCGTCTGTATAGGAAAATCACTCGATCCGCGGCGCTGTAATGGCAATGATGTTGGCTGCCGCTCTGAGGGTGTCCATGATGGGCGATGTTCATCGACCGCTATAGGAGCAAGTTGACGACCGAACTGCATATAAGAGCTAGAAAAACGGGACACTGGGCCGCCAGCAAGGTGCCCGACCAACGCTCGACACCGCTGCTGCTTTTCTCAAGGCTTCACGAGGGGCAGTGGGATAGGTGCGCTTGCATCGAGATGGGGCGCATCATGCCGGCGACTACCTTGCCAATGAAACACAGCATCGTGCCACCCTGCAGGTTGCCGCTTGGACTGTAACGGTTGGGCGGCTCCCAGCGACCGAAAATGAGGCTGAGTGCATAGTGGTGACAAATGGCTTGCCCGCGGAATCTTCGTGTGCCCTGACTTGTTTTTGCCTTGCATAACGTTACTGCTCAGATGGCGGCCTTCCGAGGTGGCCGCCTCATGATTACGCTGCGCACAACCCCGTCAGGAGCTGGGCCTGCAAGAGACACGGCGTTGTTGGCACCCCAATCGCTTCCGTCTGTGTTAACCACGCCCCAGGTGTCGGTGACCTTGAGATCCAGCACATCGACGTCCTCATAGCCGAACTTCTTGTAGAGGCGATAGCCGGCAGGAGAGGCCTCGACTCGGGAAGGGAGCCCAAGGCTGTCGGCAAGATCGACACCCCACTTCAAGAGCGCCGAGCCGGCTCCCAGCCGCTGCCGGGTTGGGCTGCATGCGAGAAGGCTGAGATCTGATAACCAGGTCAGTGTAGGTTCAGAGGCAGGGCTGCGTGGTCTAAAACTCACACAGTGCTGCTTCACCTTGGGCATGATCGCGTTGAATCCGTGTCATTTCGCCGATAAAGGCGTTGACCACAGCCACATCGCAACCCTCGCCCCATGTCTCGGTCGTTGCGTTAAACTCTTTCGCCTTCCATCCTGCCTCGGTGCGCGGCTCACGTTGAAGCAGCCATCTCGCAAAGGCAACAATCTCCCCAGGCCCGTCAGTAGGCTCTGGCAGGTATTCGGCAACGCAGAGAACAGTTTGTCCCTCGTTCGCTGGGGTTCCTGCATTGTCCTGGGGGAAGAGCTTAGAAGCGTATTTTGCCTTGACGTCGGCAGTGACACCGCCTGGGTACATCAGTCGGTTCATGACATTGTCATCGAAAGCCGTAAAATTGATGTCGACAATGGCACCGATGTCGTCTCGCGTCGCTTCGCGGACGCGAATACAGGGGTTTGAAGGCATTGCTTGCTCAGTGTTCTCGGGCCTCGAAATGGCCGTCGTAACAACTGAGGAGAGAGTAAAAGCGATCCTGCAGAAAACAGCCTTGGATAAAGTATTCGTCTCAACCCGTTGACTGAGACCGCGCGTACCGTCGGCAACATGCACCGGTGAGTGTCTCCGCACCTGTTCTCTTTCCTGAGGAATGCCACGCGCTGCTTGTCCCTTGCCAAGCGGCTCGGTCCATCCGGTCCGGTGCGGATCGTACCGACCGCCGAGCGTTTGCTGGAAGTGGGCCTCTTTCGGGGTCTATGTACACTTGTGGAAGGTCTTTTCGGGGATCACCGATGGCTCCTCGAAAGTATCATGGCACAACACTCATAGCCGATTGTTGCGAACCTTTCCGTCTGAAGCTCGGAACGGTGGAGATCGATTGATGGCGGAAGGATTGCACTCAACAGCTTCCTATTTTAGATCTTCTGACAGGACTGGCAGAGTGGGGCGATTTTGGGCTCACATCAACCAATTGGAAGGCGGCACTTAAGGCTGACCCATCGGCGACAGCTATCGGCAGGCATTCGTCCCTCACCTGCTCCATCGTACGACAGCTTGGTATCCGAACTGTCGCAATACCATCCTCGACCCTTAATGAAAAACGCGATGGACAGCTTTAAAACGAGATTTGTGTTGTCTATCCCATTCATTGTGCTCGGGTTCATGCTCACACGCGCACCGTTCATGATGACCTCGGTAGCACCTTCGCAACCGTGGGCTGACAGCCCCTTGAAGCTCATCACAACCCCCCAGTTCGAGACCAAGAAGGTTGACCGCGAGGATCCATTCCTTTGCCTACTGTTAAGACGCTAATAGCCCGTTTTTGCAGACCGATATCTTCACGTCAGGAGCGACTCACATGGCCTTGCTGCGTATGTTACCCCAATTCTCGCCGCTGTTCCGTCGAACCGGAGATACCGGAGGGCGAGTTCCATTCCAGAGGAAGCGCACTAACAAGCAAGGGCAGATAACTCCATCCTCCGCGGTTACAACTCCATCTATCATCAAGCCCCTATTGTCCTCGAAAAAGACAAGGCCGACTTCGTCGGTTATTGCCTTACCTGGTTCAAGTTTGTCAAGTCGCACCATGACGACGAGGAGAATACCTTATTCACCAAGATCGAGGAGCTGCTGAAAGACACGTCGGTATTTGACGAGACTCACAATGAGCATGGTTAGTCGCCCCGCGGACTGACCACAATCCATCTGATCGTCCCAATTACCGATTTCTGATGCTTCGGCCGACTGCAGAGTCCTTCCTCACCGGCCTCGCCGACTTCGAAAAGTACCTTACCGGCCTCAGAGGCCCCGCTGATTTCTCGGGGCAAGAGCTACTGCGAATCATGAAGTCGTTCCAAGAGCCCTTTGAGCAGCATTTCCACCGCGAAATTGCGACCATCTCCAGGTTCTCCAATCACCCGAACGCGCCGAAGCCGGGAACTCCCGAAAGCGACGCCGCAGCAGCAACATTCAAGGCATGGGGGAAAAGCACCGTGACCAAGGCTGGTGTGATTGATGTGGTGCCCTTCTTCCTGCTCAACCTCGACCGCACAGTCGAGGACGGCATGTGGGCAAACTGGCCGCCAATGCCCGCGCCCATCAAGTGGGGCCTGATCAACCTAGCCGGTGCCTGGCATTTCGGATGGTGGAGGTTTTCCTCATGCGATGCTGCTGGTCGGCCCCAGGAGCTGTGGGCTTATCGAGCGGTGGAAAAGAATACCAGTCGCGATCAAGAGGCAAAGGCTCAAAACGATATTCCATGATCGCAGAAAGGTATGTCCTGCGCTTGCGCATCCATGCGTTTCGAAGTAATGGAAACCGTCCCTGTGGCGTGCCGCAGTGGCTTTGTTTTAATGTGTAGGATGCTGGGTGTCTGAGGTAGATGGTCGCCAGCGTCTATGCCATCCTAGCGGATTAGATTCCGCAACCGCGTACTGAGTATCACCGGGGTTGTATCCAAGAAGTGTAATGGGCTAGTCAGGACTCGAGAGCCGATTCGAACGCATTACAGCAGGGAGTAGCCTTTGCGAGGATTCATCTACACTGTTTCAGGCTTTACAAGCTTCGATATTGAACTCCATCTCGGGTCGCCCACCCAGACGAGTGTCGTGGAGTGACTTCGAGGTTCAGAAGCTTTCGCTGACAAATCCGGCTCCCCGCCCCAAACTCACTTGGCTTTAATCAGCCATGTCCCACTCTCCCCAGACGTATAACCACAACAGAGTTCAGAAGATCTGTACCCACTTCAGCAATCGGCAAACCCTTTTTTTCACGCCTGGGACCTCATGGCGAACAAAATGCGGAGCTCTGGTGGCTGCTGGACGTGTCGTCTTCGGCGCAAAAAGTGCGACGAGGAACGTCCGGTTTGCAAGGGCTGCCTTGCCCTTGAGATCAACTGCCTCTATAGTTATGAGAAGCCGGAATGGATGGACGGCGGAGAAAGGCAGAGGCAAAGAGCAGAATGGCTCAAGAAGGAAGTCAAGCTACAGGCCACCCGTCGGCGAGAGCTCCGGTATCTTCAAGGTCTTGAGATCAGGCTCGAGTCCCATGACGCCTCGCTCACCGACGACAGCGACACTGCGGCGCCCAAGGACTGGATAAACGCAGCCCCGCCGTCTATCCAAACGACCGGTCTCTCCACACCAGAAGCCGGAACACAGGATTCCACGCCAGCATCCGCGTCCGACACTGCTCTGACTGATATAGCCCTGACCGTTCCGTCTCCTGACGAGCACTCCAGTGCCTCCCCGTTCCCTGGCCTCGATCTCCGAGCGAGCTTGTCTCAAGAAGCGGAAGCGCAGTCAGCCATGATGTACCTGGACTATGTGTTCCCATTTCTGTTTCCTTATTACCGGCCTTCTTTTGCAGACGTCGGGCGGGGTTGGCTGCTCGTTCTTCTCACCAAGAACAAAGCTCTCTTCCATTCTGCGCTCAGTCTGGCAGGGTATTTCCACGTCATCGTTCTCGGCCACATCGAGGACGCGTCGCCACATTGTCATACCCACAACCTGGAACTCCTCCACGAACAGCAAGGGCTGGCGCTGCAATGGTTGCGGCGTGAGATGCAAGACATTATCACCCGCGGTGTCAAGGGCAATCTCGCCGAGGCGAACCGTGTGATGGCAAGCATAGTCCAACTCATGACATGCGACGTCGCTATCGCGAAACCGGGCAACTGGACGATGCATCTGGATGCTGCAACAGAACTGTTCAACGAGATTATGAAGCACCATGCGATGGCGGAAGACGGCCATGCTTGTTTCATAATGGTTCTCCTTCAGCTGGGCTCAAGACCTTTTACTTGGACCCCAAAGAATCACCCATGGGGTTCGGACCAGGCCATACTGCGGTTCTTCACGGCTCAGCTACTGTTCTTCGACACCCTCGCCAGCACGGCGCTGCAACAGCCTCCGCGACTTCAACAATGGCATCAGGGTCTCCTGGCGACTCTCAATGAAGAGGCCCTGAAACGGGTGCCGGAGAGTGAAAAGGAAGCGACGGTGCCTCACATCAATCTCCAAGAGTTCTTGGGCGTAGAGAACTGGGTCGTGATTGCTGTTGCTGAAATAGCCGCCCTAGACTCGTGGAAGAAGGATATGAGGCGAGCGGGGTCTCTGTCCGTGGCCGAGCTCGTCTCTCGCGGTTCAGCCATTGAGCAACGTCTCCGCGGATCCCTGGTGGCGCTTGAGAACGCCAGTCTCAGCCCAGGGCTGGCTGACGGACCGCAGCATCTCCTGCAATACTATGCCGGCACTTTCATGCCCCAAATGATGCATGGATCCTCGACGAACACTCGCATTTGGGCACAGGCGGCGATCACCTACCTCAGCGTGGTCCTGTCTGGGTGGCAGCCGTCGAGCCATGAGATCCAGCTGTCTGTCACACGGACGGTTGAGATGCTGTTAAGCCTCCCCAGCCCCGACTGCCTCAGAACACTTGTCTGGCCCTTCACCGTCACGGGTTGCCTAGCCACCCCGGATCAAGAGCAACTATTCCGGGACATGGTGGCAGGGATGGGGCCGCTGAAGGTTTTTGGCACCATCAGGGAAGGCCTCGCCATCATGGAAAAGGTCTGGGAGCGCCGTGCCGAGATTGAGAGCATGTCGGATCAGTGGGACCTGGCGACGTGTCTTCGCTGCCTCGGCGAGCCGGCCCTGCTCATATGAGCCGAAGCAAGTGATACAAGATGGGTTTACCCTACGACCGGAACGTTGACATGGGAACTCAAACGTTCCAAAGAAAGAGACGGGTGAGACGATTTTACCACTAAGTACTGGAACAACAGATGCTGATGATGTTTTCTTTACCAGCCTTCCCGAAGGGCTCTCCGAACATCGAAAAGGATACGAGAGAGATCATATCCTTCCCAGAGCCTACAAATGACGCATGCCATCTCCCTCCTCTCATTTTCCGTTTCTGTCCCGCTGACTTGCTCTTTGGACAGTTGCCAGAGGCACCGGAACCAATGACTCGTACGGGCTCCGAACGAAACCCAGTTCACACAAGGCGTCTTCGCCCCAATCCGCCATATCACGCCTTGTCTTCGCTTCCCTTCATATCTTCGATAGTTGGCTCTTGTCTTCTGCTTCACATGACCCTCGAGGGACGGGGTGATCATATCCCTCTCCCCAACGGTCTGATCGACCATCGTGCTACATGTTGCTTCTGCAGGCGGAGGGGCCCTCCTCCAAGGGCAACATGGCGATGGCCAAAACTCGCGACGTCGTCTCTGTCTCCGATGGTGTGTGATGGATTTGTTTGGCGCGCCCCTGGCTCGCTGCGGACCAGTCTGGCTGGCCGATTCCGGCCATTGCCGGTGTTGCATGCTCGAGTATTCGCTGCTCCCGTGCGGACAATGCGTTCGACCTCGAATCGCACTTCATTCCCAGGTTTCGCGCTTTCTCCCTGCTCGCAATTTCCGATTCCTCGAAGCGGCGCCCAAGTCGTGAACCCTTATGCCGATAAGCCGGCGCCTAAAACCCATAGTCCGGGCGCTGCGGCGGCATCCTTGCCGCCGCCGGTTGGCCAGGTGGGTTGTCATAAACCAAGCTCCCTTCAAGCGCTCCATTTCCTGACCTCGTCGGGGCGATCGTGATGGGCCGGTTGAGGTTAAGGCGGTCCTCAGCAATGCTGGGTCTCGAAGGTGTTGCTGAGCGAGTGAAGTCGGCCACACCTAGCCTTCCGCTCCCGGAATCTGGCGTCAGCGTCGATGCAAACCGCCCACTGGATTCGCTCATTCTTTGGCCATATAACCTCCGATCTCCACGAGCCGGTTCTTCTCTCACGGCAAAGACCGCCTTCCTCAGCTGCCGCTCCCCCAGCTGCAGGAACGCCACCGACAACGCGCTGAGCGCAAATAAAGCACACGCGGCAATCAACAACCCCCAGACTGTAAACAGCCTGAAGCACGCCGCTCTCCCATCGCTCAAAAAGACAATCCGTCCGACGGATTTGCCGGGCGGCACGGTGACCTCAAGTCTACCGTTTGGCGCCACATCTGCACAGTTTGCGTCTGCCAACGGAAGACCTAGGATGGTGCTGATGACCACCAAGGGGATCAGGAGAAGCAGATCAATGGACAATGTCCCCACGTAGGGGAGGTACCGCCTGCTGTAACCGGTCCAGGAGAAGAGGGCCCAGACCAAGGATGCGCTGGTCTTCCTCACACTAGATCAATTATTTGCTCACATTGGGTTGGAGGAACAAAGAGCTTACAAAGACCACGATGACGACAAGGCTGCCTGATGATGCTTGACGGTCACGGGCTGTGTTGGCGATCAATTGGCCCGCCAAACCTGTGATGACGACGAGGACAACGGTCTGGGCCACGCGCGCTGTGAGGAAGGCATAGCCGTAAAAGCCTTGGGGCCGAAGGGAGAGTGTGTCGCGAACGACGACTGGCATGGCGAGGAAATATCGGTGTTTACGCTCGAGTACTGAAACAGAGGTGTTGTGTCCCTTGAGTGTACTGGAGTTGGTTTATAGCATGTTTTAGTTGCCGGGAGGAAAAGATGAATCGCAGGGGAGTTGGAGAAGAAAACGTCAACAGGGAGGCGGTGGCTATTGAAGCTAAACCAGTCAGCGATGATCAGACATAGCATCCAATTTTCAATGTCCGGTTTCCTGAAATTGCTAACAGGCATGACCTAGCGTGGCCCCATGGGCGACGGCGATGGCCATGTTGATCAAACGCTCCAGATGTCTACGCGGTGCTGGAACTACATCATGGGGGGAAGTTCGAATATCGGACGAAGTATGGCACTCCGGTGCGTCATCCTGATCTGTCGTTTGAGGGGTGTCTGGAGCCTGCCCCGGCCCATTACCCGGAACCGGCCGGAGATTCGGCCGGGGAAGTGGGGCATGTTCGGCATTTGGCCTGGGCCGGTTCGATCGGCGGCCGTCAATAACGGCCACGGTTTTATGACAATCAAGGTCAACGCACACCAACCCCATCCTTGCTTCTGAGTGGTCCAGTCACTATGCGGCGTGTCTGCGGCGCAACCCGTCGCGGCCGGAAACTTGGGGCCCCAGCACACTGGATAGTCAATAAGAGAAAAGAACGAAGTGCAAAAGATGACGTCCAACCTTAGAATTTGTTTTATCCCGTACGCCTCTACTCCTACATGCTGCTCAACATCTCACGAGAACAGCATTTCGCCTAAATGACCTACAACCAAAACGAGACGCATCATAACCACCTTCAACCCTGCTATGTTTTCCTCCCCCGGCCGGCAGCCACAGTAAACCAGGGAGATTGACGCTGAAGACGGGGAGAACCTAGCCGAGCAAGTCATCCAAGCCATTGCCCAAAGGCTTGCTTCCAGTTCCGGAAGTGTTCGTGGTTGATGGCGCAGGGGCGCCCCAGATACCGGCGCTGCTCTTCTCCTTCGCAAGCTGGTTTATGGCGGGGCCTGGCCCGGTCTGCGTATTCTTCTTGATGCCGACGCTAGCCTGAGACCACAAGGCGCCAAACGCGTCACCGCCCGCGACCGGCTTGGCACTCGCAGGGCCGCTGGTGGCTTTAGCACCACCGAGCGTGGATGAAGCAGCAGGCTGTTGCACTGATGAAAAGTAATTGGGCGCTGCCGCCTGGTATCCGGCAGGCTTGGGCGCCTGCGCAGCCGGTGAGAGCGTGCTCGCGGTGAGCGGTGTGGAGAATGCCGAAAAGTTGCCGGCCGGACTGGAGGTGGAACTTGGCGGCGGGGAGATGGACGACATAGCGACCATACCGCTGAGGTTTGCTTGCTGTGGTGCAGACACAGGCTTGGGTGCCGCCAACGGCATTCCAGGCGCAGCTGACGTAATAGGTGGTGGTAGAGACGTTGGAAGGACTGCAGTCTGAGGAGCCGGCGTGGCGGACTGGAAATCATCGAACTCGTCGTCGTCGTTGGTGGTACCGCCGAGAGAGGCGAGCCCAGAAGCCATAGTGGCTGCTGCGGGCGAAGCCGATGCGGCAGGCTCGGCGAAATCAAAAAGATCCACCTCAGGCTCTTTCTTCTTCGGCTGCTCGGTGGTCTGTTTCGCCCTCGCACGCTCGGTGGTGCCTCGCGTCTTCGCCGCGGCAATTGAAGCTGAAGGCCGCTCCCCTTCGTCAAACTCGTCATATTCTTCAAATTTGTCCGCGCGCGATGACTGAGTCCCACGGTATTCGTCAGATTGGCCTCCGAAGCCACCTCCATCACCGTACACACCGCCGGAGAAGCCGCCGTACGTAGAACTGCTGCCGGCGCCGCCGCCGTAGCCTGAATCGCTTCCGAATCCGCCATAGCGGCTCGAGCTGCCAAAGCCGCCACCGCCCTGCATGGCCGTGAACTTCCCCTTATTGGCGCGCGCTTTCTTACGCTCCGCACGGATACGCTCCACGTCGCTCAGGAGTTCGGCCAGTTCCTTGGCACGGTGGCGGACATTGACGCCCTGATCCTTGCCGTTCTGGTCGATATAATGGAATTGGCGCAGCATCTTGAGGAGGGTGATATGAGATCGAGCATCGTCAATAACGCGCTCGGAGCCGTGCTTAATCAGGTACTCGAGTAGTTGAAGTGCCTTGTAAATTTGTCGCCATTCCTCGGCCGACTTCTCCGTGAAGCGCCGGTAGATCATCGGCATGATCTCGTTCAGGGTTTGGCTAAGAGCAGTACTGGTTACACTTCATCCTCGCTGGATCTGGCTCCGGTAGGATACGTACTAGTTGAAAGTGCCGTCGGCAATCTCCTGCATCTGCGTCGAGGATGCGCCCCATGGCTCGTTGTTTGTGGCTTCGCGGACCTGGCAGATCTCAGTCTCTGGGCGTTGCGCCTCGATCGGCTCAAGCAGTGTCCACCGACCTTTGCCTCCATCTCGGTGTAGTTCATGACGGCTAATACGAAAAGTCAACAAACGGAGCAGAGTACAGCCGCGCGTGGCATGCCACATACCATTTTGCACCTTCCGAACACCGGCCTTGATATCATACAGGGTCAGATTCGACACCTGCTTCTTGATGTTGTTCAGGTCCATCGTGGAAAATCGCGGCGCCAAACGCCCTAGGATAATACAAGAGTAAGTGCAGGGCCCTACTGTAGCGCGGACAATGGCTCCAAGGCTTCTGGTCGAGGCGGCAAGTTTTGTCGCGGTTTGACGATTCGGGCGACTTGGAGGGATGGGCACTCACCGGCGACACCTTGCGATTTCCCAAAACGCCAAGGCCCATTCTTTGTGGAACCGGTGATCAAGAAGGCATTTCAGCCTGAGGTTCAAGGCATAAACCGACCGTACAGGGGCTAGGAAATGGGAAGTCTCGGAAATTTGTCTGATCATGGAAAATGACATTGGGTGTGAAATGTCAAATGGTATTTCCGCTAGCCATACCTATTTCAGTAGGCGAAGCAATAGAGGGCTAGGGTTAGAGCTCTATATAGTTAGGCACTTAATATTCTACTAATAAATAGTTAAGCTAAGGAAGGCACTAATTATACTTCTATATTATTAGCAATGAGACTTAACGTTATATTTCCAATTCGCTAACTAAGTTTTTTGAGGGGCTTAATTGAAAATATTTCGAAATTCGACGGAATTTCGCAATAACATGAAATTTTCATTTCGTATTCCTAACAGGGGCATTAGGCTTTTGAGCGGCAACAAAATTTGAGAACTCGGACTCCCGTCTGCTCCGGAGGACTTACCTTCATCATCAACATCAGCATGCCGATTTGCCTTTCATCCAACTGTATTCAATCTGTATTATACCTAATCTAGGGTCTCAGTCTGTAACGGTGCGTGTCTTTTCTCATGTTTCCTATTTCTTTCTTCTCCTGCTTCTATCTCTCTGAGCTGAGCTGCAGCTGGAACTGGAGCTCCCAGGTTCACCTGCATGTGTCATTGGAGCTCTTCCAAACACACGTATTCATACCTCCTTACCTTCCACGCCCTGAACTGGACCACAAGCCGCCGACTATGTAACGACAATCGACCGTCAATCACAAGCCATGGCTTGAAATCCTGAAGACATCGCCGGATCCTGGTCCCCCCGTCTCTGTTCACCATGAATTACCCCCGCAGGTTACTGCGTGGAAGAGCCGAGAGCTTCACAAACGCTGCATCCTTCCTCTCTCCATTGGGGGGAGGCCAAGGCCGGCCAAGCCGTGCCCAATAGACGATGGGCAAGGTTCCGCTTGGCCTGCTCTTTCCAGTGCAGCCCCTCAGACACAGCTCTCTCGATTCAGATTCTCTGCAGGGCCAGCTCAAGTGGGCGTCGCCTTACCGCAAACACGCTGCTGGCGTTGCTTGACTGGAGGCCTTTGGCCTGGAGAATTCACTCTCTCTCAACACAATTGCTTGCAAGAATCTGGCAACCGCCATTCTCTTGGGCTGCTGGCAGAGACTGCTTTGAAGCTTTCGCTGCCGTCACTCCTCAGGTGGACAACGACTTTCAAGTGCTCAGCTTCTCGACCCCCCACATCTGGGAGCTTCATCACGACCTCATTCGATCATGGCCCCTCACTTCTTACAGGAAGGAGCTATGCCTGCCCCACGCCTCCTCATCCACACGCTTCTGTTGATCTGATTGGCTTTACTTAACACTAACCCACTTCCCATTCAGATCGGAAAATGTTTCGACCCCTCCTACCCCGCCATTGCTCGTCTCTCGTCCGACCTTCCTCTCTCCTTCGCAATCTTCCATCTGGCCAATTCACTTCGGCCTCTTTCCCGTCTCTCCAATTCAACATCAGAATATCTGTCAGAGCCTTCTCCGCATCCGCCGCCGACATGTCTAAAGTGTGAGTTTCCAGACGCTCCGCCCAGACACGTCCGAAGTCTATACTGACCATGGTAACTCAGCTTCCTCGATGTCAAGTGGGTAGGCCCTGTTCTCGACGAGAACAACCGGCCCACGAACGAGATCAAGGGTGAGTGATTGCAACCTCGTGCCTTCTTACCATACTTTCTCGGCTTGAATTCTAGTTTGGAATTCCTTTGATCCCTGTCTCTCTCCGTCTCTGCTCTCTGCAATCCCTCTCTGTGCACCTCGACCAAGACAGGTCAGGAAACCGGACCAGCAGGCCACTAGCCTCGCGTCATATCACCCTGGAGTATGCATTTGGCCAGTTAGCTAACGCATTCACGCAGAGCAGCAAGGCCGCATCAATCTGACCCTTTACGATGACGTTGTGCCCAAGACCGCCGAGAACTTCAGGGCGCTCTGCACCCACGAGAAGGGCTTCGGCTTCAGGAACTCTACGTTTCACCGCATCATCAAGGATTTCATGATCCAGGGTGGTGACTTCACCCGTGGCAACGGCACCGGCGGCAAGTCCATCTACGGCGAGAAGTTTGCCGATGAGAACTTCAAGTTGAAGCACGACAAGCCCGGTCTCCTGTCTATGGCCAACGCCGGCCCCAACACGTAAGGTTTCCCAGACACTCCACGCACCTTCAGTGAGTTATGAGCTGACCTGTCTTCCCCAACCGCAGCAACGGCTCCCAATTCTTCATCACTACCGTCGTCACTTCGTGGCTCGATGGACGCCACGTCGTCTTCGGCGAGGTCGCTGACGCCGAGTCGTTCAAGGTTGTCAAGGGTCTGGAGGCCACCGACGATGCGGTCGTCAAGAAGCAGATCGGGGACAAGAAGCCCGTCATCGTTGACAGCGGCATGGCCGAGGCCTAAGCGTACCAGGGAAATGCCAGGTTTGAAAGCTTCAAGAACAAGGTCAATCGCGGCATTCGTGTAGTTATTATCGAAGGCCCTAGGCTTTCTAGCCCAGAAAGTTCAAGGTTGGGTTCCATACGTCACTCTATATCCGATCGTCTCCAGTTGCAAAGTTCATGTGATGTCTCTGGATTTCTCCATGAGGGCGCAGGATCCAATTCAGACGCGGAACTCTAAGCCACGCAGAACCGGGTTGATGATCTAAGAGTACAGGGTTGGGTATAATCGAGGTTTCTGACCACACGAAAAATCCCCCTCCATGCTCGCTGGCTCAGGCACCTTCATGGGGGGAGAGCCACATTGGGCGCAACGGCCTTTGGTAAATCTTCGACGTCCAACCACTGCAAAAAGTAAACGCAATTGCTCGGACTGACAGGCCCTCCTTCTTCACACAGCTCAAATACGGGACACCGCCCGCAGGGGGCTTCGGTCAGCCCGTTGCTGAGCGGTTCCGGCCCCGGCGCGAGCGGCTGGTCCAGCCCGATGCCAGCCTCGCGCTCCTTTGCCCGCTTCTGGAAAGGCACCGTATCCTGCTTCATGGCGCGCGTCACGCGGTACCCGCGCCGCCGGCCCACGCGAACCGGCTCGATCAGCCCGTCGTAGGTGAGCACGTCGACAAGCTGCTGGATGTCGGCTTCGCCGAGCGTCGTGTTGTTGGTTATCCCTGTGTCGTGGATGAATTTGGCGATCTCGGCGACCGTGGGGTAGTGCCTGTAACCTGCGGGCATGGGGAGAAAGACGTGGCGGCTTTTGGCGCTGCCGCCGCGTGCGGGGGCTGAGGTGTCGTCGGTGGAGATATCGGTTGCAGAGCGTTTTGTGCCGCGGGCGGTTGTGCTGTCTGCGGTGACGGCGCCCTTTTTGGGGGGTTTGGCAGTTCCCCCTGAGGAAAACGCAGTAGGCTGTACTTGAGAACTCCGGTATGCGCTCCTCGTCTTGATGTACTCGAACACGATGCCCTCGAGCTCGCTGATGAATGCCGTGTCGAGTTCGCCGTCGGTGAACCATGGGCCGCCTGTTGCGCGCTCAGAGGGGCGAAGGGTCGCCTTGATGTACATTTTCTTGTTCGGGTGCTCGACATTTTTCATGCTCGCAATGTAGCCCTTCGATTCGAGAAACTTGATACAGTTCTTGACTACCGCCTCGTGCATGTTGAGCTTATTCTTGATCGTCCGGTTCCAGATGCCGTCGGCACCGGCCTCGTCGATGATCGAGTAAACCATGACCGTCTCGTCGTTGGGCAAGGAGGTGTACCTATGGCGCGAGCGGTCAGTATTCTTGTTCCAGCTACAGAGCATTAAATCGGGAGGCTTACTTCTTCGCCTCCTCCCTGCTGCGCCATCTCCATGCGAGCCCGGCATGGTGGTTTGTTGTGCCGACCAGGAGCTTATCATCGGTGAGCCCCTGGACGACGCGTACAAGGAGCAGAAGATCGTTGTTGGGGATGATGTTGAGATCGAGGAGGTCCCTTTGTGTGAATAGTCGCGTCTCGGAGCCGTGTTGCCTGATTTCCTCGTACAGGGCGTCTTTGAGAATCTGGAGCTTGGCGGAGTCATCCGCCATCTTGGTGCTCGCCATGGCTAATTGCGTTACGACCACGGCAATAGGCGTGTAGTTTGTGGATATGCCAGAATTTCCTGGCAGACGCAAGATTGAATTTGCAATGCGACAAGGTAAAATGGGGTTCGAAAGTTTTGGATGACACTTGGTTGTGGCAGCGATAACTGAACTGGCTCGCGACTTTTATGTGGGCCGCCCCTCCATCAGATTCTCAGCCCTGCGGAGACAAGATCTTTGGGACAGGGTTTGACGGCCTTGGACCCCACTTTAAGCGCTTGTCGCTGATCTGCTTCAGCCTTCCTGATCCATGTCCCCGAGCTCTGCTCTCGCTCAGCATTTGGTTTTCGACTTGGAGTTTCAGGCTCTGATGAACCGTTGACTGTTCATGATGTGCTCGAGCAGTCTCGTATCATTTATTCAGTACCTTCTTTCCGAAGCGCCGACCAGACTACATGCTTGGTCAACGGATGACGCGCCGCTAGCCGCAACATAGATGCTCGCTTGCTCGCCAAGACAAGAACTAAGCTGACGTTTGTTGGCCCATGGTATGATGATGCCATGATTCGAACGCCACGGTGTTTTGGACCCTGATCCGATTCGCAAAGATAAAGACGTGGCGGGAGACAGCTCACCTTAACAAGCATCAGCGCATCAGAATTCACAGGCAGTATGATTTTCTATCCACACCATACTCGCACATGATATGTTTTCCTCCAGATCGAATAGTCACAGGACGCATAGGTGCAACCGGTTTTCTGGCTCATACACACACTGATTAACAAGCGTCTGGTCCTCCAACCGCTGAACACATCGACCAGTCAGCCGCCAGCATACTTACCTGCCACGTTGGCGATGAAGCCGGGGGATGGACGTCCGTTGTATGGCGGTGTCTGGAGGGCGAACGAGTTTGAGGACGTTGACCGACCATCAAAGCGAGTGGCACGGCTTGTCCGAGAGGTGAATAGGCGACGCAGGGGAAGGCGAACATGGAGAATGGCCACACTGCCTTCCTGACAAGTTCGTGTGTGCGGCCATCCTGACTACAACCTGAGCTCCAGTCGCTGCGATTTCTTCTTACCGTTGAAGACGGGACATGTGCTAACTCGCCTTCCGCGGCCCTGGTAGCTTGCTTCTCAAAACTCCTGGCGCCATCCACGTTTTCCCTCGACGACGACGACACAGCTTCCGATCTCGGGTGACTGCCTCTCTGGTTCTCGTCGCGGTAGGAACTTGTTTCGGGCACAAACAACAGCATTGTGATGAAGTCGATGCCGGTCAGGACCGCCCGCAACCCACTTATACCACCGCCAACTCAACCCCCTATTCAGATACCCACACACCACTTGTCTGGGTCATGGACTTGTCTCACTCCTGCGACATGACACGAATGGCGGGCGCCAGGCTGCCTATGCCGACGTCGATCATGAAGGTGAAGGCATAGGCGGAGAGGAAGGCCGTGTGCTTTCTCTGGCGGAGTCGCCGCAGCGTGTTGTTGGGTTTGTTGGGTGAGGGCGGCGGGAAGATGAGCAGGGAGGAAGGGGACGAGGACGATTAAGGCGAGTTGGAGCCTGGCACAGCTGGAAGGTCCCTTCTGTCTTATCGAGCTCGTGGAAAGTTCGGAGGCGCGTCTTACGGATGGGATCTCGAATCTGAATCACTCGGCGGAGGATGGTGGCTGCTGGAATACCACTTGCGCGCCGGGCGAGAGATAAAGCACCGATATTGGGTACCCGGGACTTTCATACGGAGGTCATATACAATAGAGACGCTGTGCCGGCCATCGCTAGCTTGTAGCTGTCGTGTATGGGAGGTGGGCATGGCGTGTAGGACCGACTGGGCTCCTCTCCAAGCTCATCCACCTCAGAAATCCTGGTTCACTGGCCAGGTGAGTCAATGGTTGCTATTGCCGGATCGTCAAGGTAACGTATATGTACACAGTTTGGGGCTTCCGAACGCTGATATGTCTCGCAGGCTATAATGTCTGGAGGCTGTCCCTCCGATGATTAATCTTTGTGACTTGGCATCGCCGCACAGAGAACCGATATCATTTAGGCAAATGTCAGTTCAGCCATTGGCCATATTCCAGTCAAGAGGATCGACATGCCTGAGACGGCGTGATATGGGCAGTAAGTATCAAGGCAGTATGATTTTGAACATGTGTTTTGATCTCGCCGGCCTGGATTCTTCTCCTCAACCATGAATAGCACACCGAGCGATTAATCCAAGATGCAGACATTTCCTTTGATTATCGGACTATTCGTAGCAGGACTTACGAACGCTTTTCAGGAAAACATCGAAAAGGCGACGAGCTGCTCACGGAGCCCTCTGGTTCGCGAGGCCCAACTCGTTTGCTCAGCGCCCCAAGCCAAGCGTCAACGCCAAACCAGCTTCAAAGATGACACTCCGGGCCTATGGAAGAAATCTGACCAACGATATCAGCCTCCAAGCGACTATAAGCTTCCACCTTCCTGGAAGGGGCCGGAGAAGTGCTTCCAAGAATTTTGCCTTTTCTCAAACCCAAACTTTGGCGAGGGCATGTCCCTCATCACGACAAGCCGCATCGCCTATCTCGCTTCCAAGGCCCCAGTTACTTCCATTTCAGGTCTTCAACCGACGGCGTACTACGAGGCCGAGGTGCCCGGAAAAGGGGCTGGGCTGTTTGCCAATCGGACCATCCACAGAGGCGAGATCATCTTCCAGCGTCATCCAGTCCTCGCGATACAGTCCACTCCGCACCTCGACCTAGACCCCAGAGTGCGAGAAGAGTTGTATCAAGCTGCCATTGACCGGCTGCCCCAGGAAACTCGAGCTCGTTTCCTACGGCAAGTGGGCACTACCATGTACGACAAGGCCGAGAAGAACGCTTTCCGCATCTTTCTCGACGGCAGCCGCAAGCACTCCCCTCACTTGGGACTGTTTCCCGAGGTGAGCAAAATCAATCATGACTGCCGGCCCAAGTAAGTCCTCGCATTGTTCTAGTGGTCCTGATAAATTAGGTTGACTTACACGGCTCCAGCATCCACTACCGCATCACCGACTTCACCCACACCACCGTCGCGGTGCGAGACATCCACCCGGGCGAGGAACTCACCGTCAGCTACATCTACGGCAAGACGCTGCATGCCGACCGCCAGAAACAGCTCCACGAATGGGGCTTCAACTGCACCTGCAGCCAGTGCACCCTGCCCCCGCTCGAGATCGGCGCCTCAGACAACCGCATCCGCCAGATCAAGGCCCTCGAGAACGAGATCGAGACGCTCATGGCCCACCCGGGGGGTAAAGGCGTCAAGCCCGAGATGGGCGGCAAGCTGGTCGAGCTGTACGTGGCAGAGAGGCTCGACGCGTACCTCGCGCCGACGTACACGCGGGCGGCGCTCCTCTACTCCATGTTTGGCAGCGAGGAGAGGGCGAGGGTGTTCGCGACGGAGGCGATGGCCGCGCTGGAGAGGGAGGTCGGCCCGCAGGCCAAGGATATCGAGTCGATGAGGCGGTTGGCTGAAGATCCTAAGGGGCATTGGTCTTGGGGGATCAAGGTTACGAGCGGGACGGGTGCCAGTGAGGTGGGGAGGAATGAAACTCGTCGGAGCGGGAAGTAAGTTGACCGTTTGTGAGAGCGCTAGCGAGAATGGGTTTTGGAAGAGGGCGAGAGCTGTTCAATATTTGTCGTTTCATGGCCATCATCATTCTCATTGCCGCCTATGCTGCAACCCATCAGTGCATAGGCACATGTGGCACGCAAACTCAGCGGATGCCAATGGTAAGGGAGTATTAATCTTGTGAATTCGCGGTTGTGATTCTGTGTTAGTGATGTGAATGAATCTTATAATCCTGGAGGCTTTGGACTGTTGGGTTTTCTGTTCCTGGCCATCTCTAATTGCGGTCTGCTAGTGTCAGACCCGCCGGAACCCAGCTCGCGGTTGTATTTCAGGCGCCATGTTACTAACCCATCGCATATTATCCCTTCAACGATGCAGAAAACGTGTCCATCCAGCGTCGTTTGCAAATGGAACGGCCGTTCCTCATTGTCATCCCTCTGCCAGCGGCGTCTCTACCTTCTTGAAGACGTCGACAGCGGCGGTTGCGATGGCGGGGGAAGCCCCGGGGCAGAGAGAGCGCTGACAGAATGCGGATGGTCCCGAGGCGTAGTGTATATCGACGGACTGCTCGGCGGCGGCGAAGCCTCCTTCTGCTCTTCCTCGTCCGCCTCCCGCTGCACCTTTTTTAGATGCACCGCCCTCCCGATCCAGTACAGCAGGGCCATAACCATCAAGGCGATTCCCGCCCACGCCAGCGTGACCCAGCTTGTCCTAGCAACCGCAAATACCCCAGCAGCTACGCCCAAGTCGTTCACCTTCCTCTCGGCAACCTTGGCCCCGATGGCAGCAATCAACCCGCCAAGGATGAGGAAGAACAGGGCCGCGGAAACGAAGACGAGGTTGATCCAAACTGACCACATATAGCCCATACCTTTGCTGGCAGATTTGAGCGAGACGGCCGGAATGGAGGATAGGAAGGAGAGTCCTGCAAAACCGATGCCAATGCTGAAGATGACTCCGACGGCTTTGAGTAGCATGTTGAGGCTGTCGAGAGCTGACTCCAAAGGATAAGTGAATCCCAAGCTGAAGAGGGAAAGGTTCTGTCCTGGGCCGCCGAGGTTCAGAGCTGTTTCGATGAGGCACGGGATTGTTGAGGCCTCATCTGGTGGGAGGCAGTGTTAGCATCCTCAATAAGCTACATGAACGATGTGAGATTATCGGAATTGACGTACTTTCGGAGAAGAAATGGTGACATTGAATGATGTTACGGCGGCCATTTGGCATGAAGTCTCCTTCACAGACTGTCAGGGCGTACATCGAGTAAAAGTCGCGGATATGGCGCTTTTGGGGTGGCGTGGCAGGCATGTCGGCCATTCCGTTGTTGATGTCGTTGATCTCGTCACCTGCTTTGCTAGTGGAGGTGGTCGGAGGAGAAAGAGCACTGGAGGCCGCTGAAGTCATGCTGCTGCACAACGGACTCAAGAGACCCCCTACATTGTCACACTCGGTGGTTGTTGTCCGTGAAGGCGCGAAGGTATTCTCCGAGGCCTTGCTGTAGGTTTTGTTGCCGAGGTCCGAGGTGTAAATCTAGAGACGTGGTACATTAGCCAGGCAGGTGTCAGTATAGCAGTGGTGACGGTGCTGTACCGTGATGATATCGTAGGTGTCCAAGACGCCGGGTGTGTTGCCAGCGCAGAGTGCCAGCAGCGCCAGGATGAGGGCAGAGACTGTGAATACTACTGGCACAAGCCGGAAGAAATGCGCGCTCGTAAGCATTATTATAGCGTGAAATGATTGCAAGGAAAGGAAGGAAAGCGACGCCCCTGAAGTGAGGGAGTTTTTCAAGACGGCCGCAGATGTGACTCGAGTGTAGGGGGCAGAATCTTGATTCCCGGTCGAGCGGTTTAGTGATGAGCTCGAGGGCAAGATGGCCACATTATATAAGCAATTGGCGCAACCAGAGGTGAAGCGGTGGTGTTGCCTCCATGTGACTCTGACTTGTCATCTGGCTAGATCTGATCCCTGATTGTGGTGTCCGGTGAACCAGTGGCACTGTCAGGGGTCACTGATGCTGAGCACTGGCACATGGCCAAATTGAAGTGGGATGAGAATGGCGCTCCTTTGCTTGCATGTCTGGCGTGGCCACTGGCATGGAGCCAGATCACCGGTTGTGCACAGCGACACTTGTGTATCAAAGAACGCCGTGTTTGACGATCAGATGCAATGGCACATCTTGGTGTGACATTTCACAGTTCAACTTTTGAGAAAGTACTGCCTGTTTGCAATAGAAAAGTTCGAGGTTGGTAGATAGTTTGGTTCTGTAGGAACCGCAAGATGCATCTCAACGGCGCTCGAAGTGATAGATGACCTAGTAGGCTACTTGTTAGCCCTTATTGCATCTGTAAGCCAGAGCTGCACTCTCTAAGGTATGTCAGGACGGCGGCGTTACCATGGATGGGAGGCTGTACGACATGAAATGACCTGCATCCGATGTGCCGGCTTGACCGGAACCGCTGGGCTCCGGTTGGAAGCACCGGGCTGCCCCACATATCTGGTTGCATCGGGCTAAAGTGGGGCATTGACGGAGCCAATCCCTTTCGGCTTGTGCCGAAGAATTCGGAGTCACGGTTCGCAGCATTTCCATCATCTTTATCGGAGAAAGAAACGAATATGCTCTTCGACGTTACTAGTATGAGTGCCTAAGTCTGAAATTAGTCATTTGTACACGTACATCCGTCACGTGAAGCGGCATGGACTCATTGAGGACGGTCAGGTATAGAGTACCGTAGCCCTTTCTCACCGAGCGTTGCATCAACTGGAACCGGACTTCTTTGCATGGCGTTGGGAAGCGCTGAGAGCCGGGAAGGCCAAGGTAACTCAGCTCGAAAGTCAACGGGAAAGGCGGGTTTCCCATGCCGGGACTGCTCCATCACTGCCATCTGTCTTCTGAACCGCGGTGGCTGCTTGCTTCGAGTGAAAAGGACAAAAAACTGTGAAATTCATCTTCCAGCGACAGATCACACGGTGGATGGGGCCGAAACAGAGACTAGACAGACGACTTCTCACTAACTCCTCATGTCTGCTAGTTTGGAATGTTCCAAGGCAACGCCTTGGACATGGAAAATCAACTGTGAAATTCAACATCGATGTTTATGACAGGGCCCTCAAAGCTTTCATTGATAGCAGCCGCTGTGAGCGCCGAATGCCAGATCCTCCCCACTTATTTGGAGAGAGACTGTTGGATTTGGCAGGTGGTCAGGGAGGGCAGTTCAGAGGTGACTAATGGCTTGGCACTAGGATTCTCATGATCAGGAAGAGGGGGTAACTGCTTGGGAAGAACACGGATAGCAGCATCATCATCAATTGAGTGGTCACCCATTCTTTTGGTGCCTAATTACTACGGTACGGTAAATTTATAGCTCTATATGCTCTGTAAAAAGGGTTAAGGGTATATCTAAACAGGTGGTGGAGGCCGGGAGGGGGGATCTGCATTCTGCGCTCTCAGCGAGAATGGATTTTGAGTGCGGGGGAGGGGCAGCAGGACTCAGTGAAATTGAGGTCCCGTTGTCGGAGCCTTGCTCTCGCTCTTGACTCACTTTGAACTCGAAAAATTCCGGGGCAATATCTCCAAGTTCTAAGTCGGATCCAAGTCCATTGACCCCCATTCTGCTCAGAGATTTTGACCGGACCATTGGCAATTTGCTCGCCGGCAACAATGGCTCAATTACCGGACCCCACCGTCGACCTCGACTGGTCGGGCTACGTCGGCTCGATCCAGGAGCACTTCCGGGCCCAGGCCGAAGCCCATCCCGAGCGTACCTGCGTCGTCGAGACCAAGTCCTCCACCACCCCCCAGAGGAGTTTTACCTATCGCCAGATCTACGAGGCTTCCAACACGCTAGCATGGTACCTGCACAACGCCGGCGTCACCAATGGGGATGTGGTCATGATCTGGGCCCACAGATCGGTCGATCTGGTTGTGGCACTGATGGGCATCCTGGTACAGTGCTTCACGGCCATCCGCCATGGCTTCCACTGCGATTGTCCGGATGTACTAACTCTTACGACTTGATCTAGGCCTCCGGCGCAACCATGACCGTTCTCGACCCTGCCTACCCTCCGGCGAGGCAACAAATCTATCTCGAAGTGTCCCAGCCGCGCGCCCTGCTCAGAATCGGCCGTGCCACCGACGAGAACGGGCCCCTGGCCCCCGTGGTCCAGAAGTACATCGACGATGAACTACAACTCAAGACCGATGTTCCCGACCTAAGGCTCCGCGACGACGGCATTCTCTATGGCGGCGAGGTGGACGGGCAGGACATATTCGCAAGCGTGAGGCAACTCGCGTCCTCTCCCCCTGACGTGGTTGTCGGTCCCGACTCGAATCCGACACTCTCCTTCACATCTGGTAGCGAGGGCCGGCCGAAGGGCGTGCTGGGCCGCCACTTCAGCTTGGTCAAGTACTTTGGTTGGATGGCTGAGCGCTTCAACCTATCCTCCGAGAGCAGATACACCTTGCTGTCAGGAATTGCACACGACCCTGTGCAGCGCGACATCTTCACACCGCTGTTCCTCGGCGCCCAGCTTCTGGTCCCTTCCCGGGAAGATATCCAGCACGAGAAGCTCGCCGAATGGATGCGTGAGCACAAGCCGACCGTCACCCACCTCACCCCAGCCATGGGTCAGATTCTTGTCGGCGGTGCTACCGCAGAGTTCCCAAGCCTGGAGCACGTCTTCTTTGTCGGCGACGTTCTGACCACGAGAGACTGCCGCGCCCTTCGACGGCTGGCCGTCAACGCCAACATTATCAACATGTATGGCACGACCGAGACACAGAGGGCTGTCAGCTACTACGAGATTCCCAGCCGGGCGCGGGACCCCGACTACCTGGACAAGCTCAAGGACACCGTCCCTGCTGGAAAGGGAATGCAGAGCGTCCAGCTCCTCGTCGTCAACAGGGAGAACCGCACAGAGATGTGCAAGATTGGCGAGGTTGGCGAGATTTTTGTCCGGGCGGCTGGCCTTGCAGAGTAAGTCCGGTTGCCAGGATTGCGCTTCCACTGCTAACGCAAGGATTTCAGGGGTTATTTGGGCGACCCAGTGCTGAACGAACAGAAGTTTCTGATGAACTGGTTCGTCGACAACGAGAAGTGGGTCGAAGCTGACCAGAAGCTCAATAAGAACGAGCCCTGGCGTCGGTATTACAAGGGTCCAAGGGATAGACTGTACCGCACTGGAGACCTAGGGCGGTACCTTGAATCAGGGGACGTTGAGTGTGTCGGTCGTGCCGATGACCAGGTCAAGATTCGTGGCTTCCGCATCGAGTTGAACGACATTGACAGCAACTTGAGCCAAAACGCTCTCATTCGCGATTGCAAGACGCTGGTACGGAGAGACCGGAACGAGGAACCCACGCTCGTCAGCTACATCGTCCCGGAGCTCAAGGAATGGCAGCGCTGGCTCCACGACCGAGGCCTGGCGGATGTGGAAGACGAGGGCGTCGAAATGGGTCCGGTTACCGTCTTTTTGCAGAAGTACAGGCGAATGCAGACCGAGGTGCGCGATCACTTGAAGACTCGCCTGCCCACCTACGCCGTACCCACCATCTACATCGTTCTCAACAAGCTCCCGCTGAACCCCAACGGCAAGGTTGACAAGCCCAACCTTCCCTTCCCCGACGTCGCTGAGAGGATAGAGGGTGCCTCCGAGGAGGACATAAAGAGTTGGGAGTCCCTCACCGAGACTGAGCGGACGGTGGCCCAGCTCTGGGCGGATATCATCCGTGGTCTGAACCCGAAGACCATCAAGAGGGACGATGGATTCTTTGACCTTGGTGGCCACAGTCTGCTAGCCCAGCAATTCCTCCTGACTGTCCGCAAGAGCTTGGGCATCGACGTCCCGATCAGCACGCTCTACGAGCACTCCAGTCTCGCTGGCTTCAGTGCCCAGGTCGACAAGATTCGGAACAACGATACTACTGCCGTAGGGCCCGAAGCAGGCGAAGCCGCCTACGCCAAATCTCTGGACGAGTTGTTGCATCAGTTGCCGGAGAAGTACCAGTCTGCCGATGGTGAGGCGCTCGCCTCACCTGGGCAGTTAACTATCTTCCTCACCGGTGCGACCGGCTTTCTGGGTTCTTACCTCGTTCGCGATGTTCTGGAGCGAACTGCTCGGAGCGTCAAGCTCGTTGCCCATGTACGAGGTGCCAAGGAGCCGTCAGCCGCTTTTACGCGTCTTCAGAGGTCGCTTCAGGGCTACGGCCTGTGGAAGGACGAGTGGAAAAGTAGGTTGAGCGTCGTCGTGGGGGACCTGTCCAAGCCCCAGCTGGGTATTGATGACGCTACCTGGCAGCAGCTCGCGCAAGAGGTCGACGTCGTGATTCACAACGGTGCCATGGTCCACTGGGTCAAGAGATACCAAGATATGATGGCATCCAACGTGCTCTCAACCATTGACGCCATGAGGCTCTGCAACGAAGGGAAGCCCAAGGTATTCTCCTTTGTCAGCTCCACCAGCGTCCTAGATACGGACTACTACATTCAATTGTCGGAGAAACAGACGAGCACTGGCCAGGGTGCCATCATGGAAGATGACGACATGAGTGGAAGCCGGACCGGTCTCGGCACGGGCTACGGCCAGACCAAGTGGGTTTCCGAACAGCTTGTCCGGGAAGCTGGCAAGCGCGGCCTGGTCGGCTCGGTCGTCAGACCCGGTTACATCCTGGGCGACTCAAAGACTGGCGTTTGCAACGTCGACGATTTCCTCATCCGTATGCTCAAGGGCTGCATCCAACTTTCTGCCCGCCCTCGCATCATCAACACAGTCAACGCCGTTCCCGTCGACCACGTCGCTCGCGTCGTCGTCGCATCCGCGTTGAACCCGATTCCAACCGGCGTTCACGTCGTGCATGTCACGGCCCACCCCCGCCTCCGGATGAACGAGTACCTTTCCATTTTGGAGTACTACGGTTATCCGACGCCCGAAGTGAGCTACGACGCGTGGAAGGAGGAGCTCGAGAAGTTTGTGTCGGCGGGCGCGCTTGAGAAGGACCAGGAGCAGCATGCGCTCATGCCGTTGTACCACTTCTGCATGAACGACCTGCCGGCGAACACGCGCGCCCCCGAGATGGACGACCGGAACGCCGTCGCCGTTCTGAAGGCGGACGCTGACAGGTGGACTGGGGTCGACGATAGCACGGGGTATAGCGTCAGTAGGGAGGACGTGGGCCGATATTTGGCTTACCTGGCGGAGATCAAGTTTGTTGGGCGGCCAAGCGGGCGGGGCAGGCCTCTGCCCAAGATGAAGCCTGAGGTGTTGGCCGCGTTGGCGGTCGGTGGGATGGGTGGGCGTGGTGGTGCACCTTAGAGGTGTCCATTGGGTGGTCCCCAGTCCCGTGCCGGCAGTTGATATCTCTGACGCAGTGAATCCCCCAGAGCATCGGCTGTTCTGCAGCTCCGAATCCAGCTCTACCAGGAATCGCAATGTCAAAAGTGGCTTTCTACCGTGCATAACATGATTTTCTGGGGGCCCGCTACATGTTGTTGGTTACGTTCGGTCACAAGGGGCTTGAGACGTGAAACACTAGGTATGTAGCTAACATACCATTCAATAAGCAATTAACATGCCAACTCTCACCCACTGCTGGTACTTTCACTTTCAACCAGCTGAACCAAGGAAGTCTGATCATCCATCTGATGGCAACAACACTAGCACTCTTTCGCGTCCGCACAGAAGTCCCGCAGAGCATGGGGCCTGATTCTGGATCTGTTTAGTGTGTCGGGTCCCCGCACGAGGTCTTGATGGTACTAAAAGAACCGGCGCCAACCCTCTGCCGTCCACATTGATTGATGTCAGATAATGTTTGATGCCATTCTCATTCCACCCTGTCATAGGCTCGCTCATTTAGCCTTAGAACAAACGAAGCTGTCTATGACATGGCACCTTCCCATGCGGCGGCTTGAACTTAGCCAGCGTTCATCCGTACAATATACAGCTGACCCACAACGATCCCTTTGACTCGGTACTTCAGAGTCAGGGGCTGCTGTGCTCTCGGGTTGACTGATAAGCCAGCTGTGTCCATATATCAAGTTTTCCAAACACTGCTCTGCCTAGTGTTTGCTTACTCTACCCGAGCTATTACCCTTCCTTGCACGTCGTTGCAACAGATTGCCGTCATGAAGATCCCCGCTGGCACGGTCCTTCCCTTTGCGCCTTGGGTTGCGCCAAAAGCAGCCCTAAGAGGTGTCCAAGACATCACCTCCGAGTCTGCTCTGGCTGTTATCCGTGCCGCTGGGGCAAGTGCCACCTGTGAGTGGTTCGAGCAGCCAATAGACCACAAAAACAGGAGCATGGGGACATGGCAGCAGTTGTACTGTGTCAACCCTCAGTGGTGGGTTGGTCCCGGATCTCCGGTAAGGTTCAGATTTTCAAGCATCTTACCTGTCATTCCATTGAACTTTTGGCAGGTGGTGCTCATGACTCCCGGCGAAACGCCCATCACAACGGCCATCAACTCCGCCCGCGGATACACATACTTGAGCAACACGACCTTGTCCGGCGCATACGCCGAGGCTCTTGGAGCGGCCGCGGTTGTGGTCGAGCGTGGGTACTTCCGCCCGAACAAGGTTACCTGCTAAGCAAAGACAATAGATCGTTACTTCGGCGGATCGTCCCCGTATGAAGGCTTTGACTCCGAGACTCTCCAGTACTTGAACATGGAGCAGGCCGCAGCAGACATGGTCAACTTTGCCCAGAATGTCGCCTTCCCATTCGACGAGGAAAAGTCAAGTGTAGCATCAAAGGCAGCAAGTTTTAATCAGCATGACTACGAGAATGACCAGAAAAAAGACTGACTGGGACACAGCCATGGTTGTATTGGGGAGCGTCATACTCGGCCACGCTCGGGAGCTGGATTGAGCGCTTCCATCCTGGCGTCTTCTACGCCTACCACCTCAGCAGCGCCACGGTCGAAGCCAACACGGACAACTGGTATTACTACGATACCATCAGGAAAGGCATCGACAGCTACCGCAAGGACACGAGCTGCAGTCTCGCGCTTACCGAGGTGGTCGAGTTTGTCGACAGCTTCTTGCTTGCATCTCCCGTCAACAGCACAGAAGTTGACGCCTTGAAGCAACTCTTTGGAGCGACCTTCCCTATTGCCGACGATGACTTCGCCTAGTAGGTTCTTGGTGCATTTTGATATCCGAGACCTCTTGTGCTGATCTCTCTTGTTAGTGCAATTGCAACCCCATTCCGGTACTGGCAAGAGACCGGAGGCTACCGCGACGTCCTCGAGATGTGCGATGTCATCGTCAGCTCCCAGGAAACCGAGGAAAACAAGGTCCTCGGCACCGTTCCAGCCTCGGTAGCGACCTACGCGGCCTACTTCCGCATAAACTTCCGCGACTCAAGTATTGTCTTTTTCTTTTCCTCCCCCCACCCATCCACTCGCACAAATCCATCATCCATATAATTGACACATGTCCTTTTGCCCACTGTAGCTTGCACCTACTTCGACGTCTGGGGCCAAGAGGACCCGCTCTGGTGCCTCAACACGCACGACCTGCTAAACCCATTCTTCGAGGCGCGCACGCTCGGCAACCCGTGGCGGACCTGGTACTGGTTCCTGTGCAACGAGCCGCTGGCGTCGTGGGCGACGGGCGCGCCCGAGGGCACACCGTCCATCGTCTCGCGCCGGATTGACCCGCACTACTGGCAGCGCCAGTGCGAGATGCACTTCCCGCCCGAGAACGGCCAGCGGTACGGCAGCTCCAACGGCAAGACACCCGACGGCCTCAACAGCCGGACCGGCGGCTGGCTGCGGAACTCGACGAGGGTCATCTGGACGAGCGGGCGAGTGATACCTACCTTACTTACCTTGAGTGGTTGACAGTACATGGCTATTGACCCTCTCGATGAAGACATCGATCGAAGCTGACATACTGAACCTGCCATAGTGAATTCGACCCCTGGCGCGCCACCGGCATGTCGAGCGAGATCCGCCCCGGCGGCCCGCTCCAGTCATCCGACAATGTCGCCGTGTTCCTCATCAAGAACGCCGAGCATGCCGACGACGCCCTCACCGCGAGGGGGCTGGCGAATCTCAAGATGAAGGTCAACCCCGAGGTCGTCAAGGTCCAGGAGCAGTCCATTGAGCTCATGAAGAGATGGGTTAGCCAATACCTGCTCGGGGAGCAGGGCAAGTAGGTCCGGGCCAGCATGGGAAACACGGTATTGGGAATCCTGGATGACTCTTGTTGTCGGCGTGGTTTGTCCAGAGCTTATCTATATCGAGCTGCTCACATTGCTAGAAGCATGTTCAGGTGCACATATTGTACTGGACATAATAGCACAGGAAGGTCGGCTCGGGCCAGGACCCAACCTGAAGATCACACGCAGAGAAATCTCACAACCTGATCTAACTCATAGCACAACAGCAGTCCACGGACTGTTAAGGCAGAGTTGATTTTATCCGCCAACCACGCCCCTCCTCTCCCCCCACACCCCAAAATAAGATCCCTGTGTATCTGTATACCACGGCCGGCCATGGAAGACTCATGCCGAGGAGACCAATGCAATACAGGAAGTGACATCAAGCGAAGGAAGGTACGTGACCAACTCGGAGGAAAGTAAAAGAGACGAGAACTTGATGCAAAAGCAGAAGCAGAGTATACCTAAACCATGATACCGTTACCAAACCACGCTCTCTGTTACCCCCGTTGCCACTCCGCTACATGTTCACTCGGGCGTTCCGCTTGGGCCCCGTAACCATCCCAGCTTCTCAACTACAGCACTCTCAGTAAGTGACCGCCTATCGAGTTTTGCCCGCCGGCTTGCCGTGACGCCGAGCGGCGCAACAGAGCGGGTGTCGGCCTTTGGCTGCGATGTGATCGCCGCCGCGTTCGTATCCCCGACCTGTAACCGGGGGACCTTGCTACCCAGCTGCTCAGCAGTGGCATCCTACGCCACCCTGGCAGCGGGCTTCATACCACGACGACCAAGCAGTGTGGCGCCATCCAGGTTCAGCTCGAAAGCACCCTTCTGCCTGTTCCGCTCACGCACCTGCTGCCGCGCCGCCGCAGCAACGGCAGCCGAGTGCTGACCGTACCCGCGCTGCTCGACAGCGGCCGCCGGCGGAGGGTGCGCTTTCCTCTCACGGTCGCGGCCGCGCTGTTCCTGGTCCTGAATCTGCGTGTTGCGCATGCTCTGCTCGAGTTGTTGAGTAGAGTTGCCGTTGGCCTTGGGGACGTACTCGACCGTGTCTTCGTCGGTCATCTCCTCGTCCTCGTCGAGCCCGCCGAGCCGTGACACGCCGGCTTTGGCGCCGATCTGTTTCTTCCGCCTGCCCTCCTCCTCTTGCCTGTGGACTGCATAGCCGACATCAAAGACCTCGCGCAGGTTGATGGCGGCTGGAGAGCGGAAGTCGTAGCGCTTGTCGCCCTCGACGATCTTGGTCATGTCGAACGCACGCAGCGGTTGGTCTGTCGACATCGCTTTCCTCTCGTCGCGTGGCGTCGGCCCAGACTCGCGGATCCATGGGTGGGCGAGGAACTCCTTGATCGTGTATCGCTTTTCCGGGTCCACGCAGAGCAGGTGCGAGATCAGATCCTGAGCCGACTTGCTGATATCGTCCCACCACGGTGACAGGAAGGTGTATTGGCCTTTCGCCACCTTTTCGGTGAGCACCTCGATGCTCTCGTCGTAGAAGGGCGGAAATCCACAGAGCAGTGTGTACAACACGCAGCCCATGGCCCACATGTCAACTGACTTGGAATACCTCTCATCCTTCACAATTTCGGGGGCCGTGTAGCCGACCGTGCCGCAAGGGGTCATGGTCTGGTTGTCCCATACGATCTTTGAAAGGCCAAAATCGGCAATCTTGATTTGTCCAATGCCGCCGGCGCCAACACCCTTGATGAACTCGCCCTCGTCCACCTTGTCCTCGTCCCCTGGCTGCTTGGGCTTTGGGTTCTTTGATGGGACAAATGGAATGGGCACGAAGAGGATATTTTCTGGCTTGATGTCGCTGTGTATTGTGAGTAAGCCGAGTGGGCAACTCTCCGGGAACGTCATGTACGTACCGATGTACAATCCCCCTCTCCTCGTGCAAATATTCCAACGCCTTTGCGACCTGCGTGATGACATGGCGTGATAGATCCTCGCTGAAGTAGGTCAAACGCACAATCTGGTGGAATAGTTCCCCCCCTGGGGCAAGCTCGAGGATAATGTAGTAGTACTGCCGAGACTCCGAGAAGTCGATAAGTTTGATGATGTTCGGGTGGTCTATCTGGCGCATGATTTGTACTTCCTTCAGAATATTCGCCCTCTGCAGCATAGTTAGCCCTCATCGACAACGATGAAAAGGATCCGAACGGCGCCGGCACTTGACTCGGAGCTAAACGCAAACCGCTGGCAGGTTCGAAACGATTCGAGCGAGCCGTCGGTGGAACAAATGCACCAGGATGTTAGAAAGAAAAGGAGATTCTTCGCACCTCTGCGGCCTTTGGCGCCTTTGGTTTAAAGTCTGGATGAAGGTGTTTGTTGCTCTAGAATTGGCCCTAGAGTTGGTAAAGGGAACTTGGACGAAGGGAAAACGAAAGACGCGCAAGGAGAAGGAGTTGGCGAGGAACGGCACGACCCCCCGTGGTCACATACCTGCATGCTGTTCATCTCGTACTTGCGGACGACCTTGATGGCAACCTCCCCGGCGATCCCCTCGCGGTCTCGGGCTCGGTAGACGTTGCTGAAAGCGCCGTCGCCCATCTTCTCGACGAGCTCCCACCGCTCGAGGCCCGGGTAGTGGGGGAACTTGCTCTTGCTCTCATTCTCCTCTGCGACGAGCTTTGCAATATTCTCATCGGGTATCCGCTTGTGCTGTTTTGCCTTGACCTCTACCGCTAGTGGCTGGTGTGGCTCGTGGTGCTGAGCGGCAGCATGGTTGTGGGACGCAGACGAAGCGCCGAAGATGGGTTCTGTCACTCTTGCGGCCATCGTGGCCTTTCCGGGCTGTTGTTGTTTTGGCGGGGGGCTGTCATGATCAACGGCGCGAGCTTGCTTGCCTGATTATGACGCCGTGACATCAGCTTGTCTGTCCAAACCACAGCGTCCAGGCTGACCCAACCAGCGAGCCAGCCTAGGCCTGCCGGAACAGGGGGACTTACCGTGGCGGATAAAGTTTTTGAGTTGCTGTATTGTCGACATTTTGGGCTTGCGTGACTTTTCCTTACGCCCTTTTTCTTACTAGGAGCTTCCTCTGGCGGAGTGTCGAGTCCTGGCAGTGAAGAATCCCCCCAGAATTCCCTTGGTTGGGTTGGGCAGCGCAAGCAAGCGGCGTTAAGTAGTGTCAAAAATTGCCGGTTGACGTCGGGCAAAAGTCTTGATTGATGCTATTGGCAAACTGACTCGGTTCAAGGGCGGTTCGCGACTGCAGGGAACGGGGACGGTGATTTGTGAGGGTAGGATATCCAACGGCAGGCGGGACGCTTCGCGGCGTATCGAACCTCTGGGAGGGAGAGTCTTGAGAGAAAGAAAAATGGTGCCTGGGTCAAGAAGCCAGGGGGGTTTGAAAGACCAAATAAGGTATGGGATGCAGTGTCGAGGGTTGAGGTCACTGTCGGGTGGCTGCAACCAAGGAACTGACTGCAGGTGCTGCGTAACCGGTCAAGTGAGTTCTGGGTGGTGGGGATGGAAGTCGCTTCCTTCTAATGCGCCGTCTGAGGTTGGCGCTTTTGCTGCTCAAGCACCGTCTGTCATCATACAGTCCAGTATCCGGCGCAAAGTTATCGGACAGTTGTCTGAAACTGCCAGGCTGCAGCAGTGTGCAAAGGGTCGCTGGTCATCTGGTGAGGAGCATGCGGCGGAGCCAAGATAACAGGGGCTGTGGATAACAGGCGGAGATGTGAACTCAGCCAAGCAGGCCTGAATATTTGCCGATTCGCGACGCTGAGGACGTCGAAAAGTCAGAAGTCAGATAGTCAGACTGACGATTCAAAACTGGGAGTTTGCAGCACAGAAAGGCTGAAAGGCGGCTTCTGGTTTAGTTTTTCGCACAAAACTGGAAAGTCCAACTTTCTCAATCACCCCATGTTGGCGCAGCTGGGCAGCGTGCCCTTGCTTTCACGGCAGAGCATTTCCAAGTGCGTCCAAGGTTGGTGTGAAAGGACCCTCCTATGACGTAGTGCGTAGCGTCATTAGCGCCAGCGCCGGATATTAGTGCGGCTTTGCAATCAGCTGCGTCACAGTTTCTTGGCAACATTTGTGAAAATGGGTGCTTTTTCCTTAGGCGCGGTGCCGCCTAATGCGTCTCATCCAGGGGCGACCGTAAACTTTGAGGCCTTTTGTATCCGAGCTGACTTCAGCTTCTCATTCCGGTTCTACCACAGTACAAAGCAGCGGACTTAAAGATTTCAGGTTCCCTCTTTGATAATTGCATCTTGGTAGGAAGTTGGTTCCTTTTGGGAGAAGGACTCATAGGTCAGGGGGCCTCATGTACCCCGCACCCCCACTTCAACGTCAACCAGATACGATAAATAACATTACAACGAAGGTGAGAATCTAATCCGTCCTTCGCTGCCCATGAGTGTGCCGGTGAATCTCGAGCACTGCGCTGTCGTCGATGTCCAGTCAAATTTTCACGTACCCTTGACAAACCACAGTGAGATGGCAAAATTGGTAGCATGTGAATCCAAGTCCTCCAAGATCTGGCCGGCATTGACATGAAGACGGCACGTCACGGGGACCTGAATGAGCCTGACTCGCCTGAGTCATGAGGGCCATCAAAGCGTTTCTCAGGAACACAAAGCTGAAATCGAGGCGACAAAACATATCCGATGGCCACCGGGCGTATCTCTCATTCCCGCGACGTTGTCGCTGAGCCCGAGTCGACTCGCTTTTATGGAGCAGTCGCCAAGATGACCTGGGTTTTGGGATTCTGCGTTCAGAAAACCTGGCTCTCGCCTGGGTAGCACGGCACGGGTTGCTGCATACATACATTCATGTGTGGGCTTCCCACATGGGGAACGGTTGTCGATCTGTTCTCTGGGCATGATTCCGCCTCCCCGTCGTTGGACTGCCTGGTCCGTAACCCGCGACTTTGGGGCTGAGACACTGAGACGAGCCTAGACGTCATGGCCGTTACAAGCTTCGCCTGACAAAGCCGAAACCGCGGGGCAGAGCGGAGTTGGTATTTATGAAGACCTCAGTAGTCTCAAGAACGCAACAACTTCAATGCTTCCCAACATACGGGCAGTGCTTCGAAGTTCGAGCATTCGAGTCCAGTTGTTTGACCGTGATATTACAGTCAGACCTCCGAGGTGTCCTCAGAGGTGTCACCCCGCCTGGCGACCCCCAGGGCTCGAGGAATCCAATGCTTCGCCCTGCAACATACCAGGTTCAACCGTCTTTTCCTTCTCACTTCAGCTCTCTGCAGCAGGCTTTTGCCTCCGTCTTTTGAAGAAAAAATAATTATTATTATTATGATTATTATTTTTCTTGGTTCGGAGGACTAACTTGAGGAATCCTGCAGGTGCCACTCAATGAGCCTCCTCCGGCTTATACTTCTTCACGTTGAAGACATATAAAATATCTCATACAACTTTCCACTCATCGCAGACCTGCGGAGAAGTCTCGTCTCGTACCGGCCAAGAAAACTGACAACTAACGGTATACGCGTCCCGATCCGTTCTGTCGCAAAACGGGCATGTGCCGCACCAGCTTTAGCTGGATACGGACGCCCGGTTCTTTGATCCTTCCCTTCCGTAACTTGCTTCTACTTAACTTTGACTTTAGACTTTGTACGGCTGTGTGTTGAGACCGCAACGCCCGCGATGAAGTACGAGACGGATGATCAACGCTCAAGTAGGGAAACTAGAGTCTCAACTGACTTGGTGCTGGTGGGCTGCAGCCGGTCTGACATATGATCCTCGTCGCCAGCTACCCTCTCAGACCACTCTTGACGCCGCATTCAGTGCAAGAGCTTCCGCCATGACGGGCACGAAGTCAGATTGACATCGTCCACATTGCCAATCATGACTTGGCCCGCAAGAAGCATGTTCGGCAGAAAACGTCCCAACAGCATGCATTTCGACACCGTCTGGTATTACACATGGCAGGCCTGCCTCCGGAGCGAGCGTCTTTCCCATCTTCATCTTAGGTGTTCTCAAGCTAGTTGGTCTTTAGTATGCTCTACATTCCACTTACACTGCACCAAGACTTGGACTTTCTGAAACGTTGCTAGAAGCCGCCGCCTATCTGAAGTGTCAATTTTAAAGAACAAGCATAATTGCCTGGTGCATGAGTTCTCAAACCAAAAATCGCAGACAACACATCCGGTTACTAGAACGCCTTCACCCGCAACCAAAGCCAGCCCTCTCGTGCCGCGCCGAAAGACGACAGGCCCGTCCTCGGGTGGGAAACCGGGTCGAAACACCCTGCCAAGCGGCATCCGGCCGGCGACAGCGTGGATTGGTGGAGTAAAGGTCTCGGCGTCGTGGAGTAAGGTCTCGGCGTCGTGGAGTAAGGTCTCGGCATCGTGGCAGTCCAACGCTGTCATCTTCCGAAATACCCGGACGGGACTAGGCCGGCTCTCGGGGCCCTGGATACCTCAGACTTGGGAGTCTCCATGGGTGTCTCCAACGGCTTTCCGGGACATTCCCCGATCTGAACCTCATTTGAGCAAACTCATACCAAGCATATTATTACTACCATCCAATGGATGCAAACACCACCTGCAACGTTCCGGCTATGCCACCCGAACCAGCCACCCTCTTGTGACACCCACCCAACGCCTCTGTGGTTATGCTAGCGTTGATCGAAATGGCAGCCTGAGATTCGGCATTTCAACCTCGCCGGCCAGTAACATCTGACTCTCGGAAGACCATGCTCCTGGGTCCCAGGTTCTGGTCACGGTGAGGGTCAACTAAGGGTTCCCCCATTGTTACCTAAGGACCCTACCTAATTACCTGACCTTTCCTCAAAACTCTGGTTAGATCTCTGGTGTTCGCTTGCTCTCTCCATAACACTCGAGTCGGGCTGAGCGATGCGAGCAGATCTCCCATTCGTATCGGAATCTGAGGTCTGACCCGAGCCGCTGAAACGCTCAGTGCTATCATCATGGCACCGACCGACATCCTCAAAGCTACCGGCATCTGGGCAGGAGGGCTTCTCCTCGGTCTCGGCCTACCGTATCTCCCGCACCTGTCTTCGTCTCGTCTCACGTCCTTCATTGGCGACTTTCCGATGCCAGATTACCCGTTGGCCTTCCCATTCTTCAAGAATACCACAGATTCCACTGCCGCCGACAACCTCAAGCAGTTCGTTTGCGACACTTCGCACACATACAGGACAGAGCTCGTCAGTCTGGAGCCACTCATCATCTACATCCACAACCTCGTCACGCCCATCGAGATCGAGTCCCTCCTCGAGACGGCCGAGCCGAGATTCGCACCATCCCAGGTGACCAAGTACGGCCGGCAGCAGCAAACCTCGGACCGGACCTCGAGTTCCGCAGGCTTGCCGCGCGATGACCCAGCCGTCAAGTGTGTTCTGGCCCGGACACGGAAGTTCCTAGGTACGATGCTACGCGATGGGTGGGACGAGATGGGGCCTCCCCAGTTGGTCAGGTATAGCTCTGGGCAACGCTTTAACGTCCACCACGGTACGTCAAATTCGTGCTCCTTTTGCCCCTTTCAAGATGTCTCGGGGTTCACAAGGGTCGCTTGTCCCTAAAGCAGCACCCATTGCCAATGAAATACTCCTGAGTCACGCTTAATAGGTAGACAAGCAATGACTGATTTTGTTGGACAGACTGGTTCGAGATTCCTCAATGGGCCCCAGACGGCAGCATGCGCAGGTGGAACCGCGTGGCGAGCTTCTTTGCCATTTTGCAAGACAACTGCACAGGCGGAGAGACTCACTTTCCGTATGCTAAACCGATCACGTTCCCTAGCCCTCGGGGCGAAGCCATGTGGCAGGGTGAAGTAGCCCAAAAACAAGGCGAAGAAGCGGCAAAGCCACTGTGGAGAGAGCACGAGGATGGTGGGCTTGCATTCAGGCCTGTGGCTGGAAACGCGATCTTCTGGGTGAACCTGCAAGCAAACGGGTCCGGCGACGCTCGAACCAACCACGCCGGTTTGCCCCTGGAGTCTGGGCGGAAGACGGCCATGAACATCTGGCCAAGGCAATACTACCCCTATGAGTGAGCATGTGTACAAATGGCAATGCACTGCAGGTTTCAGTTCAACTGCCGCACCAGCTTGCTCCGATGCTTATACCCGTCGATCCTACGCGGGCCATACTCTGCCACCATCGAACCACGTCTCGGCCACCCTCGCATCCATCAGCTTCTCCTTCTCCCACTCCATGTCGACGATCACAAAGTCGGCCTTGTGCCCCTTCTCGAGCACGCCTACCCTGTGGTCATCAAAACAGCTGTACGCGGCACCTTCAGTGGCCGCAGCCACTGCCTCGCAAAGCCCAAGGGCAAAGTGCGGGTTTACTGCTGTCTCCATCTCCGGCTCACGGTATGACCTCCGCGTCGTGCCCACATAAATGTTCCCCAACGGTGTATGGGGTGCGGTTGGCGCATCGCTGCCGAGCGCAAGCGGTGCTCCCAAATCGGCAAACTCGCGATAGGCGAATGCTCTCCCGCACCTGTGCTCGCCCAGCAGCCGTGGCCACGCCTTGAGAATGGCCGGATCAGCATGAACTGGCTGGATTGAGGCCGTGATCCGCCCCTGCCCGAGCCGGGCTGCTTCCTCCTCAGTCGCCAGCTCCAGATGCTCTACGCGTGGCCTCCGCTCGCGGTTCGCAAATTTTGTCAGTACGTCGACCACCATCTTCACCGTCGCGTCCCCGATAGCGTGCAGCGCAACCTGCAACGCGGCCTCATCCGCCCGCTTGACAACCGGCTCCAGTTGCTCGGCCGTCCAGAGCGGCACCTCGAAATGCCCGTTGTGCGCATACGGCTCCGACAAGCCCGCCGTACAGGCGTCTACAATCCCATCACAAATCACCTTGATCCCCACGATCCTGCAGTCCGGCGTCGTGGAGGCGTTGAACCGGCTTGCCAACTCGATGGCCCTGTCGACCTGCTTCAACCTGTCCTCCTCCCTCCCACAAGGCTTCACCAACCAATATGCCGCAATCCGCATCGGGATCCCGCCCTTCCCCTCCTCCCTTTCCCTCAACGCCTGCAGCGCCTCCCACGCCCCCTCGTCCATGGCCATGTCAATCATGCCCGTGTACCCGGCCTCATGGTACGCCGCGACCGCCGCCCGGATAGCCGCCATGCGCTCGTCCATGGTCGCCACGCGCGCCAGGTACGGCCACACGTACGTGATGTTGGCCGCCTCGCTAAACACGCCCGTCAGCCTTCCTTCAGCGTCCCTCTCGATGATGCCGCCCGGAACGTCCTGCCACTCGGTGGCGCCGAGCTCGGCGATGCCGGCGCTGTTGCACCACGTCGAGTGCAGGTCCTTGGAGTCGACCAGGATGGGCCGGTTCTTCTGGCCCGTCCCGTGGTCGTCGTCGAGGTCGTCGAGATCGGACGCCCGCGCGCCGTCGGGCGTCATGCTGTGCATCCATCCGCGGCAGAGGATGCGCGGGACGTCCGGGTGGGCGGCGGCGTAGGACCGGATGGTGGCGCGAATGTCGGCGAGGGACTTGCACTTGCCCAGGTCGAGCTTGTTGAGCGCCTGGCCCAGCAGCATCAGGTGCATGTGTCCGTCAACGAAGCCGGGGAGGATGGTTTTTTTGCCCTGCAGGTCGTGTACGGTTACATTGTGGGAGGCGAGGGCTGCGGCGATGGGTGCGTCCGAGGCAGAACCGACATGCTCGATTTGGGAACCGCGGATGAGCATGCACGAGGCGAAGGTGGGCGGCCGGTGCAGCCCCGCGTTGATTCCGGGCTTGACGCCAGACAGGAAGACCTTTCCGTTGGTGAAGAGCGTTGCGGGGGCTGCCATCGTCATGGCTGTTTGTATTCGGTTGCTCTAAAGATTCAGGACTGGCGAACTGCTTCAAGTTGCTCTCTTCAGACTTTGGTAGTGAAGATCTTTGTATGCAAGGTGATTAGTTCTCAGTTCTGAAGCGTGAACATGTGTGAAAAAGTTGGGCTCGGGCAGCATCGGCAGCTAATCGATCAATCTGATAAGCTTAAGCATCTCCCTCTTCTGCCAGTCCCATCGCAGCAGGGCTGCTCATCCGAGGTGGAACTCAGGGGAAGCTCCGAAGCGGGGTTACCTGGCCGAGGACCGGAGCGCCGGTCAAGGAGCTGGGTTGGACCGTTTGGTAGGTACAGATTCGGTTAGAGAGCCAGCTGTTATGTGCAAAAGGGCATAGCCATCTGACTTGGGCAGAGAGGAAGACGGAAGAGATCAAACTTCCAAAAGCCTAGCGTGAAGTCGTGCTGCAGCACCCGGACTCCCCGATTTGTCCAACTACGGCCTCAGCAATGCATGGTCGCTACGGCGAGGCCACCGTCACCGAGGCCCGTCTATGTGCGCCATTCATGTCCTGGATGTGCTAGGAATGGCCATGTTTTGGTGGTTTCAGGGGACTTCTTTGGTGGTAGGAAAGGCAGGCAAAGTGCCCCGACACTGTCGTCAAGCACAACAGATACTCTAACCATAGGCGATAGGGACAGTATCAAGAGTAACTACTGTATAACTAGAACCCTAAGTTGGAGAATAGGCTAAATATTTCCTATACTCTCGATCTTTCCCTCTAGCTTCCCTTCATCTTCTAACTAGTCGTTCTCCTCTTCCAAGTCCTCTTCCTCTTTTCTGATAACGTTAGCCTTTCCGTCTTTCCCCTTTGACTTCCTATTCTTCTTCCTTTTGAAATCCCTCTCCTTGTTTCCCTGTTTCTCTCTTTCTCTTTTTCCGCTATATCTTCCCTTTCTCTTTCCCTTAGTAATTTGTTTATCGGTTTTTTTCTTCTTTTTCCTCTTCTCTTTCTTCTTCTTTCTGCTTTCTCTCCCTTTTTTCGTTTTCTTTTCTCTACTTTTCTTGCTCCCTTTGTTTCCTCTTCCTCTTCTTCTTCCTCTTCCTCTTCTTCTTCCTCTTCCTCTTCTTCTTCCTCTTCCTCTTCTTCTTCCTCTTCCTCTTCTTCTTCCTCTTCCTCTTCCTCTTTCGCTGTAGGCAGCCTAACCCTAAAGCTGCTACCTTTCATAAAGCGAATGGCGTTCCTGGCCAAGATCCCAACTCTGTCATGCCAGCTCATGAACTTGAGGATTACCTTAGGCGCTCCTCGAGTCCTGCCGAAAGTAAAGTTAACAGGGCTGCTTGCGAACTGGGCCGAGAATTCGCCTGGGAAAATACTAAACATGCTGCTGCCTTAAAGGTGCCTCCGACTATCCGCGCCTATCCATTCCGCGAACGAGTTGCCTGGTCTCCCAGGTGGAGGTCGTGAGGATAGACTCCGAATTCCTCAGTGCTGTGATGGAGGCTGCGGCTTGCGTCAAGTTCCAAGGTACTGCCCTTGGGGCTACCTACCTTACCTACCTTACCTGCAGGCAAAAGCGAGGCTCTCGACGTTTTTGAAGCAAGGATCGAGCTGCTCATCCGACAAAAGTCTCATGAAATGATTACTGGACGCTTCGGATCCACTTGCCCCCCGAGTCATCAACACGGCGGCCGGTCGGCCGGACAGGTCTTGGCAACCCTTCACCAAAGCTGGCCGAGTTTTCGCCGACATGGAAACCGCGCTTTGCCTGCTTTGCTCGAGTACTAGCGTACCGATAACGAACGCCGCATCATAAGCCGCATCCCAAGCTTCCCGGCAGAACCTTCGTGTTCGATCGCGGGGTCCAAGTTCGGATAGACGCGGTTGATGCAGCTTCGAGCCAGGCCCAAAACAAGGAGTCCCACGTCTGACGTTACAAGACTGCCTTCGACCGAGTGGTCGGATTTGGCCGAAGATCAGCATGGCGCGTTAGCGTCAATGCACCCCGTAACTGTTGCAAGGGGCCATTGGCCAATTGCCAAATCTGCGGTCAGGCTTGCGTCGCAACTCCGGCGACTTCCCGGACAGGGCTCCGGCAATGATCGGGCGACCCTCCACGTGCGTGCCGGGCGCCGCATCTGCAGTCCGATGAAGTCACCAATGGCCTGCCGTGGTCATAGTCTGTTTCCACTTGGCTCGCTTCAGAGTTCCTTGAACACGGAGAACCTTCCATCGCTAAGGTTCCTGGCACCCACACTTCCCCAGAGTCTGCTGAGTCTGGCGCCCCGAAACTGACGGCCGGGTACTACCCACTCTCTCGGCTTGCTTCCCCTGGATCTCCAGATTTTCCACATAATCGTGGATCCCCTCAATATCTACTCCACCCCTATCGCACCGAACGCCAAAAGCGTCTGCCATTGTGGAGTGCAAACAAGATAAAGAATCAACGGCACACCGTCTTATTTCAACATCGCTCCCTCTGCTACGCCTCCTCAACCAACCGCCGCCAGGTCACTGCACGGAGCCGCTTGCTTGATACACCCGAGATGAAAAACGAGGAGTACTCAGACAGCCCCGTCGCCGACGAGTCGCAGGGCGGCTCGCACATCGTCGATGGCGTAATCTCGCTCGACCGAGCGTCACAACTCCAACGAGGTCTCAAGAGTCGACACATTCAGTTCTTGGCACTGGGTGGCGCGTGAGTTTATCATTCCGTCAAGCTTTGACAATGCCTGACAGTGGAGAATAGCATCGGTACCGGTCTGTTCGTTGGATCTGGCGCGATTCTGGCCCTCGTCGGCCCCGTACCATTATGGCTGGGCTATCTCTCCATGATGCTTGTTGTCTGGATCGTCATGAACGGCATTGCCGAGATGACGACGTACCTCCCAATGAAGGGCATCACATTACCATACTTCACAAACCGTTTTGTCGACAGCAGCCTGGCATTCGCATCGGGGTGGAATTACTGGTATGCGTATGCGATTCTGGTGGCGGCCGAGGCCACAGCTGGTGCCATATTGCTCGACTACTGGGAGTCCCCGGTTCCGTCGGCCGTCTGGATCACCATCATCCTGGTCGTCTGCCTCGCCCTCAACATCATCGCCGTCGAGGTGTTTGGCGAAGCTGAGTTTTGGTTTGCCAGCATCAAGCTGATCACCATCATTGGGCTGGTCATCATGGGCATCGTCATCATGGCTGGTGGCGCACCGCAGGGTGGTGCCATTGGCTTCAAGTACTGGGACGACCCCGGGGCGTTCAAGGAGTACGTCGGGACGGGCGCGACGGGACGTTTCACCGCCTACTGGACTGCTTTCGTCCGCGCCGGATTCAGCTTCATCACCTCCCCTGAACTCATTGGTCTCGCAGCGGGCGAGACAGTTGCACCCCGCCGCAACATCCCGAAGGCCGCCCGACGTTTCCTCGCTCGTCTTGCCCTCTTCTACGGCGTCAGCAGCTTGATCATTGGCGCCATCGTGCCCTCCGACGACCCGCGCCTGCTCTCGCCGGAATCCAATGCCAATGCCAGCCCCTGGGTTATCGGCATCCAGCGTGCGGGCATCGGCGGCCTGAACCACGTCATCAACGCGGCAATCTTGACGTCGGCTTGGTCGGCCGGCAACGCCTTTCTGTATTCCGGCTCCCGTATCCTCTACTCGATGGCCGCCACTGGTCAGGCCCCAGCCATTTTCGCCAAGACGACACGCCGCGGCGTTCCCTACCTTGCCGTCATTGCGACTTGGGCCGTCGGCCTCTTGGCGTACCTCAACGTCTCGGAGAACGGAGCGCGCGTGTTTGGCTGGTTCATGAACATCTCGACCATCTCCGGCTTCATCGCGTGGATTGTCGTCATGATCACGTATCTACGCTTCCGGTCGGCCATGCAGTACCAGGGCTTGATGGACACGCTGCCGTTCAGGACGATCGGCCAACCATACGCGACGTGGGCGGCGCTGGTAGTCATCATCTTGTTGACCCTCACCAATGGCTTCCAGGTGTTTGTGCCCAGCCGGTGGAACTACCAGGACTTCTTGGCCGCGTACATCACCATCCCCATCTTCTTCGTGCTGTACGTTGGGCACAAGCTCTGGTTCCGGACGCCGCTGGCGAGGAAGACCCACGAGATCGATGTTCTGACGGGCAAGAAGGAGATGGACGAGTTCTGTGCCCACGACTACCCGCCGGTGCCAAAGAACTTTGTCCAGAGGATTTGGTTCTGGCTTGCATAGTTTTGATGTACGAAATAGAATCTGTCTCCTGTGGGGAGGCTTGGATAGTCATAACTGAAACTCCAGTTTGACCAGTACCCGACCGGTCGCTGAAGGCCGCACAATGGTGGCAATGTGATTCGAGGAGTGTTGGCGAGAATCTCGTGTCGGCGGTTCCTCAGCCAATGGAGTCGCTGTTATATGCACCGGCTACCCTTCTTGATCTCGGATGCGCTCATGTGTGACTTTTTGCCGGCGAGAACCTTGATTTGTTTCGCTTGACGCCGAGTCGCGGCACGGCGGCAAAGTACTGCAGGCTTGGAAAACCGTGCTTGCATGGGCAGATTCCCGTCACGCCCCTATCCCAAGTCCCGGGCACTTGAGACCGGGCTCTTGCCCTCCTGCCTAGGTTCATCCTGCTTCAGGCACAGGGTTGCTCTCTTCGGAACAGGAACCGGCCGAACGACACTCAGAAAAACCCATCAATATCTCGTTCGGAGACCTCAGCCGCTTAGGTTTGGTGTCATTATGCGTGCCGTTTTGGCGACTTTCCTCGCCTTCTCCGGGCCTGCATCGTCTGTTAGATTCATCAGTCCTCAGTCGCCTTCTCTTGGAACAACTGCGGACTTCGGTGCCAACCTAGTCTATGCCTACGGTTCCGCCATCGAGGCAGCATAAACAGATACCGCGGACAACGGCATTCCGTTTCCTGTTGCCGCTTACCAGGTCGACATTTCCAATGCGGAGATACCGGGCAACCAAGCGTTCGAATATGTTGTCCTTAAGTCCGCCGGTTTCCTTTATTCGAAGTCTATTTACCCGTCCAAGGACTGACCAAGCTGAACTCTGGATTCATTTAGATAACGCCGTGAACCTTACAAGAAGCCACTGGGTTGTTGCGACGGCGAAAACCCTCACCTTTTCAAACCTAACTGTGCTCAGCATCTTCTTCCAAGGAGACACGGCGGGGAGGGCGCTTTCGCATTTCTTCAACATATCCTCCAAGTCCACCGACGCGCCGGCGTAACAATTGACACAAACGGTCACTGTGACTGTCACGACTACCACTACACTGTCCAATACAGCTAGAACTGCTGGATCGACATCACTTGCCAATGACGACGGCTTCGGCACAGCAGCCAAAGCTGGGCTTGCTGTCAGAATCGTAGCAGCTTTGGGCCTGGGTGTCATTGTAGGCTGGTTACTGCCTGGGCCGAAGAGGAGTGGCTTTGGGTCGCAATCAGGACCAGCCACGGGAGGGAGCCGCGCAGGAACTCGAGGCTGCACGGCAGGAGAGTCGGGTTTGGGCGTGGGAGCAGCTGCTGGTTCGTCGGAAAAGTATCTGCCTCTCGAGTTGAAAGGTGAAGCCCTGCGGTACGAGCTCTGTGGGACATGATCGACGGCTGTTGTCATGATATGTGTTGGTATAGTACCTTAGATAGCCGGTGAGCGAGGGCATGTGAGAGAACTCGGCATGTTGTTGGCTATTCCCGTTGTCGCCAACTGGCAGAGGTTCGGGGTGTCGCAGTTTGATCGTTAACAATGCCTTTTTCAGATTTTGCCTTTTTTTGGCTGGACAAGCACACTAGCAGAATTCAGGCATGGTTCGAAACAAAGAAGCTTGATTTTACACCTGCATAAGCGACCGAGACACTGAAATTGGCAATAATGAGATGTATATGAGGGTTAAGATACCTTACCTTAGTGAGAATGTCACAGAAGGCCAAGATCCTAACCATGTTTCATCAATCGCATGCAGGGTCATACTCACATCTTGTGCCGGGGCGTTTGAGCCCTCCACACCGATTCCGATCAACCGAAACTGATAGCACCTGTGTGGGGAGACAGTCCCGGGCAGTCGGCAATGAGATATGGTCGACAGCGTTGAAGTACGACTGCTTGTGGTTTTCGTCCGGAAAGGGGGATGTAACGGGCTGGGCCCGGTGCGAGCCTCGGCGACTCTCGGCCAATACCAAGACCCCTGATGAGGCTATTCCCACTCGCCCCACAGCACACCGAACCTTCTAGCAACGCGCTCAGACCAGCGCGCCTACGAGGATAAGTATGCTTGCGAGCTACCAGAGTCTGTCGTCTCTCCTTTTCTTCTCCAAGTTCAGTGTACTCGTAGAGTCGTCATCAGCTAGTTGCAATATACTACCTGAGACCGTTACAGGGGAGATCCTGTGATCTGGTTCAGCAGTTCGGGTGGACAAAACTCAAATCACCCACAAATCGTGTACTTCCCAGATCAAGTACTGCAGTGGCCTGGCCTATCCGTCAGGCAGCTGTTATAGAACTTTTTGTTAGGCAGCGGGCGAAACCGAGTTTCTGACGTTGTACTCTCCAACAAATAACAAAAACCCGTTGTTCCAGAGGATGTTTGAAAGTTGAGACATTACCATACCTTATGCCGCGGTAAAAGCGCGCCAACCGAAACACAAACTGCTCAAGCTAGCCAGGTCTCATTTGTGACAGCCATGCTGGACGCCGCAGGACGGAAGGGATTCAGAAGTTTGGCTACCATAGTTGAAGCATTCTGAGACAAGTCGTCAGTGAGTTGCCCGCAGCTCGAGCTGATGGAGGTCACGGTGCCTATCGCATGTCAAGCCTGCACATTGACGTGTCCCTGTGTTAGATGTTTCGCTGTTGGCCCTCTTCCTCGACCAGATGCCAGAGAATAACAATCACCATCCAGGTTTCTCATTGCCGAGTTAGTCGCGCGTTTACCGGCAGGATTGAAACAGCGAAGCGACTCCCTGAAAGTTCCAGCAAGCCTTTCAGGTTCGGTTCCACGCTGTCGGGTCGACTGGAGGTTCAGATTGCGGCGTTGTCATCCAATCCTTCGGGCCGTGTAGATAACTGAGGCTCAGCAGGACCCCAGACTGTGGTCCTAGCCGCTGAGCGGCCTCCACGATCGGCCAGCGGTCGGTTATCAGCGCCGTGCTCCATCAGGTAAAGCGGATGCAGGTCACATTCAGGCAGGCGGTGCAGACCGAACAAGTGGGGCCGAGTGGGACCCTCCACTAGGCTCGATTTCACCTTGTCTCCTCGCCGGTTCTGCCTCGTCGCCTTGTGCGCCCTCATTCGCTCCTTGCTGCCTGGCCCAGGCGGCCGCAACCCCTCCCGCTCTTCCTGCCTGGCATTGTCTGTCGTCTGACTGTCTGCGTCCTGCATGAAATGGCAAGACGCAGATTGGTCCCAGGTTCCCTCCGCCTGCTGAGCCATACCGAAGCCCCACTTGACTGCATCGCGGCCGACCTGCCGGACGCTAGTGACGTCCTCACCGTGACTCCGTCCTCTTATCCGCGGCTGACCTGGCCAGGCAGAACACAAAACCTCTGTGAATGTGTCGAGACAGCCATGGATGGCCTGCGTGTATATAGGGGGCTCCTGCCCCCTATATTGACCACATGCCCTTATACGTCCGAGCCATACCTCAGTCACGTCTGCCAGCGGCTTCCACCCCGTCATCAAGAGACTCGTCGTACATCCATACACTCCGTATCAATACCCAAGAACGGTTTCCTGACCGCTGCCCACCATGCCGCATCTAACCATCGTGGCTCCTGAGTTGGGCCATCAACCCCACCATCACCACCACCACCACCACCACCGGGCTGGCAGCCACCATCACCGGCACCGAGGACCCCAGCGTGTCGAGGCTCCTGACTTCCGCTTCTGTGTCGAGCTCGGCCTGGTCATCCGCAGCCGGAAACACAACCACAAGACGGTCGCCGGCCTCGAGGACGAGATCAGCAGACGGCTTACCCGCGCCGGCATCGCCAACCACGTTGCCAGCAGCCCAACCTCCGCGGTCTCCTCCAGGGAATGGACCATTGCCAGCGAGCTATGCATCCCTTCGCGGCCCCGCGACCACCACTTCGGCATGAAGCTCGTCTCACCCTTCTTGCGCTTCTCCAAGCGGGCCGAGTCGTGGCAGGCAGAGCTGCGCACCGTATTGCACGCCCTCAACGCCCACTTTGAACTCACCACCACCCACCAATGCTTCACCCACATCCACATCGCCCCGGCCTCAGGGTTCTGGGAGCTTGACCAGGCCAAGGGACTGGCCAAGTCGTCCATCTACTTTGAGCGCTGCCTCGACGCACTCGTCCCACCGTACCGGCGAAAGAGCGTCTGGGCCAAGAGCAACCGCAACAACCAATACTTCTTGGGGCTTCCCATGGCCAAATGCTTCGACCTCATCAATGCCCAAACCACCTTTGAGGGGCTGGGCGCGCGCATGAACTGGTGCAGCTCCGTCTCTCCAACAGGAATCGCGCTGGATGCCAAGCCCGGCGTTGACTTCCAGCACGACGCATTCCGGTGGAATTTTGCCGGGCTCAACGAGGGCGGCGGACTCGGCACCATCGAGTTCCGGCAACCGCCCGGGTCGACGAGCGCGTCCGAGGTCATTGCCTGGGTCATGCTCGTCGGGTGCCTGGCCAGGTTGAGCTGCGGCGCGGGCGGCAGCCTCAACCCGGCCGAGAAGCCCCAGCTGAAGAGCCTGGGGGAGTGGCTGGTGTACGAGGCGGAGTGGTGCGGCATGCCGCACAAGAGCCTGCTCAGGGACCTGATCAAGCAGGCGGTGCCGGTCACGCTGGTGCCGGGGGAAGTGGCGGGTATGGACGCCGAGGCCATCACCATTGATGAGGACCAGCGGCTGCGGTGGAAGGCTAACGATCGAAATATTGTGCTGGATAAGTACAGAAGGCTTTTGAAGCATTTATGAGGCCTGGTGGCCTTCATTCTACGTTTCATCATGGCTTGATGGTGAAAAACTTGTGGCATGCTACGCCCATGCTTGAGGTTTCTAGGGACACTTTGGCTCGTTAGGCGTTAACGGTAAATACCACGGGACACACAATGATGATGCTGTTGTTGATTTCCTGATCTTCTGTCACTGGGTACGAAAGAGATCCCTGTGAGGCTTGCTCTGATGCTGAACTTCTGATGCCGTACTGGCTTTGAGCAAGCTCGGTGAGACAACGAATGAGTCATTTGTCTTCCGGTCAGAGTCAACCAGATAGCCCCTTTTGTACGTGTGCCAAGACGTCTCCTGCACTACCCCGACGCCTTTTAGGCTGACTATTACGGGCGGATAGTTCCCAGGTTTGTTGCCTGAAGACTATGCCGTTCCCTTCAGACGTTACATTTCCTGATCTAGCACTGACATGGTGCATCCAGGAAAACGTTGCGGTGGGCGCCATCATGCGGTCATATCGCTGGCGTCAGCGGGTCCTGCCGTGAAATACTACACCCATCACCGCCTCGGTCAACCCCATGGATGCCAGCTCCTCCACGTTGGTGATTGTCCTATCCTGTTTGCGTTTGATGAGGAAGTTTGTCCCTGATGTGTTACAACAAGAGGGAACGTGCGAAAATGGATAGGGATAGGGGATGAAAGAAAATAAAAGGGACGCCTGAAGAAAAGTAAAACATACCTTAAGGTACCTGGCACTGTGGACAGTGGCAGTGTTAGAGTACAAGTGAAAATTTTGTTTGCCTCTCTGTTTCGGTTACAGCGCATGACGACTTAGTCAACATCTCCCGGCAACAAGAGGTTTGATCTGTACAGCAATGAAACTTGTGTCTTGTTGGGCTGGGCAGTTTGCAGAGCTTCATGCCATGTTCATCTCAGGCGTCTAAGCTGGCAAGTGGTATGAGACAGCTGAAGGTGGATGCAGAAATGAACATTCATGCAGAACAGAAAAGGATTGGCGGGACGCACGATTAGACCACGGTGAGTGAGAGGTCTCCTGAGCTGGCTTGTGGTGAGTGTACGGGCGGGCGGGTGATTAAGGAGAGTGTGCTTCACTCAAGCAGACCTTCGGCCTACCATTCTGCTCAAGCCTGATGAGGCTCTGATTGTGCCACTGTCTATCCTACCTCATGGGTAACCATCGCCGTGTGTCACTGCTTGGCAGGATGCAAGATCAAACAAATGGAGGATTCGTTCCGATATCAGCGCTAGAGTCACATCCTGCCTTAGCAATACCGACCCTGATTGACAGCCCGTCGGATGATGTATTGCTCAGTGAATTCTATATCGATAAAGGATATAATCAACATGGCAACCTGTAACGACAGGGTAACTACCTAATATAGTCGCTATATGGCACTATATAAGAGAGGGTTGTGCGGATGGTGAAGAGTTCTAAATCCCTTTACGTTCATCCCATTCCTTAATGGACCTAAATGCTTGGGCACTTATCACGGCGTTGATTCCAAGTCTTCTCTACGCCTGTAGCTAGGCGAGGTGTTCCCATTGTCCCAATCATGGGAAGGGTCAAAGTTTAAGTTGGGAATTCATTCCGAGGCAAAACAGTGTAGGTTTTCATCCTTGAGCATACAATAGGCGATGCGAAGCAGAGTTGCAATTGTACAACAATTTGCATTAGACACCGAGTCAACGACGGCATGGACTCCCAAATCCAATTGCGCCGTGATATCGAGGCTCTAAGCACATGACGGTCGAATCAAACAACTCTAGGGAACTATTACTCCGTGTGGAGTAATTCGGAGGAAACCGCTGGTTAGGGCACGGTACGGAGGTAGTTCAAAAATGAATGAAGGAAGAGGATGCATACCTAGGTACCATCAGTAGCTTTTTTTGACTTATGGTTGGAGCTCTTTACGATTTCAAGGGAAACCACATATCAAATGCCATGGTCAAAGTCACACGCATGAGTCCGAAAGGGGCGCCGAGAACATGGGCGGCCCGCCCTCGCCGTAATTGCAGGCGTTATTTTAAGACACAGCCCCTGTCCTTACCAAACTTCCGTTAGCCCCGGAAGGGTTCGCGTGGTGGTAGAATGCAACGCTGGAGGTGCTAGCCCCAGGAAAAACCTGGGCTATTGAACGCGAAAACCTGGGTGTTGGCGAACCACTACCGTCCTTGATTCAGGAGCCCAATCGTTGACCGCCTGACTGTGGGGGTGAACCATGGGCTGGAGGTGCCGAAAGGCCAAGTCAGGACTCAGCTCATTTGGGACACGATGGATTAGGAAGGTTTTTAATGCGTGCTAGCTACCACACCACACCAGGAACGCGGCCGTCCGTGCGGACAGGTAGGTACAGGTCGTTTCTTTTCGGAGTCGTCGAGAGACTCGACACCTGTCCCATCTGCTTTTCAGCCCTGCGCATCGAAGCCGAGAGAGAATACAGGGGATTTCCAGCCATCGATGAGGCACCTGTACTGCCAAGCGTTGATCAGCCTCTCGACGCCTTGACCGCTCGCTCGCGCACCCGACATGTGGTCCTTCCTTCGCTCCATATGGCTCAACACTCTTGCAACGTCAACAGTCGCCGCACAGCTCAGTTTCGTGGCGAGCGTGCAGCAAGAAGGACGAGATGTAGACGCCTCCGGCCTCAATTTTTTGCCGATACCGCCACTGGAACACCTCAAGCATGCTTCCGACCATGAGAAATTGAGAAGGGATCCCATCAGCTACAGTTCCAACTGGTGCGGGGCATCGCAGCGCGCGACGCGGCAGGACGGTATCAGCAGCGTCGTTGGGTACTTCACGGTGCCGGACTTGACCTTGCGGCCCGGGCAGCCTGCACCACAAGCCGCTGCTGCGTGGGTGGGTATTGACGGGGCAGAGTGCAATTCCACGCTGTTACAAGCTGGAGTGACAACCATTGTACGGCCCAAGCCTTGACGCTCCGAGAGTTGAGACACGGGTGTAGCTGAGACTATGAACAGGTCAACTCCAACGGGGGCCAGAGCGCCTCGGCCTGGTGGGAATGGTATCCGGAGACTGCGTTCAACATCGAGGGTCTCAGGGTCAGGCCAGGCGACTGGATGTCAGTCAACATAACGACGAGGGATGCGTCGAGCGGGACGGTGTGAGTGGCAGCAGAAGACTCATGGAACTGCACCGAATTCCGTGGCGACGAGACTGACTGCTGGCCAGGGTCATCACCAACGTGCAACGAGGGTACTCGGTGACGCTCCAGATCAACAACGGGCCGAAGCTGTGTCGATTGGATGCCGAGTGGATTCTCGAGGCTTTCTATGACTCGGGCCAGCAGGTTCCATTTGCGCGATTCTCGGATCTGTGGTTTGTGGAATCGGGGGCGACGACGGTCGCGGGCAAGAACATTGGCATTGATGGGGCAACCATGGTGCATATCCAGGCCGATGACGGGAAAATACTCTGCTCGGCCGAGCCGTACGACAGCGCCAATCTCGTCATGGTGTCGCAGGGTTGAGAGCACGGGTGAGGTGGACATCGGGATGGTCATAGTTGGCGGGGCCAAGGCGCCGTTGTCCTCGAAAATGTAAGTATCTGGTCTGGATAGATCAGAACTCAGTTTGCTTCTCGTCGCTCAGCTTGTGGGAGATTTGAATCTACGTTTAAGGACGACTTTGCAATTGCGGGTGCTCAAGGTTGGAATATCGGTGCGACACCTGCCAGTGTTCCGAACAGTGGTCGTCTGTGGCCAGTGCGCTGCTCGGCGCGTTTTATCCCGGGACGGCTGGGCTCCTGTCTTGCAGGCTTCAACGGCTGGTGCCTGACACACCCGCAAGAGCCGCATCTTGAAATTGACGATCTTGACATCGCCACGCGCCGCCAAGACGTTTGTTTTGACCAAATCATCACCAGCCCTGTCACACGTGATGCTGTCCCATCAGGAACACCCGAAATGCCTCGACCCTCCTTCCTCCGACTCGGATCAATCGGATCGAAACGAAGAAGCATTCGAGCGGTAGATGAGTCATCGACTGTCCAGACGAGGGAACCATATTCGAAGCGCATTCTTCCCCTCGCAGCATCGACCCGCAAGAGCAGAAGAGCTGCCGCCAAGCAGCTCTCCGGTTCGATCCCGGCTGGTTGATGCAATCCACCTCCCGGCGTTCACCTGTCGGCGGCTAAATATGACGTTGGGGGCCCGCCGATAACGCTCCATTTCGGTCAAACATCGAAAAGTCGAAACCTGATGGCCCACCAGAGTGGCGGAGGAACAATGCTTTTACTCGATCCAAAGCCTCCGAGCCAGTTCTCTCGCCAACCATGGCAATGAGCATGCTCGTATCCGTGACTGGATTGGTCTCGACCTCGATGGGGACTCATCAGAGAGGGTCCTCAACCCCAAAACGCCCTCATCATCCGGGGCTCCAAGTTACCACCGTCCCACCCGCCCAAGCCTCTGGATGTCACTTCTCCATCCAGATTCTTGGTTACGCAATAACGATGTCGATTCTCTTCCCACCTGTTTGACCGACGTTCTTCGTTCCATGATATCTCCTGCCCACGTCCCCGTACCGTTCTGTCTCGTATCCTTTCTGGTCTGGGATTACTACTTTTTCCTATCAGCCGGGCCGCCCTTGAGAATCACCTTCTTGGTTCCACAAACGTCAATACTAACCTGGGACTGATGCTGTCCGGATTGCCCCATTGTCCCAGTTGACATCAGGCATTGGACCCATAACCCTGACCCATCTCCAACGCATTTACGGGCGATCTTGTCCACGAAAGACCAGGAGTCTGTCACATTTGAGAACGGCTTGCCGCAGCGATGGCTTCGCCGCGAGCACCGGAAGGTCCAGCAGCGCCGGCTGTTGCTGGCCAGGACCAGGAGCTGCATCGGGGTTCCCCGCAAGTTGCCGACGAGGGTTTGCGGCCGCCTAAGGGAAAGGAGAAGAAACGAGTTGGCTTCGCGAGCGACCGCCAATCTCCAGAAAACGGCCCTGGAAGTCCTTTTTATGTCACGCCGAGCGAATCGCAGGTTGATGCCCAGGACTACTTCGCCTACACGCCCTCGCCGCACAGCAATAGTTCCACGCCAATGCACGGCCCTAGCCCAGCCAGACGACCGTCAATCGACGAAGACGAGCTTGCTGCCTCTGTGGCGCAATATTTTGAACGTGAGTATGAGCGTGGACAGCCCGGCAGTGTGGCCGGCCCGAGCCGGCCGCGCCCGGTGCTTCGGAAGTCGAGCACTCTTCCGACCTGTGCCGACATCGCCCCCTCGCCTCACAAGTCCGAAGTGGAGGCCAAACATCGAGCCGATCGGCTCGCCTATTCAGTTGGAACTTCCTCGGTCCCAGTATCAAGAAGAGGATCTGTCGACTCTGAGATAGGAACCTTGGACAGAGATGGCTTGCTCGGCTCAGCAGCAACAAGGGCTCAAGACTTTGCGCCACTGGGGGAGACGGAGAATCTTGCTCCCCGCAGGAACGCGCAGCAAGAGGCTGACCAGCTGGTGAGGCGCCACAGGCGTCACAAGAGCCCTTTGATACACTCCACCCTTCCCCCACGGTCAGGCACGGCCACGCCTATTGAGCACGATCTGGAATACGTCCCCCCTCCACAAAGCTATAAGGGAGGGATTCTGGGCACACTTCTTAAGCTGTACGGTACCGAAGACAAGAATGGGTCACCATACACCGACTCTAGTGCACCCAGCACGCCCGGTAGCTCCCCCCCTGCATCGAGGTCCAGTACGCCAAGGCCAGACGGTCGCCGCCGGGGATGGAAGACACAGTCATCCAGCACATTGGCTGGGCTCATGGAGTCATCATTCATGTTTGCCGCTCCGGGTTCCAGCAAGGACATTTCAGAGGCAGTATCTGAAAAGGTCAGGCAGGAGACGGGGAAGTCAAAGAAGTCGGCCAGATCCAAGAAAAAGGCCGACGAGTATCGCATCAAAATCCATATCGCGGAGATCATCAACCGCCACACTTACCTCCTGAAACTATGCAAAGCCCTGATGACATACGGCGCTCCCACACACCGGCTGGAAGCGTACATGAGGATGTCGGCCCGTGTCCTCGGCATCGAAGGGCAGTTTCTATACCTCCCGGACACCATGATCATTTCGTTCGACGACAGCAACACGCACACAACCGAAGTCAAGATTGTCCGTGCGAGTCAGGGTCTGGATTTTGGTAAATTGCGAGACGTCCACGAGATATACAAGGAGGTGGTGCATGACCGCATCGGCGTCGACGAAGCGACAGCACGCTTGGACGAGATCACAGCACGGAGACCCAAATTCCCTGTCTGGTTGCGAATTTTGCTCTATGGAGTGGCCTCGGCTTCCGTCGCACCCTTTGGTTTTGAGGGTCGTTACATCGATATGCCCGTGTGTTTCCTCCTCGGCTGTTTGGTGGGATTTCTGCAGCTCTGTATCTCCCCTTCCAACGAACTCTACGCCAATGTTTTCGAGATTACGGCAGCGGTAATGACTTCATTCTTGGCCCGCGTGTTTGGATCGATACGGGGCGGCAAACTGTTTTGCTTTTCTTCTCTCGCCCAGGCGTCCATTGCCCTGATCCTGCCGGGTTACATGGTTCTCTGCGCAAGCTTGGAGCTTCAGAGCCACCAGTTGGTCTCAGGCTCGGTGCGCATGGTTTATGCACTCATCTACACCCTCTTCCTCGGCTACGGGTTCACCATTGGGTCGGTTATCTACGGGTACATGGATGACAACGCCGTCAGCGCGGTACACTGTCCCATCGGCGACACCTGGTACACCCAGCGGCCGCCTGAGAACTACTATTTGTTTTTCGTCCTCCCTTTCACGCTATGCCTTTGCGCTATCAACCAGGCCAAGTGGAAACAAACACCAGGTACGATTTGTCGACCAATCCATCACCTGTTGGTTGTTCTTGCTGACCTACCCCGAACAGTGCAAGTCTTCATCTCTCTCGCTGGCTTCGTCGTCAACAATTTCTCCTCGCGCTTCTTCAAGGGCAACGGCATCGTGTCCAGCTCCCTCGGCGCATTGACAATTGGCGTCTTAGCCAACCTCTACTCCCGTCTCGGCCGCTATGCGCAAAACTGGCTCCTCGATATATGGGAGCGCCACTTCGAGCACCGCCTTCGCCGCCTGTCCGGCAAACACCGACATCCTTCCCCGTATTACAACTACCCGCCCGCCGCAGGCTCGGACGACACCCTTGCCCAAAAAGAACGCGACCCGGAAATGGACCCGCCACTCCCCAACCGCGCGGGCATCACTCCCCGCGCGCGCCAGATCGGCTACGGCCTCGCGGCCGCCGCCATGCTCCCCGCCATTTTCGTCCAGGTGCCCTCCGGCTTGGCCGCGAGCGGCTCGCTGCTCAGCGGCGTGACGAGCGCTGACCAGATTGTGCGCAACGAGACGCTGCTCGCCAACGGCACCGTCATCAATGGGACCGTGCTGTCGACCACCTCCTCGGCGCCGTCGTCCTCGGACCTGAACAACTCGGCGTTTAGCGTGCTGTTTAGCGTCATCCAGGTGGCCATCAACATCTCGGTGGGCCTATCGCTGAGCGCCTTGTTGGTGTATCCTTTTGGCAAGAGGCGGAGTGGTTTGTTCAGTTTTTAGGGCTTGGGACAAAAAGGGTCGCACTGTTTTTTCTTCGGCAGGGATATGGGGGAAGGGGGAAGTCAAAGGGTGTCTACGCGGCTGACGATGGCCTGATGATCTTTGGCATAATACTGTCGGACTTCTATTCGACGCTGCATTGAAGTTATACCGTAGTTGGTGGTTGATCTTATTGTTGGGATAACGTGGAAATCATTAGCGGGCGTTTAAGAACAACCTGTTGGCGGGCTTGGGATGGGATAACTAGACAGGGACGTTAATGAATAGACAATTAGGAATAAAGTCTTGGCTGTCTGGAAGCCTAAACAAGATAGGCGTTCAAACCCTGTGTAGTATTCGCCATGGTCAGTGAACCAGCCCCGAAAGTTTCACCGGGATGCTCCCCGTCGGTTGACCAAACCACCATCATGCAGAGTCTATTGGCAACAATATGCTCGAAACAATACAGGAGCCCAGATGTGCATGTGTAAGTTATCCCATTAGAGGTATAATGCGAGCCTCCGGTATCTAAGAAACGTCAGGAACCAAGCCGACCTTGAGGTGCTCATCAACTGAACCTCGCTCAATCGCGCTGTCCCAGGAAGGCATCTCACTGTCAAACATGTCAACCGAAATGGCCACACCATAAAACACCGAGCGCCAATGTCAACCCAAAGCTGCCAGATCCATGCTCGTTCCGGTACCTGCATTCCCGAACGCCGTCGCAGAAAAACAACTTTACATAAACCTTGTGTTGTACATGTCAAAGCGCTGTCACTTCAGATCGGAAGCCAGCTTAATTATGCCTTGGCCTCTTCGTCACCAGTCGTCTTGTCGGCGGCCGTAGTGCCCTTGTCAGTGTCAGCGGCAGGACCATCTTCAGAGAGCTTGGCATCCGCATCGGCAACAGCCGGAGAGTCAGAGGCTCGCTGCTTGGTGGCCGGGCCATCGCGGGCATTGTCGGCTACGTTTGCGCTATCGGGGGCAGAGGCGTTGCTGGGCTCAAACTCCGCAGCTGAGATGCCCTCGAGGTCCTCCTTCTTAATGACCGCCTCGGGAGCCTTGTCTTCGACAGCAGAGGCCTCGGCCATATCGACATCTCCGTCACCATCGACCTTCGTATTGTCGCCCCCAGCAGGCTGTTCGGCAGCGGCACCGTTTTCGGCGTTAGCTTGGCCGACCTCAGCCAGCACCTCGGCCAAGGCCTCCTCGATCATGGTGTCATCGTTATCGGGGGCGGTATCGGGAGCAGGCTCGAGGGGAGTAGCTGCTCCGCTGTCAACCTCCATCGTATCATCGTCCTTGGCGGCATGGCGTAAGTTGGTCTCCTGGCGAGAACGGCCGTTGGACTTGAAGACGCCATTGGCACGGGCCATGTCCTCGTCATCTGACTCCTCGTATTCGTCCTGGCGCTCGACACGCTTCTCCCACTGGCGCTGCGTCAGGCGGACGTCCTTGTTCTCGTCCTCATCCTGATCGTCCAGTTCAGCCTCTTGATCATCCGACATGCCCATGCTTTGACGCGGAACGTCTTGCATCTGAACGGAGGGAACATGGGTGGTCCTCTTCAAATTCTCAATGACGGCAATCTTGATCTTCTCCAGGTACTCGTTGCTATTGGCGTTCTCCATGTTTGAAGCGCGCACATCCAGCTCGTAGTCCGGGCCATAATACTGGGAAGCATTAGTCTCTAGCAGATCAGGCTCATGGCGATCCAGAAGACTCACATCATAGTACTCGTTATACGGCAAGACCGAATCCATCTCAACACCCACCAATCGGCCGGTCTCGTAGGCCCAGGTGCGTGCAACATTGCGCATGGTGTAACCACCGCCACCAAGAACCAGGGTGGGCAAACCGAAACTGCGGACATAGTTGACGCAATTGGCATGGCCGCGCATGCTCAGGTTGAAGCAACCCAAGCGGTCGCCGGAGAGACTGTCGCCACCACACTGAAGGACAACCGCCTCAGGCTGGTAGTACTTCATGACAGCCGCAATGACGGGCTCGAAGATGGTCTCGTAGGTCTTGTCATCGATGCCGTCGCGCAGAGGGAAGTTGACGGCATAGTATTTCCCGTTGCCGATGCCAATGTCCCGAAGCTCGCCGGTGCCTGGAAAGTACTCGCCGTACTTATGAAAAGACACGGTCATCACTCGGTCCGTGGTGTAGAACGCTTCTTCGACGCCGTCGCCGTGGTGAACGTCGATGTCGATGTACAGAACGCGCTTGTTGAAGCGCAGGAGCTCGAGAATCGCGAGCACAATGTCTGTTCAAGGGAGAAGTCAGATGATATGCAAACAAACGGAGAATAAGCAAGGAACAGACACATACCATTGACGTAGCAAAAACCGCTGGCCTCGCTCTTCTTGGCGTGGTGCAGGCCACCGGCCCAATTGATGGCAATATCGCACTTCTCGCGGTTGAGGCGTGCCGCGCCCTCCATGCTACCGCCGGCGCTGATGCCACAGAACTCGAACAGACCATCGAAGACCGGACAGTCGTCGCCGACATTGTACTTGCCCTGCTCTCTCATAAAGGAGTCCATGTTGTCAGGCGTGACCTTCTGCAGGAATTCGATGTACTCGTCAGTGTGAAACTGCGTCATTTCTGATGTGACTGCAGGCTTTGCACGCTGTTGCGCGGAGGACGCGATCAGCGACTGTGTTTCAAAGACGACGCGAAGGCTGTTTGGGTCAAACTCACGTAAATCTCGAGGAACTTGTAGACATTGTAATTCATGACCAAGCTGTGGGCGAGGCGAATCCGGTGAGGCTTCATTGGGTGGCCAGTCACGTAGGCATAATTGCCGATGTCAGAGTCGTAGAAATAGGCCACCCTCTTCTTGTCATTGTTGACGATCTGGTAGAGGGGTCGAGTGCGCTCGACTCCCGCCATGTCTGTCGTTTTCGGCATAATCGTTGACTGCCTGTTGGCAGCGAGAGTCAAGGACTCGGATTTGCCAATGGGGCGAGTAGCTTTGGTTGAACGCTCCGCCGACTCAGGAAGGCTGTGCTGCTTGTCGCGTCGAACTGTGATCTTGCGATGGGTCTTGCCGATTTCGTCGGAGGACTCGTCGCTCGACTCGTTGCTAAAATGCTGCTCTACGTGGTTGTGGTAAGGAGGTTTAGAGTAACTGAAAAGGTCGTCAAGCCAGGACTCTGGGTTCCAAATCTTCCACGGATACCTGTGAGAAGCGCGGGGTGGACGAAGAAGGCCGTCCTCACTTAAGTGTGAAGCTTGCGAGATCACCGAAGACCATAAGCCCACAGAGGCGCTAGACGAATGGGGCATAGCGAAACTTTATCGGCGTTCTCACTGCTGATTGGTCAAATTTTGAGCAGAGCACAGGCCTTCACCAGCCCACCATAGGTACTACCTTAATAGGTCACGCTGCAGGCTGCCAGGCTTTCGTCAACTCCAGCAGCTGGTACCGAGACAGCTCCAAGATCCAAACACCAGCAATAATCAGGCCCAGCTCCCATTCCATCACGGCGACAAAACATCGATTCTTGACGTGAATTTCTTCCACAAATACAACCAAATTTCCCAGGCCGTCTACTGCGCCAGCTCCATAGGACTTGTTCTTGTCAATCACACATCTAGCACCGCACTTTTCACCCATTGCTGCCGTTGCGACCAGCTGCAGAATCATGGAGCGCTTCAGGAGCCTACTCGGCGGCGGCATGAATCTGGGCGGTGCTGCGCCAGGGACAGTATGCGCATACCCTGCTGATTGCCGGATGTTTCTCCTCCATGACTGCCGCTGACAGGCCTGCGCTTCCAGGATAACACGAACTTGATCGACAATTCCGAGACGGTCCATATCTCCTCCCTTGCCCTGCTCAAGATGCTCCGACATGGTCGTGCCGGTGTGCCGATGGAAGTTATGGGTCTGATGCTGGGAGAGTTCGTTGACGATTTCACCGTCCGAGTTGTGGATGTGTTTGCGATGCCACAGAGTGGAACGGGCGTCAGCGTAGAAGCCGTCGACCCTGTTTTCCAGATGAAGATGATGGACATGCTCCGGCAAACTGGCAGGTATGCATTATCCGCGATCTAGTGCCTCCTGCTGTTCCACCGCTGACCTCCGCTTCTAGGCCCGAATCTGTCGTCGGCTGGTACCACTCCCATCCAGGCTTCGGCTGTTGGCTGTCCTCGGTCGACATAAACACCCAACAGAGCTTCGAGCAGCTCACCCCGCGCGCCGTCGCCGTGGTTGTCGATCCGATCCAGTCGGTTAAGGGCAAAGTCGTCATTGATGCATTCCGACTCATCAACCCGCAGTCCCTGATGATGGGACAGGAGCCCCGCCAGACCACATCAAATCTGGGCCACCTCAACAAGCCCTCGATCCAAGCGCTTATCCACGGCCTCAACCGACACTACTACTCGATCGGAATCAACTACCGAAAAACAGCCCTCGAGGAGAACATGCTGATGAACCTGCACAAGCACCCGTGGACAGATGCGCTGCAGATGGAAGACTTCCGGGCCGAAGGCCAGCGGACAAAGGAGCGCCTCGAGAGGCTGGTCAGCCTCGCCGAGGGCTACGAGAAGAGGGTCAAGGAGGAGACTGAGCTCACCAAGGAGCAGCTAAAGACGCGCTACGTTGGCAAGCTGGATCCCAAGAAGCACTTGGAGGATGTCGGCCAGCAGTTGATTGAGGACAACATCGTTGCTGTGTCGAGGCAAATGATTGACAAGGAGGCAACGATGGCGAAGAAGGACACACCGACTGGGGCGAACGGGCAGCCGAACGGCGACCAGATGGACGTGGAAGAAGAGGAACTTTGATAGTCACGACAAATTCGGCATACAAAACCCTCGGTCGGGCGAACGGTCATCTGGGCCAGGCGTTGTATGACTAGGCGTTTGGGAAGGGTAACGGAGCTAGACTGGTAGCCATGTACATGGCTCATTCTGGCACCTCGTTGGTTGCTATGACTTGTCGAGAATGTCCATGGCAGTCTATGTGTGGTGGCTGCTGTATCTGGTGCGATGTGTTCTTTGTACAGCACCGTGTCTGAATCCACAACAGGGATGGCTGACCACTTACAAGGCGATTGTCCGGCATTGTTCGGTTCCAGCTACGGATGCTCCTCTTGCTTCTCAATCCCAGATGTTTGCGAGAGTCCTTGCATTTAAACCCCGCCCCCTGCCTCCGACTCAAAGGTCAGTCAACCTTGCCATCATCGCTTTCGCCATGCTGCCCAGACTCATCGTGAAAGCAATCCACATTCTCAACCGGCTAGCTTGCCGGGCCCCCACAAAGGCAAAAATACACATTCCTCTGATGACTCACCCCGCTATTATCCCCCGACAGCACAAGAAGAACCACAAGTTGTGGACTTGTATCGTGTCTGAACAGACAACGTGAGAGCTTGATCGGCATCCTGGACCCTCTTGGGTGGCAGGTTGTCGCCTGGCGAGCAGGTTCTTTGCGTCTACGGAAAGTAGGTCCTCCAGATTCTTCTGGTACCGATATGGTCAATGCCGTGGCACAAACATTCCCATCTAGGACCGGAGAGGGATGGACTAGGACAACACAAACGCTCAAGGTGTGGATTGATGGCGAAGAGGAACAAGAAGGTGTCCCCAAAGGCGTCCCCAAAGGCGTCCCTTGTCTGGCAAATTTTATGTCTGCCTGCTCGAGCGAGACAAATCGCGGACCACGACCTCCCAAAGAATCGGAAGAGGCCAAACCCTTCCAGGCGTTTCGTCTTGCCCCCCCAACAAACGCTCCCTTGGACTTAACAACAAGGAGCCTTCCGAAAACTGCGGCCGTCCGGATCCAGCAGATTTCTTCAGCACAAGTACCTGCCACACTTTCCTCACCCATACCTTATCCTCTACCCGTCCCTCTACAGATCCCCCGTCCTCCAAATCGCTGGCCAGTGGCCATGAGCAAAAACAGAACAAGCGCCGCCCTTCCTCCCCTATCTACCACCCCCCTCACACCCGAAACCCTTAAACTCCTCCTCGACATCTTCGACCACGCCATGTCCCACACCCACTACGCAGTCAGTGGCCACGCCGCTCTCATGGTATGGGGCTACCGTAGCAACAACAACAACCACAACCGAAACAAAACGAAGCACCCGCCCTTCTCACACGTAAGCATCGTCTGCCCGGCAGCGGACAAACAGGTGATCCTGGCGTGGGCAAAGGCCGCCGGCTGGCACGTCTATGCGCCTTCGTCTTCCCCAGGGCAAGGAGGAGACCACGCCGACGTGATTGGCGTTCCGGTTCCCGGCGAGGGCGCGGGGGAACTGGTAGTGTGGCCGTTCAGACTCCGGGCGGTCGGGGACCCCGCGGCGTGGGAAAATCTTGACGTCGTCAGGCCGTGCGAGATGGAGACGCCGTACGTGGGGTGGGCGGGGGAGGCGATGAGGACCGGGGCGCGGGTGCTGGCGGTACCGACTCTGCTGGATGAGTTTGGTAGGGCGTGGTACTTTTGTGTGGTCAAAGGAGAGGGGAGAAGCGACGGTGGTGGTGATGAGCGGGAGAGACATGTTGCTGAACTGATGTTGTGGATATTGCGGCGGTTGGCGGCGGATGTTGAGAAGAATGGTGTGAGCGCGAGATGGAAGCTGATGCCGGACAAGGTACTCTGTCTCTTGTATGACAAGTTCTGGGACGCTTTTGTACACAGGTATCCGGATGCGCTGAGCTTGTTTCAGCAATGCGGCTTACCGGGCCCGATGCGACCTGCCCGGGTGGAGGTAGCAACGGCTTTCACTGCAACCACTACCAAAACTGCCTCGGACGAATTCGCAACGGGGTTGTACATGGTTCCCCCTTATGGTCAGGGGAGAGGTGGCTCCAGGATTGACGATATGCTTGACCATCCACATCCAACGACACCGGGGGAATCCCACACCTGGATCTGAACTTGCATCAGTTCAGCTTGAGCACCACGCTGAGGCCTCTGCAACACTGAGATGAGAAATAAGGGTACGCCCGTTACTGTAGTCACATTATTCAAAAACTGACCAATACACTTTGCCCCGTTGTTAGCTATTCGTAGCTGCGCTGAACAGCGTGGAGTAAGACTTTATATGCCTAGCCATGTTGATAAGGTGCTCAAGGTACTGAGTCCCATTTCACTCGGATGGGCCGTATGTTGCCGCCCAAGCATCGTAAGTGGGCGAGAGCATGAGTTGTTGTAAGTGACGTTTCCGAATTCCGACATTGCCGCCGTCGAAGATGGGCAATGCCAAAGCATTGTTTAGTAGGTCAGCGAAAGGCTGACTTAGATCATAAGCCGTACTATGATATCCGCGTTAGTGTACCCTGATGTTAAAGCAAGGGACAAGGTGCACTTACACTACCAACATTGTCAGCTGCGAATTCCCTATCTCGGAAATGTCTGGGGGTGGTTTCGGGAGCAAATGCGCTGCGTCGGGAGCACAATGGCTCCTGAGACAGCCATAAAGGGGTAAAAACAGTCCACCGACGGAGGAAACTTTTGCTTACCTCCCACTGCTTTGATGATATCCATGCAGGCCCCTACGGCGGCATCGCTGCAGTAGACCTTGGCAGCCAGGGCAATCTCTCGCCGCGCCTGGTAGTCGCCTGGGCCTTGTTCCATGACTTTTGCAGCCTTCCATGTTAGGGCCCTCGCAGCTTCGGTCTGCATCTTGACTCCTGACAGCAGATCGGCGAACGCCTGACGCTCCATCAGCGGTACGGCGCCGTTACGCGAGTCTCGCTTCGCAAAGTCCAACGCAGCATCAAAGGCAGCCCGCATGAGACCAACACCCATGGCGCCGACAATGACGGCGCTTGCATCGAACGAGCCGAACGCAACCTGCGCTCCCTGGCCCGGCGGACAGAGGACGTTCTTCGCCGGCACCCGAACGTTGGTGTATTTGACGTGCGGTCCGGAGGCTGACGTGTGTCCGGAAGTTGAGAGGTGGCGCAGAACTTTGAAAGCGGCCGGGTCGTTACGGTCGAGGTCGGCACGGGTTACCAGAATGATCATGACACGATCTTCGGGGTCGCTGGCAGGGCTCGGCTCTCCATCCGTGGTGTCGCGGCACACCACGCAGGCGAGATCACATCCCTTGAAATCCCAGCCCGCGCAGTTGGTTGCCCACATCTTCTCGCCGTTGATAATCCACTCATCGCCATCGCGATACGCCGTGGTCTGGAAGCCTGGCGCTCCTTTCTCCAAGGCATTGGCGACTCCGCCGGGTTCGCTGAGGACCAGCGATGCGAGTGGACTTCCCTCGCGGCTGAGAAAGGGGGCGAGAAACTCGGCATGCTCGGGTTTGCCAGCGATGTTCAAAGGCGTCAGGCCGAGGCCAGTCGCAAGCACCGTTAACGCGGCCGAGGGTTCCACTGCGTAGAACTCCTCCACCATGATGGCCGCCTCGACGAGACTGCCACCGGTGCCGCCGTGAGCGGGCGAGATCTGACCCTCGATCAAGCCGGCTTTGACAGCGGCGGCGTAGGTCGGCTGAGTGGCTTGGAATCGCTTGGAGTGCTCCTCATGCTTGAGGTACTCGGCCCTAGCAGGCTGGAGGACTTGTTGGGCAAAACCGGCGGCGGCGGTGCGGATGGCCGCCTCCGATGTCGAGAGATAGAAATCGATGGGCATGTTGAAGTGGCAATCAGGGTGACGAGGACCCTGGGGAGGGAAGTTGAAACTGACGACAGCCGAGACTGGTGAAGACGAGAATCTTGGCCGACAGATATCTCTGAGCCTTCTCAGTTTTGCAGTTCTTGAGTTCAAGACGAGGAAGGACCAGCGGCTTGAAAGCCCCAAATATCTTACTTGAGGTTGCACCAGAAACGTCAACATGAAATGGCCCCCAGGTTGGGCATGTGTCAGCGTCGCACTTTTGTTGGGTTCCAGTCTGACTGTACGCCCAGCATGGCGAATATGTTGAAGATCTCATGTATCTGCCTTGTTTAGTGATCTTACACCCCTATTTTTTTTTCAAGATCTTCATATGACTTACTGAACGGAAACACCCCACTTGTTGCCCCAAGGCCAAGTCCACGGGCTGCATCACAGCGCTCTTGAAGCTTTTGCTGAGAGTGAAGGATGTGTATCAATAGGCTGAAGTGTATCGTGCAGAACCAAGATGTGACGCAACCTTATCCTCGCCGATCTTGAGTTGAAGCTGAGGTGATCTGCAACTTCCAACTACCCCTCCTTTTCGATGACAGATTGTCAGTCGAAGGGAGGCATTGCCGATGCACAACATCCCTGGATCGGGCGAGGAGCAAAACTGCCTGGATTTCGATGGCGGGGTGTTTCGATCGCCCTCAGCCCAAGATCGGGGGGATTCATCATGGTCGACATACCACTATGAAGGAAAGCTAGAGGACATGACGGCGGCAAGCGTTAAGGTGTTGATGCAGGGAGAGAAAAGCATAGATACGGACATTAAGTATACACCGGCCTTGAGTCCGAGCCCTAGGATTTTCACAATGCTTGGTTCCCGGACAGCCCGGTCCAAAAAAGGGTCCAGCCAAAACCGTGCGGATATAGTGAAGACAAAGCTACCCAAATACGCACACAGAATACCAAACGTCAACCCCTATCAGGCGTCATTGAAATTTCGTATTGACACCATCAGTCGTAGAGAATGTGTAGTAACGCGCTACAACCCCTTTACCCAGAGAAGCCGACGAAAACCTTGATAGTGGTGCTGCCGGGAACAATGTTGAGGCCGATACCGTCGAGGGCCTCCATGCCCTTGGTGTAAGCGTTTGTGCCGTGGCCGCCGGGAAGGATTGTCGAGTCGACGCCACCTTCCGACATGCGGCAGCCGGGAACGTCCATGTTATAAGCCTGGGCGACGAGGGACGAGCAGTCGGCGCCAGACCAGCCTCCGTTGCTCGCGTTCGCAAAGTCAAACTCAGCCCAGACGCCAGCGTACTGACCGTGGGTGGTGGTGGGAACCTCGTTTGGCGCAAAGGCGCAGACGCCTTGAGTGTTGTCGTCTGCCACGACCGTCTTCGTCTCGCCAGGCTGGAGGGTGAAGATGAGCGGGTTCTGGCCGGCGACCTTGAACATGCCGGTGAGCTGGCCATCGGCGCCCATCTTGTTGGCGCAGACGACCTGGTACGGTTCCGAAGCAACGTTGGTGTACTCTTGGATGTATTTGTACTTCTTGGCGATGCTGTTGGGGACCACCATCAGGTTGGAGTTCCATGTGCAGCCGTTGCTGGTGCCGGTGTTGCCCTTGTACATGATTTGGTCGTATGTTACACGCTTCGCCTTGCTGGAGCTGCCACAGAAAGCGATGTACTCGGAGGACTCGCTGGACTGGGTGTTGGCCGAGACAGCTGCCGCCGTTGTGGCAGGAGCTGCAGAAGAGCTAGCCGCCGAAGCCTGCTGGGTGGTCGTGGGAATCAAGGGCTTGTTGTGAATAGCCTTGACAAAGGCCGGGGCCTCTCGCTTGGCGCTGCGATGAAGATGGGCGTGTCCGGAAGGGTGTGCGGCGGCTCCGAGCACGCCGGCGAGGAGAGCAAAATTGGAGAGTTGCATGGTAAAAGTCGAAATCGGAAAACCGTCAAGCCTATGTTTTTCCTATCCCAATTCTAGACCTTATCGAAGAGATGGTTTCAAATCGACTTGGATGTCAAGCTCCAAGCCCCGTATCCGAGCGCAACGTAGCTGTTCTGTTTCGCAGATGCTGTGCGAGCGACTTTTCTAATCAATGTTTGCAGTTGATTGAAACAGAGAGAGGGACAAGTTATTGCGTTGCTGTTGTGTCAAAGGAGTGAACTGAGATACGAGATCTCGAAAGAGCGGATGGGGACGCGAAAGGCGTCGTTCTGTTGGAAGAGTTGTGAGAGGAAAAGGAGAAACGGGAAGCTGTGGGGAGATGAAGATTGAAAAGCTGCTGCTGGGCAGGGGCGGTAAATTGAGCCGAGAGTTTGTTCCTGAATGATCCTGGTCAACCGCCCTGCCGACCTGGGCAGCCAAGCCCCAGGCGATGGCCCAGAGCGACAATCCCACGAAGCTGTCCTCTGACTGGCAAGCCTGGCCCACTCATGCAGGTCCCGACCCATTTCCATTGGCTGGCAGTTGTCGACCACGTTCTGCCACGGAGTCCGCAGTCGTCCCCGCAATCAAAATGCACAGTTTGTGTTGCTGTTGTCGTGCTGGCGCCATTGAGCTTCAAGGTTTTCTATTTTATATGCAAGCCGGCCCATCAAGCATGGCAAATACCACATCTTCCTGCTGCAGCCGTTCCACGAGCGACGCGTGGTGGAGAGGGAGTGGATTTGCCAGGTAAGGTAAGGTAAAGCGCCCCTTGCTACTGTATTGCGTAGTGGCATTCGCCCAGTCAGGTGGCTCAGCACTAACCTTTTATCATTTCCAGTGCTAATTTCCCAGGTGAATTGCTAGGCGAGCTACCAGCAAAACTACGTACAGTACCTACTAAAGTAATCTCCAAGTTTCGAGTAACTAGGTCAATTGCAGACTATGATTTTATGTGTGAGAGCGGGACTGAGCACTGCGACAGGCTTTGTTCCTTCGTTTCGTCAACCGCGCAAAAGCCGTCAGGGACTACTCGCGTTTGATACGGCGCGCACTCGAAACAGCAAGATCCATTGTGCGACCCAGCGCAGCTGGCATACCAATGCGGGTTCTCCTCGTCTGATCTGCGTGGCTGAGCCTTCTTGTCGCAGAAACTGTGAAGTTTGTCCACAGCAAACCCACTCGCACGGCATTGAACCAAACAGCAACAGCTTGAAGCTATGCCGTGGGTGCGCTCGCCGAGGCTCGTCGTCGAAATGGGAACCAGTTCAAATTCCATTGGATGCTGCCCCACCCGTCTTCAGCCATGGATCCACTTGAGCTCGGTGCCCCGCCCCGGCGACGATGTGTTTTTTCCCATGCCAAATTTGGAGATTGCACATATCACGATAAACTTGAACCTCCCTGCGGAGCAGGGCGACCAAACACCACCAGAAGAATAGTCACTTTCCGTCGTGCTCTCGATTCGGAAATACCTTTTGACCTCTTCACCGACCGTAAGAACCGCGGCGTGTCTGGCTGTCTGTCCCGGGCTCGAAGCAGATCTCAAACACCCCAACCGACCCAGCCAATAACCCAGGCCTGGAGAACGCGGCACACCCTTTTTTTTTTTCGAGCCAGAGGCACCAAAGATCGAATCGGCCGCGACCGATTGCAGTCGACGAACCGCTGCTAATCATACTAGCCCACACCGTTTCTTCATCAGCTCCATACAATGCCTCTCGACACATCAACCTACAACCTGGCCCTGCTCCGGGTCGACGGCCGGAGATGGAACGAACTACGGCGCGTCCACGCTCAGATCCGCACGCAGGCGGCAGCCGATGGTTCCAGCTACCTCGAGATGGGCCACACGAAAGTGATGTGCGTGGTCACCGGGCCCAGCGAGCCGGGTCCGCGCCGGGGTACGGGGGGTGGTGGAGCAGGAGGTGGCGGTGCCGCCGCCGGCGCAGGGGCCAAGGCAGAAGTCGTCGTGAGCATCGTAATCGCCGGCTTCAGCTCCGTGGATCGCAAGCGACATGGGAGAGGCGACAAGTAAGTGCTAAAGGCTTTCAAGTTCTCGCCATAACCGCGTCAGATGGTGGCTAACCGGACCGACCTTTGCCACAACAGGCGTACCCTGGAGTTGCAATCGACCGTTGCCAACGCCCTTGCTGCCAGCCTTCACACACACCTCTTCCCGCACAGCCAGGTCAACATTTCCTTGCATGTCCTCTCGCAGGACGGCTCGCTCCTTGCGGCGCTCATCAACGCGGCGACGTTGGCGTGCGTCGACGCCGGCATTCCCATGACCGATTACGTTGCCGCGTGTACTGCGGGGTCCACGTCTACGTATGCTGCGAATGACGAGGGCGCCGATCCCTTGCTCGATCTAAACCACCAGGAGGAACAGGAACTGCCGGGGTTGACGGTGGCAACGCTAGGGGAGAGCGACCGCGTGGTAGTGCTCGTGTGCGAGAGCAGAGTGCAGGTAAGCCGACTGGAAGGTATGCTCGCCGTGGGGGTGGATGGCTGCAAGCAGGTTAGGGAGATTCTCGACCGGGTCGTCCGGGAGAAGGGCCGCCGGATGGTACAGGAGGGGACGGTGGAGAAGGGAATCGGCTTAAACGAGATGGATGTGGACTGAGGACCAGACCGGCTCGCCGTGGTGATGTGATGTGATGGGGCTAAGAGTAGCTCTGGAAGCCATCACATCAACATTCCCACGGCGAGCCGATCTGGTGCTCATGCCTTTTCCTGGCTTGTTGGCTGGGATACAAGTCACGCCTGCTCTGACGAAATGCTCCGGTGAGAATACCCGTTCTTTTACCTTCGAAAGCCAGCCACACTCCTACAAGCCTACACTACACCATTGTGTTTTTCGATATGCTTGTACATAAGTTTGACTCCCCACCATGGATAGCCCGACTAACAGACAGAATCAGTTTACAGCAACAAGGAGTAACACGCAGTGCATAACTGAATCAGAGCTCATCGTGCGCCGTCTCAGGCTCTGCAGTAGGGTCGGTGGCCTGGGTGGATGTGGACTCTGTGGAGTCGCTCGCCGTCTCGGCGCTCGCCTCAGGGGTGACTGGGGTCGCCTCCTCGCTTTCGCCAGCCTCGGTAGCATTGGGAGTGGGTTCTGACGACGCCTCTGGCACGGCAGCTGACGTAGGCTCCTCGACCGCAATGGCAACAATCCCCTCGGGAAGCTTCTTCTTCACTCCTTCGCTCAGCCTGATGGCGTCGATCCAGCTCTCTACGCTCTCGTGCCCAAAATCAGCGCCGTCGTAGTGCCTCCACCAGCCGCGGCGGCTGTTGACAGCGACGATCTCAACATCACCAGTGAGGTCAAGCGCTTTCAGAATGGGCGCCGCTCCTTCGTTGCTCAGGGGAACCTCGTAGAAGGGGAACAGCTGTCGCTTGCTCTGCGCATGCTTGAAAGCAAGTTGCGAGAGACTTTCGAGTGCCTTCCTGACTTTCTCGTTTTCGGTGGAGGAGACAAAAGCCAGCACGCAGGTGTGGGACTTCTCGGTGAAGCACTCCTTGATCAGCTTCTCGGGGGTGTTGATGGATGGGATCGGCAGCGCAGTCTCCACAATGACGGGTGCTTCCTGCGTCGCCGTCGTCTCGGTCTTGGACCCCGTCGTGGCGGACGATGTCTTCGAAGAAGTCGTCTTGGGCTTCGCCTTGGCTGAGGAGGACTTATCGGTTGATTTAGAGTTCTTCTTCTCCTTCTGCTTGCCGTCGCCTTTCGCCGGCGAGTCGGGGTTGGGTTGCCCGGCTTGTGAAAGGAATTGAACAATGGCATCCTTCTTCAATTCTCCATCATAGACAATCGCCGGAGCCTCACCTCCTGGCAGGAGCACGAGGGTCGGGAATTTCTTCACATCGAAAGTCTCGACCGCCTTAGTCTCTTTGTTCCTTGCCTGGCCAATGGTGATGACACCCGAGAAATCGATAGCGATGCTCTTCAACAGTGCTGAGGTGGCGCCCTTCTCTGTGAAGAGAATCGCCTTAGGCATCTCCTTGTCGGCCAGGAAGTTGTCAAGGGACTTGTCCTCGACCTTGACCACATAATTGTTGATCTGCTGCACCACGGCTTCGACAATGGCGCTGGCGGTCCTTGGGCCCTGGTAATCCTGGACCATCGGTTTGCCTCCCCCTTTTTTCGGCCGGACGATCTTCAGCGTTGGGAAGCCCTGAACACCCATGGAGCCGCAGAAGGACTTGTTGGCGTCATCGTCGCAGTTCACGGCAGCTACTTTGGCCAAGCCCTCGAGATTCTTCGCTGCCTTCTCGTAGGCGGGCTTGAGGTTCTGGCAGTGACCGCACCAAGGGGCGTAGAACTCGACGATCTGGGGTTCAGGATGTCAGCGTGTGAGCCCTATAGAAAGAAGGGCCTGACCTACAGAAGTGTAGTTGCTCTTAGCAATCAGTCTATCGTAGTCCTTCGCATCCACCTGCAAGACGGGCGATTTTCTGGTGTACAGGCCTGCCTGAGCTCCCGGGAGTGCAGCGAGCAAGGCAGATGCCACGACACAAAGGGTGGGGTGATGCATGATGATGCTTCTCTCTCAGCAGCGGAAGTGGGTTGTTTAAGGTACGCCTCGGATAGGAGCTTAGGTGTGTTGACGAGTGACGTGGGTCTGTTGACAAAGGAACCTTACAAGCTGCAGAGCAAGAGCCGCAAGAGAAGTGTTAATTCATTGAATTGGAACAGGATGCTGCCTCTGCCACCTTATGATTTCTGCCGTCAGCCTCGTTTTGAGGATGAATGGAAAGTAGGGGCGATTCCAAGCTGGCACATTTCCATGTTCGGCAAAAGAACACATTTCCCAAATCCTGACTGCCGCTGATGAAGCTGGCGCCAACTTGCATGAGATCGAGAACCCGCCAGAACATCAGAAGCTCTGTGCGCAGAGTGATCAAAGCTCCTGCCTTCGAGCTCCATGGGGTCGCAGGGCCGCCCGCAATGCCACATTCACAAGCCAATTATCGTCCTCCACTGCCTGCCAGCTTGCAAGTGATGCAGCACCCCTCTCTCTAAGGTACCTTAAGGCAGCAGAGTTAGCCTCACCACATTGTCCTTGTTGACATTACTTCCAGTACTGTCTGCGAACGCTTTTTCTTGGCTCTCCTCTGTGCCTCGCCAGACCTTTGTCAGATCTCTCGACTCCACCCCCCTCGCCATGGCCGACGCCGTCCCCGCTGCCCTGAGGCAGGCCGATGTCAACATCTGGAAGTGCGCCACTAAAGGAGCGCAACTCCAGAAGGTGAAGCCTATCATGGCTTATTGGTGTATGTGCAGTGCGGCGACCGCGGAGTGATTGCCGGCTTCTGACAGTTGTAGGCGAGTACTGGGCCGTGAATCAGATTCTGGCCAAGCAGTTGCATACAGCCGACGAGGACATCCTGCGCTACACCACAAACTTGATGGATAAGCTGGAACAGGTTTGGAAACGTTGTGAGCAAAGTATTGGACCGTTAAGCTAACTGAGCCACGGCAGACCAAGGCAGAATATGCCAGCGAAGACGCCATTACAGACGATGCCGCCGGGCAGGCTTACGTCGAGCAGTTCGCCCAAGAAACGCTTGATCGAGCGGAACGGGTAGTGAAAGCAAACCGGGTAACACAGTACGCCCAGGCTCTGATTTTCCATGCTAGCTTGCGCTGATAGCACGCCAGGCAAACGGCGACAACTTTCGACGCAGCCGCAACATTCTTTCATGTCGCGAACATATGGGGCGCCGTGGACCAGGAGACGCAACAGAAGATCAAGTACGCCAAATGGAATGCGGCGCGCATTGTGAAGGCGATAAAGGAGGGGAATGACCCGAACGAGTCGAACCCGAGGCACGAAGAACCTCCACAGCCAGAGTCGCATCCGATCGCTCCCGATGTTGAGGGCTTGGACGGCACTGCAGCGGCTAGCCGGCCAAGACCGGCAACAGTTGAAGAGGTTCCTGACGCGGACCTCGTCAAGGACGCAGCTGGCGTGTCGCTGCCACACAGCCCGGTTTCAGCCGGCCCATCACCACTTTCTGACGACGGTCTCCAGCTCCCCGGCGTTCCCACCCACTTCAGCCAGCCAGCACAGCCTGGATACTTTGAGTCGGAGGCATCAGCTGCTCCACCTTCACAGCATCGGGGTCCCTATGAAGCTCCTCCCGACCTTCTGGCCCCGCCAACCGGTTGGACACCCTCGCATCAGGCTCCAGCGCCGACTGCAATGCCCCCGACGTTCGCCCCAAATCCGCCATCCACCGCCGCAGTCGCGTCTCCCCCCGTTAGTTCACCAAGCGATCCTTATCACATGCATACGCCGCCACCAACAAATACGGCAAGGCCATCGGCTCCTTCAGCAGCGGCCCCTGTGAGTTATGCGTCGGCTCAGGCCGGAGGTTTTGCAATGGACGAGGCTGCGATAGTTGGGGCACAAAAGCATGCGAAATGGGCCATCTCGGCCCTCAATTTCGAAGACGTCCCTACAGCGGTAAAGGAATTACGCAAAGCACTGGAGTTGCTTGGAGCTACGTAGGACGGAAGATGGTGTTACAGGCTACGTAACGACGTCACGACGGGGGACGCAAGCATGGGAGTTGGGGTCCTTGCGCGTTGGCTAACTCTGTCTCAAGACTCGTTCCTGGGAAGGAGTTCCATCCTGCCATCAGGCTCAGTCATCAGCATTGGTGGAACTGTCTCACTGCATCTCATGTAGCCGCCGCAATGACCCGTCTGCTACACAACAGACTCTCCCTTTTCCGCGCCAGCAGTACGCGCTCTGCCCTACCTATCCTTTGCGCCCGGTCTGATGAGGAGGATCTCGTACTGCCTGACGCTGACAACGCATCAGTGGACCGGTCCAGCGGTTCGGACCGAATCGTCTGCTTGAGCTATTGGATTACTGCACGCATCACCTGTTGTGTACACCGGCGACCGAATCAGAGCCGGAAAAAGGGCAACCTGAGTTGGAGCTTATACGCCTTGGCGGGCGATGAGGCTGGCGTACATGGGGCCTTAACGGAGATTTCCTTTTATCTTCCACGCATTGGCCAGGGATCCTTCCCTAGCGTTGTCCGGCCTAGACTGGGAAGGACTGAGTTGATAGCTGCACGCCTGTTAAGATTGGGTTGAATGCTATATAATCATGGGTACTTGCCTCGCAATTGCAGCATGTCGAGAATCGAAATCGTACACAGCACAGTTAATCGATGTCAGCACGATAGTGTGCGAACTCCGTCGGGATCCTGTGTCCTGTTAGTCATCCACTTCTGATACTTCGCTCCTCTAACTGAGTCGGGCTCAGGTAGAGGACGGAGCCGGCGGCAGAAATTCAGGGTGAACAAGAGTCCACAAGGTCTAATAAGGAGTGTATGTGGTTGATTCCAACTAAATTGATTCTTCAACCCTCCAGTTCCAACCACCAGAGCCAACATCGACGACAAAGAGGGGAGCTACTCGTACAGCAGCTCAATGTCCACTTCGCCGGATATTGCGAAGATTGGCTGGCGAACACGCGTTCATGTTCTTCTACCGATGCCGTCACCTGGTGGAAACAAGGGAAGTCACGGTTCGTTTGGTCGGGAGAAGTCATGAGTTTTAGGACGCGAGTTGAAGTTTTGTACGGTTGGGGTTTCTGATGCATTCATTACCTGAGCTTCCTTGCGTGTCCAGTTCTAGTATGTCAACGGCCGGCCAGCCAATGTATTTCATCACGGGGAGGCAGAAGACACAAGAATGGAGTATAAACATAGAGCAAGCTGGGGGGGAAGGGAAATGGGAGACAACAGTGAAGCGTAAAGCACATGAATGAACTCTTTGCGGCTGCCACTTGCCCTATACAGGGCTAATACGCGCAGGATGTTGAGAAAGCTTGCTTTACAGAATAATACAAGAGGAGTTGATTAAGTAGGACCCAGGCGAGTCCGGAGCCTGTTGAATAATGAAAGCAATTCAGTTGAGAGGCTCACGCCGCCGTCTCTCTTCAAAACAATAAGAACAAAGAGCTTTGGTCCCTGACATCGACAGAAGTAAACGCCATGTGGTATGGTGCAAGCCATGAAGGTGGTTCCCCAAAAACCTGCACTGAAACAAACCGGCCAGCTGTACAAAACTTCCGTCGTCACTGAAGTAGTTTAATTGCAAAGACAAAGTCCAACCAACTCGACCTTCTCTTTCTGCTTCGGTATGTTCCCACCGTCAACTTCCTTTGTCGACCACCTACCAGAACTATCACGCCATATTGACAACCTTCCTTCAAAAGGTTCGTCTCAATCGCCTACACCCACTCCGAAGCGGTGGCAGGACCGACGACAACCCACTCACTGATTCCCTGCTTAGAGTCTGCGCAACCATGCCGGCAATCATCCGGGCGACCTGCGTCGCCAACCTTCTGCTTCTCGGCGAAGCGAGCGGCCACTTGATCATGAACACTCCGAAGCCCTACAATCTCGATATCCAACCTTTTCTTCAGGTTGACCCCATCAGCGGCGATCACTACCCGTTCCCTTGCCACAACCAGCACGACTTCACAACACGTACTCCGGTCGAGGCTGGTCAGGCGACGCTTGTAAACTTCACCGGCGGTGCCCAGCATGGCGGAGGGTCGTGCCAGTTCAGCATTACGTACGACGAGCCGGTTGGAGGTAGCAGTTGGAACAAGTCGGCCAAGTTCAAGACCATATACAGCATCATCGGTGGTTGCCCGGCCGTCTTCACTGACGAGACTCGCAACCTCGCGCCGGCGGCCAAGGATTCGAACATGCGTGAGGATGGCAAGCATTGCGGAAATGACTCAGGCATCGACTGCATTCGACACTTCATGGTTCCGATTCCCAAGTTGTGAGTAGACGCCTTGGTTACCGGCAAAATGAACTCGATTGCTAACCGACGCTGTCATGAGCAGTCTCAGGAATGGCCCAGCTACCTTCGCCTGGACTTGGTTCAACAAGCTGGGGAACAAGGAGATGTACATGTGAGGCTTGCTTCCAGCCGTTTCCTGTCAGGACCTCGACATGCTGACCATGGCATTGGGTAAAAATTAGGAACTGCGCCCCCATCAACATCACCGGTGGCACAGGTGACGAGAAGCAGATCGGAGACCTCCCCGACATCTTCATCGCCAACTACCCCAACGACCCCGAACTTTCCACCTGCATCACGGGCACGCACGACGACAAGGTTGTCGTCAACTTCCCCAACCCCGGCAAGTATGGACTCATTCTTCAGGACCCGCTCGAGCCTGTCAACAAGCCCTTTGGCTACTGCACCCAGATTCCGAGGGCCTCGGTACTTCCGGACTTTGAGCCCGGTCCCCGAGCCACGGTGCCGGGCGGCAGCGATGGCAGCAGCCCAACCATGAGCGAGGGGACTCGGAGCACCTCAACCCCGGCCTCGATGATGCCTATCACCAACATCCCCATTCCCGACAACAGTTATAGCACGACCAGACCTCGCCTGACTGCGCCCATGACCCATCCGTCTATGACCAGCGCGACCACCCTGACCACGACCATCACGGAGCCTTCAGCCACCAACCTCGCCCCTCCTCCGCCCGTGGGCCCGCGCCCCGCGGCCAACAAGCCCAACGACAGGGCGGTCGCGTGTTCAGCCCACGGCGAGCTCGTCTGCTTAGGCGAGGGTCTGTTTGGCCTGTGCAACTGGGGCTGGGCCATCCCGCAGGAGGTGGCCGCCGGCACGCAGTGCAAGGAGGGCAAGATCGTCAAGCGAAAGGCCGGCCGCATTGGCTGGGAGTATGGAAAGCATGTGATGGAGGACGAGAATGGTGTTGTCTGGGTTCCGGCGGACCCATTGCGCGCTTGAGGTGCAGTAAACGGGAGACATTGGTCCGCCAACTGCTACGAGGGCCGGGGGGAGAATAACAAAATAACAAAGTGCACATAACGGGTGCATAAATGATGGGGAGTACATGAATTACAGCCGACTTTGAGTTGTCTAGTACCCAATAATCACAACCGGTCTTCGTACAGCCCCTGACACCTTTGATGAGAATCAACCTAGGGACTGCTCGATAAGGTCGCTCGTCCTTTTTCGTGCCGAATACCATGAAACCCTCGCACAAGACCTCTATGAATCAGGTCGTCATCTTGGTGGCCCATTTTATAATGTTCCGGCTTTCGATACGACGGCAAATGTGTGCGATTTTGAGCTTGGGGACTGCCGTGGCTGCTGCTATTTACCACGGCATGATGGTCATGCTGGAAATGATTTCATCCCTTGATGAGGCATTGTTGCTGAACACAAGATCGGGGGCGAAACTCACCTGCGTCCTGCCGCCGGCCATCATGTTCACACCTGGTACTGATGGAATACTGCCGGAATACCTCTAACCTGAGTTTGAACAGCTTACAGAGAACTGAGATTGAACACGACGTTGGGAACCTTTTACAATGGCTTTAACAAAGCCCAGCTAGTCCGACCTACATCCGGGTACACATTTCCCAACCCTCTTACACTCCGGAGAGGCTCATTTCACCGTTTCGGTGCTGCTTCGTATCGTCCGAATGACCGAATAATCCATTTTTAATGTGGTCTGCCACTGCCTGCCGCCACACATCCAGCACAAGCAGGCTCGTGAGAGCCTCATGCACATCTCGGCCTATTAATTTGGTCGAGATCTGATTCGTCGTCTGTAGACTCACGGATAACCCCTAACTTGAACCCGGAAGTTGCATGTGGTACGATCCTTGAGCCCTGAAGATTTGACGCTTCGTCCTAGTTAGACGGTGAGTTGAGAGGGCAGAGTTTGGCCGAAGATGGAGGCTTTGGCGGTGCCTGAGTATCGCAGGAATTTGTCAATGTGACTAGTACTGTACTTTGCAAAGCCCTGAGGTGGGGAGCCACGTGTGCCCCTGACAAGTTACCCTGAATCCAGAATATATACTGCAATTCCTAGACTCCTGTCTATTGACGGCTCCACAGGCGCGAGTCAAACGCTCGGTACCATTCATCACACTTCTCTTGGACTCGCGAAACACCATCAGATAACGGACAAACCCCAACATGAGGGGACGAGCACTCCATCGTCGTACATCCCCGCAAGCTGCCTATCGCGCTTGCATGCAGGGTTGGGCTGGATCGGGCTCTCCGCACGCGCGACGACGAAGCCCGGCGATTGGTGAGGCATTGGAAACTCGGCGCTGCGGCTGGGGTTTTGACGCTGTCAACTGTCGACCCGCGCTTTAATGGCCCACTCCCACCCCAAACCCCTCCTGAACGGAGAGATCTCCAACCCCACACTCATTTAAAGTACTATCGACGATCAGATCAAGATAGGTATACGGAAGGCCAGCACAATGCCTAGCAAGGGAGTCCATACCTTCACCTACATCGCCGTGCCCGGGTGCTCGATTGAGCTCTCAGTGCCCAAGCAGACTGTGAGGATCGATGAACTTCACCGCTTTTCCAACACCGCCATGGAGGTCGAAGCCTTCGCCATCAGCAGCTTCTTCGATAAGCGAGGCCGGTTCACCTTCAAGGTATTCCTGCACGGCAACCAGATCGCCGAGCAATGGATCGATATCAACGCCATCACTGGTAACGCCAGCGGCGGTACCATGGAGTCCATTGCAAACACGCCATCCATCTTCCACGACGACATCATCATCTCGTACGGCCTGTATGAAGCGGGCAACGGCCATGACCTGCTGCCGAACCGCCACCAATGTAGGAAACACTTTTCTTTGTTGGTGGGCTGTTTTCACCCCTTGATGGCTGTCTCAGGAGCCAGCCTGCTCCCGAGACAGCGCATTTGCTCTCGAACCCCCCTCCAGACATTTCCGGGATAGGAAAGCCACAGCTGACATTGTTGGCAGGCTACATAACCGTCACGCCCAACTACGCCAACTGGATCGGCAGCGTGGCTCCTCCCGGCTCCGAGCTGGAGAACAGGCCCTTCACGCGCCTGGTCCTCCCCTCGGCGCACGACGTGGGCATGAACAGCATGCAGAGCAGCGAGGCCGTTTTGCGCAAGGTGGGCGGCGCCGTTGTCGGCGAGCTCGTCGACGATAACCGCGTCCTCGCCGAGCTGGCCGACAAGATCTCGGCCGACGCCATCGCGCTCATCGCGCCGAATATCATCTTCAGCCTGGCCATCACCCAAAAGGACAGCCTGGATGCCATGCTGCAGATCGGCGCCCGCTATTTCGAATTCCGCCCCGCGCACTTGCACCGCGCGGTGATCCCTACGGGCGCGCTGCCTGACCGGCTGTATTTCCAGCACAGCGCGATCCCGGGCATGGAATACGAGGCCTTCCTCCGGGATGTGGTGGCGTTCCTGCGCGCGCATCCGACCGAGATCATCGTGGTGCAGCTGCGGTGGGACGGCGTGCCCGACGTCTGCGCGAAGCCGTCCGACGACGAGAAGAGGCAGTATCTGGAGGAGGCCCTGCGGCAGGCCGACGGGGAGATCGTGGCGGGCAACCTGGACGACATGAAGCGCTGCAGCATCGGCGAGCTGAGGCGGGACAGGAAAAGGCTCATCATGCTCGACAGCGTCGACTCGCTGTCGACGTACACGGATGAGGGCAACGCCACGCTGAACGGGGACAGCATCGTCGAAGCGTTGCCAAGGGTTCTGACTCTTGATAATCAGCGGGGTAAGGCGTTTGTCAATATCCAGTGCCAGTCTACGGCGTCCAACATCCCGCGCGCCGTCGTTTACTCGGTTCTCGAGGCCAGTGTCACGACGAGCTGTCTGCTGGCGACCAAGGGGCTGTGCGACTCCAAGACGCTGCCCTGGTGCAGGGATAATGTCTTGAGGACCTGCGAGCTGGATCAGCTTGTGGTCATGATGAACGACTGGATAGACGGTGCCACGTCTGACATCGCAATCCAGTTGAGCCGTCAGAGGCTGGAAAGGTGATGGCCTTGCATGAGATGGAAGCTCACCAGGCGCCCTCGGCAGCCGCAGCTCCCTTCGAGGTAATGACAGTAGTATCAAGTCGGTTTTGAATAAGACTCGTTCTTCTTGAAAAAGGTCCCTATTGGATTTCTTGCTTGCACATTGCAGTACAACTCACTCCAGCTACCGCTTCCCGTCTTCTGTTTGGCTATCGACTTTAGGTGAGAACCGCTTAATTCCGGTCGGTGTTTACGGATCCGTATGTTCGTGCCGGATTTCCCGGCTCATGCCCAATTCTCAACCGATTGCGGCTTCGAACTTGATAACCCCGCAACGGCGGCAACGCAAGGTTACTCGCGCAACCTGGAAGAAAGGAAAACACGAATCGCGGCCGGTCAATAATATTGGGTCTTGTCATCGGCTGATGTGGGATTTTTACAGAATGCCATCTCCATCACCAATCTACCACAACTCGGCAGCCATCGAATGGCGCTTCCAATCGCACAGACGAAGTCCCTCTCAGTCAGAGTTACACGTTCAAAGCTTCCACCGCCTTCTTCCTAACTACGCTGAGACACCCCTCCACAGCCTCCAGTCGTTGGCCAAAGAGCTCAACCTCGGACACGTCCTCCTGAAGGACGAGTCCCTCCGTCTTGGCCTGCCCTCGTTCAAGATCCTCGGTGCATCATGGGCCGTGTACCGCACCGTGATTGAGCGGCTGGGTCTCGACGCTCAGTCATTCCTACGCCAAAACGAGCAATATCTCGACTTGAGTTTGCTCGGAGCGGCAGCTCATCGGAAGGGGCGTGACCTGAAACTTGTCACATGCACCGAAGGGAACTGGGGCCGGGCTGTGGCGAGGATGGCACGGTACATGGGTATTCCCGCTGTGGTCTATGTGCCGGCGCATATGCCCGAGACGACGCGGAATATGATCAGGGGCGAGGGGGCTGAGGTGAGGGTTGTGGATGGGGACTACGACGTTGCTGTCGAGGCGACCAAGGAGGCGGCGATGGTTGATGGGTCTCTGCTGGTCATGGATATCAGTTGGGAGGGCTATGAAACTGTTCCACAGGTCCGTCTGATATTCCCCATCCCCCTGACGGGAGTGACACCGAGCTCACCTTACCTTTGGGTGTAGTTGCTGACCATTGGATATCAGTTTGTTGTCGAAGGCTACCAGACCATGCTACATGAGTCAGATGAGCAAGTGCTTCGCGTGACGGGCGGGAAAGCAGCCACGCACGTCATTGTGCCTGTTGGATGCGGATCTATTGCCCAGGCGGTGGTACAGCACTTCAAGAGCGCGGTGAGGGAACCAATCGCGGGTTCGGCGGCTGCTGTGCTCGCGGTTGAGCCAGACACGGCCCCTTGCTTGAAGACTTCGCTCGAGAACGGGAGGGCAACCGGTGTGCAGACGGGGGAGAGCATCATGTGTGGGATGAATTGTGGGACTCTATCTACCACGGCGTGGCCTACCTTGAAATCAGGGGTTGATGCCGCCATGGTTGTAAGTGATATCGAGGCGCATCATGCCGTCTTGGAGCTGGAGGCACTTGGAGCGACATCAGGCCCCTGTGGAGCGGCGACATTGGCAGCACTGAAGAAGGCATGTTGCATCGAGAACATGAAGGCCCGGTTGGGGCTTTCAGAAAGCTCGGTTGTGGTCCTGTACTGCACTGAAGGTTCGAGGGAGTATGCAGCGCCGGCCTGACTGAATTCACAGGAATGGCCGCCTCCGTAACGACTACAAGCGGTGTCGGCGACGGGAACCGGAAGACGTTGCCCGTTCTACTTCATTCACACCAGTCGATTCTTCCGGAACGCCTCGCGCATTCGCGATGGAGATCATGGTTCACGCCATAATTGCCTTCCCTGTCGGCGTAGACAGGGCAGAATGTTGGCGCGGATCGTTCGGGGCGGTCCTGGAGGATGTGTGGCGCGGGCTTGCTCATGCCGTCAGTCTAACCCTGCTGCGGGCAAATCACACCGGCATTGCAGCCACCACCATACAGGAGCCTACTGTGAGCCTCGGGCGTATGGCGCCGCACTCGGAAACCCCGGTATGCCCTCAGGGTGGTCGTCCCCTCGGCCTCCATCGTCCATACCAGTGAAGGAAGCAGCGCAGTTGACAACACCCCGAGTCGGGATTGATCAACCGAGACCATGGCCAACCGAGTAGGCTGCAGGACGAGAGTGAAGCCCTTGATTACGGACTATCATCGAAGGCAGCTAAATATGCCAGTGTATATGACTGTAAGTGAACGCCACCTTATACCAGCGTTGCCAACTTTCTCGGCTCCGCGTTGTTGCGTGAGTCCTTGGCCCCATATACGAACTCCTCGGCATTCTTCTTATGTCTTGCTCTGTCCTACAGGGAATCAGTCCCAAAGCTGCACGGCTAACGGGGAGGATCCTGGACTGGCTGATGGACTCGGGGAAACTGCCGATGTACGGTCTGGCCAGGAGGCTGGAGCTGGAGCTCGCAGTCTGATACCCTTTCCTTCGAAGGCCAAGATGCCTTCCCACTTTGTATTTGCAGGATCGCACACTGATCGTTTCCTTGATTGTCGATATGGGTTTTTCACCCGGCCCACGAGGGCGCGGTTTTCCTGTATAGTAAGTTGTTGAAGGTCCGGCAAGCCCAAGGGCACAGCGGTGTAGGAATAATATCTTATGTCTTGCTTCTCTCCGGCTATCCAGTCGTGATGCCGTTGCACATTTCGGACTACGCCTGGGGTCGACTTCCATGGTGGTAATGTACCCAATCTCCGCCTGGATTTGACAAAGGATCAAGGACATCAGATTATCAAGGGGTACTTGTCTGTTCTTCATTGCTTGGGGCCTCTGGCAAGGGACGGCGGTCTAGCGGGCATCCGCATACAGCCCGCATACCCCTGGCGATGAACCATGGCAAGACTGAGGGTAAGTGCCAATGCGTTGATCTTATCCCGAATCCAGTCGACCGTGTCACACGAGTCGAATATCGTGGCACGTTCGCTATTGGGCCAGCCGTGCGGCGCGTACGAGGCAAACACCAGCTCTAGAAATCGGGGGTCGGCGAGGAAATGAACTGGGATGATGTCTCGAAGAAACTCTGAAGCAAGGAGACGCTTGTACGGCTAGTACTGCGTGGTGCTGGCCGAGTCCGGGGGTTCGTATTGGACGTTGGGTAAATCCCAGGGCATCAGGGCGTGAAAATCGTGGACTATGAAACGGTTCCCCGAGAAAAGACGAACTGGGCGTCCCGGCACAAGGCGCGGCAGATAAGAAACAAGTCGGTCGGCGGAGCCCAGTAGTGGTAGGTAGAGGTGAAGGCCGTATGTCGGCAGTGACAGAAACAGCCTGGGAGCTGCTCCGATACGCCCGGCATATCGATATAAGAACTGCAATGGATTCGCCGGCAGCCATGGTGGGTATCAGGCGGGCACCCGCCCTCGGAGCTGGTGCAAGGCGGACGGCACATCTGGTAGTCCCGGTGCTGTCTGCTTAATGTGGCCTCATTCCAAGGGGTAATCAAGTCGGTACACTCGAGGATACGGACATGCAACTCGGGTGGTAGGGTTGTCACGACCGTTTTAGCAGGCCTTGTTGGAACTTGCAGGGCGATGACCGCTGAGATATGCGCTGGAAAAAGCTATTCCGAGTCAAAGCAGTGGATTACATTGAAAGGTGGCAAAGTGCTTTGATTGACCATGCTGTTGATGGGCATGGGAGAGGACTAAGTATGTAGGTAAGAAAGAGGGTTGCAGTGCTGGCACCAATCAACCACCGAGGTCCGTTGAATGCAGCCATCAAGGTGGCTTCGTTCCGACAGGCCTCAGGGAGGCACGGTAGGCTTGGAGAAAGGCTTCTTCGGCGAGCCACTGGAGTGGACGGTTCCTTGTTTTGCCAATCCTTATATGACAGTCTTTGAGACGTGGGAAAGGGGCGATTGTGGCGACAGTAAGTTGGCCTACGTCGAGTGAATGTTGTTGATGATTCGGATGGATGTTACAAGCCAACGAGAGCTCGAGGCGTCCGACGCTAATATAAGACAATAGATAGTTAAGTTGCTATCTCGTACCTCTCGCTTAACACAGGTTGAGTTGCTAGCTTGGCTGATGCTAAGTCCAGGTTTACAGTCAAGTCGAGTGAGAGACGGCGATGCATGGTAGCGTGGTAGTTGCTGGCGCAATAAGGGGCATCCGCGCATTTGCGCACGCTACAGCAGTAGCGACTAGGGGGGTAGTTATGCGAGTCGGTGGGCTGATGGCAGGAGGACTCATTGAGAACGATATTCAGACTGGTCATGGAGGCGAGAGCGGTTGGCGATGGGGCCCGAAGAGTCTTCAGGCGGAGGGAGCCGTGGTGCGAGTAGAAGATGACGAAGCGGTTAGCCGAATAGAGTAGAGCAGTCGGTTCGGTGTACAGAGGGCGGCAGGATAGCAATAAACCGGCGAACTTGCGCGGCGGCGGCGGGTCGAATTCCGATTTCTCCCTGCACGATTCCTTGCGTGTCCAAGTAATAGGTGCATGCATGCCGGTCAAACCGTGCCACGCCGGTGTGGAGGTATATGCGATGGCCGATGTGAGGGAGGAGACGCACAAGACTTGGTAGCCGGGACAGCTGTTCCTCGACCTCGATGTCGGGCGACATTGTTGGTAGCAGTTGGTAGCAGTCGTTGCTGGTGTGGCGGGCCTTGGTTTGTGTCTTTTTTAGGGACATACGGGGAGGCGGTGACCGGGGATTTTGGTTTTCAACCACGCAGTGACCTGCGCGGCTGCCTGCGTCAAGGTGTTGCTTACTACCATCCTCGTTTTCCCATCACGGTAGGTTGCGAAACCCCACGGACACCCTGACACCCTTGACAATCTTTCGACGTTCCCATTGTTCGACGGCCTTGATCATGAACTTTCGAAATCGTCACGGATCCCCCCTTTCCTGCCTCCACGATGAACCACAAATACCTGACGCTCTTCACGTCGATGTCGCATTTGTTAATGTCGATCTGTAGACCAGCCTCCCGCAGCTGTCGTAGAGCGGACCCTCTTCCTGTGGTCCAAATGGCAGCGGCTGGAATGTCCCTGGTTGGAGGATCAAAGGAGGGCGTTGTCGGATAGCGTCGGGCCTTTAGGGGAATAACATTGCGGCCTTAAACCCGGCCAACTCCGAGATCGCTCGCTGCTTCGGCCTGAAGAAAGTACTGTAATTAAAGCCGTCGACAATAGTTATTATGGGTTTCATTCTACGTTTGATATTGCTCCTCCGGGGCAGAGAAGGAAGGTACAGGCGACGGATAAGTTAGCGACTACAGAGTAGTACCTCACCTTACGATTCTGTGGGCTACAACGCAGGTTCAGTGGCAACCAATGAACAACGGCTTGAACCGCAAAGCCGTGACAGCAATGACAAAGGGTCAGCGAGGGGCCGAAGATGCCCTCGCGCACTCAAATGGGCCGAGTTTGGGACACCCTCAGTCGCCGGAACCTCCAGATATTACTACCCCAGGCGACTTGTCCACCTCGAATCCTGCGACAGCAAAGAACACTGGAGGCCACGAACAAGGAAGCCTGGCGGGAGAGGAGAGCTGTCCAGCGCCACCCTCGTACAGCATGTTCAACGCCTGGGAAAAAGGCTTCATCGTCTTCATCGTTTCGGCCTCTGCTTTCTTCTCACCTGTCAGCGCGAACATCTACTTCCCGGCCCTCAACACGCTCGCCCAAGACTACCATGTCTCACCCACGCTCATCAACCTCACAATCACCATGTACATGATCTTTCAGGGGCTTGCGCCCTCCTTCACCGGCTCGCTGTCAGACAGCATCGGCAGACGCCCAGTCTATGTCCTTTGTTTCATCGTCTACATCGGCGCAAACATCGGCCTCGCGCTGCAGAACCAGTTCGCCGCTCTCATGGTCCTTCGCTGCCTCCAGAGTTCCGGCAGCAGCGGGACGATCGCCCTTGGGAACGCCGTGGTCTCCGACGTGGCCAGCGCTTCCGAACGCGGATCTTATCTCGGATACGTTTCCCTCGGTGGTGTGGTTGGCGTCTCACTTGGTGCCATCATCGGTGGGATTCTCAGCGACTTTCTGGGATGGCGATCCATCTTCTGGTTTCTAGTCCTCAGTGCAGGCGTGGTCCTTGTTTTGATTCTGGTGTTTCTGCCGGAAACAGCACGGGCCGTGGTCGGCAACGGCTCAGTCAGGCCCGCGGCATGGGATCTGTCACTCTGGGATCAGCTGCCGTCGACCAAGCGAAGGAGAGTCGCCTCAGGGACGTCAGAAACGCTATCAGGGTCTTCAGCAACCGGACGCTTTGTCAACCCCTTGATGACGCTTAAGATATGCGCCGACAAGGAAGCAGGCATCGTGCTCTTCGCCAACGGCATCGTTTTCGCAGGCTACTACGCTCTCGTCGGCGCAATCCCATCGCAATTTCACGCGCTGTACGGTTTCAACGATCTCGACGTCGGTCTCTCTTTCATCCCCATCGGCGTGAGCGCTGCCATATCGGCCGTAGCAGTTGGATACGCCGTCGACTGGAACTTTGCCCGCCACGCGCGCAGGCTGGGCATCAGCGTCGACGGAGCCAAGCAGATGAGCAGAGACCTCGGCAGCTTTCCCATTGAGAGTGTTCGTTGCGAAGTTGCCCTCCCCATGCTGGCGCTTACCGTCGTGACCTTCGTCGTCTATGGCTGGCTGCTGTCCTTCCACACCAGCGTGGCCGGCCCGCTGGCCATGCTCTTCTTTGTCGGCTTCGGGGTCAACGGCTTCTTCACCATTCTCAGCGTCTTAATTGTCGACGTGTATCCGCAAGCACCAGCTACAGCTACGGCAGCTAATAATTTTGTCCGCTGCTGGCTGGGCGCGGGCGCTTCGGCCATTATCATCCCCATGATTGACGCCTTGTCGAGCGGCTGGGCATACACGTTTATCGCTCTGTTATATCTTCTCATGGCGCCCCTGCTTTGGGTCATCATGCGCTGGGGACCACGGTGGAGGTCGGATCGGAATGCAGCCGAAAAGGCGCGAGAGGCGAGCCAAAATGTCGAGGCATGAGAATGGAGAAGGCGAGACAAAGCGATGCATGGCCGAAGCTGCAAGTGCATTGAGGTTCAAACAGGCAGTCCGAATTTCTGGTGGCAAACTGGTCTGGGGATGCAGCTTCAAGCTCCGCGTTTATGTTTCGCCGCGCTCTTCTCGCTCAATGCTCTTGCCTTCCAGGGCATGCTGTTTGGAGAACCTGCCGTTGAAACTGCGGGTGATAGCATCTGACTGACGTGGGAAGGAACGTGCCTCGGTCGTGCAACCCGGGGAGTGGAAGGTACGAAGTCCAATAACCCCCTCCTCCCCCCCAACAAAACAACCCACCCCCTCCTTTCCTCTCCTCTGCCAGCCTGTCTTTCCACTTTTTTTTCAAGATTTCAATTCCGGCCGTGAAAACTTCTGTCCCATTCCATAAAGACGATGATGGACAAGCCCCGCAACTGAGCTCTGACTGCAAGTTGTAATGTACCTCAATGCACAAGTCTAGAATCACCGGCAGTCTTATCCTGTGACATTCGTCATGTCATGCATGTCCAGCGCCGAGCATGTGCGTATGGGAGCTGGAGTCGCAGTATCAGCGTTGGACAACCTGAAGCGTTCCTGAGACCTCTCAAATCATCGGCTGGATGCCACAGGAGGCTAGGTTTCGGTACACAGCCAGCGCAGCGGAACTGCTGAACCTCACAGCTAAGAGCCACCAGTCTTGGGAGGGAGACAAGCAGCATAGCAGATACGTGACCGCACCACGCCAAGACGAAAGTAAATGTCCTAGTGTTTGCTTGTTACCTCTCGTTCTTATCAACCCGACAGTCCCTTCCAGTGGAGCTAGGGCGGGATGCTGAGGACTGTTAAGCGGGTTCGGGACTGCGATGAATGCAGCAGCAATCCGCTGCGGGATAAACAGCCGTTACTCTGTCCGGAGAAACGGATTAACCAAGCTCGTAACTTCCGTTGCGGTCTCAGGAAGGCAAGGTACAAAAAAAAAAAACCAAAAACTATGTTGGCCGCTTGAGTTGATGTGTCTTGAGCGCAAACAGGGCAATTCTTTTCGACCCTCCTTCTTGGCTCGCAAAGCTTCATGTTGCGTTGCACAGAATGGTTGACCGCTCTGGTTGGGTGCTGCATTACACGTTGACCCCACCCAGATTCCTGGGCGGCTCCGGAGACGGGCCGCGGCATGGCGATTACCGGTTTGCGTTTTGCCGAAGGACATGTCGGCACGAGTCAGGTGCCGAGCCTAAGGGTGGGCCGCGGTGGCCGTGGCGGACACCAATGGAAGCAGGCACGGCGGACGGTAACAGGTACTGATACCCTCTTCGGGACGGGAGATTGTGGACAGGGTGGCAACGCTAGGTGCCGTGCTGGCCCGGTGACAGTGTGGCTCGTGTGGATGTTAACGGAGTACCGTATATCTCGATCTTCCCGTTTTTCACTAGCAGTGACACAACTTGCCTGATTGGCTTTAACCTGGCTTATCGTACCTTATCGTTCGGCGTGCCTCTGCCAAATAGGCCCAGCTAGTGAAAACGAAGTGAAAAACGAAAAGGCCGAGATTATACGGTGTACTGTGTGGTAGGACCGTGGACGCAATGGGCTGAAGGGGAGCGGCTTGCTACGGCTCTTAAAGGGGGCGGCGTTTGCCGCGAATTTCGAACTACAGCCAAGATGTTGCAACCACCAGAATACGGTGCGTTTACTTTCGGCACGAGCAAGCCCATTTATGTGTGTTTCGTTGCACGATGCGGCCATTACGTTACACCCACCACATTTTCTTCCAAAATCCTAAGCGGAGCTGGTTTTCCCTGGTATCGCAACCGCTGGGCTTGGATGTGACCCCGAGTGACCTCTTCATTATTTAAAAACCAACCTCGAGAGACCTTCCTCCCCTCTTACTTGGCGGGAGACCTCATTGCTTCTTGCTCCATGTGGACGAGCTTGTGGGCTGTCGCATCTCGAGTGCAACGGACAGAACTGTTGTGACCGCCGTTTTGTAGTTGTGGGGAGCGTGTGGACCAGCTTGGGAGAGAGTCTTACGATAAGAGCAGAAAATCAGGGTCTTCCCCACCGCGATAACGAAAAGCAAACGGGTTGATGATGGTTCTCAAGGACGCTACCTGGCAGTTCGCGCGGCTTTGGCTGTTCAGAAGTCATGTGCTGTTCGAGACATGGTTGATAATTGCTGTATGGACGTCTCGCCAACAGCTCTCCTGCTTCCTATATATTTCCAGTGCTAAACACACACAAATGATAGATGACAGATTGGCGCCCTGTTGGAAGAAGGGCGCAAGCGTCGCGAGGGCCTCCTTGCTCGAAGACGTCGAAGGGCAGCATGTGACGTTATCGTTCCACTCGGAAGTGGAGGCGGCATTTCTCCGCAGTTTCGCACGAACGAGCATCACTGGTTGCCTCACAGTTGACTGCAACACTTGATCAGAGACGAAGCTGCAGATGAACCGGCCAACATTGTAGCATGTGGCTTTAGCTACCCTCGGTCCAAAAGTGTCGAAAATTCGCGTGACTGGGAACTCGGGCGAGTTGGAGCTCGACGGACTGGCCGCCGTTCTCGTCTCCCAACAACCTTGGGCTGCCCTACGGAGTTACGCTCCTACCGCACCAGCTCTCTGGTTGACAGTGCCGAGGAAGCCAAGTTTTTGACATACCCAAGCGATGACCTCATACTCCACGCCGCGGTGGACAGCCCGGGCCGCAAGAGGGTCCGACGTTGTGCTCCATCTTGCTGTGGCTTGCCCATGAAAAAGTCTTCTCAACTGCCCAGCATGGATGGTGTCGTTGTGTGGCCGAAGATCTCAATCCTGCATCAGCGATTCGTTTCACACTGCGACGGCCCCCGCCTGAGCAATCGTCTTATGTTGCAGTCTTTGCCATCCAGGAACATGGATCTCGCCCGAGATCTACATACCTCGGCCGCGCATCGTCGGCCAGGAACTTGCTTCTGTCAGCATCACCTCGCTTCATTTTCCCCACGGTGGCTGATACCGGCTGTCGGCGCTGTGTCCAACCGTTCCACCACGCTGGAGACGTGACACAAGCTCCCTATCCAGCCTTCGCTATTTAGGACAGCCCCAGACTCCTCGACTCGCACGCGACCGTCAATTCGTTTCTTCTCCTCAATCGCCGTGACTGTCAATTGACAATGGCCCCTCCAAAGTACATGGGCCTCTCGGGCAGGCCCCTCTCGATAGCAGTCTCTACTGTTGCGACGACAGGTTTCCTCCTCTTTGGATACGATCAAGGGTAAGTCTCTCCGCCTCTTTTAAGACGCCTGGCTTGACCAGTTGATTAATCCTTTCCCCCTTAGCGTCATGTCTGGCATCATTACCGCCCCTGCATTCAATGCCATGTTCGAAGAAACCAAGAACAACTCGACCATGCAGGGGCTTGTCACCGCCATCTACGAGATCGGTTGTCTGGCGGGGGCCATGTTCATCCTCGGTGTCGGCGACCTCCTCGGAAGACGGAGGGCAATCATCTTGGGCGCCGCTGTCATGTTGCTCGGCGTCATCATCCAGGTCACTTCCATGCCTGGGTCAAGCCCTCTCGCGCAGTTGATCGTGGGAAGAGTCGTCATGGGCGTTGGCAATGGAATCAATACCTCAACAATCCCCACTTACCAAGGTGCGTGAGACCAGCCATGAGAGAAAAGGCGATGACGTTGCTAACAGTCGAGACAGCCGAGTGCAGCAAAACATCCAACCGAGGGCTGCTGATTTGCATCGAGGGTGGCATCATTGCCTTCGGCACCTTGATAGCCTACTGGATCGACTACGGCGCGTCATACGGGCCCGACGATCTCGTTTGGCGGTTCCCCATTGCCTTCCAGGTCATTTTCGCAGTCTTCATCATCATACCCATGATTTTTTTGCCCGAGTCTCCCAGATGGCTTTTGAGCCACCACCGCGTGGAAGATGCCGACAAGGTCATCTCGGCCATTCGCGGTTACGAGCTTGGAAGTGAGGAGACGGCTCTCGAGCGAAATCTCATCATGGATTCCCTCCGTGCTGCCGGCGGGTTCGGCCAAAAGAGCACTCCCCTCAAGGCTCTCTTCACGGGCGGCAAGACACAGCATTTCCGACGCATGCTCCTCGGGTCCAGCGCACAGTTTATGCAGCAGGTCGGTGGCTGCAACGCTGTCATCTACTATTTCCCCATCCTGTTTGAGGAGTCCATCAAAGAGACTCACAGCATGAGTCTTCTTCTCGGCGGGGTCAACATGATCGTCTACTCGATCTTTGCCACCACCTCTTGGTTCGTCATCGAGCGCGTCGGCCGGCGGCGTCTCTTCCTGATCGGATCGGTCGGGCAGTGCCTCAGCATGGTCCTCACCTTTGCCTGCCTGATCCCCGGCGACCCCATGACGGCCCGCGGTGCCGCCGTCGGCCTCTTCACCTACATCGCCTTCTTCGGCGCCACCTGGCTGCCGCTGCCGTGGCTGTACCCTGCCGAGGTCAACCCTATCAAGACGCGCGCCAAAGCCAACGCCGTCAGCACGTGCGTCAACTGGCTCTTCAACTTCCTCATTGTCATGGTCACGCCCATCATGGTCACCAGTATTGGCTGGGGCACCTACCTCTTCTTTGCCGCCATCAACGCCTGCTTCATCCCCGTCATTTACTTCTTCTACCCCGAGACGGCTCGCCGTTCGCTCGAAGAGATCGATATAATCTTTGCCAAGGGCCACGTCGAGAACATCTCGTACGTCAAGGCCTCCAAAGAGCTGCCGCAGCTCCAGCCGGTCGAGATTGAAGAATATGCCAGGCGGTACGGGCTTGTTGACAGCAGCGCCCGGGCTGGCGGTGGCCGTGACGCCCGTGACGAGGAGGAGAAGGCTGCCATCAGCGGCAGTTCCTCCAACAGCAGCAACGATGTGGTCGTCGACGAGCACGGCGTCGAAGCCGGCTTGGGAGATGGGCTCAAGACATCTAAGCGGGCGGACCGAGACTAGATTGACTCTTGCAAAACATTGGAGTCGGGTCTCATTGCTGCTGGATGGGGAAAATGGCCTAGATGGTTTGACTGAACTGTTCGACTGATTTGACATCAGAAGCCCTCCTCATGAGTTCCTGTTGCGGTGCGACATTGGAAAGGATATGGATGGCCTTGTGCATATTGGTGTGTTGTCAAGATAGAGCAGGATACCCAGGGAACAGTTTTGTATTTGCATCAGATGGATGTCCATAAGACGGTTCATAAAAGACACTCTTACTACATCGTCACCAGCAAAGAACATTTCCAACAATCACTGTGCATTGTTCATCTACTCCCGTGCATTTTGTCTCTGCTGACAGTAATACCCAGATGACCCCAAGCCAGCCCCTTTTTGGTCGATGGCAACAAAGCAACCCTCAAAATCCGTCCTCACACGCCCACAGGCTCCAAGCAGAACCCAAACTCCATCTCCTCCACGGGCACCAACAAATCCTCCCTCACTCCCGGTCCGCAAGCCCCGGTCCCCACACCCGCCACCCTCCCATCCAGCCTCAGCAGCGTGACATCCTCCTCGACCAAATCATAAGGATGCCTCGCCGCCTGGACCGTCTTATCACTGTACCTCCCGACCTTGAAACTGAACTCCCTCTCACAGTTCGCAGACCACTCGGTCTCGGTAGAAGCAGTAACCCTCACCCCGGCGCCGCCACCGGCGGGCTCGCGCACACTGACCCACCTCGTGCCAATGCGGTTCCCGCCCTCCTGCGGCACCTCGTACGGGGTGTGCAGCTCGGCGACCGAGGCGACGCTCCAGACGCCGACGCGCTGGGCGGCGCGCTTGTCCGGGTACGACTCGCCGGGGCCGAGACCGAGCCACTTGACCTCGTCCCAGGAGCGGGGCAGGCGGAGGTCGAGCCCCGCGCGCGGGACGTGCTTGGGCGGGTAGGCGCCCGCGGGCCGCAGGCGGACCGAGATGGAGAGCGTACCCGCGGACGTGATGGTGTAGGTCGTTGTGGCGAGGTAACCCCAGTCGAGGACGGGCGGGGTCAAGAAGGTGGTGAAAGTGACTTTGACGGCGTCGTCGGAGCTGATCATGCTAGTGGAGCGGAGCTGGCTTGTCAGGGCGTCGACGCCGAAGCGTTGCCAGTAGGGGAGGGAGGAAGGCTTGTCGTTGTCTGTTGGCGGCCGCCAGAAGGAGGGGATGACTGCTACGCTGGTAGCTGCGTCGGGGTCAAGAAGGTGCGTATTGTTGACGACCCAGTGCGTGAGGTAGCCGCTGGTTTTTTCGAAGGCGAAGGCGAAGTTGGTTCCGGTTATTATGATCTCGTGGCTGGTAGTGTCTATCTCAGGACTCTCGTACGCACGAGGGGATGCTGATATCGAGCTGACAGGATCGGTTGCCCGGAGCCGGTGTTGAAACCAAGCGACTTCATGCCCAGCATCCGCCCATGGTGTTGCTTCTCTGAGACGGAAAGAAATAGTTAAGTGGACTTCCGTCCCTGCCTGGGATTTAAGGTCGTCTTTTGCAACGGGCAGCGGGGTCATTGCTGTTGAACCTGGACTGATGACTGGCAGTTCCAAAACGCCGGATGCAAGCAAAGTTGTGCTGTAAAGAGATCAGCAACGCTTGTGGAAAACTACCACGGGTTTCTTACCGGGCTGAAAAATGTTCAATCTTATATGTCGCAGTGAGGTGCTCGAGCCCCGTGAAATTGTACCCGTTCAAGATGACAAGCTCGTCCCCTTCAACCGTCCCCTTCACCGGTTCAATGACTTTCTTGAGCTCGATCAGACCGGGGGTGGGCTTGTGGGTGCTATACAGCAAACCATCCATGACAAACGCTCCGTCGTTCGGCACATCCCCAAAATCCCCTCCGTAGGCATAGTAGGACTTGCCATCGGCGTCTTCCTTCCATAGTCCGTGGTTTGCCCACTCCCATATGAAGCCTCCTTGAAGGCGGGGGTAGGTGCGGAAAGCCTCCTCGTAGTCTTCCAACCACCCTGGCCCATTGCCCATTGCGTGCGCATACTCGCAAAGGACAACGGGTTTGTCAAAGCTTCCGTCGGGCTTGACACCTTCGGTTTTAGCCAGATGGATCAGCCTCTCAACGGACGGGTACATGTAAGAGTACATGTCGGCAGATTCGGCGTGCGGATCTCCTTCGTAGTGCACAAGTCGCCCGGGGTCTGCTTCTTTCGCGTAGTCGTACATAGCCTTGTGGTTTTGGCCGTAGAAAGCCTCGTTACCCAGCGACCAGATGATGACCGAAGGGTGGTTTTTGTCTCGTTGCACCATTTGTTCCATGCGGTCCACGTATGCAGCTTTCCAAGACGGATTGTCGCTTGTGTATTTGGCAGCTTGGGAAAATGTCAGCTTCTTGCGTTCCTCGTAGTCCATCCCCTCGGAGATGTCTTGGGGACGGGCCACGGCATCGTAGAAGCCATGGCATTCTAGATCTGCCTCGTCGATGACCCACAAACCGAGTTCGTCGGCAATGTCGAACAGTTTGGGGTGGCTAGGGTAATGGCTGCAGCGGAGAGCGTTGATGTTGTGCGTCTTCATGAGGAGCAGGTCCTTGCGGATGAAGTCGAGGGGAACGGCCCGTCCGAATCGCGGATGGTGATCGTGCCTGTTGACGCCGCGAAACCTTATGGGTCGGCCGTTGACACAAATCAAGCCATTTTTGAGCTCGACTTTGCGGAATCCTATGTTTTGATGGACAGTCTGAGCGCTCGACGACGTGGTAATGGAGAGCTCGACGGAGTAGAGGTCGGGAGTCTCGGCGGTCCATTTCGCTGGGTCTTTGATGGGCATACTGAGATGAACCTTGCCGCCATTGTTGACATCCTTCTGTGTGCTGCCGAGAGACTGCCCGCCATGCTTGGGCAGCTCTCGAATGGTCATGGTGACTGTGGCGGTTGTTGACGTGACGACATCTACCGTGGCACTCAGAGTTGCATTCTTGTATTCGTCGTCAAGGTCTGTCCTAACAAACCAGTCTTCAATCCGAGTTTCTGACGGCAAAGAGATCAGGTGAACATCGCGGTAAATGCCTGTGTAAGTAAGTGCCCGAGTCCGACGGAGATGCAGATTCAGAGTGACAGACCTGAGAGCCACCACTGGTCCTGGTCTTCGATGTAAGAGCCATCACACCACTGATAGACTCTCACGGACACCTCGTTGGGGCCGTTTCGGTTCGTGTACGGCGTAACATCAAACTCATGCGGGTTCCTGGACCCCTGAGCATAGCCCACGAGGCTTCCGTTCACCCACACATGGTATGCGCTGTCGACGCCATCGAAACGCAAGCGCAGTTGCGAGGTGTGGGCCCATGAAGAGGGCACATGGAAGGTCCGGCGGTAGGTTCCAGTTGGGTTCTCGGTCGGGACGTGTGGCGGGCACACCGGGATGGGGTACTGGACGTTCGTGTAATGAGGAACTCCGTGGCCCTGCAGTTGCCAGTGGCCGGGGACCTGGATGGTCGTCCACGTGGCGTCACGGGCAGCTCTCGGTCTGGGAGCCTTCAGAGGACTCGAGGCGTAGTGGAAGTCCCAGCGGCCGTTGAGCAGAAGTGAGGTTTCCGGGATGTAGTAAGAGCGAGGAGGCAAGGTGTTCCGGCGGAAGACGGCTTCGTTGGCGTAATCCGGCCGGCCCTCATCTTCCTGAAGGGCAATGCCCTGGGGATGTGCCATGCTGATGGGCTTTGTGGTTTGGCGTGTCCCTGCCCTTTGTCCCAAACCTCGTGAGAAGATATTGGTCATTGTTCTGATGTCGAGCTGACGGTCGTCCCTTCACAGGCTCTAGAACCTGATTCTGTTTCAGTTCCGGAATATGTCGTGTTCCGGCAGATCTTAGACCGAAGGAAGCACAACTGCACATTGAGCAGAAGGGAGCCGGTGTCGTTGTCCCCGAGTCCCCGATCAACCAGACGATCGGATGCGGGGTTGGTCTGCTGTGGGATTGTGTCGTGTTCGGCGAACCCCGCACCGCAGATGCATACGTGAATCAGCGGCAGCGGTAGGTAACCTGAAATTTGACTGTCATCACGTACTCACCCATTGGTTGTGACATGGAATCTCGAAAACGTTTTGAGGGTGCAGGAACCTGAACCAGGTGGCGGCAGGCACGTGCCCTGAGCTGAGGTGAGTCCCGTCACTCTAAAGTGAGCCTAGGCAGTACAGGGCTGATCAGCGGTGTTCTGTCGGGCAAGATAGGGCCGAGTAGGCCTGGTCAGTGAGAAAAGACCCCTGTACTTAGGGTACGGGGAAGCTGCAAGCTTGCAACAACCACTGAGCACGGCAACCTCCAAGCAAGTGCACAATGCCGCCCCAATCAAACAACAAGCCCGACATAAGACAACACGGCGTTGCATTCAACCAATATCGCCAGCCCCCGTTCTATGACTTTAAATGGAAGGTCTGACGATGGCCGTCACTTAACGTGTCACCGTGCCACGGACTGCTGTGCGGGGTAGCAAATTCAGAACACCGAACTCAAGGCTCTTCCTCGTGCCCGTTTCTTCGGATTTGTTAATTATGTCAGGCAGAGGGAGCAGTCTGGATGGATTGGACAAAAAGGCCGGGACATGTTTCATAACCATTTGGCCGTTCTGTTTATATACGGCCATCAAGTCGCCATAAACCCAGTCAACCAGGATCCAGGACAACGACAGTCACTGTCGCCCAATCCAGGACCGTCACCATGGCTTCCAGCCTCCAGAAGACTGCGGCCACAGCGGATCACGCCGATGACACGCTTCATGAAGCCGACATGACCGTCCAGCTCGCCCAGGATGTTGACGATACCAAATACTCAGCGTGGTCTACGCGCATGTTTCGTCTCTACCTCGTCCTGTCGCTAAGCTACCTCTGCGGATGCCTCAACGGTTACGACGGCAGTCTGATGGGTGGCCTCAACGGCATGACTTCGTACCAGCGGTACTTTAACATGTGAGATGCTCAGAGAAGGTCTCTTTGGATGATGCTCGAGGAACTGTGCTGACGACCCGGATACCTAGGTCCACGGCTGGCTCCAGCACAGGCCTGGTCGTAAGCAACACTTTTCTTTGTTTGTGGACTGTTTTTACCCGTCTATGGCTCTCAGGAGCCATCTTACTCACGAGACAGTACATTTGTTCCCGAAACGCCCTCCAGACATATCCACAATACGAAATTCATAGCTGACATTGTTAATAGTTTGCCATGTACAACATCGGCTCCGTGGCCGCCGTCTTCTTCACTGGCCCCGTCAACGACTACTTCGGCCGACGCTGGGGCATGTTTGTTGGCGCTCTCATTGTCATCATAGGGACATGTGTCCAAGCGCCCAGCACCAACAACGGCCAGTTTTTGGCCGGCCGCTTCGTGCTCGGCTTCGGTGTCAGTTTTGCCTGTGTGTCGGCGCCTTGCTACGTTTCCGAAATGGCCCATCCCAAGTGGCGTGGGACCTTGACTGGGCTGTACAACTGCACATGGTATATTGGGAGCATCATCGCTTCTTGGGTTGTTTACGGCTGTGCCTTTATTGACAGCTTGGACGCCTGGCGCATTCCCATCTGGTGCCAGATGATCACCTCGGGCATCGTATGCTTGGGCGTGTTCTGGCTGCCCGAGAGTCCCAGATGGCTCATGGCACAGGACAGACACGACGACGCGGCCAAGGTGCTTGCTACATACCATGGAGAAGGGAGACCCGACCATCCCATGGTCCTGCTGCAGATGCAGGAGATGATGAATCAGATCTCCACCGAGGCGTCCGACAAGAAATGGTACGATTACCACGAGCTCTGGAACACCCATTCTGCCCGCCGCCGTCTCATTTGCGTCATCGGCATGGCTGTGTTCGGTCAAATCAGCGGGAACAGCTTGTCGTCGTACTATATGGTCAATATGCTCAAGTCGGCCGGCATCACCGACGAGCACAAGGTCCTGGCTCTTAACGGCATTAACCCGGCCTTGTCCTTCCTTGGAGCCATCCTCGGAGCGCGCATGACAGATGTGGTCGGCCGTCGTCCGCTCCTGCTCTACACCATTGTCTTCGCATCCATCTGCTTCGCCATCATCACGGGCACCAGCAAGATGGCGACGGATGATCCCTCCCAGGTGGCAGCGGCAAACACCACCATTGCCTTCATCTTCATTTTTGGCATCGTCTTCAGCTTCGGCTGGACGCCCCTGCAGAGCATGTACATCGCCGAGACTCTGCCCACGGCGACCCGCGCCAAGGGTACTGCCGTCGGCAACCTTGCTTCCTCGCTCGCATCCACCGTCCTGCAGTACGCCTCGGGGCCAGCCTTTGAGAAGATCGGCTACTACTTCTATCTCGTTTTCGTCTTCTGGGATTTGATTGAGGGCGCCATCATGTATTTCTACTTCCCCGAGACTAAGGACCGCACGCTGGAGGAGCTGGAGGAGGTGTTTTCGGCCCCGAATCCGGTCAAGAAGAGTTTGGAGAAGAGGAGCGCGCTGACCGTGTTGAACACGGTTGGTGCCGCTGAGGACGAGAAGCTCGGCCATGGGTTGGCCTGAGAAAAGGGTTGGCCCTGGAAAGGGGTTCGAATCGAGTCTTACTTTGCGCAAGTCGCAGTAATAAGTCGGAGCGGGAATATCTCCGTAACCAGTTGGCCTTTACTCCGAGGTGAAGTTGTCTGAGAAGCTCGAAGGTGAAGCAGGTCCCAACGCGGTAATTTGTGCTGTGGAAATCCCAGTCTAACCCTGACGGCGAGCGAGCAAGGGTACAGCTGAGTAATCCCAACTGGGATCATTGGTTGCTTCCTGCTGTTGGTGCTGAGTGGTAGGCGGTACCCTACCCTGGATCGCGCATAATCCCTCAAACGTATGCACAATTAAAGTAACTTACGTCAGGCCATCAAACGAACTCCGAGATCCCGTGAATCTTGCGCTGTTTGCGGAGATAACCCCTTGAGGGAGAGCACCTTTGTCTTGGAGGCTACGTCTTTCCTATAAAAGGTACTCTATATGACAGAGACGCTGTGATTCAAGTCATCTATAATCAAACAAACGATAAAGGACCAAATCTCATTCATCGTCGAATCTCGACGGACATTCGTTCGAAGCTTGAACGTTACCGGCACTCCCAGTCTACGGACTCCTTCGAACCCGCGGACCGCTCCGCCTACTTCAGACATCGTTCAGTTATCAGTATGTCTCTCAGCGGCAAAGTCGCCATCGTCACAGGCGCCTCCAAGGGCATTGGCCGCGCAACAGCCGAGCGCTTGGCTGCTGATGGCGCCTCTGTCGTTATCAACTACCTCTCGGATAGCAAAGCCGCCGACGAGGTTGTGTCCAAGATTGGCGCCGACCGCGCGCTGGCCGTGCAGGCAGATGCCTCCAAGGTTCCCGACATTGAGAAGCTTGTCGCAGCAGCGGTAGAGAAATTTGGCCGGATCGATATCGTGGTACCAAATGGTTCGTCCTTTCTTACCCCTCTTATCACACCCCCCCAACAGCAGGCAAACTGACACATGAGGCGATCAGCGGGCGTCATGGGCATGCACGACCTGGCGCATACCACCGAGGCCGACTTCGACCGGCACTTCAACCTCAACGTCAAGGGCCCGCTGTTCCTCGTTCAGAAAGCCGTCCCGCACATGCCGCCCGGCGGACGTGTCATCTTCGTGTCGACGGGCCTCAACACGTCGACCAATGTGACGCCGGCCTACCTGCTGTACGTCGCCACCAAGGGCGCCGTCGACCAGATGGTTCGGGCGCTGTCAAAGGACCTGGCGTCCAAGGGCATCAACGTCAACGCCGTTGCGCCAGGCCCGACGGGGACAGAGTTGTTCTACCGCGGCAAGTCTGAGCAGCTGCTTGGGATGCTGAAGAAGCAAAGCCCCTTTAACAGGTTTGGTGAGCCGGAGGAGATTGCTGGTGTAGTGGCCTTCTTGGCTGGAGAGGACAGCAAATGGGTCTCGGGGCAGGTCTTGAGGGCTAACGGGGCTAACATGGTGTGAATGGCCAGTCTTGACGGTTGGGACTTGGTTGTTCTGACCAATGGGCCATAGACGTCGATGACGAAGACTGTACTAAATATACCGGATAGCAACGGATAACGTTATTTGGGTATAAATCTATAATCCACACCGCACGGCCGCGTTGGCACGCTCGGCCGCGTTGGCACGCTCAGCCGCAAGGCTCAGTAAGTGAACCGGAATCCCTCCTGAATATATGTTAGTCAACGGCACAATGCGAAGGGAGAGCGTATTCAGGGCATGACTTACTGTGTTTTCCAGAAAGCCAGACCTCCGACTCTGAGAAGTATTTGCAAAGTAAAAATGTAAGGAAAGCGCAGCAACGACGGAAATCATGAGAATGTGAGAACTGACTGCCGTTAGCCGCTGACAGCCTCCCAGTTGCGTGCCAGAAGTGGAACATACCCGATGGAAACCCACACAGCGGTGGTGTAAGTCGGCGCCTCAAAACTGCGCACGATGAAGCTCCCAGCAATGCCACCAGCGCCATTGAACATGGTGCAAGCTGCTGCAGTAAACACGCGCTTCCATTGTCTGGGGCCAGCGGTTAGCTTCCCTTCTTGATCGAACATCCATTCCCCCCCCCCCCCCCCCCCCAAAATATACATATTTAAAAAAGGCGAAACGTACCCGACGACATTGTTCGCCTGGTAGGCCGTCAAGGCCGCCCAGTTCCCCACATAGGCCCCTGTGGCGAGAAACACACCAAAATAGCGAGCCCCCGAGTTGTGAGCAAAACCAAGGACGGCAAAGCCTGTAATGAGACAGAGCGCGTTGAAGTTGATAACCGGCGCACGAATTCGAAACCTGTCGGCGAACCACGATGACACCAAGACGGGCAGTACGGCGTAATAGTACGGCGGCGCCGACAGGATGATGGCGGCGTTGGACGAGTATCCCAGCCCATTCTCCAGGATGATTGGTACAAAATAGGCCAGCGCAGTCGAGACGATGTTCTGCAAGAAGAACAGCGAAGCAAAGGCCCAGACCTTGGGGTCTTTGGCATGAACGAGAACCTTGCCAATGGCGAACTCTTGGGCAACGAGATCACCGCGATCGGTCTGGATCCGTTTCGACACGATGCTGGCCTCCTCAGCGGACAGAAACCGGAAGCTGTGGTGCGAATTTTCGGGAAAGTCGACCATCCACCAGTACGTCACAATCCCAATGACGCAGGTGCAGAGGCCCTGCACGACGAACATCCAGCGCCAGCCTTCCAAACCGCTCCGGCCATCCAGACGGTTGAGGCCGTAGTTGACCAGGCTTCCAGTCGCCAGAATGATGACCTCGCCGCTTTGCATGAAGGCAAAGCGCAGCTGCTGCTCTCTGCGCGGATACCACGTGCTGATGAGGTATGAGAGACCGGGGAAAATGCCGGCCATGGCCGCGCCAAGCAAGACCCGCAGCACAATCATCTGTTGCCACGAGCGGACGAAGCCGGTGCAGAGGGTGATGATACCAAAGGCCAAGGTGATGGCGCTGAACCAGACGCGCGGGCCAAGAATGCGCACGGCGATAGTCGAGGGCAGCTGGAACACGATGCTGGAGATGGTGAAGATGAAGATAGACACGGAGAAGCGGTTGCCTTGGTCGAGGCCGAGGTCGGACAGCATCGATGTGACGGCGGCGCTGGAGAGGACGCCGCTGTCGAGGAGGTTCAGGCTGCAGAGGATCCCGGCGATGGTGCAAAGACGGAAGTCCACCTTGCGGCGGATCTGGCGTTCCAGCGCGTCGTCGGAGGGGGTCGGCATGACGGGATCGAGGCCGGCGTCCGGGACGGCATCGTATGAAGGGTCTAGGTTGGCGAAGCCTTTTCCTTCAGGGGCCTTTTCTGGCGCCGGTGATCCGACAGTCTGATGCTGGACTGGCTCCGGCATAGCTTCCCAAAGTCACTGGTGAGAGTTATCGTGAAGTGATGGCTGGGTTCGTGAAGATCTGTGACGGAGCTTCCCCGGCCGAGGCCGGCGGGACGCCGAGGTTTGGGACGGTACGCAGTAATATAAGAGAGTGTTGTTGTGGGGCAGCCAGATCGAAAGTCCCAATGCGACTGCCCTGGTGCTTAGTTTGGCTTAGTCAATTTTCTGAAGCCCGATGATGAATTGCAGATTCTGCAGCTTGCCGCAGCTGAAAGCGGTGGAACACCAGAGAAACACTGAGGATTGCAACTTCCACACCTAAGAGCACCACAAGGAATCACACTTTAGGACTGCCGTCGCATTCAATGTTGACAATAGCATGATCGGGAGCCCGCACAGGCAGCAGGATTCTCTCGGCTCAACGAAATTTTGAGGAGAAGCAAAGCGAACTCCGGGCAGTCAATGACTTCTACAGCGGATCAAGATGCAGCATTTGAGGACCTTCAAATGAAATCCCCTGTACACGACGCGATCGACCATAACGCCCCGAGGAAGAGCCAAGCTGGTAAGTCAAGTCAAAATCAAAACGCTACTTCGCGAAAGCAAATCCAAGATACCGGGTCATAATATCGGCCGATGAAGAATCCGGAGCGTTGTCTCAAGCCAGCCGGTAAGTTAAGGTTACGACCACGGCTGAGATGCCAACCAGCAATGGCACACGTGGGTGGTAAGCCATTGGAATCAGCCGCTCCCGGGGTAATCATGTCATCCCGGCAAGTTCGACTTTTCAAGGACGACGGTAGGTCAAGAATCCGCTCCCAATCCGAGTCTCTATCCAGTCATTCCAGTGCCATCAGCTGAGTGGACACACCAAAGCTCAATCGCTTCCACCGGCTTGTGCCGCATAACTACCGCCCCTGTCAGGAAACTATGGCCATCGGAAGGAGCCCAACATCTCTCGTACCACGACTGATCCTCGTCCTAATCAGAAAAGGCCAAAGAACAAAGCCGGGCCAGTATCACCCATTTCCAAAATAGCCTGAGGATCGGCCCCGATTCATTCCACATGTCCTTTTCGCTTACCACAGGAAAGGGTGAACGAAGCTATCCAAGGAATCGTGGCCCCTACGACTGAACTCACGGCCGAACTGGCCAGTAAGATAAACGCGATGGCGGCGATGCTTGTCGTCTGGTTCTACCCTGTCTCGGTCAGCCTGTTCCGCCGATGGAATCAAGTCCGTGTCGTCGACCACAGAAGCTCTCTCGCTCCGTTCGGGGAAGTCTTCCTGAAGATCCTGGCCACCCTCGTCCATCATGGCCTGCATCGCAACTTCAAGTTGCTGCGGCACTTCTGATTGATCATCGCCGACGACGTCCTCCCAAAAACGGCCAGTCCAGTGATCCAACCAGGTAACGGCTCGGCTCAACCTCTGAACTTGCCGCGAAAAGCTCTCCAGTTGCGCCTGCAGCCTGCCTCGCCGCTCGACAAAGACCTCCTTGAGCCGTTCGGCCACAACCGGGCCCAGATAATGGAGTCAGTGGCCATCGTCCGTCTCTGCCATCAGGGCTCAGAGGCTGTTTTCGTCAAACCAGTTCGGGCCGTCGTCGTGTCCTTCCTCGTACGCGGGCGGCGGATCATTGATCTCGTCATCATCGCTGATTCCCTCATCCTCATATTCGATTTGGGAGGGATTGTCGTTCGAGACACGTATTGCTCTGAGGGGACGGCGTGGGCGGAGGAGAAGGAAGTCTGGAGTGAGGGCATCAGTCACCATCATCGGATGGTTGACACTCATGGCGTTGTTGACGATATCCATCATGAAGATGGGCTGGGTTCTTGTCGCGCCATCTACGCGGAACTCCCGGGTGTTGACATGACGGGAAATTCAGCGGGTAGGTAATTATTAAAAGCAACCCCATCATGTTGACTAGGACAATGTGAGTAGATGTAAGGCATACGTCTTCGAAGCGTTGATGTGCATCACAAATCCCGCAAGATATAGGTATTCTTAAAGACTTGCAGCAACAAACAGTTTGGACTGGAATGTTCTCCCCAGCGCGAGTGACGCCGGCTTGCACCAGGTCATACATAGGACTTCATCTCGAAGTTCCTAGATTATCGACCCAAGTAAGATGGTACAACGATGATAGGAACCAGATGGAACAAAGGAAGAAGGGCAAAACAAACCGTTCCTTCACCCATTGGCCATGAGAAGCGTCCGTCATGCTCCAGAACCAGTTATAGTTGCTTCTCACATCAAGGGTCTCCTAGAAGCAACATACCTCGCATGACTACAAGACAATAATGTTCTTGGTATGGATGACGGTCACCACACCAACTGTCTGTCCACCGTCAGTATGAGCGGGTGAACTATCTAAGTGTCAACCAAAGAAGAGTCCCGCCCTTTCAAAAGCGATGCCACAACACAAGGATATTTCAAATCATGTCTCGGCCTCGTACTGGCTGAACTGAATGTCCTACTGGCCATAACAACGCGGCGGGAAAAGCACATCCCGTCTTACTGTCAGGATCTCAGCTCCGGCACGTCCCCGTCATAGGGACTGTCCGAGCTTCGAGTCAGCCTTCTGCGGCATTCCCCGCCCCGGCCCTGGCGACAGTCCAACTTCTTGTTTTGGGCCTTCCCTGCTTTCAGTCATGGCCAAGACGGACCGATGGCGGATGACGCAGGAGGGGTAGGTACCCGAGCTGCTCTCATCGTTAGGTTGCGAAACGTGCTAGAGAGGCATGATGATGATTTCGGGTGGATGATGTCTTGCCGAATACGGCAATAGATGGTCAACTCTGGTGACTTTTATCCGTGGCTTGCTAGGAATCACGTCTTAATATGTACCGCGGTAAGTAGTCGTTACAGGTGATGCGGGAGTGCAATCTTACCAATTCTTAGCAGCGAGACAGTCCTTCGGTTTTTTGACTGCTTCTGCTACAGCGGAACGATGCGCTGAGAATGCTCTCGCTGTAAACGTGTGGTTTTATTGGGATGCTCCCTACTTCCGACCCCTCACAACGTTTTGAAGGAGGTTCCCAAGGACAGAGAGCGTTCAATTCTCTAGCATGTGGCTTACACAGTATGTGTAACGTACAGCCGCAGGGCTGGAGGCCAGCTTGGAGGAGTGGTCTTGGCATGACGTGCCGAGTTCCGAGCGGCGTTCCGAGCGGCTTGGTCAACAAGCTTCATGCTCTGGAAACCGTGGGTAGACTTGGAGTGAAAGGCTGCGAGCCGCGGGGAAGATGAGATAAGGTACCTGTACCTAAGGACCTTGAGGCACGGAACAGACACAGGCATTTCATTAAAGACATGAGTTTTGCGGGTAGAGTTTTCAGAACCACTCGCTCCCCGTCGATAGGCGGTCGAGCAGCTGCTCCGTACACGTATGGGATCTGGGAGCCGAGACGTCCGTGTGAAGGACAGGGCTTGGTGACGGGGAAGCCCACCGCTTGAATAACGTTTGTTCAAATTCCGTGCAGCTCGACGGGAGTTCGCGAATCATGTTTGATTTGCTGCGACGGAAAGCAGGCCGTCAGGTAACACGGTGTCACCGGTGGTTTGCTCGCGCTGTTGGGTGGAGTGAACGGGTATGTCGGCCACGGACACGGGATGTGATCGACAGGCTGTCGACACAGTGCGACTCGTGTGGAGGTGTAGTTGGCAAGCAAGGAATCCGTCGTGCAAGGGCACGTTTCTCGTATACAACTTTAAGGTCTAGTAACGGAAAGGCGGGGCGTGGTTCGCAAGTTGCAAGCGGTTGTTAGAAGTGTTGAAGACTGTGACGAGGGAAGTTGTCAGCTGAGAACCTATTATCCAATATAAGCGGCCTTTGAACCATTCGAGGCCTCGAGGGTCAATTGGGCCAGGCTGGCATGTCGAGGCTCTGAAAACTTAGATCGACTCATAGCCTGCCATCTGGGGTTTTCCTGGAAATATTGCCGCACTTTCGCACCTCTCAGTTAAGGGATCGGGTATGGGCAACTCACGGGAGGCCTGGGGGACTAATTAGAAGAGGGAACGGAAAACGAGGGGTGTGCCGGAGACTGACGGCGCACTATGTTAGGGTAATCAACTATCCTTATAGTAGTTTCCTCTTCACTTACTCGTCTTAGTATGAGCTATTGTCAGACACTAACTATTGGGACCGTCCTGGTGAAAGACATGTCCTGTCTTTTGGCGGAAATGGGCCACCATATTTGGAACCAGGAAGCGTACACGTACGTGTACCGCTATGTTTGGGTTTCCAGTCTCGGACTCTGCGTTCGACATTCAATATTTGTCTCGTAGCCCCTTGGGGTTGCGTGCTTCCGTCTTCAGCCGCCATCATGGAATCCAAGAACAGTCAGGACAGTGCGGGTGGTCAATTCAGGGTCTTTTCAGGGTCCGACGTTGCAGCGTTTAGCAGCGGCCGGGGGAGCGGGTTGCCCTGCGACCGGGGATCAGCGCTTGCAAACAGGAACACAGGTTGCAGCCACCACCAAGTTTCCGTTGGAACTCAGAACCATCCGATATTCGGAGTCGAGTAGACATGGACAAGTCCGTGATACCCGACGGCTGCATTGTCAGAGCCGTCCAGGAGCCTTGCATCTGTCAGATTTTCATGTAGATTCCCACCACAACCAAAGTTGTGTTGTTTCTGGATGTCAGGTTGTTGGTTGGATTGCAGTCGCGTTTGCCTGTTGCGCTGTTGCGGTGGTTGCAAGGTGCGTGCCCGTCCGGGGAAAGAGATGCGTCATCTGCAGGACGGAAGAATTCCCTTTTCTTTTAGCGGCAACGGTCGGTTGCTTCGTCGAGGCAACATTCGGATTCTGCAGCCACCTCATCATGGGAGCAAGACCGAAAGCTTTTCAGGCTTCCAGGACCACTTATTCAGGGCTGGTGGACTCTGGCGTCATCGCGCCGATCACTCCGACCGTGTAATTTAAGCCTGAGGTCATAACTAACACTGTGCCCCGTACTCACCGCAAACTTACTGGTAAAGAACTCCGCTACCCCGAATCGCACAGGGGCCAACCGGGACCTGACTACACAGTGTTTAGATGCTGCCGGCTGCTTCAACTTATATCCCCGACGCTTTTACGGCTGTTTCAGATCTAGTACACTTCTCGAGTGTTCCCTTGGGCTTCCGAACAGCAACCAGGCAGTATCCGTCACTGTGTCTGAGGTTACCGGTAAGCTAAACGCAGTTGCCGTATCTTTCCACCGATCGACACGCTGGCTTCCGCAGAGAGCATCTCAAAACAGGGCCCCGGTCATCTGCTCCTTGACCACACCGAGAGGGAACCCCCGGGCCTCGCAGCCACCGTCGCCCAGTGGGTCGAGGCAACGGCTTGATGCTGATCGCGGCAGCAGAAACAGGTCACAGACTTACCTCACCTCCTGATCAGCTGCCCTTGAGCTGCCCGACGAGTCCCCACCGTTTTGCCCCCGCGCCTAAATCTTCGTCTTTTCGGTCGGCTGCCACGCTTTGAAATCTCCCAGCATTCGTTCTTCCAGTCTATGGCCGTTTTCCCAACTACCTTAAGGCGATCTGACATTCTTCTGGAACACGTTCGTTCGTGACGTTCCCAGCCAGCCCCACGCTCTCAAGACCCGCGACCTTGGCCAAGGGGCCCACCACCACCTCGCCGCCTACAACGACCTGAAGAGCTGGCGGGCTGAGCTGTCTTCCTGCGCTCTACCCGTCCGAGGTTTCCGCTCCAAAGAATATCGCCCTCACTCCCTTCTCCATCCTAGAACCGTCCGACCGCAAACCCTCCCAACCCGCGATCCGAGACCATCCTCCCGACGCACTCAGCCCCGCGCCATCTCGACCATCCGATGGTGATAACAGTGACCTTGCTGGGTTGACCTGTGTTAGGAGGAACTGTATACTTCCCGCTCATGATCTCCAGTCGTCGCTTGCTCTATACTACTTCAAGCTTAATCGAGCGTCTGGTCCTCGTCCTTCCACGCCGACATCGGCAATATAATCCATAATGGGAGACACAAGTCCGCACAAAGCATCAAGTCCGGACTGGTCGGATGCATCGTCATCAGGGTCGTACGCCGACCACATATACGCGCCAAAACCCATGCGCCCAAAATTACCGAGCCGGAAGAGCAGCGGCACCATGATCGTGCCTCGTGACTCGTCCGACGTCGGACCGGTCGAATTGCATGTCGGGCCAGACGATGTGCGGTCCATGAGCCCAAGAAGAACAACCGAGGATATCCAAACACTCGGCAAGCAAGCAAGAGAGGAGCTGCAAAGGTGAGTTTCAGAACCCCACTGGAAACCCTGCCCGTAACGAACTCAGATAGGGCGACCACCAGTAAGAGGAAAACAACCCAGCTGACCGCTGCGCGAAGGCACGCCAAAGCACTGCAAGACTCGCTGATCAACATCTTCAACCGGATCGAAGCGGTCAAAGAAGAACATGACAAGCTCGACAACCACAACAAGTTTTTACAAAAGTACATTGGAGATTTGATGTCGACAAGCAAGATCACGTCGACCAGTAGGAGCAAGAAGTGAGCAGACAATTGGGCGCCCTCCATGTTAGCCGGAAGCAGAGGAGGAAACAGGAGGGGGATCGACGCGGGGAGAAGCGTCGCCTGCCGCGATGTGGACATCGGCGTTATGCCCATGAAGACACACCAAGCGACCCTGTTTGGCGACACGGTGGGGCGGTATTCCTCGCCGTCTCTGTGCTGCGCACCTGGTTCACCCTATCGCTACAGCGGCACGGTATAACTACGGCATCGAAGTTTTTTACCGACAATTGGCAACGACCACAGGCCTCTCTCGTACGGCTAGAGGTCCATTCTAGATCAGGACCATTGAATGTCACGGATCTCTTCTGGGCTAACAGCTTGTGGCTTTTCTCAACATCAACTACCGACACAATCGTTTTAACCTTGTTTTACTTTAGTGGCACTAGGGTTACAGGCGTTGGAGTTCAGGATGTGTGCGGGTCTGTTTTTGATACCGACGGGAAGGCGTTTATACCACTATGCGCGGCCTGGATTCGATGGCTTTAAAGGGCAGAGAAAAGTCATCCGTGTTAGCGCGGTACGGTAACATGACTCGGCTTAGCGGTTTCTGGATGGGGGAGCATTTACGGCGCGGCTACGTTGCAGGCGTTGACCGGAGAGTGTATGCTTTATTGCTTTGGGGGGCAAGTCGGAATATAGCCGTTACTTTTCTCCCTACCGACAGCCACTTACCTCTCGCAGACACTTTGTAGATAGGAGGGCCGCACTTGCTAGTACAGGAGAAACGGGGCATTGTCAGGGAGCAAGAAACAAATCCTGATAACTGTCGAGTATTTAGTACCCAACCAGACCGGACGGATGCAGCAAGCACAAGTGCCCACGTGATCAACCGATTCTTTGAGATGGCCATGTTTGTCTCTGCATGGCATGATTGTAACTTTTAGTTTCTTGGTCCGGATATTTATGAGATGAAATGAGGCTTCAGCTTCGAATTACCCAGGAGTTGAGATTTCGTTTGCGACTGCATGCATGGAGGGCCTGGAAAAGTTCCTGCAAACCTTGACGCCAAGCTACTGCAGATGTCCCTTGACTGACGTCAACTACTCCAGACCGCGGGAGCGAACAGGAGTCGACCAACAAGGCAAACATAGCCTACTTCTCCAGTTCAGCACTCCAATTGCCTCCGAACACTGGACTCCCGGGCAGGGCTTGTCAGGAATCCGCTCTACTTGCATAACCGCCTGGGATGGGTTGGGGTATTTTAGCTGCCAACGTAGGCTTCTATCCCAGGCCCAACACGCGCGGTGAGCGAGCGGTTGACATGACGTTCAAGATATCGCGAAGGGCTGACGTGTCTCCCAAGTCGTAGAAACTGCCCTTAACCCTTATGCTTGAAACTGTGCTTCACAACTTGTACCTTAGCCGGCGTGGCGCAATTGGTTAGCGCGTCAGACTTTTAATCTGAATGTTGCGAGTTCGAGTCTCGCCGTTGGCGATGGCAGTTCGGTAGTGTTTTTTGGAGATTATCAGCTCAACGTAACAGATGATGTTTATCCGTAATTATTTGGCGTCTTGACGTGCGAAGGGCACACAGGTGTCCTGGGTATGTTCTTTTTCAACACATCATTTGTCCCCAAGCTGTTGAGCAGCAGTTATTAGTCGCTTACCTTTTATCAAGAGCAATATGATGCGTTATACGGTTTTAGCTTCTAAAGGCAAGGTAGTGTCGAGGGCAGGCCCATCAACAGTGATCAATGTTAACTATTTGTCATCTTAGAGTTAACAATGAGTTCAATTACATCTCTCGCTAAGCCCTTCACCACTAAGGTTAAGGTCGAGTTACATCAAGGTTATCTATCACAAATGCTATAGATGTCACAGGGTTGTCACGAGCAGAGGGCCATTGTCGAGGCAAGGCTGCGGAAAGACCTTACTATTGTGTAAGAATACAAGATGGGGAGAAAAGGAAGAGAGGCTGGAAGAGCTCTGGAGATGCAGGAGATAAATGCCAGAACAAGTGGAGCACGCGCCAGCAAGGCAAGCGTGTACCTTGACGGCAGTGCCGTCACAAGGGCTGTAGAACTTAAAATGTCGAGTGGTATAACGTTAAAGTATGCTTGTATATTATTGCTCTCGATTATACTTGATCTCTCTGATATTATCTAGGTACTATTTGTGTTTTCCAAGTTGTTATTGCGGCTGAACTGTATCCTGTGAACTTCTCTTCACTGTTGTATCTACTCGTGTAAAGTGTGATGGAGCCCCAGTCTGAGGCGGGAGGTCGTTGAAGTCATGCTTCAATCATTGACGCATGATCATAGTGCTGCCTGCTGAGATAACCACTGTACCTACATCTAACAGCAACCCACAGCTCAAAAAGAATCCCTTCTAGGACATAATGGAGCTAAAGTTGCCGTTCTATTTCACCGCAGCGAGCATACTGTATAGTCCTATAACTACTGGTTGATAACACTTATACTAGGACGACTGAACCAAGGCTTACCTCAAAGGAGGGAGCTCGCCGAGTCCGAGTTCAGGTCGCTTAGAATTATGAACTAAGTTAATTGATATATCTCATTCAATGACAGCACATAATATCAACATTACCACGGGATTTTCATGGTTCCATCAACTGTAGAGACCGAAGGAAAATTATGGACGTGCTTCTTTTTTCTGCCTCAACGAGCACGATTACCCAAAACTATCAGGTCAATCGATGGTTTTGACCCTTACACATAAGTCATCAATATGCGATGGTAGTAAACCGAAGAACGGCCTGCTCTTTGCTGTCATCCAGCAACAGGCTTCATGATTGCCAAGACAGTTCGTGCAGTGGGCCCCGCCACCGGCAGATGGCGTGCTGTGCAGATCCTTAACACAATTGCTATTTCTTTCATCGCCGAGCACCTCGAAACCAGACCGCTCGTCTCCTCGTCCCTTGTTATCACCACGCCATCCAGCCCACCGTCGCCCCACGCTGCGGCTGATGATCGGAAAGGCCCCTGCAAGTTCGGCATTGATTCCAGTAAAGCCTTGAGAGCGTGGGCCCGCCATGGCCGCTAATTCAACTTCGCGCTTGGCCGCTTCGGGCTTAAACGACCACGGAGGAACGCCCGCCGAACGAAGGCCTCTCCTAACGGGGATTGCGAGTGCAGAACTAGCCCGCAACGAAATCGGCGCCAACGTCGCCGGTGGAGGTTTCGACGATGTTCATGGGGCCGGGGATGCCGACGACGACGACGAGGAAAGGGCAGTCGGTGGTGGCCAGGGGGGCACGTTTACCCGCAGTCTCGGCGCCGTCGAGGCGTTTGCCATCGTCATCAGCATCGTCATTGGCAGCGGCGTGTTTACGTCCCCCGGTTCCATCGACACCAATGTGCCGTCGCCGGGGGCTGCGCTGTTGGTCTGGTTGGTGGGCGGAGTTCTGGCCTGGGCCGGGGCGAGCACCATGGCTGAGCTGGGCACTGCGATTCCGGGCGAAGGTGTGTCTTGCGGGGGCTAAGAGATGAGTATTAGGGGGAAACTGCATGCTGACGAGAGCCCAGGAGGTGTACAGCCATACCTCAAGTACATCTTTGGGGATGTGTTCGGTTTCTTGGCCGCCTGGACCTGGGTCGTCGCCGTCATGCCTGCTACCCTGGCCATACTGAGCATCGTCTTTGTTGAGAGTATCTATTCCGCCACTGGCGTGACAGGCGAGGGAGACCGCATTGGGCACAAGCTGGTCTCGGTTGCCGTGTTGGGCTGCATCGGCGTGGCCAACTCTATCAGCACCAAGGCGAGCACCCGGCTTAATAACTTCTTTGTCGCCACCAAGTTTGTCACCATCGCTGCCATTGTCGTGGTTGGGGTCGTTGTGGCTTTCCTTCAGCTCGCAGACCCGAACCGGGACATCGGCGGCGGCGACTGGGCTGAGAAGACATGGTTTGGTTACAGGGACAGCATTAACCCCGACGGCAGCGTCACTTATTGGGACGGGCTGAGCCAGTGGGACATGTTGGGACACTTGTCAACCGCTCTGTATGCTGCCCTGTGGGGATACTCGGGATGGGACAAGGTATGTTGATGAGGCTCTTTGAGGATCGAACGGCGCTGACAGTCACAGGCGATCTACGTCTCTGCCGAGCTTTCTGCCCCCGCCCGCCAACTGCCGCTCGCCATCAACACTTCGATTCCCAGTATTATCTTGTGTTTTCTCGCGGCGAACGCCGCCTATTACATTCTGCTGCCTTGGGATGTTGTGGCGACGACGGATAGTGTAGCAGTGGTAAGGTTTCAGCTGGCTCCTTGTCCTTTCAAGCTTGTTCCTAACGGTTGCACCCTCAGACGGCCATCACGCGCCTGCTCGGCCCAGCTTTGGGCATTGTAGCGGCCGTCTTCATCTGCTTAGTTGTTGCGGGCTCTCTTCTCGGAAATTCGTTCGTCTCTGGCCGCATGGCTGTTGCTGCGGCTAACCAAGGCTGGCTGCCTCGTTTGCTCAGCGTTGTCGGCCGGTTCGGATTTGGGCGCGAAACCTCGCAAGTCAACAACCACAAGTCACTCAAGTCGGATGCTCCGATCAACGCGATCATCCTATCAACCGTACTAGCCGCGGTCTACATCCTTCTCGGCAACTTCCGAGCGCTCATGACCTTCAACGGCCTGGGCGAGTACACCTTCTTCTTTCTGACGGTCATGGGTGCCATCATTCTTCGGTACCGCGAGCCTGATCTGAGAAGACCTTACAAACCTGTCCTCGTGATCCCCGTCATCTTTGCCCTGGTGAGCGGGTTTGTCGTCGTCCGCGGTGCAGCATTTGCCCCGACCCAGGCTTTTATTCTGGTTGGACTGTGGGCCCTGGGGTTGGCATTCTATTGTGTCCGGAGTCACTATCGTGGGTGACAGATTGCCAACGTGGTCAGTCAGTGGTTGGCGCCCAGGATGGGACGATTGAGGGCGAAGACGCGAAGTTGGCCGAAATTGTACGGCTGCTTGGATCGACACTTGAAACTCTGGTGCTAATGATTGCTTATTATTTTGAAGACACCTTAGGTTATGTAGATGTCAATGAGATGAAAGAAAGGCTCCATTCCTGATGCTGAAATTATCTGTCAGGTGCGGCATCGAGCAGACAAACTTGACGCGCCTGCCTGCTATCTGCAATAAGGACGATGAGAGGGTTAGGGCTGTCCGCTTTTACCCCTCTCAACACCCTCGAGAACACATCACGCAACCATTTCCTCACTCAAAGGGGCACATTGAATGAATTCTGGGAATTATTCACAGCCAGGAGCAGGGCAATCAGTAAGGGAACAATGTCCTTGCCAGTGCTACCGCGGCGTGCCGCATACATCACGCTCAACACGCCGCAGCGTCGAAATGCACTCTCCCTGGCCGAGCTCCATTCCCTAAGGGACCAGCTCATCAAGGCCAACACATCCCCGACCACCGGCCGAACCCTCCTCCTCCCGCCTTTTAAGCCCGATTTGCTCTCCAGATTAGAACTAGCACACTCTAACTTCACTAGCAACCTCTCCGACGAGTACTCCTGGCTCGTCTCGGCCCGCGCCTTTGCCCAAGAGCGTCAGGGCCTCCCCTCGGTGCTGGTTCTCGCCGCACACGAGCCAGTGTTCTGCTCCGGCCACGACCTGCGCGAGTTGCGCACGCTGCCGGCAGCCCAGGTTTCCGAGACGTTTCGCCTCTGCGCCGAGGTCATGTCGCTGATCCGGCGCAGCCCGTCCCTCGTCGTAGGCCGCATCTCGGGCCCCGCCATTGCCGCGGGCTGCCAGCTCGCGCTGACCACCGACCTTCCCATCGCGCATGCGGACGGAACCCGGTTCAGACTGCCCGGAGCCGCACTGGGACTGCCTTGCTCAAGCCCCGTCACGGCGGTCAGTCGGCGGTTGGGGAATGGCAGGGCGTTTTGGATGCTGGCGACGGCAGAGGACGTGTCGGCGAAGGAGTTAGGAGATGTTGTCCGTGTCGTGCACAGTGGGGAGGGTTCCGAGGGCTGGGTTCAGGCGCTCGACCGGGAGGTGGTGGGCACGGTGGAGAGGTTGGCCAGCATGTCTCCCCAGCAGAGTGCTATGGGGAAGTGGGCCTTTTGGACCCAGGCAAGCTTGACTGGAGCGGACGGGATTGAGGTCGAGGGCAGCTGGGGGGATGGCTATCAGGACGCGGCCGAGTGGGCGGGGAGAGTCATGGCGCTGCATGCAAAGAGCGAGGATGCCAGGGAGGGGATGGACGCCTTCTTGGAGAAGAGAGCGGCTGTATGGTGCGGATTCGGGGAACGAAAGTAAGGGAATCTTGAGATACCAATTGCCAGACACTAACGAAACCATTATTATGTCGTATTCAGGGGACAATGGTCAGGGACCCATCTCAATAAGCAGTCCAATGCATCGAGCTGATGCAGCAAGTGCCTCCACAACACCCCAAAGGTAACAACTGAGACATGCAGGACAGCAGTCCCAGGTCCCTGCAGGGTGGTTCGAGCCCACTTAAAGAACGTCGCCAGGCATTTGAGGAATGCCCAGGTGGTCATACTGTCAAAGACAGTGACTTCAGTTCTTTGCATCATGAGGTGGCACGAGGAAGTGCTCCAGCTTCTCGCAGGTGAGGTCTTGGTCCCATCAGATGCCTTGTCTTGCCGCCGTTTGCACCTTCCAGTCATGATTGAAAGAAGCTGGAAGCCACTGTTCTTGCCTGTCCCGCCGGTTACAGACCACACCTCTGATGGATGTTCCCTGCAAATTCAAGACCAGTGATAATGCTACAGTGGCATGCAGCAGGTGCTTCACGATTGGCATTAATTCCATTCCCACAAGGCTACAACCAGGAAGTCAACGAAAGCTTGGCCAGTCGTTCACGCAAGAAGCAAGATATCTTTCATCCGGGAATTGGCACAAAAACCATACTTTCTACCTATTCAATCTCCACGAAAGGTCTCTTCGCCTCATATGGAATTCGCAATCAAAGCCTGGAATGCCGCAAGCAACCTGGTTACCAGCTAAGTCAAGAGGTCAAGTCAGTTGGATTTCGCTTCAGAACCAATGGCCCTCAACTCAAACTCGGTTCGACCAAAGATTCAAAGTCAGGTTTCTCTCCAAGTTCGATCACTCAACGTTTGCATTCCAACTCTGGAGAACCCGAATCTCCTCCAGTCGCTGAAAGACTACCACTGCCCCCATGTACGAAGACAAGAGGCGTTATCATTTTCTCTTTACCGCCCGTCCTCGCTTGAGGTTTCCTCATCTGCAATGCGTCGCCAACAGTGCTCCCAGCGAGTTCCAAACCGGAGCTGGAATGCAAGTCGCCTCCTGTGGTGTTCAAACTAGCTAGGGTGGTGTGCTTCCGGTCATCTTACTGGCTTTGCCCTGTCCCAACACCTGGTGGCTACTGGTTCTCGAACCACGGAACCCGCACCACGGAGCCACCGTCGTGCACAGACAGGGCGGCAAACGGTGGACACGGCTGGGTCTCCGCCTTGGCTTTCTGATCTGATGTTGGAAGCAGGTACTGACCACGGCAGGGGTTTGCTCTAGAGTTCAGTGGGAATACATTGCGGATACCACGGACTCTTGAAGATTCGATAAAAGACTGACCATAAACAGATATCGTCCTTGGCCGGCAATATCATCGAAGAGTGTATCGCGTCATGGCATCCGCCATATCCCCCCAGCAGCCAACTTATGATGACTACCTTACACAGTAAACGGATCATGCTGGTCTGGTATGGGCAGGCTCCATGGTCCGTCAAGGGCCTCAAAGCTTGACGCCCAACGAGAATGCCCTTTCTCGGCGGCGAGACAGCTCTGCTTGTGGCAACCACCCTGATCGTTCCTCTGCTTCTGGCTCGGGAAGCTTGGCTCACGGACCGACCGCCTCAGGCGGCCGAGCTACGCGATGGTGGATGCAACAAGGGTCTGCGTACCGCTGGCCAAGACTTGGCACGTCTGCTTCCTGGATCCAGTGGCGCTTCTTGTGTTCCTCATGGGTTCGGGAAGGGAAAAAATGGAGACTGCGTGTCACGCGAGGGTGCCCTCTCCAGGGTATCGGCAAGCTGCTGAGATGGACACGATACCTAAGATCTGACTCGCGGAAACCAGAGACACCCGCTCCGGACCCTCAGCGGGGCTGACTGCTCGATGGGGTTGGAAGATCTGCAAACGCTCAAGATGGTGTGGTGCTGGGCCAGGTATCGGTAGCAGCACTAGCAACAAGCGAAAACCTGAAAACGTGCGGGCGACGCGAGGATGCAATGGTACCCATGGTACCGGAGGACGTTCGGTACCCACAGGGGCTAGACCTCGGAACATCGCAACATCATCGCGGTCTCGCAGAACCATCACACGCGGTGTTGGGCCTCTCCTCATCGAAAATCAGGCAATTGATGGATGGTAGCCCGTGTTCGCTACGCCGGCCATTGACAAATGGTTGAACCGTGACTATTCCGGGGGCTCGGGTACGGATAGGGCACGAGACACGATTAGCATCCCTCGCGAGCTTTCTCGCCAGGGGTGATCTGGGCCGCACACTGACCATGCGCGCAGGAATCCAGGCCCGATGTCCGTCAGACCACGGTCCCTTCATCAACCATTTGGGCCACACTTGCACAAGCACAGCGTCCTTCACAGTCTGGCGAATTGCATCCTTCTTCCCCAGACTCTCCAGGGAGCTGATCCGGAGTACCCCGGCGCTAAATTCGATCGGAGAATTTTCGATCAATCACGATGCAGCCCGGGCGCTGCACCCTCCTCGCTCCCATTTTGGGAGCTCGGAGGCGGGTTTTCCGCTGACGGATTTGGAAACTTGGCTCCCCCTTATGGAAACTTCGATTTACATGCAGCAGAGCTCTCGGCCAGCATCAACATCTATATGAAAAGGCGATGCCGCTGCTCTCTCCTGGCCATCTGTTCGGCACCGCTCTCCATCTTCACCCCGGCCTCTTCCACTGCTAGAGCCACGCCGCGAAGATGTCGTCGCACGGGTCCGACAATATCACGAGCGAGAAGCACATTGGTGCTCACGAGGTGGCAACCGCCGCCGTCCCTGCCACTCATGTTCCCCATGTCTCTGGCAAGGAGAAAGCAGTTCACAATGTGCGTGTGTGGAGAGAATCAATGGTCCGGCTGTGATGTCGTGGTGGTTGATTCGCTAACCGAGGACCTAGGCCGAGCTCTTCGCTGCCATCAAGGAGGCCAAGATTGAGCCCTGGAGCAAGGAGTCCATCCATCTCTACTGTAGGCACCGCAAGTTCTGATGATGTCGTCCTGGGCAACTTACTGACCGCAAGAACGTAGTCAGCATCTTCATCGCCTTCTGCTGGTACGAATCCGCCCCGGAACCCTCTCGGCTCAGATATTGTCGAGTGTAACTAACAAAATCAGTGCCTGCGCCAACGGTTATGACGGTTCACTCATGACTGCCATCATTGGAATGCCGACCTTCCAGAGCACCCTGGATGTTGCAGACACTGGACAGAAAGCCGCGGTTATCTTCTCGATGTACTCTGTGTAGGTTCCTCCGCCGAAAGCGTCTCTTCCAACAAACGTTTGAGTTAACGGCCAGCTGACATGGGTATGAATCAGTGGCGCCATGGTGGGCATGCCGTTTGCTGCCTTCATCGCCGATAAGCTCGGTCGTCGCAAGAGCATGTTCTCCGGTGCTGTCATCATCATTCTCGGCATGATCATCATCTCGTCCTCGCATTCGTACGCCCAGTTCGTGGTCGGCCGTTTCGTTCTCGGCCTCGGCATCTCCGTCATGACGGTCGCCGCTCCCGCCTATGCGGTCGAGGTTGCTCCGCCGCACTGGCGCGGCCGTTGCACCGGTTTCTACAACTGCGGCTGGTTTGGTGGCTCCATCCCGGCTGCCATTGTCTGCTTCGGCACCAACTACATCGACAGCGACTGGTCGTGGCGAGTGCCTCTGATCGGCCAGGCCTTCGCCTGCCTCATAGTCATGGTCGGCGTCTTTTTCATCCCCGAATCGCCGCGCTGGCTCATGGCCAATGGCAAGGAGGACCAGGCTCTCGCATTCCTCGTCAAGTACCACGGTAACCGCGACCCCAACTCGCGCCTCGTCCGCCTCCAGATCGAGGAGATGAGGGAGGGCATCCGGCTGGACGGCATCGACAAGACCTGGTGGGACTACCGGCCGTTCCTCCTGTCGCACAGTGGCCGCTGGCGTCTGGCTCAGGTGCTCATGATTTCCATCTTTGGCCAGTTCTCCGGCAACGGTCTCGGCTACTTCAATACGGTCATTTTCAAGAACATCGGTGTCACCTCGGTTCCGGCCCAGCTCGGCTTCAACATCCTCAACCAGGGTCTCTCTGCCATCGGCGCCCTGACGGCCATGTCTCTGACGGACAGGATGCCCAGGCGCAAGGTGCTCGTCACGGGTACCTTTTTGTGCGCCGTCGCCCTGGCCACCAACGCCGGTCTGTCGGCGGTGCTCGACCGCAACGACAAAAACAACCTGCCGTTCGACGAGGCCTACGGCCAGGGTGCGCTCGCCTCGTACTTCTTGTTCAACATCATCTTCTCCTTCACCTATACGCCGCTCCAGGGTGCTATCCCGACCGAGGCGCTCGAGACCACGACCCGCGCCAAGGGTCTCGCCCTCTCGGGTTTCATCGTCAACGGCATGGGTTTCATCAACCTGTTCGCCGGCCCCATTGCCCTTGGAAACATTGGCTACAAGTACATCTTTGTGTTTGTCGCCTGGGACGTCATTGAGTCCATCATCTGGTTCCTGTTCGGGTATGTTTCTCTCCCCCTGTTGTGCTTGTGGGTTTTGCCCCCTTTTACTAATGGAAATTCTTCCAACAGCGTCGAGTCCCAGGGCCGCACCCTCGAGCAGCTCGAATGGGTCTACAACCAGCCCAACCCGGTCAAGGCCTCGCTCAAGGTCGACAAGGTCATCATTACCGACGACGGCAAGGTCGCCGAGAAGATTGTTGCCTAAGACACATACATCTTGGGTTATGGGTTTGGTTGGTGGGTGTGCAATGGTTGCTGGACCGGAGTGGTTCGGCAAGTGTGCCAGTCCCGGAATCTGGTGAATCACGAGCTGGTTGTTTGGCGTGGGGACTGCTGTTGTCTCGTGCAACTCTGCCCCTAAGTGAATATACCCCGTTGTAATTCTGGTGTACTTTGTGGTCCTTGAGTGTCCCTACCGTTGTGTGTGTGTTCCATTGTCCGAGGGGTGCCCGTGCCTGTACTCGTGGGTTCAAGCGGCACCTGGCGGCATGAGGATTGGAGGTTACATTTGGGATTCCCGATGCCACACCGTTGAACATCGCTTATGCAGGATCAACGCTAACGTGGCGAATAGCGAGGGGTGGTAGCGAGCAACGGCAGATGCAAGGTGCTCGCTTTCGCCTTGGCGTCCGATCCAGCTTGAAGGAACTCTGGAAGCCTACATTGTGTGGCAAAAAAGGAAAAAAAAAAAAAAAAAAAAAGAAAAGGGAGAGGGAGGGAGAGAGAGAAAGGCCAGGAATGAGCCCACATGCGGACGCCCTGTAGGTGAGAAAGCACTACCTACTTGGGGGCAGCAATGTCAAGAGCCCCCAAGTAGTGCTATGGAGGTTGCAAGCGAATTGGCCTCATTCGACTCGTCATCCTCAAATCCAACTTTGCGGTGTCGTTTGACACTTCATCACAGCTATGAACAGTGACTTGGACAGACGCAAAAGAGCCTCTCGCTTCATTGGCAGCGAGCCGCGCTGAGCGAATCTGACCATAGGTACTCACCTCTTGGTACAGTATGTACTGTACCTGGTAAAGCGATTGGCGACGCTCGTACTCGCCACTCAAACCACATCGAGCGTAGCGTTCCCTTTTCCTCCATTCTTCTGTTCCGATCATGTGCGCAACAAAGGCCATCAACGCTCGCCTCTCGCGCCCGAATTCCTTTCGCCGATAAGCGATAGGAAACGCGGCCCGGTTTGTCTGCGAACCTCACGGGCCACATCTGCAAGGAGCTAAGAATGCTAGACTTATGCCGAGTCCCTTAGCGAGAGAGCCGGATGGCAGAGGGCGGGCTGTGTCCCAAACCGTCGAAAACCATCTGACAGGATGCTGTTCCCGAGATTCGCTCCTCCTCCATGCTGTGCTACCCGAGCTTCGACCTCGATATCGGACACCGCGAGGTGACTTAATATGGCTTCGGTCCGACTCTAATACCAGCCAACTGAACCTGCATCAGCCCTGTCTGTACCATCGGGCACTGGGGTGTTGCTGAGTTATGTTGAGACTAGTGACGTGTTGGTTGGGACTTGACTCGTGTCTTGGAGGGCAGCAGGCTCGCTACATCCCTCATGAACTCACGCCGGATCTGTGTTCACTTCGTCTGTCATTGGATGAGATATCCTGTGGACGCTGTAGACTCAGAGTTACCTCTTCAGGGGTCATTGAAGAGATGAGGGCTTGTTTCAGATTGAATGGTGCTGAGGAGATACACTGTCTCAACGTCCCGGCCGATAGAATACTACCAGGTAATCAGCACCGATAGAGTCAATTTGAGGTGATTACAGCACCAACGCGGCGAGCACAAGCAGGTAAGGGTACCTAAAGGTAACAGAGTCCCTCTCCAACATAACATCCAGGTTCTCACCGCTACCTACACTGCGGACATTACCTCTTTGTGGTCTTTGAATTCAAGAACATGTTGCTATGACAGCTCCATTGGCAGACTTGAACAACTTGGCCCTACGGTTCAAGAGAAGATGGATCCCAACTTACATACCAGGAGATGTACGTTCTCAGTATCAACTGTACGGTAGGGTCTGTTACTCCCCGGATCTGGTCCTCATGGGAAACGAAAATGCAGAAGCTCACCGGCAGACCGTCTTCAACGGTCGGAGAGAGGTAGCCGGCAATTGAACGAAACCCTCGGGAGGGTTTCCCTGCCATGTTGACCAGAGACTTCATTGTAGCATGCTACAATACCTCACTAATGATGCTCTAGCCCGTGAACTCGAAGTAACGGAGAGGTTTCTGGCGTTAGTTACGGGTACAAACTACTATGTACGAGTTGTCGGAACGAAGCTGCCTTGATGGCTGCATTCAACGGACCTCGGCGGTTGATTGGTGGCAGCACTGCAACCCCTCTTCCTTACATACTTAGTCCTCTCCCATGCCCATCAACAGCATGGTCAATCAATCACTTTTTACCACCTTAAAAATTCAATCCACTGCTTTGACTGGGAATAGCTTCTTCCAGCGCATATCTGAGCGGTCGTCGCCCTGCAGGTTCCAACACGAGTGACCTGAGTCTAAGAGGGCTGGCATGTCCGTTGCTAGATTGCTGAAAATAAAAGAGATAGATGACTGCACAATGGCCATCGTGCGGAATTCAAAGTAAGTGCATCAAACAGGCCTGCTGCTGCCATCTGACACCCTACCGTGCTGAGGATCTCTGTCAGAGCCCAAGTTACCATTTGATCCGAGCATGTAAGGGTGTGGGATTGGAGTCTTGCCTCGCTCCGGTTGATCCTAGCATCCGAGGACTGCGTAAAGAATGCCTCAACGAGCTTCCAGAAGCATGCTGCATAGAAAACCAAATACCTCTCAACTTACATTTTGATACTCGACCAATCTGATTCGAAGCAAGCAAGGATCACCAAAGCACCTCACGCGACACCTGTGATAGCCAGCTCACCCCTGAAAAATCTGAGACCAACCAGAAAAACATAATTACAACATCCACAAGGGCAGGTAATATGCCAAGTAGTCAATGACTCAGCGCCCAGTGGTTTCCGTGACCAGTAGCTTCAGGCACAGTGACCCTATTGACGTGCATTTGATGCAACATGGTGCGTGCTCGTCAGACTTCATCTCTGGCAATGGATTTTGGAGTACTTATACGTGTCAACCCACTCACCTTGGAAATCTTGATAGTTGAACTTGGCCATGAGAGTGTCTATATAAGGCCGTCCTTGGTAACCAAGCGAATGGGTCCTTGTTTTCAGAAGCTCTACATCAGCATCCAGTCTCTCATAGCGACTGAGAGCTTTCTCCTGCAATACCAAAGCGCTCCCAACCCCGACAATTTCTACACCAGCTCTCAAATTTCCATTTATCTGTGCCACCTTTGCTAAGATCATACGGACGAACCAAGGGACACAATCCACCATGTGTAGGTGGGCAAGACAGTGATATCGAATTTGCGTCCAGTACAAGGAGGACGAGGAGGGGGATGAGCTTGTTACCAAAGAAAGCAGCCAGGAAACTGCCCAGGCTACGGCAAAGGCGCACCTGAGCCCTGCCAGTGCACTAACCAGGGCACAATGAGATCCAAGTACTTTGGACAAGAAGCGCCTTGTTGGATCAACGGGCATGAGCAACCCTGAAATCAGACTGAAACGCTAAGCTCGGCCAGCGACCAATTCTGATCAAACCCAGAGTTTGATCACCTACCCACCTTGATCACTGTCATTGTTTTTCCTAAATGCTATTTGTTCGTTATTATGCTCACGTTAACTAGTTAACGTTACTTACCCCTTTATGAATCCTATTATCCATCATCTCATGCTTTCTCTTTGTCTTCATCTCCATCATCAGCGCGCGGCTCCTCTACTTCATACTAATTCTTACATTGACATACTATCCTTATCTCATTTCCTTCGAGAAGGTATGGTTATCTACCTGACGTATGTATCTCCTTTCAGTTTATCCTTCATGTGCTCCTTCTTGGCATCTTGAGTTATCTCCAAGAGCTTGAAGCACCTAGAAATTGTGAAATCATAACATATAGCGTGCTAATCGAAGTATTCGGTCTGTGGCTTAAGAAGTTGAGGCCCCCCTTTTTTGACCCTTTCACCACCCATACCTCGTGGCACTACTACTCATTCACAGTGCTAGGAACTGAGCTGTCTTCCCGCAATCCCCTCCACCCATACGGTAGAAATAAACTGACATAAACACGGACAAGATTACAAACCATGGCTCCCAAGGTACTAATACAAAATAGACTCCTACATTTGCCCGATCCTGGGCATGACCCCTGGATCATCAAAGGCGTGACAGACAACCTGTGAGTAACGTGAATGCTACTGCAGAAGGCCATGGGAATAGCATAGTCCCGTTGTTTTGTTGATACATGCAATGCTGACGTCTGTGGCCTGCTCGGGTTCGTTGCTGTTGAGTGGGAGCAGCATCTACCTGAAAAGCGGCTTCAGCGAGACCGAGTGTCACGGCATTTTGTCCATTGGGAAACAATGCACACAGCCGGAATCAGAAGTACCTATCTTAAATAAGGCCCAACAAGCGACGCCTGCCCTACGGAGGTGGTGCTGGACAAGAGAAATGCTGCCCCAGGTAGCAAATGGGTTGTGACTAGTTGATGCGGCTCCTGCACAAGAACCGAAGGTAGGCATTAAAGCCAGCCCAACCGTGAAGTGAAGAACAAGATCCGCCCTGAGACACCAAAGTTCAATAGTTCAAGAACACAGTAAAAAGGGTATCTCTTCCTTGCTTGGTTTCACCACATCATCACCATATCCTTTCCCGATGTTCAGCTCAATCAGAATCATAGCCGCTGGCCGGACAACATCCCCAGCACTCATCAATACAATCACAGCAAATCCAAAAGCAGCAGAAGCCACCGCAAAGCCAAGGTAGGAACCCCATGGGCTTCTCCCGTCTGCGCTTCTCGACCACAACGATCCGCGACGGGGAGGGTGAGAGGGACCGCGGCGGGCCAACCTCGATAATGACACCGCCAGCTCTTGCCGGAGCGTAATGTGCTCGGGGAGGCCGTCGCGTGCTGGGCGGGTCAGGGTGTTGTTAGTACGCTGAGACTGATCTCCCGACGGGCTGCTTGAGCTCGTGTTGAGTTACGGGAGGGATTTCTCAAGGGAACGGAAAGGGCCAGGCCATTGAGGACGAGCTAGTACATACTAATACTGCGGTTGCGGCTCTGGTTCGTAGCGCGAATACTTCATTGTCCGTTTAGGTCCGCTTCTATCCCGTTCGAGATCTGAATGGGCTCAAAATCAATGTTTGGCTTCTGTCTGGGATCCGGCGCCCAGGCTGCCGGCCTGCCCTTTGAAGAGGGTGACGACGAGTTGCTATCGGCCAACAAGGTCAGTGGCCGTTCGAGCAGGATGGGCGACCGGCAATTGACACCAGTCGCGACGGGTTGGCCGAAGTGTTGGTGTGAAGTTGGCGTTAGATCAGAAGGCTAGTGGCACAGAAGTAACTGGAGGCGACACCGGGGTTTACAAGTGCACTAGGCGTCGGAGCAATCGGCGATGTCTGAAGGGGGTTTCCCCGCGGACTGGAGGTGAGGTCTTTTGGGACAGGTTGGCGCCGATGAGTTTAGAGAGAGGGATTGTAGGCGCCTCTTCTGTTCCGTTTCATTTAAGTGTTGGGATGGGTCGAAAGAGAGAAGACCGGTTTCAGGTGTTCTTCTGGTCGGCCTCTGAGCATCTGAGGCGGGGGGTGGCACAGCAGCCAGACGACCGCTTTCAGTTGGTGCAAAAGGCGGGAGGGAGTTGACTCAACCAGCACCAACTGGGCTCAGCTCATGTAAGCCCTTCAGAGTTTACCGATAACTATTGGATTGGCAACCTCATTGCTGTGGGAGGTGTGTGCTGCATGTACTGGCGTGGCACAGGCAGATGACGCTGTCGAGCTTGGAAGTGCCCACTGCCTATTCCAGCCGAGAGATTTCAGAAGAGAGAATTCAGAAGAGAGAATTCAGAAGAGGTAGCCTCAAGAAGGGGAGAGACGAGACTTAGGGAGGTGGGTGACCTTGCCAGGCATGGCCCACGACTCAACACTGCACAACGATCCGAAGGACATTCAGAAAGCACCGTAATCGCGCCATGTGGTAGACTTTTGTCCAGTTTGAGCCCGTCTCCGGACAGGGCTGTTTCATCACTCCTGCCAGAGGATGGTCGGGAAAAGGACCAAACCGGGCAACTGCGATTCCGGGACCACCAAGCCGGGCCGGAACGTTGGTGGGCCCGCTGGCCGAAGGCGGCCGGAGCGGGGCCGTGTTTCGAAAGTCGCGTCGCGCGAGGACCGAGACAAGGGACGGCCGAGTCCGAGGAGGCGTCGAACTGATCGGTTGACTTCTTTGTAAGGTCTGGGGTTCTTGTCTGTTTCATCCTGCTGCAGCTGTTCCTTTTCCTACTGTAGCCCCCGCCCAGTTTGACCGAGCTTTGGAATCGCCGGGCGCCGTACCTGTTAAAAGCTATCTCATTTTCGCTCAAACGTTTATCGTTGCCAAGCTTCATCAGATCCGGAAGACAGCAAGCAGTAAAAGATGGGTGTCCCCGTGGTGTTGGCGACGATGGCTGCGTGCGGCAGTATCGTGACGTCGATCAAGTCGAGCTGGGAGCTCCGCCGCATGATCAAGCGGAAGCAAGAGGCGAGAGAATGTGACGACGAGGCACCCTACATATTCCGCCGTCTGCGCAGAGCGTACTACGACGGACTGATGAGTACTTTGGAATATGAGCAGTGGTACGAGAAGTTTCTGGTCGCCAAGGTGGAGAAGGATAGTGAGTTGTCACAACTTCCAAGGATAGAGACCTCTTGTCTGACACGTCGGCAACAGTGACCGGTATGCGCAGAATCCGAGCGCATCTCAGAATTCTCGAAAACGGGGCCCCAGTAGCACCCTACCGACGGTCGAGAGGCATCGACCAAGACCGGCGACGGCACTCGGTGTCATACGGTACCAGCCAGCCGTACGTTGACTTTCCGCAAGAAAGACCGAGCCTTGAATACCATCCAAATGGACGTGCGAACGTTGGCACACGCCCGGATCAGTTTAGTCGCCTCGAGCGACAAGCAACGTACAGCCTGGCATCCTCGTCGGACACCTTATCCAGGGGCCGGAGTCGCAGCACCTCGGTCGGGCAGCAATTCAGGGGTCAAAACGAGAGGAGGCATGATAGCTATGACAGTGCCGATGGCAGCGACTATTACTCGGAGAAGAAGCACTACCGGGGCAGAAGTCTGCGCCGGTGATTTCCATGGCTCAAAAGGAGAAGATGAATTGCTGAGGGGAGTCGGTTATGGGCCAGAGATCGAATTGAGCGATTTCGTACTCATTGCGCTTTGATGTTCTGTAAAGAATCTCATTTAACCCGAACACAAGATCGGATTCGCCTCGAGACCAGACCGTGTGTTGAGAAGGAGATCTTTGGAGATTGCGATTGTTAGAAGCGAGTTGTGCCGCATTCCTTTCTCATGGAAGCACTGCAGTGGATGTTGCCAATGGGAAGGGTGGGGTTCGATAATTCTGCCACTGAACTCCGCCAAAATTTCCGCAAGTGTCCCGCAGTGGTCCTGGCGCTTTGCAGGCCCGAGGATCATCACCGAGCAACACCAGAAGAGCTACAGTACGGAAGATGGCGACAGTAGCACCCCCACCATCCAAACGGCAAAAGAGAGAGGAGATTGAACGCACACAGACGCAGCAAGATGTCGCCCCGCTCCTGGCAACCGACCTCGGGTCCTTCAAGGCCAATTTTGTCGACAGCGATGGCAACCAGATGGCCGACGTAATTGAGATCAACTTTGCCGATGCCACCGAGAAAAATGTGTCAACGCTGCTCAATACCTTGCTGGGGAGGGTACGCGCCCGCTAGAGAGCTGCTATGCCCCAATTGCTGACTACGAAGCCTCCAGGACCGAGAAGACTTCACCCCATATCGCTTCCGCATCCATATCCCTGGCAAAGACGTTATTATAGACCAGTACCCTGCCGACCTACTGGGCCTCCTCCAGAAACATGGCGTGACCAATCCCTTCGAGTGCGTCTGAACATGCCGCCATGCCACGTCTTTCATGCGCTTAACTCTTTTTGCTAGGACTACCATCACCCTCAGCGCAGAGCCCCAAGCTGTCTTCAAGGTCCACGCCGTTTCGCGTCTCGCTCATCGAATTCCCGGCCACGGCCAGCCGATCCTTACCTGTCAATTCTCCCCAATATCATCGAGCCGTCTAGCGACAGGGAGCGGTGATAACACGGCACGCATCTGGGACACAGACTCGGGTACGCCGAAGCACACACTGAAAGGGCATATTGGCTGGGTTCTGGGTGTGAACTGGAGGCCAGACGGGAAACAACTGGCAACGTGCTCCATGGATAAGACGGTCCGGATATGGGACCCAGAAACGGGCAAGCCGTTCGGGCAAGAGCTCAAGGGCCATGCCAAGTGGGTGCTGGGACTGGCATGGGAGCCGTACCACTGTGAGTTGGTTGCTCTGTTCTTGGAATTGTCTCTGCTAACAGCGGCGACAGTATGGAGAGATGGCACCCCGCGTCTGGCAAGCGCTAGCAAAGACGGTACTTGCCGAATATGGGTCGTGAACACAGGCCGTACTGAGCACGTCCTGAGCGGCCACAAGGGGTCAGTCAGCTGTGTGCGATGGGGCGGCACCGGGATGATCTACACAGGTTCCCACGACAAGTCTGTGCGGGTCTGGGATGCTGTGAAGGGCACTCTGGTGCACAACTTCACCGCTCACGGGCACTGGATCAACCACATTGCCTTGTCGAGCGACCATGCCCTTCGCACCGCCTACTTTGATCATACGCAGGAGGTGCCCGAAACCGAGGAAGGCAAACGAGAGAAGGCGAGGGAGAGATTTGAGAAGGCCGCTAAGATCCAGGGGAAGATCGCGGAGCGCCTGGTCTCGGCGAGTATGTCTGCGATGAATCTCCGTACTGGCATAAACTAACAAGAGTTCTAGGCGACGACTTCACCATGTATTTGTGGGATCCGACCAACAACGGTAACAAGCCCGTAGCCAGGTTGTTGGGTCACCAAAACAAGGTGAACCAGGTGCAGTTCTCCCCCGACGGCACTCTCATCGCCAGCGCGGGGTGGGACAACCATACAGTTAGTAGTGTCCCAGCTCCAGTTCTCCCTGTCCGCACACAAAACGACTGACGCGGCTCACTGTAGAAACTTTGGAACGCCAGGGATGGCAAGTTTCTCAAGAGTCTACGGGGCCACGTCGCACCGGTAAGCCACCATCCAAACGGCAGCCCGACGTCTTTCACAATCGGCAACCCCTGACATCAAGCACAGGTGTACCAGTGCGCTTGGTCTGCCGACAGCAGACTGCTGGTCACAGGCAGCAAAGACTGCACCCTCAAGGTGTGGAACGCACGGAATGGCAATCTCGCCATGGACCTGCCGGGCCATGAAGACGAGGTATGCGACTCCGGAATCACCCGTCCCGCGCCTGTTTGCCGGAACTGACATGTGCGTTTCTCAGGTTTATGCCGTCGACTGGGCGGCCGACGGCAAGATGGTCGGCTCAGGCGGGAAGGACAGAGCTGTCAGGACTTGGAGGAACTGAACAAAACTGAGTGGAAGGAGTGGGGAGACTGTAGCCGATGATACCCTGCCATGCAGTGTTTTGCGAACAGGAAAAAGGACTCCATTCGAGTGTGAGCTGAGATTGCGGCCGCTTCACCTCTAACAGGTTGGACTGCCCCGTCTTGGACTTGCAACTGTAGGGACGTACGGTTGTGCCGAGATGCATCCCCGCTCTCCTCATGAATATCGCATGAGGAAAGCCGTGGTACTTGTACAGATTGCCGTATGGAGTACACACTGCAAAGCATAAAGGGCTCCATCCTCGAAAGGGAAAAGCCGAAGCGGACGCGACTTGGAGCGCGCATGTACTGTTGCTCTGGCGTTACTTTGGGATTGGAGGCAGAGGCACGGTAGTTTTCCGGTGGATGTGACGCGCGAAAAAGCGCCGCGATGGATGCTCATCAGGTGTCTTGCGCGTGATAGCCTCGGCAAACCAGTCTCCTGAGGGCTGGATCTCATGGCCAGCTTCAATCGGGTCGTGAGAGTTGCTTTGCAATCTGCGCTGTCTGGCTGTGTAACCCCAATCTGATGCTGTGCTTTTCTACTCTTATAAATCCCGGTCAGATGGCCCGGCCGTGGTTGGTCTGGCGCCGAGATTACTGGCATGATGCGAGAGGCCCACGGGAGGCCGGATGAGCGGCGGCTAGGGCGGCCTCCGATCAGCTTTGGTGTTGGATCCAGAAGCGGCAGTTTTACCGACCGGCTGACATAGGGGACGGTACATACAGTAGGGTAACAGTAGCATTGTGGCTGTCCCCGACAGCTCCTGGGCCGGGGTTCAAACTTTTGCGGGGAGCACATGTTTGTACCGTGACCTGTACTGTGATAAGGAATCCCCCGAGGACGAGTTGTTCATGTGTTTCGACCGACTTGCACGAGAGGGAAATGTGGGTTACCTGATCGTGGTTTGTCTCAGCTCATGGCGCAAGAGGCAAGATTTGAGATCTGCGGCGTTCAACACGGGAAAGCCAGCCGGGCAGAGGCTTCAGACTCGACGACGCTGTCCCGCCTGCAGGTTCACGTGTATTTTGCCTTGGCCCACCTGCCGTACTTAGCCATGTTGCTGGCCGTGACGGGCTGTGATACGCCCAGCACTCCCAAGCTATCAGTGCGAGCCGTCCCAAACTCCCAGAATTAGAGCGTCGATCGACACCCGTTTGGCTGGCAGCGGTGCATCTTCTGTGAGGTATCCCTAGCACTCTCATGCAGTGCAGAGAATCCTCGAGTGACCCACCTCTTGTGAGTAGAGTAAAGTGGAACCATTCCAGTTACAGTTGAGGTTGTTCTGGCTGACCTTCTCGGAGTGGAGATATTTCTCGTCCCGTAACTCCCGTTGCGGCTGTGGCATTCCGTCTGCGGCGCATGTTCGGCGATTTTCTGCCTTCGGTTCGCTGACCAAGTACTCCGTAGTGAGTAGGAGTCCAAGTTATCCATACGGATATAAGCAGGGACATTGGGCATCCATTGCCCCAGTATGAGCTATTTATTTTGTGAACCACGACAGTCAGGCTGAGACATGGACTTTGGCTTTTGAAAGGCCGAGCTCGTCGAGGACTGGCAGGATGGATATTCAAGTTTGAATGCGGAAGCCGCAGTCGCAAAGTCGGTGGAAATGGCATTTGGCTTTCAGCCTATCTCGGAAGATGTCGGGTGGCCGCTCCAATGTCCACTCAGCACCCGCGATCTCAAACGGCCGGCCCCCATGTGGCTGGGTCAGATCGAGTTGGACAAGAAAATTTTCCTTCCCTTTCGCCAAGGCCAAGCACAACAAGGTTCAAAAAGTTGCGCTGTTTTACACGTACGTAGCCGGCGGAAGGGTGTGCGAAAAGATGCCGTCTGTGCCTCTCGGCGGCAGTGCTGGCTACAACTCTTCACCAGGTCCCGCACGTTGTGCACGCCGGCATTCTGACTGGACAGGTTCAACGTTCAATCGATTGCAACTGCTCTATGTTGGGTCTTTGCTCGGCTTGAGATGGTTTCGATCGATGGCGGGGTAATTTGTGTGCTGGGTGTTTCGGTTGGATGGAGTTGCGGCGCTGCCGGTCCCCACTTCAACCTTCCCGTGCCGGATTGACGGAGAAGAAGCCGGCAAAACCTGGAAGTTACCACAAGCATCAGTCTAGTCTGATGAGCCTTCAAGATGGAAACATCCAATGTTGTGAACGTAATACACTGTACAGTAACCTGGAAGTCTTGGTCGTGACCAGGCCGTTTCAACAGGCGCACTGAGTGCCAGCTTGGTCAGGCCATTCCTTGATTAGTCTTGCTGCAGCGTTGAACGACCAATCCATCGTGAGTGAGCCTTTGTTCCCGTGCAGTTGGAGGCCGCACATGTGCTCCATGCTTGTGAGAACCTGGAAGTAAGAAATGCTTGCGCTGCTGTGTTCCACCACTTTTGATTGGCATACCTGGCCCGGGAGGTGTGCCAGGTCGATAAGCACCTGCACTCCAATATCGCTGCATTGCCCAGGCAGCCCGAGTCCCAAGATGAGGTACCTGAAGGTTGTAGTCGTCAACGTAGAGTCTGTCGGCGCTAGAGCTGTGTCGATTTCGTACCGAGGCCTGCCGTTCGTCAAGCTGTCTCTCCAATAATCCATCCCATCATCTGGTGCTCCCATGTGGTTTCATGTTGACCGACCGAGAGGCATTTGATTACGTGACGGCTGTTGGTGAAGGTTGTGTAGCGGCATACCAGTCGAAGGTGCTGCTGTCGTTCATTGGACGGTGATCGGGGAATGATCGGCCCGTCACATCCAAGAAGCTCATCCACCAGAGGCTTGCCAAAAGAGAATGATCGAAACTATATTGATACTGCTTGCAAGTTGTATGGAGTACTTGTACATGACACTGCAGGCGCCAGCAGTTCAAAGTATCGATTGTGGAGTCCTTTGGATGATCTGGAGCTTGCATCCCTGACTCCTCTTGGCTGCCAAGCGGAACGGATCAAGGACTCTTGTTGGATGGGCTGGAATGACGAGCAGCAAGTGCGGGACAACTGCTGCCCAGGCTCCACTGGCAGTGTTCCATCGAGAAACTTCTCACGCAATGCCTTGAAGCGAGCTCCTGGCCCGAGAAAAGAAATGATTGAAATTCTTCCGTGTTTCCATGCATTTCGTGATGCTGAGCACCCCCGACATCTCGCACACCAGACACCTCCATCTCGGCAGCCTCGCACCCCACTTCTCCCGCCATCCATTCCACGGGGCCAGAGCGTACCCTACTCCAGGTACTTAGCGGGAAACAGCCGCAGCTCTGTCCAACCACCTTTCTGAGTTCCGGGCTTCTGAACAACTTCCAGGCAAGTGACATATCTTCATCTCTGGCAGTCTCTTTTACCCCCAGAACTCCAACATTTCAGGTTGCATAGTGCATTGTCTGGGTAGTCATGTCTTGGCCCCGAGCGTGCGAGAACAAACGGACTCCGCATCTCCCTGGGGTCTGTTACGTCAGAGGTGACGGTCGTCGCTTGGGTGGGCCAGGCGCTAAACAACCTCAATTGCTTCCATGTTTGACGGCCTGACGGCCTCTTTATAAATAACTTGAAACCCGGCGCAGCCCATTGTAGGCTGCGCCTGCTTACTTACATTATATGTCTTACATAGATTTCGGGTGGCTTCACGAACCTTATACCTCAATGATTGCTGACGCCTAGTTCGCAGTCGACAGGCAGCTCCCCTCAACCCTCCCCTCCTGGTGCCTTCCCGCATTCCCGTCCTCACGCCCTCTGCATCCCGCACCCTGCATTTCGGCGTCCATCTTGGTCGGAGATAGCCTTGGTTTGGATCAGGTCCCAAGTCGGTCTCTCAAAGTTCCTGCGGCATAGCACCGAAGTGTGAAAGTCCCTGCCTCCTTTCCGTTCCAGCATCTCGGTACAGGCTCCGCATCCGTCCCGGCCACCCCCGACCATCCCCATAGTTTCCGGAGCCTGCAGCCTGACAACATACTCGACCTGTCTAGTGCATGACCGGCATATTCTCTTAGTTGCCGGGCCCGCATAAACACACGCTCTTCCACTCCGAGACTTCGCTTCCCACGTCGTCGTCACACCTCCCAGACTCCCTCGATGGGCTCGACAGCCGGAGCTCGATAGCATCCGTCCCCACCTACATATGCCATACTCGAATTCCAGTTGCCCTAAAGGCCACCGCTATACCACTCCTATTTGATCGATCCCGACAGCCGAACCTTCGCCCACCATGACGGTTTTCATCGCTTCTCTGTGAGTCCACGTTTTGCTGAAGCATCCTCCGTGCAAAACTACTCCCAATTCTGCCGATGCCTGGGCATAACCTTCGAGGTGACGACGGCTAATGCCGTGACCGTTTTCCAGGTTCCTCCCCAAAACCATCCACTTCACTCTCCCGGGTACCCCTCCGCCGGGTGCTGCCGCCGAAAAGAAGCAACCCGGAAAGCCGGCTCCGGCCGAAAAGCAGACGAGCCTGTTCCAGGCGCCCAACATCACCCCGCCCATTACCCCGGTCGATGACAAGACGCGTGACCACCTATTCACGAACGAGGACGGCCTGCGTGTGCAGATCCCGCAGGTTGAGCCCGCGGCCGATGGCTTCCGCGCGCCCGCAGATCGAAGCTCTCCCACCTGGGGAGGGCGTCCCGACCAGCCCATGTCACGCGCGAACTCGCCGCCTCCCCCATCGTTGATTGAGAAGAGTCGCCTGCTCCAGCAAAAAGCGAAGGAATTGGGCCGCCAGGGTGTGACGCAGCCGCGCTCGTTGACCAGGAGCGACAGCCACGACCGCGTTTTTGCCAATGCCAACTGGAAGGTTGTCAATGCGGACCAGGGCAACGGAGGCCTGCGCAACGCCGCCGAGGCTGCTGCGAGGGAGTGCAAGCTGGGCGACTACATGTGGGTCGGAACTCTGGGCATGCCGACCGACGCCCTCCAAGGCACTCAGCAACTGCAGGACATCTCGGACCGGCTGTACACCGAGCACGACATGCTCACTGTGCTCTGCTCCGACAAGGACTTTGACGGTCACTACTCGCACTTCTGCAAGCAGATTCTCTGGCCCGTTTTCCACTACCAGATTCCCGACAATCCCAAGAGCAAGGCGTACGAAGACCATTCCTGGAAGTACTACGTCAACGTCAACCAGGCCTTTGCCGACAAAATCATCAAGAACTGGAAGCGTGGCGATGTCATCTGGGTCCACGACTACCACCTCCTGCTCGTCCCTGGCATGATCCGCAGGAAGCTACCAGATGCCAAGATTGGTTTCTTCCTGCACGTTGCCTTCCCTTCTTCTGAGGTTTTCAGATGCCTGGCTGTCCGAAAGCAGCTTCTCGAGGGTATGGTTGGCGCCAATCTGATTGGCTTTCAGATCCACGAGTATACCAGGCACTTTCTCCAAACCTGCAGTCGCCTTCTTAGCGCGGAAGCCACGCCGGATGGCCTGCAGCTTGAGGATCGCTTTGTGGACGTCATCAACATGCCCATCGGCATCGACCCGGTGAGCCTGAACCAGCACCGCCAGGAGGTCGAGGTGAAGAAATGGCTGGACATCATGCGCGAACGCTACGCCGGCAAGAAGCTCATCGTCGCTCGCGACAAGCTCGACCATGTCCGCGGCGTCAGGCAAAAGCTGCTCTCGTACGAGCTCTTCTTGAACGCCAACCCCGAGTGGCGGAACAACACTGTTCTGATCCAGGTCGCGCTCTCCACGAGCGAGAAGAGCGAGCTGGACGCCACCGTCTCGGACATTGTGACCCGAGTCAACTCATCCTGGGCGAACCTGGCCTACCAGCCGGTCGTGTATCTGAAGCAGGATATCGACTACGCCCAGTACCTGGCCCTCTTGAGCATCGCGGATGCCTTGATGATCACCAGCCAGCGCGAGGGCATGAATTTGACGTCGCACGAGTTCCTGTACTGCCAGGATGGCAAATTCAGCGAGAAGAAGCACGGTTCTCTTATCCTGTCCGAGTTCACAGGCACGTCGTCTCTCTTTGGCGGTAACGAGCTGTCGGTCAACCCCTGGGACTACCGGGCCTGCGCCAATGCCATCAAGAAGGCGCTTGAGATGGGCGACGAGGAGAAGGAGCAGCGCTGGACTAAGCTGTATGAGGCAGTCAACCACCATACCGGCTCGCATTGGTTTACGGAATTCATGTCGCGCCTGGACATTGTCTACGACGAGCAGCACCGCCGCGACCAGACGTCGGTGCCGCGCCTTTCGATGCACAGCCTTATGCAGCAGTACAATCGCACTGAGAGGAGACTCTTCATTCTCGACTTTGAGGGCACCTTGGTCAGCTGGGGTCCTGTCAACAAAATCATTCCGGTTAGCCCGCAGGTAAGTTTATGGCCACAATTTGATACCGTGTCAACTGTTGTAACAGGCCGCAGTCTAACTTTGTGTAGCGTACTCTAGACGTCTTGAACGATCTGCTCCTCGACGAGCGCAACACCATCTACGTCATGTCGGGTCGGCGGCCGGAAGAGCTAGACCGTCTGTTCCGCCGCGTCCCGAACCTGGGCCTCATCGCCGAAAACGGCTGTTTCCTCAAGGACTGCGGGAGCACGACCTGGACCGAGATGGCCGACTCGGACCAGATCCGCTCGTGGAAGGAGTCGGTCAAGCCGATCCTGAACTACTACTTGGAGCGCACGCCGGGGGCCGAGCTCGAGGACCGCCGCTGCTCCCTCATCTTCCATTACAAGTCGGCCGAGGACTACGAGGCGGCGCAGCGGCAAGCGACCGACTGCGCCAGCCACATCAATGACGCGTGCGAGGAGCAGCGCGTCCATGCTATTCCCCTGGACGGCTGCGTGCTCGTTGAGCCCATTGATTGGACCAAGACCACGGCAGCGCAAAAGATCTTTGCCGACCTGCGGGCTAACATGGCACCCGATGAGAAGCACACGTCGCCCGTCGACTTCCTCATGGTCATTGGAGACGGTCGCGAGGACGAGAAGGTCTTTAAATGGGCGAATACTCTGGGCGAGGACGGGACTGTCAAGGAGGTTGTCACGGTGAGCCTGGGGAATAGGAACACGGAGGCGACGGCGACCTTGGCTCAGGGCGTTAGCGGTTAGTATTCCATTCCACCTTCCTCCCTGGGATTGTGCTCTTTCTTATCTTTTTCCCGGTTACTGACGAACTTTTACACAGGCGTCCTGATGGCACTGCAGAAATTGGCATCCATCGCGTAAGCAATCGTATTGCTGGTTCACCCGGCACATACCAACTTCAATGATTCACGATGCAGGTCTGGCGTCCCTGCGCGCCACCGTCGGAAGAGCTCGGGGTCAACGCGGGCACCTGTCCGCTACCCATGGTCTCCTGAGGCTTGATCTCGACAAAAATAAGTGGGTTGGTCATATCCAGCGGCTGCGATTTCATGGCTTCTCTGTTGCTTCTGTTTGCTACATATGCCCGGTTGCAATCCTTCTACAAAAGCGCGGTCCCAGGCATCGATGCCAGGTTTCCGCTGGTGGTATCCTTTTTTTTTTTTTTTGTTTCTCAACGTCATGTTTCTCACCTTCACTTTTCCTTATTCGCATGTAGCGTTCTGCGTCTCCTGATCTCCCCTTTAGCGCAGCAGAAGCGTTTCGCCCGTTGTTCACTGGCTTGCGTGTCTTCATGTCCGCTCGCTGAAAGGATCCAGCTTCCTGGCCGAATTGAACGGATGACCACTCCGCTGTTCGAACGGATTCGATTCGTTAAAGATTTAGGGATTTTCAGGAAGGGAAAGATATAAGGGTAGGCCATGGAACGGGCGGCAGATTGGTCCGTAGATAGAGTTGGAACGGTTTTGCCTGAAACTGGTATGCTCCAGCAATGGGCAAGGAGGCATTGTCGGATAACATGGGAAGGGCTTAGACATGGATGAAGGGCACACTATGAATGGTTCCCAGGGAATCGGAGGGAAGGCGTTGGAACTGCGTGGCAGAAATTGTTTCACGGCTCAATTTTCAATAAACTCATATTCAGCGTTATTGTGGGGAGGCAGTGCTCTCATAGCCAGTTTGGTGCTATCCACGGTCAACACGTAAAAGACTGGGCTGCCAGTGCTGAACACCCAACCCGTTTTGCAGTTCCCATAAATCTCATTGTTCTCTTCGTGGGACATTCGACAGATGGTGACATCACGAGCTCCAGTCCGCAATCGGACTGCGGGGCAGGCCGACAATCGGACGCTTATGTCAACTCACCTACCCCGCCATTACCAAACCAATGAAGCCGCAGCGCATGAATGGACGGGAGGGGAAAAGAGCTTTTCCTAGTTGCGAAGCCCATTTAAGGCCCCTGGATCATCAAGCCCGCAATCCGATCGGAGCAAATGGGGACAAGGGGTCACGAGCCGGGAATCCGACCTCAGTCAGCGCAGCGCTCGCAACACCCTTCATAGTTCAATCTCGTTAACCTATTGAGTGCTGTTTGTGTCTGTCTGATGCAAGGCTAGACAGTTTCACACAAGCGAGAAAAATTGTCCTTTGGCCCAAGTCAGGACACCTTCAATCTATATCCACCAGCTAAATTATCGGATATCAAGCCCAGCTGACACCATGGCCTCCTTCCCTCCTCCTCCTGTCAACACGATTGACTGGTCAAATGTTGGATTCCGCGTCCGCGAGGGTGAGATCTCTCTTTGGATGCGATCCTCAAGTACAATGAGTGCCGCGTACGGTGAACTAACGCGGTCCCCTGACACTCAGTCAACGGCCACATCGAATCCCATTACTCGGTTAGGACGGGAAAATGGTCCCCTCTTCAGTTCGTCGCCGACCCCTACATGCGCATCCACGGCATGGCCCCGGCCCTCAACTACGGCCAGCAGGCCTACGAGGGCCTCAAAGCCTTCCGCATGCCGGGCGACTCGGCCATCGCCATATTCCGCCCGGACCGCAACGCTGCTCGCATGCAGCACTCTGCCGAATTCGTTTCGATCCCCCCCGTCCCGACTGACCTCTTCCTTGACGCCGTCAAGGCAGCCGTGGCTCTTAACGCGGAGTTCGTCCCGCCCCACGAGACCGGCGCCGCCATGTACGTGCGCCCGCAAATTTACGGCTCTTCCGCCCAGCTCGGACTGAACCCGCCCGAGGAGTACACCTTCTGCGTCTTCGTCCTGCCCACGGGCGTCTACCACGGCACCCACCCCGTCAAGGCGCTGATCCTGGACGACTTTGACCGGGCCGCGCCCAACGGGACGGGCAGTGCCAAGGTCGGCGGCAACTATGCGCCCGTGCTGAGGTGGAGCGAGAAGGCGAGGAACGAGGGGTACGGCATCACGCTGCATCTGGACAGCAAGCGCCACGAGGAGGTGGACGAGTTCAGTACGAGCGGCTTCATCGGCGCGCTGGTGGAGGGGGAGGCCGTCACGCTGGTCGTGCCGGATAGCAAGGCTGTCATTGACAGCGTGACGAGCGACAGCGTGCAGCAGATTGCGAGGAGCTTTGGGTGGAAGGTTGAGAGGCGATCGGTAGGTCGTCTCCCTGCCGGGCCAGGGTGGCAATGGGTCGGGCCCATCACATCTCGGTTTACAAATTGTTAATCCCTAAACAGATCAAGTACTCCGAACTCCCCAACTTCCAGGAAGTCATGGCTGCGGGTACTGCTGCCTCACTCGTCCCGATCCGGTCCATCACCCGGCGTGCCAATTCCGAGCTGCCGCAGCACCCTCGCGTCTCGTCCAAGGATGGCGAAGAGACTGTCACCTACGTTTCCGAGGGCAACGACGAGCCCGGTCAGCTCTGCGTTAAGCTACTCTCGCAACTAAAGGGCATCCAGCTCGGCGAGCTGAAGGATGAGTTCGGCTGGCGCTTCGAGGTGACCGAGGAGGATGCCAAGCGTGTTGTTGACCGGGCCGAAGTCAATAACGGTAACGGGCAAACGGTGGATCAGCTGGACTAAAGAAGCTGGTGAGCAAGCCCAGATCTGGGAACGCTGAGGGCGTCCAAACCGTCAGTATTGTCCTATGTTGCGCGCATTATGCTTTGTATGCCTGCATGGATCTGAAACTGTGGACTGCAGTGGAGGTAGGGAGTGGGCGCTGCTGAGTGTTTGTAGCATTGAACGCTGGAGTGTACCAACAAAAGGCGGTAGACGAAAAGTCGATCATAACATTCCCTTGTCTATGTTCAACAAACTGCTAGCCTGTTCTACAAACTCCTCGCATGTTCAGCTATGTCAGTCGTTTGTGGGACCGACATGTGCACCATATGGCGTCTAAGTTCTGAGCGATCTCCAGAGTTGGTTGTGGTTTATGCCTCAGTCCCAGTCAGGGACGGTCGGTGTCCGCTACTTGCTACGACCTGACTGAGGCTATATATGAAATAACCCTAAATAGAATTGCTACTAGTAGAATGTCTAGGCAGGTCTAATTCCGCGTTGAGCTTCTTTCAACCATTGAACAGCGGGAGTCGAGATCAACAAGGTAACGAGGATTTTCGTTCTCACCACAAATTAACTGACTGTTCTAATTTATCAACTTCTCTGATTATAAGCCAAGCAGTCGCTTAGGGCGCGTAGTACTCCATATTAGTACCTTACTAGCATGTTTCTGTAACTGGGCTACACAACTTAGTCATAGCAAATGCCGGGGCTGCAGCTAGGATTTATCTACATCAGTTAACTTATGTGGTTATCCAGAATTTACACAAATGGCAGGTTACCATGGCAGCCCAAAGTCAGCAGCCTCACGATTAGCACCCAAACTGCTCTGACCGACAGTCTCTTATGCCGACGTGGACGCTGGATACATCGCGTTTTTAGAAGAGTTCCGCCACCCCAATCAAGCCTCGAAGCAGATAGCCAGGTGTGACCCAATCCCCCTTTCAGCAACTGAGCATTACGCCTATTTGGCTGGCACAGGATGATGTTGACAAAGAATCTGGCAATGGGCCATTCGAAGCAGATCCTGGGTTCGCATCTCCTTGGCAGAAGCAGGATACAATAGCAGAACACTTGTTAATATTTTAGCTTCGAGGAGCAAGACCCGTTCACAACGGGTGAAGGGAACAAACACAGTCAGGCCAGCTCAAACATGACGAAAGGGTTCAATACCTGTAGGTACTGTGAAAAGACAGCCAATAAAGCATGACTGGACTTTGGGTCCCTGCTCATCACGGACATAAATGGAAGGAGGCGGTGCCGAGACCGGGACTGTAGTCCTGGGCAGTGAGTAGCTCGCAGGGAAGGAGCAAAACAGTCTCGATTGAATTACCACGACCCGTTCTGTAGCAGTGCTTTGAAACCACTTGTGCATCACGCACCCACAAGGTTACAACCCCAAGTTGTGTTTCCGGCCCGTCAAACCTGCAGATTTGTCGATTTGATCAATCATTGATTCCGCACCCATCCATACCCCATCCCGTTCGACGCCCGCACACCAGGCAGGGTAGACAGAAGCCTTGGACGCAGGAGACGAAGATAGAGACATGGGAAATCGATTTCAAGACCCATCTTCTTCAGAATATTCGACACCGTCTGTTTCGGCCTCAGATGGCGACCCAGCACCAGAATCAGCGCCCCGTCCCAACATCGCCCAGAGGTTTGCCCGTCACGCCTCAGACTGGCTGAGAAAAATGGCCATCACCGGCGCGATGCGGAATACCACCGCCGACACATCTTGTGAAGCGTACCGATCTTATCTGTCAGAGCACCCAACGGGCGATCATACGACTTCAACGGTCGAAGAGAGATTCCGGTCAAGCTCGACACCCCTAGTGCCGCCGGCCAGGAGGGCCATATCTGAAGGGCGTACTCGGATTTCAAACAGCTTGGCGGTTTCTCCTCACGGTCATGCCTACCGCGACATGGACTATTCCCAGGATGAGTGTGAGGTTAGGGAACGAGGAAGAGCCTACCCCGAGTACACTGAACCCGATGCCAGCGCCTCTGAGGCTCATGAACCCTATCGTCAGCAAAGCTTGTACCAGTTCGACTTAGCCCGTTCCTCGTCTCCCAGCGACAATCAATACTTCACACCCATGAAGCAATATGACCCGTTTGACAGATCTTCGCCAAATCGCGGCAACTGGCTGCTTCAGCGACCATGCAGACACGATGGTGAGTTACCGTTCGTCATGGAGACATCCTTCAATAAGAGCCAAGATGCAGGAACCAGAGCCACACACCTGAGCGTCCAGAACCCTGGATCGTTCAACGAGAGGGAACACGGCTCTGGCGCCAGCACCCCGAGCTCTCTGAGGCGTGCAACCCAAGATACCTCGACGATGCGGGCCCCATATTTCCAGAAGCAAAGAGCGGTGCCTGATCCAAGCGAGTCCCAAAGTCTCCCTTGTTTTCCACGAGCAGCAGGCACTGGGAGCAGGTCTGCCTCCTTATCCGACCCTTTTGTTGCCTTTGGATTGGGCGACCGCCCACATCATCCACCTCAACAGTATCATGAACATCCAATGTCGAGGTATCTTTCCCATGGCGCCAACCACTCGACCGCTCTTGACCCAGCCTCCCATGGCCCAGAGATCATTTCCTCGGGAGTCAGCACTCCTTCAAGGTTTTGTGGCCAGCTAACTCCTCATGAAGCGCACAACTCTCCCGAGATTGAGACCGAGTATGCTTATGGCCAGTCAGTTATCAGCGGGCCAGTGACTCAGACGATGACCCCTACTACCTCTCCGTATGGACAACGGATGGGACAGACGAGCATGCGGGAGAGTGTCGGCAAGTCCAATAACACCAATCGCCTCCCGTACGCTGAGAACAACGGGGCGTGGTGGCGCGACCCCATGTTCTCCTCAGGCTTGGGAATACCGGTCACCCGTTCTTCCCGGCCCGAAACGCCTTTTGATACCAGACCGCGAGACTCCTCGATTCTTAGTCCTTTAGAACACGGACATCCGGTGACTTCGCGGCATCCCAAGCGACCTACCGCATGGCTCTCAGAACCACACATGGACAGACCAGAGAGTGACAGTCCTGGTTTTGGCTTGGATTCAAGTTCTGACTCCGACTCAGATTTCGAGGACATGATGGATATCGACCACGTCAGTCGGACTTCCCGTCGTCCATCTGACAACGGACGGCCGGACTTGACGATCCCCTCGGAGCTGAACGAGGAACAAGATCGGGTTGTCTGCGCTATTTCAGAGAGCCGTTCATCCGATATGATTGGCGTGGCAGCCATCAACATTACGCTTGGACAAGTCGACCTCGTCAAAGTTGTCAACGACGACAGATACCGGCGGCTCACTGAAACCGTGTGGCGGATGCCAATCCAGCCACAGACCTTTCTCTTGTTGAAAAAGGTCGTCAATCAACCAACCAAGTCAGCCCTGGCCGTGGGCTTGGAACAGAATTTTCCAAACGCTGAGATAGTGCCGCTGGACAGAGAGCATTGGAACGAGTCTGAAGGCTGGAGAATGGTCGACCGCTTTGCATGGAGGCAAGACATCAAGGTCATCCGGGAGAACCTGGAGCACAATTTCTACGTTTCCTGTGCTTTCTCAGCGGTACGTTACCATGTCCACCGAGTCCGATGGCATCAACACTGCACCATGAGTCTAACAATCTGTCCAGCTGATGGCCTATATTGAAGAGGAGACGGAAGTGATCTTCCGAGAGAACTCACTTCGTATCAAATATAAGCAGGCCGCCGATACCATGGGACTTGACCGCTCCACCATCACTTCCTTGGAGCTGTTTCAGAACATCCGCAACACCAAAGGCACATCGTCGACACTTTTCGGTTTGCTGAACAACACTCTTACTCCTCAGGGACGTCGCATGATCCGCTCAGCACTTCTACAGCCGAGCACGAACAGCCAGGAGATCACGGCGCGGCACGAAGCCGTTGAGGAATTCTCAAGCAACGAGGACCTATTCACCGAGGTTCGCGCGAACCTCAAGCAGCTACTTCATATCGACGTTGAGCGGTCTATCCCATGGGTAAGCGCAAACAACTGCAGGTTCTGTCCAGTTTGCTTCGCTAACTCTTGGAACACAGGTCTCCCTGAACACCGAAGAATACCGGCTTCCCCTGCACGACGGAGTCGCCCTGATCCAAGGACGCCACCAGCTCGCTATGCCCAGCCACGGGGAGCTCCAGGGAGCTGAGAAGGACTTGAGTCATATTTTGATGCTCAAAGCGTACCTCAGAGGTGTCCAGGCAATTCAAGAGACTCTTGAAGCAGGCAGTTGCACAAGCGAGTTGTGCAAATGGGTCCTGGAGAAGTGCGGACGGGAGAACACAGCTCCTATGGTTGGTGTCATCGACGAGGGCATTGAGTCGGACGCCATCTACAGCAAGGCCCCGATTGATATCCGGAACAACCGGCTGTGGGCGATCAAGGTCAGTTTGCACCGTGTCAAAGCCAGGTGACCTTGCCACTTTACTCACGGCATCCATTCGCAGGCCGAGCCGAACGGGGTTTTGGAAGGAGCTCGCCAGCTGTACCGGAATCGTACAAACGAACTGCACCAGTACGTACAAGAGCTCACCAAAGCATTCCAGGGTTGGTAGACTTTCGGCGCGACCGATCCTCGCTTCTGCTGACAATGGGCAGAGCATTTGGGTACCGTACCCGAGCTTCGGCTGGCAAACGATAACCATTACTGGCTGCGGTTTCAATGGTCCGACGTCGAACGAGAATTGGCAAAGGACCAGGTACCTACGGAGGACGGGAGAAGCGGGGGCGCTCGAACTTTGAGGCCACAACTCCTCGGCGGTGTTCAAATTGTCAATGGCATCCGCCGGAAACATCATTACGACTGCCAGACTTTGGAACTCATTCAAAGGAGCAGCCAGATCCAGCGCCATGCCGACATTGTCACGGCTCAGAGTGACACCTTCGTTGCCGACCTGAAAAAGTCCCTGCTGGAGCATGCGGAGCCCCTCCTCGCGGTCAACGAAGCCATCGCCGTGCTTGACATGGTGTGCTCCTTTGCACATCTGGCCACCACCCAGAACTATGTCCGACCCATCATCTCGGACAATTTGGTCTTCAAAGGCGCCAGACACCCAATCGTGGAAGCCAGAAAGCCGAACTTCGTTCCAAATGACGTCTACTCGGGAGATAATGGTGGCCGCTTCCAAGTCGTCACCGGTGGAAACATGAGCGGCAAGAGCACATTCATCAGAACCATTGCCTTGATTCAGATCATGGCACAGGTGGGCAGCTTCGTCCCCGCATCTTATGCAGCAATCCCCATCTGCGATCGTCTGTTTACTCGACTATCGACCGAAGACAAGCCGGAGAGCAATCTGGGGACATTCGCCGTCGAGATGTCAGAGATGAACATGATCCTAAGGTAACTACCTGATTCGGATAAAAAGGTTCCATCTCCCATCGCCATTACCGTGCTGACCCCAAACAGGCAGGTTACCAAAGACAGCATGGTCATCGTCGACGAACTCGGCCGGGGAACTTCGCCAAAGGAAGGCCTTGCCATTGCTCTCTCCATGACCGACGAGCTGATCAAAACTGGATGCCGCGTATTCTTCGCGACACACTTTACTGAGCTTGGTAACATGGACCCTTACCTGGTTTCGAGGTCTCCTGGCAATTTGCTAACTAGTTCGCTGCTTAGCACGCGTCTTGAATTTTACTAAACGAGACAGTGTCCTGAACATTCATTTGTCCAGCGACAGCACCAAGGACGGCGATGTTGCGCAAATCTCTTTACCACACACCATTGCCCCTGGACCGGTTAAGAACGAAGACTACGGCCTGGATCTCTCCCGCCGCTTCCTCCCAGAACGGGTTGTCAACAACGCCGAGCGAGTCTGTAAGTTTTTTCGCGATGGAAATTCGACCAAAGCACCCGGTCCAGCCACTCGAGCCATAAAACAGAGTAAACTAATACTTGCCCTGCCGGATCTTCTGAAACAAGCCGTCAGCTCGACCATGGACGATTCGGCGCTTGGCTCATACGTGAAGAAACTGCAGACGGAGTTCACCATCAGAATGAACATCGCTGCCGATGATGATACCCAGCTTGTGGAGGACCAAACCGACAACAATGCTAAACGTCCAGCCAACCTCCCACTGCTTGAGAAGCCAAGCGAAGAAGAGCTCAAAGAGTGGAAGAAGAAGTGCGACGAAGGAGAGAGGAGGGTCATGCATGTCAACATGGCCTACACTCAGGACAAGAAACACTCCGTCGTCGACGAGGAAGACCGCACATATCCTTACAAAAAGAGCAAAGCTGGGGATGATACAGCAAGCCTCGCGTCTCAGCCCACCCCCATCAACCGCGGATTCCTGATTGAGGAGCTCCGGAGGGACGCATGCACACCGATCGCCAGAGCTAATCCAGCAATCTCCGGCACTGACACAGATTCAATCATGGAGGACGCCCCTCGGCCCGCACGCATGAGCTTACCCCCAAGACCCGTCCCCTCTAAACGCTCACTTCACCGGGCCATCTCCATTACGTCGAGCAGCTCGGTCTACGATGAGGACATGGCGGACATTGACGAAGCCGACGACGCACTGACCGCAACCTCTGAGCGACCTGGCCCAGAGGCGTACTCGGAGCTTGTCCAGCCTCTTGAGCAATTCCAGCCTCTTGAGAAATTCCAGCCTCTGAAAGAGTGGTATGCCCGTCAGGGCCAGACGGAGGGCTCAGAACCCCGCGAGGCACCGACGCCCAGCAGCCTGACTGGGAGCCGGTTTGACACCCAGGACAGCTTGCAATCTGTTGAAGAGGACGAAGAGGTGTATGATGATTGATGATTGAGTTGAAGATGGACATTTGTGTTTACTTGTTTGTGGTTTTGCTTTGCTTAAGACGGAGGTTGTTCGGAGTTGCATTTCACTGATGATCTGGCTGCGAGAGAAGGGCGGCAATTTGCATCTGATTTGCTCAGGGATATTCTATTAGGACGAGACGGAGAGGACTTCTCAGGGTTGAAATGGTTGTGTGGTAGAACGGAGACGGAAGTGGACTACATCTGCTCAAGAGGACGTTCAATGGTTGCTCGATTAAGTAAATTTGTCATTTCCGTCGTACTAAGCCAGATTTCAATTGTTTAGGTGGTGCAGTAGCGACATGTGACTAACAGACATGGTTAATGTAATGGTTTTGGCAGCCGAGGTGAACTTTCATACACCATATATGGATGCGGGTAGATAGCAAGTGGCTGGGACTTGGCACGAATCTTCGAATATGCCCTACTTGTCATGACTTGGCGTCCCATAACATTTGAATGGTGTTCCAGGTTGTTCCTCAGTCAACTTCAGTATTTACTGGCGAGCGTGCACCCTGGTATAACCCCAACTCCGTTGGAACAAACGCAAACACTCTACCTGCAACAAGGCTGCAGAGATCCATCCATAAAAAGCACTCCGTCACAGTCCATCTCGCCCTACGCCTATGTGATGAATGGACCGAAGTAACCAGCAGTGACATGAAAGCCAGATTATTCCCTCCAGATGTGGGTATCTCCAAGACTTACGGAGCTGGACGAGTTCGTACTACTGCCAGGCCCGCGGGCCGGCGTCTCATAGCCGGGCTCGCTATTCTGTCTGTCGACCCATGGCGGAGAGACACCATCGTCGTCACGGTCGACTAGCGGTGGCGGTGGGTCCCGGTATATCCAAGGCTGTTCGAGTCTAACCCAAGTCAGCATGTTGCACGGCACTTTTCCCGGGGAAACATCAAGAAGTAGGGAATACTCACGGACAAACCAAGCTCGGATTCACAAATCGTAACCCCTTCTCCCGGTCCTCGTCCACTGTACTCCCCCTCCTGAGTGTCTCCCTCTGCTCGGCCCCATGCCCATCAAAATCCTCGTCCAAAATCGCGATATCACCCCCTTGGCTGGGCCGCTTTATACTCCGCAGCGAGATGAAGCGCGTCAGCGGCTCGACGCGCTTCCTAAAGTCCCAGCCGTACCACAGCGTGGCCACAAGCAGGGGTACAACCAGCAGGGCCACGGTGAAGGCCTTGCGCAGGGCCAGATAGCCCGACATGGTCAACTGGAAGACAACCAGGCCGAGCATGATGCGGTAGCATATCATTCGCCAGGCGCCGCCGGTGGCGTGCTGCGGCTGGTCCATAGCGTACAGCAGCTGGTACTTGTAGGTGAAGTAGCCGAGCGAGAAGTAGGCGAGGCCGAGACCGAGGACCAGAAAGCCGCCGCGCAGGGCGCTGTAGACGAGACAGAGGATAAAGACTAGGAGGGCCGTGGGCAGGTAGAAGCCGTAATAGAACATGGGCGGCTGGACCAGCTGGGAAAAGTCGCGCGGCGTCTTGGCGCCCATGCGGTAGATGGGGTACTGCGCGACGCTGCCGAACTCGAGCAGGCGGAAGGGAAACAGTCCCAGGCCTTGCAGCATGATGAAGTTTGTGTAGAAAACGGACAGTTCCTCGATCTTGCGGGCGAGTGTGTAGGCGACGTAGGTGGTGTCCTTGAGGGATTCACGGAGAGCGTCAAAGATGGAGGTGGCGGCGCCGAAGACGGTGAAGATGAGGAAGATGTTGAAGAAGGTGAAGAAGAAGTTTTTGCTGATGACCGAGAGAGCAATGTCGCCTTGCGAGAGCATGCCCTGATGGTACGAGAGGTAGTCGTAGAGATAGGGAACTGCAATGTTAAGAAGGGAGACGACCGAGGTGGGGAGGCCGGTCTGGACGAGCGCTCTGGCAATCTCGTGTTCTCCAAGCCACGCGCCGAAGTGTGGGAAGAACTTGTTAATGGTGCAGATGCTCAGGACGGAGGCCAGGAAGGCGACTGGGACCAACCAAACCACCGAGAGGATGGTAACAAAAACCGTGACGGCCCAAGATCGTATGCGACGGTTGAGGCGCGGAGCGTATGTGTTCTTCCAAACGATATCGGATGGCGCAGGCGCGGGCTTTGTCAGTAAGCCGCCCGGGTGGGGATCGATAAGGGCTTGGATCGCCATCTGACAGGCGGCAATCGAGTCCATGGTCACGAAAGCGAGATCGGCGGGCTCGTACGTCTCCTTGCGGGCGGCGAAGATTTTGTCATCGAGCTGGCGGAGCTTCTCGGTGAAGTAGTCGATGGCGTCGGCCTTGCGGCTCTGGAGACGGAGGAAGCCGTACCAGAACCGGGTCTGCGGACGCTCCCTGTCCATGAGACGGGCTTGGGGGCCCCTAAGAAGGCGATCGCTTTCTCCGGCTTCCTCAACCACGCCATCTAGGACCTCGCTCGAGTCTGTCCCGAGCCCACTTTCGTTGCCGCCGCTTGTCCGGTTCCCGGTTGCCTCAAGCGGCTTGTGAGAAAGGTAAACACTCCAAGCCTCCTCGAGCTTGGCTAACACTGTCTGTCTCTCTTCCATCAAGCGGTCGAGTTTCGCCCAGTTCCGGCACAGGGTGACGCTTTCGACCTTGCCGATTTCGAGCTTCTGCACCAAGTCCTTGATCGCCTCCTCTGTTCGAAGTTCTCCCGGGATACCGGACAGTCGGAAAGTGCGGTCGGTAATGGTAGACTGGGTGCCTAGGTAGTCCTGGCGCACGCGGATCACCTTGGACGTCTCCTTCTCCATAAAGTACAGCGTCAGACCTGTGAAGAAATAGGTGAAGATGAGGTACGACCAGAGATAGCCCATGTTGCGGTTGAAGCTGTTATCGTCATCGTGGTCCGGGGCGTCCGAATCGCCAAGCATGCCCGGCATCCCATCTCGGTACGTTGCATACTGGTGAAAAAGAAACGAGCCGGGTTTGCCGGTATCAGGCGATCGGCCAAAGTGACGGTTGATGGGCTCGAGGACCACAGCGGCGAAGAAGAACATGACACCAAACAGGCGCATCGACATCTTGAAAAACGCCAGGAAGACGTAAGCGTCGAGCCCGGCCGAGGCAAGGACCTGTTGTTCGGTAATCTTGTAGAGGACAGGTATCCATCCGAAGAAGGTGTCGGGTAGTAAAGGCAGGCCGACGAGCGGATCGGAGTGTCGCTTTCGCGCAAGGTAGAGGAACTTCCATCGCGGTCGTAGAGTCTAGGGCGAGCGTTGTCAGCGACTGCAAAGAAAGAAAGAACCTCGAGAATATCCTACACAGAAAGCTAAAAATGCAGACAGGCCAAGCGTAACGGAGATGAGCAGCTGGACCTGAGTGTCGGTCGCGGACTTGCCGCCGATGTAGTCATCTGCGGTGCAGTTTTTGTTGGAGTGGTCGGAGTTGTCGAATATGTTCATGGCGGCCACTTGCGACGCACTTCACCTGGAAGCGCGGGATGCCTTGGAGTGGACAGTGGGTGTTGCTGTTAACATTGAGAAGCTCAATGTGAGCTCGATCTCAAGCTCAGCAAGGTCATGCACCTCGACTGAACCTTCGTGTGTCCAACCGTTTACGACACTGCGGAGCACACTGCGTGCAGAGTGACGTATGACCCGGCACCGGCAGGCAACTCTTGGCATGAAATTTGAGTGCACTGCCACTATCAATTGAGGGGAACTGCCACATATGGCGTGGCACACCCCTGGCTTCTGAAGCCAAGACCGATATCTTCAGTCGGGTCTTCACTTCCTCTGCTTCTCAGCAGCTGAAACTTGAATGACAGGGTCAGCATCCAGCAAACTTAGTGTTAACCCGGCAGTCGGCTGAGCGATGCAGAGACATTGGACACCAGTTGCATGTGATTTCATCAAGACCGACGATTGCCACAACCCATCCACTACAGGTATCTTCACGCAGGCAGACACAGTACACAGATATCGGAACAAGCAAGGCTGTTGCTTCATTTTTTCCGCCCAGTTTTATCTGCCGTTGTACAATGGCAAAAATGTACCCATTGCTTCGGGCATGCGGCAACCCACTTCGGTTCAACATGAACTGTTTCCTCGATAAGGCCAGCCGCCCCTGAAGCCTTGCACTTCGAGGCACCTCTCATTACATACCTCTTGTTCTCGTCAAGGCCAGTGGCATTGCCTCATAGTTCTTGCACGGTATCATCTATTCACCAATGCCTCTCAGCATGGTCACCCGCCTTGAGCTCGCCCTGGATGCCCCCGAGCTTGCCGGTGTCAGCGAGCCCTCCTCGACCTGATTGACAAGCTCCAGTTTGCCCAGCTCCACAATGTCAAGCTGCCGCAAATCGTCGTGCTTAGCGACTAGAGTGCCGGAAAGAGCTCCGTCCCCGAGGCCATCTCCGGCACCCCCTTTCCACGAGATGCTCGCGCCTGTACGAGGTTCGCAGTTGAGATCCGCCTGCGGAGGGCACCTCACTCGACCATACCGTCTCCGTGATTCCGGATAAGAACAGGGGCTTTGCCGACCAGGAGAGGTTGAGGCAGTTCGGTGGCACCGTTAGCTCCGGCGTCCCATTCGAGCAGCTGATGCGAAGCGCCGTCGATCTCATCGGTCCCAAGAACTATTCCGGTCAGTTCGCTCCTCGCGACATTCCCGTGGTCGAGAAACGAGGCCTGATATGCCGCTCCTAACACTAGTTGACCTGCCGGGCTTGGTCTGGAACGCAAACCATGACCAGTCCCTCGAGGACATTAAGACAATCGAGTACCCCTCAGACCGCTACATGAAGAGACCTCGGACCATTATCCTCGCCGTGGTCGGTGGCAACTCTAACTCTGTACAAGCCCACATCCTCGCCAAGGCTCGTCACTTCGATCCAGACGGAACCAGGACCATTGGCGTCTTGACAAAGCCAGACCTCACCGAGTCCATTGGCCTTGAAGATATGTTCTTTAACCTAGTCAAGGAAAAGGACAAACCGAACGACTTCAAGCTCGGCTGGTACGTCTTGTTGAACCCGGTCCGCGGGAGCCCGGTCAGCCTTGGCGCAGCGCCGAAGAAAGACTGCAGGCCGAGACCACTTTCTTCAGCCAGGAGAAATGGAACTTGCTCCCACCCTCCATCTGCGGTGCGAGCGCCCTGATGCAGAAGCTCAGCGTGCCGTTGCAGCAGCACATCGGAAAGCACGTTTACGTACTTCGCAAACAGGTCCTAAAGGCCCTCGACGACTGCGAAACCGAGCTCAAGTCTCTCGGTGACGCCAAGGACTCCCGGAGGAGTGCGCATCGAGCTTGTCGAACTCTTGTTGGCCTCCAAGGAATTGGTGATACCTTCTGTCTACAGTTTCTACAAGGATCCACCCGGGAAGAACTTCTTCCGTGTGGCCGCCGACCCGAGAGGAACTCCGGCCCAGAACTTGCGCGCCCGGGCCACCGAGGAGAATGGCCGCTCCGCCATGAGAATACGCGCTCATGGGCGCAAGTTCAACTTCTCCGCATCCAACCAGCACGCTCCCGGAGAAGCTCCCGGCGACAGCGTCAAGCGAGATTTCGTCAGGCAGGAGCTCGAGATGCTGCTGCGCCAGATGCGTGGTTCCGAGTTTCTCATGAATTCGAAGCCAAGGGCCGTCTACATGCTCTTCCAGATCTACTCCGAGTACTGGCCCATGCTAGCCCAGGAGCACAGGAACAACCTCGGTGCGTGCAACGAGTTCCTGAGCGGGTTAATCAACTATGCCTAGCCGAAACGGATGCGCGAGCTCCTCCGCCGTCGAGTTTAGGACCGCACAGGACCGCACATAAGGGCGATTACGACAGAGGCGCAAAGTGAGCTGGATCGTCTGTCGCAGGATATGAGTCTCGGAGTTCAGCCCTACGATCCCGAGATGAGGAGCATCTGCGGGGCTGGCACGTCAAGGTCTCCCAGAACGGTGCGCCTTCTCCAAAGCGGAGGAGGTGCTCGAGAAGATGATTATTTACTATGACCTGGCGGCCAAGACGTTCTTCAGGAACGTCATCACTCACGTAATCAAGGGTTACCTCCTCCAAGGCATGTACAGCATCTTCTACTCGGCCAAGGTGCTCGGTCTGAGCACAGAGACCATCGAGGGCATTGCAGCCGAGGACAGGGAGACAAGGGACAGGAGGCAGACATTCAGAGTCCAAAGGAAAGCCATCGAGGAGGCCGAGGAGATTTGCGCGAGTCTTGCCTTCCGTTTCTCTGACACTCGGCTCACTCCTCCAGTGTACGCTGAAGACGGCGAGGATGCGGCAGAGGACAACTCCGACGACGAATTCCACCCCAACGAAAAGTCCCATGGTCCGAGATGTCGCCCAAACTCAATAACCAGTCGACCTTCCCGGCGAACAAGGCGACCCTCCACCGGAGATGTCCAGGCAGCTCAGCATGCCGCTCGAGCCTCCGAAGCAGCCCCTCACCAGAGATATACCCACCAGCCAACCCACGTCCCCAGCTCAACAGCCTACACTCCGTCAAGGACAGACAACAGCCTGAACCCACCCAGCCCAGACCACCCGCTCGAGGACTTTTACACGACGTCGTCACGACCCCAACAGCAAGCGGCCCATCCTCCACCTCCGCTCCTACGACCTGGCAAGGTGCGAGCCGACGACGGCAGCAGCCACCCGTCAGGACAGGGACAAGCGTACTCACCGGCGCCGCCCCGCTCTTTGTCGACGAGAACCGCGCAGGCGTCGGCCGCCGCGCCGCCAGAGCAGTACTATGCCAATGCCTATGCCAGCAACAACCCTTATGCGCCGCCCGCCGAGGCGGCCGAGTTTGAGGCTATGAGAAGGCAGGCGCGGAAGATCGCTGGGAGGCTAGAGGTTGGGGATGGGGTTTCTCTTGTTCGACGGGGAGGGGTGTCTGGTTCGGACGAGGTAATTGCCAGATCCCTTTATCACCTTATGATGTAAGGGTGTAGGTGCTGAGGAATATGCCCTTGTTCATGGCTACCGTATGGGGTGTGCATTGTTGGTTAGTTTGAGTCAGGATGGTTGTTGTTTATCGTCAATTGCCTTATCTACAACGTTGAGACTTCCAGGTTGGCTTTCCCACTAAACCCTCCATCAGGGACGTTGGCACTTCTTTTGTCCTGTTCTTTTGCCCTGTAGGTGCTTCATCTCATAGAATGTCTTTACATAGCTGACCAATTTATCAGGGCGGAGAGGGACTGAAACTAGACGCCGTCAGGATTAAGTGGAGAGTGATTCCGTGACATCATCAAGAAGGACCGAGCCCGGTTGCAGGATACATATGCCCGGGAATATGAGAGCCAAACCACATCGCCAACAAGCATATATGAGTTCCGACAACCTACCAGAATGTCCGCCTAGCTGTTTCAGCAATCAAGCGCATCAAATCCGAACGGGTAGAGATTCCCGCCTGGCTAAGACATGCCCCTGTTTCACCAGCGAGTTCTTGCATGGGACTCGGTTGGCAAAGTCTTCCAGGTTCCGCATCGTACACTCGGCGATCTCTGTGACGGCCTCCTCAGTAAAGAAGGCTTGATGCCCGCACACCAACACATTGGGAAACGTCATCAGCCGCATGAAGTCGTCGTCCTGGATGATCTCGGCGCTATGGTCTTGGTAGAAGAGCGAGCCCTCTTTCTCGTAGACGTCCAGCGCCAGCCCGCCAAGATGCTGGCTCTTGAGCGCATCGATCACACTCTTCGTATCAACCAGCGCACCGCGCGACGTGTTGATCAGCATCGCGCCCTTCTTCATCATGCCGAGCGTCTTGCCATTGATGATGTGCTTGGTCGACGCGGTCAGGGGACAGTGCAGGCTGACAAAGTCGCTCTCGGCCAGCAACCGGTCCAGCTCGACGTACTCGCCCAGGTCGCGGAACGCGTCGGTGGGGAAGGGGTCAAACGCCAGCAAGCGACAGCCAAACCCGCGGAGGATCCTCGCCAGCGCGACGCCAATCTTGCCCGTGCCGACGACGCCGACCGTCTTGCCGCACAGCGTTCGGCCCATCAGGCCATTGAGGCTGAAGTTTCCTTCGCGCACGCGGTTGTAGGCGCGGTGCGTCTTGCGGTTGAGCGTCTGGATCAGCGCGACGGCGAACTCGGCGACGGCCTCGGGCGAGTACGACGGCACGTTGGCGACGAACAGTCCTAGCTTCTCGGCCGCGTCCAGGTCCACGTTGTTGTACCCCGCGCAGCGGAGGAGCACGGCGCGGACGCCCACGTCGTGCAGGGCGTGCAGGACGGCGGAGGGGAGAATGTCGTTGACGAAGACGCAGACAGCATCGGCACCACGGGCGAGCTGGACGGTCTCGGCGGAGAGTGAGAATTCGTGGAAGGTGAGCTTGTGGGGTTGTGAAGAGGACGAGGAGAAGGAGAGGGCGGCGTTGGCGCGGGAGAGGTATTCCTGGTCGTAGGGCTTGGCGGAGAAGACGGCGATGTTCATTGTGGCCGCGAATTTAAGATGGTATTTCCAGAGATATGTGTGAGGAACTTGTCGACCGTTGTTGGAACTTCCTGTACGAGTAGTATGCACCTAACGAGAACAAGGAAGGAAAGCTCAGAAGAAGAGCTGGAAGTGCCCCCGCAGCACCAGGTCACCTCGGCGGTCGGGTCTCATCGGCCTCCGCAGCCATTCACCAGGCTCTACTGTGGTAACGTTAGCGCCCGGCTTGGCATCCGTCAGCTCTTGTTCCATTGTGGTGTGTGATGTGCCCGCAGCAGCTCCACATTTTTGGCACCGGTTCAGCCCCATATTGCTGGTGATGATGTTCCCTGCTCGAACCAGCGTCAGTCCACACTCTGTTTGCACTACACGTGTAGAGACACCCATCTTTGGTAATCCACATTATAGGTCTCTGATTCAACGGTTGAGTGGTCCAACAAAGTGCTTGGGGGCAACAAGGCGAATTACGATCTATCGACAAGGCGATCTCGGCTTCCTATTATAAACGCACAGCGATCCTGGCGCAGACGGCGACAAAGCACAATCTCCAGATCAACATGTGTTGAGATCGTTTGTCCGTACCTCCGTACCTCGCATACAGCTGCCCTGGCTGTCTTGGCCTGACCAGTCATGTAACTCGTTACCCCTGTTCCCAGCGTATCGCTGGCCGTCGTGGGCGCCGCAACTGTTGATGGACAGTACTGGACACCTCCACTGTTTTGCTATCGTGCAGGTCAACGTCCAAAATCAGCCTGGCCAGACTGCGTTGCAGCTTTACCGCTTGATCATGCAGATAACTCAAAGCAAGCAAGGCTCGCCGTTTCTCCCTCGTCGGCAACGCTCGTGGACGTCGGATTTACATGTGTTCCAAGCCAGAAAGACGATTGTCATCATGGCGAGCCACTGATGCTTATAATCTCCGAGTTCGCAGTAGTTATCACCGTCTGGACCTGCATGCTGGTCGTGCCGCTCTACTTCGTCGTGTCGGTGCAACGGGTCTCCCGGACATATGGCGCGACACGTCAATCGAGTTTCGGTGCATGGCATTGTTCATGAGCGTCTTCCTCGAGATGTACTTCGAGCACATGCACCAGGGTTCTTGGCAAGGCATCGGCTCCAGCGAGGAAGACGCCAGAGACCGGTCAACGCTGCTCATGCGGGGAACTGCGCTTTTCGGCTAGCTTATCGGCTACATTATTAAAGTACGGCGCCCACCCCTCTGCCCGCTCTGGCTTCTCCATGCCTTGCTCAGGCGCACCTACGAGCGCATCAACTTCTGGATCAACCCGCTTCTGAATCGTCCAGCCGACAGAGTGCCGCTGCTTCCAGCCTGCCCCAGTACACGTACCGGCCCCTGTCCAGCCCGCGATCCATACGGGTCGTCAGCCTGGAAATACCGGGCAGCGACTGCTTAAAGACACCAATCAGCTGCCGCATAGAGGAGATGGACCTCCATGCCGACCTCTCCTTCACAGCCCAATCCTACGCCTGGAACTCACCACGGAACGGAGCGGATTATTTGCGACGGCGCGACCATCACAGTGACCAAGAACTGTGTGGCCGCCCTGAGGAATGTGCGTGATGACCGCGCGTGCAGACACCAGCGGCTGTGGGTCGATGCCATCTGCATCAACCGAGGCGAGGACGAAGCCGTCACGGTGGAGAGAAGCCAACAGATTGGTATCATGGGGGAGATATATACCAAGGCGTCTCAAGTCCATGTATGGCTCGGTAAGCATGATCGGTCCAGTCAGGTTGTCTGCGAGTTTCTGGACAAGGTGTCGGGTGCGTATAAGCGCCGAGTCAGGAGGACGCCCGGGGATATGGAGCAAGTACTGCGAGTTGCAGAGAGCTTAGGGTTGGATATCGCCCGGCGCTGGCCGCAGCTGAGCCAAAGCATAGTTAATTCCTCTTACCGGTCGTGGTTCCACCGCGCCTGGTCGGTGCAGGAGGTCACGCTGCCGCTGCCGGGCGGGTAACGGTCGTCTGTGGCTCGACGAAGCTACCGTTTGAGTACCTCCGTTTTTGGTGGGGAATCTTGAGAAAGCTGAGGATAATTTATTATAGTACTTTTACATAACGTTATAGGTAAGATATAGGTAAGTATATGGTGGGAGCTAGGTAATACCTATTGACCTATATTGAACCTCCACACACGCAGGTGCCATGACATTCCTAGGACTTAACCGGCTAGCGGCCGCCCGACAGGCAAGCAGAAGGCGCCCGACATTACGACTTTCTTTACCTTAAGGTACACACCGTTATGCTCGATCCAACAAACCTGCCATGGTGCGAACTGGACGCAGACGTCACTGTGACACAGCGCAAAACGGGGCGCCCCCGAGAGCTCAGTACGACAACAAACCCAAACAGGACAGCAAGAGAGAGAAGACCGTAGGCTGCCCACAGCTGGCACCTCGTACAAAAACGCAGGACCCATCAATCTGCCGCATCGTTCTGCCCATCGCCTCATTGTATTGCCCGGCTGCTGCAGCATGTCACTGATGCACGGGATCACGATCCTGTCCCCAATCGTGCTACGGTATCACCCGTCAGACAAAGATGCCTCGTTGTGCCCGCTGCTGCGTTTCTGCCATACCATGTTCGAGATTATGCGAGACCCTTGAGGAAAGGAAACCCCGGCGCGTTACGCATATCCCAGCGTGACGTCAAGAGCGTGTGAATAACGATCACTTGGGCAAATCAGGCCCTGTCCAGGAAACCGACGGCCAGCATCCCCGAGACGGAAGTCGGGTAAGATGTGTCAGGCACTGGCAGGATGGCAAGAGCGGAGGCTCAAGCTGCCCGGACAGATTCGCTACTACCTGGTGTCATCATTTGACACAGCCGGCACTCAGAGGGACGCCCGAGTCAGCAGCGTCTTCCCGTGCCACGAGAGTATGGTTTACCCTGTAGGCTGTTGGATCTGACATCTGGGTAGGTTGGAGCTCTATAAAACACCCTGACTGTGGTGTTCACCCCAGTAACTGAGAAGCGAAGCTTCTGAACACGGTGTGTGTGTCACGCCAAGCCACAAGGGATTGCTGTGGCGACCAATCGCTCCCCGAGAAACTCGGGAGGATTGAACCAGTAAATGAAGCTCTCGCTCCTTCCTCACTGTTCCATGCGTAAACACGATGTCAATTTCGTCATTGAAGGTGCGCTTCAATTAGTGCTGAATTCTGCAACGGCTTAAATCATGAGGAAACGGGTCATGAGCAAGCGAGGGCAAATGTGGGCACTGGATCAATCGAAAGGCGACTGAAGCTGTGCTGCCACCAGTCCGAGCCAGAATGCCGTTGCCTGGGGCGCAGGCTATAAATCCGCAGCCCTTCAAACCGGTCTCCAACGGCCCGGTCTGCTGTGTACTCGGCCGAGCGAAACTCTGTCCCAAGCGCTGGCGAAAGAGCCCGCAAGATCTGAGACTCGGACTTGAGAGCGACGGGTTACCGCGTCGTCCAATCGGTTCGGTTCTAGACAAATAATGCGTACGCCCTTCAGGACTGTCCGACAACCGCGAAGGTCGTGATCCATTTTCCTGTATGAAACACGCATGGCTGGCGTGGCACATGACTTCTTGCAATTTGCACACATCTCAAACAATGTTGCCTTGGCTGTTGATATTCCGGGGCACCTAATGTTTTCCCAGTTCGTCGACATGTCAGAAGCTGCGGTACGGAACCAACTTCAACCAAGGTAAACGATCCGCTCCATCAGGAAGACGAAGGGAAACAGACAATGCAGGGAGAAAATAGTGGGAACGCCATGGAGCCAGCATTGTGACCGTATAGCATGGTAAGAGACTGAGATACTGTGTTACTGGAGTCAACCATTCCCCCTTTTCCTTACCAATTCGGGAGGATGAAAACAAGGAATAAGGTATGGGCGGAGCAATTTGTGGCAGCAGGGAATTCTTAGTTGCCTGAAAGAACAAAAGAGCTTTCCTCACATTGGAAAGGACTACTCACTGAAGTCACCACAGTTAGTTAATCCAGCATCTTTTTCAAAGTATACCGCGAGAAGAGCCTCTGTAAGGCTAGAGTCAATAGATACATGGACAGATGAAATACCTAGAGAATCCACTCAAAGACCTCTCTCGACAGATCTAACCATGCGAATTGCATATAGTGATGTTCCCCCGAATGACCATGCTCTCCCTGGCGCGGAAAACCTTCGCCCAAACCCAGCGCTTCAGTGGCAGGCAGGGGCACACACTCCCCCACGCTAACGAGAAACCCCAAACCATCCTCAAACCGTATACACAAAATCCGGCCTCTGATCCCCTAGCTTCTCAATCTCCTTCTCGGTCAGCCCTTGCACCCAGTAATCCCGCCCACCTCTCCTTCGCTTCGCATTCTCCCGCCTCAGCAACAGCGACATGACCACCGACCCTCCAAACAGGCACACAGCCAGGTAGCCTATCATGACGCTATGCCCCTGGGAAAAGCGCGGGCTATCAAAGTAGACGTTGCTGCTCACGATGCCGTTGAGGTTGCCCCAGCCGATGACAAAACCCAGCACGACGCCGCGCTTGTAGACGCCCTCGACGTTGTTGGCCACCCAGCTGATGGTATTGGAGATGCACGGGTAGATGCCGAGCGCAGCGAGGAAGGTGCCCGCGTACTGCACGGCCGAGTTGTCGGTACCGAGCAGCATGGCAAAGCCGGCAACGGCGAGCACCGAGACCAGGATGTTGCACAGGCCGCGCGCCCGCGTCCGGTCGGCGACCACGCCGATGACGACGGTCAGCAGGGCGGCCGCGGCGTAGGGCGGCACCGACATGAGCTGCGACCGCACGACGCTCGTGTTCCAGCCCAGGTTGGAGATGATGGTGGGCAAAAAGAGGGAGAAGGCGTACAGCGGCATGTCGCAGCCCATGTAGATGACCATGCCCAGCCACATCTTCCAGTCGCGCATAGCCTGCCAAAAGTAGCTCATCTGGAACGACTCGTGTTCGGCCGACGACTGCTGGTCGAGCTTGAGCCGGCGGATCACGCGGGCGCGGTCGTCGTCAGACAGGAACTTGGCCTCGTCAGGGAAGTCGTGTACCATCCAGAAGGACGCGACACCGACGACCATGGTCAGCAGGCCCTCGAGGATGAAGATCCACGACCAGCCGGGGAGGTTGCCGACGCCGTCCATGTTCTCGATGGCGGCGGCGAGCAGGCCGCCAAAGGAGCCCGAGATGGCGGCGGCCGAGAAGAAAATGGCAGCGCGCAGGCCAAATTCGGAGCGCTTGTACCAGCACGAGAGGTAATAGTTGACGCCCGGAAAGAGGCCGGCCTCGGTCAGCCCGAGGAACCAGCGGGCGGCCATGAGTCCCGACCAGTTGTGGACAAAGCCCATGCCGAGCATGCTGGCGCCCCACAGGATCCTGCGATGGTGTTGGACATGAATGAGTGACATACTCTCAATATTACAACATCTGCGAGGTATGGGAACAATGTAAATGTTGCTTACATTATGATGGGTATGAAGATGGAAGGGCGGAGTCTTTTGAGGAGAATGTTGGTAAGCGGCTCAAACACGGCGTAGGATACGAAAAATATGGTGAGGGTCGCGTTGTAAGATGTCGTGGTGAGGTTCAGGTCCCTCGACAAGCCGGCGATTTTTGCGTTGCCGATGTTGGTTCGGTCAAGGAACGCCAGGAGGTAGAGAAAGCAAAGCTGGTGGATCACAGTCAGCCATATCCTCCAAGCTGAAAGGCGGACCTCAGCAGAAAGGTTAATGATTACCCATGGAATGAGCATCCAGTCCAGCTTCCAGACAAGCCGTCGGTCCTGCGATGTACTTGTCAGTGTTTCTGCGAGATGGTGACGAGGCTTCATAAACCCAGAGATGGGCGGATCACCTACGACCTCCGCTTTCTCCTCTTCCGAGAGATGTGCGTCTGGGTCCCGTGGCATGTCCCCGTCCTCGTCGTGACTGCGATTAGCATCGCTCGATGCCTTTTCCTTGTCGCTCAGGCTGTTCATGTTGATTACGTCGATGTCGAATCGTCTCTTAGAATTGAGAAGGTGGAAAGCTTGGGCGGAAATTCTGCATCAGCCGACCGGAGTTGAACAACCAATACGTAACAACCCCAGCGGGCATCGACGGCCGCCCAATTATTCCTTGATGGAAATATACCCGTGATGGTGTGGAAGAGAATGGAACGGTAATGAGCCGGGGATGTGTCTGATCCCGCGAGATATTAGGAGGGGGCAGCAGCCCGACTTAATAAATGTCCCGGCAGAGAGAGGGAAGGTAAACCGGTTGCAAGATTCTCGGCCATCCAACCTACCAATTTTGCAGATGGGAGAATTTGGTGGAAGCTGGTTTTCCCAAGCCCCGTCATCCGCAGCAGCCGTCCAGCGGTTGTTTTCGCTGCGAAATGCAGGTGAGCAAGACGCAAGCCAATGTGCTGAATAAGAGAACGCTGCCGGCCAGCTTGCGGGATATTATTGACCAGATCTAATCCGGGAAATGATACTTTGCAACGAGGGAAAAAGCTTGCCAATCGCAGCGTGGCTGCGTCAGCGGGCTTGGTGTTGAGGGGATGATCGCCACCACGCAATTGGACGAGAACGATGGTTTGTCGAGGACCCTGGGCTGCGACACTTGTCATGAGGAACAAGCAGATGCAGGCCGGGGGAGGAGAAATGCGGAGGAAGCTAATCCTGCTGGGGCAGGTTATAAGTATGTATGATGCTGCAACCCGCGCGCATGCCCCCGGCCGGACCGTATCACCCTCCCCCTGCCGCCCGTCTGTGTTTCTCCAGCGAGCATCACCGCAGGGAACCCGCAAACATCGAGCACGACCGTCTGAATGAAAGATGGCAGTGCGCTCCAATTGATCTGCTGGCGCAGGCATTGAGTCCCCCATCAGAATTGCGCGGCCAGCTGAAATACCAAACTTCCTGTACGGCATATCGTCGTCAGGGGCGGCCAATGAACCTGGACGATCCTTCAACATCGACAGGGAGCTCACACTCCGTCTCAGGCGCAAGCATGTTGCCAGCCCGGTCGTAGCCTAACGGGCTGCGCCATAGCGGTAACAGACAGTAACGAAGAAAATAGAGTTGTACTAGGTGTTGGTCGGGCCCTTGAACACGGGGGGTCTTGGGTCGATATGGTGCCGTGGCTCCGGAACCCTCGTGAGGTCCCCGCAGACGACCAGATCTGCATCGAAATGCATCGGGGGTCAGGGGCAGGGGGTGAGAAGACGGGCATTCCAGAATGAGTCGTCGAAGTCCAGAATAGCGAGCATTGGTTGCCGTCGTCCCCGCTCGTTATTGGCGTCATCGTGTTTCAGTTCACCTCCTCAGCAAACCATCCCATGAGATCGTACCACTGAAATCCCGAGTCCTACCAGGTGGCCAGTTGTTGCAGAAACTTGAAATCCCTAGGTGTGACTACTCTGTACGGTGCCTTACACAATGGAGTACTAGACATGTGCTGGCCCCTGTCGGAGGTAAAGGGGCGATAATTATTATTCCTACACCGCTGTGCCCTTGGGCTTGCCGGGGGCGATAATTACTTGATCCCTGGGGGACAAAGAGTCACCAGGTACACTTGTCAAGTACAGTCTACCAACCGTATGGTCAAAGCAACAGATGTCGGTCCGGTTTAAGGTTTGGCCAGCCCACAAGGGCATGCACGCCCGGGCTGAGTTGCATTCGCCATCGATGTCGCGCGTCACTGGATATTCACGGGCGGAAGGATGCTGGCCAGCCCAAGCCTTGACGGAAAGAAACCTGTCGATGCAACCATGTTCCGTTGCACGACGAATCCAATAGGGCATGCCATCTCCGGTGACCCCGAACAAAGTTCAGCCGCCTCGAGGCCTTGTTGCGAGGAAGGTGATGTCGCTGCACGCTTTCAAGTGGCTGACCATCCATCAACCACTTTGTCGAGGGCACTGCTCCACCAACAGTCTTTTGCTGTACAACAACGTGGCCACTCCTCCGGAAACTGCCTTAGGCGTGCGCGGCTGCCAGACATCGTCAGTGTTACCGTCAAAGCGGATCCGATCTACCTATCGATCAAATTGGCCCCTGGCAGATGAAGGATTGAACGAGGCCCGGGGCCGAGCGACGGGGTCTTGCTGAAATCTGTGCCGATACTCCGCAAACTGGGTCGTGCTTGGAGCATCCGCAAGCTGAACGAAGGCCAGAGGCGCACTGGCATGGATGGAGGGAACAGGGCGACCACTGATACGTATCGTTCTGCAGGTATCCGTGTCACCCGAGGAGGTCTTGAATTTGTCGCACGGCCCCTTGCTTCCCCTAGAGGAGCAACATGCCTGAAATCCTGGTATATTTTGGCTTCTGGGAAGAGGGGATGAATTGCAAACCGATTGAATGCACTTCGGCAGTCTTATCGATTCAGCTGAGGCTGAAGTAATTTCTTGGGCTGTCGTCGGTGAGTGCCTGCCAAGCCGGGAAGATCTTCGCCAACGCTTCTGTGGCCGCTGTGCCTAGAGCGCCGAGCCAAGCTAATCGGCCCCTGGCTCAGCTCGAGAGGTGGTACTGTCATGTTGTTGTTATTAGCTGGCGCGACTTTCCTTCTCCTGTGTCCTGGCAGGGCGAAGCAAGGTCATGCTGCAGCGATTCGGAGAATTTCCAATGCAGTCGAAGAGCCTGCAGGATGCCGGAGCGATCTCGATGGGGGATGTTGCAGGACGCACACACAGGTACAGCTCCCGGTGCTTCAGCAGCTCATGGACGACTGCACGGATAGTATTCACCGTCTGGCGAGGGAAGCCATGGGCTCGGAGCGCGTGTCGAGCAAGGGCATAGCGCCGCATAGGTACCTTGTGCAGGGCCGACAAAAATGACCTTGGAGGAGATGGACGCTGACGTGGTAGACTTGCGGCCTGGCTCGTAGTTGTAAATGTGCTACCAAGCAGTGACACAGGCCGGCGTTGAGAGGCGAGTCCAGGTTGAGGTGGGAATCATACTATCAGAACACAAGTGATGCGAGGACAATCGCAGTGCAGTGAACTGAAGAGAAAGCATAAGCGGGACCCACAACCTTCGCAGATGAACGAATCGGAGCTTTCCCACTGCAGCCCGGTTTTGGGCTCCGAATTGCCAAGGCTTTCATGAAATCCGATCTCCGAGTCCAACCGTCCTCGATTCCCTTTTTCCCAGCAGCACAGCAGCGGCAACCGCTGATTTTGCGAAAGACAACTATGTGCGGGACACTGCAGTCCTTGCTGAACTTCCTACTTGCTGATTCCTCGCGTTGCAAACCCAACTGAGGGATTTTCCTGGTGCTCACTCTCCTTCATTCGAGTCCAAGTTCGATCCACACACGGGTCGGGTGACTCGCTCGGCTCTTGTTGCCATACTGTCCCGGCCCCGCTTTCCGTTGACCGTCCGAACGGGGGCGTGGCCGACAGCCCAGTCCGGACGGATTTCGGCCCTCAGCCGGTCGGAACGAATGTCATCAACCGCCATGCCGAAGAAGGTGTGCATCGTTGGTGAGTGGCTCCACGCTGAGCTGGCAACGGAGTTCCTCAGTCACCCGCTCTCCCCTCCAACCCTTCCAATACTCCCCAACTCCTCCTGACTCATGCATTATGCTCTGGCTATTTTCCTCGCATATATGCTGACAGCTGCCAGGCGCCGGACCCTCTGGCCTCGTGGCTGCCAAGTCGCTGCTCCACGATGCGCCCAATACCTTCGATGTGACCTTGTTTGACTCCCAGACTCGGATTGGCGGCCTCTGGCCCTCGCACAAAGACGACAGCACCGGCCTTCTCCATCCTCGCATGCTAGCCAACCAGAGCAAGCACACGGTCCAGTTCAGTGACTTGGCTTGGCCCGAGGACTCTCCCCAGTTGCCCCGGGCATGGCAGGTTGGCCAATATCTTGACCGCTACCTCCAAGCATACTGCTCTGAGGCAAAGCTCAGACTAGGAACCTGCGTCAAAACTGCTGAGCCTCTTGCCACGGATGGCTTAAAATCCGGCTGGCGGGTGAAGACGTGCTCTCTCGAGGGAGAGGTGAAGGAAGACGTCTTTGACTACCTAATAGTCGCGTCTGGTTTTTTTGGCAGGCCAGCACTGCCATCTCTGGCTCACGGAGACCATGAAATTCCAGTCATACACAGCAGCCAGTACCGCGACCTCGAACGCCTCCTCGGGAAACATAGTGGGCCAGGGGGCAAGATCTTGGTTGTTGGCGGCCAGATGTCTGGTGTCGAGATTGCAGGCACAATCGCCTCGCATCTTTCCTCCGCGGTTCATTCCCCAGGACCAAGCCCGATTCCCAATCCGGAGAAGTACAGCGTACACCACCTCATCCAGCAGCCGGTCTGGGTGATCCCATTGCACACGTCTCCGAAGGTAGATATTACCCACCACCCCACATTCAGCTCTCACTAACAAAGAAGCAGCCTACAGCATCTGCCCCCCCATTCCTACCACTCGACCTGAGCTCATACAACCTCTCCAATAGAGTCCACCCCCTGACGAATTCTCAAGGGCACATCTCGCTGGAAGCAGCTAAGATTACCCATTCCCTCTACCAAACCGCCCTCGGGACCAACCAATCCATTTTCTCACCAGCGATTACGGTTTCCGCTGCGGATACCGACAATCCTCCGTACCTTGCCGTTAGCGACAATTACATGGATTTTGTCCGCTCCGGCCTCATCTCCGTGTCCCGCGGCAAACTGGAGTCTCTCTCGGGCCGTGTGGCGATGATGTCGCCATCTGGCGAGCAGATCAGCGACGTTGCTGCGGTGGTGCTCGCAACAGGCTTTGAAGCCTCCTCGTCCATCTCGTTCCTTCCTGAGCCGATTCAAGAGACGTTGTCTTTGAAACAGTCCGACCTGAACAACACCGTTGCGCTAGCTTTTCACGGCACATACCATCCCCGGGTCGCAAACCTTGGCTTTGTTGGCTTCTACCGCTCGCCCTACTGGGGCATCATGGAGATGCAGGCTCGCTTTCTCGCAACCCTTTGGGCATCGGGTGGGCCGTCCGCGCCTTCTTTACCCCCAGCATTGAAGGAGGCTTTGAGCACGGATACTTCTATTGAGCGGACTGTCGGCCTCCGCTCTGATCCGCGGGCGTCTCAGTTTCCGATGGGCGACTACGCTTGGCTTATGCAAGAGTTCGCGGCAGCGCTGGGAGTGGAGCGCGTTCCGCACCCGGGCAAGATGCCCCGGCTGCCGCCCGCAGACAAGGAGATGAATATTCTGACGCCGGCTCGGTACCCAAGCAAAACACTGACCGAGTTTCAGCAAGCGCAAGTTGCCAAGTCTCTCAAACAAACCGAAACCACGGCCTGGGCTGGCGTGACTTTAGCCAAGTTCGTGGCGAGAGCGGTGTTCCGCTCCCTCCTCGGCGAGTGGAAGCTCGAGCGCGACCTGATCAGCAAGCTTCCCAGTCACCCCAGTGGGCACTTCACCGGGACTGCCAAGTTCCTCCTCAGGGACGGGACACGAGATGGACGCGAGTCAGAGTTTGACCGCCTCAACAAGGACGGCGATCCCGGGCTGGAGTACCTCTACATCGAGGAGGGCGACTTCAGAGCCACAAACGGGCTGACCTTCCGTGCTACTCGGCGGTACGTCTGGCGCTACAGCGAGGAAAAGGACAAGGTGAGCGTGTGGTTTGTCAAGACGGATGATCAGAATAGGGCCGACTACCTCTTCCACGAGGTCGACTTCGTGGTGCCAAAGAGCGGCAAGCAGGACGGAGAGGACGGGAAGGGCTGGGAGGCGACCGCAGGCCACTTGTGCATTGACGACTTTTACGACGTCAGGTACCTGTTCAACTTCAAGGCCGTCAACCTGCGGGACTGGGGTTTGGCGTACACGGTCAAGGGGCCAAAGAAGGATTACAAGATCGACGGGGTATACAGTCGGTAACAAGTCCCAAGCCCCCATGTTGGTACTAGATACCCTGATTACCCTTCTTGTTGTCCGTTTTCGGCGGTTTCGAGGCCTCGAAGAGTACATATACGTGTACCGTAATCCGGTTGAGTCCCAGGCAAGCCGGCACGGACAGCACATCTGGTCCTCCTTGATCCCGGCAGCCCCCTTTTGCATGTGGCATTTTCTTGTCTGATGGTTGACCCCCTGGACCTGCTCCTGGGATCGCTCACCCATGGCTCATTTCAACGGGGAATCTTTTGGCTCATGCAAATCAACCAGAAAGCCGTTTAAAGCGGAGTCCCCAGTTCTTATAACAAAAAGCGCAGCACTATTCAAGGCTCTATTGCTGGTCAAGGAGCCAACTGTTGACGCGAGAGCGCGGTTGACAGGAAGGTAGGACGAACAGCTCAGCAACGTCAAAGGCTTGCCGTCCTAGCCGGATATAGTTACACAACTTACACGTATGGACGCGAGCCGGCGTAAGTAACAGGGTAAGGTTCCTTGCCCGACATACTCAGGGCATCACACCAGAGATTGTTTTAACTGGATTTTGGCAGGTCTTTTCGAAGGTAACACCGAATGCAGGAACGAGACTGGCGAGAGGCCGGCTCACGTCTGTCAGACACGAGGTGCATTGTGCCACAGGTATGGAGGCAACCGTTGGCCATTCCGAGATCATCCTTGAAACAGCGGATGGGGATCCTTTGGGACAGAAGGACACCACATACCGCTATGTATGCACATGTACAAGGATCGCCAACAGTGAATTTGAACTGCGAGACGGCCACAACGTCGTACCGCTCCACGTGCCTGCATTGAGGGAGTGGCTTGCGGCATGCCAAGGACCGACTGTCGGGCCAAGAGCAGGACTCGAATGATGCACCCCATTGTCATTGATGTCTTGCTTGCTGCCCGGAGTTGCGTGGGGGCTATAATCTAACGGTTGGTTGCTTTCAATAGCCTGCCTGCAAGGAGGCGCCGAGTCTCAAGCCGTGAGAGACATGGACGCAGACATCAGCTGGGCCGGCAAGCCAAGTCGCACATATCGTCGACATGTCAGGCCCAATCGGGATCTTGTTTGCCACTCCATGCACACATCAGCTGCACGTAACCGATAAGCGAGAGACATGACCAGGAATCGGGTGCTTCCGAGCCAGATCCGAAGACGAGCAGCGACCAAACATTTCTGGAGGCTGGCTGCCGTTCCTTCTTTTATGCAACAATCCTCGCATCCCTGGATCCCACGGTTGACGTTGACATCTTGGAAGTGTGCAATGGAAGGAACTGTGCAGGTTATCATCTAACCAGAGAACCTGGAATGGCAGGTACGGTCCGTGGCAGCTTGTCCACTGCAGGTGCTCTCGCTGCCTTGCCCTGGCACTGACAAGGACTGAAAGTTTGAAAGTACGGTGGCACGGCAAGGAGGTGTACTCTCACAGGCTAGACGCCGCTAGAGAAATTGGGAAGCTGCATTGTACAAATGACGGCTTCCCGTTTTCAAACCTCTGTGCCTTTCCTCAACATGGCGAGATTCGGGCGGATGTTGGCGACTCGGACCGCGCCTCTTGAGAACGGGCTTGTCCTGTGAGTACTGGCTTTCACAACCGAGACATCCGCTGCAATTACCAGTCTAGCAACAGTGTACTATTCCGGCCGTTCTCTTCCAACGGTCGACGGCTGAGGCGCAAGGTACCTGCGTGTGCGGTATTTGTGTGTTTGCTGTCCGCCAGTCGCGTCTCGCACAGCCGTTTCTCGTGGAAGGCCATGCCGCCAAGGACGCCGCAAACAAACAGACCTTGGATCTTGTGTCTCAGCCACGGATCTCAGATGCGCCTATTTCGAGCCCCTAAAACTGCAGCTAGGCTGGCATCCTCCGTGCACGCCTGCATGATTGACACGTCGATGACATGTCCAACAGCCCAGCAGAAGCCCGGTCAGCTGCTGGTCCCAGCGATCTGGCATCTGCCTCAGTATCTTGCTGGAGCATCCCAACCTCAAGCTGCAGCTGCCAGGAGAGACGGCCATGTCGTGGCACTGCAAACGCCCAATCAGGTACTTCAAACAGCGACTCAAGTCACACAGGCAATATAGACCGTTGACCCTCGCTCTCGCAGTCTTGTCTCAGTGGCGGACCAGAGGGTGGAGTGCATTGAGTTACAGGAGGACTCGGGCGTTACAAGCCCACTTCGGACGGGAAACAGAAACAGCCACAAGGCCGATGTGGCAGACGACCAACCGACAAGTCCTTGCGTGCCGTTGGGGTCACCACAACTGAGCCGAAGCCAGCTCACTGACGACGACTGTGTAAGCACTGGCTTGCATCTCGCCAATGTGTTCACCTGCCCTTGGGATCCACCGACGGGATTTGGCCATGGCATGATCATTCATTTCATCCCATCGAGGTCTGACGGGAACTTGAACGGTTTGCTCACAACGGCCTGGTTTGCTCCCCTACAGGTGGCGCGCAGGTGCTACACTCACATGCCAGAACCAGAGGAGAGTTTCGACAGCGCCATCTTCGAGTTTGCGCATTATCCTTTGAGTCATTCGTTCCTCGCCAAACTCTCTTGGATTCACGGTTCGGCATCTGGCTGCATCCGCGGTGACCGGGGCTGCCACGCTGCACCGACCGATCGCATCCCCCCGCCAGACCACCAACCGAACACTCTATACCTTGTCTCACAAAATAAGACCCCCATCGCTGGTAATTGTGAATCTCGGCCAGGTTGGATTTTGCAAAAAATTTGAAAATCTTTGCCGGGCTTGCCCTCCGGCGAGAGGGTGTTGGTACAGCGCAGGCCTCATCAGGCATCGACCATCTTCAACCGCTTCACAACTCCAACAATACCACCAAAGAGTCGGTCACCAAAACGTCATTGAGTTTCGATGGTTGAGAACTTCATGCCGTTGCAGCGGCATCGTGAAGAGTCTCATCCATGCCCTTTGGCCGTTCTCCCTTCTCCCTCCAAGCCGTTAGTTATGGAACCTTCGATACTCGTTCCAAGAGGGAGCAGCGACATGAACCTCACACCTGCAGAGCGCGACACTCTCCAGCACATTGAGAGACTGGGCGCCTCCATCAGCCTCACCTGCGTGTGCCTCATCTTTGTCGCCTATGGTCTCTTCAGGCGAGTCCGTACGGTCCCGAACACCTTCATTTTCTTCGCCTCTATCGCCAATGTCGGAGCCAGCATCGCATGCCTCATCGGCTATAGTGGCATCCTGGCTGGCGAGGAATCGGTTTTGTGCCAAACCCAGGCTTTCCTTTTGGAGATGTGAGTCCCGGCCGCGATCCATGGGAGAATATTTACTCCTGCTAACTGGTCAATTCAGGTTCATGCAGTCGGACCCTTGGTGGTCGTTTGCCATGGCAGTAAATGTCTACGTGGTGTTCTTCATGAGCTACTCTCCAAACAGCTTCCGCCAGTATCTTTGGGTTTACTGCCTCGTCTGCTTTGGTATACCCGCGGTTCCTGCATTCATCTGTCTCTTTTACGCGCCCAACGGCCAGCGCATCTACGGCGATGCGACAGTAAGTTCACCCATGATGCCCATTGTCCGGCACTCTACCTTGGCTGTTTAATGCTGATGGTTTCCCTCTTAGTTATGGTGCTGGATCAACGACAAGTACAACCAACTGCGCATTTTTACATATTATCTGCCAATCTGGACGTGCATTCTGCTGTCCGCTGTTATCTACGGGGCAGTTGGTGTTCGTGTCTTCCGACATCGCAGCCAGCTTCGAAACCTGACCCTCAGCGACCAAGCGAGCCCGAGAGATATCTGTGGCGGTGCGCTTGACTCTACGGAAAAGGTGCGCTTTTTGTGCTCCTTCATCCCTACGTCTTGGCTACTGCCATACCATTCCATATTCTCCCTATGTTGTATATTGGATCACAAACTGATGTTCTCATGTTAGGCACAGGCAAGCTACGGAACCGTGACGACCGAGGTGCAAGTCACAGCAGAGTCCTCAGGCAGTCAGACACCGCCTTCAACTCCGGCCGGGTCCATAGCGCCTGTCCTGCACAAGCCATCGTCCACCGGACCTCACGCCCCCTGGGGCTCGCCTGACGACATCGAGCCGGTCTCCCCGACAAGCAGAGCTCACCATGACAAGCCATTCGTCACGACCTCCACCATTTCCTCGACTGGACGCCACATTCAGGAGCACAAGAAGCCAGGCCTCCTAAACAAGCTGGCTCAGATCTGGAACAAGTTTCGGATCAAGCTCGCCAACCTCGACCCCATCAAGCTGGCGTACCTCCGTACATCGTTCGTCTTCGCCATCTCCATCCTCGTCACCTGGACGCCGAGCAGCATCAACCGCGTCTACTCGCTCATGTACCCAACCCGGACGAGCTACCCGCTCAACCTGGCCGGTGCCGTGGTCTTGCCGCTGCAGGGGCTGTGGAACGCCATAATCTTCGCGGCGACCAGTTGGCCCATCCTGACCGACGAGGTCCGCGTGCTGAGACGCGGCGGGTGGCGTGGCTTTTTCGGAGGCTCTCGCCGCCGCCGCCGTCTCGGCGACGACCCCGGCACGCAGGGGACTCTGCCTCGCTTCCGCAGCCGCCAGGGCAGTGCCCCGGAGAGCAGGGAATTGCCTACTATGTCGCGGATGGCCAACGTGCGCGTCATTCGGGGTGGTTCTCTTTGAGGGTCTGGGGAATTTAGGTATCTGTGGGAAGGCTTTGGTTTCCCTTCCTTCCGATCTCAAGTCATAACTGTTTTCCATTGCTTTATGAACAGCGAATATCGGTTGCCCCAAGAGGGCTCAGATACCCAGGATAAAGGCTATGTTGTTATCTGCTTTGTTCCTTCTTATCTTCCTTCTTATTCTTGTTTCTTCTGCCGCAACTGTCTGCCATGTCCCTGAAGACTAATGAGGCTGTGTGAGGCGTTCGTTGGAACGGGAGTTCCCGGTGGGGGTAGGACTCGGTAATGGTCGGGGATACAGGAACATCGCATTATTTCTGAGGCTTGCGACTTATATATCACGTAGACTATTTGATGGGTGTCATTTCGTTCAATCTGGGGGAGGGGGGTGTTTGTTCGGCCAAGGCCCCGAGCCGCCGTTGCCCCAAGCATTGAAGCAGTCACATGTCCTTCGGCTTTGCGAATCAAGACTACCTAGGTATTATACAATCCTGTTTTTGTGCTTCTAAGAGTGCCCGACTTCCACTGACTGGCAACATATGGGCTTTGAGGCACAAACCATACGCTGCTTTTCGTCATTTCCGTTTCCTTTTCCTTTCTGTCCTTCTCCATCCTCGTTCGCGGCACTCCGCTCCCTTCCTCCCTTCCTCCCTTCCTCCCTTCCTCCCTTCCTTCCTTTTCCCTCTCTTACGTCTATTCTGTTCTCCCTTACTCCTTTCCTGTGGACACCCTGCAGGATCAAACACATTCGTAGGTATCTCAGATCTCTGCTCGGGGCCCATGGGAAGACATTTGTCCTAAACGTGTCATGTAAAAAGACAGCTCTTAGTTAAGTGTGACTTTCAGCAGCCTCCAACTTCTACATCTAACACAAGGCACATTGCAGTGCTTGAGTCACAGTATGTACAATCCGTCCATGTGTATAATCATTGTTGACCGCCTTCGCTCACTGCTGCCTTGCTTTTGTGGCTCCGCGTCTTTCTCAACTCTGTGCCAGTCAACAACATCAAAGACCAACCAAACTGTGACACTTCCTGGCTGTGAGTGGGGTTGTCGTAACCACAAAGTCTCGAGTTACGCATACACTGAGACATCACCAGGCACGGATGCAGGGGACTTTGGTCTTCAGTCCCGGGACGACTACCACGCGACAGCCGAACACAGCATCATTGTGTTGTAGCGGACTAGGCTGGTTCAACGGCTGAAAATATTGAACACAATGAACAGCGCCGCACCCCAAGGCCACATGGTCAGCAGCCAGGCAGACCTGGTGGAGCTTGTGACGCCCATTGCCCACCCCACACCCGGTATGTCCTTTCTCTCTCCGCCAGTCTGCCGCAGCGGGCTTTTGGTACGTCGAAGGCTCAAGAGGCACTGTCAATGCTGTCTGCTGGAAAAGGGTCAGAGTCTCGGAGACCAACACGCTTTGGGGGATTGCCGCTCATGTAATAAAAAAATGAACATCCAACAGAGAAATAACATCGTGACGGAGCAACTTGCGAGTATGCCTCAGTCGCTGTCCACCTATACCGCTGGGCGAGTCGAGCACAACCATGTCCCTGCCACATCCCTGATTCATCCAGAGGTCCATTGGGTATGCAGAGACACACCGAACACGCGCAAAATGGCATGTTTTCTAATTTCATAAAGGAGTACTCAATTCCCGACTTCAACAAAAAGAAGCCCGTCTAGCTCATCGGTAGAGCGCTTCACTAGTAATGAAGAGGCGATCAGTTCGATTCTGATGATGGGCAAACGACACCCAATCAGAGTGTCGTAATACTTTTGACAGTATTTCCTTTTGCTCAGACACAAGAACATGATGTTTGAGAGAAGGAGTTTGGCTACATCCGTACGTCCGGTGCATTAGTGAATCGGTCCTCGAGAGGGAAGGAGCAACTGCCAACTGGGTGATGGACAGATTGTAGGTAGGGGGTTAGGGTTGTTGGGCAGTTAACGTTAGCAGTGACCTTCGATTCGCCCATAAGAACGTTCCCGGGCATCGCCTCCGCAAGTACGCCCCATCATCTAGAGAGAAGCAAAGGAAGAAGAACAAGAAGGAAAGACTAACAATTTTAATGAGGGATAAAACGATAAAGGCGGAAAAGAGAAAAAAAATGAAGATGAATAAAACACCAACTCGCTGCCTGAAGTGATTTGGTGATGCCCATGAAAAACCCTTTCAAAATTCAAACTCAAAAGGGTCGAGCCAACAACACCCTCGCGTCGCCCTTCTGTCAAATCTCAAGGAACTGCTCAGAACCGCTGGAATGCTGCCTTCGGAAGTAGGAGATGGGGAAGAAGCCTCGCCCAAGAAAATGGCACGCTGGCGGTTTCCCAAACTCTTAGAGCTGCCAATTCTTGGATTTTCTCTGTCCACACTCGCCTTTCTCAACCACGACACGAATCGTCTTTGTAAGCAGAAAGATACAACTAGAGTTGCCCGCATTTGTAGAGATCAAGAGATACCAATAATCCCGTGTGCCTTTACTGCCATGTCGTGACGGCACTAGGCTCATGCTGCCGGCTGCATACCATTTGCATCCGGTGAGCGGGAGTCTGCTTTGGCAGTTCCGGTTGCGAATCCAGTCAGCAATTCGGGGTTTGTGTCCAGAGAGGTTGCTCACGTGAGGTGGAGATCAAACAGCTGCTCTGAGCGCAAAGCCTCAAAGTGTAAGATTCGACAGGTGATACTGCATCAGCCGCCTAGATACGCAGAGCATAGCCACTTAACCTTGGCATGCGGCGTACCAGGATTTGCAGGGACACGTTCTAACCAACCTTGCAAGCAGCCATGGGGGTTAACAAAGTACTGTAGTTAGGGGTGTATTGGTTCATTCATCCAAGACCTCCGCTCCTAGAACACAGACGTCCAATGATATGGTAAGGTGCCCAGTTGGGCAGGTGTCTGTGCTGGCTGACCAAGCTCCTTTCCGACTTCCCGGTCCTCGGATATGCGTGCTAGCACGGGGATGGATTGCGACAGGCTTCTTGCCGGATCTTGATCTCACAGGCACCAAGCCTAGAATCCAAGAACCCGCGGTTTACGTTGCGCGGGAGGGAGTCCTGCAGCTTCCTATTCGAGGACGGAAGCGCAAAGCTACGAGTGAGCTTGGGCTGTGTCACATTGTCCCGAGTCACTGGAGTCTTAGCCCGGTTAGCCGTTCCTGGTCGCTTCCACGTTCTAGACGTGACCGGATGTTTCTGGGTATTAGACAAGGCATATAGGTGACTACCATGACTAATGGCAATAGATGGTAAGTTTTTTTTGACTCAGTTGTTTGTCATCTCAGCAATAGTTTGATGATGACATCGGGTGTGTTTGTAGCAGCATGATGAATTGCTCACAGCCATGTCATTAGATGAATAGAGTTCTCTTGACATTGGTGAAGGTTGCTTGTTCTAGCTTGTCACTCCAGGACTAGTGGTTCCTCAGCATGCTAAGTTAGACTAACACAGTAATACTGGAGGCTTAGCACATCACGGCTTGCAAATTGAGGCGAGCGGGCAGAACGCTTTCCAAGCACCGGGCTACCTCCTCGGAGGTCCTGTCCAGATCTAGAGTTGGGCTAATGAGGCATGGAGCTGAAAGGAAGATCGCTAACGCAAAGAGCACAGCATGCCTCGCGTAGACACAGACCAGACATCAACCGCCACGACGGAGAAAACGCCCGACTGGTCCGTCTCACAGGGTCCATGTCCCAGCAATGTCTGGTCGTGCGCCAGACCTACTCTCCCGAAGCCCACGCAGCGGTGGAGAAAACACCTCATCAAAGAAGCCCATGGCAGGGCCAGAGCTCCAGCGGCTTGTCGGTTTGCTACCACAACTTGACCAACATAACACCAAGCCTGCAGCTTTCCGTCCGGACCACGTCAACGAACTGTGTGGAAAGCCTGGGAGGTGACACCGGCAAACACGGACCGGTCATGCCAAGACGGAGCGCAGCAAGGAACACTCATCCAAAGACGGAGGACGCTGTGAGAAGTGAAAGATATAAAGGGGCGGTTCCGCTTACCCCTCGCTGCTCGAAGGTTTCCGGCGTCGGTTCGAAAAAGGAAATATCCTTCGGCCGCAACGACTCCAAAACGATACCGAGGGGTTCTCCACAACCGTGAAACAGGATATGTCATCAGCCAACAGCAACCCCCCATCGACCACATCCGACGACAGCTCTTGGCTCCTGATCAGCAGCACATCTACCTCTTCCGACGTCTCCTACGTCCCCAGCGAGGCTGGCAGCAGCGAGCAGCACTACAGTATCAACCCAAGTAGGAACCGTCGACGCATCGAACGTGCAGAGGAAAGCCTCTATCAACTCGAGTCGTGCCGGGCGATGAGCAGCGGGACTTTCTCCACGGCTAACAGAGCACGCGAGGCACACGAGACAGCAAGAACCGATTCGGTTCCGCTTCTCAACAGCTCCGACACTCCCCGTAGCGCTCCCACGACTAAACTGCCCAGCAATATGACCCGAACGCGCAACACCCACAGCTCCCCGCGGGGGCAAACATCAGCCTCCAGAGAGTTCGCCTCACCCGGTGCAGCCTGGGGTAGCCGTGCCGAATCCTCGGCCGGGCGTCGTAGGCATGAGGACGGCTCATCGGCGCAGGACTGGTCCAGCGTGGCGGCGACCGTCGATTCTTCCGGGCCGGCCAGGAGGGAGGAGCCTGGCGGTGGCGGGTCAGTTACCGCTAGAGCATACGGCTCGGGCTCAAGCGCCGATTCGGGGTCAGGGGCTGGCTCCTCTTCTTCAGCCAGAAGGGAGAGTAGCGGTGGTGCAGGCCTGACGGAGCGCAACGTGAGCCAGGCGTCCGAGTTTTACGAGCAGGTAAGACGGAATAGGGACAAGATCAGTGAGCCGGAGCAGGCGCAGACGAGGGTGGCTGCTGCCCAGGCGGAGCTGGCTGAGATCAATAAAAAGCTAAGTGACGGTGGAAGATGAAAGGTCACGTCTTGTGGTGTGAGTGGAAGAAACGGTAGGACAATTCAGCGCTGGGTGTTATCAGCGGGTATCATGACAATGTACAGTAGCGATGCATCTGAATAGGCCTCTGGTTAGCATTGTGTCCGGAGCAGAAGGGCGAGCCAGCCAATGGCACTGTGTTGCGATGAACGCTTACTTGAACCTCAGCCAGAAATAAACAGCTTTTTCCAAACCATCCAAACGCCCGCTGTGCGATAATGCTGCCAATGGAATATTTGCAACTCATAGCCGATCCTCGGGCTTCTTCCACCCAACCATAGAACTCCCTGCGCCAATAGCACCGCGTATACTGTCTACCAATGCCTTCGCCATTCCCTGGCCGCGTCTTCTTGCGGCGCCAGTGTCAACCATACCCCCGGTCCCAGATGGTGACGGCTCGCTGCCCATTGTTGGGAGAATGTTGTCGCTCGCCGATAGACTGACAAACAGCGAGAAGGGCACGAGCCAGACACATAGGCCAAAGTAGGAGGCGATCTCGGTGAACGAGGGCATGTCATCGGGTCTGTCGTAGTATGAGGCCATATTCTGGTAGGCACGCTCCTGGTGGTGGGAAAAGTGTTTGAACCAGACGTAGTGGTTTACAAGGACGAGCACTAGAGACCGCCGTCAGCTGTTGCCCAAACCATTTAGGGCAGGGTAGTGCCACCCACCGCACGAGGTCAGGAATAGAGGGTCCGTTAGCTTGACAAACGGGAACCGCCGCATATTGCCGAGATAGACGAAGTGCGAGAAGATGCCCAGGGTTGTCAGGAGGACGGGGAACCGGTCAACGATGCAGAGCAACAACTGCAGGACCATGATGGAGTAGATCAGTTTCGTGAGGAAGCGCTTGGCGATGACCGTGTGTTCTTCGACAATTTCAGACAGGTAGTATAGCCCAGACGCTGCACACCGAGAGCCCAATGGTTAACACTCGCGGCGCAGAAGGAGGCAGGGAACAGTACTCACCTATGGCCAGCGTCATGAAGCAGAAGCCCACGATGGAGCCGAGATAGCCAACAAGAGGCAGAATCCACATATTGACGTGTATCAAATCAAAAAAAGAAAATCAGAAGAACTCTGCCAGGTCATGCGAGGTTGACTGAAAGGAAACGTGGACGCTGTCGCGAAGCTGTCACCGTGGCCAATTGATTTGATGTTCGCATCCAGGGGCAGTTGCGTCTTGGCAACAGCTAGAATGGGAGCTCGATGCTGCGAGACTAGGAATGACGTCCTTTCGCGGAGCTCCATTCTCCCTCGTCCACCGGACTGGAGGTGGATGGTGGGGCAGTGAAGTGAAGGTCGGATTCGGCTGATTGTTGATCCCAATGAGATAAGATAACGAGCTTATCGCCCACAGTCGTCGTTTCCGTCCTAAAGAGGGATTCTTAAGAGGAGAGTGCTCTCGGTTGCGAAGCGGTGTGAATTGAAGGCATTCGCCAACACGCCGCTCCGTAGTATCCTACCTGACCCAAAGTCACGGAACAAACTGCTCATCGAGTGGGCTTCCGAGTTGCCGAGCGAAGAATCGTACCCCACCTTGTCTGATTCAAGAAAAACCTCGACCCGGCGGACGGAGCTCGAATAAGCCTGCGCTCACGCGGCCCGAACCATTTGAGAGTCTAGTTGCCTCTTTCGGCATATTCGCGTCAATAGTAAGACTCAGCGACTACTCGCCAACATGTCACGTCCCGAGGATACCCTGTTCGTGTGCCCTTCTCCATCTCCAGCCCGCCAGCTTGACACCCACTGACACTAGCGCAGCGCCGCCGATATCCACTACGACGATGTCGAGGCCCGGAAATACACGACAAGCTCCCGTATACAGAACATCCAGGCCTCCATGACAAGGCGAGCACTTGAGCTCCTCAACCTAAAATCGCCAAGTCTAATTCTCGACATTGGTTGCGGCAGCGGTCTCTCAGGCGAGATTCTCTCGTCAGTGCCAGAAGAGGAAGGGGGACCACATGTCTGGGTAGGCATGGATATCAGTGCCTCCATGCTGGACGTGGCGCTCCAACGGGATGTGGAGGGCGATCTTCTGCTTGCGGATATCGGGCAAGGCGTGCCGTTCCGCGCCGGCACATTCGATGCCGCCATCAGCATTAGCGCCATCCAGTGGCTTTGCAACGCCGAAAACAGCGAAACATCACCAGCCGGCAGGCTATCGCGCTTCTTCAACGGGCTTTATGCGTCGTTAAAGCGCGGCGGCATGGCCGTCTGCCAGTTCTACCCCAAGAACGACCTGCAGAAGCAGATGATTACATCGGCCGCCGTCAAGGCTGGCTTCGGCGCCGGTCTGCTCGAGGACGACCCCGATACAAAGAATGTCAAGGTGTACTTGGTTTTGACTGTGGGGAGCAGCGCGGTTGCCAATAAGGGCGGCGACATCACGGGCGTTGTTGAGGGTATGGACAACGTCGATGTCCTGGACAACCGGAAGAAGGGGAAGAGCGGCAAGGGCGAGATCAAAAAAGGCAGCAAGGCATGGATCATCAAGAAGAAGGAGCAGATGGAAAGGAAGGGGAAGATTGTCAAGGCGACCTCCAAGTATACGGGGCGGAAACGTCGGATTCAGTTTTGATCAATCCCTGGCGGTTTCTGTTTCTGTCCTTTCCACGTCTAGGGATGCATCTGGGAAGGCGTTGGGGCTCTGGCGAAAAAGCACGTATACCTCTGTTATCATCTCGTTCTCGCGGAAATCTTGATACCCATCTCTTCGGACCTTGCCATCCGCCTGTTCCTGTCCACGACTAAAACGGCAATTCATGTTGCGCGTCAGCCACCGTTTCTACGCCTCCATCGCCCTCCATCGTCTACACATGCTCTCCCTCTCTCAACCCGGCAGGCTTGCCATCCGTTATCTCCGGCCACACGGTATACTCTCCGCTATAATCCGGCAGCCCGTCCTCGCCAATCGTCACCCTAGTCGACGCAACACTGACCCTCAGCCCGGGCACCTCCAACACGTTGCGCTCCTCTCCGTCAAACATGGTCACCTTCCACGCCAGCTTCTCCTTGAGATGCGGCACCACGTGCTCCGCGTCGAGGCTCGCCACCTCGCCCTCGACAATGTCCTGCAGCAGCGCCGACGTTAGCGGCACCGTGCCCGAGACCATCAGCTCGCTGGCGGCGTCGCCGACGCACTTGGCGCACTGCGTCTCGGCCGGGTCGCGCCCCAGCACCGACACGCGCCCGACGCAGTTGAACTCGGTGTCCCAGGTCGACGGGTCGGTTTCGTTGAAGGCGCCGAGGAAGACGAGCAGGCGGAACGAGGCGCCCAGGCCGTGCTTTTGTGCACGCACGTTGACGACCCACTCGGTGTAGGTGTTGTTTGGGGCGAGGTGTTTGAGGCTTGAGGGGATCGGGCCTGGTGAGGGAGCAAGGGGGTTAGTGGTCAGGTGGGGTTGAGGGTTGACGGTCGCTGTGACTTGCCTTCTTCTTCGGCTGACTCGGGCTTGGAGGCCAGTGCGGCGGCTGCGAAGACTGCCTGCGGGACGGAAAAGACGGGCTTGTTCAATGCCGGCGGTTTATCATCTGCCGTGGCGTCTGGCTTGGCGTGGGCAGCCAGGGCGGTCACTGCAATGTTATGCTCCTCCTTTCGCTGGGCAACGTTGGCCACGAAGTTTGCGAACACGTTGGTGCCGTACAGTGCGGTGACCGCCCGCCGGATCTCTGCCCGATACGCGTGCGGGTCCGGGAAACGCCACTTCTGCGTCTCCGGGTAGGCATATCCGAACGTTACCGTGTCTTTGATCTGGGCCGAGGTCCAGAACTTGCTACCGGACTTGTCCCAGAAGGGTGCGAGGGGCGTGTCTTGCGTTTGGGGCTCGCCGCCCGTGGCACTGAACGTTGAATATGGCGCCGGGCGGGGCGACATGTAGCTATCTGGGTTGAGGTCCTGCCAGATAGCCCAGAGGCGGTCGATATTGCTGGCACGGTAAGTCAGCATCTTCTTCTGCCCCTGTTGCACACTCGGGGATCTTACAAGTGGTGGAGCCAGAAAAACGGATCATACGACGACACCTCCAGAGACGACATGTGTCCGCCGCCGCCGATGCGGTCGTGGATTTCGTTGTGCACGTCCTCCACGCTGCCGAACTCGCCCGGGTTGGTGCTGGGATCCCATGCGTTGAAGCTGAAGGCGTCAAAGTTGGTGTACGACAGCAGCAACAGGCCGACGTTGCTGCGCAGCGACGCCAGTTCGTTGGCTAGGATCGGCGCGATGCGCGAGTCCTGCGACTGGCCCGTCGTCCGGTTCGGGTACCGGACAGTCGTTGGGAAGCGGTTCCACTGGATGGCGTGTGAGTTGACAGGATACAGAACGGGAACTAAGGGAACATACCTGACGTGATAAGTCTCCCGGGGGAAGGTTCAGCGGCTGGAAAGTGAACCGGTACAGGGGGTTGGGAACGGACTTGGTTCTGCCGTCGACGTCCACGACCTGAACGTTGGGCGAGGTGAACGCGGTCGGGAAGACCGCCGTCCCACGAGGCGGTTGGCTCGCCCAGTCGAAGTAGGGGCAACGGAACGTCTTGGCCGCTTCGACATACCGGTCACGAAGGGCGCCTTGTGGGAATTGCTTTGCAACCTCCTGGACGGCGTTGTACAGAGATTGCTGCGGACAGTCAGCACCTGGAGTATGTGGTGCCAGTGCTACAGGAGAGACTAACTTCATAGAGTGCAAGGTACGGCCGGTGCCAGGTCAGAAACAGGATGGATGAGTGCGTGCAGTATCCTCCAAACCCGCTGGTGCTCTGCCAGTTCGTGATGCTGCCCACGCCGTTCCAGGGCTTGTATGGCATGCCATGGATGCCGGCGATCTGATAGTACGACGTAGGCACGTTTACACCCTGGGCCTGTATATATCTGAGGCCCAGGATGTACAGATTGTACTGATCGGGGTAGTTCCTTTGGAAATCCCGGAGCTCCCGGCGGAGCGGCACGGCTCCTATTCAGAGCAGGCGTCAGCTGAGAGGAGCACACAACATGGAAGGGTGGAAGGACTACCATCGGAGCCCGGGGTTGTCGGGATCCCGGTAATGGCTATGTTGCCGCTCATGTTCACTCTGGTCTCTATGTTCGACTTACGGGATACGTGCTGATGGTTGGGTATTCTTCAGGTAGGAAGTTCTCCATGCTGGAAAGACGCATCGCGAGCCCATCCGTTTTATACACAGGCCATCCAAGAACTCCTACTTACGCGAGACGCCGCGTCGTCTTCCCCTCTTTGGCGTCTGCAGTTCTGGCGTAGCTGGTCGGCGAGAGGGCGGCCCAGGCCGTCCGCAGGATTGGCTGGGCAACTGGGCTTCCAGCTTCGCTCGGCGATGGAGAGCCATTGTCGTCAGCACGGGATGGCTTAGCTCATTTGACGGGTTGCAGCATGAGCATGCAATGTCGATACCCCTCTTCTGTCGCCGCCCGCACTCACAGCTCTGACAGCTCTGCGGGGTGCGCTGCTGCGTGCTGCATTACTCGGGGTGTGGCTTCTTCCCATCCAGTGAGGGTCCCTGACAGTTCGGAAGCAGAGATGCTGGAGGAACCAACCCGAGCAGGACTGGATGTCAGCCCTATGCAGGTCTGACCAACCACAGCAACCACCGTCTATGCGGGCGACTGCAGGGCCTCGGCGTCTTGCTTAATGGTAGACACTGGACCTGGCCCAAAGCCAGCTAAACTTGACTGTCACGTCAGCCAACTCGGATCCCCTTCATGCGAGCAGAGGAGAGCTGGACACACATCCTGGGATACTTCTTCACGCCGAGAGCGATTTACTCACCGGACGCACGTAATATCCCGATGCAGCCGCAGGCATCCTCTCGTTTACCACACGAGGAACAGTCGGCTCTCACTGCCTCTCTTACCTGGTCTCCAACTGGGTGCGATACTCTAACCGCTTTGGTTAGGCTATCAAGAGTTGGTGGGCTGAGGAAGTATGTGTCCTTGCAAAGGCCAATCTGGACGTTGTTTCCACGCGAGCTAGGTCACTTGTTTCTGAAGTGCATGACATCGGCTTGGGAGAGAACGTTTGATGGCTCAGTTGTTTTCTGAGTCCTCAGATGTATTAACAACCAAGCACATATATGGCCATTTCCCATCAGGTCTTTTACCATCTCCGAGTTGGACGATCAAACATCGTGGTGTTGTAGTTTCAAAATTCTGGATGGGAACCTGCTCGATAACGCGCGATGTGGTTTTAATAGTTCATTGAGTTATTCCACACTCTTGTTCTGGTCTTGAAATCCATTATGAGCAAAGCATGCATGAGTGGTAATGTCTAATGTTGTTAGCCTCATCGAGAAATCATTGTCACGCACTCATGATAAGAGGGGTTGAGCAAGGCATCTCAAGCCGGTCTTGGCATCATCATCCGGCCGAAGTGGGTCAGCCGGCTCGGCTCCAAAACCTCGAGCCCCGATAGCTCCGGCGGTCGTCCGCGGTGAATCCGAGAAAGAAGCCAAAAGTGGGGAAGCGGTAGTCTGATATTTCTGAGCGGCGCTCCGAACTTTCCAGGAAGAAGGCCCGGAATGAGTGGGGGATGATGGAGGTTGTAGACTGTATCGCTGAGAAGGAGAGTGAAGACTCGAAATTGCTTCATAACCAAGTTGCATTCACATCATTAACTGGCAACACATAGGAAAGATAAGTGTCTGCCCCTACGGCCGCCATCTTGCATACACATACAGTACAGAGTCCGCCGCATGCTGTGCTCCCCGTCACTCCCTTTTTGTCCAGTCTAATGAGGATCAATGCCGTAGCCCCATCTACCCCATCTACCCACCTGTCCAGCGTTGTAGAGTATGATAGACCGCTAACCGGAGACTCTACATCGGGTCGAGACCGTTTCTTGATGGCGGCATGGCGCTAATCGGGTATATACACTTGCCGTGCGAATCATGTTTGTTTAGGGATGTGGGCGGGTTTATTAAAGAGCCTTCTCCATGGATTCGAGGATGGCGCGGGTGAACTCCTGGTTGGTGGCCTGGCCGCCCATGTCGGGGGTCCGGACTTGGCTGTCAGAACAGTTAGCATCTGCGGTGTTGAGATTGAACGTAAATATGCACTTACCCCCGGGCGATAACGTCGTAAACGGCGTTGGAGATGCGGTTGGCATGATCGTCGAGACCGAGGTGACGCAGCAGCATGGTGCCACTGAGGAGAAGGGCAGTGGGGTTGGCCTGGTCCTTGCCCTTGATGTCGAGACCGACGTGTCTGCAGCCGGGCTCGAAGACGGCAACGTCGCGGCCCATGTTGCATCCAGGGACAACGCCAGGGCCGCCAACCAGGGCAGCGGCAATGTTGGACAGGATACCGCCGTACAGGTTGGGCATGACCATGACGTCGAACTGCTGCGGCCGGCCGACGCACTGCATCGAGGCGTTGTCGACGATCATGTCGTTGCACTCGAGCTGGGGGAAGTCCTTGGCCACACGGTGAAAGGTGCCGCGGAAGAGACCGTCGGCCAGCTTCATGATGTTGGCCTTGTGGATGCACGTTACCTTCTTGCGGTTGTTGGCCAGGGCGAAGCTGAAGGCGAACTTGGCGATGCGCTCCGACTTGGCGCGCGTGATGATTTTGAGCGACTCGACGACGCCGGGCACGCTCTGATGCTCCAGCCCAGAGTACTCGCCCTCGGTGTTCTCACGGATGATGCAGAGGTCGATGTTCTCATGGCGCGTCTTCAGGCCGGGGATGTTCTTGACCAGCGAGATGGAGGCGTAGATGTCGAGCTCCTGGCGCATGGCCACGTTGAAGCTCTGGTGGCCGGAGCGGCTGATGGGGGTGTGCAGGATACCTTTCAGGCCAAGCTTGTTTCGCCTGAGAGAGGCCACGGCTTCCTGGAACTTCTCCTCGGTGCGACCGGTGGGGCTCGCGTCGTCGAGACCCGAAACCTCGATCTGCTCCCACGTGATGGGCACATTGTCGGCCTTGAAGATGGTCTTGACGCTGTCGGCGACTTCGGCACCGATACCATCGCCGGGGATTAGAGTTACGGTGTACTTGCCCCCGTACTTGGTGGGCTTGAAGATGTCGGACTGGACCGTCTGAGCCGGGGCGTCGCTGACGCTAGCAAAACCGCGGGCGAGGTTTAGGCGCTGCTGGGGTTGGGCAGCGGCTCTGAGGAGGCGCTGGACAGAAAACGGGTCAGCAGGCGGCCGAGAAACAAACGCGACAGGTGTTGAAGTCGAAGAGATGGGACTAAGATAAGAAGGATCGGCGAACAACGTACCTGGGCAGCGCGGGTAGAGTTTCGGGACAGCATCTTGGGCAATTGAGCAGAGAGGGCGGCAAATAAGGCTACTCCAGAAGACGGTCGACTTGATGCAAGTGGGAAGACGACAAGGCGAAGAACTGGTTATCTCAGGGCAAATACCGCAAAAACCCAGAAACACAAATCCAAGATTGCCCGAGCCTGCCTTGTTGGACGAGCTCTTTTTCGGTCTCCATGTTCCCGAACGGGTGGGTCCACTGAGAAGCCTGCCAGCGCTAGGCCGTAACAAGATTAGCGTGCCTTCTCAGGCTTGTGACGTCTGCGACGCTGCCGGCGGCACGAAGGCTGCGGGCTGCGGGTTTCGCGGGCTCAACTCCAACAATCGCCAAGTGGAACAAGAAAGGATATCATGTGAAGAGACAAGGATCTCTCCAGTAATCCGTACATCACAAATTGCATGGAAGCCACAACAAACCTGGATCTGGGCCTGAGCAACAACAACTCATCGTCTCTAATCCTCTTTGGCCACATCTCGCACATGCGGTGTGCTCAATTGGCCAATGGCACACCCTTCGTTGTCCCAGGCAGGACAGCACAGCACAGCCGTGATGTGATGCTCCTGCATGTCCGGACTCGAGCCGGAAGCCAGCTCCGAATTGTCAACCCTTCCGGTCACCAGTCTCAGCATGGCTCGTCGTAGCCTTAAAATGGCCTGTGCTGCTCTCGCATCTTGAACAACCTGCAAAGCTCCTCATAACCCGAGCAGAGGCCTTGGTTCCAGGCCTCACTCTAATTCACAATAGAGTCCCTGCCTCGCATATTGTTCCCTTCTTAACTCAACAAGAACTCCCTGACCTTCAAGATGTATCCCGTCGACATACTCAATCGACGGCACGAGCGCTTCGTCCTCTGGATCCCACGGTCCGGTAGCTCTGCTATCCCACCCCCAGTCCTCGTGATTGGGACCGCAAGCAGGAACCCTGACGCTTTTAACGAGATCGGTCGGTTCCCTCTGGCTTCCTCGGGCACCAGGGTCGGACTGTGGGAGTTGGCCCTGGAGACGATTTCGCCTAGTTTTCTCCAGGACGGAGTCTACCACTACTGGTTCCAAGTCCACGACACTTCTCCCGAGGACCGGGGTACTATGCTGGTGGCAGATCCGTTCGCCTTCACAGTCGCCTATAGTGTGGCGACGCCATCTGCAGATAATGCTCGGTACCAGCCTGCCTCTGTGATCAAGCTGCGCGATGGCAGACTCTGGAACTGCGACATCGACGGCACCGAGCCTCAGTTGCCGTCCGCCACAGACCAAGCTAAGCTCCCCAGAAACAACCACCTAGTCATCTACGAGCTGCCCACGTCGTGGGCCAAAGTCGGGAACGATTCGCGCGGGCACGACGTGGATGTGGGAACCTTTACTGACGTTCTTGCTCTCTTTAGCGCCGATACTGCTGGTGACCGTTTCTCCTCTATTGCGGCTGTCCGGGGTGAGGCTCTCCTTAGCAAGCTGGGCATCAACGCTCTTGAGCTCCTTCCTGCCGCCGACGCAAAGGTCAAGGATGAGTGGGGCTATGCTACAGCCCACTACTTCGCTACCGATTACGACCTAGGCTCGTCCGCGGACATGTGTCGTCTCGTCAACACGATCCATGCCCAGGGCATCCGGCTCTTTACCGACGTTGTCATGGGTTTTGGACACGATTCGTACAGCTACATCGACTTTGGCAACTTCCACATCCGCCCGACTTTGGAACGAGACAACCCAGACAGCTATCAGTCCCATGTGAGCGGACAGTTGCGGGACGGGTACGGCGGGAATTCATGGCGCTTCATCCGCGCCGTCCAGTCCTACGACGCCGAGACAGGGGCCAGCAGCTCAACCGTCCAACCGGCCTGGGTGTTTCACCGCTGCCATCTCGCCAGATGGATGATGGATTTTGGGGTTGACGGGCTCCGGCTCGACAGTGTGAACAACATTGCCAACCACGACTTTGTGCGTTCCTACAAGGAGCGGTGCTGGGAGCTATACAACGCTCGATACGGCGGCTCCGCCGACCCGAGTAAGTTCCTGGTTATCGGCGAGGAGCTCTCAATGCCACTATCAACTGTCCATCAAGGCACTCTCAACTCGCTGTGGAATGAGCTTTGGCAGACCCGCTTGCGAGCCGTCATATTGGGTGAGTCGGCGGGCGGCGACAACTTCGAGTGGACGGTTAGAAAGTTGGTGAACTGCAAGCTGGACAACATCCACGGTACGAGTTTTGCCGACGGCGTCCAAGCCGTCAACTACATCACGTCGCATGACATCGAGGGTTACCGCAAGGAGAGATTGTACAACTTTCTTGTCAACAACGGCATCTGGGACGTTGCAAAGAGGGCCAAGCTGGCGTTTGCGCTGCTGCTGACCAGTGTCGGCATCCCCATGATTTTTGCCGGCGAGGAGTTTGCAGACCAGATGGATCGCAGCGTCGACTTGGGTAAGAAGCAGAGTGACCCCGTCAACTACTCACGCAAGAACGACGGCGGATGGCGCCAGGCCTTATTCAAATATGTCGCGACCCTTGTCAATTTCCGGACGACGTGCCCTGCACTGGGCGAGGACGACACCAACTTTTTCCACGTCGATAGCAGCCGTGGGGGGAGGATCATGGCCTGGCGCAGGGGCCGGGCGGGCGATGGAAGGCTGCCGGTGGTTGCCGTCGCCAACTTCAGCAACGAGAACACGCCTGGGCATGAATATCTCGTTCCCAACTGGCCAGACAGGAACCGCGCAGATTGGAGAGAGGTTTCTCAGGGCCGTAGTGTCCCAGCAGAATGGGTCGGACGCGAGCCGCTGATGGCATGGGAGGCAAAAATCTACACGCGCTGGACTGAGGGCGGTTAAAGCCGGGTTGCGAGGGCTGGGGTGAATGGTATTCAGGTTTGCTACACGATGCGATGTTACAATGCTTTCAACGCCGTGTCCTTCCGAAAATGCCATGCTCCATTGGTTGAAACCAACTCGTATCCAAGCACTCCCTCAATCAGGGCCACGATCATTGGGGATGTCACCGTGAATTGATTGGTGTACCTTGTCTCCTCGGTGTTGAGCGTCAGTCGGTCGAACATCTCGCCCAGGCCAAAGGCAGACTGGTGGAGAGTGACCTGGACGGCAGGCGGCTTCAAGAGTGGTCAGCAGACGAGGATGCAAACGGCGAGCGCAATCTGAGCAACTTACGTTCCTTGTATCGGCATGGTTCACTCGACACCAACGCTTCAGGTAATCCGCGAGGAGCTGCAGAGAGGGACTGTGGCTGCACTGCAACTCGATCTCCTGGCGGCCATGAGTGAGGGTGAGATGGTATGGCGGTTGCAAAAACAGCTGGTCAGGCCGGGGCAGGGAAGCCAGATTTGGGAGGAAGTCGACCTTGGATCGCGTCGATGCCCGCAACGCCGGGGCCGTCTCGACCACTTCGGCCTTGCCAGTAGGGACATCGATCTCTACTGCTTCCCAATTATCCGCACCCCCAGCAACCATGCTCTGCGTCAGCTGCGGTTTTTTCTCATCGAAACACGCCAACAGCCCTTCTCGAAAAACACGAAATAGCTCAGCAGGTTGGTAGACCTGCTGCTTGGGCAAGCTCAGCACAAACCCGCCGCGCTTTTCAGACCACGTCGTCGACGCCCTGTCGGAGCTGGCGACGTCGACGAACACCTGCATCCGCCGCTGCATCTTCTCAAGGACCTTCTCGGTCCAAGCCTCGTTCCCCGAGTCGTCGAGGAGCTCCATCATGCTCTTGAACCAGGCCTGAACACAGCCGGCGACAACGGCAACAAGGTTGGTCTTGTCGGCATAGACGGCATCCAGCTCGGCGATGAGGAGCTGCCATTCCGGTTCGACCACGACACTGTGCCCGAGCAGCTCCTGCAGGTCCCGCAGGGATTTTTGGAGGGGACTGTCTTCCTTGGCCCAGTGGTCGCGGATGCCGATTTGGGCTTTGAGCGGTCTAATGAGGGTCAACTGTCTGTGCAGGGAAGGATGGAGCGACTTGCCTACATTGAGGGCATGTCGGATGCTGCTAGTCTGGCGGAGTGGGCGTTTTGATGGTGAAGCCTCTTCTCAACGAAACTCGAGCACTCATCGTGGCCTTTTTAGTCCTTCTACGCCTCAGTCGCCAGAACGGAAAGCGGCTTCTGGGCCACATGAAATGTGTGGAGCACCCTGACAGGCCTTGACAATGAGGCGTAAAGCTGAAGGCGGGGGTGTCTCTTGGCAGGAACGGGCAGCCTGCGAGGCGGATTAGGCCCAAGGAGCAGTTCCGTATCCGTACAGAGGTTCACATCGAGCTTCATCCATGCAGGCGACAGCGATGCAGCAGCAGCAGCGGGGCCAAGGTACATGCGTTGCGCTCAGCTCCGCCTCGAAAGACGCCTGCGAATGCCTCCGACAGATCCCTATGATGCTTCCCAGCGAGTAGCCTCCGGACGGGTTACCCTGCACTCCAACCACGCTAATAATCAGCTGCTAACCAGTTTTACCCCGCGTGCAGCGGCAGGGTGGTGAGGAGTGAGGACACGAGGACGGGCCTGTTGTTTCCATCGTCACGGCGGTGAGCTCGTTTGAAACCCGGCGAGGCCACGGGGCTGAGATGCCGTTTTGTGACTCGCTCGACATCCTTGTGCCCGCTTGAACTTTCCTGTCACGACAAGCGCGGAGCAGGTTCAGGGATGTTCCCAAGGACGCCGAGTTGCAGTCGCCAAACCTTCATGACAGCCAAGCCCCTTACTGCCTCCAGCAGGGGCACTTCAGCCCTATTCTCTAAGGTCGACACGGTGACAGGCATCAGCTGAGCGACGAGCCAGACGGCTAACACCTGGATTATTTGGCCACCTATAAAGGGACGGTGTTTCCACAGCTGAGAGTGGATGATTCACCTTCATCCAGACCCCACATCGCTCTCAACACATCTCACACTTCAATAATACATACCAACACAGTCATCATGGGACGGCTTCCGCCTGCTGAGAAGCTCTCCCTCGCCGTGCGCAAGAACGGTAAGACTACAAATGACCAATTCAGAAGTAGTGTGGTAGTCTAACACTGTCTAGTCCGGGACGAGTGGGAGAACAAGAAGGCCGACCTGGAGGAGCAGCTCTCTGGTGTCCTCGGCACTGCTTGGACTATCGATATTCAACCAAATGCCATCTGGCCCTACCACAACGATGGTTACGCCAAGGAGTCGCTCGGAAGCTGCATCAAAGCGTGCGTCTTATGCACCTGTACAACACATCTCCCCAGCGTACCCCAACAACTAATGCTCCCCAGCTACGTCGAAGGCGCTATTTACCAGATCAACTACATCGTCAACAGGTACGGCGACGACTTCAAGAAAGAGGTCAACACCATCTGCGGCGCGCATATCCTGAGCATGGACCTGGAGGAGGCTCAGCCCCCTCGCTTCTCGTACGGCGGCTGCGATGTGCTGGACGGCAAGCTGCGCATCCTCTTCGTTGAGTCCAACCTGGGCACCAACATCGATTACTGCTGCCAAGAAGAAGCCCTCACCAGGGCGCTCAACGAGGCACCCGGCGACACGCCCATGTCCTTCAAAGTCCGCATGGGCATCCGCACCGACTACGACCCCAAGATCCACGACGTGCGCAGACAGATTGCCGGCATGCTGGGCAAACCCGAGGACGCCGTCACGCTCACCCCGAACTTCGAGGCCACCTTCGCCAAGCTGGACGCGGCCGTCAAGGCGGGCAACAGCGATGTGCGGGACGACTGGCAGCGCAACCTGGCCGACTTCACGTTCCGCTACTTTGACGCGCTGGCGTACCAGATGAAGTACATCAAGGTCGGCGAGGATGAGCTGGTGCAGGAGGGCGTGCTCGAGGCCGTCAGCACCAACGAGTACGCCTTCCGCATCGTCGACGAACTCAAGCACGACTCCTACTGTGAGGTGGACATTGAGGATGGCGTGCTGTACCTGCAGACCACGCCCGGCAAGTTTGGGATCAACATTGACTATGTTGCGTCCAAGCTGATGGACAGGCTTTGAAAAAGGGGTTATTGGGGGCTGAGGCATAGACTTGGCTAAAGGTTGCTGCCGAAATCCAAGATTCAGAACCATGGCACGAATCCACGGTATGTTGGGCATGCATGTGCGGTGGTTATGCCACTAGCGTGACGAGTCTTGAGAGAGAATGCCGTGCCACCGTGTCCGAGAGAGCAGAGAAACCAGCACGGGCCATGTCAAAAACTCCAAGTGGTCACGCCTGATGCCAATACGCCTGCGCCAGGTGTCTTCAGTTGAGTCTATCAACAAAGGAACAAGCAGAAAAGAATAGGTCGAGTCCCAGTATCACCCAGAAATAGTCGTCATGTTCCAACCCGCTGGTATCTCTTACTCCTTCCGCCGCCTACTACGAACAGCTCTGCATGCTACCATCGAGACTCTCCGGTCGACTGTGCGGGACGGGTTCTCGTTCCCAACGAACCAGCGGAATCTGCCCAACACCTGGGTAGCTCCTAATCGTCTTGGGACACACCTGGCGCCGCTGCCCGGGTCCAGAGCCTGCTACGGCAAATAGCCCCCTTCCAGCCACATGGGGATGCCCGTCCAAGACCGTAATACTGATACAGAGCGATGCCCCGTACAGATCTCAACACGAATGCCAAACTAAAGTCCAACCTAAACTCCGAACCCATCCCCAAGCCAGTAAACCAACGCCCAGCCCCTGAGATTGTTTATCTACCTTGTCACAACCCACCCCCCTCCTCATCAAGCGGCTCAACCCTGACCAAAATCTCCTCCAACAACCCCTCCAAGAAGGTGCCCACCTCCATGCCCATCCCCACCGGCTCTGCCTTATCAAAGTGATCAATCTCCTTGCACACGTGCGCAAGCTTGTACACGAGCTTGCGGATCTTGTCGTGCGCCGCCTCGGCGCGCTGCTGCTTGGGCGTGACGGGCGGCAGCGGCATGCCTGGCGCCTCCGGCCGGTAGAGCTGCTGCAGGTGGACCTGGCGGCGCTTGAGGGCCTCTTCGAGGGCCGGGAAGATGACGTCGTTGAGGGCGTCGAGGTCGCCGTTGGGGTTGGCGGGCGCCGGGGTCGGGAAGGAGAGCGGGTTCGACAAGGAGGAAGAGGAGCTGTCGCCTCGGTTCGGGGATGGGCGGGGGAGTTCCTTGGAGATGAGAGGTTGGAAGTTTTGGCTGGAGTAGGAGGGTTTATGCGTTTGGTTCTGGAAGGCTTGGGCAGGTTGTTGGGCTTGAAATTGGTAGACGGCGGGCTGGGTCTTATTTTTGGTTTGGAGTTGCTGAGACTGTGATGGGGTTCGCTGGTTTCGCTGTGGTTGCTGATGGTGTGGCCCTCCGCGGTAGGGCGGGATCTCGGGAATTTTCATTGAGACTGGCCTGGATGAGGATGCTGTCGGGTGCAGTGAAGGGCTCTGTTGCTGAATGGCCGAACCGAAATTCATCACGCCCATCTCCCGCTGCAACTGCTCCTGCAAGACACGGTCGTAGTCGGGCGAACTGGTTGAGGGGACTGGTGGCATGGGTTTCGATGTGTAGGTCGCCCGAGGAATTTCCGGGCCGCTGGAAGCTTTCTGGGGCGACGGCGGCAGCGGAACCTTGCTGGGTGATGACGGCGCGGGAGGCTGAGCTGGCACCGGTTTCCGTTGAGGCGACACCTGCCTCGATGTGCCAGTGCCGCTAGCCCCTTTTAAAGTATCCCTGGGCTCCGCCACGACCTTGGTTGGGCTAGCCTCTCGCTTCCCCTCCTCGTAACTGTCAGAGACATCGAACGACCTCGACGATCTCGCATTGGTTGCTGATTCACCCATGGGATTGAGCAGGCCCGGTCTGTGGACAATGTTGCCTCGCTCGCTCACCAGACGCACGGTTCCAAAATCCCACATGTCCTCGTTGACAGGGCCTCTGTTTTCGGTTTCGCAACCGTCGTCCCCGTCAAAGCTGTCTTCGTCGTCCTGCTTGTGAGTAACGGCCCAGCGACTGTAGCGTTCGATTAGCTCGGTAAGATAGCTTGTCTTCTTAGCCCTCCTGATGAAGGGGTGCTTAAGCAGCTCCCTCGCGGACGGCCGCTCCTTGGGGTCGCGCTGCAGACAGAGCTCGACGAACTCCTTGAAAGCTCTGGTGAAGTTTCCTTCTAGCCGCGGAGGCGCGTTTTTGGGAATCAGGAAAAGCACTTTCATGGGGTGGATGTCGGCATATGGTGGCTCGCCGTTGGCCAGTTCGAGCGCGGTAATCCCCAATGACCAGATGTCGGCCTTGTGATCGTAGCCGCTCTGCTTGATTACTTCTGGCGCCATCCAGAACGGGGTGCCTACAAAGGTGTTCTTTTTCGTCATGGTCGCCGAAAGCTGGCCCGAGACACCAAAGTCGGCCAGCTTGACTTGACCGTTGGCTGAGAGAAGGATGTTCGCCGCTGCGGGTAGCGTTAGCAGAGCGACATGGACAGGAACCGAGCTGGCGGTATACCCTTGATGTCCCGGTGCAGCTTCTTGTCTGAGTGCAGGTAGTCCAAGCCAAGAAGCAGCTCGCGGACGATGATGGCGATGTAATCTTCTCCGATGAGGCCCGGCTTCATGAGATCGGCGCAGCTCCCGCCGGAACAAAACTCCATGACGATCCATAGCTCGGCCCCTTTGGCGTAGGAGCCGTAATACTTGGTCACGTAGGGCGACTGCAACTCCGAGAGGATGGCGATCTCTTGAATGATGTCTTCAACCTCGTCCTCGGCACTCTCTATGTCGATGATTTTGATGGCGACCGACTGGCCGGTGCGCTTATCGACACTGGCAACATGTCAGCAAGGTGAAACTCTTGCCCGCAAACCTGTAGGAGATATGGACCCTTTGTAGACTTTTCCAAAGCTGCCGCCGCCTGTTGGTCCTGTCAGTCGCCATAACTTCACAGGCGTACGCACGAGAGGTCCAACCAATGCAGTACTCCTTGGTGTAGAGCATCTCTGGGTCCAGTGACCCTTCGGAGTCGTCGTAACCCCGGTTTTCGCGGCCCGCCATGGCTGTTTATCCTCCGAGTCGACCCAAGGTGGTATCCTGCAATCTAGTTGGTGTTAGAACTACAACATGCCCTTCGCGCATGTGCTTCAATGTTTGCGCCAGCAGGGATTGTCCGAACGAAATCGGTGCGGGTGCTCTGCGTGCTGGTGTGTGTAACGAGGCAGAGAGGGAGCTGACGGTGTGTTGCTCGGGAACCGAGGAGCAATTCGTTGAGTTAACCGGCGCGAGGGCGACAGGGCATGGGTTTTGTCGAGGAGTTGGGTGGTTGCCGTCGTTCGCCAAGGTAATCGAGTGCGATTAAGGAAACGGGGCACAGAGCGCGAGAGTCTTACTGCCAAATTGTCAGCATGAAACTTCTACTGTGAGTGATCCGTCAAAGGGTCTTTGCTGCGTCGCATGTTGTTGAGCAAGAGGGGTGGAAGGGACCCGGGCCATTATACCTGCAGAGGGGCATGTGTGAATCCAAGTCAAAGTACCTTGGCACAAACTTGCGCCATCCAGCGAAAGCAAGCAGATGGTAAAAAGAGTCAGTCCGAGGGCAGACCGAATCACAAGATCTCCAGGGCATATAATGCCACAGGTGCTATGCTTCCGGTGTTTTGAAATTCCAAGTCTACGACGGGAGAGAAGACAGCCTCCCTGCGTTGTACAATACAAGCACTTGCGTCACTGGGAAGAGCTTCGTGGTTGTCTGGTGTGCCAGGTCCGTTGCCAGACAAGCCATGTGGGGTCCGGAAACACACGCCAGGGGATGGATTTGTTTACTGCCCACATCCCCGCTTCCCCATCCCATGTCGCTAGGGAGATGTCAGGGGTAGGCGCCTTCTCAGCGGGGGATTTCCAACGTCACCTTCCACTAACACGGGACTCCCAGAGAATTCCGGTAAGTAACACAAACATGACCGACCGGTACTTCTGCTCAAGAACAACGTTGAAGGTTTCATTCTGGCACAAGCTTGATAGGAACCAACCTCCGCATCAAGGTAAGGATTCGCTTAGAACACAAGTCCTCAGCCTACCGGAATGTGCAACTCCCTCGTCGAAGTCAAATCAGCATCAATCCATGAAACCCACGCAAGCACTCTCGGACACTTGCGGCTATCGCCCAAGGAACCAACCAAAATAACTCGCAACCTCGCATTACAATCCGTCTCATGGAGGGTGGGCACGGCTGACCTGGTTGGTTGACGGTGAGCGGTTCAGCTTCGGTCTGCCCACAGATGCCATGTAATGGGACAGCTTGATTGGGTACCAGCCTCGGCTCACATTGAGTTTAATGTCACCATCTCTTTGGGAGATCAGTGACTTGTCCCGGTCACGCCGCGTTAGGACCTGAGTCTATTGTCTTGATTGCTGCCAGCAGAGAATGCAAATAGGCCCTACCGAGGTCCCTTCATGCCAGGAAGTCATCGCCATTACCACACCGGGCCCACCCAAACTGAGAAACGTCACCGAGAATCAGGACACCAACCCAGCGCGAAACTCATGGCATCGTAGGCGAAAGCACAGTCTATTCACCCTAGTTCCATATCTGCCGCGCCTTTCTAGTGCAATCCGCCCATACCATGCCAGTTGCTCAGCGGCGAGACCGGGCCGTGCCGGAAAGAGATCAAAGACACAAAAAAAAAAAAAAAACGGTGAATAAGGGAAACGGTGCTGGAGTCGGCCACCCTTTACTCCTCGATAAACTCGATCATAACGGTCCCGTTGGCCAACCCTGCCTCTTGGATCGTCTCATCGAGATGCTCGATCAAGTCAACGCCTTGGGGCATCGACTTGAGCTCAAACTCTACGCCCTCCTTGCCCTCCAGTGGCTCAGCCTTGAGCCACTCGTAAATGCGGGAGACGCGATCGTCCAGGCGAAAGCGGCGGATGATCCGCCCAGGCGGATTTCTGACCTGCAGTCGGGTTGTCGTCTGAGGATCGGGCGGCGGTTCGACATGTGGCTGATCTGAGGGTATCCTGGAGAACGCAGATTCCTGTGCCGACGAAGCATCGGGCTCTACGGCTGCGGCTGCTGTCACTGTAGCCTCTGCCTTTTCCTTGCCCTTGCCCTCTGTCAAGGGATTTGGTGACTTTGTGAGAGCGTCTGGGTCGGGAATATTTGGCCTGGCTGAGCCGCCGTTGGCATCCAAGCTGTTTTGTAACGCCATCTCCAGCATCTCCTCTTCCGTCATCCGGTCCACATCTACCACACGTTCGGGTCGCTTCGTCTTAACCACAGGGTTCTTGCTGTGTGCAGATAGGCTGTACCGGTCGAGAAATTCGGCGAGCTGCGCGTGGAACTCAAGCGCGCTCGGAAAGGGGATACCACTAAAAACCTTGACTTGCTCGCCCGTACGCGGATCAATGATCGACACGTGTGGGTAGTTGTTTGGGTTCTGGTGGCTTTCGTTGGGGAAGTAAAAGGTGATATACCGCTCTGCCGCATAATCGTTCTTGTCGAATTGGAGAAAAATGAAGTTCTCCCTGACCAGTGACTTCACAGCCTCATCCTTCCAGATATCGCGGTTCAGGGCCTGACAGTTGAAGTCGGACATGTCTTGGAGATTCACCAAGAGCCACTTCTTGTTCTCCTTGCCCTCGTCGCGGGCCTCATCCCAGCTCAGGTGCGACATCAGGGCGTATGGGGGGCGGAACAGCTCCGCCAAGCGGGACGCCCGGGTCGGCTCCGCAGTACCTAGCGATGCAGGGCGCGCTGCGCGCGCATTTTCTTCCCAAACGGACTGGGCAAACGGGTTGTTAGGGGGCCGGGCTGTGTAGTAGTCGTGGTGTCAACAAGCCTGGATGGCTGGATGAAATTGCTTGCAGCAAACTCACCTCGAGCTTGTTGTCTCCTCCGCATCTGAGCCAATACAGCAGCATGACCGTCATCATCGTCATCGGCAAATGATGGCCCAACCAAAGTCTCGGTGGTGCGGGCCATGGGTGCGCGTACACCGGTGTCCTCTGTGGTTTGCCCTGCGTACAGCTCCTCCTGCAGTCGCCTCGCCACGGCTGCATCTTCCTCCTCTTGAGCTTGCCTAGCAATGTTGACCACTTCATCGGTCTCGTCCGTCTCATCCTCGGTCATCGCCACGTCGTCGTCGTCCGAGTCGAGGTGAATTACGCCTTGGGCATCCTCGCGGCCGATGTGCGGGCGGTTTGACCGGCTTGACAAAGCCGTAGAGCCGGTGCTGGCGCCAGCTGCGGCGGTGGACGGGCCGGCATTGCTCAATGAGCGCTGCAAGTCTTCATCGGTGAACCAGAGCTGGATGGCTTGCTCCAGTTCGGAACCGCAGAGCTCCAGCATGCGCTCAGCAGCGGTTCGGTTGGCACCCGTGATGCCCATGAAGGACTCGATATCTTCTTCCCTCGCCATCTTGACGAAGCAGGTGTGGCTCCCACCACACCGGGACAAGTTGACGATTCAAGCCGAGGGGGAGAAGTCCCAAGACCCAGGCGGGGCGCGGTTTCAAACGGATTTTCGAAAAGAGCCGCTGATTCAAAGTGTTTGATGCTGACAATCGAGCGGTCGCTGGTTGGGCTGATCGATCGACAGATGGGCGAGGCGAGATTCGACGAGGCTCAAAGGTGCCAGAAGTGGGGGACAGCTCAAACCCCGCGCTCACTGTCGCGCTCAGGGAACCTAACCAATGCTCGGCCAGACCAATAATGGGAAAGGCAAATGAACTTGACTGCCAGAAAGCCAGGAATTACGTGAGATTTGGTGTGGGCGGCGAATGGATGCTGGGGGGGTGAGGTGAACTGGGTTTGAAACACATGCGAGAAGGGCACAGGCGCTGGAGCTTGTGTTGACTGTCACTGCAGCAGGCGGCCAAGCTCTGACGCAAAGTGGAAGGAACCTTAAAGAAAGCCGAAGCCGGATCATCCAGCTTCCCGCCCGCGAATCAGGTCAGGGTCAGCAAGTCATTCCGCAAAGACAAGAGATTGACGAAGTCCGTGTTACGAACCTAACAAACACACACCTACATGCCGAAGTGGGAAAAAAAATTTCTATGCAGATATCGAAATACACTGACGGATACTCTTTTTTTTTTATATTTTTTTAAAAAAAATTATCTTGTTATATTTGCCACTATCCATCAGCTAGGCTGCCCGGTGTTTGCTTAGTAACCTAGCGGAGTGGCATGCTGTTGCGTGTGCCAGAGCAGCCTGTCGGGAGGCGTTGCAGGTGGTTGCGTCGCTGTGGAAGCCTCTCCCAGGTAATCGAACACTAACCTCAACCTGACCCCACGTACCTACTTCACCTTGCTGTACATTATTCGCACAGTTGACGCGACCCGGACTCTCACAACTGCCTCTCACAACCCTCGAATTTGAACCTGAGTTGCCGATGCCACTTTGACTTGCAAACGTTTGTGTTGGGTGTGAGCACCTGCTTCCCACTCACTCCTCGCTCTGCTCGACCTCCATCCCGACACAGGGGCGACCCACTCGCCATGGCTGCTCCCGCTGACGCAAAGAGAGAAATCGAGCTCATCGAGAAAGTCGAATGGCGGATTCTCTCAGCTTCTTCCGACGAAGAGAAGCTTCAAGGCCTTCTGAAGGTCTATCTGACTCCCTTGCTGCTCAAAGCCGGCAGTGAGCATGTCTCGGTCAGAAACAAGGTACTTCACTCAGTCCACCGACGCCCCCTGCTTGAACACACAACGCTCACAGAGCTCTTCACAGGTTATTTCCACCTGCCAGACCATCAATAAACTCGTCAAGTCACCAGGGTACGTGCCCAGCCTGCCCGTAAAAGTGACGGCGCCGGGCTGACCACCTGACTTACCAGCATCGTGTTGCCCGTTCCCTCTCTGCTGGACCAGTACAAGGCCACAGAACAACCCCTTGTCCGGCACTTTGACCTGGTTTACATTCAACACAGCGTCGGGAAGCTGGACAGGGATGAACAGCGTGCCCTCGTCCCGAAGGCATTCCGCGGCATCAGCAATGGCTCAACATCCTCCATCAGCCGACTCTTTAACGTCACTCTGCGCATGCTCCCTGCCGTCAAAATCCCGCCACGTGGAAGTAAGGAGGATGTTGACTTCCGAGAAGCCATGGGCTTGGCGAATCCTGAAGATGCCCGCTTCGTCGCCTCGTGGTTCGGGAAGCTTCTGCTGCTCCGCGTAAACGCGACGAGCTCAGCCGAGTCACCCGGCTTGACTGACGCAGATATCAGTTTCCTCACTCTTGACAAGCCAGGGACCTGGGACCCTGCGGCTGGAGGATTGAACCTGCCCGAAACTCGGATCCAGGTGGCCAACTTGCTAGCCAGCGGTGCCTTCACTGATAAGGAACGGTTCATACCCGCCATTTACACCGCGTCAAGTTCCGACTACCGCGTCTCGGGGGTTGGGGATGACCTGCTGAAGCGCAGTTCCGTCTCGCTCGAAGACCAAGACTTGGTCCAGAAGCTGTTTGAAGCGCACTCCAGGCTCCCTCCACCGTACCGGATCCGCATCCTTGGCGTTCTCAGCAAGTCGGAAACGGCGACCACATTCACCGACGACATCCTTGCCGCCTTTCGCCGAAATATCGCCAGTCAAGCCGAGGTAGGTGACGCCATGCAGATTGATGGCCAGACTTCAACCGCAAAGCCCACTGGCCTTGAGCTGAACAAGCTCCATCGCGCCCTGTTCGAGTTCATCAACTGGGTTGCTCGTATCGGGCCGACCAAAACCGATTACAACAAGATAGGTCCTCCCCTGGTTGAGCTGCTCAAAGACTTCATAAAACGACAGGGTTGGCCGAAGCCCGGGCGCCTGTCGCTTGACGAGAGCGTGTTGCGCTCCAGGGCGTACGAGACCATTGGAATCCTTGCGAAGGGGGCCTCTATGTCGGAGCACGACCGCCTGGCCTTGGCTGGCTGGTTGTTTCGTTCCCTCTCAGAAGACCCAACCCCAGATGTTGTCGTCAACATTGATGGCGCCCTGTCAAGCCTCACAAGCCTGTTCAAGCCTCCACACAGTTTCATCGTCAACAGGCAACTACAATCCATTCTCCTGACCTACATGACGCTGAAGGATGACGAAGGTGACGTCGTCCGGAGTGCGCGGCATGCAGTGACGAAGTGGGCAAACCACTGTTTGCCATTCTCTGACATCTATGCCCGTTGGATCGATATTCTCGCCATTGCCGGTCGTCCTGACGAGCGCAGCGACGTAGTCGAGGAAGGTCACAAGGGCCTGGATCCTTGGGCATATTACGCTAACGACCACAAGTCGCGAACCCTGCCAGACTGGAAGGAGATGGTCCAGATGTTCTTCAAAGAGTCCATCACTCCTTTGAACGCCTCTCCGATTTGGGCTCGGGGCCCAAGAATGGAGGTCGACGACAGGGGTGTCTCCATCAACTTCCCTGCCGAATCACTTCCAGCATTCCCCGTTGCCGTCGAGTTTTGCAAACGAATTCTGTTCTTGACCGCACTCAAGGATTTCCTCGTCGAGCCAGGGTGGGAACGGCGGCTGGAAGCACTATTGCAGTCTGACCTGGCCAGCCGCCAAACAATACGGGGATACCTGTTTGCCTTCCCCCGCCAAGAACACGCTCTCTTCCACCTCCTCCGCGCTACGTTCGAAGGCATGATCAAGGAGGACGTTAAGATTGCTGAGCCGTGTGCCAGAGCGTTCGTGGATTTGGCGTCTTTGTCGCCGAAGGCCGTCCTAGAGCCTCTGGCATCCCGCTCACTGGAGCTGTTACCTCTCGTCAAGTCGAACAAGAAGGAACTCCGTGCTCTCGGGTCGAAGGCCTTTGGAATCCTTGCAGCTCACCCGTCTAATCCTGCCGAGTTCATCGCCAGGGTCAGGGAGACATTGGTTGCCATCACCAAGAACCTCACAACGGCGGTAGGATCGGAGCTCAACGCCGTCGAGGGCGCATTCCTTGCTCTCGCTCACCTCAGCTCCAGGTGCATTTACTACTCTCCAGAATCGAGCGCTATTGTTGGTGCTGCTATTGACGGGATATTCCCGACTCTCGACTCTGTTTCCTCCTGCACAATGTCAACTCAGGAAATCCTGTTCGAAGCGTACTCTCAGCTTTGGACTGCCGCCATCCCACCTGTACCAGCAAACGAAATTTCCCAAGAGAACATGGCTGACCTTCTCTCAAAAGCCTTTATCGAGCCGCTCGTCAGCCATGCAAAGAAGGGCAATGAGAAAGCCATCACCGGTCTGGGAAGGCTTGCCATCTCAATTCCAGCAACGGAGGCACTCGACCCCAACACGCCGGATGACGTTCTTGGTTCAATCCTCGACAAGCTGTACTCGCTGTACGATATCAAACAGGCTCAGGTGCACTTCGCTGTGGGGGAAGCCATTGCAGCAGCGATCGCATGTTGGGACGCTGATGTGATCAAACTTACTGTCGATGTACAGGCCGAAGAAACCGGGTTCGGCGTCTCCAAGCGTCCAGTGCGTCTGGCTGCCGTCCTAAAGAAGCTTCTGATGGACTGCAAGACCACCAAGCCATCCTTGTTGAAAGCTTCTGGCATCTGGCTGTTCTGCGTAATCCAGCACTGCTCACACTTGTACGAGGTCCAGTCCAGACTCCGAGAATGCCAGGTCGCTTTCATGCGGCTTCTCAGCGCAAGAGATGAGCTCGTCCAGGAGACTGCGTCACGAGGTCTGGCCTTGGTGTACGAGAAGGGCGATGCGGCTCTCAAGGGCGAACTTGTCCGCGACTTGGTGTCGTTCTTCACCGGCTCGGCGCCTCAACTCAAAGTGGACCAAGAGACCGAGCTCTTTGATGCTGGCGCTCTCCCTACCGGCGACGGCAAGTCCGTCACTTCGTACAAAGACATTGTGAGTCTAGCGAACGAAGTCGGCGACCCGAGCCTGGTTTACAAGTTCATGTCGCTGGCTACCAACGCCGCGACATGGTCAACCCGGTCCGCCTTTGGGCGCTTCGGACTCAGCAATATCCTGGCCGAGTCGGAGATTGACCCAAAGCTTTACCCCAAGCTGTACCGCTACCGCTTTGACCCAAACCAGAACGTCCGACGCTCCATGAACGATATCTGGAAAGCATTGGTGAAAGACCCAAACGCTGTCATGGAGACACACTTTGATAGCATCATGAAGGATTTGCTGAAGAGTATCCTCGGCAAGGAATGGCGAGTCCGCGAAGCTAGCTGTGCCGCCATCTCCGACCTCGTTTCGGGGCGGTCGTTTGAGAAGTACGAGCGGTACTACAAGGATATCTGGTCTGCCGCGCTGAAGGTGCTTGACGACGTCAAGGCAACGGTTCGGAACGCGGCACTGCACCTCTGCATTGCACTCTCTACAACACTTGTCCGGCAGCTTGAAGAATCAGGCTCAACCGCAACGGCAAAGGCCATGATGAACGAGGCCCTCCCCTTCCTGCTCTCCGACAAAGGCATAGAAAGCGGCGTTGAGGACGTCAAGATCTTCGCCACTATCACGGTCATGAACATCGCCAAAAGCGGCGGCGACGCAATTAAGCCCTACATACCCACCCTGATCCCCCAATTCCTCGGCCTCCTGAGCACCATTGAACCCGAGGCCATCAACTACCACTACCAGCGGGCAGGCGAGGATAACCGCGAGAAGATCGACAAGCTTCGCAGCGCCATGGTATCGCGCAGCCCCATCGTCGAGGCCATCGATAACACCCTGCGCAGCGTTGACTCAACTGTCATGAAAAACTTGGCCCCAAGACTTCTAGAATCCATCAAATCCGCCCTCGGCATGCCCACCAAGCTCGGCTGCGCCCGCGTCCTCTCGACCCTCTCAACCCGCCACGCCCTCTCCTTCGCCCCTTACTCCCCGACCTTCGTCGCCCTCATGGAGAAGCAGATCCTCGACCGCAACGACGAAGTCAGCCAGAACTACGCCCGCGCCGCGGCGTACCTCATCCGCATCGTCCCGGACCCGGAACCCAAGACCCGTTACGCCGACCGCCTCGTTGCCCTGTACCTCACCTCCGAGGACGAAACCCGCCGCCAGAAGGTTGCCGACGCCGTCCTTGCCCTCTCCAAAATCTCCCCGGACCACTTCAGCGCTCTCGAGACGAACCTCCTGCCCTTTGCCTTCCTCGCCCGCCACGACACGGACGACTACGTCCGCAAGGAGGCACAGGAGGTCTGGGACACGCACGCTGGAAGTTCCGGTCTGACCGTCGTGCGGTACCTGACCGAGGTTGTCGTGCTGGTAGAGCGGTGTCTAGGTGCTGCTCAGTGGGGCATCAAGCACACGGGCGCGCTGGCCGTGGCGTCGGCTGTGGAGGCAGTTGTGGCCGCCGGCGAGGCGTCGGGCAGGGTGAATCTCGAGGGGCTGAAGGTGCTGTGGCCTGTGTATGACAGAGCGCTGGCGCTCAAGACGTTTGAGGGGAAGGAGAGGCTACTGAAGCCGTTGCCTGGGTTTGTCAAGGCTTATGGGGCTCGGTGGAAGGAGGATGCGAAGATGGCGGAGCTGTTGAGGAAGGTTGTTGTGCGGGAGGCGAAGAGGAACAATGACGCGTACCGGCCGCATGCGTTTCAGTGTTTGTGGAGGGTGGCGGCGGTGCGCGACGACCTGGAGATGGTGGGAGAGATTGCGGAGATTGTGGGGGGATATTTGGTGGTGGAGGAGGCAGATGAGGATGTCATGGACGTGGACCAGCCCAAGGGGGTCAGCAAAGGGAGGAGCAAGGGCCTGGATCTCAGGAGCCTGACCGTTTGGGCTGCTATGGAGGCCATCTTGAAGGGGTATAACCGGGTGACTATGAAGCAGGATCCAATGTCGACCCTGCGAGAGGTAGTGCTGGCGCTGGAGTCGGCTGCTGGTGGTCAGTCCAAGTCACTCAACGCCGCATCGCCCTACGTCGCGAGGCACGAATTCCAGACCATCAGACGTACATTCTGGTATGACTGCGTCAAGGAAGTGATGGAGGATGCAGTCGGCGAGGTTATCGTTCATGACGGTAACGCGAGCACCCTGGTTGGACAGCGGGAGGTTGTCAAGTGGTTCTTGAACACTCTCGACCTGGGCACCGACGACACCGGCACAGAGAATCAGCGGATGGCCAGGGTCAAGGCAGTCAGGGCTACATTACGACTAGGGAAGGCAGGCGCCGGACTTTCCGTCGATAATGGATGGAGGGCGGAAATTAGGCGTGTTGTTGATGAGGCTTTGGGGAAGGAGAGGTCGCTTGAGGTGCAAAAGGTTTGGAAGGAGTGTTTGGAGCTGTTGAGTACTTGACACGTACCTGAACTGATCCAAGCAAGCGCAGAGGGTATGGCGTTCCGTCTGTTCATATGCACTTTAAGTCACGGGGCGGTATTGGACGTAGTTCCAGGCAGTGCAATTCCGTCTTGGGGTTTGATGCTTCTGTCTTTGATCACGGCCCCGTTCTGAGTGCACCGGTCTCAACCATTCCTGGGAAATATCCGGGCACAAGAGAGACTTGAAGAACATCTACAGTACAGTACAGCATTTTTGGCAACATGTTAAGCGTGAAGGCACTGAAGAAGGTTGGCTTTGACTCTAGATCAAGAGCTCTCGTTAATGCTACGATATACGTGTATCGTCTCAATGTCATTATGGATACCTGCACCAGCCGCGCCTCTTAGGACAATGTCACTGGCCAATCTTGAATAGGACGGTCTTCGGTCTTGCTCGTGTACAGGTCGGTCTTCAGTCTCCCTCGTCGATTAGGACCGTCTTCGGCCTGTGGGGATGTGTGTTAGCGTACCAGCACATGCTGAAGGACATATGGAGTGCTGCCTCCTGAGAAGGCCCCTCCCTAGTGAACTCCGAAATGGGCCTCGGAGCTGGGCACGAACATGACGGTTTCGGCGCGTGTTCTCTGGCGCCTCCTTCTCACTCTTGGCCTGTCGGACCAATGCTCAATGGGCTCTGCCCAGAACTACCTCACGGTATGGACAATGCATGTCATCCATCGGAAGGCGGCTTCGGAGACAGTATGGTGCTGCGGGAAACATACGATATGGTTATACGTGCAAGCCCACTGGGACGAGATGGACCATTCCGTGGCCCTTCGATGATGACGTCCGAGTCGACGTGCCCACAGGGTTGTTCCCCGCAAAGGCGATCTGGTCGGTACCAGCAGGCTTCTCCGTCTGCCGGACACACTGAATTTCGGCACAACAATGACGACAGCCATGCAGCCGGATTTTTCGTGGCTGTATCACTGATGTCTTGGTCAGATACGATACCTACGAAATTACCGGCTTCTCTACTGCACTGTCCACTGCTTACTTGATGACCGCAAGTGTGTCTACATGTATCTGCTAGACCGAAGGGCTTGAGTAACTTAGAAACCCAAGATGGGCCCTTGCTTCTGCCCAAATGTTTATGTAACGTGGCAGCTCGCCCCGCGCTTCATCTCCTATTCGGATGAGCTGCTGGTGGTCAATAAGCTTGCGTGGCCAGCGTCGGCTAACTGAATACCGATGGTGGAATCTGGAGGCTGCCGTGCGCACTCGCATGGCCAGACACTCTTTCACCTGCTGTCAATGGGTTCGTATTGGCAAAGTGAGCCGTAGAGACCTGGCTTTGCCTATTTTGCGCCCGAAATCGCCCGGCGATACGCCCTGTATAAAAGAAGGACTGGTAATGAGCGTGTGGCCACTTCCATACATGAAGCAGAGGGGCCTTGTTGCTAGTGTTGAAGCACCTGGCCGCTTCTGTGTGCCTCCGGTGCAAAGCCAGCTCGGGTTATTGCAGCAGAGAGCCGTTCAAGGGAAGCGTGTGGAAGTCATGGCAAGGGGAAGCCGAAGGTGGGCCCCCGCAGTGCTGCTTCATATCTGCATGGCTGCGCAAGCCGTCAAACTCCTGAACACCCACGACTGGCTGCATGTGCCTCGAACATGTCCCATGCGCCTGAGTCGCTGCAAAGGCTAGAGTTCGGCCGTTATGTCGGCGTGTTGAGTATGTAACACTGGAGCATTGGGAAAGAATCAGTGTGTCGAATGGAACCGGCAGAGAGTATACCAAAGCAGGTTAACACACGGCAGGAGGAGGACTAGGGGTATAGTGAGCTTACGTGCGGAAAAGGGAGAGAATTTTCTGGTCTCTCTCTCGGTGGTACCACAGTTCGGCAAACTGAGGACGACGACTCCGAGAAGCGGAAGATTGATAAAGCCACACCGGGACCAACGCTGACGTCCCCGACTGACTCGCGTGTGGCAGATGAGCGGGGACCCTGAGGCCGAATCAAGCTCTGTATTCGTATATGTTCAACGGTCGTTGTCTTGAATCGGTTGATGAACCCATAGGGAAGGCGAGACATAAGTTGACGGCATTTTGTGACTGCCCAAGATTGAATCGGGGGATGCCGTCCATGGCCACTCCCACCGGTTTTTGAGGCGCGCATCAGCCACTGGTCATCCGTTCATCCTCCTCAGCTTAAACTTGAACGGCCAGCTAACTGCGTTCGGCTGTGCCCCAACTGGCCCGAGGCTAATGACGGAGACGGTTGGCCTTGACCGTTCCAAGCGATGGGCACGATCTGACAAAGCGGGCTGATTCGTCGATCAGGCTCATGCAAGTGATCGGAAGGGGGCATCATTGACTTGCATGCGGGCCAGTGCGGGTGATTGCCGAGCCTCTGCAGAAAAGGTTCCGAGCCGGCAGAACCACTAGGAACTACTGTAGGAAAGCTAGCCCTAGGGGGTTGTGCATAGTGATGTAGCGACGAAGCAAAAGTGGATTGAATTGGTCTGGATGAGCCAGGAGTCTGTCAGTCGTTGAACGGTACTGTACTTTTAAAGGTAACCCAGATGAGTAAGCCATGCCAAAATTCAGACAAGGCAAGTTCATCAACCATCTGCTCAAGCGCCATACTGTGGTATGTATGCAGTACAACCCACACAAGTACAAGGACCTCCGTATTTGATCGAAGCTTTGTTGACGTGGGAGCACTGGACGGCGCTGCAACGCCCAAGTGCTTTCCATTAGGCATGACGTTCGTTTTGGCCGAGCTCGAAGACCGGGGTCCGAAAAGAATTGGCACTGGGCAAAACTTCGATGGGTTCGATCGATGGCTTCTTAGGGCTGGTGTGTGTGTCATCGCCGCATCCCTGGCGAGCCCTAACAAAGTGGAACCTTGCTTGCCGGCAATAAAGGCCTTGTGTTAGGGACTGCCTTAGGCTTATGAGCCTCCCATCGCGATACGGTCCAAGATGATGGTCACCCGAAAAACCAAGTAATCAAAAAGTTTTCGTTCATGGTCAAGGGAGGAGATCGTGAAAACCGGGGAGACACTCAAACAGACATGTGGTTTGCAGATACCTTAGACACTCATAACAATAGGCGGGCGGCAAGACCCGGCCCTGCGTTCTCTGTTGTTTCTTACCTGATGACGCAGCGGGAGATCGGCTCATGTCGCACAGGCAATAGCCTGAAACGAAACAACACAGCTGCGGAAGACATGCAGACGGCTCAACCTGGAAGCTTTGACCGGGCGATTCAAAGCTGTCGTCCACCGAGCAGCAGTTCCCGATCAGAATTTGCTTCCCTGCCTTGACGTTCTCCACCGGTAGGCGTACTTGTACAGCAAACCCCACTGGACAGGAACAACAACGATTGCCGTAGATTTGTGGCTGGTCGGAAACTGCAGTGGGAACTGTCGTCGGCAGTGGGCAGGCACGTCGGGCCTGTTCTGATGGAGATGGTGGACAGATGCTGGCGCTGGCTGTCGGGTATCCGTGCATGTATCTTTTGTAACCTGGGTAAGATAAAGTAAGGTGGGTAAGGTTACCATAAAATACCTTTTCGTTGTCGAAGGTGGAAACAGCTTCCAACCGCTGGACATCGGTCGCTGGCAGTAGCGGGGCACCGCACTCTCGTAAATCTTTCCGAGCTTTGCGTCCTCTCAACGTCGGGCTGATGGGATACAAGGCGATGGCCTTATCAAGAGGCGGTTACTCGATGCTGGTGCACGAAGCAAAGTCCGAATCTTCGTTGATCCTGTCGGCCGGACGGAGTGGCCGGAGCTATACAGTGAATGTCAGTTGAGAAGGTACATATCTGAAAATCAAGGGCAGGGCGGCCGGGAACTGACGCGATGATTGCGCTGGGACGGCCGCTTTGGGCTGGGCATTCCCCACCTTGCCAATCCACCCGCCGGACAAATTCGCCAGACGACGCTCGGTGCCTTCCCACTTTTTCACCTGTGCTTCTGCTTTGGCTGCTTCGCACCCTCTCCACCTCGCGCCCCCTTCGATCTCGCTCTCTCTTATTTTCCCTTTTCTTTCTGATCCCCCGCGCTCGACGTGCTCTTCTGGTTTTTCTCTCTCCTTGCGCCTAGCCACTGCCGCGATTTCACAAAAGCATCCTTTTTGATTGTCTTTTGCCGTCGTTGTATCGCATCTGGCGTTGTCGGTTCCCACAGTCTTCCTCGGCAGCCTAGATCACCACCACTCGCGCCTCCTCCTCCCGAGTGCCCGCCCGTCCTTCGAGTACCTCGAGCACACCCAGGGGACATACTTTATGAGGGTAAGTCTGGCGCTCCTGACAGTGGAATGCCTTGTTGTATGATATTCCCTTGGTGTTTACCGCGAGACCGAGTGATTTGGACCTGGACTGGGATATCGACCTTGGGGTTGGAGGGGTGGATAAAGATGGGAATTGCTGTGCTGGTGACGCTGGCGGAACAGTCGGCTGGAATTCATGGAGGATGACCGCGATTGCTGGAAAAGAGTGGGATTACGATGGCCCCTCGAGACCGACGTCGACATCGCCTTCCCTTCCACGACCGACGTACCCGTCCTCATGGATTGCCTGCCTTCGTCTCCGTTGCTGGAGACCCCTCGATAGCCTCCTTCGCGCTTCGTTAGACCTTCGACGGCTACACTGTGTCGGCTGCCCGGTCCTTACGTGACAAATTCGCCGCGCTGGAATTCCTACCTTTGGTATATCGCGGAATAATTCCCTGCGAGTCGGGACGATACACGACGAGAATTTTGAGCGTGCTCATGCTTATGGTCGGGTGACACTGGGCGGTTCATGGTGCTGAAGGAGGCTGCCATCATACTTCCGGATCTAACAACTCTTGTTTCGCGCTTCCCTACTCTAGGGCAGAGGTGTGTCAAGCTGCTGGGACCAGAGTGCCGGTACTCTCTCGGCTGGAATTAGAGTCGACGGTTGATGGGCAGTCACCCGAAGGGCTTCATCGATTCCACAATCTTCGGCTCAGGCCATCTCTGGTCACTCCTTTGGCCGTCACTCGCTCCTGGTCGCTTCCGCCTACTTTCTCGTTCGCCAGTCGAGAACCAAGGGGCAGTCCAATAGCGCAGGTTCCTACTGCGCCTCACTTTGAGCGTTGTTTGTCCTGCTGCTGACAGGGCAAGCCATCTCACATCTTTCACATTCGATTCCTCCTACCCGGCGTCATCTCGTACCATGAGAGGAGATTCTACCTCCACAGACTGTGCGACCTCATCAATTCTTGAATTTCATCCAGAACCAGTGCCGGATTTCAAACAGGTGCGATTGAGCCTTGTGAGCTTCTCGAGGAAGGCCGTGCCTGGTGCGGTCACTGGTCGACTCTCGCCTTGGCGCGCCTTGGCGGAGTGAGGAGGGATGGGCATTACCAACAGGACCGTGTCTACTAAGCCCTCTGCCAACGGAGATCTGTCAGCAACCGACTCGACCTTCGCTTTCGACGTCCAATCATCCTATACCGCGCTGGTGGAACTGCGCTTCCGGGATTCGCTCGATATTTATCAGATCGACGACACGCCTCCTGACGGTCGGGGGAGACAACGTGGTGCATCAAAGGTCCCGGAGCACTTGAAATAAAGTGTGGCCGGTACAGCGGTCAAGCACTCCCTCAGCAGGCATGTCCCGAACGGCCATCTCCCGAACACTTTTATCTGGCCTCCCCCTGGCTTGGCTGCTTGCCGGGCTTCGTCAACCGCCTTTGTGAGCGCCTACGGCAGTTCGCCCTCCTCAGAGGCCTAGGCACGATATACCAGCTTCAGCGAGAACAAGTTACTCTCCTCAGCTATTCGAGCTGATCGGCCTTGCAAGTCGAACACAGGAATTTGGGAGGGCTCACACTCCGTCGAGAGCACTCATACCCGATCAATCCCGGTTTCTATGCCCGAGTCGCCTCCGCTGTCCAGTCTCCTTACGCCAGCACATCGGTCTCCAATCACAAGTCATGGCACAATGGGGTTGAATCTGATGGCCAAATCCCGCACATCGACCGAACGACAAGATCTCGCTTGGGCAGCTCTCCGACGCCCAACTGCTACACTGTACATGTTCAAAAGTGTGGAGGGGCACACAGGCGAGGGCTGAGAGTCGACTATGCTCACGGCGAGTCTGCCATATCTCAACATCTTGAAACCGTAGTCTACGAGTCTCAGCGGTCCGTCCTCGCCAACTCCCGAGCCACCGAGCCACGCGCTCCACCACCACACCTCACCGAAATGCTGGTCGATCCGTTTGCTTGGACAATGGCACATCGGGCCTGACAGTTGGTTTCGCGGTCTCCAACACCGTCGGATTTTCCAGTTCTCCGAACAATCACCCTGTGTCGAACGTCTTGACGTTGTGTTCTGAGCCTCGAGTGTCTGTTCCCGCCAACCTATGAATCCCCCAAGAAACACGGGCGTGCTGTCCGTCTGATCTGCGGATCAGTCCCATCTTGCGAAGGGGCAATGTGGCCTTTGGGCCTCAGCTCAGCTCTTGAAGCTCGTTCCGCGGGCAGTTGTCTTAGAATCGCAACCCACTCCTGGCACTTTGACCTTCTTCGGAGCGGCCACTTGTGCAATCTATTTAGCATTTTCAATCCTCTTTCCTTGGTTACTAACAACGATACTGAAGTTAGGTCGTCGCCAACAGAAGCGATTCTACGAAACCCACGGTCTCGCCGATTTTCGATGCTCCTGATCTTCGCCAGTCGCCAGCGTCGATCAAGTCTCCCACAAGAGCCCAGCATTACTCATCCGCGGATCCGTTTCCCAGCGCTTGCCTTCTTCTTCTAGCATCGAGAGGTCATCCGGAGCTCGCTATCTCTTGGTATCTTCGACAACTGTTTTGAAACAGGATCTCCGGGTTTCACGGCGTGAAGGCGTCCTTTGCTGCAGTTGCCCTCGGGTCCTGGATACCACCGTCGATTCGAATTTACGATATCTACATCGGTTTCAAGCTTCGAGGTCTTGGGTCTAATACGGCGTCTTTGCCTTTCCGCTGCCTGATCGGTAAGCTGAATTCTTTCCTTACTCGAAGTTGTATCCCTCGATGGCTGCTACCCAATGTGCCTCTCGCGTCGCTTCTTTTCTTTTCGCCCTTCATGGCCGCCGTTGGCTGTGTCTGCCAGTTCTTCGTCTTGACCGCTCAGCTCATCCCGCTGTGGTTCAAAGCGGTGTCATGTCCCGCTGGTGGGCATTGGCTGGTGTTGACGAGTTGTCACACTGGACGCATCGACCAGTCGGCTTGCGCTAGCGGCCGCGTGGGCGTCCTGGCGCTGCCGCATCAGGTTGCTCGCTGGAACACTGCCCCCGCCTTCACAGACGCTGGGTTACCTGGCTTCTTGAAGAATCTTCCCATGGGTATTCAAACCCGAGCGGACTTCATGGAACTTTGCCGAAGACAATCAGTGCTCCGGAAGTCTGAAACAGGTCCAACACTCCGCGATGGCTCCCAACGGCGTACGGCAACTGCACATTTGGCAACACCACATCACGAGACTGGGCCCCTGAACCACCAACTGCCCGTCGACGTATCAGCCTCGCCAGCGCAAATCCTGCCCCGGACAATGGCCATGACCGTCTCGAGCTCCGGGCTACCTTCACCATTGGGGCCTCGACAAGTCCTCGTCCGCCCCTTTTCTCTCCGCTACGTCGCTTCTTTCTTCAGGCCGGCTATGGGCGCCGTGGCGGCTTTTGGCAGCCGAAGCTTCCAGCAGATGCTCTCATGCTCTCAGCTCTCCCCTGGATCCGAGAGGCGAACCTATATCAAGTCGAGCACCCGAACAGCCATGCTGCATACCCAGGGGCTCTGGACAACGCCCTGGGCATGACACACCTGATACCTGGCCGGTCGTCAGTGGACTGGCCGGTCGTCAATACCTCCCTTCACCATAGGAGATGGCGCCTGGCAGTTCCCCGTCTAACCTGGTCTGCTGATTCTTGCAATTTGCAAGGGAGCCGCCGCACCTCATATTTAGGAGGGCATGGGACACAGCTTCTGTTCTAACGTTAGGACTCTCCGTTTCGAACAGGCAGTGGCTAACGTCGTTACCTGATACACAGTTTCGAAACAAAACCCCCCTTAGCGATTACCATTGATCATCCGGTGCTGCCGCTATAAAGCTCTCGCTCTGCTCAAGTCTTTCTTCGGTATGTGGCATTCCGTCTCTTTTCCCTGTCCTTCAACAATACCTTATCCAGGTGTGGCGTTCCCATTTGGGCGCGGTGGTTTGCAAAGGTCGAGGACAAAGGAACCCCCGTCTCTGGCATTCCACAGCCTAGTCATTTACATACCAGAGCCTCGTCATCTACAACTACAGCCTGGTCATCTGCACCACAGCGCCTTATCCGGCTTCCAGCTCGGATTCATCTGCTACCAACTCGGAAGCTAACGTTTTGAAAGGCAGACGTCCTTGTTTACTGTCCATCCAGGAGGTACTGGTGAGTCCAAATCTCTTTACTCAGCTTTCTTCCCTATCATTGGCCGCCTTTCCAAATGCTTCAAGTGGAGCAACTATATACTCCTAAGCAGGACAACCATACCTATAGTCCTCGTCGTCTTAAAGTCTTAGGGTTTTCAACTTTCCCTATTCGAGCCCTCTATCTCTACCAAGGCACCTCATATGCCCTGGGCGGCCCTAGCACAATCCATTACCCTCTTACCCTGGCCGGTCGAGTGCCGAGCCGGCCAAGACTCCCGCCGAGACCTCTGCCGAGACTCTGCCGAGCCTCTCGTCGATTCTACACGTAGTGCGCGATTCGGATTCTAAGATTACATACGTTCTCTCCGGTTGGAGCGTCGTGATGACGACCGTAGTCCCGCGCTCTTCCTCGTCTTATCTAGCTTGGACTAGCGAAGTCTCGCTAGCACTACTAGGTGGATTGAGCGAGGGAGGTCGGATTAGGAGGGTCCATATCGTCTTAGGGGCCGATATTTGGTTCCCACCCTCTAAGAGCCATCAAGGGGCTGCAAGTTTTATTCTTGTTAGTGTCGAATCGATATCACGTGGAAGTTCACGTGATCACCGTATTGACTGCCTAGCCTCTCAGCTGAGCCGCGATCTCATTCCGCTCCACCGATGGGATGGATGTTTACGTGGGAGTCCATGTGATGCCCATCTTATCTTCTCGGCCTCGCGTTTGCCACGAACGCCGAGATCTAGAAACAGCGGGTTTATTTTGCGTTGTTGATAGGATAGATATCACGTGAAATTTCACGTGATGCCGGTCTGGACTTGTTAGCTTCGTTTCTTGACTTCTCGGCGTCCGGAGGACATGAGATCGCGGGTTGATTCTGCATTCACGATGGGACCGGTACAATATGGAAGTCCATGTAACCCTCATCTGAAGTGCTCAGTCTCGGGACATGATTCAAAAGGCCGAGGAACAAAGAGACATCGAGTTGCATTTGCATGAACAATGGGATGCCAATGTATAGAAGTCCACGTGTCCCCTGATCTGACCTTCTCGGCTCCCTTCTCGTTTTTTGAGCCGAGTGACCAAGAGTTCTCACGTTTATTCTAAGCAATGGCACGGTTATTCACGTGGGAGTTTCGAGTGCTCTCCATCTGAACTATTCAAATCCCCTTCGGGCCTCCCCCTCTGCCTATATTCTTGCTTCCTCTTCCTCTTCCTCCACCTCTTCCTCTTCCTCCACCTCTTCCCACTCTCCATCTCGCACCCCACACTTCTACATCTTGCGCAGTTTTCGTTCGCCACCTTCTAGTTTTTCTTGCGCGCCTGTCTTGTTCGGCGCCGGCTACAATGTTCAATTTTCACTAACACCTCAAAGCTCGCAATCGATTCAACCACAACGCTCTGCAACACTCTATCGGACTGATCTACGCCTTACTCGATCTTCAAAGTAAGTATCGCTCGGTTCCTCGAAAACAGCCGACATTTTTCTGTTCTCGATATTTTCACCGATTTTCTGTCTCTTTGGCGAGACCAACCATCAAGTTACTTATAAACTCTTTAACGGTTTATTACGTCACTTCATTGAGCCTTTTTTGCCTTTGGTGCTAACGGCAATCGGCAGGGACACGATGGCCGAGTACACTCCTACTGGCCCTCCCGGCGCTGCCACCAACGGCGGCAACATGAACGGCTCGGGCGAAGGCTTTTCGGCTGCCGCGCCAATGACTCCGTCTAACGACGCTCCGAAGACTCTGTGGTAAGTCAGAGCTAAGAGGTATCTTGTTTGTACACCGTGATTGCTAACAGTTCTCTTAGGATGGGCGAGATGGAGGGTTGGATGGACGAGGCCTTTATCAAGAACCTTTACCAGTCCGTCTTGGGTGAGACTGTGCAGGTTAAGATTATCCGTGACCGCAACTCGGGGTAAGTCTTCATCTATTTATTTCTTTGTCGTTCTACACTATACCTTATTTTTGTCGTTCGACTATACCCCTCTATATCTTCTTGCCCCGCTTTTCCCCTACTACCGGTAATACCGGGGTTTTTCTTGTTTTAGCTTGTTTCGTCCTATAACTCCGTCCAGGTCACGTAGTATCCGCTAAGCTGACCCGCTTATAGCAACGCTGGCTACTGCTTTGTTGAGTTTGCGACTCCTGAGGCTGCCTCGAAGGCCCTCAGTCTGAACGGTACACCGGTTCCCAATTCGAACCGGGTCTTCAAGCTGAACTGGGCGTCTGGTGGTGGCCTAGTCGACCGCCGGTATGAGATGGATGCAGTGGATCCTCTTGGCATTCGCTAACAACTATGTAGTGACGATCGTGGCCCTGAGTACAGCATCTTCGTCGGTGACCTCGGTCCTGAGGTTAACGAGTTCGTATTGGTCCAGCTGTTCCAAGCGCGATTCCCTTCCTGCAAGTCTGCCAAGATCATGACGGATGCCATGACCGGCCAGTCGCGCGGCTATGGCTTTGTCCGGTTCAGCGATGAAAGTGACCAACAGCGCGCTCTGCTTGAGATGCAGGGCGTGTACTGCGGCAACCGGCCCATGCGGATCTCGACAGCCACCCCCAAGACCCGCTCGCACCAGTACGGTGGACAACATGGCCACGCGCCCAATCCGGTCATGCCCGCGGTTCCCGGCCACCCGGGCCCCATGTGGGGTGCCCCCGCCGCCTTCTATGGTCAGGCCGCACCGTTCAACCCGATGCAGCCCATGAACCAGTTCACGGACCCAAACAATACCACTGTTTTCGTCGGTGGTCTCTCGGGCTACGTCACTGAAGATGAGCTCCGCTCCTTCTTCCAGGGCTTCGGTGAGATCACCTACGTCAAGATTCCTCCCGGCAAGGGTTGCGGATTTGTCCAGTTCGTCCACCGTCATGCCGCCGAAATGGCAATCAACCAGATGCAAGGTTATCCCATTGGCAACTCGCGCGTTCGTCTCTCCTGGGGCAGGTCCCAGAACAATTCGGGCGTCGGCACTCCCTATCGGCCGGCTCCTCCGCCGCCGCACTACATGGCAGGCATGCCTCCTCATGGCGGTCCCCCCGGTCCCGGTGGCCCTTATGGCGGTCCTCCCTTCGGCGGCAACCCTTCGCAGGGTCCCCCTCCTGGCCCCATGGCTGTGAGTCAATTGTCCCCTGACAAGTTGCATGTCTTTTGCTAACCACGGCTGCAGTAAATTTCGTTCTGCGTCCTTGGTTCACTCATCAGTCGTTCCTCGCACGGAGTTCGGGAGGCGGTGTATCGGTCATGGAAAAGCATCGAGGGCGTTGACAAATTCGAGCTTGCCTGCGCTTCTTCCCTCCTTGGAACCTCGTTCGGTTTTTTCACGATCCATCTGCTCTGTCTTTCGGCATTGCTACGGCGTTTCCCGGTTTCGCTGTCTCTGCTCTTTCGCGTACCTGGGATGCTATGACATGAGGAACGGAAGGGTCATTATGAGGGATGGCTGCTGGACTCGTTTTCAGTTTTCTTTTCTGCGCGTTGCCTTTCAACTCATTCATTTTCGTTTCGTTCGTCCCGCGCTTTAAGGCTTATCTTCACTGCGCCCGTCACCAGCCCAGGCATCGAGGAGATGGTCAGTTGGGAGCAGGAATCGACAGCGGTTCTTTTTACCCATCTGGCTTGGAACTCGGCGAGAGGATTGATATCTTTATAGATTCTCTCCTCGAGGATATTGGACTTTGGTTGGTTGGCTTGTTCCTGCCTTCTACGGTTCAGGTTGGTCCGCGGCGAGATATCTATCTGCTGGTACTCGCAGGGACGCTGCTTACTTATTCGCGCAATGTTATTCGATCACTGAGATTGCTGCCTTGTTGCTGCTCTTGCTGTGTTTCCTGCCTGCATGTTTTTTGGATGCTCGCTCTTTACCTTGCCTTGCGTGCTATGTCTCTTCCCGCCTTGGATGGGTGTGTTTGATGTGTCTGTCTATGGCGGCGGCAAGTGCTTGCCTCCCGGTCACGGGAGGTTCAACTTATCCAGGAAAAGACGCAGGGAGTCATCGACATGGCCGACCTGATGCCATCCGCTCTGGAGGCTGACCTCTGGCTTGAGAACAGCACAGGGTCGCCAGACTACGGCCCTGAGCCACACGTTCAGGTCCGTGGGAAGGTTTGCGGATGCTCTCTCCCTGTTGACTCGCTAACTACAAACGTCTCACAGAATAAACACAGCTTGGATCGGCAGAGGAGCAGTTGTTCGGCTTCAGCTTACTGCCTGCTGGCTGTGGATTATGAAGCAGTAGAGTTTCCGAGATGAATCAAACGGTGTCTGCCAGGGCAGTTGGTCCCTGCATTCCGACACGCGGGATTCGACCTATAGGCGGAGTTGTCTCGCCGGCCAGCTGCTGCAAATCCGGTGGACAAAGACACAGGGCCGGAAACAGCAGTGGGATGTGTCAAAAGAGAGCAAATACAAAATCGAGGGGCTGGCGGGTCAAGACAAAGAGCAAGAAAGGTCCTCCTGCCGGCGAGACTACTTCTTTGTCCACTTCACCAATTTCAAGCACGGCATCATGCCTGGCAATGGCACTCCTGCGGGCACGGCCAGACTCTCAGTCACTGCTCGAGGGTTCCGACCTTGGTGACTAAGTCATGAAAGGGCGTCTTCGAGCTCTCCCGTCGGAGCGGAAGAATCCAGCCCTGAGCCTCTCTGCGGAGGATACATGGTGGCTGCGAGGTGGCTGCCGTCTAGCCTGCAGCGGGTTGGACTGTTAGGGCCAGACCAAAACTGAGCAGGTGGCCGATGGGATTGAGCTTGACCTTGAGTTCGAGGCTGAGCGGCGGGAGGCGACGCGAACTCGTCGGGGGCACAACGGACAGCAACTGGGTGTCTGACCGTGCTCGTTGAGGGTGGTTCCGTTGCGAGACATGATGCTGGGGGTGAATTGGTCTTAAGGAGTCGTAGAAATACGCCACCCTTTTCTTGTCATTGTTGACAATATCGTGGAGGGGTCGAGTGCGCTCGACCCTCCCAGTTGCCATGTCGATGGTCTTGGGCATGGTGGTTGATGGTCCATCAGCGGCGAGTAAGGGAAGCTCGCGCTTGTCATGATAATTGCCCCTTCGCCCCTCGAATTCCCCTGTCTACCTCACTCACCTGTAGATACATGGGACGGTTTTCTATCTCAATCGCCTACGGACGGTCTTCAGTCTCACTTTTCACTCGCTTATAGGACCGTCTTCAGCCCTATCTACTTAGGTTCAGGATGGGGTGCTGTGTTATGCGGTGGACATCGTCGGGAAGGTCCTTGGGGACGACCGGGTCGAGGCACGAAGGCGGGTATCCTTTATATCGGAACTTTCAGAAAATCTTTCAAGAACTCAAGGGCCACTCGTGACCATGAGCAAGGTCTTGAAACAGCCCTCAAACATTTCCATTTGCTGAGCAGAGCGATAACAGAAACAGCTATACACGCACACCCCTTGCATTAAAAGCTCCCGATGTTGCCAGCTCCACCCCGAGAGTGCCCATGTCAGCCTTTGTTTTTTGATACCCTGACCTGCATGTTCTTGACTGGAGCGTTAATAACTCTTGAGCTACCAGAACTATTGGCAATCGACTCCCCTTGTCCTTGTAGGTTCGCGAGTCTAGTCTTATATCTCCTGATGTCAGACAGACACGAATTTGCGCGGTAACCCGCAGCTCCCACCATGTTTGTTACCGTATTCACAAAGTTCCAGGCTCCGAGTGCCCAAATCTCGAGTCTGTTTGGTTCACGCTTCCCTCCAGCGAGGCGTTCTCTCCCTCTTCGAGATATTTTGGGAATGGTTGCCGGCTCGTGTCCTCTCGATACCTCATGAGTCCTGTCCTTGAGCGGTGGTATGTTCGACTTCTTACTCCATGTCGTGGCAATTTAAACTGAGCGGAGCCCCGGCCTCGTATCTTCCACTTCTTGCCGCATATCCCAGTCTTTGATGATCCCTTGCGCCATTTCCAGGGCGATACTCCGCTGCCTTGTTATTCCCTTCCTCTGACACAGCTGCTCCCTCCTCTTGAAGATGTCCGCCCACGTTGCCGTATGCTCTCTCCATATCTTTTCACTTTCCCGAGATCCTTCATCCTCGGTGCCTGGGTCCCGTCGTGATCAACTCTCCCTTGAACTAGCGCGGTCCAGTTCTCGGGCAGGTTGCTTGTACCCCCGTCTTCTCGATCGGCCGCCGGTGTATGTCGTGTTGCTTGTCGGGCATATTCCTCCTCTTGATATCGTATTCCTTCCCGGACAGTATGCGTGGCCTCCTCTTGAAATATGGGTCGGTCTTTCAGGTAATATATCTGAAGCAGGTGCCCTCTTGTCGGAGTTATCCTCCTATTGACGGCGTATTCTCGACAAAGTATTTCCCTTTCGTCTTGACAATATATCTCTCTTCTTAAGTCGTGTATTCCAGCCCTCCTTCACATCGTCGTCCTCCTCTTGGACATTGTACAGTCTCCTTAACTATATCCTTCTTTTAATGGTGTATGCCTCCCTGACTGTCGTCATGGGTGGGTTTCTTGTTCCTCACGGGTATCACCCTCGCAGTTGGACGGTATATTCCTCCTCTTGGTTGTATATCCCACTTCCTTGCCAACAGTGTACGTAGATGTTCGTCCCCTTGATAGTGTATGTCCCTCAACAACATATTCCGATTCTTCACAATGTCTGGTATCATTGAACTCGATCGAAACTCGCACCTCGTTGAGGGTTCGATTCTCGCCGGCCTTTTCCGGTCAATGGTTCCTTGCTCGCAGCTTCTCGGGGTGATTCCGTTGTCAAGGGCCACGTCGCTCAGAGACCCTTGAGTCCTGGTATTCTTCATGACCATCTATGTGTAGCCTGCTCTCGCCAACGTAACTCCCCGTTTTTTCCTGTATCCCTCTTACGACTGCGTTGCTCCGGCCTTGTCATGCTCGTTATTCTTGTATATCTACGCTTGCCAGTATTCCACCAGTCCTTGTTCGTACTTCGTATGCCGTCGTTGGGGCGGTGTAATGTCGAGGGTTGCTGGTCATCACGGTACATGTATCCGACCTCTTACTGGTATGTCCCCCTCTGCAGTGTGGTATATCCCCCCTATTGACTGTGCTGTACCCAACCCGTTGCGACCATCCTCTTGACTGCTGTACGAGCTCCCGTGTAGGCCTCCTCTTTCCCTTACACCCAAGTGGTGTATTCCTCAGTCCTGATCTTGATATCTCTTGTGTGACTTGCTCGGACGCTTTCGGAGTCTTGGGAGGAGTGGTTGAGCGAGAAGGCTTGAAGTCTTTGGGCTAGATGTAAAAGAACAAATCAACAAAGGTCACTTGAAGATCAGACAAGCTCCAGTCTGAGTTGACAACATCAAGCAATACAGGGGTCAGCCGTCCCAAACACTGAGTCCTGATACCGCCGAGAGGCGAGATCTCACCAAGACCTTTCCAGATGATACTCACTTTGAATCGGAGCATGGCGTTTTCGAAAAGTCCCTCATAGCCTGAGCTCTTTGACGTCTTACATCCGGGCGGTGTCTTCGTTCGTTACTCGGAGTCCCCAATCAAACCAAACCCCAGGATGATCTGGCAGGCAAATCTGATTAAGGTAGACAATGGCTAGCAACACGACCTTTGAGGTACAGAGAACCAAGCCGGTCGTCTCTGGAGAGACGTGCAGGAAACTGCCCGCATCAAACAAGGCAACGACAAGAGCCAGAAGCGGTTAAAGAGAAGAACTAAGGCGTCCATGTAAATGGGCAGTCAGGTGAACAGAGATTGGTTTTGAACGCACCTTACGTTGCCCTGGAGCCTCAGCACAAAGGGCCTTGCAATCCTCAGGATGTGCTAGGCCAGGATGTGATTGAGGTTTCTTAGGGAAAAAAATAAATAAAAATAGACAACGCATCTTTCTGCTGTTTTGGCTTTTATTGAGTGAGGGCAGGGGTCAAAGGTCTCATGGAGTGCTAGGCGGCCCATTGGCCGCCTACATAAGACCTCTCGGATCCTACTGATGTGGTGGCATGGCTGTGGGACGGTATGTTGGCGCATCACGTCCCCGCCTGTTTCCACGGGCCTAAGCGGATCTTGCTTTGTGTCGGAGCTTTGAGGTAATGCGTCGACCATTTGACAGACAGAGTACAGCCATGTACACCGAGCTTCCCTGATAAGCCTCCCCAAATTCCTTCGACTAATTCTCTTTGCCGGCTCCTCAGGCATATGTCCCGTCGTTCTCTTGGATCTTTAGTCTCGATCTCTTAGCCCTCTTCTAGCTACCTAGGTACTTTACATGGCACACTCTCACACCAGGCTCTTGCTGCAAAATCGACGATATCATGAGCTCCACGTCAGGTAATGCTGCTCAAGGCAAAGTCCCTCAACATAACATAACAGCACCCATGAGGATGATTGAAATAGCGAGGTATGAGTGAATTTTCCCAACACCAATCTGACCCACAACATCCGTCCAAAAGGAGACATTGGTGCCTTTGTGAACCCGCACTGGCCCCTATCTGAGAGACTGCCATGTTTGTCACACTGCCCCTATTTGAACCATGTGAGTCCTAAGGTCCTAGGAACCAGTTCACATCACCTGTCTTTCACCTCCCCAAGCACTGAATCTTTTTTACGAAGTACAGACGTCGAGCAGAGTCACTTGATGGCACCAGACTGGCGACGAATGGATGGCTGTCAGTAAACTATAATCACAGTAAGTATGTAGTTTACCTAAGTTGCCTGTAATTCGTCATCTGTTTTGCCACAGCGGCCAAATTTGGGTTCATTAAGGTATAGACGGGACTTTGCCAAGTTGGCATGCCTCTCTTCTTTATTAACTAGGCGATAAGTAGCCACAGGAAAACAATCGGAGTGTTAACTGTCAGTTTGGATGCCATCAGAGGTTCGAAATACCCAGGGTGCACGTCACGGTTAGGTATCGTGTAAATCCGGAACTACGGGAATACCAGGTATGGTTACCTGCCTGTCCAAGCAGGCTTGGATCAGGACAAAGGGGCAGAAGAGGTACTGGTCACTGGTCAGGTTCAAGCGAGCCGCCAATGCCTCTCGAAAGCTCTCAATGCGATGAAGTAAGGGCATATGATGAAGAATGCAGAATGCGAAGCACTGGGTTACCCTGAGGTCGCCAATTTCCGCTCATGCCCACCCCAGCCGTTGCTCCCTACCCTCTGTTCGCCACCATGATCATGTCCCAGACATTCATCTCAACTCAGCCTCCCAATCCAACTCAACCCCAAAAGAGCTTGAAAGCAATTCGAAATGCCCAGAACAGCCATGCCACCACCACTCGCACTCCCCACAGCAGCCACCTGGCGACAAACCACAGAACGGATATGGTGTACGGGAAAGTCCACTTAAGAACTCGACCCATGCGGCGCAGATACCAGCCAAGCGCAGGCCAGAGCACGACAAAGAGCAGTCCAACCGGTCCGCCGACGAGGGCCATGGTCACTGCAAACACGTCAGAAACAGAAGTAACAAGAGCAATGAAAATCAAACCGAGAGGAAATGACTCACCGACTCCCATCAACGCTTCCATCCCCCATCCATACCCATACCCCAAGTCTCCTCCATCTCCGCCACCATCCTCAAGCCCATCCTCAACGCCGATGATAACGCCCCCCGGAGAGTACGCGTGAACAGCCGTGCGCCCAACCAACACCATACCCCCCATAAACCCACCAACCAGCCCGAGACAGAGCATGTGAAAAACGAGCCTCTAGCCCGCCCGCGCTGTCAGCAGGGCCTGGCGCACCCAGCCTGCCTCGGCCGTGCTGAAGCTGGCGCACTGCGAGGCATACCACCAGGCGAAACCCAGTGTGGCGCACCAGAAGTGGAGGTAGGACAGCGCATTAACGAGGGTGACACCCTGCCGGTGGTGATGGTAGTGATTGTGGTGGTAGTTATGGCTGGATGTAGCGATCAGCAGTGCCGTTGCCAGGGCGGCGTGGAACTGGGTGAGGGTGAGGATCTGGGATGTCGGGGGTTCGGTGTTGTTATCGCCGTTGTCGCGTTGCTCGGGTTGCGCCATGCCGGCTTCAGCGGCCATCTTTGAATCTCTGAGCGAATGGGTGCTTGAGGACTCGATCAAATGGACTTTGGCTGTGGAATTGATTGGAAAAAGGGTGTTGTTATTCGTTGTGGTGGCACGGGACGGGCATTGAAATGGAGGGTTTGTATCGTCAGAGTAGTTAATCGGGAAGTTGGAAGAATTCAGTTGCTATCTACAACGTAAGTTCAGGGAAATCGGGTGGGAGGGTTAAAACCGGTGATTGCGTCAACAACCAAGGGGCAGAGTATTAAAATGGAAGCAAAAACAGAGAAATCTGTTGGGACTGACATCTGTCGGAGTGTATCGTCGGAAGATCCTTCATACTATCGAGCAGGATGAGGCCCTGTACAAACCTGTTACTGCGTAGACGTCCAGGCTAGCCGTTGCCCTTAGCCCGTCCACCGGAAAAGAGTTTCAGACTTTTTGTGTGAAGTCGGCCAGAAACATGGAGTTGCCGGTCAGCACTCTAAGAGTTTGAGTTCTCTTTCAACGTTTTGTCTGAATGTCTTCACACCTTGTTCCCGCACCATGAAAACCCTAGCACTTCTCTCCTATCGGTACCAGTTGAGCCTGCCTAACTCTCACAAGGCCAACTACATGGTTAAGGTGAGATACTTACTGCAACCAAATAATGGTGTTTTGTTCTACTACAAACATGTCCCTATTGTCTGTGTTGAAATGGTGTATCCAGAGGTCAAGTGCTACCTTGATAACATGGCTGACTTATTTTTAAGTCCATTATGGCGTCATATTGAGATGCATAGCATTATTGAGGTACAGGAGCGACGGCAAAACCGAGAATACATGCTCACAGTGTAAAAGTGTTGCCAGTGATAGACCTGAAGTCCCAGGCACCATCGATTTCCAATTTGAATGGCGCTATCTGTTTCACTTCATCAACGAGCAAACGACCTGTACTTGCAGAAAAGTACCAACCTCTTCCTCTTGAGGCCCTGATTGTGTGAATTGAGGTGGTACTATTGACTGGGCGGCATCCTCCAGGCCGTCTACCCCAAACTCTGCTCCGAACCCTTGGGTCAGTGGTTCTAAGGAACGGGCTCCGCATACTGAATTTGAGTCAAATTCGTGTCAGAAACCGCCGTACGCTGATGATTCTTAGGAAGTATCCCGAGAGATTCTGTGTATATCAGGCCGAGAATGGGCACTATGGTGTTCAAGTTGCTTGGATCTGCTCTCCGGCATCCTCAAACAAGGGTCGGCGTCCCAGCTAGCGCCTGAGCAGACGTCCCCTGCATAAGCAACAACCAACAGATGTCACCCAGCCGACTTGAGCATTCTCTATCGGGCTGCAGGTGGGGGTACAGGATTGCCCCTGGACGGCTGTGCCGCATCATTGCTGCTCTCGACCGCCCTAAAGCAACTTCACCTCGATGCCGTGATAAGAGTGTCATCCCCTTCAGTTTCCATTCCCAGAAAACCACACACACCCGACCCATCAGGTCAGGTAGCCGGGTGCTCTTACAGGTGTACTTGTACTTCCCTTCCCGCCTCTTTCGCATGATCTCATCCTGTCGGCGCACCACACCAAGCACCGAACGAGGCACGCAATCTGCCACCCAAAGCGACTGGACGCGCTGGGGGAGATTGGCCTCGTCTTCCTCGGCCGACCAGCTTCGCAAACGAGCACCACGTCGACGCAAGCCCACCCTAAGATCTAAGGATGGACACAGAGAAGGGCGGTTGCGTCCCTCGCGTTCCAGCCACCGGGCTGCTGGGCGTCAGATTCAATTGGGTGCAGGTTATCGGGCGATTTCTCTCTGTCTTGCTCGAGTTTGGCGCTTTGGCCTTCGTCGCCTGGTTGTACGGCTATTGGAGGTCGGAACCGACGACACGAGTCGATGTCCTCTTCCCATCCTTCTTCCCAGTGCGCTCCGGACTCATCCCTAACTGGTGGTCTGTGGAACCCTCGACTGATGTGCCGGCAGGTCATAACCGGAATCTTGATGGATACGTACGAGCTGGTGTCTCTTCTCTTCCTGAAGAGGAGGCGGGCCATCAACCCTGTGGTTGTGTGTTTCGACATCGCCTTGGTAGGGATAGGGGCCTTTTGCTTTCTGGTGCTTGGCTTGGTTGACAGGGGATCGGGGGAGCGGCGGTCGTATTGGGCTTCGGACATGTCAAACGTCATGGTGTTTATGATTGTCTTCTCGTGAGTAAATAACACGGGTCTGCAGGCATATTGGAAGGGGATACTGACTCGTCTCTTCTCAGCATTCTACATGCCGGTTTCATTATCCTCGCCGCTGCTGGAGTGATGCGCATCTATTTCTCGAGCACCAAGGCTCGGCAAGAGGCCCAACTGGCCAGAAGTCAGGTTGAGATGGTTCAGTTCAACGAGAGGAGACGGCAACTGCAGAGTCTGCCAGGGGCATCATGATGCCGAATGATGTAAAAGGCACTGTCAGTTGAAATTGAAGAACGGCCTCAGACGAGGCCTGCTCACGAAGTCCAAATGACCTGGGATGGATTCACTATTGCTGCGGTCTGAAGTGTCGTCTGGTTGTCTTGGGGGTGCTAAAAACGGTCTAGGGGCCTTAGGACGGTCAAAGTTTGATTATTGGTTGCTTCCTTTTCATGCCCGTTATTCTGGTTTTTGCACTTGCAGGCCGCCGGTTGTGAGTTTAACCCATTAAGGGTTGACATATCTTTTTTCTCCTGCGCCCCTCACACCGGCAAGAACCTCTTAGCTCTTTTGTTCACCACCTCGCTGCACCTCGCGCCCCTTCGTCATTACTTGTCTCTCCACGCCGCCCTCTTTCCCCCTCGCCGCGCGTTCTGACCAGCAGTAAGATGTGCATCCAGCTCGTCGCTGTGTGCTCCTGGTGCGGCCTCGAGACTTTTGGGTATCACCTCGTCAAGCCTTGCGAAGTGAGAGCCTATGAGTTCAGCACCGTAGACCTGATGCTGTTCAACGACTACCTCAGCCGGTGTCGTGAATACGGACTTGGAAGGTGCGAGACCGCTTCGTTCGTCTTTCTTCACTCCGTCTTTGAGCCAACACCGCCCTGCGCAAACCCGCAGTGCGCTGGTCTTGCACCAGCAGGTGCAAAATCCTCGGGGCCAGCTGATCTTCGAGGTCTTGATGCAAAATAGGCCCATCTTTACCATCCGAGACAGAACGACACTGATAAACACAGCCGTGGATGCTGGCTGGGGCTCAGGGCTCGCTTGGTTCACCCAGCAGCTCATGGCTGGCAACAACGTTGGCTTTCAAGGAGTTCAGCTTGGTCATGCCGGTCAATACCTTCAGCCCGGCCTGCCTTACATGCCCAGGCCAGCTCTTCCCTACGACCAGATCCCCGCTAGAGAAGAGCATGCCGCTGCGGGTAACGATGTTCTCGACGACGCCTATCCGGATCCTATTGTCGACCAAGGGTTCGGGGCCGAGGAGTTTGACAACGGTGAGTTCGACCTCAACCAACAGGAGCGGGACAACCACGGCACTGTTAAGAACCGGGCTAGCTCGTCGACTCGGTCTCGGATTCAACGGGGTGGGGACCCGTGGACCGATGAAGACGACAAATTCCTTGTCCGCCTCAATGCAGAAGGGCTGTCAGATTGGGACATCATTGTAAGTGATGAAGCTATATGAGGAACAGGATATGGGTTTTTCACCCGGCCCACGAGGGCGCGGTTTTCCTGTATAGTAAGTTGTTGAAGGTCCGGCACGCCCTAGGGCACAGCGGCGTAGGAATAATATATATGAGGAACAGAGTAATTCCGTTGCGCGCAGAGCCTGAACAGCTAAACTTCTTGGAACGGTCCCTTTCTCAATCCCAAGGCTATGGTTGGCTGACATCGCCCCTTCGTTTGATCAGGAGCAATACCCCGAGGTATTCGGTGGCCGCACTACGAGCGCCCTCGAGACACGACGTTCTAGGCTGAAGAGGACACAACGAGCTCGAGCTCGGGCAGCCGCAGCCAACGCCGGCTGCAAACCGGGTAAAGTCAATCCTCGCCGGGAGCCCGACTCGGATACCGAACCCGAACCCGGCCCTGGCGCAAACCCCGGCACAAGCTACAGTGAGGGTCAAATCGCAGCCTACTGGGAAGCCTAACGTAAGAATAATGACGTGACCGTGGATGGGAAAAGCCATCTCTGGCGCTGGAAAGAGGATTTAGCGTTCGTCCAGGGCACTGGGTGTTGTCTGGGACTTGATCGCACATTGACACATGGGGAACGTGAGGAGCGATGGAACCGGCTCGGTGGAAAGCAACGGTTGGCGGCCCGCCAACAAGGCAATTCTGATAGGTCTATCCAATCCCAGGAATACCCAAGCGTTCAGCAGCTGCATGGACTTATCAAGAAAGGAAGGGACATTCTTTCTTGCTGACTTGGTAGTATTAAGGAGAAACATAGGGGCTTGGTTGGTTTCTAAGCTCTTTGATGAAGCGACACTATGGGATCTCCATTTGTTGATACTCTGGCTTGAATCGATCAGTGCAAGTTTCAACGTTCATGAGGATGGCCTTTCTGCACACAGCAACCTGAATGAATCTGGCAGTCGTAAAAGGGGGTTATCTCAGAGCTTCTCAGAGGTACACGTGTAGACGGCTTCTGGGGGCTGCAGCAAGTGCTCATACAGATCCGCCTCAGGACCGCATTACGATACGGTCTCGACGTCATTCAGTTCGCTTTCATCTCCTGAACCCAAGGGTATCATGCTACAGAATTCGTCGAAGTTTTTTAAAGTCTGTAAGGTATCAATCTTGAGGGGGGATTGGTGGGGAGGAGGCCGAGGACTGGATGACGTAGTGCAGAGCAGCTGACAGCTCCCGAACAGGCTTTTTGACTCGCCAAGCTTAGGTGGCCATACCAGTACGCATAAGGTATAAGAGCAAAGAAACAATGATCTTCTGACGTTTTGACTCTCCTAACCATTGATCATCCCATCAAAAAGCGAACAGCAGTTCATCCTTATTCGACCTCACTCCACATCAAACCGATCAAACCACCTCACCCATCCCAAAATGAACAACCACAACAATGACTCGGGCATCACCGGCGCCGGCAAGGTCGTCACCTCGACCCTCGGCAACACGGTCGGCGGCTTGGCCAACACGGTCGGCGGTGTCCTGGGCGCTGCCTCGCGCGGCATCGGCGAGACCGTGACGGGCGCCACGGGCGGCATTGGCAAGCCCCTGGGTGATGGCGTCGCAAACATTGGAACCGGCCTCGAGAAGGGCGTCGGCTCGGCCGCGCAGGGCGTCAAGGATGCTGGCGAGTGGAAGACGGGTCCGAAGAAATTTTAGGTCTACGGCTGTGGGCGTGTGGACCGCGGGGAAAATGTGAGGAGGATACAAGTCATGATGGGATACAGCCGATGGTACATGATGCCGGTTGGATATTGGATTCCGTGTTTCGATTACATGCATGGCGCTTGCTGAAGTGTTGGAACGCGACTAAGGGATGATGTTTTATCTGTACATTAACTACATGGTTTGCATCCCTTTGTAAGATTCACATAAGAGCGAGAGATTGAGCACACCACAATCGAGGAATGGTCCATAGCGTGGTTGGAACCAGAAGTAGTTGCCTGGGAAAGATCATCTCGGGTGTCCTCTCGGCAACCCAGGTACTATCTACACTTTAGCTGTGGCTGGATCAACCTGGCATGTGCTACCGCTTCCCCAACGCAGCCACGCTTGCGGAGAACATCTTGTCCAGATCATCAATTGCTCTGTTGAGTGCCTCGTTTTCCTTCCTGTTACTCGGTGCGAGGACCGGGCAACCGTGCTTATCGAGCAACTCCCATCCACCTTGAGCGGTTTGGCTTGGCCTCTTGCGTTGGCCCCCAACATCCGGAATCGGCACCTTGGCTACATGCCTATCGGGCTTTCCCAAGTCTGAGTCTCTCTTGCTCATACGCGGTGGTGTCCCGCTGGTGTTCTTCATGTTCCATCCTCCTTCGTCGTTCTCGACTACGTGTGTTCCTTGGTCGTCCGGCGCAGCCAATGGATTGGTGAATGTGGGTTTCGCCGGTCTCATGATGGAAAAGTCGTATCTCGACTTGATGAACGGGTTTGGTTGTTTCCCTCCATCCATCGAGCGGTTCAGGGGCTCGTTGCGGTTGATTGCGATGCCTAAAGAGAGATCAAAGTTAGCGAGGTGAGCAATTGTCGATGTGTCTCTTGCGCAGATCCGTCCATACCCTTGAGACCAGTCCTCTACCTGTGATATATAGCCTGACGCCTCTTTGATGTCTTTCTTCGCTGGCAGACGTTGACGCTCTGTTGTCGCCGTAAGAGAGGGCACTAGAATCTCCTAGATGGCTGGGCTTTCGAAACAGGGATGGCTTGGACACAAAGTACTGCTCGTCAAAGGAAAGAAATCGTGAAATTGAGGCATAACTAGCGTTAGGCCAGGTTAGATGCAGCAATGAGACAATAGGCAGCTTACGTTTGTCTGGGTCTCTCTAACCCGCGCCTGGGCAGAAGGAGCCTAGGAGGGAGGGTATCCGTCTAGTGCTGGAGATCGGTTGGAGCTGGACACCGATAATCAACCAGCAACGTGGGACTATAGTAGAAACAAGAAACGTAACTCGGAAATAGATGGTTTGTGGTGGAACGGTCTTTACTGACTCGGTACCTAGATTTCAGTTCTCAGAAGCCAACGGCTGAATCTCCCGGGTCCGGGAGGCGAGTGAAGTTCAAGTCGGGTTGCTTACAGTGCCTTACCTCTGAGTTGAGGACTCTTCTCTCTCCCTTTAGTTGATGTTGATGCAGTCCTGTGCCAATTGTCGACATCCTCCCTCGACCACAAGCCGAGCTTTTAGTTGTTTGAGGGAAAGTCAAGCTACGTGCGAAATGTGTCGAGCGGGTGCTCAGCGGGTCTGAGAATCAGCTTCTAAACCCCCCTTGCCGCATGCCCATCCGCATACTACACCGCCCGAACGATGGCTACTCGCATGAGGACACGCGACAAAGCAGCACCAGAGAAAGACCCGCTCTTGAAAGTGACTGCAGATTTGAAGGCGTGCATAGGCCGCCCTTGGTTGCCTATAAATTCACTGCTTGCTCACCACTTCATCCACTTCCTCTTCTCTTCTCTTTGTGACGCAGCCATCTGGGTGAGCTAAGCGGCACACCTGGATGGCTTCCCCCCTCCTCCAGCAGATGAGTGTGCAAGCCTGTCTTCCAGGTTATTGCCTCATCAGCCGGACATCGAAACTAGCTTCTGACCTGCCAGGCCACTGCCCCAAGGTAAGTATCCCCAGTGGCCAGGTCCAAGAAGTTTGGGACATTTGAGCCACCTAGCTCTCGTGACAGTCGCCCACTCCATGTCAATAGTGGGTGGGCTCGGGAACAGGAACCCTTTCATCGTGATCGTGATGCTATCCTTCTTCTCACCATCATAAGTTGTCCTCCCTCATCAGCTTTTCATTTGATATAAATCCCATCCTTCCATTCCCGACACCATCCTGACCTCGACTTGCGATTACTGAGCGAGACAGCGGGTGCTGATTTGAGAGACGCGCCTTGCCACGCTCTCCGTCGTCAGCTCGCGCCATCGTTTGCAATCGTTAAACAGTACCGCCCCTTAAGAAGAGGAAGCGGGCAGTTACACCTGTCTTCTCTAATCACTGGGCGAAGATTGACAGCCGCAGCCCGACGACCATGAGTTCCCGCTGCTTCATCCCCACGGCAACGGACCTGAAAGTCGGGCTGACATTTCCCGTTTCAATGTTTCAAGGTTGCAAAGTTTCAAAGTTTCAATCTTTGTTCCAAGACCACCAACACGGCGGCAACCATACAAATGGAAAAGTACCATCCATTTTATCAACAGCCACGCGGAGATCAGCAGCTGAGCTGCTGCCCACTGTGACCGCTTGGAGCCGGCGAACCTTTGCCAGGGGCTCCATGGAGAAGTGTGTGGGCTGACATTCAGTGTTTCAGCCTTTCAGTGTTTGATGTCCCATATTTCCCGTCAACGGCTAGGTCCAGTGTTCCGATTTTGCAACGCGCGTCTTACTCAGATCATGGCACTGCTGCTGCCCACAAGCCACAACTAGAACCAACTGCTTTTCAAGTTCGGTTTGCTTCCAGATAACCTTGAAGTGCGGGTTCTGACGTTCTTCCTCTCGTTTCAATTTGTGCCATTCTGTGTCCTAGACTCACTTAAAGACAGTGAGTGCTAGAGGTTTCTCGGCAAGCAAGCAAGCTGAGACAAGGTTTAGATACGTACCTAGTCACCTGAGGATCAAAGGCACCCCACCAGACTGTGCAATCAAACCCTGTATGCGACCGAGCACACTTATGTTGACATTGACACTCCATTGAAGCACAACATCCTTGACTGGCTAAAGAGCTTGGTGGTGGTAGAACTGGGTGGAAGGAAGACCAGCCCACTTGGGCAACGGTGATTTTGCACGCTGATCTTATTAGTTTCAGAATTCTGTCATGCTGAACTGGATGCCGAATTTTCAGAGACAGAATCGCCAGAACTTGGAGATTCAAAATCAAACACTGCTTGCAACCACACACTTTCCCACCATGGAACAACCATTCACGGGATATGATTGATTAGGATAATCGATCTGCTGTGTTCCGGTGAGGCTTTAAAGGGAAAGATTTCGCCATGTTGGTCATTGTCCTGCAATGCATGTCGTAGGTGACCGGAGGTCTGTCATCTTGCCCGATATGCGTCTCAAGCCTCTCAAGGGCACACTCGCAAGTGCGCAGGTAGCCGAAACCAACTGAATGCAAGGAATGCATTTCACAAAAGATAACCTGAAGGTGCTCAATGGGCTTAGGTTGGCGTATTTCACGGCAGAAACGCTTGGTGTTGAAGGATGAAAGCAAGGTGCAACTACACTTTGCATGCGAGATGTTCCAGTCTGATTAGCTGAATGATGGGGAGCCGGACAAGTCAGAGACGGCAAGCTGAAGTGGAACTCGAAGTTGACTGGCACTACCTTACATGAGAGAGGAGAGTCCCTTGTTGGCTGAGACGCAACATGTTCCTCATGATGGCATACCAGGTAATGACGCGATTCGTATGTAGGTGTCTAACAAGTGCAGCAGCAGCAGGTTTGATTTGGTGTTTCATACCTCAAGGTTTCTTGCTTCGGCGTGCATAAGATAGACCACATGCAGATGCGGCATGAGCGCACTTGCTCTCGCGAACCACGTACCTTACCTGGCGCGCCACACCAGAGCCCGCAGGAAACCACGAATCTGACGAGGTCAACCACAGCAGGATATCATCTCTGTCATCCTTCCTGTTTTGATCATCCTCTTCTTCCTCCAGATTCCCATCGCCGACTAGATCCTGCGCTTTGACCTTCACAGCGACTGGCACATCACACCTGTCGACACGCTCCAGAAGCCCCAAAACCATCCTCCTTCATCAATACTAAGACTACTTCTCGCTCTCTTGAGTCACGACATCCCCAAGAACATGGCTATCAAAATACCGCTCTCGACACGCCCACAGGATCGGTTCCCCGGCCTGCAAATCCGACTAGCCGAGCCAGCCGACTTTCCCCGCATGGCTCGCATGGCCAACGAGGTCTTTCAGCAGGAACGAGACATTGAATACTTCACCGAGCACCGGCGCGTCAAAGTGGGGGACGAGCGCGAAGTTGAAGCCGCCAATGGGATGCTCGCGGTAGACGCGGATTGGAGGCTCACTCAGCTACGCCTCAACCACGAGAAGCCCGGCCGCCATTTCATCCTTGCTACCTACTTCAAAAACTCCCAAAGATACTTGCTGAGCGCGACGCGCCGGAGGGAGGAGATCCTTGGATGGGCCGAGTGGCAGGAGCCTCCCGCGCTGGGAAACAGCAGCCCTAATACTTCCGGCTCCGACCACGTCGACGGCCGAGATGGCCCGAACTTGACAGAAATCGGTGGTTCTTTTCTTGGCCAGCTTGAATCTATCGTCAAAGACCTCACGTTCAGACAGCAGGTACTGCGACTGTTGGTTCCGCCCAATGGCCTTACGGTGTATCTGCAGGACGCGCTGGAGTCTTTCCGGCGCGCCAGCGCCGACAACCAAACAGAGTGGGACCGCTGGTGCAACGAAATTATTCCAACGTGCCTCGGCGTACATGGCGATGTCCACAGGAAGCATCTAGGTAAGTTGTCTCCACCCTAGTCCCCTCCTATGAGCTCACACCCCCTGACCGCTGACCAACCTCCCACAGTCCTCCGCTCCCTCGTCGTCAAGGCTGTCCACTGGGACAACGGCATCGGTCACTACCTCTTGAACTGGGGAAAACGGCGGGCCCAGGCGAACGGTTGGGGCATACAGACGCTCGCCACGACCATCAGCGAGTCGACCCTCCAAACCTTCCGCGAGGCCGACTTTAGGGAGCTCGGCCGCATGAACATCCTCCGGGACACGCAGATTGCGCTGAGATGGGCGGAGAACAAGAAGCAGGATGTGACGGAACCCCAGAGAACGCGCAAGAGGAAGCTGGAGCCTCCGGATGTCAGCGTCGGCGATTGCAAGCGCATCTGTCGGGCCCCTCCTCGCCACACTTGCACTGGGAAGGTGGATGAGAAACATGTTGGCGAGCCCTAGGTCTGCTCGCAGGTGGTGTGATATCATATCATGGGATTGGCTGGTTGTTCATAGATCAGGTTGGGTTGAAGGGGATTGCAGCTATAAAGCCTTAGAGGGTTGGATCATCGATCACACCGTCACGGCATGAGCGTGGCTTGGTTCTGTATTCGAGTTGTATATGATAATCTTAAGCGACGACTTCTTTTAATTCTCCACTTCTACCCTGGATGCTGTCGACAATCTTTACGGTGCTGCGATTAGCACGTGCGTCGTTCTACCCTTTGCTGTATCAGAATCAAATGATGGAGCTCGAGTCGATGCACTTGGTGTCACAGCAACGAAAAGCTGAGGCACAGACAAACGGTACCAGGTACTAAGCCGGGGGTTTTGGTTGGCATGGAAGAGAGGTCAAGGTCACATTCCTCCTGAAAGCCGCCCACTGAAGTCTATCATTAGACCGACTTGACCGGATCTTCGTGAGTCGCCCTTGTTAAGTCTTTTGCCGTGGTCTGCCTATTGTTTCTCAGCGAGATAATCAGGGATTTAATTCCAATATGACTTATTACTGTGAGGTTATGGTGATGGAACAGTGAGGCCGAAAGCGGTAAGTTAATCAAGATAAATAGCAGGGGATCACTTGGAAGTTAGAACATCCAATAACTACTAACTAACCTTAGCGACCCCGTCATTGGCACTGAGAAAACGGGCACTCCAATGTACGGATACTTGTTTCTTCATCTCATGATGTTTGTGCATTACAGTGCGTACTTCGCCTGTGGCTCATTGAGAGCCCATTTCCATCGACTACCGGCAAGTCGGGCTTGGGCAATATACACTTTGGCAACACACGCAACATCCAAGGCTAGCATATCCTCATCTTAAGGCCGTCCATCTCAAAGGTGAACGCGACCGTTTCGACACGTTAGGTCCTGCATCGACATGTCTCGTTCTCAGTTTTCGTGTGTGGCTTCTTTCGTTCATCTGGTTAGGTGCTGCAGATTGGTCTTTGATCACTGTATTCAAGTTGTCTTTGTTTGTTGGCGTCTGATCCGACTGTCTACGTTGGTTTCTTTTGTAATCTATTGCACGAGGAACAACAAAGCGGCGAGCATCGATATCAGTTATGGACAATGCGATAGTGACGAAGAGACTGGAATGGCTATAGTAAAGAGTGCATCACGTCACGGCATTGAAGATTCGAGTTGGACAAAGACAGGTAAGGTGGCATCGCATCAGGGCAACCAAAAACCGAGGTAAGGAGTTGACTTATCAAAGCAATTTCAACTTTGACCAAGGTAAAGTACCGGGGTACCAGGTGGTTAACATCAACCTGGTTCTTGGGTATCACCCGTGAAACCTTCTTTCCTTGACCGTCTCTACGACACAGACATGGACTCGACCGTCCCTCAGTTTCCGCCAATGACCTGCTTCAGGGCACCCAATAGCCTGTCGGGCATGCTAAGGAAGCCGCAGTGCCCGCTCTCCATGGTTGCGTTGCGCGGGTGGGGGCCCAGCTGCAGCTGCTGAGCCATGTTTTGCTGAAGGTTGTACGGCAGGGCGTTGTCGATGGTCTGAAAGATGTAGGCGCCGGGGATGCCATTGTTCCATGGCTCGTACTCCGACGGCGCGGCGAAGAGGGCGGCCGAAGTCCAGGTGACCTGCTGGGCCCAGTACGCCTGCTGGTCGGCCGGCAGGTCGTTAAAGCCGATCTCGGGCATCATCTCCGGGTCGCCTGTGACGCGGTCACCCTGGGTTTGGCGTGAGCAAGGGCATGATGTTCAGGGGTGAAATGGCGGAACTTACGTCGACAATCATCCACGGCAGGGGGACGCCGCCAAGCATATCGAGCAGGCTCTTGCCCTTGGGGAGCAAGAAGGCGGATAGGTAGACGATGCGGACGACGCCGCCCTTCTTGCCGAGGGCCTTACGGGTGGCAATGTCGTAGCCCGCGACGGCGTTGCTGCCGACGACGCCGCCGGACGAGTGGCAGAGCAGGACGATGTCGTCGCCGTGGTCGGCGAGCCCGTCTAGGACATGCTGGACGGCAGCCACATCCTCGGGGAGACCTGTCAGGGGCAGCTCCGTGCCGCCGATGCTAGGCAACGAAACATGGTACACCTCGTGGCCTGCCCTGGCGGCGACAGCGCGGAACTCGTCCCATGCGGACGGCAGCTGCCACGAGCCGGGGACAATGACGATGGTCGGCAGCGCGGATGTGGTGGCGGCCGCCATGGCTGAGACAGCGAAGACCAAAATGCGGCAAACGAGGGAGAACATGGTGCGTGTGTGTCTGTGGCTGGAAGCCTGTCTCCACGTGTGTGCCTGGCGTTACACCGCAATGAGACAGCCCAACAAGCGAATGGCTGGGAAGACGGGGAGCTTTAACGACATCTTGGACTCCATCCAAGTGGTGCCGCTGGGGTCGACGCTACGGCAACGCTACGGCAACGCTACGGCAAGCTAACACTCTCGGCCAACTCGCCAAGGCCTCCGTCGGTGGGTACACCAGATAATCGCCATCTCGCTTTATCGTGCTCGGCGCGAAGAGTCGATAGTTTGTGGAGGGTTGATGTTCGGGACATATTGGTCCGGGTCGAGTGCAAAGCACCTGCCTCGATGGACGCCTGGCGCTTTCCTGAGTCTCACTCTTTGATAGAGAGAACAGCGGGACTCGGCGGGAGATCAACCACACGGTCGTACGACAGCAGCACGCGCTGCAACACCGCTTGCAGACCCCCAGAACCCAATCATGCATCCCCCCCTGCATCTGATGAACATCCTCAAGAATCGCAACTTTCGAGACCCACTGCGGGTGGAAGTCAGTCAGGGACCGAGTTGAGCGAAACCCCTTTTTCAACGGCTTCAAGGAGCCCACAACGCTTCTGGCGACAGACGAACGGGTGGACCTGAGGTACGGAGCAGCGTTTCCGGGGAAAGAAATGACTCGAGTTGCTGCCAAAGCCCTGAATGTGGCGATGTGCAGTTGATCCATTTGGGCGGGGAAGTCCGCTCTTTCCTCCCTTTGAAGGAAATATTTCCCAGGCCGTTGTCAGCAGGGAAGCGATTTCTCTTACCCCGGCATTGCAGAGGGCAAGGATCGGCATCGAAGGTGGACCTCTCCACCCGTTATCCGCATGGCGGCCTGAAAGGAGGTTAGCCGAAGGGGACGAGCTTTTACCGACAACCCCTAAGAGATGCCGGCAGAGCGCTTTGAGGGGACACTTGTGTTGGAAAAGAGTCGGGCCAAAGGTGCTTGCAGAAACTTTCTATCTCAAGTGGGAGGGATGGCTAGGCCCAGAGGCGGACCCGAGTATTTGGTCCGGCCGAGAGTGTGCTTTGCTCTTGCATGCATGTGAGCGGTGTCCATCCAGTCTGCCGACTTGAGCATGGGGTTACCTCGTGTCATGCTCGGGACTCTCGTCGCTCTGGAAATATCTCTGTGACAAGTTGTATCCAATACCGGACCTTACGCAGAAAACGACAGCCCACAATGGCTTCGACGGCGCCGACCCCGTCAGCTGTCGTCTACCCGGTCAACGACACGTCAAGATCCGAAGCCGAGCGAGCATACCTGCAGCAACTGACCGATTTCGCCGAGAACCAGGACTTGACCGAAGACAGCAGGGCGTATGTGCGCAATGTCTCCATCGCATTCACCGTCTTTGCGGGCGTCTTTGTGCTTCTTCGCTTCGTCGCTCGATGGCGCCAGGCTGCCCACATCGCCACCGACGACTGGCTGATCGTCGCCTCCCTTGCCATCTTGATCGGAAACATGGTAATGAACCTGGAGCTCGTCAAGATAGGCCTGGGGCTGCACTCGGGTGCCTTGACCTTGCCACAGCTGCAGAAACTGAACGAGGTTTGCAACTTGAACCGTCTGTGCCGTGATAGTCTCGCTGACGATGCATGGTCAGACCCTCGTCGGCGCCGAGATCATATATGTCACAGGCGTCAATCTTTATAAACTCTCGCTGCTCTTCTTCTACTTTCGCGTCTTCCCCGTCCGCTCCGTGCGCCTGGGCGGCTACATCTGCGGCGGAATCTCCACCGCATGGTGTATCGCCTGCATACTGGCCGCCACCTGGCAATGTACGCCTCGCGAGAAGCTCTGGCAGCCGTGGTTGGAAGGAACTTGCATCAATCTGTTCTTGACCCAGCTCTGCATCTCAGTGCCGAGCATCCTCTGCGACATCGCCATCCTCTGCCTGCCCATGCCCCACGTCCTGCGGCTCAAGACCAACCTGTGGCAGCGGGTACTGCTCATGTTCATTTTCTTGCTGGGGAGCTACGTCGTCTTTACGAGCATCTACCGTTTCCGCGTCTTCCTGACCTACACCACCGACGACGTGCCCTGGTCTCTGGCCGACGGCTGCGCCTGGAACATCATCGAGATCAGCTCCGGGATCGTGTCAGCTTGCCTTCCATGCTTGGTAAGCTCATTCTTCCCGTCTTCTTTGCGAGCTTAAAAATTCTGACTCCATGTTTCTCAGGGCCCTCTAGTGCGTGATCTCTGGAGATCCGCCTGGCCATCCAGCACTGGCGGTTCCAAGGGCCCGCTCTCCCAACCAAAGGGTTCTGCCATCATCACCATCGGAGGGACAGGCCGCAAGAGCAACACCAAAGTCCTCAACTCCCAGGGGTCACAGTGGAACCGGCTGACCGAGTCAGACGAGGAACCGCCGCAGTCCCGCGACGACCTTGAGCTGGTGCCCAAGCATCTGGCTGGTCGCGTCCACGTGACGGTCCACGCCAGCCCGACGCCGAGCCGCCGTAGCGATGAGGAGCGTGGCACGGATCGAGATGATAATCGCATGGGGGGCAGCGATATCCCGATGGATGTCATTCATCAGCGTACCGACGTGGAATGGAGGGTGGAACAACGGAACGGGCCGGTCCCATGACACCGAGTCGTGGAGTTTTGCACACAGGTTATTAGGTAATAATGCATGCAGAAGATGGCGAAAGTGATGGATTAAGAACAGGAAGAGCTGAGTTAGCAGATGGACAGTATGTGAAGATACCCGCCCAAGCATGGCATCACGCTCTTGCTCACATTGATTCTGCCGGTCCATTGATTCGATGTGGTCCTGGACTGGCCAAATGTACCTCAGCAGGGCCAGCTAGCCTCGCTGCAGACATGGCACAATTCCACCACGTGGACAAGTGCACTATTGACACTACGCCTCCAGCTCCAGTCTGTCGGGACGCGAGGCAGCCCGGGATTGGTCGAGATACGGACGTCTTCGGCAGTCCCGTTCAGCTGGACCACCAAGAGGTACATTTAATGAAATTTGATAAGTACAGTACCTCCGTCGGTCAACACCGTGGCACCAATTGGGCAATGTGGGAGTTGGATGTGATGATCGGTAGGCAGGTATTGTACACTTCAACCCTATTGTGTCCATCCGACACAAAAATCACTGGCAGTTTCTCCATCACATGAATTGATAAAGGCGAGAGGGACAGGAGGAGCCCTTAGTCTCACCTTAGAAGACAAGTAGAACATGAGGAAGAGGAAGCACTGAATTTGTGAAGGGAGAGAAAAGATGGGGATAAAGGAAGGAGAAACCGGGAGAAAATGGTAGCTGTAACATGAGGTGGCTTCAGGATTCTACTGAGGAATTATTACACTGTAGTCCCTGATATAATCATGAATGGCTCTAGTTATACCGAAACCTCTGTCCATATATCACGCCCTTTCCCTTGCTTTGGATCCCTGAACTCCGAAACACCATTTCCAGATATCCCCCTCAGCCCCTCCCCTCTCCTTATACCAGTGCAACCTACTCCACCGTCATCCTCACCATCTCCCCACCACCGTCTCCGGCATCATCACCACCCTCCCACCGCCTCCGATCCGCCTCCCTCTCCCGCTGCTTCATCAATTCCAAATTCACTCTCAGCCTCTCCATCTCCCGCTCCAGCGCCCCGTGCTCGTGGCCCCGCAGCATCGTCCGCCGCTGCGCCATCTCGAGCGCCTGGGCGTTGCATCGCTCCCAAGCCTGGCGGCGGATCCGCTCGCAGGCGACGCGCGGGTCGACGTCGGCTGGCAGCACCCCGCCCAGTGTCGTCTTTGTTGTTGTTGTTGTGGTGGTGTTGGTGGTGCTGCTGTTCGTTGTGCTTGGTGCGGTGTTGTTGGTGGTGGAGGGTGGCGTGTCGGATCTGTAGCGCTTGAAGGTGCGGAGGCGGGTGGGCTCTGGTCCTGCTGCTGGTGTTGCTGGGCGCTTTGAGGAGGATGTTGGGCGGTTGACATTGTGCTTTGGATTGTTCTGCAGCTGAGAGAAGGCTGAGGGCGAGGGAGAGGTTGTGGCAGGAGAGTTGTAGCCGCTCGCTGGGGGTTTAACTGGCTGACTGGTACGGATGCCGTCTTCGTCTGTCGGAAGTCTTTGCGCCAGAATGTACGACGGTGCTTCGGATAGCGGAGATCGCAGTGGCTGGTCTCTCAGAGTCCAGGGGTTGGTGAAGGCAGCGTTGGTTGGCGACATGGGCCAAAGTAGCCCGTCGGGTTCGAAGCTTGGGCTTGGGAGGGTGCCGGCTGGAGAAGGCATGTTGCTGCCCTCGGGAGCTGTTCCATATTCTGACCAGGCGGTTACGTTCAGTGGCGTGCCGAAGGCGGCGGTTGTTGAATCGTAGTATGATGTTGGGGGCGCATCCCCCATCCACATGCCATTGGCTGCCGGGATATTGTGGTTGTGGGTGTCATTGACCTCGGTCGTACAGTCCCAGTTGCTCTGAGCATGACCTGAGTATGGAGATGCCTTAAGTGGATGTCTGATTAGACCAGATGTCCAAAACTCCGACGGCAACATGGTCATCCAAATCGTACCCCAATTACAGGTAGACATGGAATGCGCGATCCCAAACACATACCTCAGCGTCAAGTAGAGGACCTTGCTGTCCTGGCGAGGAAGGAGTGTGCAGGACGCTTGTAGCCATTCTTGTCAGTCGCTGACGCACAACGAAACAGCTTAATTAAAGAAAATCGAAGTCTCAGATAGGTGAGGTAGGATGCTTTGATGTCGAAGGCAACTGGGCTGTGGCGTGCATCGGACCCTTCGGTACCTGGCCCGGGGAAGTGGGCCGATCTTTGGGATTATGACGCAACACTGCAGAGAGCTTCAGGGTTTCAAAACAACAAACGACATCATGATCTCTGTCTCTAATGAGCTGGATGTTGCTTTAATGTGCGAGTGATTTTGCCAGCCGCATGACAAACTCAATGTTTCCATAAAGCGGCAGATAACTTCCAGCACTGCACACTTCTGTACTAAGATACATCAGTTGGTCATGGCAATGGTATCTACCTACATTCTGTCCCCCTCTGCATATGCGCGTACCCTGCAGGTTTTAGGCAGCTTACTTTTGAACTGGTGGCAGCACCCATTGACTGTTGGACGTCGTGATTGGGCACCGACCGCGAGAAGCGAAAAGCCACTGGGTGGGCAGGGCACTTTCAGCTGCACCGTGGGACGACTGCACTCGTTCGGTCGACATTTGAGGACTTCAGATGTTCCAGACCCTGCAAGACTCCCATACTGATGTGAGCTTCTTTTCAGCTGAGTGACACTATTTCCGGTACCAGTTTACCACACCCCAGCTTCCCGCTTACCATATCCGCCAGAAGGTTTCAGCTTGACATATCTTTCGCTTTTGTTTTCTTTTTTAACTAGGTCTTCCTCTAATCCTTTCGTTCTTTCTTTTTTTTGGGAGCTGTTTTTCACGACCCTACAACTATATCTTCATCACTTAACGTTATCCAATACTTTGTTTTATCTTCTCTAGTCTTCAATGGTTCAAGCGGAATCGGGTCAAAACTCAGAAATCCCACTTAGCTGCTCCATGATGAAGAGTCCTCCGGCCGAGTCCTAACAGGTAGGGTATGTGCTTAAGTACACGACGAAAAGCCCGGTAAAAAATTTCTGACGTTACTTACCTAGGCAGTGAAAGTCCTAGTCCAGCATCTGCGGGCTCACGTTGAGTATTGACCTGAGCATCTGGGCAAATAATGGAGACGGAGGGGGGGATGGGTTCGGTCCTTGATTTCGAGGTCAGGAGTCAGTAGCGGCACCGGAACGTCCACTATCGAGTCCAGACCGTCATATCAGCCAAGAGATTAAAGGCGTCTATACTGCGTCGGCTCGGGTATGTTGCCTGCCCTGCCGGCGCGCCTGCAGCTCATACCTGCCCGGAAGTTCCCACCGAAGGGGTAGACCACAGTTAAACACCTCCTGACCAGATGAGATCGGCAGCATCCTAGAACCTTCGACCGCGAAGCTGCCAGACATCGAGGTATTTGAAGATGAGCACGCTCTCGCCGTATCCGTCATGTTGCGCGATTATTCGTATTTCGCTGTGTTCGTCAATTTTCTCTGAGCCCCCCGGGCTAAGTTTCATTCATACTGCCCTTGGGTGAGGCTTGCGAAGTTTATGTTCAACACTACCCGGTAGCGACCCTTCGGTCCGTAGAGTCTGATGTTGAAACGTTCGGCCGACTCATCTTGGCAGACGGAGCTTTGCGAGTTGCTCAAAACGCATCACGGAACATCCTCATCCGCCCCTTTTTCGGACCGGCGACTCAATTCCCATGGTTTTGCGATCGCCTCTTCCGCACAGCTTAATCAACTCATCTCCACGCTCGGGGATTCTTTGATGTTTTCCCGTCCGATCAGATGGGGCGTTTTACGATTTTGGAATCCGGCTTGGCTCCCGCCGTGCTCTCTTGCCCGATACTGGAACCCCGGCGGGCCCATCCCCACGTAGCGATCCCAACGGTGCCCTCCGAGGCTCCTGCTCGCGAACAGTCAAGCGTTCACGATGCGACCCTGCTCCACACGCCCACGCACGCTTCCCCGGAATGAGGGATTCTTGGCCGGCATTGTCCCTGAACTCGTGGATCTAAGAGCGGGGCATCTTGAGCCGCGTGCTCGCTTGTCGGCATTCCCGAGGCCGTTGCCACAATGCCTTTTTGACCTCGACAGCTATAAAGGCTGCTAAGATGGGCACTGGTCTCTCAGCGGAAGGACACAGCCGACACTCGCTCCAAAGTTGCCAAACAAGATGAAGTCTACTGTTGTCGCTGGCCTCTTCGCCACCGGCGCCGTTGCCCAAGGCGGCCCTTGGTCACAATGTGGGGGTAACAATTGGCAGGGCGCTACGACCTGTGTCTCGGGGTACACGTGCGTCTACGTGAACGACTGGTACCATCAGTGCCAGCCCGGTGCAGGTCCCACGACGACGCTGAGGACGTCTACGACCAAAACTACCTCCACGGCCGGAGCCACCAGCACCTCGCCTAGCAGGGGCAAGTTCAAGTGGTTCGGTGTCAACCACTCCAGCGCCGAGTTTGGGAAGGGCATCTTCCCTGGCACCTGGGGCAAGGACTTCATCTTCCCGTCGACCTCGTCAATCCAGGTATGCGATCAAGGAGCAGGCGAGAAAGACTGTTATGCTGACAGGCATCAGACTCACATCAACGATGGGTACAACACGTTCCGCGTGGCCTTCGCGATGGAGCGCCTTGTGCCCAACCAGCTGACCGGGAGCTTTGACGCCGGCTATCTCAAGAACCTGACCGACACGGTCAACTTCATCACCAGCAAGGGCTCTTACGCGATTCTCGACCCTCACAATTTCGGCCGATACTACGACAAGATCATCACGGACAAGGCCGCTTTTGGCTCCTTCTACACCAAGCTCGCCACTCAGTTCAAGTCCAACTCGCTCGTCGTCTTTGACACCAACAACGAGTACCACGACATGGACCAACAGCTGGTGTTTGACCTCAACCAGGCGGCCATCAACGCCATCCGCGCGGCGGGGGCCACCTCGCAGTACATCTTCGTCGAGGGCAACTCGTGGTCGGGGGCCTGGACATGGGCTCAGACAAACGACAACCTCAAGGGCCTGACGGATCCGCAGAACAAGATTGTGTACGAGATGCACCAATACCTCGACACGGACGGGTCCGGCACCAGCACGGCCTGCGTCAGCACCGACATTGGCGTCCAGCGCGTCCAGAGTGCCACCAACTGGCTCCGAGCTAACGGCAAGGTCGGCATGCTCGGCGAGTTTGCCGGCGGTGCCAACTCGGTCTGCAACCAGGCCGTCACCGGTCTGCTCGAGCACCTCAAGGCCAACAGCGACGTCTGGCTCGGAGCGTCCTGGTGGGCGGCGGGGCCCTGGTGGGGTGACTACATGTACAGCTTGTGAGTTTCTCCTCCATATTTATTTCTCCCCTTTTTCCTCCACATTTTCTATTTGTTTTTTCTTTGCTTTTTATCCTTTTCGGACATATCGTTCCCTGAGACACAAAGTGGCCAGAGAGTACAGACACTGACGCGCTTCTTTTAGCGAACCCCCCTCTGGCACGGGCTATGTCAACTACAACTCGCTGCTGAAGAAGTACGTTGCCTAAAACGGCATCCGTGATTCTGGTGGTGGTCGGGGGTTTCGGAACCCCAGCTCTGCCAAGACGGGAGCCTAGGCGGGAGCTTGCCGCTCCGACTCCGTGCATTGTCGGCTAAAGTGGAGTTTTTCGGCGGCCCGAATTTCTCGTTGAACTCTGAGAGCCGGAAGCAAGTGATTTGAGTCCCACATGGTGCTCAGGCTTGGTTGGCAGCGCTGCAATGCTTCCTTGTAACTATTCTTTTGCTATTTTTTCCTCTTAATACCAGATTTTGTACAAACTTCATAAATTACCATGCTCAAATTTGGCTGTCGTGTTATTTTGTGTGAACCTGGCCTTCGGTGCCAGACCGCGATACTTGCAACCCCCCTGACGCGTAGCATTTCACAGTCTGGGACTAGTTAGCTGCAAGCAAAGCTTCCGATTTGCTCAGTTCCAAGCCTTGTTGACCTGTTATGTGTCTGATGGCTGAGGACAACTGCCGTGTGCAATTTGAGCGGGAGTGGCAGACAATCTATTTCAGTTGCCATGTTCGGTTGCATGCATCCGACAAGCCATGAAGCTTGCTCAACCTCATTCCAAGCCAAGACAGGTAGTCAGGAAACGCGTGCGCCATTGCCTTGGCGCTTGCCCAATTCGGTCAACTTCAGCCCGAAGGTGGACTGTTCATCCCACTTCTGTCAATGCAAAACGAGTTGCCGGATTCCGAGAATATCCTCGATGGCGAGAGCGAATTCATCGAGTCTCGCAGGGCTTGCCGAAACAGCATGGCTAAAGACATCCCACAGGCTTTTCACCGATATCTGGACGAGAAGTCACCACCGGAAAAAGCTGGCCAAGCCACATCCAAGTTCCAGCAAAGTCTTGCCAGCCGCTGCGTGTTGGTAAACTGACCCAAAGTTTCCTGTCGGTGCTGGCCAATCCGGCAGGATTATGGCCAGTCTTATACCCTTCGCCCATCTCGCTTCCCCGCGTTCCGAATCTTGGAGCCGTTGGTTTCGACGACCAAATCAGCCCGAACCATCCGCGTTGCAACACAGCGTCGCATCGTGGCTCGGGAAATTCGCCGGCAGGTCCTGGGCGCAACGCCTCGTGCTTAGCCCACCGGGGCAACGGGAATTTCTTGCTAGCTCCCCTTGGAAGACCATAACACAAAGGTTAAACGTGGGGCGACATCACTCTCAAAGGAGCTGTTGAAATTTGAGAATCAAGGCCGCTCTGACAGCAAGGCACCATTCCCATTACCCCAGAATTGCCCAGCTGCAACACTGCGGGGGCCGTCAGCCTGCGATAGCCGTCCATCAACGGTTTGATCAGATCTGCTGCCGTGAATGGAGCACGCAGGGACGGTATATGTTCCCGCTGCCCCTGCCCTACCTCTCCGGATCTCGACGTTTAGCTTCGGTTTGCACATTTGGTGATGACCACCGCACCCTTACCGCCAGCGCCGAGCCCCGGTTTCGAGCGTCATTCTCACCTTTACAGGTGAGGACCCGGCCAAGATGGTGTGGGACACTAGTTGGTCCAACTCGACGTTTGGCAACTTCACGATCCCGCCGCCCAACTCGACACTGTGGCAGATCCCGCCAGATGCCGGGAGGTCCCTTCAGCCGGACATCATCGCCTGTGCTGTCGTAACGTTCCTTGCCGCCTCGACGTTTGTTGTTCTCCGGTTTTACACCAGGGGCTGGGTCAACCATGTGCTTGGAGCCTCGGATTGGTGTATCTTACCGGCTCTTGTAGGGAAAACTTTCCACTCGATTACAGGTACGCGACTGATCCTTCTCACAGCTTTGCGCTGCCGGCGTCACAGCAAGTTCACTTGAGCGTACGTCACCCCGATCATAGAACTCTTCCGCCACCGCAGCTGACTTGATACCAGAGGTGGCTCATGGCGCGGGGAAACACGCCTGGGAAACGGACCCGTTCAAGTTACCAGCATTCGAGAGGGTAAGTCGGCATCTCCGTGAGACAGTGGGGATGGTTGATGTCAAGTACATGATCATAACAATCATCGCAGGCTGCTTGGTATGGCATCCTATTCTACAATCTCAGCCTCACCCTCACGAGGATATCGATACTCCTATTGTACAAACGCATATTCAACTACGGCTGGATTAAGCGGGTCATCCAAATCGTGCTGGTCCTCATCGTCGCCAGCGGGATATGGCTGGTCGTCGCCGTCTGCACGGCGTGCATGCCGTTGCAGGCATTCTGGGACTGGTCACTGTATTTCACCACACGGGTTTACTGCCAACCTCCCAACCTGTGGTGGGCAAATGCGGCTCTCCACATCACCAGCGACCTGGTCATTATGGCGCTGCCGGTACGTGAACCCATGCTCTCCGTCGCCGAAGAACCCGCATCTGATCTTGGCAGATGCCGGTCCTGTCCTCCTTAAACCTGCCCCGAAGGCAGAAATATGCCATTGTGGGGCTCTTCGCCCTGGGCTTTGGGTATGTCGGTTTCTGCCCCCACACAGCGTCAGCTCGTCCTAACGCCATCTGTCTCCAAGTGTGTGCATCATTTCAGTAGTCCGCCTCGTTGCCCTAATCGACCTCACCGAACTTCAAGCATACGACGCGACCTACACAAGCGCCTACATGATCTATTGGACCACCGTCGAGGTCAACGCCGCCATCGCCTGCGCCTGCGTAATGACACTCAAGCCATTCATCCAGCGCGTCTTCCCGCGCTTGCTCTCCCCCAGCAAGGGTATCCGCGAGCCGACCCTGCAATGGATCACCCCGGTCAACAACGACAGCCACACGCGCAACTCTCTTCCTCCCGCCTCACCAACCAGCCCGCTACACAGGTACCAGAGCCGCGGAAGCAACACATCCACTCCCACCAACAAGAACCGCCGCAGCGGAAGCCTGCCGCACCTTTACGAATACGAAATGTCGCATCACTATCACCACCGCCGCCGCGGCCACCATCACGAGGACATGATGGAGAAATCCCGCTACTACCACAGCTTCACCCGCCACCCCAGCTCCAGCGACGCGGACGACGCCTACGACCTCGATCACGACCTCGACTTGGAAGCGCAGCGCACCTGCAGCAGCAGCATCACCACCACCACCACCGCCGCCGGCGACGGCGACGGGGACACAGGGGGCGCGGCAAGCAGCAGCGGAAGCGCAGGGAATTATGATGGTGATCACGGGGAGGATTGCAAAGCTCTTGACCCCGGAGCGGGAGGAGCGCTGAGGGCGCCGCCTCGGGCGCAATTGAGGCTGTCGATTCATGTGATGAGGGAGGTGGTTGTCGAGAGTGAGAGTATCACTGGTGCTTGGGGGGCTGGGAGGGAGGAGGTGCCGGCGCCGGTGGATGCTGCGAGGGAGGAGGGTGGGAATACAAAAGTGGTTCAAGTTGCCGGAGGCGGGCGGGAAGAGGACTTAAGGACAGTTTGAGGTGGAGTTCTCTGGCAATGAGCATCAATGATGGAGAGAAAAGGAGGATGAGGAAGGATGGCGGGTGGTTGAGTGATGCTTTTTGGGGTTTAGGATGGCCCTCCGTTTCGTTGATGACTCGATGTTCCACTGATACCCTGGGTGTCTCTTGCGGGGTTATGGTTACGGTCTCTACCGCTGCTGGGTTTTGGCGTTCAGTCGGGTAGGGGATAGTGGGCTTGGATATGACATGGAGCTGTGAAAAATGGACGCGTGATACCATTCTTGTTAATTAGTCTAGGTAGTTAGTAGGAAAGGAGACGGAGTTTGACAGATAATTAGACACTCGTTGTATATTCCGCTTAGGAGTAGGAATGGATGTTCCTCTGACTCTTGATGCCTTGCCCTATCCCTAAGCCAGCCCTTCCTTGCCCTTTACATCTGGCATTTATGAGCTTAGCATTCAATGGGAGTCAACAAAACTTGGTTCAATCACATCTGGCCAGCATCAAGTAGGGCCGACTTTTCAAGACGCTCAGGTAATACATATAGAGAAGACTCAGAATCACACATAACGCTTACAGCTTCATTGAGTCACGAATGGTACGGGGTCACTTGTTTCATCAAAATCAATGTCGATTCACCTCCGGAGGTGTTGCATCGCAGGCTCGGAGCGTGTCCTTGGATCGGTGACATGACCCCGGCGCAAGAACTGACCAGCTTTTGGTGGCTCGTTGTAATATTGCCAAGGTATATAGCTTAGGCGTCGCCATGTTTCCTCCGTTTGGTCTCTTACTAAGTGATTGATAATGACCCAGCCAACGAGTGCCACGGTGCCGGTTCGGTCCGCAACTGTTTCCATGTCAAGTATCATACTTCTAGGTTCTGCCAGTTCCAACATTGCAGAACACAGTGTAGGGGAATTCACATTCTTTGTTTCCGTGCTAGTGAATCCTCGTTGTAAATGGCGCTGCAAAGAAGGATACCCCCTATGTAGCTCTTGATCATGATGCCACACTCCTCAGCTAACCACCATTATCATGGGCTGGTAGGAATTGCCAGCTTTATCTGGACTGTTTTGGTGTGTTATCGTGAGAAAGTGGTGAACTCTTCTCGTTCTTTGAGCTGGGAGTAAGGTATAGGAGGTGGAAAGGAGACCAGGTACTTTCTGTACAGGAAGTCCATTTATTGCACTGCAGTGGTCAGTGGCGCCAGCAATGGAGGGGTGATGGTGAGCACTCCTAGATTCTAGCTAATTGGAGGGGTGAGAACAACACGTAAGGAAAAGGTTGATTGGATTGGTCCATGACACTCGGAGAAGGGCGTCCAAGGCCGAGTCAATGCATCATCAGTGAACATGGGAAGCTTATTTTATAAGAATGAGAGCCACTGACTTGTTGTCGTGTTGTCAGTCTTGAAGCTCGCATTGGGCTGCGGGCGCTGCTTGAGGCGCTGCTTGATTCAGTCCCACACCCCTACTTCGCGCGGGATCTGGCATCAAAGCGCTCCAGTGCTTTTTCACCCATTCTGGTTGTAGCTCCGTGGCCCACAATTCATATCTCCACACGTCATCTGAAGACATTATCTCGTGCCGCAGACGTGTCACCGTGAAGGTACAGAGTCGCTGGTCCGTCGCGGCTGTCCACGAGAGGCATCAAAGTTCCAGCCACGTTCATTCGGCAGGCGTTTGGCTCGCAAGTCCAGCCCGAGGAAGATATTGCGCTGCCATAAATAGGAGCGCTACTGTCAACGTCTGTGAACTTGCCGCATGCAATCACACGCTGGACATCAACAGCAAATATCTGGAGAACGCACCCGAACGCTTGGGCACAACTTGGCGGCGAACGGCATGTTGTGCTCTGGAAGGATTTTTAAGCTTAGAGCGGCCACAACGAATTAGCTGCCGGCCCGATCTTGTGACCGCCGACCCCTGAACTGCTGTACCGAGACCAGATGTCCAGTGGAAAGGCCAGACACAGACATGACGTCGCACCCAGACAATATCTTTGCGGAAATGAGCTCCGCCGGTGTCCTTTCAGTGCCCTGTACTCCGCACCGTAGGTAAAGCGGCGTCGTGGCCAGCCATTGCTGCAGCCCCTGCCTCGAAGGGGGGTTGACATCCAGGCACAGCACTACCCAAGAACAACCAGACTAACGGTGGAAGGGAGGACGGAACAACATGTGGTGTGACCGAGGCGTTGTGCTATCACTTTGACAATATACTCCGAGATTGTCTGCCGCATCTGCAGCTCAACGTGCATGGTAGCTCTCCACGTTGGCTCTTTCTCTCCCGGTTCAAGCTCCGTGGTCTGGCCTCGTTCCGAAGCACTCGACCCAATTTCCAGATCGTCTTGGCACGACAATGCCAGAAGTCTATGGGAGCTATTTTTGGACTTAATTTAGACTTTGGTTCTTGCCAATCCTGGCACCCGGATTCGCGGGTTGCAATTTGGATAAATTGCATAGCTCCGCACCCAGAGTTTTGACAACCTGAGAACTCGCGGAGAGGACATGGGTGGCGAAAAGAAGCAGCTATCGCGAGTCGAAGGCATCATGACCCTCGCCTCCGAGGGCCAGGTGTCGTGGCTGGGGATATAAAGAAGGTTACTAGCCCAGGAGCGCCCTTTGCCACGAAACATATCTTCAACCTGCACCAGACGACTACGTCAGATATTCCAGAGACATCACCTACGGTACCTACCCAAGCTTCTCCACCATCTAGTCGAAGTAGACACCACATCACAAACACACAACAAACACAACAATGGGCATCCTTTCTCACCTTGCTCTCGTCCTCACAGCGGCCTCGGCCGTGGCCGCCGAAGCCGCTACTCCGGGCTCGCCGCCCCAGATCACTAGCATCACTTACTCGGGCAACGGCTGCCAGAGGGACCCCAAGTTTTCGGGGAGCTTCAACGACCCGACAGTCACCTTCTATAACTTCGCGGCCTCCCTGCCCGGCGCCAACCAAACAGTCAACTGCCAGGTCCACCTGCAGGCCAAGGGGGCATCCCCGGGCTGGCAGGTAGCCCTCAAATCCAACGTCATCAAGGGCCACGTCGTGCTGGGGCCGGGCACCACGCTGACGCACTACACGACTGTGTTTTTCAGCCAGGACGCAGCCAAGCTGGTGGGTTTGACCTCCGAGTTGTTTCCCTTTTTTCCCCTTTCCAATCACACACTACTGGAAATTTGACCCTGACAATTGTGAAAAACCAGGACACTGTTTCAGGCTCCATCTCCAACAATGGCGAGAAAACGTACAACGAGGGCGTCACGCTCGTCGCCAAGGCCGACGCCAGCAAGGTGTGGTCACCGTGCACGGGCAGCGACGGCTACACGGGCATCATGAACATCAACTTCCGGGGCTCCCTGACTGGCGAGGGCAAGGCGTACTTTGAAGCGAATACCGAGGCGTGGGATGTCGAATGGAGGCGGTGCTGAGGGCCCTGCGGGGATGGGGCTCGGAAGTGTTGTGATTTTTGGCAGTAGAGTGCGGTTCCCTCGAGAAAAAGAAAGGAGCTCTAAAAGAGGTTTGGGAATGGAGTTGGTCTGTGTATATCTTCGTTGTTCAATCCACCTTAACCCCTCCACTGACAGCTGATTCTGGTGTTTCTTCTGGTCACATCGCCTGGAGCATGAATGCCGAAAATGAAGCAAGTGTGTTAGTGTGGGTCTGATTCTGTTACTTATCAATGATGGCTGGTGTTGAACTTTGGGTTGATGTGCATGACTGAAACTTGACGTACAGGACTCAAAAGCTGAAGAAGGCCGGGTTTGGCTGGCCCTCTGGTGTGCTTTCCTGACAGTGAGCCTGGCTCTTGCCGTGACGAAAAATCACCCATGGATGCCATGTGGCTAGCAACTCCTGCATTTAGTTTTTGTCCAGTCCGATCCATTTTCTTTGTGACCACATCGCTAGTTTAAGCTTGGATGCATTCCGAGTTCTTCATCGACAATGGAGTTCTTGTGACTCTCGTCAACTTGTTTACGTACCTTGGCTTTTTGGTGGTGTTCAGGAATTTGTTTCATTCTCCTCCTCAACTGGTCCTCTCTTCAACTTGGATAGCTCCCCCGTTCCACATGCAATAGCCGCCACCATACATCGTGCACGACCGCATGGTGTTTGGTTTCACGGTGCAAGCTCGAGAAGTGCGGTTTTAAGTTCGACTCTTTATGCATTGCCATTGTGTTGTTCTTACCTACTTTAGGAACTACCTTATGCCATGGAGTGATCAACGTCTCCCTCTCTGCGGTGAGTAATCAAGGATCAGGTTCAATTTGAACTCCAAGTCGCGACTTCCTGTACTGTACCAGTGATGTCAGACAATGTGAGATGGGATGGGAAGGACAGGTTCAGACCGTGCAAGAAGAAGGGAAGATACGGAATCCTATAAGGCCCCCGTTTCATCCTCTGCCCTCTTCTTTTCCGTCCTTCGCTTAAGTCTCATTTCCACGGACCGTTCACATGCCACGCTCTATGGGCCCCTGGTCACCTTGACACATCCAATGCCCACTACTCAGTCGGGTCAAACCTCACAATAGCAGCGCTGGCCCCGCCCTGACCAATGGTGGCATACAGCAATCCAGAATCCTGCGGCCGTCTGCCAAACGCAGTGGCAGTACTGATACCAGTCTCCGTACCGCTCAAATTCTCAGCAACAACCCTCTTAACCCCCGGCCCCGAAGAAGGCGCAGGACCAAACGTAACTTCGACAACCTCAACGTCATACATCGCCGCAATGTACGCCTTCCCTTTCCCAAAAGCATCCACCACGATCGAAAAGTCATCGATACTCTGATTTGTCGCCAGCACCTCAGCTGGACCCATTGCGACAGCGTCTGGGCCGACCGGAATCCGACTCAGAGTCGACGACAGGTGGTCCGCCCTGTAAATATACCCCTGCGCAGTCTTGATCCCGTTGATGCCCGTCAAGCCCGTAAGGGGCGTCGTGTAAGCGCCCGTCTCGACGTCCATCAGGTACACGATCTGAGCTACCGTGTCGCTGAGCAGGACGCGACCCTTTCCCCAGGCCGCGATGCCGTTGATAAAGCCCGCACTGGGCATCGCTGCGAGGAGGGAGACGGTGGGGGCGGCGTTACCGTTGGCGCTGAATTGGAGGGTCCAGACCTTGGCGCTGCCAGGTTCGATTTGCATGGGCGCGGGGATGTGTGAGCTGCCGAATACATAGGTTTCGAGGCAGGAGGCTTGCGGCCGTTCGTGCGGGGACACTTCGGCGATGCCCGTAAGGTTGAACGCGCCTTCGACGGAGACAAGGAGGCCGCCTTGGCCCGTGGCAGGGTCAATTTGCCAGATTTCGGGGGCGTCGCCGCGTGTGGCGAGGATCTTGCCGTTCGGGCGGACAGCGATGTTCTCGAACCACGAAGCTGGCTGCACGGGCCCAGGGAGGGTGAAGATTGGGACTGGGGCCGAGAGAGCGAGGATTGAGAGAGGAGAGAGCAGGAGCCCCGTTATTGGAGCAGCTTTCATTGTGAGATATTCAAAGTAGAATGACTAGAGTCGAAGAAGATATCGTGGCGATGGGCTCGCATAGCACAGGAATTTCAAGATTGCAGGTCTCGCAGAGTTCGTTCTTCTAAATGTCTCCTGCATTCCGCCGGAATTGATTTTGTGGCTCGACAATCCCCTGTACGTTAACCAACATAATGTAACCCTACTCGTATTCGCACTTCACTGAGCTACACGTTCCCAGCTATTAACGATTCTCCTACTCGCTCACAGAGCTGCTGGATACCTTAGGTGGTTGTGAAAGCCCTTAGGTGGTTGTGAAAGCAACTTGCCAACGCTCAGGCGTCTTAGATTGAAGTGCCAGTGAGACACTGACACATACTAGAATCGTGTTTCCCTCGGAACATGAGCTCGAGCTCCCCTACGACGAGCAAGCTCAGCACACCCTTGTTGCATTACACGACCGTACAGAGGGTATCTTGTTTCCAATCACCAGGGATGGATGAGACTCAGATCTTGTCACCACTATAGATGTGGAACAAAGAGGACTTACGTAGTCTTTCAGGGACTTCCTAACTCTAAGTTGTCATGCTTATGTTTCTAATTATGGCGACAGTTCGGCCAAACAGCAAACCACTACCTGATCACCTATTTAAACACCGGCAAAGCAAGCCAAAGCAAAGCAAATTGAACAAACTGAAACCAGACCAAGCCAAATCAGAGCAGACCAACCGTATACCATACCATGAAGGCCCAGACTTGGGAGACGTGGTCTGGGGAAGCCGAAGACAGAGTACCTGTAGTAAGGGGAAAACCGACAGAAAGGGCAACGGGATAAAGCCCGTCCTTTGCAGCTGAGTTCTTCTCCTCCCGATCGTTTACCGTACACCCAGCTCTCTGTCTCCGTGGAGGACTGCTCAAGTTTCAAAGCAGCTAGCCTAGAATCTGGCCCTCTGCCCATTTCTCTGAGAGGGCTCTCCGTTGCCTTGTGAACCCTGCTTCGCCTGCGTTCCGGAGGGTTGCTCCTGCGCTGCAGGAGCAAGTGGTAGTTGCTGCTGCGGCTACTACTGGGCCGGAAGCGCTCTCTGGTGTCTGGGAGGGAGTGTCACCACGATTATGCGGCGCCGTCTGAAGGTGTCTGAGCACCATTAGAAGCCGACGAAGGCTGTGTTGAGCCCTGTAGATGCTTCTGAGGCATAGAATCAACCAAGTTCCAGCAGAGAGAGCCGGCCTGGTTGCCGGTATCCAACCACACCAACCGGAAGCAGGTGTTTCCATTCCTCCCAAGTCCAATGGTTATCTCCCACTTCGGATGGCGAGGAATGACCATTTCAGGGAGGGGTTCTCCTTGGAAGGCATGTAGCGGATAACTCTTTCGCGGTCTTTTATCATCGAACCCTCCGAAGCCGTGCTGCTCAGTGTCGCAGAGGACGACATATACCCAAGCACCCGTGAAGGATCGGATGTGAAGGTTTCTGGTGTGGTCGAGAAACAAGACGCATTGTTTTCGGCGATAGCCGTCCCCGTTGCGGTTGTCGTTGCCGAGCCAGATATCGTTTTCCTCCTTGCCTGTACCGAGCGCTGCTAGCATTCCAGGCTGCTTCAGCTTGGAAGGTCGACTGGGACCGAAGATGAAGTAGGGGAAGTCCAGGAAACGTTTCGCAGGGCCTTTTCTGTGCGGCCGGTTCTCTTTCAGCGTCAGAACATCTTGGGCATCGCTTGAATTAGGCACGAGGCAAAAGAGAGGTTGGTTGTTCAAGTTGGACATATCGATACCGTGGTTGCCGGAGTGAACTAAATCGAGAAGGCAAGTTCATCGATGGATCCTGAAGGGGGCGAATGAAGGATTGGGGGGAAGAAAGCTTTTGTAGGAGCTGGGCTTGCGCGCAAGGGCAGAAGCACAGGCTGAACAAAACTGGCTGTTTGCAGGGGGGTGAGGCTAGGGAGTCTCGCGTTGTCTTTGACGGGGCATCTAACCACCACATCCTCAAGAAGCAACAGGTCAGAGGCAGTTGGCCGGGTTGATACTCCAGCGCGTGTCCATGGATGTTTCTTCATTGTCCGCTCTCGCTCTGCGGTTTTGGCACGGCCTCCTCGACAACTGCCCGTACAGAGATCCAAGGTCGCCTGGCTAGAGGGAAGCATAAGATCATCTTCGGCCCCCAATTTTCTCGGCTCCTCCGCATCCTGCTGTCACAGGATTTGGGCGGCCAGCCCAGCTGTGATAACCCCTTGCTGATAACCACCTGGTAAACCAGTGATAAATGTATACCGTTATATTTTTGGGCTTCTTCGTCAAGTGATCGCCAGTATACCTGGTAGCCATTACCCGACCACAGCTTGTGAGGCGCTGAAACATGAGATGCATCCTGTGTGCTGCTCGTAGGCGGCACGGTCATCTTAGCTCATCCCAAAATCTGAACCATGTCACATTGCCACGCTCTGCCGCTTCCATGCAAACTCCGATCAGTCCACCCGTTTCTGTGTCTCGAAATTCAGGCCACAGTTTTCCCTGATGCAGTTTCACCGGCATCAACGGCGCTGACGGGCAAACAGCATGCCAGAACGACAGGCGAAACCGTGCACAGCCTTAGAGCTCCTGCACCACCGTAGCTCTCGGCCGAGTGCATACTTGAGACATTTTCCTGGGCTCGACAACCCATCCCCAGTCTCAGCCACACCTCTGTGCTTTCAACCATATATTGCCCACACAGTCTGACGTCAGGCTTCACCTTCCCCAAGCTCTCCAGTACACCCTCGTTCGAACCCGTGACTACCGCCGACGGATCCATGGAAACTATCAAGCGGCCCAGGAACGGGAATCGCGCGCCTCAGGCGACGAACCAAGCTAAACGACATTTGGTTGGCGGTGACGGTGCAAGGAACCAGGGCAGGTCTGAGGAGGGATTACCCAACCCCAGGTCGGAGCCAAGGATGCCGTCTAGCTCGCTGCTGCTGTCAAAATCTGCTCCTGTCTTGCGAGTAGGCGCGCGGCAGAGGCGATATGGGAGGAATGTAAGGCATTCGCGCTACGCTTCAAAGCAATGGAAAGCAGGGACGAGACACGGCGGGTAACGGCTGCGAGAGGAGTGATGGCCGTGTAGTAAAAGGTTCTTGTGTGTGATTATGTTGCTGCGATGGCTAGCTCATGTGGCGTGCTTGTTTGCATCCAGCAGTTTTTTTAGAGCCGGTGGATCCGGGAGCCGGGTTCAGCGCCGCCCCCTCACCCAGGCTTTTGCCTTTTCGCTGTATATAAGATATCAATCCGGGTCAATGAAGTTGGATGCGTTGTGGCTTCAAAACGCTTCGGCATTTGACAGTTGGTGATACCGTCTGGTGTGGACCTGGCCTCCCGATCGTGCGACTGCGATGGGACAAATGGGGCCTCGCCCGTGATGGCGGTGACAACGTCCTTGTGGCACTGAATAGTTCCCCTTTCTCATCCACCCAGAAACACTGGTTGCCAGCCTTCAGCTCTAGCTCCGCATTGTGCACCGAAAAAGCGGGGAGAACGCATGCCTGCCTGTCGGCTATCGCTTGTCGAATGATGATTTGTCCAGATAAAGGTACGTCTCGTCACGTCCTGCTGTCGCGCCCGGAGAAATCCGCATTGCGTGACACAGACAGTTTTGGCCGATGGCGCACTAGGTGGCGGGCTGATAGGCATGTAATGGCCTTTTCGGCCCAGGAATCTGGTTGTTGGGACTCGGTAATCGCTGTCTCGCCGATCCAAAACTGCTTCCTCGACACGAGGCCAACACCCGGCATACCAAACGGTAGGGCCGATGTTTTTCAGGGGTTCCAAGAGTTCGGTTTGGCGCGGCGCCAAGCAGTTGCCGGCGGCGTTCCCCGTTTCTTCCACGTCCGCTTCGTTGACCGACGTTGGCCAGCAATTTCGGCTAGCATCTTGACCGTGGGAAAATGGAATAGAAAAAACTGTAAAGGGGAAATGGAAGTTTGGGCGAGATGGAGTCCGATTAAATTCGGGTGCAGGCATAGGTGAAAAGGAGCTGGACGGGAAGTTCCACTGCACAGCGAAACGGAAATCACGTCACAACCCAAAACCCCTGACAGCGGCAAAACGTATCCGAACCGGTCCGCTGCGTCATTACCCCGACGAATTAGCCTCAACTGTCGAAGTCATCAACCCAGATCCCAGGATGAAAGTCATTGTCACAGGATCCACCGGCCTGGTCGGCAGCAGTTTGGTGCGCCAGTGCATCGCCAGTGACCACATCACACGCGTCGTTGCTTTGTCCAGGAAGCCCCTGGAGCATGTCCAGAGTCCCAAACTCACCGTCATTCTCCATGACGATTTCTCTGTCTATCCGCCCGAATTAATCGCCCAGCTCACCGGGGCCGAGGGTTGTTTGTGGTGGGTTTCTCGTTCGTCCTCGTACCAGCGTAGCGCACGATTTCCTTGTACCATTGTACGATTCCTTTTACTAACAGTGAACAGGGCCATTGGCGGGCGAGCGAGCCAGTTCCCCGACCTCGACACCTACAAGAGGGTGCAGGTCGACTACGCCCTCGCCGCCGCAACGGCCTTCAGGGACCAGCTCGCGCCGCAGCTCCCTGAAGGCAAGCAGTTCCGCTTTGTGTTTTGCAGCGGCAAGTTTGCCGAATGGGACCAGAGCAAGCCGCTGCATTTTATGGCCGATACACGCCGAGTCAAGGTATGTATCTGAACGGTGTACTTGTATGATATTTTAGCTGGTGTTTCTGTGCATCAGGCTGGATCTGACGGTGTCAACCATCACAGGGACAGGTGGAGCAGGGGTTGTGCGGGATTGCAGACGCCGACACGACCAAGCGTTTTGTCGTCTACTGTGCTCGGCCCAGCGGCATCCTCCCTGCGGACGCCAGCCTCGCCGCCAGACTCTCGGGCCGGCTGTATGGGGCCATCGGCGTGGATCATCTCGCAAAGGCCCTCATTCCAATTCTCCTCGAGGGCTCCAAGGAACGAATCATCGAGAATGAGGCCCTTCTTTCGCTCTGATTGAGTGTCAAGGATGTTGTGTGTTCTTTACCCTAGTAGTCTCGAAGCTCGATTTGGGGTTCTTGCATCAGACTTGGCTGGTTTGGATCTGTCTGATTGGATTGACTGCCTCTGAAATGGAGGCACAGCGCGAATCATGCGGATGAGAAGGGGCTGTTACTTCGGACTGTTGAACCCTCAGGTGATTGGTATGCCCTGTCACCCACTTCCTTGTGAGCGTGCTGATTAGAGACCCGTCAACTTCCTCGGAGATGTCACCTGAAGCTGGCGGAAACCCACAGGTCCTCTATCATGCTTGATGTCATATGAAATCAAAACCTGTAGTATTCAATGAGAGGCATCATGCATGCTCACCTGATGTCAATCATCTCTCCGGCAAAGAGACCTAACTCGTTCCACCTCCTCCCTGGTTGCCTTCCGTAGCTAAGGTAGTATCTCTCAATACAGGCAGAAGGTGGCGATGGTACTGTTCACAGTTAGTTACTCGTGCATCTGCCGACGAGGCCAGGCATGCAAGCATTACCTAGTTAGTAACCAATAGCCTGGACCTCTCTAACCAGGTGTGAATTCGTGACGGCTAGATCTGCCAAGGTATCGACAGGCTCCAAAGTCGATCACATTTGTCTCGACGTTCGTTGCTGGTGCAAGATGAGGGACAGCAAACAAAGGAAGCCAAAGACCCAGTGTTGCCATGGAGGTCTGACAGGGCATGGCCAGTGACGTGTCAGAGGACCAACCTTTCAGGCTGGCAAAGCATTCTGCACGTCGTCGACGACTCTGGTTGGTTGCTCGCTTGCTTTAAGAATAATGGCTGGCGTTGACTGGTACAGATGGGGAAAAATGGGGGAAAATGGGAATGCCATACCTTACTTGGCAAGGCTTGCATTGGAAACAATGTTAGGCCGATTCCACGTCTCATCGTCCTACGATCGTGGCATGCTTGTGTGAGGTACCTATGTGAATAGACACCTCTTCACCTCCCTGCATGGATGCAGCGACAGATTGGCCGGCTGTACTGTGCCTGATCGGCAGCACGCAGGTTGCAGGAGCCGGTGAGATGGGTGAGGTAAGATTCACATGGCAGGGAGTCCGGGACGCAGATCGAACCTCGAGGTTCAAGAACTGTGCCTTGGCACAGCCCAGATGCCAACTCACACTAGTGCGATGACGATCAAAGCCTCCAACCCCATCCCGTTCCCAACGCCGTGCATGTGCTCCTGGGGCCCTTGGAGCTTGCCGGGCCAGCTTGTTGGTACCTTGGTGATTGAGTTGTTTCCAACATGAGTTTGAGTGAGATCTGCGCAATTGGCAGGCCTGCGTTATTGAAGCTTGGCTCAGGATTGTATCCTTTTTCCTCGGGCTTCGGGTGCAGCCAAGTTTCTCGGGGATGCTTCCGGGGAGATCTGTTTTCTGCTAAGGTTAATTTAGCGTTGTGGAGTTGTGATGCGGAGTTTCCCGACAGCCCCAACCCATTTCCGGGTTTCCCAGGACGGGAAGCCGACCAGCGGTTGGTTAGCGAAAGCGATTCATGCTGTACAGAAAACTAGCAAAAGGAACCTTGCACTGCAGCATCTCAGACTTTTGCGCCGGTCCTTGAGTGGACGTTTTGCAGGTGAGGCAGGGTATTCACCGAACTCCACGAAGAACCAACCAGCATTGCGGGGTCCGGAGTTCAATCCGGTTCGGCATGTGTTCGATTTTTCGGCCCGATCGAAGTGTTGTTTCTTCTGTGACGGGTCGATGTTGGCTGCATCCCCGGCAACGCAGCAAAGATTCGTGGCAGCCAATCGCAGCATTCTCACTTGCCCGGACTGCCGGGCCTGCAGGCACAAGGTTTGCGACGCCTTGCGGCCGTTTTTTTCTGTCATTTTTGCGCGGGCCCCGTCACTTCATGGATGTTCAGTTCGCCCTAACTGAAGCCAAGCCAGATTCCGGCGACATGTTGTCCAAAACGGGATGTCAATCTCACCCCCTTGACTGGCTTTTTCTGTTGCCGCTGCCGGCGGCAAATCGCGCTCCAATGAGCTCGATCAATCGTGCCGCGTCTCTTCTTTCCGCACAAAACCCGAGTCACAGAGGTACCAACACTTAGCAACTTCAGCTGGAGAGAGTCGGCCGTCACCCGCCAACATGGGTACCGAGCTGATTGGGTAACAGAGCCGAATACACCCACACCAGGTCTTGCGATCCGGCGGCACCCTGTGAACACCCCCGGATCTCAAGAGGGACGTCGCATGAGAAAACCTCGTCCAGCTCTCACTGTCTTGTGTGGCTGCTTGTTCTTTATGTCTATTATTATTACAATTAAGAGAGCCCATATTGTCTCAAGCAAGGCTGGGCTGCTGGGACAGCTCTTCCATTCTGGTGTTTTTTTTATTAATATTGCTACCCCGCCTGCTCTCTGCCTTGGTAGCTATTCCAGGCCGTCCGCCCATCTCCGCGTCTCTCCCAAGGCAAACCCGCCCAACTCGACCCCACCACCTTCGCTTGTCCCCAGCCGGGGACTCTTAAAACACAACGTCCCTTCACTATCAAGTCACTTTGCATCCTCCCATCCAACCAACGCCAACATCACGCACACTCCTGCACCATGCATTCTTCAAGACAGCCTGCGCAAAAGGGCCCAGATGGATCCCCAATGGAGCTCGCGCTCCAAGCTTCCGAGTTGCTCCTATCCATGACACAAATACACCAGAACCCACAATCCGAATCCGACCAAGAAGACTTGGACCAACAAGGCACCTTGTCGCCCCCACTCATGCACTTCCCCCACTGCCGCCTCGAAGTGGCCGACTTCCCGCTCGACAACGCGGCGTCGACGACAAGCCAGGGTAAGCTGGAGCAGGTCGCCCTGCCCGGGCCCCTCGTCCGCACCTTCCTCTCTCGCTTCGAGAGCGAGCAGTTGCTTGTATTTTCCGAGGCAGGCGGACCCCACTCAGCATCACCACCATCACCATCACCATCACCATCACCATCACCGACCACATCATCATCAAACACGTCCTCCACGGCAAAGCCCAGCGAGAGGAGGGTGCAAGTACAGCGGCACTTTGACGACGGCGACGACTGGGTCTTTTCGCGCTGCCTGCTGGCCGACTTCACCGGCTTCCGCGACGACGAGGCCGAGGTGCTCTCGGCACAGGGCAGGCTGTGCTGCTGGGCCAGCGTGGTGCTGCAGCCTCAACAGCGGCCGAGGGAACAGCAGCAGCGACAACAGCATGAGGGGCTGGGGCAGGTACAAGGGAAGTGGGAGCTGGGGTTCGTCGTCCATCGGGTCGGAGTGAGGGATCCCGAGACTGGGTGGTGCGAGTGTTTCTGATGCACGCATATTATTGGGGGTGTGTGGGAGTACTGCAGTCATGGGCATGCTTTCTGAGTTTTCGTTTTTCTGGTTTGCTTGGTATGGGGAAGGGCATGAGCCACGGTTTGGTGTATTATTCTGGGGTCTGTGTTGACTACCGGGGCTTATGCTTCTGGCGTTTCTAGTCCGGTTCGGATGTTGGTTATGGCTTCTGAAAGGTGACACGACTTTTTGGCGAAGGCATGGTTGCACGGAAGGGGAAGGGACGCCATGGTCACTGGAGTCCTGCGGCGTTGTTCTGGTCTTCCTGTCTCTCGGATGACTACCGAGGTGTGTGTTGTTTAGTGTGTCCGTCCGGGACCTGGGCTCTGCTCTTTTGATGTCCCTGTCCTTGCTGTATCAAATATCCCACGCAATCTCACTCAACCAGTGGTTGCCGAAAGTCCTCGGACAATCCTCCGGTTCTTCTTCATTCATGGACATTGCCAGCTCGTCTTGTCCACCCAGTCAGCAAGGTCCCAACCTCGATTGGCCGAGCCAGACAGGGCAGTCGGTTGAAGGTGCCGGGTTTCGCACGGATATTGTACCCTACCCCTCCAACCCACTACCATAATAACGACCCTGCAGGTTCATTCCCTCCGTGCTACCCACGGATTGGCAGTCACCTCAGATACCCTGGCGATAAGCTTCCTGGACCATGCAATTCTACCCAATCAGCCCTCACGATGGTCAATGCAACTGCCGTTGCATGATCGTGGAGCCCTAGCCAGCATCGTGTTCGGCTGTCTCGGGCTTTTTACACAGTGCCTGCCCATCATAATCCGGTGCATATTTGGCAGATAAGCACAGTGAAGCCGAAAGGGCTCGTGATGCCAACCACTTACTGTGTAACAGTTACCGAGCTCTGCCGCAGCCCGTCAGCTGATGTTCGGTTACACAGCATATCCAGCTTGGGGTCCAACACGCCAGGTCCAAGGACTTTCAGCGTCTCCGTGCCGCCGCTGTACTGCTGCTACAAGGTGCCGATGGTGGATTATGTTACACAGAGATAAGTGTGAGCCATCATCCAACGACAATCTCCGAGACTTGTTAGTGTACCAGTGGGCGAAGATGAAGGATGAATCGTGGGACTTGGCCTGGCCGTTTTGCCTGGACCGCTGGTGTTTGGGACTGGCACCCCAGAACTGAGACCATTGGCCACACTGTTGGGCAGGAGTCCTCTTCAAGGAGCTGGAGTCGTTGAGCCTCATGTTAAAAGGGGGCAGTCGAGAGGATGATTTTCGCATAGTACCAAGAATTGACCCCGACTTACAGATGCCACAGACCGGTCATGCCATAAGAGGGTTCCCAACTGCCGTCTTAGCGTGTGTGACGGATGCACGTCTGTGACAGACACGGCGCGAGGACTGTGGCCAAAACACTGCAATGTCATCCATCCAATTAACATCTAGCAACAAGCGGAAGAAATGTCGGTCTATAGGTAATGTAATGTATCCATCAGCCCAAATCCTAACTTGAGACGGACCCATTCCATGGCGAGTCGTCGGTCGTAGCGCCCGGCGCTGGAGGCAACGTCCCACATCCAGGGCTTGCGCCGAGGAAAGCCGAAGAGGCCCCTACGCTGGTGAGCTGCTAAGGAAGTAGCGGAAAGGAAGGCAGAACTTACAACCAATAGTTGATGGCAACAACGATGACACTTAGGTCGCCGTTCCCGCGGCTCTAGTGGATCAAGCTAGCCGGGTTGACCTCGTCCTTGGATCCCTCGACGTAGGCGCCTCCGTGAATCCAAACCAGGACGGGCACCGGTTTTGCCGGTATCCCCGCGGTCTGCGCATCGAACAGGGCCTTGGAACCGTGACATCCAGCAGCAGGCAATCCTCAGATTAGACCACGGAAGTCTGGTGCGGCGGCCCAGATGGAGGCGGAACTCCCCTGCTACCAAGGTTTCGATGACGGGCGGCAGCGAGACTGAAACCAGACTGTGCTTGCCTGGGGACGGACAGCCGGTGTAGTGCCATGGTTGACGGTCCGGTTGACGCTGAGACGGGGGATGGGAATGCGGAAGCGGAGTTTGCCCACCGGGGGGTCCCGGGCTATGGAATGTACTTGAAGTTGTAGTGCTCGCCAGTTGCCTGAGCCAGGCTATCATCAGCGTGGACTGAAGGACTTTACGTGCGTTGTTTGTCGTCTCATGTTCGAACAGTTGTGTTTTGCGAATGGTTCTGCCGAGGTTGAGGACGGGCAGATTTCATTGCGCTCTTACGCCATCCACGGTCGCCCGGAAAAGCGACAAAGCGCAAAGGGAGGAAGCTGACCATATCATACGCTCGCAGACACTGCTACTGTTACCGCTTTGCTTATGTAAGTAAGCCTTGGCCATCTCGGAGCTGGCCTCTTTCTGGGCGCCTGAATGTTTGTGCGGAAAGCAGAAATGCAAGCCCAATGCTTTGAAACAAGGTGGAGGCCACGATGTGATGTAGACGGATTTGAATAAGGTACGCGGTCAGGCCCTGCCATAACCATCCTTGAGCTTGTACCAACTTTGACCCTCAAAGATCAGGGCAGCCGTGCATAGGCCTTGGAGGGCGTCACTATGTAGGCCCCTCGTTGGATCTGGTTCTCTAAGTCATCCATCTCGCACCCCTCCGAGTCAGTGCCGCGGACGTCGTCCACTCTGGCAACTTGAAAGGAGGCGCTTCCGTGCTTGACTCGAGGGCCATGGACGCTGGCTGCCGTCCCCGACGCCGGATCAATGTAACCAAGCGTCCTGGGAGTTCCCATGTAACTCGACTTGAGTAAGTTTGGAAACAGTCGAACAATGAGAGGCTTCAAGGTGGTCAGACACGCGCAGATAATGGCCAAATTGACCTCGACAGAACCCCAGATGCTGAGAGTGGCCAGGTTGTATGTCTTGTCGGAGAAATCCATCGAGCTCACTGCCACGATCCGTATGACGGAGATGAGGCAGGCCCTGTTGACTGCGTCAGTAACACGAAGCCATGTACATACGAAGAATTAGACAACACGGTTCGGCGCACTGTACATACACGAATCCCACACAAAAGACAACCATCAAGCCAATCTTTTGCCGCATGGAAAGTTTAAGCCTGATGACGAAGGGGATGGGCAGGGCGAAGATGATGAAGTCGGTGATGATGTGGGCATAAGAGTTTCCCACTTTGACATTCATATCGATACATTTGCCGTCGATCGTCTTGTCCCACACGGCTGCGAGCGGAATGCAGTCGATGAAGGACGTGATGATGACCCATATGCTGCAGGCGACGACGGTGGCCAAGACGACGAAGGTGCAGATGCGTGCCCAGCCGAGGGCTAAGAAGCGTCGGTACAGCAGCAAGATGGATATCTTGGTGCACGAGAGGCCTGTGGCGTAGAGGAGAAATGTGTACCACTCTTCCTGGATGCGTAATCGGGCGCGTCAGTGGCTTGTTGGGACGTCTCACTGGCTGCCACTGCTCTCTTACCAAGCGGTATTTGGAGAGGTCATCGTCAGTGACCAGCCAAACATGCCGACCGAGGCCGAAGTGCGTCTCTGGACGTGGCAGTGTCAGTGGAGTTTTGGACAAACTAGATTCCGGGTGAACGGACGCCTGATATATCCAACACTGACGCCGAGTGACAGAATCTGTCATGGAGACGTGTCAGTCTGGCCAGCCATGTCGGCGATCTGAAGCTCCACACACCAGGGCGGCGAGAATCACGCAGTCGTCGGCGCCCAGGATGTTGAGCAAGACTTTGCGGGTGTAGAAGCGGAGAAGCACGGTGATGGTACTGAGACTCAGCATCACGACTGAGGCCGCGATGACAGAGTTCTGCCGGCTGGGCTCATGGGCCGCGTTTGGCGTGTCCATGGTTCCGCGACAGCCATGTGGCTGCCTCGCCAAACCGGGAGGGGAACAGGGTCGACAGTCTTCCAAGGAGAGGTCCGAAGTGATAATGGGCCGCAACTTGGGGTCCTCTATGATTGTCAGGCTGCCAGGTCGTGTCCTATTAGTTTGGTATCGTTGTTGATTCATCAGTGTTCACCTCCTTTTTCTTCGCCCGCTCTCAGGCTCGCTCCATTTCCCTCCTTTCCCCATTCCGCCACCTCCTCCATCTGCCTCCATCTCCCCTCCCACACCAGAATCGGAAACACGTTTGTTTGCGAGCTGAGCGCGCACGGACATTGGAGACGGGAAACACCCACTGCTAATGCAGGCTGTTCCCGGAGCGGAATGTCGGTCTTGGCGGGCGGCAAATCGTTGTGTGCGCACTACGGTGTGACATGAAATAATACAGATCCGTATTTCAATTCTATCCTAAGCCCTTCGATTGATGTTTATTATTTCTAGAGCCTCTGAATTTCATGTAAATTGGGTGACTAAGCTAGGATTAGTTGGCATTTTCTAAAGAGTTGCAAAGCTAAGATATCTAGAAATTTACTCAATTTAGACATAAAATGTAGTTAATTAAGGATATCTCTGTGAAATATACCGTTATATTTATAGTAGTAGCTAGTTGTAAGGTGATACACACAGGCTCACCAAGGAAGATGCACCGAATCCGCAACGAGAAGCAGGTAAGATGACTAAGTACCACTTGACCAATTGACTGATCCCTGTTGAACTGAGTGGGTTCCTTGGCACCAAGATTCACGGACTGAGCACTGATGTTCAATGCGAGATGCTCAGTCAACACAGATCCATCACAATGACGCAGTTCCTGACATAAACGCCATATCATAGCACACTGTCTCTATATAAGGGGGGTTAATTCCCCTGGGAGGCACACTAACCCACTATCTTGATCCTTCATTTGTGTGGTCACTCTGGAATCGTGACTCCAATTCAAGCTTCGTTTCATACCTCAATCTGTTCAATACCATTTGGTAGATCTAAGCTTACTTGAGCATGTAACTGTTGGCTGCCCAACAATCCCTGAGAGAAGGAAGTTCCAAGTTTTAATATGAGTCTCCCGCTCTCTAGATATCCTCCTTCTGTTGCCAGTCATATCGCTTCGCCGTGAAATCCACAGTGTCTCGCCTGCTAATAGCCTAAGTATAGAGCTCATAGTAGAGGCCGTGACACTAGTATATCAAGGCAATATAACGTAGAAATATATAATTAACGTGGTTATTCAGTTAACCTTCTATAACTTACTAGATTAGTAAAATACATAAATAAGTAGCTAACTATAGAGTAAAGAAACTAATCTTATTTTTATGTAGTTTAGTTAGCCCTAACTTGAGTATTGTACGAACGAACCATATATCGAGGCCTGGTGGGGCGACGGAAGCCAATGAAGAGGCGTAACACCAGGGGAAAGCTGAGGTGGGGCCTGCAAGAGGGATCACCGCCAAGGAAGTGAGCGCGGTGAGCGGCTCACC